TGTAGCATGCAGCGTGTAGCATGCAGCGTGTAGCATGCAGCGTGTAGCATGCAGCGTGTAGCATGCAGCGTGTAGAATGCAGCGTGTAGAATGTAAAATGCCCAAGGCAAACCAAACCCAACCCTCTCTCCAGCAACCCCAACCTCAAGGGGAACATGTCTCCAGCTACCCTAACCTCAAGGGAACAGGTGTGGCTCAGACTCACCGTGCTTGGAGATGGTGTAGAGGCTGTTTTGGGGCATGGCGCGGATGCCCAGGAGCGACGAGACGACGACGATGGAACCCCTGGAAGGGACTCGGTCACCCCTGGAAAGGAGAGGAGTCAGAGAAGTCAGAGGAGTGAGAGCAGATCCGAGCCGACGACCGACGACCGACGACCTACTCAGTCTGTAGCGGCTCCTGGGTCGCCATGTGCTTCAATTCCTCGCGCTCACAGAGCCAGGTTCCCCTCAGGTTGATTTTCTGGACTCGGTCCAAGTCGTCGACGGCGAGGGTGTCGGTGGGGCCCAAGGGGCCGGCAATGGCGGCATTGTTGACGGCGTAGTCGACCCGGCCAAACCTGTGTATCACCGACCGAAATGCAGTGGCGACCTGCTCCTCGTTGCTGATGTCGGCCGCGAGAGGCAAGAAATCGACCGCGGGGTCGGCGGTGCGCAGAGCCTGGGCCGTGTCGGACAGGCCTTGGGGCGAGAGGTCGACGCCTGCGATGCGCCGGACGCCGTCGCGCGCGAATTGCAACGCCATGGCCCGGCCGAGGGCGCCTCCTGCGCCGGTGATGAAGGCGACGCTGTGAACATAACAAGGTCAACGGTCAACGTCAACGTCAACGTCAAAACCAGACCAGATCATCACCACGATGACGAGATTGGTCGCTTGGTGGCTGGTCACTGGTGGCAAAGAAAACGGATGGGCTTTCTCTCACCCTCGTAGCCCGAGTCCAGTCATTGTGGGAGATTCTCTTTCCCTGGGATTGTTGATGCTTGGGGGCTATCGGATTGGACCTGGGACACAGATGGATGGGTGAGAGGGAGAAGGGAGTCAGGGAGTCAGGGAGTCAGGGAGTCAGGGAGTCAGGGAGTCAGGGAGTCAGGGAGTCAGGGAGTCAGGGAGTCAGGGAGTCAGGGAATCAGGGAGCGGACAGGTTCAGGATGACAGCAGATATAATGTCTGCTGTGAAGAGCATGGACACTGGGACAGCACAGTGGACACTAGACATTGAGAGTGGGAAGAGTGGGAGAAGAGCTTTTGGGTTAAGGTCTGAAGGTCGAGGTCGAGGTCTGGGGTCTGGGGTGAGACCGGGGACTGGGGGCGGGTCTGGAAGGTCCCGGAATCTAGTCTCCGTACCCCGTACTAAGGGATACGGGATACAGAGTATGACTGAGGTACGGAGTACAGGATGTTGTATGTCCATAACGTGTATTCTGTAGGTTACCTAATAGGTAGGCAGGTCCAACAGGCCGACGTCGCATGTCGGAGATCGGGTCGGGGAAATAGATGGATACCGAGTACCCAGGAGGTATTTACAGTATTGCAACATTACCTGGTAGGGGGCATAGGAGGAGGTGGAAGAGATGGCAGGGGTAGGGGCAGGGGTGGGAGTAAGGGTAGGGGGAAGGGTAAGGGTAAGGGTGCCTGAGATCCGATCTAAACAGCCATAACAGTTACCTGGGGGTATTCGTACAGTATTCTACCTACTTATATCTAGGTACCTATAGGTAGATATCAGTATAGTGGACAGTGTACACAGGAGGGCGACAGTGTATGTACTCCGCAGTAAGCAATTCATCATCAATCATTAATCGGTGATAGGTAGGTATAGGTAGATGCAGGGACTGAACGTGGTACTTGATACTGTGTGGTATATGTATTAAAATACCAAACATACCAAAAATACCCGTCATCGCCGTCGGTCTAATACCCAGGATTGGCGGTCGGTGGTTGTCGGGCTTCAGACTCCTTCTGCTCCCCGCTGTCTGAGCCCAAGTCTGTCGGGCCCCCAGACTGTGCCACGACTGTGCCACTGTCATCGTGGAGGGGTAACGGCGGGTCGGGGCATCTTTCGGGGGAATGAATGGCCTGGGCCCCTCCATTGCTTGCCTGGGATACGGGATGGTTCTGGTACCATGCGGATACTGCAGAGTCAGTGGTTACCAGGTAGGGACTCGGTAGGTATGCTCCATCATTTGATATTCGAGCAGGTTCAGGGTTGACGATGAATTTGAATACGGTACAGTTACATTAGGGTTAGGGTTAGGGTTAGGGTTGTACAGTGTACATATGTCATACGGAGTACAGCGACCTGAATTCGGCCGACTATCCCCCGCCCCGCCCCGCCCACTCACACACGGTCGAGACGGTCGAATTTGTTCCCCGCCATGGCGAGCAGAAGTCGGACACGCCCCGTGGGTGAAAAGGTGGAATTGGAATTGGAATTGGAATGGGGCCTGGATGAGGAATCGGATGCTTGCGATAGGCTGGAGCTGGGGCTGAGCACAGCAGCCATAGCGACAACACAACGTAGTAGGAGACGGACGGAGGGAGGACGGAGGACAAGTATGGTATCAGAAGGCCAGAAAAGATGCACCTAGGTACTGTCCCTAGATATCTACGGTACGTAGGGACCTAGCAGGTAGATAGTAGGTAGTGGTTAATAGTGGTTACAGTGATGCATGTTTTCACACAGTAATAGTACCGCCACTTCATCGCCTTCACCTCTATCCCTCACCGCGTGGTATATCTCTCCGCTCCTTCTTGCTTCTCTTCCTCCCTTCCGCCCAGTCAGGCCACCATGAAACAGTTCAGCCTTGCCGAGGTGGCACGACATGCCCAAAGGGACGACCTGTACATCATCTACCAAAGTCAGGTGTACGAAGTGACCAACTTTCTTTCCGAGCACCCGTAAGTCGCTGCCTTTTGAAAAAAAAATAAGACCAACCCGTAACCCCGTGCGTTGACCGCAGAGGAGGAGAGGATGTCATTCTAGAGCTCGCCGGCAAGGATGCCACCGAGGCCTTTGACGAAGTCGGCCACTCCGAAGACGCTCAGAACCAGCTCCACGAACTTCTGATCGGCTCGCTGGACCAACAGGTGCGTCAACCCTGTGTTGTCTCTTATACCGGACACCGGCGGTCTACTGACATTTCCAGTCCTCCGCGACCCTGGCGACCAAGAAGAAGGCGACCACCGGGACCACCAAGACCACCTCCGTCCCTTTCAGCCCCGTCACCCTCGGCGGCCTGGTCATCGCGGCGGCGGCAGCGGTATGGGTATATACGCAGAAGAAGTAGACGGGAACAACTGGGGAAAGAAAGAGTGCGTGTCTGACCTTGGCTGGGCAACGGGATGGGTATCACGACAAGCAATTAGAATGAGAATTAGAATGCGGTGACTCGATAACAATCCAACTCGATACGCACACATGGCCTAGGGGCTTGATCACCGCACGCGAGCACGCTGTACAGTACAGTATAGTACTTGATAGTCAGCATCCTCAAGTCAGACGTCATAGACCCAATAAATGCAGACCATTACTCGTACTGTGAAGCGTTCGATTCTAGCAGTCCCATATCACAGAGGGACCGACCTAGGGAGGTACTAGGTAGGTCGTCCATAGTATGGACTGCATTACACACTGGATATATCTCGTCAGCCGCCATTAATCATTAATGATTGATAATAATGCTCGGTCTCCCAGCTCTGTGGTCCCTCCATCGCAGCCGAAACTTGCACCGACGGGGTGGTGATGGGGTGGCAGTGCTCTGTATCCATACTCTTACTACTAGTATCTGCCCGACACGACGCCCTTGGGCCTTAGGTACGCGTCCGCGTCGCGCAGCCGGTGCAATTCGTGCCCAATCAGAAACACCACGAAGACAGCCCTTACGCTTATTCAGTGTGTTCACTGTTCACCCGTGTCCCACACTCTGCCCCTCGTCTCCGCCTCTCTCCTCCACCCACCGCACTGGCGCAGGCGCAGGCACCAGCTGACCGCAGGGGTTGCTCGTGGCACGCCCGTCGCCCGGAGGCCCCGGTGCCCCAGCTTTCAACCACACACTGCATCTGCCGTCTGCTGTCTGCCATACCGAGTCCACTGTCCAGTACCTACAATGCCAGACCCTAAATACACAGACAGCTCCCTACCGCTGCACCCACCACACCAGCGCGTCACTGGCCGGCTTTCTTGGGCTTACTTCTTTCACCTACAATTCTCTCAGTCTTCTATTCTTCTTTGACACCCACCGCTCTTGAAGGACACCTCCCTTTCTACGCCATCCAACATGGCAGCAGCCTCGTTCTTGTCACTGGTCCCGACCTATGTCTGGGTGGCCCTCGTCGCCCTGCTCCTCGGCATCTACCGTCTCCTCCAGGTCGGCAAACGGGACCCTCGCATGCCACCTGGCCCTCCCACCATCCCCATCCTAGGAAACGCTCATCAGATTCCTCGCACTGGCCTTTACAAACAGTAAGTGACAAGCTCAAACTCAAACAGAGAGGAGAGAGACAAAAGAGAGCAAAGAGAATGCTGGAGAGAGGAGTACCAACCCCCAAGAAGGAAAGATACTAACCCCTCGCCTCCTACCAGATTTCGAGAATGGGCCAGAGAATACGGCCCCATCTTCAGCCTCAAACTCGGCCCGTCCAGCGTCGTCGTTCTCTGTGACCGCAAAGCTATCCACAAGCTGCTCGTCGAGAAAGGCTCCATTTACTCGGATCGCCCAGAGAGCTACGTCGGCCATCTACTGACCAAAGGCGACCATCTGGCCATCGCCCAGATGGATCCTCTGTGGCGAGAGAAGAGAAAGGTCATCGCCCACAACTTTTCTCCCAAGCCGCTGGATGAGAAGCACTTTCGAATTCAAGAAGCAGAGTAAGTAGTTACGTCACGTCTCACCCGCCAGGCTGGCACATGATCGCTAACCCTCTTGGCCAACTTGTCTAGAGCCACTGTCTTGATGAACAACCTTCTGACCGATCCCGATGATTTCTATCGCCAGATCAGACGCTACACCGCCTCCGTGGTGAGCTCCATCACCTACGGCTATCGCGGGGCCACCCCGGACTCGTTCTGGGCCCAAGTGAGTGGTTCTGGCCAACAGATGTCGGGGGGTAATTGCTGACTACTATCTCACAGGGCGTTTACGATGTAATGGACAGGGTAAGAAATCGAACATGCCACAGTCATGTGGAGCCGGGATCGCACCATCACTTCAGCGCTAACTATGCCAACAGTGGACGGCCGCCATGGAACCCGGAGCCAATCCTCCTGTGGACGAATTTAAATTCCTCCAGTGGACGCCGACCTGGATGTCCTTCTGGAAACGTCGGGCCATCGATGCCGGTGCAATGATGGACGGTGTCTGGGGCGAGGCCCGGAGAAGAATCGACGAGCGCCGCGCGCGAGGAGAACGCCGCAACTGTATCATCGATAGCCTCCTCGACGAGTATGAGAAGAAGGGCATGCCCTTTTCCAAACACGGCTTCGACAATCTGATGGGTGAACTGATCGAAGGCGGAGCCGATACTACTGCTGCTCAACTCCTGACCTTGATCCTCGCCTTTGGCCTGTACCCTGAAGTGCAGAAGAAGGCCAGAAAGGAAATCGACGCTGTCTGTGGCACCGAGAGAGCTCCATTATGGTCCGACTTTGACAAACTGCCGTATATCAACTGTATCGTCAAAGAGGGGATGAGATGGCGTCCTGTGTAAGTTTACTTGCCCCGGCCCTGTCTGACACAACCATACCATGTCTGTGACAACCTCATCGAATCCTCACTAACAAACTTATCTATAGGGCCGTGACTGCGCTCCCTCACCGAGCAAGAGAAGGTCAGTGAAGATTCCTCCGATCTGTCAAGTTGATAGAAGACACCTACTGACCGTGGTACAGACGACTTCTACGAGGGCATGTTGATCCCCAAGGACTCGACCGTGTTCCTCCCGACCTGGGCCATCCATCATTCGGCCGAGATCTACGCCGACCCGGAGACGTTCAACCCCGACCGCTACCTGAACCACCACAAGTTGGCCAACGACTACGCCGGCAGCCCCGACTGGGCGAATCGAGACCACTACAACTACGGCGCCGGCCGCCGCATCTGTCCCGGCATGCATCTCGCGGAGCGCAACATGTGGCGCATCGCGGCCAAGCTACTCTGGGCCTTTGAATTCTCCGAGTACGTCGACCCCAAGACGGGCGTCAAGGTGCCGCTGGACGCCGACGCCTACAACCCGGGGATTCTGCAGGCTCCGTTGCCTTTCAAGATCGCCATCAAGCCGCGAAGCCAGAAGCATGTGGAACGCATCAACCAGGAGAAGGCCGAGGCATTGGAGTTTTTGGAGCAGTACAGTTAGGTTAGGGTTGTGAGGGAGGAGATGAGATGAGATGGGATGGGATGGGAGGAAGGGCATTTGAATTGTACATGACCGTGGAGCAATCTATGATACTATGTAGTAGTGTTGATGTGGACAATGAGTATACATGAGCAATTGATTCCAATTTCAATCTCGACATGCCATACTGTGTTCCCTGAATAACAATTTCAATCTCGGACATGACTGTGTTCCAATAGATGCATCCATCCATCCATCCGTCTCTACCTATATGGACATGCCATACCGTGTTTTCTTAATCATCCATCTCTACCTGTATGTATGTATGTATGGACCTGTGCGAGGCTTAATCCGGATGCGGGGCCGCATAGATGAGATGAGATGAGATGGGGTTATCTACCTAACCACCTAACCACCTACTTTACCTAGGTAGGTAGGAATAGGAGATAGGTAGGTATAGAATATAGAATATGAGAATCAAGACAAGGCAAGGCAATGCAAGACTTGGATGATAGGGCTTATACTCTGTCCTGAATGCTGAAGGGTCACGTAGATGCATGTATGTTCATATTCATATTCATATTTTCTACCTTTTCGATATCACTATCACTATCACTATCACTATTGACATCAACGAGCCTGGTGTCTTTGACCTGCTATACCTATCATATCATACCATACTCTGGCCGCTCTGCTCTGCCCTACCATACCTTACTCTTCTCTGCCCTGCCCTGCCATGCCCTACCCGCCCCGCTCTGCTCTATCCCGCCCTAGCTGGTCGGTCAGACAAACGCCATCCCGCCCTACCCTACCCTAGCTGGTCGGTCAGACACGCAGGTCAGTCAGACACAGACAAATCAATCTCATCACATCACATCAGATGACCTGCTTCAGCTCGACAATGTGCCACGGCACGACAAAGACGGCATAGTAGTCCTTGAGGCCGTCGATGCAGGCCTTGAAGCCGGGTGCCTTTTCAAAGTCTTCGTGGTGGGCCTGAGAGTTCGGAGCGTTAGCTTTTATTCTGGTCGTGTTTCTGTCTTGTCTCTGTCTCTGTCTTTGTCTTTCTGTCCGTGGCCGTCCCACTGGCTACAGCTACAGGTTCGAATGGTAGGATGGGAGATGGGGTTCGAATGATGGGATTCGAATGATGGGGAGTAATGGGATTCGAATAATAGGATAGAATGATGGATTCGAATGATGGGATGGGAGCGATGGGATGACTACTCACATCAACCGATTTCCAATTAATCAACAACAACTGGTCTTGAGGGTTCTCCACCAACGGACTGATAAAGTGACCGTCGGCGCCCGGTTCGGCGTCCAGGATGGGGACGACGATGTTGCGGAACTGCGAATAATAGCCGGCGACGCCTCCCTCGACCACCTTGGTCAGGGCGACCTCGATGGCGGGCGAGGTCAGTATGCTGGCCAGATGGGCCTGGTCGTCCAGACCGGTGGCGTCGATCAGGACGTGGTTCTGCCACTCGATCTTGCGGCCGTTCAGGGCCGGCTGCACCACCCGGTGGAATTCCGTGTAGGCCGGGCTGGTGAAGAAGGCGTGGCTGGCCGCCAGGCTGTCCCAGAGCAGGAGGGCTACTTGGGTGTGGCGGTCTTCATGCTTTTTGCCGCGCCAGAGGTTTTTGAGGCCTGGGGCTCTGTGGGAGGTGTTAGTAGTGTTGACGGTAGACATGACGGTAGACAGGACAGTAGACAGGACAGTAGACAGGACAGTAGACAGGACAGTAGACAGGATAGTAGACAGTAGGTGATGTGATGTGATGGATGGGTGTTCAATGACCCTTGTGGTAATATCATGCTGAGGGTGTTGTGCTGTCCTGTCTTGTCCTGTGCTGCCCTGCCTGCCCTGCCCTGCTCATTGAGGGCAACTTGAACTTGACTAACACAACTGGACTCTACTCATACTCACTTTTGCAAAATCCCAAACGCGGGCGCCAGGTCGCGATTGATTTCCTCGTCGGTGTGGACGGGCCGATGAGGCACGATGATCAGCTGCAGAGCCTGCTTGGGAGAGGAAGCCATGTTAAGTGTGGGTGTGTATACTGTGGTTAGGTGTTGGTGTAGGTAGGTATAGGTATATGTATAGGTGTAATTGTAGAGTAGATGTACAGAGAAGGCGTAGGTGTAAGTAGGTAGCAGAAGTACGGATACAGTAGGTATATTATTAGGTGTAGAGGTAGAAGAGGTACTGTAGGTAAGGTCAGAAGCGGTATCGGTACTGTTATTTGTTATTAATCAGCACCTATATATCCCCACTCCCCACTACCTACCTACTATACCTTGGCACCTATTAGGTACTATTAGGTACCTGGTAGGTAAGGACCTGTATCCGTACGGTATCGTATCTATACCACTCACTCACTGCTTTCTTCGGCCTTCTAAGGCACACTGCCATCACTACCACCACTACGTCCAGACAGTACGGGGTGCATAGTATCAGTACTGATAGTTACTGTACTGAGGTACCTTACTCTGTACCTTACTATAGCTTTCTCCAAGCTTCTCTTCTCCCCTTCTCCCCTCTCCACGTTCAACCCTGCGTAATGCTGCAGTTACAGTAGTCGAATTCTCCCCGGCCCCCATTCCATTCCCCCGAAGTCACCCCGGTCAGTGCAGGACAACTTTCCCCGCCAACTCCCAACTCTTGGCTCCCAACTCTTGGCTCCCAACTCATAACTCGATCAATTACTGGACTCTATTGTTGCGCTCATAAGAATAGGTAATAGCTGATAGCTAAAGCTAATGCTAATATGTAATAGGTACCAGGGAGAGAAAGGGTGAAAGGAAATGGACCCTGCACCCGCCACCGCTAATCCTGCTAATTATGCCTGCACGACCTGTACTTCGTATGTACTCCGTACAGTGCGTCGCACTAATCGTAGACTATATTACATACCTAAACATCATACAACAAGCCCGGGACGAGGACAAGACAGGACAAGGCTGTAGTACTGTACACTAGATATGCTGCTCCTTTATACAATCCAACTGAACGTACGGAGTACTAGCTACCCTAACCCACGCATGCCTCGTCGATAGGGCTAAACCCGCCCATATCGCCACGACCCTCCCTCGGGTTGAGCACTGCTCGCCCCTTCAACCCAGCCAGCCGACGCCAGACAATCTCCAAGAACAGAGAGAACAGAGAGAAAAGACAGAGACCATCAAGAGAATGGCCAACACCGAGCCCACATGACAATCCTCTTCCGCAAACAATCATCCCGCATATCCATGACATAGTGCCGCCATGATATCCGACGAATACCACGCAAAATTGTCCACAAACAAATCATCAGGAAACGGGCCACTCCAGTCACCGGTAAAGGCCGAGTCATCGGTCGAAGGGTCGACTTCACCTCCCATGGCCGATGACCACTCCAGACTTTCATCTGGTGATCGCAGTGCAGAAGGAGCATCGACAGCGCCACTGAACTGCGAAGCCTCGTAGGGAACGCTTGCTGACTGAAGGAGCCCCGGCGGCTGCGGCTGCCGAATGGCTTCAACAGCCCCGAGCCCTTCCCCCCCGCCACCACCCCCGCCCAGCATGTCCATGCCCAAAGCATGTGCACCTCCTGTCGGGTTGGTCACAGGCTCCGGCCCAGACATCTCCATTTCCTTTTGTCGAGCTTCCAGTCGCGCTTCCAACGAGTCCAAGTTCTGCAGTAATGTGAGCGGAGTGCCCCAGAACTCGGCGAATCGCATGTACGTTTGACGTAGAGTGGCGTATTTGCTCTCCGTCAGCATCGGAGCCTCATTCCATCGGAAGATGCGCTTGAAGCTCTGCAACGTGGCCGCAATCCACACCGTGCTGGCGTAATACGGGCTCACGTATCTGACGTGGTCGCCCGGACAGCTCGTCAACAATCTGAGAACCGTGTCGCTGGCTTCCAGGAAGTTTTCGAGGCCCACCCGCGTGGTCGGATCATCGCCCATCACCGTCGACTGGTCCGACGATTGCGTGGGAACCTCGGGGCTGGAAAAAAGGGGGAGAGGAATCAACCCTTCGATCATGTCGGCAACCACGTGATTCTGATAGATCATGAAGCTGGCCGACGCCTTCATCATGCCCACAATGTATTTGCCCGCACTGGCTCGCCGGGCTGCCAGCGGGTCTTCCCCGGCCACCAGGTCAAAGTTCAAAGGTTCGCCGCCGTGCTCCAGCGCGGCCGGAAGCTCTTCGCGAATGGCTTGATACGCCCGCACCAGACTAGACAGTCGTTCCGAAATTTCTTCCGCCGCCTGCCGCGTGTAACTGTTGCTGAAGTACTGCACCAGCTTGGGCACGTCGCTTTTGGGGTCGAGGTTGGCAAACTTGCCCTGGAGGTTGTCGTGGCACAAGATCTGCGCGTCACGCATCAACGCCGCCAGGAGGATGGCCCAGGCAAAAGACCCTTCGTTCCCCGACTGTTTCAGATGCCGCCACCGTTCTTCAGGCTCCCCTCGCAACAGGCAGGACGCCTGGTACTTGTTCGCGAACCAGAGATCATCCGACACCGGAAGATACGTCTCGTTCATCTTCCAGTCGATGGCCGTCGGCGCCCGCTTGATCGTGGAAGCGAATATGTCCATCTCCCACAATGCCCACCAACATCGCCGTCGCTCCTCGCTGAACGACCACGCCGTAAGTTCATTGTCGCTGGACGGCGCTTTGTTGAGGCCTTCATGATCGATCAGGTGAAGTCGAAGTTCATAGGCCACTCGAACCGCCGCCCCGACCAGTCGCCACGCCTGCCCGTACACGCCGTTGACCAATGAATAGAAGCCGGCCAGAGTCATCGCTTGCACGAGACAAAGAGGGGGGGGACTGTTGGAACAGGCGTCCATGGCCTCGTTGATGTATTTCAGCGAAAGCACATGGAACTCTTTGTGGGAGGGTAAGTTGGATCCGTCGAGAGCAGACGGGGACGGGGACGTGGACGTTGATGTGTTCAGGCCCTGCATCGTGTTTCGGCGAGGAGCGAATCTCGAGGAAATAGAAAACATGGCCGCAAACAAGGCGATGAGGTGTTTGGGATCTTCGATGCTGCTGATCTTATCTTGGAAAGACGGCTGGTGGAAGAGAGACATGGACGTCAGGCCGGCCACCACCTCGAAATAAACATCTACCCTAGGTGATAAACCCCACCGGTCAGCACGAGCCACAACTTCACGGCCGGGGAGCTTACAGAGCCTGGGCTTCCAAAATGGATATGCAGAGGACCTCGCATGCCATGGTCAATTTCTCTTTGGCTCCGGCCAGGACGAGGAGGAAGCCGGGTTGAGACCGTCCTCGCGGACGCAGTGACGGCGGGGTCAAGGAGGCTTCATGGGATGGATGAAAGAACGAGGAGAGGCTGATGGCTTTGGCAAAGTTGAAGGCGGCCATTTGAGGTGATCGCGCGGTCGGATGAGGGTGATGAGGGTGATGAGGAGGAGGAGGAGGAGGAGGAGGAGGATGCGGATGATAGGCTCCGGGTGGAGAAGCCTGGGGTGAAAGATGAGATGTTTCGGTTTTCGGCTTGCCCGACCAGACCTGACAATCGGGGGGAGTTTGTAGATAGGCCTGGCCATGCTGGGCGGGATAGTATACAGGTTGAGGATGAAGCGTGGTCACGGCCCGGGCTGTGACGCGGCAAGACCGCTGGCGAGTTCGACGATTTGTAGAGCCTGGTGGCGGTCAGCGGCCAGTTCCCAATCCCATCACCTTTCCTACTGCACTGCGCTGGCAGCCGACGTACCCAGCCTTGGCCCTGGTTTCAAACGGACGGTGGGATAGGTACACTGCTTTGCACTTTGACGGCAAAGCGAGCATGAGGGAATCTGACGGTCACTGTCGTGAAGGATGGGACGTCAGCAGCGCACGCCTTATGATTTAGCCAGAGAGTCGGCGGGCGGCCAACCATTTTGATTTTTTCCTGGACACGCACGCACATTAGCTATATGATCGGTGAAGACAACAAGGTGCAGAGACGATGCCAGTGGGTTGCAAGGTGAAGACAACAACCACAACCGCATGACAAGGGTGCGTGGTGCGTGCTGTCTTGTATGCGCCTGAACACAAATCTCTTCTCTTCCACCCACCTTTTGCATCGTTCGCACGCCAAATTCGCCTTTGCGAGGCCACCGTCTTTGGGCTCCACGGCAGCCATGGCTGAAATTGAGGGCGACAGACACTTGGAGGGAGCTGGAGCTGGAGCTGTGCTGGATCACGCGCCGTGAGTTCTGAATTGGTCCGGGGCATGGAGAGAAGAGAAGCGAAGCGAAGAAAGGTGGAAAGTTGAGGAGAAGTGGGTTGGGTTGGGTTGGACTGGGTTCGACTGGGGGAAAATGATTCGGATTCGGGGCCAAGTCTGGGGCAGAGGCTGATGCGGATTTCTGGGCAGCGCCGGGATAAGGGGACTGCGGCAACGCCGGGGAGCTGTTGTGTAGGTACTCGGGACATACAGAGGGGACCGGGTAGGCACCTATTCCGTACTAAGGTACTCCGTAGGTTGGCAGAGTTAGGGATGGGGACAAGCCTAAGGAGCCTAAGGCGCCTAAGGGAAGCCTCCTAAGGCCCCTAAGACCCCTAAGACCCCTAAGACCCCTGTTCCCCCCCTCGCCCGCCTATTACCTTCTCCGTAGCTCCTCATTATGATGCAAGTTGGGGACCCCAGAACGCCGGGTCGCCGGACCGAGACACGTGAAAACTCGAGAGTCATGTGGTCTGCTGCCTGAGCTGTCGCCTTAGGAGCCCGTGACCGCCCATATAGGCAATATAGCCGAGTCGCGAATGATAGCACGCATCTCCCCATACTAGGCATACGCATTTTAGGGTTATGGTTAGGGCTACGGATATGCATACTCTGCTCAACAATCAACATCCCTTCACGCTTCACACCTTTCACCTTTACTTTGCCAGACCAAAATCTGCCACATCCTCCATCTCCACGCCATGAGCGTTTCGGACCACATATTTCACGTGATCAATCGTGCTTGTGGCAAGATATGGGGTTTCATCCTTGCCCAAGACCTTGTCAAACTGTTGGAGGAAGCCTTCGGGGGTTTCTGATTTGACCCCGGGAAATGTGGCAAACGTCTCCCGAGCAGCTCTGAAAGCACTCGATGAGAAGAGTTCGCCTGACACGGGACACTCTTCCGAGGCCAAAGCGATGACAAACGGCACGACGCCCTAGATCCCCATTGCCACCAGGTCAGCCCATACCACGCTGTACATGCGCGACATGATTGCATGTCCATGTGCATTTGCATAGGTGAGACCTGACTTACCTCTGGTTGGAAATAGGTGCGAGTGACCTTCTTTGACCCTTCGGACATGTCTGCCATTCTCGAAGCCGCCGACGGCATGACGCCGTTGAGTTTGATCCCGTCCCGCTCCGACCACCTCCCAAGCTCTCGGGTGATGGCAAAGATGGCCCCTTTGGAGGCACTGTAGGCACAATCTCCGCCGGCGCCGAAGCCATAGATGGCATTGGAAGAGGTGTTGATAATACGGCCATACTTCTGTTTCGCCATCAACGAATACACTGCACTGGTCATGAGCGTGGTTCCGAGCACGGAAATCTCCAACACCCTCATAAAGGTGTCCTTGTCGACGTTGTCATGGGGCGAGATCTTGCCGGGAATCCCAGCGTTGTTGATGAGGATGTGCACGGTGCCAAACTCCCTGACCGCGGTGGCGACAATTTCCTTGACCTGATCGGCCACCGAGACGTCGTGGGGATCGGCCACGGCAATGCCCCCAGCCGCCTTGATCTCTTCGACCACCGCCTCTGCCCGAGCACTGGTGCCCACCTGGCCGTCGAGAGTACCGCCGTAGTCGTTGACCACCACTTTGGCGCCTCGTTTCGCCAGCGCTAAGGCGTACAGTCTGCCTAGACCGCCGCCGGCGCCGGTGACGATGGCAACTTTCCCGTCAACCGACATGATTGTGTGCGATTGATGGGGGAGTGTGTTATGACTTAAATTGAATCGGATCCGAGGTGCGAGGGGAGAGGTGAGGGGTGAGAGAGGAGAGGTGTGACTCCTCGAGACGTGCTTTAAAGGTGTTCAGAAGAAATGTCTCTGGAGTATGGAGTATGGAGTACGGAGTACGGATTGTAGTAAGGCTTTGGCTTTGCAGTCTGCACTACTCCGTACATACTCTCCGTTCCGTTGGAGGACGGGGCAGTGATTACGGGTTACACTGTTGCTACAGCCTACAGAGAGAGCCTGCCGAACCGAAAGGCCGCAGTGATTTCGGTAAGCCAAGTTATACCGAATTTACAGTGCCTCAGGCCTGTGACAGTACTGTACCAGGTAGTACCAGCAAGGACGTACCTAGGTCCTACATACGTACCTATAGGCTGCCCAGTATAGATAGCCAGCTCCGTACGACCTAACTGCCTTGCCTACTTTCGGTACCTACCTAGGTACCTAGGTGCCTACTACCTACTCTCTACCGGAGCTGCGGGATCCGCACCGCACTACTCCGTATAAATCCCCGCCCTCGATCCTCCACCCTGCATCCTGCACCCTCCATCCTCCATCCTCCATCCCCATTCCTGTCACTACTGTCACTGATCCCTGTTGGCTGTTGGGTCTGCCTGATCGTCGTCTGGGGAAAATCCCTGCGCTGCAGCTGCTGCGGAAGAAATTCCACCGCAGGCGGAGAGACTTGCAATCGACCAGCCTATCGGATCATATATGGGCCTAATTCTGATTCGTCCCCGGCCTCAATGCTGGCCACTCACAGGGGGGACAGTCAGCGGTGCGGGGGACGCAGGCAAAACACCTCCCCAGATGTGACCAGAATTGAGATGGCGGTCGCCATCAGGGATTCAGCTGCCCACGAGCTGGGGAGCCATGACGCGATGTCCAACGTGTGGGACAAATCAGGAACGTGCCTGTGTGGCTGACCTTGCCAGGCGGATGAATTCAGCAGGAGACTGGAGACAGGGGACTGGAGACTGGGGACTGGAGACTGGAGACTGGAGACACGAGACATAGGGGAGCAGATTGCAGACTACCACAGACGACGGATGCTGTACGGTACAGACAAACTATCTAATATCTCCATCGCCTCTACTCTGTATATCTCCAGCACGCAATCTCGCTGGAAGAGACCTCGGTGAAAGTGAAAGTGAAGTGGTCGCCATCTTCTGCTTCTGCTTCTGCTTCTGCGCCTGCGTGTTGTTATCCTTGCACCTCACAGCACAGCACATCTTACTGTAATAGTATCCCGTCTGCCTGTTGACGACCTAACCCATCCACCTCCATCCTCCCTCCACCATGCCGTCCCTTCTTGCTATCTGGTTCGCCGTGACCGTGGTCCTCGCCTACCCAGTCTACCGACTGCTTCAGGTTGGCCGTCGCCATCCGCGCATGCCACCGGGCCCGCCAACGGTTCCGATTTTGGGGAATGCACTTCAAATCCCAACCACTGGACTAGGCAAAAAGTATTGTCTCCCTGCCCTTACCTCGCCTGCCTTGACAGGGTTCCTCCTGGGTCTACCATCCAAACGCCGTTGACGCTGGACGCTGGGCGATAAGCTGACTTGTGACCAGGTTCAAAGAATGGGCCGACATCTACGGCCCCATCTTCTCCCTCAAGGTCGGCCCTACCAACATCGTCGTGCTCTGCGACCGAAGAGCCATCAACAACCTCTTGGACAAAAAGGGCAGCATCTACTCTGACCGGCCGTTCAACTACGTGTCCAACTACGTGACCCATGGTGACCATCTGACCCTGGAGCCACAAGGTCCGTCATGGAGGGAGAAGCGCACGGTGGTGACGAGGAACCTGAACCCCAAGATATTGGACGAGAAGCATTGGAAAGTCCAAGAGGCAGAGTAAGACACACCACTCGGACGTGAGCACCTGTGCCCTTGGCCTTTTCTCTTCGACATGAATCCTTCTACTTCTGCCCTTGATGAATGCTTGTCAGACTCCAAGTTCCAGCTGACACGTCTTTCCTCTAGAGCCGTCATCTTCATGAACAATGTCCTCCGGGATCCTGACAGGATCTTCCACTACGCCCGTCTGTACACCGTGTCCGTGGCCGGCTCTCTCATCTGGGGACATCGCGCCACCAGTTTGGACTCCTTCTGGTATAAGGACTTTTACGAGTTGATGGACCTGGTAAGATACGGCCATTTTTATTTCCTCTCCACTTCCCTCCGTCCCCTCCAGTGGGGGACGGCCAGATTTGCCTCCCCAACTTCATTCTGTGTATCCTTTATAGAACATGTCTTATAGTCATGTGGTACCGCAAGAACCAAACCCATCTAATTCATGTTCAGTGGCTGGAAACCCAAGAACCTGGCGCCAACCCGCCCATCGACGAGTTTCCCCTCCTCAAATACCTACCGGGCCACTGGAAGAAGCGAGCAGATAAATGCCGGGCAATGATGGACGACATGTGGGACAAGGCTCGAGCTATTGTCGACGAGCGCCGAGCCCGAGGTGACAAACGGGATTCCTTCATCGACGCCAAAATCGACGAAGTGAACGAAAAGGGCACGTCTCTGTCGCCACACGCCTTCAACAATCTGTTCGGCGAGCTGCTCGAGGCCGGGGCCGACACCACCGCCAACCACATCTTGACGCTGATCCTGGCTTTGGCCAAATATCCTCAGTTTCAGGAAAAGGCTCGACGCGAGATTGATGCCGTGTGTGGCACCGAGAGGGCTCCAGTGTTCACCGACTTCGACAAGCTGCCGTATGTGAACTGTATTGTCAAGGAGGGTATGAGATGGCGGCCCACGTAAGTCATGGTTTGGTTTCCTGTCTTCTCTGTTCTTGGACGCTGTTGTGTGCTCCTATCCTTGACTTGATGTGTCTTCTTAGCCTGCCTAAAGCTGCTTGAACGACTTTCCTTTTCCTTATCCTGAAGCGAGAGGCCGAACACTAGAACTGTCACTAATCAATGAATACAGTGCCCCTGCCGGCCTCCCACACATGGTCACACAAGGTCAGTCAACTCCTCTAGTCTCCATCCAATTTCCACGCCCCTACCACCCTTACAGCACCATGATTTCCCCATCCCGAAAGTCATACCTAACTAACGAGTTGTCTTTCATTCTTTCCAGACGATGAATACGAGGGCATGTTAATCCCCAAAGGGTCCATGGTCTTTGTCGGCATCTGGGCGCTCCACCACAGCGAAGGCAATTATGCGAAGCACGACGAGTTCAACCCCGATCGATACTTGGACCATCCGAAGCTGGCCAATGAATACGCCGTGAACCCGGACTATATGAACCGAGATAAGTTTCCTTCTTTCCTTTGGCTTTGGCTTTTTCTTTTTCTTTTCCTTTTCCTTTTCCTTTTCCCGTTGCCCTTTTTCTTTCACCACCTCCCTTCCACCCTTTCCCTTCTCTAGCACTCTCCTCACCCCGGGGGAACCATCAAATCCCGAGCCAAGTTCTTTTTTGTCCGAGTATGAGTATGAGTATGGTGTGGCCAAGTCCTTTTTTGTCCGAGTATGAGTATGAGTATGAGTATGGCCAAGAAAACTAACATGACTCCAGCTCTCCACACCACTACGGATATGGAGCCGGTCGAAGAATGTGTCCGGGCCTGCACCTGGCCGAACGAAACATGTGGCGCATTGCGGCCAAGTTGCTGTGGGCTTTTGACATCTCCGAACCCCTGGACCCGGTCACGGGGGAGGTGGTCCATCTGGACGAGAATGCCTATACCTCGGCCATTCTGCTGTGTCCGTTGCCGTTCAAGATCAAGGCCGTTCCCAGAAGTCCGGCCCATCTGGCGTGTATTGAGCGGGAACTGGCGAGCGCCATGGATTTTATGTCTCAGTGGAACTAGGTTTATATGTATCCTTTAGTCGGGTTTGGCGGTTAGTAGTCTTGGTCAAGTCAGAGTTGACGAGCTAATCAAGCTAAACTATGAACCGAGTCATGGTGACTACGGTGACTGCATTGACTGAAGTGAACTGAACGTGAACGTGGAGCGGAGTGGTTTCCGTTTCCAGTATCTCATTCCACCAAGCTCTCCGCCAGTGTCGGTGTCAGTATATATGCATACATATATATATTCTCTACTAGGAACAATTTCGGCCAGTTCAAGCTCACGCTCAATTAAAGACTACAGTTTAATCTTAGGCTTAGGCTTAGCCTAGTCCAAGTCATTCAGTAGTATTATATACAGTACCCCTAAACCTCTAAATGTCAAGCTTAGGCACTAACTTAGGCATTCCCAGCCTCACTGTTTAACTAGAAAGCTAGTATTAGGTCGGTACAGTCGGTATAGGCACACCTATATAGTTTAGGCTCCCCCCATGCCCGTTTGATAGAGAACAGGGAACAGACACTGACACAGTCGCAACGCAAGTAGTATATTATAGTAGGAGTAGGCCTCATAATCACGGTGACTCACACCTACCTAACTCTGACATATGACATAATCGTAAGTGACCGTCTCACTCTCACTCTCACTCTCACCATACTCATCGCTTCATATACAGTATAAGAGTATACGGTATGCTGCCGGGTGCCGGATGCCGGGTCCCCTACAGTATAATAGTATGGTACGCTACCGGGGTACCAACTCGTCGTTCACGCTCAGCATTTCAAACCGAAACCACCTCGACGTGACTCTCATGGACCTTCTCAATCTGGAAGCGGTCGACGTCGACTGTGTCGATATCCACGGCGACATGGTCGCCGAACTTGGCGGCAACTTCTTCCAGAGTGAGGCCAGCAGTCTACGATGGATGATTAGTGTCGAGCTCGGCCGAGAACAAGAGACAAAACAAAGACGAAACAAAACAAAAAAACACGCCTCACTAACCTCAGGACAATACCAAGCCATAAAAGTGGTCGAGACCAAACACACCGACACCATAACAAAGTAGTAGCGCCAGCCGATCGTGGCAAAGGCCTGGGCGGCCGGGCTGTTGTAGATGATGGTCATGGTAAAGAAGGAAACGAAGCCGATGGTGGCACCTTCGCTACGCAGATGAGTGGGCCAGATTTCCACCAGGTACGTGTAGCCGGGGCATTCGATCAGCAGACCGAAGAGGAAGACGAAGATGAAGTACATGGCGGTGGCGGCGTTCAGACCGGATTTGTTGTTCGTTCCGATATAGTACTTCTGTAGCACGGCCTCAATGATCAGGGCGCCCGTGCATAGATACCCGCCGAGAACTGGCACGAAATTGGCATTAGCATCACCATCATTGGGAATCATCCTCATCAAATGATGGTGTCGATGGTCCTCAAAGAGGTACTCATCATCATCATCATCCATGTCGAGCTAAGACGCACTCACCCATTTGTTTAATTCGGCCCAGACGTTCGATGAGAAGACCGCTGAGCCAGGTTCCAATGGCGCAGACAGTGACCCAGACTACCGAAAGACCTAGCTGCAGGACCCGGTCGAATCCGAGACCGGCGAACAACCTCGGGGCGAGGTTGGCGATGACCACAATGCCGGTGGACTGGCCCATGATCCAGACCACTGAGCCACAGATGGCCCGTTTTCTTAGCGACGGAGACTTCCAGATATGCAAGTAGCCGGTGGGCAGTGCCTGAGATTGAATTGGGTCAGCTTGGGCGGACTCGACGACATTAATGTCAAAAGGACAGGACAGGACATGACAGGGATAGATCTCTCTCTTGTATGTCTTGGTGTGTGTGTACCTTTTCTTCTTCAACCTGGGCTTTGATCTGCACATATTCTGCCCGCGCAATGCGTCCCTCAGGATCTGCTTTTGTCCGGTGCAGCCTCTCCAGAACGGTCCAGGCCTCATCGAATCGCCCATGGTCCTAATCCCCGCGGTTAGCAGACCGACTTTGAACAATGAAGACAGAAAAGCCGCACCATGAGCCACCGGGGGCTTTCGGGAATGAAAAACATGGTGATGGTAAGTAAGATGGAGAGGGCGGTCAGAATGACAAATTGCAGGCGCCATTGATACGATTCATCCACGTAGTGGAATCCCAAGGCAGTCAGGCTGGACAGGATGTACGCCGCCGTGATGGCGACTCCTTGGGCGCTGACCAGAATGCCGCGGGTGTGCGCCGGCGACACCTCGCTCAGATAAACGGGCGTGTTGGTAATGATCATACCGGCGCCGATGCCGTTCAGCACCCGCGCGACCAGGAACATGGCGAGGTGGACACTGCCGGCCTGCAGCGCCGCCGCTACCATGACCAGCAACGCGGCAACCGTGTTACACGGACGTCTGCCGTAGCGGGTAGAAAGGGGGCTCTGCACAATGGCGCCAATGAAGCCTCCGCCGAAAAAGCTGGGGTGCATCCGTCAGTCAGAGAGAGGGCTAGCTGGCTTCTTGGAGGACTGTAGACTCACGCCCCAAGCATACCGCCAATGCGCGAGTTGGCGTTGGTGGTTAGGAAGTAGGCCAGGAAGGAATCTTGGGCCAGCGTTCCGGAGATGACATTGTTGGAAAAGCCAAAGGTGAAACTGGCCATGGCGGCTGCGACCACGGTGAGGATGTTGATCCAGCTGGTATGCTGCTCCAACGTCACATGTCTGTGCTCGCCCTGCTGTTGCTGCTGCTGGGCCTCCGGCTGGGCCTCTGACCGTGTCTTGGGATCCATGGAAGCGAGACTAGAGGGTGGAATGGGCTGGGATTTGGACTTGGAATCGAGACAAACCACAAATTACCTCGCTCAGGGTGGAGGAAGATCAGAAATGCTTGCGTCGCCATCCAGTGCAGGGGATACAGTACTTATACCTCCCAGGAGATAACTGCCATCTATCTCTCTGTCTCCTCGGGCGAATTTGGGCATTGCCCTATCAAAGGGCGCCCCCGGACCAAATTCGCTTCATCATTCTGGATGCACGACCAAACCCAATTCAAGTTGGTGCTGACTTGTGAAGTCTCCCGGACTACGGGGGATGGCGGGGGATGGGCTCCAATAGCCCACTGCCCCAGGCCGGGGAGAAGGGGCTTAGGAGGCTAAGGGGCCGAGGCGTGGATCCCAATCTGGAGTAGATGTTCTGGGGCTTAGAGGCTCAGGCTTCCGATCCCGGGGCCCTGAGTTCGTTGGGTTCCGGTTCCGGTTCCGCACACGTGTCTGACATCCGTTTTCCTTCCTACTTTCTGGGTCTCCTCGCGTGGTACTCCGGATGGAGGACTGTGGACTGTGGACACAAACCGCTTTGATGGAAGTCGATATATGTCTGTCCTCGTGGCCCGCGCGTTCGCCTCGGCGTTGACCATGGTGTGGCACTTCTCTTGGGCGGGGGTGACAGACAAAGGACCGCAGCCAGAACAGGACCGTTGGCTGGAGTTGTGCGGGGTTGATCTGGCACGCTCTAGATCGTCATTTGATGCTGTCAGCCATGCTCTGACTCCAGCCTGGTCTTGTTCGTGGTCGTGGTCGTGGTCGTGGCCATAGTCATGGTCGCGCTTCAAAGACCTGTAGAACGCATGCTTCTCCAGTACTGTCGACACCTACTACTGCAGTCACTGGCATCTGCATCCGCCTCACAATTGGGCTTGGGCCACTTTTCCCAACGTGTTCAGCCAGCCAATATCAATGCACTTTCGATCCTCTCTCGCTGGTCGCTACTTGGACGTACATGTCATGTGCTGGAGGGCTGGCCCCCTTTTCTTAGGCGTGTTTGACTCTTGCTTAATTTGGTAGACGCTTCGCTTCGGAGCATTTATATTGACTTCATCCTAGTGTGAACTGGGGTAGTGTCACACTTAGCTCCGGGGTGATTCTGGCCACTTAAACGACATTCCGCATCAAAATGAGTCGACACCCTCGACACCCTGGGAACAAAAAGCCGCCGAGAAGATAACGGTACTTTGTCCACTCTGAGTGAGGAGTTCGTATAGCAATTGGATCGATTGTGCCCTGGAGGTTGTGACATCGGTCATGAGGACGTTGTCAGTGTACTTCAACTCTAATCCAATGCCAACTCCAGGTCTGGCCATCTTCTCACCCTGGTCAATTTTACCCCAAGAGCCTGGTCTCCGAATCAACAGCCCGGGAAAGTTTTTGTACAGTTGCCATATGGCCAAGCCGCCGGAATTTCGGGCCTTTTCGATGACCATGACCACCAGCCTGGTCCTGTAACGTGGAGGACCTCGGTCGAACACGCTCGCTCGTCCCTCAGCCAGAACCGAGGTAAGTGAAGTGAAGATGCGCATCCTAGAACACGTTTCAACGTGGAGAGGCCGGCCCGCTGCCGTGTGGTGCTTGTCGAGGTTGACCCAGCCCTTTGGTTCGGATGCTATTGACCTCGTCCTCCTTGTTCCTCCTCATCGCCGTCACTCTCTTGCTTCATCTCCTCGTCGAACACCCTTTGTTGGGGCCGTAGATGTATCGGCTTCCTAGTACTAGAAGATGACAATATCAATGTCAATGGCCATGGCCATGGCAACGGCAACGGCAACGGCAACGGCATGCAGGAATGGGGAGTAGGTGGGTGCGAGGATTGAAAGTCTTACCAGGCTGACCCTCTCCCATCTCCATCATAGACCAGGTTGAGATGTACAGGCGCAGGCGCAGGCGGAGGCAGAGGACAGAAGATAGAATGAGTGAGAATCTTGATCTTCTCCGAGTCAGACATGGTTGCTGCCTCCTCTATAGGTCATGAGAAACTGTGTCCGCTGCACCACCGTGGTCCCTGTTGCAGGCACCACAGAGAACCTTCCGTACACAGCCTTGACGGGTACCTGAGGTGCCTTGTACGGATACATAGGCACCATTAGGTAGGTAGGTACGAAGTATTCCATACTCTGTTCACATTAGTATGACGCTTGTCCTGACTAGCATAAAGCAGCTGCCAAGAGCGGGACCTAAGCTACTAGCTCAGTTGTTCCTGGCTAATTCAAGTGCGTCGTACTCCGTACTACTCTGGAGTGCTGTAGAGCCTTGTCATACCATTTCTTCATGCATTTCTGCTTATTGACACAGGCACTCGTCAGGGTTACCAGGTCATGTTCGTTCTAGGCAGGGGTCCCACCAAACAGCGGTGCAAACACACTGGCCTCAAACCACGTCCTATCTTTCGCCCATGCCTTCAGAATGACATCTGTGGCGAGCTGCACTATACCCGCGATCTGCTCTGGGGTTCCTTTTAAGGGCAACTTTGGGTGGCGTCTATTATACCAGCCGAGCAACCACACACCCACATGAATGGCAGTCCGAAAGGCCAGCTCGTCACTCAATCCGCCGTAGCCATCGACAAGGCCACGGACTATCCACACAGCACTGTCGACCTGACGGAAGTGCTTCTGCTCATAGAGATCGCCGATCATTTGGCCCAGATCATATGCCCAATGACCGACCTGGGCGAGCTCCCAGTCGATGATGACGAGCTTTGGTGCTTCGGGGTTGTTTGTTTGCAACGATGGCACGTCCGATACCAGCACACTGATTTGAACACTCGTCAGGACTCAATCGGGATGAGAGGCGAAAATGCAAGTGAAATAGAAGAGAGGCGGATTTCCCTCGGTGGGTGGAAGGGGAGAATGACGATAATGATGAGACTTCAAGGTTTTACTTGGGACCTGAGACTTACTTGCACGCCGCGAAGTCTCCGTGGATGACGCCCCAGTACTCTCCGCCATCATCTGTCGCTGGTTTGTTGAACTCCCTGGCCGCCGTCTCCCTGACTTCTTCCAATGGCTTCCTGATCCCTTCCAGAGTCTCTGGGAAGTTCTCGAGTATGTTGATGAAGCTATCATAGGACGCGAGACGCTTTAGCTTTCGCATCGGCTCATTTTGCCCCAATTCTCGGCGAAGGGCGGATTGCGCTGGCGCCGAGGCCCAAAGGTGGAAGGACCGAAGCCAGACTCCGATGTCGTGACCAATGCACGTCGCCACTGTCGGTGTCAAGATGGCTTCGGTGGTGGGTGAGGGTGAAGGTGGGACGAGAATCGATTTCAGATCCACCGCATCGGGGAAATCTTCTATGACCTGGATGTTTGCCCTCGGGTTGAACAGGTAGTGATGCGGGACCTTCAAGTTTGAGGACGGTGACGGGAAGCTATTGAGTGCGTGGTGCATGGATTGTTCAAAGATCTGGCCAACCAACAGTCGTGATATCTGTCAGTTATTGCTTCATGCACGGGCGAACGTCCGTCAGGAAGGCGAGGAGACACGGAACCCTGCCGGTGCCAGGACAGGACAAGGACTGGGGAGATAATCACACAACGCGACACGGCAAGCGGGAAGTTCTTGTTGCCTCGTATATGATCCCTGGAATGCTTGACTATGATGGTCTTGCCAGTGGTCGGGTCCGGTTGCGGTTCCGGTTCGGATCGTGAGGGCAACGGCAACGGCAACGGGTGAGCGAGGATGCCGCGGAAGACAAAATTGGTCGAGCCGCCGCTCAGCTGCGTCAGCGACGAGGCAGCATACGGAGTGGTCGACAACTCTTGCAGGATTGCATCCACGAGCTCGTCTTGGTCGGCCTGCGTGGGCGATACCATCCTGTTGTTATATCTATGGGCGGATGGGAGCCGGCTGGCGTTGATGTAGATAGTAGATATTACTGAATGTCCCGTCCCGTAGACGAGCGGCTCTCCTTTTTAGAGTCGATTTGGAGTGTGACTCAGAGACCTAGATCCATTCATCTCAGCCTCGTCCATCAGCTGATTTGACCAATCATGATCTGCAGGGCGGTGGATTCACGTTGAGCCGTGTCCAGTAATTGGATTTGGATTGCGCCATTCGGAGGTTTCCTCGTACCATACATAACATCACGTCCTGTCCACCTCGGGGCTACTGTAGTATCTGACCCCAGGGCAAGGCTGGCGGCTAAGGAAAGACGAGAGATGCTAAGAGGATAAGATATATCAACGCATCCGCGCCCACAGGTGTGACCAAATGGAGAATATTCGACCACTACGAAAGGTTCGATCCTCTTTGGAACTCGCGGGCAATGCCTCCAGTCCAGATGCGGTACAGGACTGCACTGGCAATGGCGGCTTTCTGGCCGAGTTGCAATCTTCACGGGCATAGCTACATACTAGTAGCATTGGAGCTATTTATCGACAATTGTCAACCCCGACAAGGGCGGCCAGTCAGACTGGAAGGCCCATCCTCCGATGAAGAGAATATGGGAGTCCACTGGTGGCATTCTTAGTGTTGTGTGCTCACTCCGCCACCAGGAGCTTCATCAACAGATTGGTCCTGCGGCCAGGACATGTATTCGGGAACGCATGGTAGTTGTGTTTGTCGAAAGAAGGGTCTGGGGTCAGGGGTCAGGTCGATGACTGGGGTTGCCTCCATGTACGCAAAAGCACGAAAATCCATTGACGTGCTTTGGACCAACTCTTCTAAAGACGGGCCTCGCTAAGGCCTGGGCCGTCCACGTCTGTTGCCGATTTCGCATCGTGCCATGTTTGCTGTTCCAGTAAACAAGATGTGGGAACCTTGGACCTATCCGTGCACCTTGATGGCACTGAGCTGGGAAGTTGGTGGTGCTGTATCCCTGCCAGGCTGACAGTGTTCACTTCCCAAAACTACCACTTCTGCGGCGCCGAAACTACCGTTCGGGAAAAGGATGCACTTGCCTGCTCCAGCTTCCTTTGCCGTTCTCGTGCAACTAGTCCTGTACGGTCTGTCACCGGCGTGGCATTGGCGATCTGATCAAAGTCGTCGTAGTCTTCTTCGCCGGAGCCCGACTCGGCGTCAGAGTCTACGAGCGGTGGTTCCGTGGTCAGCGTCGTTGTCCACTTGTCTCCGGGTTGCCGAGTCTCCTTCGTGCTTGCTTCCGTCGAGGTCGAAATGGTTTCACTGAAGGGCTTGGATGCAAGGATTTTCCGCCTAATCTCGGCCATTTCCGCCTCCTCGTCCTCATCATCTTCGTCTGGCGGTAGATCAAGCGGCACGCCCTGCTGCAGCGGAAGGTTGTCGCCCTCGTTGCTCGAATTTTCGTCATCGTCATCGTCTTCGTCGCCTTCTTCGTCTTCGTCCGAGTCCGAGTCCAGGACCTCTCGCCGGTTCGTGTTTCCTCCTGCCCAGACGTCGTCTCCACTGGGGTTGAGACGACTGTCTGAATACTCCTTCTCCAACTTGGCGAGCCATGTCTCCTCGGCCTTCTTGATCTCCTCTTCATCTCGACACGCCGCATAGCGTTTGAAGAGCTGGGAATTGATCTCCAGAAACGGCTTGCCGTACGTGAAGTGCTGGAGAGCTATCTCTGCCCAGTCGAGGTGACCGCAGATGGCGAAGCACGCGGCAAGGGCTTCGACACAGTTGAGCCGCCAGGGTTTACCGTAGTTGACTGGATTCGCGGCGACAAGGTAAGGCAGAAGTCGTTCACATTTCCCGCCAATGCGTGACCAGGGAATCTCCTCCACTCGGACCCAGGAACATTCCACCACTGCCGCGCCATACTGTTCCAGCAACTCACGATCGGCAGGCGAGACAACTCGCTTTGCATTCGGGCTACATGACCTGTCAACCTTGGCCCGGCGTGAGAGCCGTCTTCAACACAACTTACGAGATAACGACGCCGGGATACTTTTGGCCAATGGGCAGCTCTCGCATCATACCAAAATGCATGAGCCGCTTCCCGCTGCAGCGTTTCGCGTCGCAATGACCAAAATCCCAGCATGCCGCTTTGAAGGGTGGCCGTTCAGGCGCGCTGCCATCCTCGCCACCTTCTCGTGAGGCTCGCGGGGTGTGCCGGGGTTTGGTGGAGAATTTCTTGGCCTTGGAAGAGGCGCCGTCTTTCTTGTGGCGCACCATGTTGGGATGTTAGATGTGGGATGTGTCTGATGTGAGTGAGTCTAGATGGGTTGAAAGAGAGACGTGACAGTATGTGAATAGTGCCCGCACTGGCATGCGATGACCTCCCGCAGTTTTTCGGTGCCGCCGATAAGAGCCCGCCAAGTTTCTTATCTTCACGTGATGCTCTGAAATTCTCCCCATGTCCCTGCGTTGAATTCAAACAACATTCAGTATAGAACGCGACTGTGGGGTACGCCCGATCCGAGATCTAGGAGTGTATTTCTGATATTAGCGATGGGCCTCGCTGTCCTTCCGCCAGACTTCGAGGAGGAAGTGGTGCACCCCGTCAGTCGCAAATATGACGACTACCAGGACGACAGCGACACGTCGATGGACGATGCGAACGGCCGCCCTTCGAAGCGGTTTCGATTAAGCCAGCCCGCGGCAAGTCAGATAGTGCTCCCTGGGGAGACGATCACAGACGACACTCAGTGGATGAGGTAGGTACGGACAGTGACATTTTGATACAATGTTACATGGGGCTGACCGCAACACAGAGGGCACGGAACCTATATGACCGACTCATCAACCACTATCATTGCCACGCTCGCAGGTATCCTGAAGACCACCAACAAGCTATTGTCCGTTGCCCCTTTGCGAGCAAGATACACTCCTGAGATAGGAGATTTGGTGGTTGGGCGGATCGTGGAGGTACAAAAGAATCGATGGAAGGTGGATGTTGCCGCCCCGCTACTGGCGCAGTTGCCTCTCTCGTCCATCAATCTTCCAGGAGGTGTTCTGAGGCGGCGGACCACGGCAGATGAACTTCAAATGCGAAATTATTTCCAGGAGGGCGATCTGGTTGTCGCCGAAGTCCAACAGGTTGGAAGCAGCGATAACACCGCCAGCTTGCATACCAGAAGTCTGAAGTACGGCAAGCTACGCAATGGGACCTTCCTGGCGGTGTCTGGGACTGGCGGTGGAGGTGGCGTGGTCCGCAGTCGGAGACAGGTGTTCACGATCAACAGCGGAGCCCAGAGTGGCGGAGACGTCGACGTCATCCTCGGGGTCAATGGATACATCTGGCTGAGCAAGCATGTACAGCAGGCGGACGACCAGGGAAGAATGAGCGGAGGGGTCAGCATATCGAATCTCGACGATGTGGTCAGCACTGCCATCTACTCGAGCCAGAACGACGACATAGGAGAGGGAACGAGACGAGAGATTGCCCGGATCTCCGAGTGTATCAAGATCCTGGCGGAGGATGGGGTGAGAGTGGACGAGGACACTGTCATCAAAGCTTATGAGGCTGCTGTTGACGCCGAGATGAGTGTTGCAGATCAGGCTGGAACCGGTACCAGGGTCAGTGAAGAAGTGCGAAGACGAATCGTCGACGCTGCAATCCATTGATCACCTTCGAGATTGAATTCGGAGTGATTGCCAACGACATCTGCACAAAATGCGCGAACCATGCGTGCATGAATAGGAATATTTGCAATGGTCTACAGCCAATTTACCTCGCACCAACGGATAGGGACTGGTCAGGTCTAGCATCCCAACAAAAGGCAACGAAAAGCAACCATGCCGTGGACCTTTGACCTTACAGTCATGAGAAAATCCAAACAGAAACTATTTGATCACACAGTCCGAGCTAATCATCGTACCAGCCACTGGTTTCTACGTACCTCTTTTCCGGGTCGACTCTGGCATCCTTCGGCTTTTTCCTGCATCGCTTGTCCTTCTTGATTTTGGCTTCGACATGAGCCTTACGCACAGTGCCCTTGGCCAGCCAATATCCCTCGTACTTGTGTTTTCGTGTTGTTCCCGGCAAAGTCAGCACGACGGTTGGAGCTACGTACCTTCTGCTGATCCCAGCGAGCAGCGGATCGGCAACGGTTCTAGGACGGCGACTGTGGGGCTGTGAGGTGTCCATTGATGGTGAATGCAAGCCTAAGTTGGTACGATGCAGAGATTCAGAGCGAGCAGGTGCTGGCCAATCCACTGAATAATGCGAAGAAGAGACTGGCGACCATTCATCCTGGCCGCGTGACCTGATGAAAGCAGCAAGTTGATCAGTGGTTTTCACATGCAGGGGTAAACCTTGGTCTCGGACAAGCTGAGGATCCAGCATTCCTGTCCCGTTATCATACTCAAAACTGGCTGGAGATGCTGCGGCACTCCGATCTGGTAGAAAGTGAGGCGGTGGAGGAGGTGGTGGCGGAGGCGGAGGCGGTAGAGGCATTCCTTTGGCAGATGCAGCTCTTGACGAGGTATGGCTGACGGCTTTCGAGTGTCTCTCGGATTTCCTGGCGGTCGAGAGTTCGGCGAATCTAAATGGCATTCCCACACGCAGTGATATCCGGGACCTACTCTGATGGTGATGTGTTTGCTATGAGCTTATTGATTGTGGCAGGATGAGTGGATGAGATTCAAGCCAAGCAGATCAAGCAGAGAGGGTATGAAGGAGCAAAAAGCAAAAGCATCGCGTGGTCTATTCTTTCTCCTTTCCGCAACAATGCCGCCTTTGTGTTCCTTCTCCAGGAATAGCGTGGTGAAAGAAGATAGGAGGCGATCGGGTAGGATTTCTACGGAGTACTCCATACGGATACAATGAATCGCTTTCTTTGTACCTTTGTGCCCTTGGTGGCTGATCGGGGACAAGCTTGCGCCAGTCAGACCTACGGAGTACAATATAGTAAATATAGAGAGAGCATGTGATGCTAATCTTTTCTAGCCACGCTAAACTGGCGAGAGACTATCTGCGAAACCTCTGTATTTCACGTCTGCGCTGACTAACTGACTGATGGGTGAGCTCGATGCCAAGACGGCAAGAGGGATCTTCCGCGACAAGCCTTGAAACCTTAACGAGCCAATTCCGACGACTCACTGGCTGGCATCTCGCCCAATCTTCCCCGACAGCAGCACCAGCACCTTATCGCCAGCCACCACCATCACATAAACGCATTGCATTGATGAGGTTCCAGGTCGGCTTTGCAGCATCAACAGCTATCCGCATCCGTACAGGACTATCCGGAGATTCTAGCTGCTTAGCCAACTTGAAAGCCGGCGATGTCACATTCCGATGCAGGCAGGGTTCTTCCTGGCCACCCCACCGACCAACCTCTTCAGCGCGGTTGTTGGCTGCATATGCACTATGCCCGCGCCTCATTCTGTGAGCAATCAGTCCACGACAACCTAGGAAGCGGCTTATCGGCCACATCAATCTCTGCCCCTCCGTCCAACCAGGACATGATCCTGACTCCGTTCTTTGCTTGTGTTTAGAGGCGCGCTTCGGTTGGACCCTGCTCCATTGCGTCTCTAGCGAGCTACGGAGCTGCGCATCACCTTCAGTGCCCATGGATTCTCCATGATGTGCTGTCGGGGTTGTTCAAATCTGGTAAGGCAATCGTAGCGGCGCGAGCCAAAAGTGCCTCTACTCCATACTCCATTCTCATACGCTCCGAGTCCAGATGATCGACACAAGAGCATGACCCATCTTAGCCCCAGAAGTTGTCCGAACGGCCGGACACGGTAGATGATGGGAGGAACCATCCAACTTCTGTACGTACGACAATCCCGTCTGTGCGTTCTCTCCAGCGGGAGAGGAACGGCTGGCATGGTGGACATTCTGTTATCTTGCCTCTCACTTGTCATCATGCTGCAGCCACTATCAGAAACCCTTGTACGGATGATTCGTTCGCAGGACCTCAGGGCGACAAGCTAGTGCACAGGTCACAATGTACTCCGTACTGCGCTTGTCGAAGGTTTCCTTTCTCCCGCCCCCTTCTAGGTTTACCGAAGGCTATCGGAAGCAACTTGTGGCGTCGCGCCGTGCGTTGCACTACTGGGAGTGTTTAGGTCAGCTGCACCACAATCCCAAGTCCTGGTCTGCATGGATTGAGACGGGACAATCTAAGGAGTGTTGCGGTCCAGCTGGAGATACCGTGCCATGCGGTAAACTTCTTCGATGGACATGCGTATTGCTTGGACCTCAGCCGCAACGGCAATGCAGGTACAACAATAGACTGTTCGCCCACGGATCGATCGGCCTCCAGACGTAGACATCTTGTCACATCCCTCCACGATAACATGGAGCCTGAAGAGCCGCTGGGGGTGATTTCTCCCAACAATGAGTCTGGTCTGATTCTCATTCTTACTGCGTTGAGTCTATCTTTTGTCCTCGTCTCGTTCGCCATACGACTGTACGTTCGGCTGCCTCCAAGGCTGTGGAAATCGGACGACAACATCTTGACAGCTGCAACCGTAAGTAATAGAATGAGGAAGGTGTTCTGAGGATGAATCTGATAGTATTCAAGGCGCTCTCTTGCGTGCAGACCTCTCTTGTGTTTTACGAAGTGCACCTGGGCCTGGGAAACCGCAAAGTCATCGAGAACAATGACGAAGCCAGCAATCGGATCAAGAAGGTACTTTCCATCCCTCGCATGAGGTGGTGCAATGTGCAATGCCCTCGAGATGCTAACAGGTCCAAAGTACTATTTCGCGAATGATTTCCTCTACCTCGTGGTCCTCTTCTTCTCCAAGGCGGCGGTGGGCTCGCTCTTTTTGCGATTGACCCGCCAACGAGGGCATGTCAGGTGGATCTGGTCGATTCTGGGTCTCTGTGCCGCATGGATTGTGCTGTCCGTCCTCCTGATCAGCATCGGTTGCTCTTGGGAGAAAACATTCACCGTACCAGTGAGTCTTCGTATCCTACTTCGAGCCCCAGATTGGTAGCGAGATGAGGGAGACTAATCATTTCAATAGTTTGGCCGATGGCTTGCGGTGGGCATTACGGACTCGCTCACCGAGCTTGCGTTTGTCGTGATGGCCGGATTCCTGGTGAAGGGCCTTCGCATGAGTAAGGTTCAAAAGGGAACCGTCGTATTTGCCTTTGGCCTTCGTCTGCTGTAAGTCACCCACCCACCATTCCCATTTGTATGGGATGCGGTACGGAGTCCATGAACCAACCAGGACCATTCCTAACAACCGCCCACTTTGTAGGGCCGTCCCTGCTCTCGCTATTCGTCTTTACTATCTCAACCCGTCGACTTTGGCCGACAACCACAGCCTCGCGCTCTCTCTCGCCGTCGTCTGTACGCAGGTGCAGCTGGGTTACGGAGTCATGGCGGCGTCGGTCACCGTGTTGAAACCGTTCATGGTGGTGTACGAGAAACCGCCAGGCTCGACCGACTACCTGACGGGACGCAACAAGACGTACGGCAACGCGACGAACGACAGCGAGCATGTTTCCTTCAAGATGAAGCCTGTGGCGCGGTCGACCGAGGTGAGCGAGAAAAGAGCCGTAGGCGGAGCCACCACAACCGATCCGACGCAGCCATACGCCGCATACCATGCTACGGCAGCGGCGTCGGGCCGGGAGAAGGACCATGACAGCATCCACAGCCACGACAGCCGGCGCTTGATCATCGAGCGCAAGACCGACTGGTCTGTAAGATACGAAGAGGCCGAGAGCCAGAAGAGCGCCACGAGCGAGACTGGGGAATCTGTGTGAGGAGGGCCGACAATGAGGAGCGAGTTGAGTTGGATGACGGACGACGGACGACAGACGACCTCGGTAGATATATGGGCGGATGCGACAGGTCTTTGCGTTCGGTCTCAGAGTCACACCATCGAGCCCATGTTCCCAGGAAGTTATGCAATCTACTGCGTGTATAGGCTTGCCAGGATGTCGGAGTTGGGACTGGAATTAGGATTAGGAATGTGATGGGGGATGGTGCCTAGTCTTACGCTCTACTATCTATTATCTACTGTCTACTGTCTATCTAGCTGTCTTGCTGTCTAGCTGTCTATGTACAGTGCCAGGTGTGCTTACTAATCTACTCTCGACTGCATGGGTCCTGCTATACCGCCATATATAAAGTATAAACTACGAACGACGAACGACGAACGACGAACTATAAACGACGAACTATAAACGACGAACAACGAACGATGAACGATGAATAATGAATGATAAACGATGAACTACGAACCACGAGCCACGAACTACATATATACAGTGTATTGACTACCAGTAGTATCCTTCTACCAGTAGTATCCTTCTACCAGTAGTATCCTTCTACCAGTAGTATCCTTCTACCAGTAGTATCATCTTCTGTCCACGCACGCACGTACAAACTATCAACCATGAACCATGAACTACGAACTACGAACTACGAACTACGAGCTACGAACTACGAACTATGACTAGAAGCTACGAGTACGTACTACGAACTACACACAGACAGTGTATTGACTGCCAGTGGTATCATCTTCTGTCCACGTACGCATGTGGATAGATAGATTATCCACGCATAAGCTTTCGCGCAGTAAACCTACTTTAGGGTTGAGTTCGAGTTCGAGTTCGAGTTCGAGGTCGAGCCACTTAAATTAATTAATTAGCTTGGACGCCACAGGATTACAGAGTACGAGTACGGAGTACAGTACAGTAAGTAAGAACCTAGTAAGTAAGAATTAAGAAGTAAGAAGAAAGATGAAACAACGACGGAGACGGGGGAACGGAGACGTACCTACCCTACCCTACCCTACCCTACCCCTTGGGTCTAATTCCATCGAATTAAGCTCAAACTAAAACTAAAACTCAAGCCAGGTGAAACCTAACCTAAACCTTGGACCTGTTCCTGAAAAAGGGGTCGAGGTCGAGGTCAAGGTCAAGGTCGAGGTCAAGGTCAAGGTCGAGGTCAAGGTCAAGGTCGAGGTCAAGGTCAAGGTCGAGGTCAATGTCAATGGCGAACACCTTCATTCTACTCTGTAAGTACAGAGATTCTAAACCCCCCATCTCCCATCCCCCATGAGCCATAAGCTGTGGCAGACCATGTGGCCATTTAGTTGCCCCGTTCGACGGTGACCATTGGTTTCCTTGTCGACAATGACCATTAATTCCACGTCGACAGTGACCATTGATTCCACGTCGACAGTGACCATTGATTCCACGTCGACAGTGACCATTACTTTTTGTCAAAGGTTGAAACGTTCCATGTTCTCTATCAAAGGGTCGCAGGGGGAGCACATGCTATATAGTATAGTATAGCCAAAACCAGCTTCTGGTTAAAGGGCATGGCTGGGAATGCCTAAGTTTGACAGTTTTCACGTTCAATAGTCACGGTTGACCCAACCCGTTACACCACGACGGTCGCCAAAAAGGACGAAGTAACTAATTCACTCGTGAATTAGCCACTTGGTGTATATAACCGTGACATCAACAGTCACCATTAATTCCCCCGTTCGACAGTGGCAACTGGACCCGAGTAAACTTTCCGGCCGCGGACCAAATACAAGGCTCCGCAGATGATCATGGTGCCGAAGAACAAGACAATGGCCCAGTTGAAGGATTCGGCATCGACAGGCGTGTTGTTGGGCCAGAAGCTCCAGAAGAAGGCGAAGATGGAGTAGACGATGCCGAATGCGTTGATGGGCACTCCCCATTTGCCTAAACTCCAGCGTGCCTTGGGTAGAAGCTCCGGGTGGTAGATGCGCCGGTACAGGACACAGGTGATGGAGATGGTGTAGCTGAACATCAAGGCGCAGACTTGCAGCGAAATGATGGCGTTGAAGGCCGTCGAGCTACCTATGTTGATCAGGGCCAGGAGACAGCTGCATATGCAGGTCAAAGTGACCGCGTTGGCCGGGATGTGGAGTTTCGGATGCACCGCCCCGATCCAGCGGGGAAAGGGAAGCCCTTTGTCGCGCGCAAAGGCGAACGTCTGTCGCGACGTCGACGCGTTGAACGAGATGTTGGACGCGATCACAAGAATCAGGATGATGATGGTCAGCGCGTTCACCCCGCCGGTAGACACGGCCTGCCGGAACAACCAGATGAAGGGGTATTCGGTAGGGTCGTTGAGAGCCGCGTCGACGTCCGTCAGCGTGAAATTGTACGTGATGATGAGCACGAACCCGAGGATGCCGTTGGCCACGTAGGCCCAAAACATGGCGTTGGGAACGTTCCGCCCGGCGTCCTTGACCTCCTCGGCCATGTGAGCGGTGCAGTCGGAGCAGAGCGACCCGTAGATGGCCGAGATCTGGCCGACCATCAGGGCGAGGCCCATGCTGGACCATCCGCCCTCGTTGGTGAATTGAGTGAAGGCGACTTTGGCCGAGTTCCGAGGTGCCATTACCCACAGCACAATGATTGTGGCCAAGAAGGCAAAGACGTGCACGACAAGCAGCACATTCTGGATAAGCGGCAGGTCGCGCGCCCCCCATGTGTTGGCCACCCAGAGGACGAGAACCATGGCAAACACCAACAGTGTGCCCTGCCATGCCGTTGGTTCGTAGTCGGGGTTGTTGATCTGAATGAGTGCCTGGATGATGGTGCCAGTCAAGAACGATCCTGATGCTGTACCGGCTTGCCAGGATAAAGTGGACATCCATCCAGTAAGGTAGCTGAGACCCTTTTGATATTGGGGAGGAGCAAATTCCGAAACCCAATGGTATTGACCGCCACTGGTGGGGGACCTATTACATGTCAGCAAGAGACCAGAACATCCGGACACAAACTGTCCAAGCCTACATGGACGCCATTTCCGCGAGAGATGTCATGACAATGCCGAACCCAAAGAAGGTCCAAACGTATGTCCAGAAGAAGCCAGCAATACCACCACAGACCAACACCTGAGTATTTGCGCTGCAAATCGTTAGACATGGACCCCGAGTATATGAAGAGTCGGCGAACCATCACTCACATCAGGAGGAACTCCCAGGTCGCTTGAAGAAGAGCAGTGAATGCCAAAGCAGAGAGAGGACGAAAATTGCGGATCAGCTCTTGACGCTTGCCCAACCGTTGCATGTCCCTCTGATCTTTGGCCGTATATCCTTTGTCGAGGATACCGACATCGTTGTAGTGGCCTTCATCCTCGACGCCATCGAAAGAGGCCAGCTCTCGCGCTGTGAGCGATGATTCTTGAGCCTTTGCAGCATCCATTTTGATGGGGATCTCTGATCACAGATTCGACATTCAATAGGAAACAATGAACAAGGTCAAACTTCCGCAAAGGGGAAGAAGTAGATTGGAGCTGGCAGAAGAAGCTCAGGCATGGACATGGTTTTCGGCTGTGAGAGATTCGCGCTAATAATGGCCAAGTACGACATGCCAGGCCTTGAAGCCAGCGACAACCCCATGTGAACAGGGATCGGTAGCCGCTAAATGTTGGCGACGCCACGATAACAACTTGTCCTTCAGACCTAAGCTAGCTCCGGGGATTTCCTAATGGGGGGGGGGGGGGGGTGGATCGCAGTATCATGCGGAAATGTCGCCTCGAACTTTGGCAGATTTACCTACACTCATAGGTGGTGTGGTGGTCTTTTCAGTACGTACACAGGCCACAGGGTGGGTGGTAGGTGACAGAGACTAGTACCCTGATGGTTTCTTGTCAGATCGAAGCCCTGGCCGGTGTTGTGATCCAATGAGACACCGACAGAAAGGACGAAAGTGAAAGCCGAAGGTGGCGAGGGCGGAGGGCTTATCAGAAGCCACCATTGCCACCTTCTTGTTCGACTCGACGTGTGGAATGGCGGCTATTCTGCCGTAGTCTGCTGTGTGCTGTCAGTGTCTCGTGGAGGCGGGAGAGTGGGAGGAGCAATAGAGGTTTTAGGCTGTTAGAGCTGTACTGTCCGTTACGGGCTTAGTTCACGATTGCCAAGCCTCCAAGTTGACCACTGTCCTACTAAGTGCGGTCAGTGGCTTTGGCGTATTATGATGCTCACGCTCACGGTCTAGAAATTGAGCCTGTGGAATCTGAAGAGACTGCCAACATCGAACATCACCTCTCACCGTCCATTTCCACTACTACAAGGCCATCTCTGCATACCTTGCACACGAACCGCCATGGCGCAAGGCCAGCTCAAGAAACTGGGCAAGCCGACCGCAGCGAAATCCTCGTCTGCAATCACAAAGAAGGGTTCCCGAACCATCACTCCCAAGAAGGCCAAACTGCTCAAGCAGGCCAAGCTCAACAAGAAGCTGACCGCCGGGCTGATTTCCAAGACGGAGGTGATGCTTGGAGAGCGTGCCGGTCACTTGGAGCTGCTGGGACAGGGAAAGAAGAAGGGTGCCGACGGACAGGGAAAGGGAAAGAAAAATGGCAAGCAATCCTGAGCCTCGATCAGAGACCGGAGCCACAGACACATACCCAAGGAAACATGCATGAAAGACGTCGGCGACGCCTTGCTGGCCGATTAGGCAATGTTGAAGCTATATGAGGGACTGGGACTTTCACGATCTCGCTGGACAAGCTTGAGCCTGCTCCACTGTTGCCCTCGTGGCTGTGTGGCAACGAAGAACGCACGACCGATCCCAGGGGCCGGATTGGATTTGCCCTGCGGTGCAATCAATCGCCCACGATGTCAGGCCAATACCCAATTAGCCGCTGGGTCTATTCGACCTTGAGAAGCCCGGAGATCGGACATGGGTAGAGAGACCAGGCTGCGCCAAAAGACTGGACAGACCCAGCACGTATTGCCGGAGTTGACATTCTATCAGTCAACTACGAGACGGGCCTAAAACATCCAACTCCAAAGGACCATAAAACGCCAACTATGGTATATTGAACGCGAACCCATGGCGGAGACAAACAACAGACGGCGCGTAGTCATCATAACGCCCTAGCGGCCTCGCCACCACCGCTTTCCATCATGGCCTCCTGGTTCAAGTCGGCTCTCAATTTGCCCTTCTTCGCACCACCTTCACCAACACCCATTCTCCTTGCCACGTATCTTTGCGCCACCACGCCTACCACTAAACTCAAGCTTTCCTCTACCCATTCGCTAACCCACTCTCTGGGATCAATACCACCACTCGCAATGATTTCCTCGATGCTTTCGGGCAACGTGCCTTCACCACCACTGGGCGCATCGAGCCATTCAATCCATTGCCCGGGAATAGCCTGGGAGATGGCATGGAATGCGATTCCATGGATGGGGTCATGTAGATAGACTGCGAATACAATCTCTTCCTTGTCGATTTCCGCCACTTCCTTCACTTGTCCTTCTTTTTCAGAGCTGGCGGCGGCTGCAAATAGCTCCTTAGAAGCCGGTTGCGAGATTGCTTGGATGGCGAGGAAGATATCGCTGTCTCTGGTAGGATTTGAGTCGGAGAGGGTCTCTGTTGCACGTTTGGCTGCCTCTTCCACTCCACCTCTGCTCGAAAAATACTCGTCGGCGTAGCCTTCCGCTGAAGCTCTTACCAGCTTGCTTCCCTCGACGAGACCGCCGACGGTGTTGATACTACGCCTCTCGCCGCTTTTCCACCAAGGCCCATCGTGCCAGGAATTCAGTGGGCGGGACAACTCCTTGGAGTCGCGCTTCGGCCCAGCCTCGTGACCACGTTGGACGACCATGAGGTCTCCGCCTTCGACCTGTGCCATGACACGACTGAAGACCTGGTAGATGAGCGGGTCGAGAGTAGGGTAGTTGGACAAGTCGTGGGTGATGTGGATTTGTAGGCGCTCATGGGACGAGATTGGCGGCGCGATGGTCTGTAAGATATTCTGAAACGTCGGCATCGCAATGGACCTGAGTTCGCCGCCTGAATCCTCGATCAGAAATTGAAATCAGCCAGCCGGCCCCATGCCTGCATGGCATGGGTCCAAGATCAGTGGGGAAACCCTCTTACCAAAGCCCTTGAGCAATCCCACGTTCCCCCGAACCTGTTCCGCCCATTTTTGTGCCTCCTCATTCTTCTGGATCTCTTTGACGGCCGCTTGGGCCTGGCTTATGGCCGTCGACGCGGTGGACAGGATCCCTCCCCACCATCCCGCGCTTTTGGCCGGGGTCCGCTCGAGCTGCGGTTCGGGGTCTGCTGACTCTTCAGTGGTGGTGGTTGCTGGCGTGAAGCTCTGGTGGAACGAACGGGTGCTGTCGCCAGACTTACGCTGCCCATTGCTGGATGACTTTTCCTCGCTCGTCCGGCCGGGCGGAGGGCTGGCTGTGGACGGGAGGTTGGGCGATCGACTTCGCGACACGGTCGTGGCCGGGTTGGGCTTCAAAGAAGGAGTGCTTGGTCTGCTGGCCGGTCGTTGAGCTAGGTGGCCCAGCTCGGCGAGCAAGTCTTGCTCCGACTGCGACGACTGAGCGGGCTGGCCTTGTCGTGCGGTGCGCGTTGAGGGCTTAGGGGGGCGCGCCGCGGCTTTAGTGCGGAGATCGTCCAGCTGTGCCAGCAGCTCGTCATCCGTCGGGGCTGTCTTTTTGGTAGCCATGGTCATTATTGGGAGGGTTGGCACAAGTCCTTTGCGGGTGAAGGGCAGTTGGAGGTTGGAGGGTTCGAGTCCAGGCTGTTGACGTCGTCGTCTCCTGTATCCTGATCCGACCGCCGGGTTGAATCTGGGGTCCTGACTTGCCAAGGGTTAGCTCGCCACTATCTCACCATTCCTGCCACTAGTCCGTCACTAGCTCGCCACTAACACTTCTAGAATATCTAGGTACCTTGAACACTGTACTCCGTACTCCATCCTCCGTACATTACACTGTCGCCTGGGTGCCCGTAGTGTTGGAAAATAGTGACCACAACATTGTATAGATAGAATGTCTTGTACGGCCAGACCAAATCTATAGTCGACGTCTCCTCCAACCAGACTACGCAGTCGGTAGGGCTGCAATGTGGTAAAGCCCAGTACAACTATGTGCTCCCAAGGCCACTGGTCCTATCTCGACGTCGCCTGTTCTCGGAAACCGAAAGCACGCTGTGACTTCACTGCTCGGCTCGTCTAGTCTCGAGAAATTCCCAGATCGAGATCTGGTCGTGATCTTGAGCCGAGTCAAAGGCAGTCATCCCATGCATATTTCGTAGCTGCAAATTGCACCCGTGAGCTACCAGCAACTTCACAAGGCTCAGATCTCCTCGCGCAATGGCGTGATGAACAACAGTATCCCCGAACACATCGGCAGCGTTGACGTCGGCGCCGCACTTCAGGAAAAATTCGACCTGTTCGGTCCTTCTCTCCCAGACTGCCCAGATCAAATATGTTTTCTGGTACCTGGATATTGGACTCCTGGCTTGGGCAAACTCGAGATTCGGGTCGAACATCTTACCGTAACCAAGCAGAAGTTCACAGATGCTTAAAGTAGCCTTCCAGGTGTCGTGGTCCGTGTAGTCGAACGTTGTCATCGATCGTAGAGCCGTTTCGAAGGCTACATACCCTATCCTTGCGTCCAGGCCCTGCTCCTGTATGTGAGCAACAAGAATCCTCGCCAGCTCGACATTCCCGCTCCTGATACAGTAGTCCCACACCGTACCGCCCGCATGATCTTTCTTCTCGATATCAACTCCTTGCCTTAGCAATTCGTGGACCTTCGAGTTGTCTCGGGACCATGCAGCGTGATGAAGATCAGAAACATCGCCTAGCTTCCCGCGAAGGTTCCGTGGGAGACTGTTTTGATTGGTTTGCAATAGCCCCTTTTCTCGAATGATCTGGATGGCCGATCTACCTTCTTTGTTGACAATATCGAAATCGGCGCCTCTTTGCAACAAAGTGACGATAAGGTCCTCATATCCACCTAGAGCAGCAATGTGCAATGGTGTATTGCCCGTGCCTGATTGTGCGTTGATGTTGGCACCTCGATCTAACAGCAGCACGAGCCTATCAGGGGCACCATCGAACTTGCTCGCATTGAAGACCGCAAAATGCAGACTTGTCATGGGCCACGACTCCGGGAATATAGGCGAATCGCCGGGACAATTGACTTCGGCTCCATAATCCAGCAGCAACCGAGTCAAATCTGTCCACATGCTTGCGGCCAGATGCAAGGGGGGAATTCCGTGCGTTGGATCCGAGTTGTTCGCACTCAGACCGTGGTTGATTGTAAACCGAACTGCGTCAAGCTGATGGCAGATGGTCGCTAATATCAGTGAGTCAGCATCTTTGAGATAGTGGTGCTTGACAGTTGCTCCCGGGTTGGCACCCTGGCGCAGGAGATCCTCCATGACTCCCGCTTTCCCTGACTGTGCCGCTCGATGTAACGCAGTTTCGTCGAAATTGTTGCGGATTTCCTTCCCATAGCCTTTCTCTCTAAGCAGGAAGCATAGTGTCTGCCTCAATCCATATGCAGCCGCGGCATGGAGAGGAGTATCTCTCCTTTTGTGGGAAACTTTGTTCCAATCGGTCCAAAGAGTGCCGTGCTTCCAGCCCCAGGCGCTTGGACGATATATACCCATAAACTCATCAGCACTTTGCCGCTGAACGCTCTCCAAATGGTCAACGATCAAGTTTTGAAATTCTGACTCGAGTCCTCCGTGGATAGCATGTTCCGGCCATTTCTCGGCTGCATATCCATAAAAGGGGTACTTTTGCGATCTCTCCTCGATCACGCATTGCGTGATACACAATCGGGAGAAGCATGGCAATGATAAGTAAGCCAGACTTGATCTCATGATGATCTCATGACCAGGGGGGAAATCTACCGATCGATAGTCCCTCAGGTATTTGTTTGCCGTTTCGTGCAGAAGGCGGAGGGTCCTTGTGCCCTTTACTTGTTGAACAATCACAAGCCCCTGGCAGATAGATTGGATTTCTTCAAGAGTAATCTGCTTTTCTTTGTCAAGTTCGAGATTGCCAGATCTGACGGCAAATACATGTTGTATAGCCTCGAAAGTCAGTGGTAGGAGTGAATAGGCAAGAAAGGCTAAGAGATATAATGCTTTGTCGCGCTGTGTTGGTTCTTGCCTCTCAATTTGCTTCAGGCTGAACTCGTAACACCCATCGTAAGTAGGTGGAAGTGTCCTGAGGGTTTCTTCCACTTCTTCCACGCTCTCGATGTGTTCAAATAGGTTGAGAATGAGCTCTGCCCTCAGAAACCTGTTCAAGGATGAGCAACGCGTGGCCTAGAGAGGATCGGGCTTCCCTACATTCTATCATTTGCCTCCGTTAGCTTTTCGATTATGAGCTGGGCGAGGGCGGGATTCGTTTGGATATGATCTCGTAGCCGTGGACTTCTTGCGAGTCGAGTTCCGACATAAAGGACGACGTCTTTTTGCTGGGGACGGACTTCGATTTCCGTCATCCCCTGGAATTCATGAATCCATGCATATGGCCGGGAAGTGGCAAGGATCTGGATTGCCGGCTCGAGTTGCTGAAGTTCATTGATAAGATTCTTGCCGAGCTCCAGAGTACGCGACTCATCGAGTGCATCAATAACGATAGTTGTCCCATCGAATTTCTGTATTTCGTGCCGAAGCCACGATCTGTAGTCGGCGAGCGTTGGCTTTGCTTGGTACCAGTCGGAACCGAGAGCTTTCATCATGAACTCGGATACTTGGCCACGCTGATGCAACAGTTGAGCCAGTAGACTGGTAAGAAGGCTCTCCATGCTCTGCAAGTCATGCTCGCGGTAGTCAACATAAATCCACGCAAGGGCTTCATTCTGTCTCTTTGATTGAGAGAGATATTGAATGATGATTGACGAAAGCATAGTTTTGCCGGCGCCAGCCTCACCGGAGCATAATACAAATTGATGCTCTTTGGCGAGCCACGATTTGAACAGAGGTTCCTCAAAAATCCACATGCCAGTTCCAGGCTGTGCGCGCTGGAGGAGACCGTTCTGTTTGCCCCAGAAACCGACTGGAGAAAGCCACTCCAAGATTTCGGATAACTTTTCCATTCGTGTGACCTCTTTGTGCTGACTTGAGCTTCCTGGTGACTCTTCCGGAACCCACTGTGTCAAGAAAGCCTTTGCGCACGCGGCGGCCGTTGCCGCTGCATACCCTTGCCAGGTCTTTCTCTTGTGGCTGTCAGCGTAGTCACACACTCCTTTGATGATGACGCTGGGGAAATATTCCCAGACCCCCGCCCCCTCCATCTCAAAGGCAATGATATCCTCGGCCCTAGCCAGTAAGTCACGGTGTTGTCCTGATTTCATTACCGTATTACCTGAACCCATTATGCCAAAGTGAACGCGAGGCTGTGTTGTCGATGCATGGGTCAGCCGATTGCGGGCTACCAGCATGGTCGCACTACACCCCAGGTCCTCGCAATCCATCTTGAGGGCCTCCTCACATATCTGCGAATCGCCTTCACAGCACTTGTCGCAAGCTGCATGTGAATGGTGCTTGTGTAGGTAGGAAGAATGGTAGAGGACATCGTTCTCGCTACCTGGGAGCAGCGTATAAGGTAACTTGTTCTGAATGGCTCGGAGGAACGTTGCGATGTTCTGTTGCATCTTTGCCTGATAGTGATGGGTTCGCAACTGCGCCTGAAGAGCTCGGATACCAAGGCTGGGCCTGCCGAGGCGATCCTCGACAGTATCCTTTATCTGGTATTTTTCCGGATACTGTCTTCCAAAGTCATATTTTATCACTGCCTGGCTGATAATGACGTCGCCTAGTATGATCTCCTCATTTTGGGTTCCGTAGGGAACGCCTCCACACATGCCAACCACCAGGGCCAATTTGATTTCTGGAAAGCTCGCTCGCAAACCTACTGCCGCTCCCGCTGCAGTGGGTATGCCCATACCCGGCAGGTGAGCGAGGACGACATTGTGCCTGGCCATTGACCCCACCGTATAGGCATTGTCATCTCCAGGCGCCTTGCCGTAACCATCCCAGAATTCGTCAAATAATGCTTGGACGCAGCTGGCTTCATCCGGCAATGCACATATAAGAGCGACTTTGAAGCCGTGACGGTCTCGAGGAGCAGAGGCAGAGGCGGAGGCAGATGCCATGAAGTCGGATTTTTTCTGGGTTACTTCGCCAACGTGGAGTTGTAAGGGTTACTCGCTTTTTGACGATGTTCAATAATATGCACTGTGATGGAAGCATCGAGAAGACTGCATGAATGGTTGCGAACATCCATGCAACCGATTTGGTGTGTCCGCAGAGTTGCACGGCTCAGATCAGGACAGACTCGGAGGGCTGGTGAGGCTGAAAGTGGTCGAGACCATGTCGCCCGGCGTTATTATGATCAGCCTGATTTGCGGGCGTGGCCTCCTTGGCCCCTCCAATTTCCATGTCTATTTGTAGACACAGCACAGCACCCCTGTTAGTTATTTCTTTCTTCCGTGGATAGGTAAAATTCACTCACCGTGTCCGGATACCCGCGCCCCCATCCATTGCGTAAGGTTGAGTTGAGCCCCAAGTTTTGCGTCTACAGTAAACACACTGAAGATTAATCTTACCTAGCCTAATCATAGCCCGGCCATGATTTTAGGGTTCCTAGGTGACCCTACAGATTGTTTCTTATATCGTTGCTCAAAACAAACACATAGACAGAATTGGTCTTGAATTTGTGGCCAAATGAGAGGCTCTCAAGGGACCAATGCCAACAATGAGCGTGAGTTGTAGACTACCGTCTTTAAAGCTCAAACTGGAGGGCTCGGGCGTTTCTGGACCATCCGGGAGTTCATGCATCTCTTTCACTTGACGGCCCAGATCTTGCATTCCATGTAGCACCTCCTCCCTGAAAGACCTAAAATCCCGAGCATAAGGTAGATCGTATCTTGCGGAGTTGAAACAAAACCGGTTCTGGTTGCATTTCGAACCCTTGATTGGCTTGTGAAGACATGGTTGGCGATCCCGCGTTGGATGGTCAAGTTGCTTCTGTCATGGACAGACGGCACGGCACGTCCTATCGAGAGCGTCGAACTAGGCAAGAAGAGAGGGCCTCGGCCACACGGACCAGAATCTCCTAGGAGGTCCGAACGCAGTCGAGAAGAATGTCAATGAAGGTGGCAGAAGAGAATGGCAGAAGTGCTGATATGGTGGATTATTTGATCGCAGACGCGCAATCTCACAATGACGAAACAGTGCAAACTTAGATAAGGCTTTATCCCTCAAACCCCCTTTTATATTGTTGATATAAAGGATATAAAATATATACTATTAAAGTTACAAGAGATTGCAATAGGGCTCCTTAGGCTGGTAAAGCCTTAGTAGTATTTAAGTTTACACCCACCATGAGCCTGCGCCCAGTTTAAGAGTCACACTCACCACTGCATCTATAAATTAGTTCTTATTCTTCTCTTCTCCGAGTCCAGCATAGTTTTCATTCTTGTATGAGCCACTATTTGAGTCTGATATCTTTGAGGCTTCAAGGATACTATCAAATCATCTCATCGTCCACCCGTTATACTATACGCATCCTCACCATTCGAACACCGATTCTCACCCCACCTACTGCATCCTCACCGGTTGACAACCCATCTCCCCATCTCTTACAATCTAGATCCCAGTTTGGCAATGGCAGGTATGTTCTATGCTCACCACTTTCCCTGGCTCTGTCATCACGAAGTTGTGATCACGTGCAGTGAGCCAGCCCAAGGTCATATACCTAGTGTCATGTGGCTCGTGGTTGCTTGCTCAGCCTGACATCTATACTATGTAAGTAGTATTCTAACGAAGCTATATGATAGGAAACATGCCACTTTTTCCTTCTCCACTCCTTATAGACTCCTCTTGTCTTTCCTTATTCTCCTCCTGTCTTTCCATATTTTTAGAACTAGACAACAAGCGTTGGATACTCCAGCACCAAATTGAATGCACGAGAAGGGACATTAAAGGCATGGAAAAGCAATTTGAAGGCATAGGAAATCGACTTGAAGGTATAGGACGGCGACTCGACCTCATCCAAGGGTATCGGAGAAGAGGGCTAAGGGGCCTACAAGCAGGGCCTAGCTATCCTCATTGATGGCATTGGTCTGTCTGGACAGCAACTCACCTATCCAACTGAAACGAGCCATCTTCCGAGCAAACGAGCTAAACAAGGAGTCTGGTAGTGAGGGAGACAAATGAAAGGCTCCAGATGATGGAGCGCTGCACACACGGGAAATCCCGGTCGGTAGTCTACTGCGTCTCCCTCAGCTTGGTGAGCTTCAGCATCGTGGAGATGGGTGGGAATCTTGGAAGTTCTGACAAGCCGCGAACCGCCGTCTATTTCAGAGACGGCTGGAGGGATGCTAGGGGGAAAGGCTGCGGCTAGCCAGGGATAAGGTAGTCGATCTGCATCCGAACACCACTCTGCCACTGATATGATTTTCTTCCACTGTCTTTTCTAGTCGTCCAAGGCCAACGATTTTATCAACTAGCAGCAATCATGTCTGTGGTCGCTTTGTGTCTGTCATCACTCCCTCGGTGGGTCCAGCCATCATCACCATCAAGGGGAAGAGGGTCCGTTGTGTCGTCCTCGGCGACTACCCTATCATGACCTTTAAGGACATCTGTTAACGCCGTTCTCCCCTCACTCATAAAGTTCCGCACGCTGTCCCCTGTCTGAGGAGATGACCCTATGGTGTCTGGATGTTGTCCAAAATTCCCATCGTTCGTCCACGCAAATTCCACAGTGCCTATCCAATGCGATAGTGACAGCATTATGCGCCCATTGGAGGAGAGGTAGATAGGATTGGAGACCTGGGATGGACGTGGTCGGCTGTGAAAGGAGGTGGGAGCCAGCCTCAAAAGTACAAGAGTGAAGGTAGATGAGGCTGGACCATCTACCAATCAATCAGCGGTGGCCGCCTTTTCAACCTGTTGCTCTTGCTTGTCGTCATCAAAGTGGCTGGCGTGGATCTCGGACAGGTTAAACCTCTTGAGAGTCTCGAAGTCGCTCCCTACGACGCTCATGCCGACCACATTTCTGTACACGTCGACGAGCACGACCTTGTCATAACCCTTGAGATCGACCGTGTGCTTGCCCTGGCCTAATGCTGAGATCTTGTCCGCGACTGTCCGTATGACCAGGTCTCGGTCAAGCTTATTGTTGTTCCGGATTGTGGGACGGATGGCGAACTTGACGGGCACGTTCGCCTGGGTTCCTCGAGCTGCCGGCTCCGACTGCGTCCCAGCATTATCGGGCTCTAGCAGGAAGTGTGGTGGGAGGATCTGGTCGCAGAGTGATTCAAGCCCGCTGTTCAGTGTTTTGCGTATCAGGCTTACTGGAGTCAGTCTCTTGATATAGCGGCTCCGTGGTCCAGAAGAATCCTTCTGAGAGGCCGATAGGCACATATTGCGCACGACTGCCACAGGGTCCACCCCGGCTTCTGCTGGTTTGGCGGCAGGGAATCTGACGAACGAAACACAAGGTATGTCCAAGGTTATCAAAGACAGCTTCTGCGAGGTGAAGCCTGTCGTCGGTTTAGGGCGGAGTGCATCTAGTTCGGCGAGAATGTCTGCCTCGATGTCGTTGTCTTGGTCCACTTCGCTCGATCCTCCATTGCCATTTCCCTGCTGCTCAGGCTGCTGCTCATCCGGGATGTACTGAAAGTCTGCGTCAGTGCGTGTGCGTGCAGGCGAATGCCGTGTTCAAACCTCGCCCAAAAGATCTCCGAGCTCCAGCAAGCATTTCTTCTCCTGGCCTTTGTCGCAGGTGACGAATATGCCAACATCGCCATTGTGGATGCCAGATGCACTCACTGGTGTAATATGCCGAGCTTTGGGTTTGCCTTGAGACAGGCTTGGATCACGTGGTCTCTGCTTGCGATAGCTGGCTTTGCTTTTGCTGGTCCTTTGGGATGCCTGCTTATTTACCCAACCACCGATATGTCAGACGAACAATAGAGATCAAGCCAGGAAGGGGGGTGGGACATAAATGGATTTTGCAGCCGTGGCCGGGAGAGGATTCAATCAAATTTTCCGAGAGCAGAGGTCGAACTTACGGTGTGCGGCTCTCGGTCCATTTTTGCTCGCTTGTAAGGTCGTTCTGAAGGGTCTTCGAGACTCATACCCTCCCTCGCACGGCCGGGAATGGGGAAGATATCTCGAGGGGGTGCGGAATGTGAGACCCGGAGCAGCAGAGAGAGCTTGAGGGGGGGATTTCAATTGTCGATGGGCCCGTCAGGCTCAGGTTTGTTGGTGACCGGTCTTCCTCGATTCTCCTCGCAAACCCAGACCTCGGACTCAAAACAACGACTTGTGCAGGTGGAAGATGTAGACGATGTAGACGATGCAGACGATGCAGACAGTGGGCTTGATGCAGTCTTCGACGTGGCCACGTGATATGGCTCAGGCGGCTGAGCTAGACCGCATTGGGAAGCTTACCCAAGGGGGCGCTACGTTCATCAAGATGATCTTGCTGCCACCACTGCGGTTCCCATGGCCATACGCTGTCCTCTCAGCTCTCTCTCTGCACGTGAAGTTGACCAATGCTCGTCCTAGTTCGAGGTGCCCTCGCGAGGGGCGGTGGAAAAGCCAGACAGCTCCCCGAAGCCGACCCTGTGATGACCCATCTAAGCGCTCTCAGCTCTCATGGCCATCGAGCCCCCGCTGATCGTGGTCCCTAGCTCGCTACCTGCGGCGTGCCCATTGGGCTACTGGAGCTTGGAGAGGGTCGAGCTCGGTGCGTCTATATCGTGCGACTCCTTTTGCTTCATGTCCTTGCAACGACAAGCTTCCTGATGTGGCCTTCTTACCCCGGGCCTTGTTGGGTGAATGCAATGAACATGCCGGTCTTGCAGAGTAAGTAGATAGTGATGTCCTCGTTCCAGATGATCCACGTTTCTTCTCTCTGTACCTGTGCTTGCATGCCTCGTTCGTTCGGTATCCCCTATACCCCCAATGGCGTCGCTCTTTGCACCGAAACAACCAGATAGGAAGAGATCAGTTCCCAATGGAGGACTTGGGGGATTGGTTCTGCCGCAAGTGGGAGCCAGTTGTCAACAGGCCACGGGCACAGCTTCAGAGCCCCTGACGAAGAGCACGAGGCCTCGAAGACGTCCACCGCCCATTCAAATCTGTTGTGGCGTTGACAGCGATCCGGCATGGGCCTCTCAGGCTTCGGGGGCGGCGAGCCCAGGATACGGTGGGCAGTGGACCCCCAAGACACCTACCGATCGGCTGAGGTCATCGTCGCTCTCACTCTCGTCCTTGCTCGTGGACGGCAACTTGACTTCCAGGTCGGCACCATTGCTATCACGCTATGATTCTGCCGCACCTCGTGCACCATGGTATTCACCTCCCGAGACACCCGTCAGCCCACTCAATTCACAGCCGATCGAACTGCCCGGTTCACTGCTGTTGCCCAGTCAAGGCTTTCCCCAGCTGGACCCGATTTCGCCGCCCCCGTCACTCCGGATTGTGCGCAGAGACACGGATGACTCGGCTGTAAGCTCGGTACCAACACTCTCAACATCGACTTCTTCGGATGTAGAAACGATGGAGACCTTTCGACACCTGACCACCCCGTTGAGAAAGCACGACCGAGGTGCCGACACCGCGATGCCTGCCTATGTGATCGGAAGCCGCCCTACGAAGCCGTTGTCTGCCATGTCCATTGAAGAACTGCTCGACTACCTACCTGACTGCAGTCCCTCCGCGGTCACTCAAGTGTGGCTGCCTGCAGTTCGCGCCCAATTTCAAAAGATGATCGCCCTGCTCAACGACGTCGGCGAACTGAAAATCGAGTCTAGCCTGAACCAGATTGCTTTTCAGAAAGTCGGTTTGCCTTTCCCACAAGACACACAACAACATATTGATCGGTCGCAGGATCTGAAGAGCTTCTCGGACGAAATCCGCCTCATCGCCGCTTCCTACCACAAAGTCCTCGAGTCGGCAGAGTCACTGGTCGAACGGGATACCAAAGCCTGCCATGAACGTCTCCACGAGCTAGAGGACCAGGTGGCAGATGCTCTGGAGAAGATGGGAGCAAAGGACGAGGAGATTGCGGAACAGGACCGAACGAATATCGAGCTTAGACATACTATCCACGACATTGCCCACATCCTAGGCTCGTTCATTCATGACAATGTCTCCAGCTGGGTCCAAACCATCAACGAGCCGAGGACTGAAGAAGTTCTCCAGATCATTTCCGATTACACTCGCCATGCCGACAATCAAACCAAATCGGTGCCGTATATTCGGGTCCCGGAGTCTGCGATCACACAATACGCAGAAGACGTACGAGAGGCCAAGGCTGTATCTAAGGAATACCGAGAGCTTGTACACAGCCAGAGTGCCATGGTCAACGAGCATTCTCGCAACCTGGACACTTACACGAACAAATACGAAATCGCCGTGAGGCTGATTAAAGAACGCGACCACGAGATATTGCTTCTGGCCCAAAAGATCGAATCCATGACCAAGCGACTGCAAGAGTGTGAAGCTGCCCTGGTTCAGAGTCAAGAGTCAATTGAGGAGGTAGAGAGCAAGGCAGGACGATACGAGGAACTTCGAGGAAACATGGACAGTTTGAAAATCGCACATACCCTCGAGATCGCCCAACGCGACGACGAGATCTCGCGTTTGCGTCAGATGTTGGGAAGCGCGCGAGAAGAAGTCTTTGCGCGACGGGCGGATGTGAAGAACATCATCAGTCAGTCCCAAACTGGTCTGTCTGCCTCTGACTTGGCTCCAGCAACAATGAAAGGGGGCCCCGCTTCCAAGGCACTGAGATTCTTCGGCATGGACCGGGACAAGGAGAGAGGGAGGAGAGCCGTGTTGCCGTCAAGCCAAAGCATGATTGGGTTTGCCTCGTCGCATCACGACGCCACCACTCATCCGTTTGACACGAGATACTCGTCGAAAGAAGTAGCACCTGCGAAGAGCAGATCTCTCCTTCGGCACGACTCGCCGTTGGGGAAGCGTCGACATGCCGAGACCACGCCTACTACTCCAGCCGACGGTTCAGACAGTTGCAGCGGCTCCATGGCCTCGCTGCAAGCGGCAGTCCGCCCTCGATCTGACTCTCTGGGTGCCACTCAGCGTCATGGTGTTCTCCCGTCGCCCATTAACACACAGAAGGCCCTTCCGGACCCGCCTGCACGTTCGCAACCGCCGCTTGTCTCTGCGGCTCGGCTTGCCGAGATCACGCAGAGTGATGACAGCCCCATGGCCGTGCAGGTTGCTTCCGATTACTTCCAACACAGCATCCTCGGGCAGACCGCGGCTCGACGAGTGCTCAGCAACATCCCCGAAGTCTCTACATACGGCTCATCCGACGCAGGAGAGGCCAAGGACCCGGAGTTGAGCTACTACGAGGAAGGATCCGACGGAAGCGTTGCCAGCAGTGACCGCGAGGTCTACCGCAAGAGCGTCTGTGCCCTGGACATGTTGAACTCGTCGACCCTGCCGTACAGCGAGACTGAGACTGACGTCGAGGCAATCCTTCGTGGAGTGGCAGGGACCGAGTCCGAGGGTCATTACCCTAACGTTCACACATTTGACGAGGATCACAGCGACGAGTTCGAGACGGGCCTTGCGCGTGTGCTGCATTTGCGCCCGGGGAACCATGACCTGAGAGCGGTGAGAGAAAGAGAGCGAGATGGAGATCGAGAGGAAAGATTCAGGCAGAGCTTTGTCTCGGATGGTTCGGGGTATCGCTCTGAGGGATCGGAGCCCATGACCGTCGCGCAGTTGTACCATCGAGGACGCCGCCATATTCGAGGCTAGTGGGACAAGGCCAGCACAGCAAGGACGGACAGCCTCAGGGGGGAGGTCTAAGTGATTATGGAATGGTACTTACTGTACGAGAGCAGCACAGGGAAGGCAGAGGCATGCTTCGCGAGTTCTAGGTACCTTACTGATTAATGTATTGTTGGGTCGACTGGGCTTGGTTGTGCATTCCTTTGCTACTAGGTCGTGGTCAACTTAACTTGATGGACATTTGACATTTGAGTCGGTCGGTCAGCATCTCGCCGAGTCTGGAGACTGGAGACTACCTAGATACCTGACTCCACGTTACGTCGAAGGCGAAGGCCATGCAGAGGCACACGAGTTCATGGCAGCTGGAAGACCAGATGATAATGATAGGCGGGAAATCAATGGAAGGTGTAGACATGCATGCATGATTCAGGGCTCCAATGCGGGCGAGCAGCAAGCTTTATTAAGTCTGTCACACTGTCACACACTTCTGTAGAGAGATTCCTCTGTTTCCTTGGTGGGACGGGCCGTATTTTGTAGATATCTATCTACCTTCAGTACTCAGTACTCAATTGGACACGGGCATCTAGATCTGATCCCGACGGGTCATCCGCACGCTTGAAGCGACTTCGAGAATCAGGGGTCGTCTCCCTCCGCCCCTCCTCCCGTTCCAAGTACAGTCCATGTCATTAAGTTTCAATTTATCCCCGAGGGCAGAGACGAGCCTTGGCTTGCATCTGAATGGTGGCATTTGGCAAGATCGCTATGTGGTGGTGGTGGTGGTGGTGGCGGTTGCATGAACCCTTTTTCAAGCAAGTATAGAGCGTATCTGAGACGATAAGGACATGGCTCAGACGCCGGATGATTTTGTGTCCTTTTGTCTGTTGGGGATTTGCTCGGATTGATTGACTTGATTCGTTTGTTCACCATTTCAACCACCAACCACATCTAGAGTCTCGTTCACCAAATCTTCCATTGAACCACTCACTGCACTCTATCTTGAGTCTCGGAAGGGCTGAGTGCTGGGGGGCTGAGGACTGAGGACTGAGGACTGAGGTCATGACATCCTCACCCGTCACGGTGTGCCGCAGATTTCTTCATCCGTCAACTTTGCCGCACGCGCCGGGAAGCAGTAGTGGTAGAATCATGCTTCATGCCATCAAGCTTATTAGGTTTCATGGGCTGCATCTCGATCTCCTTTCCGACGCCGATGCCGACACCGCGGCCGGAGTTAGTGGTATTCGCGGTCAAACTCTCGGCGATGCTTCGGATCTGAGGCTGGACGAGGCGCGATATGTTGTAGTACCCGTTCTGCGGGACCTGGATCAAGAGCGTGTGAAGGTATGCGAGAAAAGTGGCAATTCTGGCCATCATGTACCGAAGAACAGGTACAGAGTACAGAGTCTGGAGTATGGAATGCTGCGTAACAATTAATGATGAGGCGGGACAGTTGGTTTCCGGTATCCGTTAAGGCCAAGGTTCATGTCAATATTAATGCTGCTCACTGGCAGGTCTGTTGTGGTTTTGCAGAACAATCCCAACCCCGGGGCGTGGTACTGTACAGATACGGGTATAGTGTCTGGAGGCTTGATAAGGATAAGGCTTGCGGGCGAGAGAGGATCCGAGAGGGCGGTTAAGCAGTGCGCCTTGAGGTAGAGGACCATGGGATAATTAGGAATTGCCCTGGAAGCGAGGGAAGAGTGGGAAGATTAGATGGTGGAAATGTAGGTAGGTACGGAGTATAGAGTAGTTAGACAAGGACAGGGACAGGGACAGGGACAGGGTATGTGAGAGGAGTGATGTAATTTGTTGTTATAGCCGCCGAGAGATAAGGTGGAGGTGGAGGATTGTTGTGGTGGCCGAGATGGGGGATGACGAGAACCATGGTCGGGCTCGAGATACGGGATACGGGGAACTGCTCGCACGTGATGGTGTTAGTCACGTGGCCCCGGTGATGCCCACCGCAGCCTGATCACGTGCCGTACAGCCTTGCCTGATGTCACTGTCATACTCTGTTTCAACACCAACCAAGTTAAACACCAACAAGTGGTATGCCGACACGCCCTTCACCGAAACATCGGCATCACTTGTAGCTGCACTGCACACGTACCGACGAAATGGCCTAACATACACATACATACATACCTATACCTCCCCAGTATCGATATACAATCGAACCCTCTCTCGGGCCTACCTTAGCCATGCCCTCCTTTCTTCAGACTCTTTCGCAACTGCCCCTGATCTCCTCTCTCCTCAACCTCTCTCCCACCATCCAGATCGAGAACCAGAACCAGAACCAGAACCACAATGACCGGCCGCTCCACCCATCTGTCCAGCAGTGTCCGTATCCGCCGGTCGGGTCGTGCCCGTTCCCTCCGCCTCGCGACATCAACACCTGTTGTGTGAACCACCCATCCGGACACTTCCTGCAGACGCAGTTCTGGGACACGGCCCCCCCTCTCGGTCCCGCGGACTCGTGGACGATCCACGGCCTGTGGCCTGACCTGTGCAATGGAGGCTTCGAGCAGTTCTGCGACTCGGCGCGGCGGCACGACGACATCCCCGCCGTATTGAAGGCTGCCGCCCCGCCTGAGGTGAGCGACCCTGTTCTCGCCTTCATGGCCAAGTACTGGCTCGCGCTGGACGGGAATCACCCTCACCTCTGGGCGCACGAATGGAACAAGCACGGGACTTGCATCTCGACGCTGGAACCGGCGTGCTATGCGGGTAATGGTGATGGCGACGGTGGCGACGAACTCGACCCGACCGCCAAGGTCAACGTAGACGTGTTCGACTACGTTGTTCAGACCACGTCGCTGTTCAAGACACTCGACACGTACGCCGTGCTCGCGGACGCGGGGATCCTGCCCTCCCATACTGCGACCTATACGCTACGCGAGCTCGAGGACGCCGTCGAGTCGTCCGCCCACGGAGCCCCCGTGACGTTCCGATGCAATCGCTTCGGCGAGCTCGACGAAGTGTGGTACCATTTCACCGTCATGGGCCCTTTACGAACAGAGTCCGGACGCAAAGATGCCGCCGTAGCAGAATCACCATCACGCCAGTCCAATTCCAACTTGATCTCTTCGTCGCCTTTCCTCAACGAATCTGCCGTCCGCGAAATCTTCGTCCCCACGAGCCCGACCGGCGCGCTGTCCAATTGCCCGAGACGTGGCATCAAATATCGACCCAAGGCCGGCGAGAAGCCGCGTCCAGGCCCGTCACCCACCAGTACCGACTCCTCTCCGCCCACGGCTACGCCGACGTCGCTGCCCTTCTCGGGCAAGGGCTATCTGAAAGTCCATGTTCTACCCAGTTCTTCTTCTGCTGCGCCTCCTGCGGCAAGCAATGAGGGCTGCCTCATCCGCCTCGGTGACTGGTACACCTCCGGCACATGTGCTACCTTCAACGCACTGCCCGATGTGGTTGACCCAGGCCATGCCCCACTGTTCTCTCTCTCCTCAAGCTACTCCCCCTGCCTCATCGATCCGGCCACGAAGAAATTCGAATGCTCCAAATCCACTTCGATGCAGAGCATATTCTCTGCGGACCCTCGAACCCCCAGCATCTTGTCGTACCGCAACAGTACCACGTTCTACACTACCCACGCTCCCAAGAGATATGAGAAGGTTGGCATATACGCCGATCGAGGCAATGGGGAGAGGAGCGTAGAACTGGAGATCCATTGGGCACCTGTTTAATATCGCGTTAGAAGTCTGAGAGGACCAATCTAAATTTGTGTGCAATGCTGATTGCAACGCTGTCCGATACACATTGATGTTCTATTTCCTACTAGCCAGGCCATTCCTACTTGTTGTCTGACAACAGCAGGTCCTCACTACTGCCTCCCCAACCGCCGACTCTTCTTCCCATCTTCTTGACTTCTCTCATTCCGGCACCGAGGAAATTTCTCATAATCTCCCCACTTATTTGGCGGTCGACCTTACGGCGAGACTTGATTAGCTTCTCTCTACCACCGCCAGGCATCTTGACCATTTGTACTCGAGGGGAGCCGGTGCTGTTCACTGGTGGCGGGGGCGGTGCATGTCCACTTTCCAGCATTGCGCAGTCCAGTGATCCGACGACTGGGTCGAAAGCTTTCACCTTGGTTATCGTGCTTTCACACCGATCCTGCTCTGGTTGGACAGATATCCTTGAAGATGAAAGCAGCTTGCTTTGACTGTCACTTTTTTGGAAACCAAAAGACGGTAAACGGGGGGTTGACCGCCTGTATGCTTCAGCTGCCCTTCGCGCCGCCCGATCCTCTCGGTTCCTCATCGCTTTGGTCAGGGTCTCAGGGGAACACTCAAGGTATGATGCCCTCCTCCTGTGAGAAGTCGTCACTTTGCTGCTGAGTTTTGTAGCAGAACTAGGTGCAGGCACTGGCTGCTTCTTTGACATGGTTGGAATAAGTGCTGCCAAATTTCCAGTTGTCTTGCTCTTTGCCAGTCCACCGTTGCCATAGAATTTGTTTGGTCCATGACTCAAAACCGCTTCGGCATTGACACTTGAAATCCTACTTGTAGTTGTCGAGGTGTTCCCTGGAGACTGTGGCACATTCAAACCCATCATGGGCTTCACACCCGCGCGGCCGGGAAGTTTCGCTTTCTTGTCGATATCATTGGCATCAAGCACGAAGCTGCCAGCTCGATAAAGAAACCCACGTGACACTCCGGGCCTCTTCAGCAACTGTGATTCAAATTCTTCGAAGCTCTTGGTAGCCTCCGTTGTCCTACAAGACCGTCTTAGCTCTTTCAAAGCAGCGCTCTTTCTGATCTTCTCGCTGAGCTCGAACAAATGTTCGGGCATCCGGTTACTTGCATCTGGACTGGATGGGCTTTTGCCTTGGGGCATTTCTTGCGTTCGGAGACGATCACACAGTGACACATAGCGACCTGCCCAGTATTGTGGGCTCTCTGCTGAATCGACCTGCTCTGTTGTCAGCACAGCCGCGTCGGTCGAGCTGCATGGGATTTGCCTTACTAACCTGTTTTATATGATCCCTCGACCCTCCAATCTGATCGGAGCTGCTGGTACTGTTTAAAGTGGCTGTAGTTGGCGGGCCGCTGTCAGAATCGGTATTTGCGGTAGCCGAACTGACAAACAAGAGCCGCGGAGAAGGTGAACTTTTTTCGTGTCCTTCGACAAGCCTAGGAGTGGGAACAACATTGACTGACATGTTGGTGATAGCGGCAGCCTTAGTTCCGAATGAGGATGGAACCTCCGGTATTCTGCGGTGAGAGGGACTGGCTTTGATTGTCCGTGCTGGGTTTGCAAATGAGTCTCTCAGTCGAGCACGGTTTGCAGCAGCCTCTCGTTGGACTTGTATCATCGTTTGCATCTCTTTCTCTGTCATTCTGCTTTCCAGCAACGCGTCTGCCACATTAAGCTTGCTGGTGTCATCATGCTGGTGGAGAGGAGGCATTGCAATGGACCTAGGCTTTCGAGGTGAAGGTGTCAAGCTCGGAGGGCCAAAGCATGATATGTTGCCCAATGTTTGCGTTCTGGGGAGTGGTGGTCCAAGAGGCTGGAGCAAACGTCTTCTTGGTGTCATATCACGAGAGGGAGAGACTAGAAGATTGTCCATTGTCTTGGATTTGGGAATCGCCATCGCCACCTTACCCTGGCAGAGTGAGGAAACATCTTCAGGGCTGTTGAGGGATTGTGTGGAGAGTGTTTGAATATGCAGCTGCTGTCGGACACCTGAGAGGTCCCTCCTGGCCCGGTGGTCGTATGGCAGCAAGAATTCTGGGGTCGTCGATGATGATGATTGAGACATATGGAACGACGTAGGAGGAGCACCATCATTGGGATGCCACGACTTTCTGGACAGATGAGCAGCTTTGAAGCCATTTCTATCCGGGTGCACATGTGTGCCACCTCTTCGTGTGCTTGTGGGTGTTGCATGGCGTGAGGTACCGGATGTTGGGCGTGGGATTGCCGATACAGATGAACGCCGGCTCCAAGCGCTGAGAGATGCAAGGTCAAGGTCGGTTGGTACGATGGGAGACATTGTGTTCCGGGAGATGGATGCGATAGCACGATAGAATGTACATGATGTGGCCTCTTCTTTTGAGGATGACAGGGGAAGCAATGCTGCGGGATGAGGACGAGGACGAGGACGAGGACGAGGACGAGGACGAGGGCGAGGGCGAGGGCGAGGGCGAGGGCTGGTTTGCAGATGAGAGAAGGAAAGGGAAAGTGCGGCATAATGCTGAGTTGTAGTTGTCTGCCGCCACACTGCACTCGCAACAGCGGCTTCCACTTGTCGCAGGCAACATAGCAGTTCATCTACTGAATACCACGCGAAACAGCTGAAGAAGAGCATATAGGAAGTCACTGGGGATGGCAGAACAGCGCAGCCCAGAGTCTGTCCTGCAGCGCAGTGGTCGCGGTTTCGTAACACATACCACATATCGCGGGAAGAGCAGCTTAAGGTAGCTTTGCTTTGCTCATGTTAAGTGTCTGTACTTGACCTGTAATCTTTCTCCAATCGGCCTGGCCTGTTACGCTGGCTCTGGTGGCTGCCAGTACGGCATCTCACTGCAGGACGTCGAGGTGCCACGGTCTGAGTCTGCATGGTAAGAGTCAGAGTCAGCCTTGTTCATAGCAAATCCCCTGACGCCGCAGCCGCTGTGCTCCTCCGTATCTCCAGGTATCGACTCTAGGTTTGTATGTAGGCACAGAACACGGATACTGGCGGTGTTTTTATTCCTGGATGCATGTATACTCCGTATCCATTTGGCCTAGCCATCTGAAACTCTGGCAGCAAAGCTCTGCCGCAAAACTCTCTCAGACGTTGGCAACCGTTTGTGACATTGGCGTTCTCATCCTATTTGACCCTGTACCCCTGACCCTAGCCTCCGACTCCACGCTCAAGATAACATACCTAAGGTACAGTACAACCCCTGCCGCCTTACAATACCTGGACAGATTGAAAGAACCGATTAGCCGTGAGTTTTTCATCCTTCTTGACCATATCCCTCATGAGCTGGAGTTTCTCATCCTTGCTCATATCCTGCCCTTCAACTTGTTCTTTCCACTTTGTCAAAATCGCCTTGAGCAGACGACTGCCTTCTTCAGCTTCCTCCTTGGAATATTCCGTCTTCTTCTGTTCGCCTGTGACGGTGGTAAAGTCCTCCAATTCTGCCGCCTTTCGCCTCGCCATGTTGACCACCTTCTCCGGGAATCTGACTAGCTCAGCCACATGAATGCCGAAACTTTGATCGCTGACTCCGGGTTCAACTCTGTATAGTAGCGTGACCTCTCGCCGTTTGGTGGATGCCTCACCGTCACCGTCACCGTTGATCGCGGCACCGTCCTGGTCACCTACAAACGCCACCACGTGTAAGTTCTTAACCGCGTTGGGATATTTGTCTGCGAGGGCGGTCAATTCATGAAAATGAGTTGCGAAGCAGCCGAAAGCTCCAATGTGGCCCACAATTTCTTCGCTGATGGCCCAGGCGAGACCGAAGCCGTCGTAGGTGCTGGTACCACGACCAAGCTCGTCAATGATGATCAACGAGTCTCGAGTAGCACTCTTCAGGATGTTCGCCGTCTCCAACATTTCGGCCATGAATGTCGAGACCCCCTTGAGCTGTGAGTCTGAAGCTCCTACCCGAGCAAGGATGCAGTCAAATATTGTCAACTCTGCTTCACTGCATGGGACAAAGCAACCAATCTGGGCCATCAGAGCTATGCATCCGATGGTGCGGATGTAAGTCGACTTGCCACCCATGTTCGGCCCTGTTATTATGAGAAACCTTGAAATGTCACGTCTCAATTCCACGTCGTTGGTGATGAAGTTCATATCGTCCTGAGCTTCCATACATGGATGGCGAGCCTCTCTCAGAACGGTGTCCCCACTTCCCCGTTCATGTATCTTTGGCCGCACGTATGCCGTAGGAGCATGGACCGAAACATGGGCCAGACTGACTACCACGTCTAAATGAGCAATGATGGCGGCAAGCTGTTCGATGACGGGAGTGTATGAAGATGCGACAGAGACCACTTCCGAGACTAGTGACGACTGCTGCCGGTTGTAGGACCCGGACAGCTGGTCGTACTCTCTCCTCAGTTCCTGTAAAGTCTGAGTGGTGAAATAAACCCCATTCTTCTGTGTCGAGATTTCGCGGTACTGGCTCTTGTTGCGGATGCAGCCCGCTTCATTGCGGGTTAGCCTGAAACAATGTCCATGGACTTTGTGGTTTTCCAGAAAGAGTTTCTTGTCCAGCTCCTGGTCGAGATCTTGGCCTGCCCGACGATGTTCCTTGTCCATGTCACGTTTGACGGTGTCGAGCCTGGTCTTGATGTCGCGCAGTCGATCATCAAATTCTGGTTTAATAATGAACTCATGACGGTCCAGAGCATCCAGATCGATGGTCGTCTCAACCATTTCCGCAAGCTTGCCCAGGAAATTTGACAGCTCCTGTAACTTGGACGTGTACTGTGCTTCAAGCGGGACTTGATATTGCTCATCAACGACGGTTTCCAGGGCTTCGATAAAACCTGGGAGCCGTATGATGACTTGATACGCGCGTACGACATCCTCCAGGTTGGCAACTTTGCGCTGGAACTTCTTGGCCAGGCGATACAGGTCGGGGATGGACCGAAGGTGTTCCTCTTGCATGGTCTGACGAAGTTCTGTATCGGTGACGAAGGCCTCCACAAGCTGCTGTCTTTTCTCGATTTCAGACAGGTTCATTAATGGCTGCTTCAGCCACTGCGCCAACAGGCGGCCACCAATCGGGGTCTTGCAGTGATTCAAAAGACCGAACAGGCTCATATTTCTTGAACCATCTCTTGGTCCAGGCATGAGATTGAGCGCCCTCAGTGCGGCGGCGTCAAGCTTCATGTATTGGCCCAAGTCATGCTGATACAGCCGGAACTGGCCAAAGTTGCTAGGATCCGTCAAAACGCCCAAATACTTGATCAATGCTGCTGCGCCGCCCATGGCCAGCTTGAGGTCTGTTTGGGGCAACAATCCTATCGCATTCTCACCCTTGAGAAGCCTGGCCAGATCCTGTTCAATGTCTTTGGTCGCGTAGTCGGCCGCGGCTCTCTCAGAGATGGCGATTCCACATGAGTCGGCGATTTGTCGTATTTTAGCCAGTTCGGGGTCTTTTTTCAAGCCATCACTCGGAACAATGCACTCCTTAACCCCCAGCTGAATCAGCAGACTCTCGAAGTTGGAGTAGAGATCATTGTCGAGGAATTCGCTGACACCGAGTTCCCGGACACTTGCATCTGCAAAACAGACACCCACGTTTCTAGCTTCGCCCGCTTTGGCGCTGATCTTGACAGCCAGAATGATCGGGGCGCTGTCGCCCTGACTGTCCAGCCCAGAACCCAGCTCATCCTCAACAGCCTGCAGATTGCCAGGGCTAGCTTGGCGTGCCAGTGCCCACTGGGCCTTTCCACTTGCTTCCCAGATCTCCACTCGTTTGCCAAGTTTGAAGAGCGCTTCTCGGAGCAGATTTCGGAAAACGGTGGTTGACATGGTCACGCTGGGCAGGGCATTGTCGCTGCGCCCAAGATTCCTTATGACGGCAGTGGTCTTGTAAACGGTTCTTGCAATAAACTCGGCGTCTTCTCCATGTGCGGAGTACCAGTCGGTTCGGTCGAAGACACGGATAGTGTTACCACCGTCTGGTTTGGGGGGCAAGGACCGAAAGTTGCGGATGAAACCACCCTCGTCATCGAGCTAGTTGTCGGTGTCAGTACTTGAGGTCTGGAATGATAGTGCTGACCTACCTTGAGTTCCGGTCTCGATGCCATTCTTGAGTGCTTTTTGTTTGGCTCAATGGGTGTCGCCCTCAAGGTCAAGATACTCTCGGGAGTATGGCGTACAGCGTATGGTCTCGCAGGTCAACACGCTGCCAAAGTCGCGGCACGCGACTTACTACTCTGTACTATTAGGACGCGTAAAGTGGTGGTCGACGCGATATCTTGGCGACTTAAGACAGGCGAGTTCACGTGGGCGCTCACCCACCGGCCGCCGCTTTAAGGCACCGCTTACCCTCACCCTCTGTCCAGGAGAAGAGGGGAATCTACCTGGTACGGAGTACACCCGAATGCATTTGACAATGGCATCTACAAAGTCGGCCGCGGATCACGGATACTTTCGAAATGGGCTTATATGCTTCTGGTGGTGCAGAACGAGTCGAGTCGCACGAGGTCAGACTCCAGCACGCGCAATCGCAAATGAAAGCCTTGTATTTGTATTTCCTCTCGCACTTTTCCACGAGGCGCAGGCAGACTCAAAGCTTGAAGGGAGCAGACACACGATCGTGCTAGAATTGTGAAGTCTGATAGTTGGTTTTGTGTATGGAGGATGCATAGAGAACTTATGTAGCTGGTTAGTATGGAGTAGTGTCCTGATGGTCCTAATCTGTACTAGTAGTACTTGGCAGAGCTTCTAACACGTGACCTGAACTTCCCAAGTTTCTCTCACGAGGTGTTGCATTCGTCCTACGAAATTCGTTTCTTGACCAAGTGATCATTTCTCCTCTCTTTAGAAATTAGTAGGGAGCCCTACTCTACTAGGATCTCGCACGCACAGCGGAACATCCTCCAAGATGCCTCAAGCCTTTGACAAGTGCAAGGAGCGGCCGGCGCACATTGAGGAAATCCTCAACGGCCTCAATCGCTACAATCCCGAGACGACGACCACATTTCAAGAATATGTCAACCAACAATGCGAGGAGAAGTACTTTGACACTTATGCCTCTCTGGCGCTACTGAAATTGTAAGCAATCACTCACACCCACGACCGAATGAATAAGGCGTCCTTCGAGTGTTCTGATGAAGAGAATTTTCATACCACGTTTCCTATTACCTGACTTGTCCCACGGGGAGCATGGAGAGTTGAATTATTAGCTCTATCTGACACATATTCGTTGCGCATGCATTTTACATGTCCGTTTAACCTGCCAAGGGACATGCTAACATACGCGAAACAGGTATCAGTTCAACCCACAATTGCTACACCCAGAAACAGTCACGAACATCCTCGTCAAAGCCCTGACTGTCTTTCCTTCGCCCGCCTTCTCTCTATGTCTAGCCCTCCTTCCCCCGTCGACGATCCCTTACCAGCCTGGAAACACTTCTGTTCCCACCACAGACTTTACCGAATCGATACAAAAGCTGACACGGCTGAACACGCTGCTCGAATCGGCGCAGTATGATGCTTTCTGGTCCACGTTGGAATCTGATGATCTGTACGCCGATTTGTATGCGGATGTAGCAGGATTCGAAGATCTGGTGAGAATACGGATCGCAGGCGAGGTTGGAAAGACATTCCGACAGATCGACTTGGGTGTTCTTAGTGGATGGCTCGATCTACGGGGGGACCCCTTGATCAAATTTGCTCAGTCTGCTTGTGGCTGGAGAATCAATGGACAACAAGTCGAGATTCCAGCGAATGCGGAAAATGAGGCCAAGAGTGAGGTGAAGGGCGAAAGAGTGGACGTGGAGATGTTCGGCCGAGTGTTTCGACGAGCGTACGAAGCACCTGCATGAGAAAGGGAAACCCGAGGGTTATGACAATGAGGTCTATTACATGGTGAACGCGGACCGCTCCAGAAGAGCGTGTTTCAGAACCAGGGATAAGCACTCGCTTCGGTCTTTTGGTCAAACCAAGGCTTGCTCAAGATCTCAAGGCGGGAGTCGATTGTGGAGATGAGATTGATTGCACGATGTTCCTTCCATTTGCCACACGCTCACCGAGCTGCATGCAGATGAAGCACCGTTCGTGCGGTCTTGGGCAGGGTTAACAGCTTGACTGTCCGCACCACGGTTCGCTTCTGTCCGTTGAGGATACTGCCCGGGTGGTGACTTGAGACAGCCAAAAGCAACGGCGCTCTTGGGATTAAAAGATAGACGTAGCAGAGGTGGCGCTGAATGATGTAAGAAAGGGCTGGTCTTTGTCTGGTGACATGCCTATCCATACAGAGTACATGTACGGAGTATGTATCTTCCTTGCCTGTATGTACGGATGCAGCCTGCGCCTGCACTCCTGCCCATATGTATAAAATATAAGGCCAAAGCCGGGGACAGGCGGCTGGGGGGCCGGGGCAAAGGAGGCCTAAGCCGGCCCTAAACGCCTAAGGAGCCCCAGACCGCGCCGACAAAACGTGAAGTTAGGCTACTGAGGATCCCCCTAACCGCCCTGGGTTTGGTGACTTGGTGCCAGCTTGACCATCCTGTTAGCGCAGGCCTTGGGCTTGGAAATTGCGTGGTTGACCCCGATTGGGCCTGAGGATGGGAATGACGGTGACATCGTCAGCTGCACCAGCGCAACCATATCACTTACTCTGTACTCACCACCAACATCAACGACCATCCACTCCCAGTCGAGCCGCCTTCCATCACAGTTCCTGGATATCTTCATCTCGTTACGGATATATCGATCGCCTCCATTCCGGGGTGGGCGCATCTCTCATCTCTCATCCCTCATCCCTCATCCCTCATCCACCATGATCGCTCCAACGCCCGCCTCTCTCCTCCTCCTTCACCTACCGGACGAGATCCTGATCAGCGTCTTCGGTTTCCTTGACGTTCCGACCCTGCGCCATGCCTTCCTGGTCTGCAAACACTTCAACGGCCTGGCGGAACCCTTCCTGTACCACACTGTCCAAGTGCTCAATGGCTTGCAAGCCGCCGCCCTGTCTGCCAGTTTGTATGCAAATCCCCGCCGTGCCACCTGGATCCGCTCTCTGCTTGTCTCCACCAAATTCGGCGAGGACGAGGGCTTGAGCATGTTGCCGCCTCACCTGGCCAAAATGCACAATCTTCAGGACCTGTGTCTCGAAACGCCCGATTGCAACGCCAAGTTTCCTGAAGAGAGGGTTCCCTGGGTCAATCTGCAAGACAGATACGAGCGCATTTTCGAGAGTGCTTCAGCTGTCGTGCCAAATCCGGCCAACAGAGTACTCCCAAATCTGCGGAGATGTAGGTCTCGCTACCAGCCCAACGGCAGAATGCTCTCTTCGGACGAACTGACCGATCCCAGGTACATTACATTTTGTGGATGGTCAGAAAGAAATGTATTCCATGACCAGATACGCCATGCTCTTCTTGCATCCAAACCTCCGGTCCCTTACCATATCTTGTGCCAGCACCGACTTCCCTGATGTGCTGCTCGCGCCATTCCACGACGACCATACGCTAATCAAGTCCACCAACCTCGAGCACTTACACCTTGAAGAATGCGACATCTTCTCTCCCTCTTTAGCCATCCTCCTCAGTTTTCCCCGGGCCTTAAAGTCTCTCAGAATCAGTGAAGGAATCCGTTACGATGGTATATTCAGCGCCAGGAGTAGTCGGGTGCATGGCAACGTGGCCCCTCAACCTTTCGTGGATGCTCTATCTCAGCACTGCACCAATTCGCTCGAGCACTTATCCTTGGCTCTGGGGTATATGCGGCAAGGGTTTGAACACATCGATTTCGAGGGATCCTTTCTCAATCTAACAGCATTCCACGCGATGAAACAGCTCGACCTCGACGTCCGCACCGCCAACCTTATCAGGGTGCGGGGTGTCTGCGACCACCGTACCTGGCGAAGGCTACCGCCGAACTTAGAAACCTTCAAAATCTTTGGCATTCCATTCGGCGACCGACCCCCGTTCCATGCCCGCAGACGGGTTTGGTTTCCTTTCGAGCCTTGCCTGGTGAACGACAAAGCCGGGCACGGGATGCGGATGTTGAAAAATCTGATTTGTTCTTACGAGTACTATCGGGAAGACGACGAGGAGCCCCCAAGAAGCATATCTGATGACGGGGACAGTGTTTATGAAACCAGCCAGGTTGCAATCGCCCAGCAGAGAATGATGGACAGGTGCAACGAAATAGCACCGCTATTCCACCGACGCCGCGTGAGACTAGAGATTGAACTCGTGGTTCTTCCCAACGGGTTTATACCTCCGTATCTTTTCACCGAGGACGAGCCCAGGTCCTTCATACTGTGGGAATCGGCTCCGCGCTCTACCTAGCATGCCATGTAATACCATCAGGACGCAGATTACTATTTTCTCCATGGCGACTACTATTTTCTCAATGGCGCCACTTCTATTTGAAATGGTGGAGTTTACTGGCTGGACGGATCTAGCAATTTGAAAGCATGCTTGGGGACTGTAGGAGAGACAACGAGTCAACAGCGGTGGCCACAATGGCCAGCGGTTTGCAATGTGTACGTCACCGACCGTGCTGATGCCACCAATGCCACATGCTGGTGATGCACACAGGGCAGGGCAGGGCAGCCTTGCTGACATACCGCGGGCAACGGACCTATCACGGTGCCTGAGTCGGCCACCGATTACGCCGGCTATTACTCATCACTAAAGTTCACTACATGTATGTTCACTATACAACCACACAACCCCTGGTCTGCTTACAATGCCTTTCCGACGCCTTCCACATGCAACACCCCGCTGCTGGCAGGGTAGCAACTGCTCTTTACAGGTCGGTTCTGATCTGTGGGGGTGACTCATCGAGAACAAGGCCTTAGGGCCCCCCAACCTACTGCTGAACTAAGTTAAAGCCTCTCGGAAATAGCAAGCCTTGACGGGCTTCAGATGAGCTTGCCACGTTGGGTAGCAGTCATCGGGCTGTCTCGTCCAACAGCTTTCCAAGCTCGACACAGCAAGTCCTTCACGACCCTGTCAGCTGCTGACAATTGTGTTTGATAAGGCGACTGTCTTTGCACCTTATGCTGCCGAATGCTCCGGCCATCTTCTCGGCATTGTCATTGGATTCAGCCTTCATGTGTCCCAGTGGTAGCGGAGAAGTATGCAATCGATTTCAAAATTCCACATATTGCGAAGACCAGCCGCCGCTGCGAGGGAGGATGAATAATACCATTCCTGGTATATATGTAGGCTCCGCCCGCCCAAGATGGCAGCGTACCAGCCTTCACAAGACCTGATCCCCTCAACTTTCGTCTCGAGGCTTTGGGCCCTTCTCACCCGCCCCTGATTCGATTTCTGATAGGCACCAGCACATGCGGGCGATGGGCAGTTCGGTGGCAAATGTCGTTCAAGACTCGCCCTTGGGGCAGGTCATCCGGTTTCTCTCCCGGAACAGGGTTTTTGCCTTCCCGGAGGACGACCCTAACTTCAAAATTCCCTGGGAAGATGCTTCTGTATCGGAGAAGGAGCAGGAAATTGAAGCGGGGACAGATTTGAGTCGAGCTCCCAGTAACCTCACTCCTCCAGCGACGATAGCCACCCGTGAAGATGTTGAAGCTCAAGGCTTGACGACCATCGCCACCTCTCACTCGGCTGCCCGTTCACAGATTGGGATTGTCGCGACCAGAACGATCACCCGAGAGCGGACCCTGCCATACTCGGTTGAACGTTTCGAAGTCGAACAGGCAGAAGCCATGGAGCGTCAACAGAGCATGGTGATCGCTCCCCAGAGGACGGCTGACGGTGTCATCCTCGTCGACTGGTATACCACCGATGATCCGGCAAACCCACAGAATTGGAACAGTTGGAAGAAGGCCTGGGTGTCTACCGTCATTTGGTTGTATACTTTTGCCGTATACTGCGCCAGTGCCATCTATACCTCAGCCGAACCGCAGGTCATGGAGAAATTTGGAGTTGGTGAGAGCAAGGCTGCGCTAGGTCTCAGCATGTATGTTCTGGGCTATGGGATGGGGCCGATGGTACGTGTTGTTCTTGCGCGCCATATTCGGTCCCGGCAGCCAGCTGACATTTTCAACAGCTCTTCTCTCCCCTCTCAGAGGTGCCAATCATTGGTCGGAATATCCCATATGTCGTTTCATTCGGCTTGTTTGTGATCCTCTGCGTCCCAACTGCATTAGCCAACAGCTATGCTACTCTCTTGGTTCTTCGATTCTTGACAGGTTTCATGGGAAGTCCCTGTCTGGCGACCGGTGGCGCCACCATGGGAGATATGGTATGGGCATACTTCGTCTTCTCTGTTCACCATCTCTTCCCGTTTGCACTGACGTATTTTGACGATTGAAACATGTACTGACGATGACGGTCACAGTATGGGCTTTTAAAGCTTCCCTACGCATTGACTGCCTGGGTAGCAGCTGCATTTTGTGCCCCAGCCGTTGGCCCTCTTTTGTCTGGTTTCAGCGTGGTGAAGGAGGGCTGGCGTTGGGCTTTATGGGAAGTGCTCTGGGGCGCGGCGCCAGTCTTTATCATCATGTTCATCTCCATGCCGGAAACAAGCGCCCATAATATCCTGCTTCGGCGCGCACAACGCCTTCGGAAGCTCACTGGCCGTCAGAATCTCAAGTCTCAGGGCGAAATCGATCAGGGGAACCTGAGCTTCGGCAGGATTGCCGCCGACCAACTGTGGAAGCCCATTGAGATATGTATCAAAGACCCCGGGGTCTTGTTCACCAATATTTACACCAGTCTAATCTACGGTGAGAACCACTCATTCTTACACGTCTTCGAATCAGTTTTGCTGACCGCCTGCTTTTACCTGCAGGAATCTACTACTCCTTCTTCGAAGCGTTCCCCATCGTCTATGTTGGTATCTACGGCTTCAACATAGGCGAACTAGGGATCGTCTTCACGTGCATCGTGGTGGGCTGTGTAATTGGAATCGCGATCTATTGCTCCTACGTCTACTGGTATCTGGAGCCTGATATCAAGAAGAACGGGTTGCGCGCACAGGAACACCGGCTCGTGCCGGCCTTGTTTGCCGTCACGCTCATGCCTGCGGGAATGTTCTGGTTCGGCTGGACAGCACAGTCCGATATCCACTGGATCGTGAGTATCATCGGCATCACCTTCTATGCCGTTGGCGCCTTCGTCGTGTTTCAGTGCATCTTCATGTACCTGCCCTTGACATACCCACAATACGCAGCCAGTCTGTTTGCCGCCAATGACCTCTGTCGCTCCGCTCTAGCTGCGGGCGCCATCATCTTTTCACGCCCCTTATACATCAACCTGGACATCGGGCGAGGCATCAGCGTGCTCGCGGGGTTGCTCGTCGGCGGCGTCCTTGGCATGTGGGCTCTATGGTACTTCGGCGCCAGTCTCAGAGCCAGGAGCAGGTTTGCCCAGAGCTGAGTGGATTCTAACGCCGGGGTTGGTGCGGATGATGGTACATCGATTCCCGGAGTAGGATGGTTGGACAGGGCACTGGGGATGATCGGGATTGATCAGGGCCCATGCCCAGAATCTGGTGGAAAAGCAACCGCGGTTTTGGCACACTGCATTGATCCCCCATGCGAAGCTGGGCGATTTCCATGACACCCGCGCTTGATTGACGCTCAGTACAAGGAGGGATTATCATCTGCGAATGCCTTTTCTAGGGGTGTCAAGCGAGTTTCTATCTTCTGCTCCATTGACACGAGTCTTTGTATCCGTACTCCGGATGGAAGTACCTGGTATGGACACTATTCGGCAAAACACTTTACTTCTCAGGGAACTATAATACGGGACTTTCGAAATGTGCTTTCGCCAAAACATCAAGATATATATTCTCCTAATTCGGGACATGTGATCCCCTAGTCCTTTCTAAGAGCCCAGTCGATTGACCTGGTCCTGCGTTTCCTATCTCTGGCCTTCCGACCCCTTGGTCTCATTCTTACCATGCCTTGAGCGCTTAGCTGCCACCAAGTCTGCGTCGCGAGCGACACGCTCCAGCCAGTGGCCCTCGTGTGACATGAAGAGTTCCACCTCAGCATCTGACGGCCATCCGAGGAGCGCACAATGCAGTCTGGCCTCTCGTACCGTCTCAGCATCTACCGCGAAGGGGGTTTCGAACGCGATGCTCTCGTGACCATCCAAAGAGTGCGGTACACTCCCTTCAAGAAACAGGCGGATTGCGCATAAGACGTTACGGAGCGGAGGGAGACCCTCGCCCGACAACAGCTCGGCATTGTCAGTAGAGTCCGGATATCTGTTCAGCGACTCAAGTGTGGCGGCGTGTCCATTCAACCATCGCACCAATGCCACAAGGCCATCGATATCGTGGGTTGACACAAGCACCCTGACCAACAGTTGAAGATCGCGGCCTTCTGGCACGACTAGAAGCGGCGTAGTGGCAGGAGGGAGGAAAGGGGTGATTCTTCGACCATAGATAGCGTGCAGAAAAATATTCTTTGCAAGCCAACCATATCGTGCTGTCGTCACATGGACGCGCCGGTCTTTGAGCATTGCTGATATGATCCCCGCAGCATGTCTAAACGTTTCGAGATCAGGGTGAACGTGCCACGGTCTTGAAAAGGTCCCAAATGTCGTCCATAGACAGCTCCACATGCTATATTTCATGTCGCGGATTGCGGAGGAGTTGAGGGTTTTTCTCATAGCCATGCTCCTCAATTCGGTTAAGGAGACCAAGGATCCTTCAAGGAGCGCATTCCATAAACGCGGATTGGAAGAACGTGAAGCGGTCAAGAGTTCCCAGGCGTATACAAAGGGGGTTATCGTCTCTTTCCTACTCGGGTCCTTGCCGCCGTCAAAAGAGCCCTCGCCCCTCAACCTGAAGAAGGGTTCGTCATCGAAGCCGTGTCTAGACAGCAGCTCGATCAGAGCGGCCAAGGTATGATCTGGGACAGTGCTCAAAGTCTGGCGAATCACTGTAGGAGAGTAGTCTTCGGCATGACGGAGGACCAACTTCGTATCATCATCCCACCTGCTATCCTGGATGTAGGAAAATCCAGCCGAAATATTTGGCGCGCTTTTCAAAAGCCCGCTGAGGAGATTACCGCCGGGTTTCACACCCATCCGTAGCATCTGCTGGTAGAATTCTTCCACAGAAGGGACGTCTTTCTCTATGTAGATCAGATCTCGAGGGTTGCTGGAATCTTGGAATACTTCTTTGACATCGCCTGGGGTGTACGCTGATGCAGTGTGACAATCTTTTTCCACGGCGTGGACAAGTAACTTTTCCAGCATGGCGAAGTAGGGCTGAAACTCCATTTTGGACGCGTCTGTCGGGTCTGTCGACTTCTCGTAGGCACAGAAAGATGCCCAGGCTTCTCTCCTGCTCCTCGTAGCCCGTATACGTGCTGCCCACAAAGCTGGTCCATCTGAAGACCTAGCGCGACGGGGCGACGTTGTCCAGGGACGGGTAGGTCGCGTCAAGATTGCTCGAGTCTGGATGGTAGGACTTTTATCAGTATCCCATCCTGCCAGCACCGCAGCACTCTTTTCCCACTCGCCGTGTGCGTAACCAGCTTCGTTCATTCGTCGCAACAATTTCATCACGCGGCTTTCTTTGCCAGGATATTCGAGGTCCTGTTCTATACCGGATCTGATCTGCCGCCATGGCGGCCACGAGGGAGATTTTGCTTCTGCCCATGTTCGCTCATGCTTTGTTTTACGGTGCAACAACTGGACGCTAATAAGAGCGCGGTAACCCTCGCGCGTAATCGGCAATTGTGGCTGAAAAGTGACCATCAGACGGACAAGTGCAAGCTGTGCGTTCTGCTGTTGACGGTATGCGTTGAATGGCGATTTTGCAGGCGTAAAGGCAATCAACGTCAAGAAACGATTGAAGATGTGAGTCAGACGCTGCAACTCCGGCCTCTCAAGTGTACGCCCAGCTTTGTAATAGTCGGAGAAAAGGTGTCCAATAATCAAGGCGATATCATCGAGGCAGTCTGGCGCGACTCGCCGAGCATGTCGTAAAAGCCTGATGACCAAACACACCCTAGTGACCCAGCCCCATCCGGAATACTGCTTCTTCTCCTGAGAGATTTGCAAGTCGGCCAGAACGCTTTTGATGACTTCCTTGAGAGCAAAATGACCGACATAACTGGCACGGAGGAGCTGTAAGAGGACAAATTTAGGAATGATCCCTTTCCGAGTCTTTCGCAAGTCTGCAGCTAATACAGTGTACCTTTGTACAGCAAGATCGACGCTGTCAGAGGAGAGAATCCAAGACCAGCTTACCACGTCTGTGACATCGAAGCCATTTTCGGCAAGAACTTGGAGTGATGCGCCGTCAAACGTGGACCGCAGGTTTTGGTTAAGGACACATTCGACCTGGGAGGAATCCCAGCTTGCTGAAGTGTCACGGAGAATAGGCTCGACTTTGTGGAGGTAGTCGAGAAGGAGCTTGCGAAGAGGGGTGGATGATCTAAATGACAGTGTGGCCGATGCCTCGAGCTTGACAAGACTCTCCTCCCATTCAACTGAGTTTACGTAAGAGAGATCAACTTTCCTCCTCTTGACATGAGATGGAAGGAATATTGACAACTGTTTCGACACAGTTTGGTGAACAGGGTCGAGCCCATATCCAATTTCCAATTCTGTGGCAGCGTATGCCTCTTTCTGCTCATGCTCCGCATCACATTGCGTACCAGAGAAAGTGTTCCGCTGGAAAACTTTAGAAGTTGCAGAACTAAATTGAGCGTGTTGGTTTCGTAGAGGGTCTGGTGCAGGTGAACCTCCACTAGCGAGGGAGAGAGCATCATTATGCTTAGCAGCGTGTGTATTTAGAGTGTCCAAAGAGATCGGTTTATGCGGGCGCGGGCATTGGGATGAGCTAGGCCGGACTCCATGGGAAATTCGTAGCAATGCCCCTGTCAACGGCGATCGGACGAAAGGGAACTGTCATATGTCAGATGAGAGTCGGGGCTCAAAGATAAGACATGACTTACCACATATTTCCCTGCCACAAGGCGATGGGGTGGAATGGGGAAAGAAGAGATTACGCGGTGGACGTTGACCATCCATTGATGCTTCGATTGAGAAGCAATTAGGCTGCGGGGGCTCAAACGGGGGGGTTGTGAGGGTAAACTGAGTTGCAGACGCAGGGGAATATTCAAGCCAGTCGAGAAAAAGCGTATAAGAGCTAGATGCTGCTGGCGGTCCGTCGTGAAAAGCTCGAGTTTAGATGCGAAGTTACAGTATGTAGGTGTTGGTTGACCTGCACCGCAGGGCACAGTGAGGACTCGGGGTCGGAGGACCTGCCAAGTCAAGATCGCTGCTAGTCCCAATACGGATAGGATGGCACTGCAGCATTGCTAATAGTAGTTTGGCGCCACTGCATCTTCCTGCGGGAGAGTCGCAGCGAAAGGCTTGCACCACCACTACTTCCAAATCTCCTACGCCGTGTCCAGTCCCATTGTCGCGACCTGCAGTTCCATATCAAGTTGAAGGGGGTAGTAGACACGAGCACAATCGCCTTGGAATATACTCTCGTTCATTACTGTATTGTTTTCCTGCCTCCTGCAAATCAGCTAGGCCGACGTCGCGCGTCTGGGGGGTCAACACCACCCGCACCTCACCCTTGCAGACTCCTGCATTGTCTTTCGCGCGCCTGGCGATCCGACAGCAACTAATTCCCTGCCGGTTGTGCACAGTACATACCAGGGTGGCTACATCCACGTCAAATGTATTCGACTTAGTGGTTCATATCTGCATGCTGTCGCGCTGGTCTGCACTCCCACTCGCGTCCCAAAACATACAATCAACATCTCTGCGACAACAGGCCATTCCTTTACCACACCATCATGGCGGAAGAAAACGGGGTATCAGAACACGATGACACTATTTTGGTATCTACTACCCATCTGGGGAAACGCAAGCGCACGGTTTCTCCAGATGCTTCGACATCGCCTGCAAAGGTCAAAGATTCACCTCTACAGATGTCTCTACAAGATGTTCTGCGAACTCTCCGCAAGTGCGTCTTCTCTGCAAATTCATCCCTCCTACACAGCTGATCTTTCTATGCAGACATGACTCTACGCCCTCGTTGCTCAAGTACCCGCTACCTTTGGCGGCTGAAGCTCATGATCCAAAAAGAGCGCGCCTCACGAATAGCGAATCTCCAACCGACACAATCGAGGGCCGAATAGTTGCAGGAACATACTCCTCCTTTCGTGCGCTCATGGAGGATCTGAATACTGTTAAAGATGCCATCATCAAAGATCTCTCTGAAGTAACTACGAATGGGGAGGGTCATTCCTCCAGCCCATCTAAATCAGAGATACAGGACAGGCTATCCAACATCTTGAATCTCATACCTATACTCGATGCTGAAGTATCCAGGGGCTCCGATGCCGCTGTTTCAAACGATGAGGGAGATGATTTGACCAAGGCCAGCCTTCCTGGTTACCGTCCCCGGCATATCTTATCCCTTCGAAGCCAGGTGAATGGAAGCACTCATTTACTATACTCTGGACTCGAGACCGGTCAGCCTGTCGAAGAGGATGGCAGCAATGCGACACCTGAGACCGAGGGAGTGAACTTGCCTAATGGGTTTGAGTTGACTGATTTCGCAGCCTTGGGAGGAGATGGGGAAAAACAGAGTCAGGAAAAGCGACTTTTTGGCACCGCCTTCCGCCCTTCGGGTCGATTAAAGCCCCTAGATCTCCCACGACCATCTAAGAACACCGTCAGGGGAAACACCTTGGATTTTATCCCCTACTTGTCTCAAATTGAAAACAATGCTCAGTTCAAGCACGATTACAGGTTCACCAAACTACCTACAGGGTCATGGCTGAGTTATGGAGACAGTGGCATCACTGGAGAGCAGAATCGGAAACGCTCGCGCCAACTATCTGCGGCCAATGACTTCAAAGCAGCGCTTGAGGCAAACGACCTACAACATAGAAATCACATCAGTATCGATGCGCTCTACAGCTCGGTTTATTCATCGTTTGCACCAAGCACCGATAACTCAGCTTCCGTATTCTCGGAGCAAGACCGAGGTCGGCAATGGTTCCGCAAATACGGCGAACAAAAGCTGTCCAGGATCTTCAGAGTCCGCGAATCAGAGGCTGGTGCTGAAGAGACAGTCGTCCAAGAAGAAGAAAATGATGACAGCTTGGAAGAAGTCGTCGCCAATTTCGAACCAGATAAGGAAGAAGCAGCTTTCAGCGCTCAAAATGAACCTGAAGATGTGGACGACCTTCTGCAGCAGGTATCAGATCTGATTCAGACCCTGAGTTCATATCAAAGGAACCGCAGCCTCGAACCGATTGTCTCAGGGAGCGTCCCCAAACCAACTGAGCCCGAGATCGATATTTTCGAAATGCTGAGAATGCAATTGAGTATCCTAGTTTCGTCATTACCACCATTCGCTGTCGCAAAACTCAATGGAGATCAACTTGAAGCTTTGAATATTTCGACCAGGGTACTTGTCGAGCCACCGGATTACCCGGGAACCGGTCAGGTGGACGATTATACATTCCAACGTCAGAAAATATCCCAGCAAGCCACCTCAGCTGTCACTCGCACCACAACAACTCCCCAGCTTCGGCCCAACTATGGACAAGCTGCTGTCAATACGGGTGTCTACAATTCACAAGTCCGAACCTACAACTCAGTGCCAGCGACGGCTGCGTTTGGTATGAGAGCACCCTACCAAACACCAACTGTGGCACGACCCGCCTACCCACAAACCTCCTACCAACCGTCCACCAATCCATATGGATCTCGTCCTACCATACAACAGTTTCAGCGGCCAGCACAAAATAGCTATGGGAATTATGGTGGCACACCTGCGCAGGCACAAACTCCTGGCTATGTTCAACGGCCAGGCCAACCGGGCTACCAGCAACGCCCCCATGACAATGCTATCGCCAGTGTACCACGATCAGCCTCGCCACAGAAGCCGATCGGAAATGGACAACTCTATCCATCCAGGCAACACCCTACCCAGCAGGCTCAGACGCTTTACTCGTATCAGAAGCAAGGTTCTAGCACCCCGGGGACACCTGGAGGTGTGGCGCCGGTGGGTACCGGATACGGACGATACGATGGGAGTGCAGCTCAGCCCAGGGTTGGGGGAGGGACACCAGGCCCGGCTCAGGCGCAGGCGCAGGCTCAGATTGTGGAGGTTTCTCGATGAGGGTCAGCTTTCCCCGGGAACGATTTGTACGAGTATTGCTTGTCTTAGTAATCCGGACTGCACTGGTCTCGAAGATGTCAGCAGGTTTTGATAAAAAGAGATAGTTGATTTCAAAAGACGTTCTATTTGCCCGCGCCATGGTTCCGCGTTTAAGACTTCTTTTCATCTTCGGCTCTTCGCTGGCTGCCAGAGTCTACAGAGTATACACATCTGTGCGAGGAGCCTTGAGCACCGCCACCACTACGTATAGATCCACGGCCATTTCCGAATCGATTAAGTGATAGGGTTATCTGTGACAAAACACCAATGTGAGTTGGAACAGGGACGCGGGAGAAGAGACTTGTGGTATCGTCACGGACCGAACCATAGTAAGCCGCAGTCCTGCCTAGGTACCGTAGGTTAGGTAGGTACTACTACTAGAGCCGCAGGCAGTCGAGGTGCAGCTGCATCCTGACCTATTATTGCAGTGACTCTTGCGCCCAGCTTCCCAGACTACTCTACCAGTATCCGTACAGGGTCTCAGGAGTCCTCCGTACCTATGGATTCGGTACTTCCCAGAGTCAGCGTCGTCTACAAGGGTAGCCCTACAAGCCACCGACGCCTGATTCCTTGGCCGTTGTTTCCATGACCAACCCCTCGCTCGTATTCAAGAGCCCATGCCTCGCCGAGCCACGAGATGATGTCGTGAAAAATTAAGGCGCACCAGGTAGGGCGCAATCAAGGCAGCTTCAACTATGGTTCAACCGGGGCGTCGAAAGATGCTGACCGATCACTTCAGCCTCCCTCTCTATTTCCTTATCTTCCACCTGGCTGTTCTGTTTTCGGCTGTCCTTTAAAAACGCAGGCAGTGCCCCGATCATCCAACGGGTCGACCAGACAAACGCTCTTGCTGCAGTCTCCCCCTTTCATAAAAAGTACGTCGTTCACGTGCGAGGAATCTACCAAAAGAAGGCACCAAACGTCTCGCACGTCATTGACAACATCGACTGTCCTCAACAGCTCAGCAGGATACACGCCATCCTAACCACTCCACTATCCAAGCCCATTTTCTCGCCCAAAAATGTGCTTCGGCGGTGGCAGCAGTGACGATGCTGTGGTCATCCGACGACGTGCACGACCACGCTACAGTCGAGATTATGTGTCCCGGCCTGAGGTAGCCACGTATAGACGAAGTGAGACGGCCGGTCGACGGTCTGCCTCTGGGCATCGGCCAAACTACAATCATGGCAGCTTCGAGAACCATCATCAGTCGCGCGACAACTACTATCCCGATCCACGACGCAGTGGGAGCGGAACCAAGATCGTCACATATGAGAAAAGAAGCAGCAGGCAATACCTGTCCTAATGGGGGATGGAGGTATCAAGAGAATGCTGTTCGGTTACAGAGTTGGAGAACCATGCCTACATACGGCTCATGGATGGAGGGTGGCTGCGACATACAGAGTGGTACAGAATACGGAGTTCAGAGTACAGCACCTAACCTTAAGGCCTGGAGCAAGAATATCAAGGGCGACCACTAATGACATCATCACATGAAGGTCTGGACTGGTACGGAGCTGCTAGGTACGAAGTTATATGCGAATTAGGTGCAAGGATCCTGTCGGATCTGGTAGCGTTCTGTTTAATGGCTCAGGCTCCAACTTGGAATTGATTATATTGTAATGCATGACATTATGCATAACTGATCCTGTCCTGATCTGGCCGGCTTAACTACTGGAAGCACTGGTATAGGACGGTTGCACATCCATTATTGTTATCGAAGGAGAATGGTTCCGGTGAGGAAGGGTGTAGGACAATAATGTCACCACCGGCAGCACACCACCACATCACCACCCAGCCCCTCCAAAACACTCCCACATACGTCATGTCTGTGCATTGATTGCCATCTTTCGTGGCGCCCGCATCCGCATCCGCATCGCATTCAGCCGACTGCCTGCTCTTTGTCTTCTTTCTCATTCGCAATCACCGTGAAAAGTTGAAGTTGACTCTATCTTCACTCTCTATACTGCCTACACTCATCAGCCCTTGCCACTCTCCAAGTACACCTACGCCAAGCCACCAGCCGCCATGAATCGCGCCCTGTCCATCCGCTCCCGTAAGAAGGATGACCATACCAAAGAGGCCTCCAAGCACACCTTCTCTATTTCCACTCTTCGCGGCATTCAGCAAGCTGAACTCTCCAAAAAGCTGTTCAAGCTGATCAAGACCGAGAACCATGCTATTGGAGCGTATGAAAACGCCGGCCGCGAGCGTCTCTCCATTGCGTCCCAGCTGTCCGATTGGGGAGAATCCACCGGCGACGAAGCCGTGTCCGACCTGTCGGACAAGATTGGCGTGATTCTCTCCGAGATAGGAGAACAGGAGGATCTTTACGCACAAAACCTTGAGGACTATCGGGCCATCTTGAAGCAGATTAGAAACATTGAGTCCAGCGTACAGCCAAGCAGAGATCAGAAAGCCAAGATTAGCGATGAAATCCAGAAGCTCAAGTACAAGGAGCCATCCAGCCCGAAAATCGTCACGCTCGAGCAAGAACTCGTGCGAGCTGAGGCCCAAAATCTGGTCGCAGAAGCGCAGCTGACCAACATTGTATGAACAGACCCACACCCTGAAAAGCAAAGAATTTAGCTGACTAGTGATTGTGAAATAGACTCGTCAGAAGCTCAAGGAGGCATTTGACGTGCACTTTGCGGCGACGATCGAGCGCGCCGAGAAACAACTCATCCTGTCTAGGCATGGCCGCCGCCTTCTGAACTTGCTCGATGACACCCCTGTGGTCCCGGGAGACGTGCGACAGCCTTTCGAGCAGGCCAGCGAGGCAAGACAAATTCTCGCTGACGCAGAGGATGAGCTGCTTTCATGGCAGCCCAATGTTGAGCCCATCCAATCGAACGCTGGAGGCCTCGGCTCCAACCTGGTGCCCTCGAATGAAGCGGGTGCCCGTACCCACTCAGAGGTGACTGAGCCAGTAGCGGCCCCTCCTCCGACCGAGAAGCCGGCAGCTGAGGCTCAGGGAACACACCTGGAGGCGGTGACCGCTTAGAAGGTGGAGGCATGGAACGCTGAGCAACGGTGGGAACGGGAGAGGGAAAGGACTAGAGACAGAGAAAGAGAAGGGCTCAAGAAATGAGAGTTCTCACCAGGATAGGAGTCCTGCGCTTGTATCGGTCGCGGGTCGCAATCATGATGTTTGGTATTCTTGTTTCGCGCTGCTCCAATTGCTCATTCTCCGTGGGTGTACCGGGGACTTAAGGGGGGTGGGTGTCAATGGCCACGGGGGTGACGAGGAGCAGAAGTTGTTTCTTGTCTGTAGCAATCCAGGATCCCATACATGTAATTGTTCGAGTTGAGATGCTTGGTATACTCCGTACTCTGGGATCTTATGTTCCCCCACAGGACATGCCTCGCTTTAATAGCACGGTATGACGAATCATTGGCCATCCCCAACAGGTTCGAGGCGCCGATACTAGATGATGCTGGATGGCGTATGATTGGCGGTGAAGCTCCTTCGGCTCGTAAGCGACGTTGCTGGGGGGTTAAGCGCGGGTCGGTTCGATCTGGCGAGGTTGTCGGCAGTCATGGTGTCGTAGGATTTCCAACGCACAAAAGTCGTGGTTGGAGGACTCAGGATGGGAACATGTACTCCGGATGGAGCTCTTATCCGTTGCTTCGCCACTCTCTGGGATGGATGATGCTTACACAAGGGTTGTCTATCAACCAGGGGTTGGTTTCCTCATTCCCTGACCGCCATCTGATGCTTGGTTCGTGAACCTTTCCTCTTCCATCATCTCAGACACGAGCTGTCTCGCATGGTCTAGACAGAAAGATAAATCTCGCCTTTCTTTTCTCCTGCGAGTCTCTCTCCATCTCCCGAGCCATGACTTTCTGATCTGTTTTCTTTCTCCCTCTTACCGTCGAAAACATAAAGGCACCGACAGGATGCCGTCCTCCTTGGTCATTGCAGTCGTTGCCCTCGTGGTCTACTGTGTTGTCAATACCTATGTTTCCTTCCGGCAAAACCTGGATCGCGCCAAACGCTCTGGTATCCCCTATGTCACGGTCCCAGTCTACTACCTCAATCGACTGTGGCTCCTCACGCATACGCTCTGGCTACCTCTGCTAGCAAAGTTGCCATGCAGTTGGACCCGCTGGGTGGACTTCTGCATCCCAGACTTCACTCATCGATGCAGTATTGAGGTTTTTCGGCGCGTCGGAGCCGACACCTTCCTCGTCGTTTCGCCGGGGGGGATCATGATGCACACGGCTGACCCGGCCGTCATTTCTCAGATCACGACCCGCAGGAACGACTTCCCCAAGCCGACGGACATTTATCGCTCGCTCGATATCTATGGGAAAAATGTGGTTTCGACCGAAGGAGCCATGTGGCGCCAACATCGTAAAGCCACCAGTCCCCCCTTTACGGAGAAGAACAATCACCTTGTTTGGGCTGAGAGTATTGACCAGGCTTCTGCCATGCTTGCTTCGTGGCTTGGTCCCGCTGGGAAGGGCGACAAGACCGTCGACCGAGTCATGGATGACACGATGCGGCTCAGCTTGTATGTCATTAGCCGAGCAGGTTTCGGAAGGAAGCTCGAGTGGCCGTCGACCGATGCAAAGGCTGACGTCGATTCCGACTACATTGATCATTCCAAGATCAAGAATCAGGGGATCGATCGAGACGCTGGGCACTCGATGAGCTATACATATGCGATCCACTGCTTGCTAGATAACATCCTTCTTCAATTCCTCCTACCTCGGTGGCTTATGGACAATCTCCCTTCGAAGACGGTGCGGAAGGCGAACGAGGCCTATTTGGAGTGGGGAAACTATATGAAAGAAGCTGTTGCGTCCAAAAAGGAGAGTCTAGAGGCCGGGGCCGAAGACCAAGATCAACTTGATCTGTTGGGTCAGTTGGTCAAAGGTCAAGTAGCCTCCAAGAAGAGTAAGGACGTCACTCTTACCGACCCCGAGATCCTCGGAAATATGTTTGTCCTCATCCTTGCTGGCCACGAGACGGCCGCCAACTCTATACATTTCTCTATGGTTTATCTCGCACTCTACCCCCAGAGCCAGAGAGCCCTGCAGAAAGACCTCGACCGCATCTTCCAGGGAAGGCCTCCATCGGACTGGGACTATGACCGTGACCTACCCGCTCTCTTCGGTGGTATGGTCGGTGCTGTTTTAGCAGAAGAGCTGCGGCTCGTCCCGCCAGTAATCGGAATACCCAAGTCGACTTGGGGAGTACCTGATCAACAAATCATGATCGAGGGAAAGTCGTGTACCGTACCTAGTGGCACCTATATCAGCCTGTGTTCGTCTGATGTCCAGCGGAATCCCAGATACTGGCCAACTGGCAAACCGACATTGCCCGGCGGTAAGCCCGTTCACCCTGTCTCGAACGTGGACAATGATCTCGAAGAGTTCCGACCCGAACGTTGGTTGCTAGACGACGAGGGCGAGGTACAAATCTCAGCAGCGGGTATGAATAAAGAGATGCCGACCGAAACAGTGACAAGTGATGGCCTTGCCATCAACGAGGCTGCCGATACCTCGGACCGAATGTACCGCCCTCCGAAAGGTGCGTATGTGCCTTTCAGCGATGGATACCGAGCTTGCCTGGGGCGACGATTCGCTCAGGTTGAAGTCCTGGCGACACTGGCCGTCATCCTCCAAAATTATTCAGTCGAACTCGCCGTCGACCAGTGGGCGACCGATGAGCAAGTCATCGCAATGGACGAGGACGGCCGCGTGGAAGTGTGGCAGAAAGCCGCCGAGCATGCCAGGGACTTGATGCTCAACGGCCTCAGCGTGATCATTTCGCTGCAGATGAGAAGGGGCCATGTCAGCATGCGATTCGTGCCCAGAGGTCAAGAGAAGTTCCCGGACGATGGGGATGAGAAATGGAAAAAGAAGCATCCAGATCTGTGTAGGGGAATGGAGCCGACTCCTAACTGGAGGTTTTGGGGTTGAAAAAGCGCATTGCTCGGAAGGCTGTCTTTCGACGTCCGACACAGGGGGCTGTTGTTGGATGTGATGCGTGTATGCAGCGTTCTGAAACTGTATAATTCTTGGAGAGGCGAGAGGATGGGCCATCCTGAGGTTTAATTGATACATGAATAGGAGGAAATCTGCCGCTGGTATGCCCGCCCTTTTCCACCTCTCTCCTCTCTCCTCTCTAATATCGCATCCATGATTCGGTAAGCTCAAGCTCTGCCCCAGCTCTAGTATGAGACCACTACACATGACGGTAGTATTCGGCAGTCGCAGTAGCTTACCGGCCGGTGCCTGTGCCTGCCTAAGCGGCTTCGCTGGCTTGACGTGAGTCGCTGGGATTGTGGATATTGACGCACGCTACGATTCCTCTTTCGCCTTGTCCCTATTTCCCAGCTTCTATGGTGCCGGATATCTGCATCCCCCGTATTTTGCTTTCCTCTGCTGGTTCGGTGGGAGCGGTGGCACGGTTGGAATCGCACGGGATTTGTCTTCCTGATCTGGGTCAGCAACGAACGAGCCGCAAATGAGATGAGATGGGAACGAGCAGCGGCTGCGCCATTTCGCACATGCGTCTGTCCACGGTCCACGGTCAGATTGTACGTAGTTTGCTGGAGCTGGCATCGCCTTCGCTGGCAAGCGTCCAAGCGTCGGCGGCAACCTAGACCTGCAGTCCACTGGCGATCGACGGGTCAGACGTTGTTGGGCAGAAAACACCTGGACTTCCGTTGCAGATTCGCCGAGATAAAAACGCAGGGGAGCTGCTCCGAGTCTGACGGGGCCGTCTCTGCTTCTTTGCTGCCCTCTAAGCTGAGACGTCTTGCCAGTTTTCCTCCTTCAGCCTGTCGTTGCCCCTATAAACTGGGTCGTATCACACGCTCGCCTCGCCGTTGCATGCACTGGTCCTTTTCTGCATGCTCGATTTGCGCGGTTTGCTTCCATGTTTGTGCCCCTCCCCTCTCGCACCTGTCACCTCCCCCCGGACACCAGCACCAACACAACACCAACCCCCAACCCTCAAAGCCTCCTTAGCCTGACCATTCCTGCTTGCAGCAAGGGGTGGCCTCCCGAGCCATCGTGTGTTCACAGCAACCCTCCGGCCTGTCTTGCTTCTAATAGCCTTTTGTTGTCTTTCGTTCAGTTCGGACGCCCGGTCTGTTCCCAGATGATGGAGGCGATATCTACATCCTCTCCTGGGTCCATCGTTGCCAGGTACTCCGCTATTTGCAAACTGTTCTTCTGATCAGGCCCCCTCCGAGGGCCTATGACTGGCCCTGAGCCTCGAGCCACCTCCCCATCCCTGCATGTTCGTCTCCGTGCGTGATCAGGGACGCCGGCGTCGCAGCCAGACCTACGGGGTTAGCAAGGCTGCTCGCTCGTCCAAGTTATCCCTCCTATCTGCAATTACGACTGGATCCCATGGGTCGAACGGTAGTGCTTCTACCATCACTCAGGAATCCTACACCAGGTCCTCGTCCAGTTCGGGCAAAAGACGAAAGACGTCGAAACCGAAACGACCCCGAGAAAGCCGAGAGGGGAGAGTGGCGCGGGAGAAAAGCAGTCTAGAGAGGGCGCAGAAAGAGAAGAGCATGTCCAAAGACTCGCTCGACGTCTTCGCGTTCCTTGTGCCGGAGGATGATCAAGATCCCACCCATCAGCGCCCCCAAGAAGCTGCGCACCTCAGGCAGGAATCGCCGCCTCGACACGAAGAATCTGATACTGAGAGTATTGTGAGAAGTATGCATTCCGACTCGGGCATCTCCATGGGAGACACTAATGTCTATCCCCATGGCAGCGAGCCTGCCCATGGACACCATTTACCGCCATTATCTGAGGAGACACAGGAGGCAGATGACACCCAGGCACAATTGGAATGCGAACCTCCTGGCTCTCAGCCCCCTCGATGGAAATGGCCGGATATACCGCCAGCTACTCACGAGCCCCAAATCCGTGACACTAACCCTAGGACTCCAAGTCCAGAGCAGCGCCGCATACGCTTTGCATGCCCTCCAAGCGAGTTTGACAAAGGATCGCGAACCCCGAGGAAGCTCCTGTCCGGCTATGATCTCGTTGCCGATCAGTTGTCCCGAGGAGAACTTCCGCCGGTGTTTCGCCGGTTCAGCAAAGTTCACTTTCGAGTGTTACTGCAAATCCAAGATGAAATCGTGGAAATGGAAGAAGAGCTCACGGCTCTGGATTTGGCTGACACTGAGAGCCGCCTCAACATCGACGGCAGCACTTCGCCAGCCTCGCGACGGATCAACTGGCAATGGAACCTGTCCGATCTGCATGCACGTCGGCTGCAGGTCTTGGGCAGATTGTATATCAAGCTTGAGCAATACTGTAGGTGTCTGTTGGACGGAGTTGTCGCCATTCTGGCATGGACTGATGGGTGACAGACCAAGCACTCGTATCGGGACAGAAGGTACAGAGACTGACGTCCCAAGCACTACCGGCGGACATTGAGAGGTTTCGAACATGGCTGCAAGAGCACAACCCTCTGTCGATGCCCGAGTCGAAATTCTTGGAAGAGGACGACGACGTGATCTCATTGGAAGTGCCGTTTGCACCTCCACAGAAGACAGAGGCCGCACCGGATGTGATTCCTCTCTGCATTGTGACGATGGCGCTGTTCCCCCTGCTGTGCTTCAAATTCCTTACCGGCGTCCTAAACAGATTGATCCTTCTAACTGCATTGTTGGCTGCAGGGCTGAGCAGCCTGGAAAAGCTGGACAGAGCAAAAGTCGAGCAACATCAGCAGTGGCTCATTGCATGTTTTGGAGTTTCCTTGGTGGCTGCTCTATTTTTTTAGATGGCATACAAATCACGATGCTCATCCTTTCAACCAGAAGGTACAGCTGGACGGAGGGATGCGCCTGTAAATTGTATCAACAGCCCGGTCGGTTGGAAGGGGATATTCTTCTATAGTTTCACGCAGCCGAGGGTTTACCTAGCTTTACCTAATATACTCAGTACATGGGCAGGGTTGGAGCTGGTCCGTCGTTGAGATATGAGGCAGAGCTGTGCCTGGTCATGCGAGATCGTTGTCCCCTCTGGGGGGAGTGCTATGGCAAGAAATAAGGCTCTGTTTGGGCAGAGAGAAGATATAGTACGAGGCCGAGTAGCCTTAGGGAGCCTTAGGCTTAGACCTCCTAAGCTGCCTAAGCCTCTGGAGCCTAAGCCGTTGCCAATGGTCGGTCCCCTTAGCCTACTAAGCATCCAGTCACCTACCCGCCAGACCCTGGGAGCCTTAGAGCCTCGTGGGGGAGTGTGCAGTACAGCTACTTACGCATAGTGGATGAATGCTGTGGGGGACAATGCGGGCAGTCAATTCCCATCCCGTCGACCATGCTTCATTGTTTGTATCCCTCTTCCAACCATCCACACATCAACGTGGGAGGACCGGTTCAGATCAATACCGTCTTTTCCACTCCTTTAAACGATATCCTTTGGCTCCTTGTGACTCCTACTAGTCGGTCAATGTCTGCACACCATCTTTTCTAAAACCAAGCCGCGTCTCTGCCTGCGCGTGAGACTCGGTCATGTGCCTGCGCAAGAGCGTTCGCACTTGCAGAGGTTAGCACAAATGCGCCAACATGGCCCTGATCTGAACTCATATACCTGTGTCGCTGTTTGATCTTTCTCTAAAATCACCCACTACGGCCCTCTTGACTGTTGAGGACCCTCCCCTTACTACCTCCCTGGCATCGTCCATCCATGGCATCCAACTTCTTCTCTCGGTTCACAGGGTCCGACAACCCCTCGGCCTCCATCTATGAAACCATCCGACAACACGACAATGATTCGGAGGGCTCCGATGTTGAGGAGAGGGCCGGGCTCATCGCCGAAGCCCAAGTTACCGGACAAGCCTACCACGATCTTGACTCAACCGACGGTGACATGAATTCGCCGCCAGATCCTCCTTATCACCTCGACGGCTCCACCGCAGGCAACAACAAAGGTCAGGCTTCGCGAAAAGACAAGAGTAGGGCTCAACCTAGGCCGAGATGGAATCAGGGGCCTCACAAATTGCTGGATGTGGAAGAGGCGGATGACGAGGTTCCAGCATCTCTGCTGATCGACCACGACGCGGGCGGCCGTGAGCATGGCTCTATATCACTCCCTCCGCCTCCGAGTCGTATGCCTGATGGCCTTACCCGGCGAGGAGATACGATCCGTCTTCCATCTCCTGGTCAGGCTTTGTATTCGCAGACTCGCCGAACGTCGACTCCCAGCGATCCAAGACGTCCCCGGACTGAGCCAGTACCCGCCACCATTTGGGGGAATCTCGCCAGTGCGGATCCCAAGGAAAAGGCCATGTTCCGATGGGTCAATGTCACCAATCTCGACAACTTTCTTCTGGAAGCTTACACGTACTACGTCTACCACGGCTTCTGGTCCATCCTTCTCATGCGTTTTCTGAATCTGGTCACTGTTGCCTTTGTGGTTGGCTTCTCCCTATTCCTTACTCAGTGTATCGACTATCGAGAGATTCGAGGAAGCACCAAGATGTCGGAGATCCGTGTCCCTCAATGTGGCAAAAATATGGGCTTCATCCCGAATGCTTTGCTTTGGCTTACCACGTTCATTTGGATATGGAAATCTGCCTTGTACATTATTGACATTCCTCGCTTGAGGCACATGCATGACTTCTACCATTATCTTCTCGACACACCCGAACAGGAAATCCAGTCTATATCATGGCAGGAGATTGTCAGTCGACTCATGGCTCTCCGAGATTCCAACCCGACCATCACCTCCACCTCCAAAAAGCCGGGTGTGTACATCAGGTCGCAGGATAAACAACGGATGGACGCCCACGATATTGCCAATAGACTGATGCGAAGGCAAAACTACATGATTGCCATGATTAACAAGGACCTTCTTGACTTGACCCTTCCCATCCCATTTCTTCGCAACCGCAAGCTTTTCACCCGCACCCTTGAATGGAACATTGACGTGTGCATCATGGACTTTGTCTTCAACCGCAAAGGACAGGTTCGAACGTTGTTCTTGAAGGATACCTACCGAAAGGACTTGTCGGATGCCCTCCGAAATCGATTCATTCTGGCCGGCATTGCAAGTCTTATTTTCGCACCTTTCCTTGCAATCTTCTTCATTCTCAAACACTTCTTCGAAAACTTCAACGAATATCAGAAGAATCCAGCCCAGATCGGGTCGAGAGAATACAGTCGCTTTGCGCAGTGGAAGTTTCGGGAATTCAACGAACTCTATCACTTGTTCCAGCGGCGTGTCAACATGTCATATCCATTTGCGACGAGATACATCAACCAATTCCCCAAGGACAAAACCATCCAAGCGGCCCAATTTGTCAGCCTGGTCTCGGGAGCGGTGGTTTCGGTCCTCGGTCTGGCAACAATACTGGATCAGGAGAATTTTCTGAACTTTGAAGTGACCCCTGGTCGGACGACCATCTTTTATCTGGGAATCTTTGGATCGATCTGGGCTGTGGCTCGCGGTCTCCTACCCGATGATAACATGGTGTATGACACCTCCCTTGCGATCCAAGAGGTGATACAGTTCACCCATTACGAGCCACAGCACTGGGCAGGCCGGCTTCATACCATCGAGGTCAAGCAAGAATTCTCACAGTTATATCAGATGAAACTTGTCATTTTCATGGAGGAGGTGTTGAGTATGATCTTCACCCCTTTTGTCCTCTGGTTCAGCCTTCCGAAGTGCAGTGATCGGATCATTGATTTCTTCCGGGAGTTCACCGTCCATGTTGATGGGATAGGATACGTCTGTTCGTTTGCCGAGTTCAACTTTATGAAGCAGCCGAACAGACCGGCAGTCGATGAGGCCACCAATCAAGGTGCCGGAATCAGAATACCGGGGGGCATGGCGAATGTCAACACCAACACAAACCCACGGGATGAGTACTTTGCGTCGAAAGACAACAAGTTGGAAAACAGCTATTGGGGCTTTATGAATGACTACGCGCGTAACCCCAAGACAGACATCCGCTTTCCTTACAATCCCCCCCGACGACGATTCAATATGCCTCCTCCTGTACCTGGCTTCCCTTCGCCGTTGTTCCCAAGTTCAGATCAAGGTCGGGCATTTGGAGGCGGGATCTACGCACAACATCAAGGTGTTGCAGGCACGGGGGTGCCAGGATCGCCTTACCGTGGCGCCCAGCCTTATGGTCATGGATTGGGGCATCCGCCGTCTCAGCCTCTGGGCTCACCTCTTCAATCGCTCTTACTTGATCCGCATCATCAACCTTCTGCCAGCGGATTGGCATCATCGCCACAAATTCTGCGGCCGCGCGGGGTCCACATCAGTAAAGCTCGGCGCGAAATCCCTGATGACCTAGCAGAAGAGGATTCGCCGGAAGCCAGTGCGCAGCATGGGCCGCGGACAAATGGTGCCGCCAGAGAAGCTGGGCATCTCCCTGGAGGGGCATTACAGGACGGTGAGCTTGGGTCATGGAAATATGAGATCGAGTCCTCATCCGGAGATGCGACCGAAGATGAAGACAACGACAATAATGCCAAAGCCATCACTGCTTTGGGGGCTCTAGGGCCATTGGGATTGATCAGACAGTTCCAACAGGCTCAGACACAAGAAGGAGGCAGGAACCGAGTAGGCGGAGCGGCAATGTGAGCTGAGCTTGATGAAGTGGAAGGTGCAAGACCCAGTGACCCCGATTTTGAAGCTTCAGGGCCCTGCTACTGTAAGATAATTGCATCGCAATGCATTGAACGGAGTAAAGGGTTGGCCTAAGGCTAAGTGGTTGTGTATCAGGCTTTGCATAGAAAACGAAACATACGTCTTGGTGCACATCGGGCACATTGGTACACCGAAGGCCAACTGACAGAGCGTTGATTTGGCAGGATGCATCAAGCAGGCTCCGAAGACCTGTTTCTGACCAACGTTGTGTTAATCCGCTCTTATTCCCCAAGCCGGCAGGTATGTAGTAGCATGAGTCGGCATCATGATGGCGCCTAAGAAAATAAGGTACAGCACAGTGTTGTGGTCCTGGTGGGCGAGAGAAGACATAGAAGGGTCAGGATGGGAGTCTGCCACTCTATCATGTCAGTCGCGTCCAAAGGTACAATACTGCCATCTCGCGTGATAAGGTGCCCTGTACCACAGTCGCAAGCCTGGACCGGGATTGGGTCTCACAGGGCATGTCATATCATGACCGGACCGGGGAGGGCAGAGGAGTGTCAAGCTCATTCAGGCCAGGCTGTGTCGAGCTCGGGAGTTGCCTGCCGTGGTCTGATACCCATTAGGACGCGGTGAGGCGTTGTCCCCGGAAAGCATGAGTGAGACGTCCACATATAAGTGCGGACACAAAGCGGGGCCAGCAGGGTTAAGGGAGGCAAAGGAATATACCGGGCCCTTCGAGGGTGAAGAACTCCGGTAAGCACTCAAGCACCCCCGTTCATCCTGAAGTCAGCCAAGGAGAGTACTGTAGCATGCTGACGGGTTGGCCAGGGCAGAAGTGGATCAGTGGTTTGCATGAGGTCCTACAACCTGGACCTCGACCTGAAGCCAGTGGCTGTAATAGTGGTTATAGAGACTTGCGGGTCAGGTTTACATGTGCTGTCGCACATGTAGCATTGTCATAAAGGTTGGATGCAACCTATAGTATCGACCATCTGAATATCTCACCTCGTTTGGTGTATGCAGACGATAGAGTGAACAAACGCCGATGTTCATCAGCTCTAAATGCAGATCTTTAGTGTAGTACGATGACGAAGACTGGAATAGACTGGAAGCTTGGGGTCTGGCCGCCCTTGGGTGCTTTGTATCCGTGCCGTCCTACCAGTCTTGTGAGTGGTCGAGGTCTCGCCGGGGTATGTTCGTGCGGTGGGCTGTGAAACCATGTCGCTGACCGTATTCGGTGGCCCAACCCAGAGGAAACGCGACGCCACATTGATGCCGTGCAAGAGTAGCATGAGTGCAGCCAGAAGAACAGGTGGGCGGAGACAATATGTGCTAGTAGCACGACCCTTTTCTCTCCAGTTTGTGTGAAGTCATTTGGTAACTAGAAACGAAGGGGGTTGATACTTTTGTGTTCGTTGCGCGCTGCACTTGGATTTTCAACGTCGCTGAGCTCGGTACTTGTGTTCGGTGAGAATGGAGCACGCGAACGCAGCGCTGTGTATACTCCGTATAGGTGCTTCTAATTATGATATTGGAGGGGATTGAGTGATGTACGGATAGTCGGTGCTTTAAATAGGAAACTGGGGTCGGTTATCATGTCAGCAATCTAAGGTAGCTTGGAGCCAAGTATCCGTACAGATGTGGCAGGGATCTTAATTCCAGGTTACAGGCTGCAGCAGAGACCATATACGATGTGCCGTAGGATGAGATTCGAAGGTCGAGGATTTCAACCGTTGTTGCAGAGCCATCCGCTGCCGGGAGCATACCTTACTGGATGGACAGGTCGAGGAGGAGTGGCAGAATGAGTTCGACTGGCATCGGGGTTGTATGCCAGCCAGAGTGAGACTGACAAGGCCCCCAATGCTCACCGGTAACCACAGCCGTTGGGAAGTAAGCCTTGGCCTAGGAGAATCTCGCCATTGTTGTCTGGTACTATTGTAGTAAGACCTCACCTCAATCGGGATGCGAGTGCGGCTCTTTTGGGACCAGCATAGGGAACCTCTGGCGCGTGCAAGGGAGAGAGACGCCACTGTTTGTGATGTTGGCGCAGGATCTTCAAGCTCCCGAGATTGAGATTGCGGCTCGTGGCAGTTTGGTTGTGACGGCGGAACCAGGAGAGTGGGCCAAGGCGCATGGCCATGCCGAGAACGACGTGATACAGCACTACAGTAGTAGTAGCGAGTCGAATGGGAAGACGAAACCAGACAGACGAAAATGGAGGCGACGCCAGGGTGTGAGTTTGGTGAGATGGCGCAGTTGATAGTGACGGTGATAGGCGCAGGCGGGGATCTTGTAGCAGGACCCGATGGACGGCGCAGTTTGGCAACAGGTGATGTACGGAGTACTAGTACTGCGTACCTCAGGATTGGTACAGTAGCATGAATGGCTGAGGCTTCAATTTTAATAATAGGGGGGGAAAAGGAAACAACTGCGCTGCTGGGTCAGCCAGAGTTCTCGTTTGACAACTACCTTACGTATTGCTACCATCCAAGTAGGGTAGGAGTACGGAGTGTTCTGTATGGAGTAGCATCCCATCCATATCCCACGTCCGCCTCCTCCTCCTCAACCCGCAACCCTCAACCCTCGCGCATTCCGTCGAGACAGCAATATTACCAATACCATGCCAGTGGGCAAGCAGTAAGCATTGTGTGTCCCCAAGCAAGATGTCGCGCGGGCCGGGGCCTCCTGCTATGTATACTCCGTACTCCGTGCAAGGAGTGGAAATTCCAACGTGTGACAACATGCTCTTTACAATCATAATGCCCCTGTCGATTGATATTCAGGTTTGATGCTGACAGCCACAGGACCGGGGCGTCTAAGCCTAGCCCTATCATCAGCAGGGAGGTTCCATTGTTTCCCACGCGCCAAAGGCGTCGTCGCCATCCTCTCTCCCCTCCTCCTCCTCCTCCTCCTCCTCCTCCTCCTCCTCGCCCCTCTAGGGCCGATAAGGCTCCTGCTGCTCGCCTCGCCTCGATGCTATGTACAGTACCCCTGTCGTCGACCGCCATACCACGGCCACTGGCGGTCTGACCAACTCCCTAGTACCGCCCTACTAATAGTAGGATGCCAGATGCCCTGCTCGACTAGGGTCTCCCCTGCCCCTGGTCTGGTCAACATGCCAAAAAGAACCAGGATTGTCATACTGCTACTGCTACTCCTCCAACTACATACTACATAATAACCACATCCAACGCCATCTTCTCTGCTACTGCGTTCTTACGCACACTATTGTCGATACCCTTTTCTATCAAGAGCCACGCGGGCCATGCAGAAACGCCATCGTGCCTTGTCTCACTCGAGCAAAGCCCTGATTCTTCATCACCCTGATCTTCCAGTTGGCACGTGCCACCCTTGACCCCTTGGCCTGTCTTACCTTCATAAAGCCCATTGCCATCCCAGAGGGATTCTTGTGGCCATACCTTTGCACCCAACCTCACATCGACCATGGCAGCTCAATTTGGGTATGAACATTGCATTCCATGGCTGAGACATGCTCACTGACAGGTGCAAGGGCGGCGACAGCGGCAGCGACATCGTCATCATCATCCATTTCGACCGCCTTGTCTCCTTTGTCTCCTTCGACGACACTGAGCAGCTTGGACGCTTCCTCTACATCTTCCCCTGGTGAAGCAACATCTCTGCCAACTCCTCCTTCCACCACAGCTCCTAAACCCATCAAACTCAGAGCGGCCTGCAACCTCTGCTTCTCCGCCAAGGTGGGTTCTGGTCCATCCACCGTGTATCTTTTTTCTCGCTGACCGTCCCGGCGTCAGGTCCGTTGTGATGGGAACAAGAAAGGTTGCCATAGATGCTCAGAGAAGGGACGTTCTTGTATCTACAGTGAGTCTCGGGTTGGGAAAGTGGTAGGAAAGCGAAGGAAGCGACCCATTCGTGACCCCGTAGAGAACCTACACTCCCAAACCTGGGCCGTCAGTACCACCGCCACCATTCAATCCATTCCCTCGCCTGCCAACACCCAACAAGGTTGCGACGAACAGGCCAGAAGGCATTGCAACCAGCCAGTCTGGACTTCCTTCCTGTCTGGAAGTGACCAAGAATTTCTCAATTTTGACGACACCACAGACTCATTGGACGCGGTTGAAATGGCCGGCAGTCGAAGTTTCTCCGTGGCTAGCGAGCTCTCTTTATTCCCACACAGCGGTCTTCCCACTCCGACCCTCAGTCCGCCTCTCTTCGCTCGATATCTCTCACCCATTCAACCTCAAACTCGCCCTCCATCGCGGCAAGCCTTCACACCAGTGGACCCTTCCAAACTCCATCCGCAGAGCTATGGTGCGCCGCTCTCACAGAAACCACATGCGACGCCGGATGATGAGGAAACTGTGTGTATCAAGCTGTTGGCGCATCTGAAGAGGCACGGACAAGACGAATCACAACATCACGAAACCCAAATTGAACTTCTGAAAAAAAGCAACGCCGCCGTGCGAAGAATCCTACAAAATAAGATGCTCCGCTCCGACTACGCATGCCAGCTAGTTCTTTCAAGCATTGTGAACCACCTGGTCTGCCTATGTGAGCGGCTCTGCGGGCAATCGAGACTGGACGCCGACGAGGCGAGAAACGCCAATTCACAATGCCTGCAAGACCAACTTCATTTCGAAGCAGGCCCACCGTTTGCCAACTATGCAATCCAGCATCAACCTTGCAGTCCATCAGATCAAGAGATGATGGTGGCCTTGGTCGAGGATGTCTTGTACTTCACATCGAGCACAGGCGATATGCTGAAAAAGAAGCCCATAAGTGGATTCCAGACCCTTGGGAGGCATGAAACATTCCATGTCGAATTAGAGCAGAGATTGAAGCGAGCCATTGCCTTGATTCGAAGCTGATTTTCGCCTTCTCGTCTCGTTTTGCACTGGTCCTGGTGCGCGAGCGCCGCTAAAAATGCATGAGTATAAGGAGCAGGTCAAGGATGGCAACGCGGTCGGTATGGATTTGGATTTGGGAACATTGTAGACGGCGCAGCTGGCCTCATGACAATGCAATGGACTCGGGGAAGATATTAGATATTTTGGTCACTCTGGCGCCGGGCCGTACGCCGTCCGTATTGATAATGATAATGATAATGATACTCGGTGCTCCGTACTGTACGGAGCACAGGGAGTTGTGCTGAGACCAGGCTCCTTTCTGCGCGGCGGTAATCAGCCCCTTGCCCCGGTGAACGATGATTGGCGGGCGCCGGCGGACGTCGTAAGCTGGCTCCTCAGGCCCAAGGCCTCCGCCCCAAATGCAAGTCAATCGAGGCTCCCTTGCCTTCTGCCCTCTGCGTGATTGAAACCTGCTTCAACATTGACGCTGCGAGCATGCTGTCCTCTTCCTTGACCCAGCTTGAAGGCCCCCCCTCTTTATAGGCGCTGGTATTACTTCGGCTTTGCGTCGTGTCGAAGTCAGCCTCCTCTTGTTCGCCCTCAAGCCCCGGCGACCTTCACCTTCCAAGGCAAATGCGGGCTGAGACGCCATCCGGACCGTTGAACTGCCCACGTCGTTCGCACACACGTGTTGTCGAGAGAGCAAGATGATTCGCCTACGCCGCTATCGACTATTCCTCCTTGTGGCTCTGCTGGCGGCTGTCACTGTCTATCAGCTAACCCGAATGCACCGCTGGAATGGCTCAGCCTTGGAGGGCTGGGTCGGATTCAAACCCAATGCAGACCAGGCCACCACCCCCGACTCGCATTCACTACCGGATCCAGCCCTGCCTGATCCCCTTCCAGAGAATCAAGCACGACCGGCTCCAGACTCAACGCCTCCTCCTGCTCTGTCCGTTGAATCCCACTCGGCGATTGTTCCCGGCTCCTCAGAAACGACCTCGACGCTATCTTCCTCTTCCCCCGCCCCCGACTCGGAACCCACCATAACAGGAGACGAGCTCCTGACGAAACAGCCGAATTTTGAGGAGGATTTTGGCGAACATGGTCAAGGTCGCTATGAGGTCCATCCTCGGCCATCTGACCAGCCCAGAGCATACTGGAAACAACCGGAGGAACACTTCCCTGTCCCGTCACAGAGCTTGATACCTTTGCCCACCGGAGAACCGAATGTTCTTCCTCGGATCCAGCACCGGTTTGGACGCGAGACATCATCGAAGAAGGCCGATCGGTTGCGCAGACAGGCGGCAGTTCGTGAATCGTTCAAACACGCGTGGAATGGATACAAAAACCACTCGCTTCCTCATGACGAGCTCAAACCCATCTCCAAAGGGTCCGCAGACCCGTTTAATGGCTGGGGGGCAACGCTGGTGGACTCTCTCGATAGTCTCTGGATCATGGGATTACACGACGAGTTTGATGAAGCTGTCCGTGTGGCTGGCAAGATCGATTTCAAAACATCCTCTAGGAAAGATATCCCCTTGTTTGAAACAACCATTCGGTATCTCGGCGGACTGATTGCTGCATACGATCTCAGCTCCGGCAAGTATCCGGTCTTGCTGAACAAGGCTGTTGAACTCGCCGACATTCTCATGGGCGCCTTCGACACGCCGAACAGGATGCCTGTCACGTACTATAACTGGGCACCGTCATATACTTCACAGCCGCATAGAGCTGGTGCACACACGGTCCTGGCCGAGTTGGGATCCCTTTCCGTCGAATTTACTCGACTGGCGCAGATCACCCGGGAAGACAGATACTACGATGCGGTGGCACGTATTACTAATGCTCTCCAAGAATGGCAGACGAACACCACCATTCCGGGGCTTTGGCCTTTAAAGCTTGATGCTTCTGGGTGTCGGAAGCCTGAGGTCTTTCTCAACGCGGCTGGTTCTGAACAATCCCTTCCGGCACTATTTGAGGGCACCCACGATGACGCGAAGGGGATTGAAACGGCTGCTGATGTGGCCAAAACTGGGCCAGCTTCGAGGTTAATGGTGAAACGACAAGATGAAGCCGCTGACCCAGGGAGAGAGAGCGTTCCCAATAAAGAGGTTGTAGACGACCTCGGTGGAAGAGTGGTGCCAGTGTCCAATGATGGATGGGAAGGCGATTACGGCAGCGTTGATTGCGAATCCCAAGGCTTGAGCACCGAACCTCATTCCACCACTCACACCTACGGGATTGGTGCTATGGCGGATTCGACCTACGAGTATTTGCCGAAAGAATATGCACTTCTGGGGGGCTTGAACACACAGTACAAGTCTATGTACCTGGATTCAATGGCCGTGATTCGTGAGCAACTACTCTACCGACCCATGACTAAAGAGAATCACGACATTCTCTTCTTGGCGAAGCAAAGCGTGTCTCCTAGATCGACAACGGAGACCAACAAGAAAGTGAGCACGTATGAGGGCACACATCTGGGATGTTTTGCAGGTGGGATGTTTGCGCTGGGTGCCCAAGTGTTTGGCATTCCCGAAGACATGAACATTGCCGAGAAGCTCACCGAGGGCTGTGTCTGGGCGTACGGCTCAACCCCTGTGGGAATCATGCCGGAATCCTTTGAGCTGGTGCCCTGCGACAGTCTTACTTCTTGTACTTGGGACGAAACAAAATGGCACGAGGCCTTGGATCCACGTCGGGAAGAGAGGCTGCGGGCGGTGGAGGCCTACAACAAGGAACAGCAAAGGCTACAGGAGGAGGCCAATTCCAGCGCCGAGGATGCTGCGGAGGTTGCCGCCGAGGATGCCGCGGATGATGCTGAACCGGTGCCTGAACCGGTGCCTCCGGTCTCTGCTCCGTTCATTCCCAGGGTGCCATTGTCACACGAAAAGTACGTGGCGGCCAGAATTCAAGAAGAACGACTACCCCCTGGATACACGGCAATCGGCGGACGTGATTATCGCCTTCGGCCTGAGGCCATCGAGTCTGTTTTCATTATGTATCGCATTACTGGCGACGAGAGTTGGAGGGAAAAAGGCTGGGCGATGTTCGATGCAGTCGATAAAGCGACGAAAACCGAGACGGCCAACGCCGCCATCCACGACGTGACTAGCCAACTGATGGAGCAGGATGATACCATGGAGTCTTTCTGGCTGGCCGAGACGTTGAAATATTACTATCTGTTGTTCAGCGAGCCGGATCTAATCAGTCTGGATGACTATGTTTTGTGAGTACTTGAGTCCACCTGGGGGACCGCGTGCCGACGTCGACGGACTCTACTGACAAGTTGACAGGAATACCGAGGCGCACCCATTCAAACGCCCCAAGTAGGTTTGTTGGACGACTGCTGTGACTTGTCACAGCGATCAGCCGAGCAAAAGGATCAAACGGATCAAAAGTATTTGTTGTATGTTGCATTGTTCAGGCGTTACAGGGATCCTACCGTGATGTGAGAATTGCTCACCTAGGTAGGATGCCCCGCCCGTCCTATATGATATACCAGTTAGTATACGGAGCACTATGAGTCTCCCGTTGTTGGATTTAAAGCGATTACAAGGCTGTTGGGCGTTCTCAGCCTCGTGTTCCTGGCACAACACTGCTGGTGCTGCTGGTGGCGCTGGTGGTGGCAGGTATCCGAAGGCTGCGACGACCAACTCTGAAGATGTCAATCTTAGAGCTACGTCGATGGTTGTGGTGTTGGATGCTGCTACTCTGATGGAGTACAGAGTACTCTGTAGATGTGAGCTCATATAAGGTACAGAGTACTACTACTCCTGCCATGTACGGATACTGTATGGACTAAGTGCCAGGGTTGTTGCGACCACAGGTTTCAGCACCGCGTCATCGGCCAACAATAATAATAAGTAATATTAACACATACAGAATAATCCCCGTCACTCCGGCTACACGCCGCAGCCACTATCACCACCATCATCATCACCATCACCACCACCACCACCTCCCCCAGTGCTTTGTCCTGTTATTGTTGCTACCGTTGGCTCACAGCGCTGCACCCTGTCGGCGGTTGGGACACTATTCATACCTATGTTCATATAATGCCTGCCTCTCTTCCCCTGTAAGGGTCTCTGCTCGCTTCCGTCTGTCTTCGGTCTTCCGCCCAACATCCGCCCTGGCAGAGACGATATGAAGCTGGTCGTAGTATGGAACACGAGGCTACTTATGACTTCGAGGACGAAGACCACTTCTGGACCGGTCAGTCAAGACACCGAGCCCCCTTCCCTGATCGCCTCCATCTAACCTTCCGCCTCTAGTTCTCGACCAGACCATCTCCCGAGACTGCGACAGCCACAGTGGGATCGACGATACCTTGCGGTCCTACCTGAGTTTGGTGTGTTCCTTTCGGGGTACGTTGAGACTGGACCACAGTAAGAGAGAGGAGAAACGTGATGCTGATGGCCGGTCATTCCAGAACGCTTTCTGCCCACCGACGAGGATCTTGGTCGCTGTGCATTCAAGTTGCAAGATTCGACCCTCTTTTCCATCCACGCCGATTACATTCGCCGGCAGTTTGTCCAATGTTTACTTGAGGTGTGTGCTTTGGAGTTGCCATACCGTCCTTTTCCTGACGGAACAATACAGGAGGATGAACCCGATATTGTCCTGGCGTCGACTGCCTTCCTGCTGGCTGATGCACAATGCCATGAGAGGACTTATGAATTGTTGAATGAAGAAGGGGCGTTTCCGAGACTGGTCGATCTCATAACGAGCCCGAAGCGACATGGCCATGAAGTGCTTCACAGGCTCCTCATGGAGCTGCTCTACGAAATGTCGCGCATCCAGAAGATCAGTCTCGGTGACCTAGGTATGTCGGGACATTGGCCGAGTTACGTGTAACGAGCTAACTCCTGGGGTCGGAACAGCGCATGTCAGTGATGACTTTATCAAGATGCTGTTCGAGATTATAGAACAGGTTTCCAACGATGTCGACGACCCCTACCATTATCCCACGATTCGTGTTTTGGTGAGACGAGTTCTCCCCCAGAGACGTGCGAGCTGACCCTTTCTGGTAGCTTGTTCTCAATGAGCAATACATGGTTGCGGCGCACGCTCCTACAAGCGGCCAGAATGCCGTCCCACTTACCAACCGGGTGATCAAGGTCCTATCCGCCCATGGCAGTGAGTACATGACGTTCGGTGAGAACATAATACTCCTGTTGAACCGGGAAGGTTTGAGATCATCGCCCTGTTTGTCTGTCCCCATTCTGACCTAGCCAGATGAGACATCTTTGCAGCTGTTGACTCTGAAGTTGCTGTACCTGTTGTTCACCACTCCTACCACGTACGAATACTTTTACACAAATGACCTTCGAGTTCTGGTGGACATCTTGCTTCGGAATCTGCTCGACCTCCCAGAAGAGGCTTCCTCGCTTCGTCATACATATCTTCGCGTCCTATACCCACTTCTCGAACACACACAACTAAAATACCCTCCATACTACAAAAGGGAGGAAATCCGTAAAGTATTGATGATACTCGGTGGCAATCACGCCATCGAGAACGCTGGTGCCCCAAGCTGGCTGCCTCCTTGGAGTCATTTCGATACCGTGGACGAGACCACGAAGCGGCTTGTCAGGCGATGCGAAGGAGTGAATTGGTTGATGGATTCCGTGACCGACGCTCCAACAGAGAGCGAATCGCCCACGGACGACACAGCCTCCAACACTTCGCCTCCAGCTTCGCCATCGAAAGGCAAACCCCCAGCTCTGCCTGCGCCGCGCAAATTGAAGAAGCGAGCCTCCTCCAAAGGTTCGACGCAGACAATTGGCCAGTATCTCATCCCTCAACTAGAGAGCGCTCGCCAATCGAGCCTCAGTATGATGGAAGTGGCCGCGCAAAGGGAGAAACCTGGAGTTATGACGCCTAGTCGCAACCCGAGTTTGAAACAAAACCTTCGGGCCGCGATAATGCACAAGAAGGAAAGGCCTCCCCCGCCACCCCAAGCCCGAAGGTCTGGATGGGGAAGGCCAAACATGCGGGCCCATCAAACTGACTTGGAGGTTGCCAAAGCAGGAATTACAATTGCGGAACAGGAAATCATAACCGAAAATGCGAGGCATCGCTACGATCACAGTCATCAGGCGAGACATGCCCCGGTGCCAGGGGTTCCAGAAAACGGGACGGGCACATCCCAACCATTTCAAGAACCGCCTCCGGTACCGTCCCGTCACAAAGGACATTTCAAGAAGCCTCCGCCCACACCCAAGGCACGTCGTTGGCGGGTCAAGCGTGGTAAAGAGGAAGATGGAAACTGTGGCACAAATGGGCCTAGGCAACCCGGAAAATTCAATTCGAATCTACCTTCGATTGTGACCACTACGACCAAAGGAGAAGATATCCCAGAGCAAAGCCCATCTTCGCCGCAAGAAAAGACATTCAGTCTGGTTGATTCGGTATCTGCAGGGTCAGCGGGAAGCAATGTGAAAGTGCCAGTTAGCCAGGCTCTGGAGAACGCCCAGGCGCAGGTTGTGGAGGCTATCACGGACACCTTGGAACATGTTGATCTCAAGGCGGACCAGACGAGTAGTAATGCGAGAAATAGCAACGACACCGGGTTGGAAGAACTGAGCAAAGGGACAGAGGTCAATCATATCGCCGAGGAGACCACCGAAACCAGCACTGAACGAATTCAGGGGCATTCTCAGGACGACGCCGAACCTTGCTTCCACGATGCCGTCATGAACCAACCCCAACCAGTCTCTCAAGCTCCGTCTCCTGCTCCTCAGCCATCGGACAGGAACGAAATCAAGATTATCGCGCCGCTCGAAACGAGTTCCGCCGTACCAATAGCGCATAGGCCGAGAATGGTCCTCACTCCCCCAGCGCAGGAACCCGTGCGCGGTGTGCCAGGACCGCAGTACGAACTTGAACGAAGTCCGTTTTTGACGGACGAAGATGAGGAGGAGGTCGAGGTCGAGGGCGAAGGCGAAGGCGAAGAGAAAGAGACGGAGATAGAGATACGGGGCCGATGAACATGAAAGCAGAAGGAGACAAGCTGTCGATGCTATCTACCGCAGGAGCCGAAGCAAGACTTGTCTCCGGATCTTGGTCTATTATGGCGTTGGAGACAACGTCAATGAGATGGTGAGGGAATCATTACCCCAGGTTAGGGCAAGGGCAAGGGGTGCACTGTACAGAGTACTTGTACCACGAAAAGACTAGTATTGGCGCAGGGGCAGGGAATGGCAGGAGTGTTTCCTAGATTCGGTGGTGTCGCATATTATAACTAAACCATCCACTATTTGTCATTGAATGACCTGACGACCGACGGATTAGGGGCTAATCTCACGTGTGTGCAAGAACTTGAAGGGTTGCAAGTGTAGTCAAGGATCTTCTTGTCCAACAGCAGGGGGATAGAAGAGGTGTCGGGAGCATTCAAGGATCAAAGAGGCACTTGCGGATGGTAAGAAAGGACACTGCTCATCATCTTGGTACGTAGCTAGCTCGGCTATCTAGGCCCCAATGTCGGGACTCCGGAATCTGCGAAAGGGCAGGTAGATTCCATCCACTCGCGTGGCAGTTCATTTTTGTGCGCACACGAGGACAAAAGCCCAGGCTCTTTCTTATCCAGCCTCGGGTCGTCGCCATCTGAGGGGTACACCGTTCACTCCACGGCTGAGTCTATCCCAGATGACAATGCCTGTCTCGAAAAATATTCCATCTGGATCTCATTGCTGGCCTCCCTTTCGAGTCGAGTGTGCTTGCCCATTTCCGAGTAGAAGGCGATGGTATAACAAAATTGATCTTGGTCAGGTGGGGTTCCGTCTCGGCCAGTGCTGGTGTAGAGTTGGAGAAAGTCCGGTGATTGAAGGGCAATAAACTGAAAAACAAGGGGTATCATGCGGATGTTCTTTGTTCGGAAAGAAAGGGTAAGGTCTGTTAGACTCTGTACAATCAAGGAGATGGTTGTGGATTTCCGAACCCGGTTGAACAAGATGCTGCCAGTAACGCCGCCGCTATGTAGAGGCTGAAAATCCACTGTCCTCAGGTCTGGGATGTTCCCAAGCAGGACAATGATGTTGTGCACTCAAGACCAGCCTTGGATGAATCGAAATTGCGACTCCAGGTATTGCTGACACGTTCGTCATTTAATGACCGTAGATGCCAAAGAACTGCTCAACTCCAAGAGGACCTGGCGCTTTATAAGTCGCGTCGTATGCCTGGAACAGAAACAAGCCACCAGGATTGCCATTGAAGGCAGTGTTGAGACTATTGATGGCGGTTTGTTGATTTGCAGGCGACGGAACAGCCAGACCATTTGGCGAGCCTTGCCATGGCCAGCCAGACTCGGTGATGATGACTGGCTTTCCATTGGCAATTTTGGCAACTGCGGCGGCAGCATTCGTGACAAACTTTCCTGCCCCATCGGCGCTGGTGTTGGGATCGAAGAAGGCATGGGCGTTGGCCGCACAATAGTCTGAAGCTTGACACAGTTCAGGGTGAAGTTCATGCGCGTTGAATGTGTCTACTGTCACGACATTCTTGGAGAAGCCGGCAGCTGAGAGTATAGGGCGGGCGACAGCAATTGCGGCAACCACCGAACCTGCATCACCACCATTGTTGACAACCTCATTGCCAATGACCACGGTGTCGATGGGGCTCCAGTTACCACTTATCATGCTGACCAGCGTGGTGATGTCGTTGGCGACGTTGCCAATACTGTTAAGACCGATAATAAGCTGGAGTCCTTGAGCTGCGGCAGCTGCAGCTGCAGTCCCGAGGTTGCAGCCAATGTCATAAGTGCGGACTTTGGTGTATCCCTGGCTCGCTAGAGCAGCAAAATCGGAATCGAGGCTTCCTTGGTCCTTGCATCCGGAATCACCAATGAGCTCGTAGCAGATTCCAAATCCGCTGAACTGAGCAGAGGCGGTATCAATATGCTGAGAGATCTTGTCGCCGCCGGTGCCTCCACCACTCGTATCAGATGAGGGTATAGCAGTAGTAGAGTCTGAGATGGGATTTGAAGCTGCTGGAGAAGTTGACGAGATCAGGCTGGAGGATGCCCAATTCGAGGAGACATAGTTGGATGAAGACAAGATGGAAGGGGCAGAAGTTGGAGCATAGGTCTCCGAAGGGGACAACGTGCTGCTGGCGGGGACATTGGGAGTAGTAGAAGTAAGGATGGACGCAACAGGGACCACACTGTTTGAGGCCGTAGTTGTTGGAGTTGCGACACCGCGATACTCGGTGGAGATGATGTTGTTGTATTGGTCGACCCAAACGACAGCATTAGGGGCGGTGATGGTGACAATGTCCGTGACTGTAGCGTAGTCGGTCAACTCATGGCGCAAGTGAAGTCGATGGTGTTGATTGTTGCCTTGTATGTGTTAGTGTTGATTCAAGCGATATAGAACTTTTTCAACCTACCATGAGGAACAGCCTTTCCAAGTTGCGCACCCAAGGCAGCGAGTCCAAAGACGATTGCCTTCATGATCTGGGGCTAACGAATGTGAGGAGGTGATCAACCAAAGGAGTGTCGGATCCTATCTGGCGCAAAGAAGAACAAAAAGTGAGCAGTGTGTTACCAACCAGCGGTCTATGAAGGTGTATGCGGGACAGGGGCAGAAACAACGTGGTCCAGTGCTATAGCTCGTGGTGTCGACGGGGCGATACGCTGTTGGCAGAGCAGACAGGTGGGTGGAGGATATGGGGGAAGGGAGAGGGAGATTGCCAGTCAGTGCTCGCTGGTCCATGCGCTGTCACTTGGGGCTTAAATAGTAGCCGAGCGACAAGCATCTTTGTTGACCAGGGCGACCGAGAACAATGCACAGACAATGGCGGACTGGTCTGGCCTCGTCTTGCTCGCCGCTTCTGGAGCAACAGGAATGTGATGTGGGAGGAGAGAGAGAAAACGGACGGAGGAGGAGGAGGAGGGTGCGATCGATGATGCAGCGAATATCGGACGCGTCTCAAAGCCTTGTGGTAGCCGCGAACGGCGAGCTGCAGAGACAGAGACTGCGCACGGACAGAACAGCAAGCATCTTGTATTGCGAAGGATCGAGAACTCACTGTCAAGAGCGCGGTAGAGAGCGAGCGCGATGGAAGGTGTGGAGAACGTTGGTGGAGTGGTGGCCGGGGATAGAGTGAGAAAGAGGCGAGAGCGTGTGTATACAAGGAATGCTGTTTTGGCGCAGCGCAGAAAAGGAATGTTGGTGACAGGTATGTGAAGCCATCGTCGTAGGTACCAGTAGAATTCACATACACGCGACCGCGACTGCGATCGTGGCTCACGCGATGCCGCGGGCGGGCGACAACGGGACGAAGGAGGAGTCGACGGCCGATGTAAATGTGAATCTGAATCTGTAGACGGATGATCAGCTGCGCAGCCAAGTTGTCTGCTTTGTTAGATACTCTGCACTCTGCACTCTGCACTCTGCACTCTGCACTCTGCACTCTGCACTCTGCACTCTGCACCGGTGCGAGCAGTCATGGCGTTTCACCCAGTCAAGAAGGAGCGGCAGCAGACCCAGGCCGGATTGAGGACAATTGAGAAATGACAGACTCGCGTCACCAACTTCATCATCCTCATTTCTTCTCATCATCATCAGTGTCAGTGCCAGTTATCACTATCGCCGTCGCCATCGCCATCATCATCGCCACCTTCAAACTCCCTGCTGGCCACTGTGTCGCTCCGCTCGCTGGTTGCCATGTGAGTCAAAGACCAACCAAGGTAAAGCTCCCGTCCCATCACTGTCGCTGTCACTGTCACCATCGCCATCAGTGCCCACCTCTGTCAAGATAAATACCCTTCCGTCGAGTCCCGCCGCGGTCTAGGTGACGCCTTCTCTGTCCATCCTCAAATAATAAGCCTTCAAAGTTGCGGCTTGCTTCAGGTACACGATCGCACCCAGCCACTTGATCGTGTTTCCGTTTCAACCAAATTGCCGTCCGACGACAACAGCAGCGGGTTTCTCTGACCGATGGCATAATGTCACGGTGTTATATCAGCTCGAACGGTCATGCAACCCCTGGCGCATCATCCACTTGTGTGTGACGGACAACAGAGGGAGTGGGATGCTTATGGACCTCACTCTTGCGCAGTCTGTGGCTCCCCGTTTGTGCCTGCGTCTGCGTCTGCGCACTCATGCAGTGCTGCACAGAGCTGGCGAACATGAAATATAGGAGTGGGAAATCAGACGGCCTTGACATAGGGGAAAACGTGCACACGAGAGGTCCTCATGGAGGCCCTAATGGGATCGCTAAGAGAAGAGAGAAAGGAGGACATTTATGACAGACGGCGCACGCTCCATTCCGCTTGGCCTTTGCCTGTTCTCAGCCTTGTTGTCCGACAGCCACAGCCTCAGCCTTGCTTACATAAGTGCTCTCATCCTCATCCGTGTCATCACCATCCATACCTAATCTTCGATTGTCCATCCAGTATAAAATGCGGTAGTTTGGTGTCATCGTCAATCCTAGTTTTCCTCGGTATCTCTATGTTATCGGAGCTGCGTCCCGTTCCCCCAGACGCCATGTGGTGATCCATGCCATGCCATGCCATTTCCTTTCCAAAAGCCCGTCGAACGTATCGTCTTCCCCCCACGCGAATTGTTCGAGTAATCTGTGACCAGTACGGATACTCCGTACACAGTTTCGCCTCCTATCCACCTCGCTCCCCAAAATCCTGTGCCCACTTCTCAAACTCTTCCAGGCCTTTCTTGCTTACACTGGGGCGGATGCTGGCCAGACTGGCTTCGAAATCCTCCATGCAAATGGGTCGGATCTGCTCCTTGGGCGTGTACAACAAGGCCTCTCCCAGATTGCGCAGAGGCCCCATAGCGGCGTCTTTCGCGAGTGCCGTGATGTCAGACCCTGAATATCCTATGCCACGTTAGTTTTCTGCTTCGAACAGTGTCGTGGCCAGGGACCCAGCACTTACCCTCTGTCAACTCCACCAACCGCTGGATGTCTTCGTCCCCAAGGTCGTGCTTCTGGTGTCCGAGCAAGGTCCGAATCTGGATTTCTCTGGTCTCCGCTTCCGGCAAGGGAATGTACTGCCGCCTTACAAACCGACGTCGCGCTGCCTCATCGATGTCCCATGGGCAATTCGTCGCTGCCAGAACCAAAACGCGACTAGCGTCTCCAATTATCGTGTCCTTACCTGCTGCCGCCCTTTGCAAGTCCGACCACTGGATTAGGAATTCGGTCTTGCTCCGTCGCGATGCTTCATGCTCGCTCGCTCCACTCCGGGTGCTGAGCAAAGAGTCAATCTCATCCACAAAGATGATACTTGGGGCCAAGGCTTTCGCCATCGCAAATAACGCCCGCACCAGCTTCTCCGACTCGCCATGCCATTTGCTCGTCAGGCTCCCTGCACTGATGGCGAAAAAAGTGCTTCTACTCTCAGTCGCCACCGCCCGCGCAAGCATGGTTTTACCCGTCCCGGGCGGTCCGAATAGAAGCATCCCACGAGCGGGTTCTCGCAGCCCCATAAAGAGATCTGGCCTCAGAAAAGGATACACCACCGCCTCTTTTAGAGCCTTCTTTGCGGCGTCTAAACCTGCGACGTCGTCCCAATGGACCTCGTCTCCCTTGACCACAATTTCATTCAGTATCTGTTTGGCTGCATTCTCGTCCAACCCCTTCGGTAGCTGTTCCAGAATTCTCGCAATCCGCTTTTCCTCTGCCGACGTTGAGCCATCGCCTTCCAAGGACTCGACATCAGTAGATGGTGGAGTGATCGTGTTAGCACTTTGTGCCCGCCCGGCTCGAGGTCGTCGATTTTTGTCGAAATCTCTCTTCAGGGCTTCATCCTCGCTGTCAGTATTTCCATCCCTCCTGAGAGGGGATCGACCCCTCACTTCCCGACTCGGCCTTGGATTGGCAACGGGCTTGCGGGCGACACCTGGCACACTGGTACTGGAAGTGGTGCGTGCATACGATCTCTCCAGGAAATTGTTGGTGAGGGGTTGTGACACTTTTGATGTCCGTGCCGGATACTCTTTTCGATATAGAATGTCGGGTGCCTTGGGAAAGCCCGGAGAAGAAATCGTTCTCGATTTGGCGGCAACATATCCGGGTGATGGGGAATGAAGGGGTGGCGGTGGCGGTCTGTCTGAATCCGGATCCAAGTCTATCAAATTTGGAACGGACTCGGAGCTCAATCTCAAACTGTCCATAGACTTTTGCAGTGACGGCTGGCCGTAGGTAGGGTGTGAAATATCGCGCCAGACTTGCTGGGGAAGGACTTCGGGAACCCCCAGTGTGGGAGGGTTCGATCTTCTGTGCTCGTCGTATCTTACGGTGGCCTCTTGGTCAATACTCCGTCGGGCCGCAGTGGCACTCAGTCTGGCTTCTATTGTCGGGTCTGAATCCGGCCGAGTGCTTATCTGGGAGTCTCTCCGGGGCTGCGCTTCCCACGCCAGGCCTGCTGCTTTCATCGTCTCTGGCATTCTGTCGCGGTTCGGAGCAGAGCGGTACTGCCTAAACCCCTTCTTCTCGCTGCGCAGTGTCGTCCGCATGGTCTTCCTGCTGCCATGGTCTGGACTTGGGCTGCGTGATACTTTGCTGGGGGGGACAGCCAGCGTCGGAGGTGCGGCAAAGGGGGAGGAGCGTGGTTTAGAACTCGTCTTCTTCCCTGTAGTCTCACTGCTCCGGCTGCTCGCTAATGGCGGCCGCGTAGGTATTGTTGGCGTAGCGCTGGGAAGTTCTGACATTTGCATTGGAGGTATGGTCTCGTCTCCGAGCCATGAGCCTTGTTTATCAGTCATTGTCTCTGGAGCACCTCTATTTTTTTCTAGGCGCTTCCTGCCACCATGGTCTGACTTCTCCTCGCTGGGTGAATCCTGCCCAAGATCCTGTCGGCTCCGCTTAAGCGCTTCCAGGAGGTCGACACGCTCTTTACATTGTCTCTCGAGTTCTCGCAGTGACTCGTACAGCGCTTTTTCAATTTCTGACTTGGGTGTATAATTGAACGGGAGTTTGTAGGCTTTGTAGTAGTTGATCTGGTCTAGCGCAGATTTCCAGGAACGCAGCGCCTCCGCCTCGTTACCCTGCAAAACAGAAGACAGTGAGCGAACGGCCGATGCACAGAAGACGGGGAGGGAGTGTACCTGGCCTTCAAAGAAAACGGCAGTGGAGCATTGAAGATAGCACTCATCATAGGTTTTTTGCATTGATGAGGCTGGTTTGCTCCGCATCATGATTGCTCAGTGTATCTCGTAGGAACATACTCGTCTCGATGAGAGGGACGATGCAGTGTTGACCTCGTTTACTCTCGTGCGAATTGCAAGTCTGCGCCTCAAAACATAACTGGAGTGACTTGTCGGGAGTGTGTCGAAGAAGGCATACAGCTGAGTTCAAACACAACACAGCCCGTTCCACTACGTCACCCATTTGGGCTGCCTCTGCGGCTTCCAGCCTCCAACTCAGGCGCCCGTGACAGCCACATGAATATGGGATCTACTCTATCTCGAGGTCGACGTTTTGGAGGACGAGCTCACACTGCTGAGCTGCAAGAATACACTAGATTAACAATTGTCCTGTCGTCTTTTGTAACTCGTGCAAACGACCACATTAACCCGGCACAGTGGCGCCCTTTTTCATTGCTGATCCCTCTGTCTATCAGATGACTGAACAAGAAAGAAAAAGTGATAGGCGCTCAAGCTGTCCCTTTTGTGATAGATATACAGTAGTATCCAACCCCTTACTGTGCCCATCTGGCATAACAAGCGCCAGAGCGCTGGTCTCTCCGATTTAGAACGCCTTTCGCATGCAGATGGCCGCCGCCGCTCTCAAAACCAAGGCCGGGCATAAGGCGCCCCCACAAACACCAGTTGCAGTGCGGATGTCGTGCAGTGTTCGGGCGCAGAAACATGGGTATCTTCATTAAGCCGAGAAGTTCGACCGAGAATGAAGGGATTCGGCCTGCCACCTCTCGGCCGGTAGGTATGCCGCAAGGCAAGAATATTCGGAAACCGAGTTTCAGCAGTGCAGTTCCTCAGAGCTTGCTGGTATGTGCCATCTGCTCCTCCCGTAAAGTGCGCTTGAAGTATGCCTTCGCCATTTCATACGATGACCTAGAGGGGTATATTTAGCCACGACCTCCAGAAATCTCCAACGGGCGCCTTACCAACAGATGGCTGTGCTTGGCATGGTGGTGATGATCCGTGGTCGCCAGCCCCTCATGAAGCCACGCCACCCAAACTCCTTTTTGATGATGGCGGCGGCATGGACTAGTCCTCGTACATTTCGAATCTCATCCTGCTGACTGAGTCCTCGTGTCTGTAGCAAAGTCTTGATCACGTCGAGCGGGGTGGTGAGACCGGCAGCGACCGCGCCAGCCAAGCCACCAGCCACGCAATGTGTAATCGGGTCATACTCTTTCCGCGGATTCATGACCTTGGACAACGACTCGTAGGCCATGAATTGAGTCGCCGTGAATGGCACCGTCATGCACAACGTCGTCGGGTAGGACAAGTAAAAGGCCGAGAATCCTTCGGTTTGGATGATTGAACGAGCGCAGTGTGTGATTGATCGATATGTCGAACCGTGGACTTGCATTCTCTGTTTGACAACTGCAGAGTGTTAGTGATCATTCTTCTATGCGGCAGCTCGTGTCTCGGGTCGCACCATCAAAGGGATTCATCAGAGCATCACTTGTAATTGTTGCGCAGGCTCCGCTGGCCGCTGTGAACTACGCATTAGCATCCGCTTCAACCGAGAATGACTTCCAAAGCTTCGTACCAGCAGCAAAGGGGTGATGCTTCCCATCTGCTCGGTTTCCACCGGCCATCTCTTTGATAACTTCATACGTGCCAAAATACACAGCGTGAGCAGGACCTGGACGAGAAGTCAGTCATGTCTGTATATGTCTGCAGCTCTTGGATGATGCACACCTGCTCCGACTATCACGCTTGTCACACCTCTCCATAACGTCCTCAGACCTTCTATTCGGTATATTGTAGATACTGCGTGAGATAGACCTGTGTAGAGGCCACCGGCCGAAGGGTTTATGATTTGCATCCGTGTCTAGAAACAATCTCAATGAGCCACTTCCTGGTCAGTGTGCGGGAGAGGTTGTCATACTTTCATTAAGTCCACCGGATACATCACAGTGTGTTCCTGCAATGCTATCAGCTTCCTGAACGGACATCATGGTAACCTCTTGGGGTTACGCACCGCAATGCCAGCGAATGCACCGGCCAACATGTTATGTCCCAGGCCATAGTTCGGAGGCAGAGCTTCGTATCTGCAAAAGTATCAATACCGGGCCGTTCACTCCGGAACTGCTGCAGAGACACCACATACTCGAACTCTTCGCCAGGTACTGCATCTGGGCTGCTCGATAGTGCCATATTCGCCGCGGGCAACGCCGCTGGGAATTTGGCTGACGCCGCCACGATTGGAGTTGTATGGATCGCTCTCTTTCTCCCGGGGGCGGCGACGAAGACGGTGTCGCCCACAGCACAGCTGCAGTTCCGATCGGAATCTCTCTCGGTTGCAGTCAGAGATTCGCGGAGGAGAGGAGATCAATAGAGAGAGAGAGGGCTGGCTAAGGGGAAACTAGTAGCCGATGCAATGGCAGTCAGAGACACGGCGAGGCCTGCGCAGGACAATCAGATCCGCCGCCTCTCGAGAATTTGTTCACCGTGCTACGGATAACTTTTGGCAGGGTTAGACCTTAGCTAAAAGAGTGGTTACTGGCTGGCTCCCGTCAATCATGACGCTTTGCTGGCTGCCACAGTGCCACACAAGCCTTAGGAGCCCGCGGCGCCACCACTCGCTTCCCTCCGCGGCCTCCCCGGCTGGTAGTTCCAGGGGAGCCCTCCGACCTCGCTGGTGTTCTCTCAATCTGGCTTGGGCTCGCTACATAAACGGTGACAGTGACTCTTGGGTTTCCTGACCTTTCCGTCCGACCCCCAAGTCACAGTAACGCCGGAGTGTCTTTTAAAAAGTTTTTCGATGCTGAGCAACTTGCCCGCCTAGCATCCCATACATCGATCCTGTAATAGTAGGTTTCCACGGTCTTAGCATGGACGCAGAGCGTCTCCTGGGGTTAGTTGCCTAAGGTTCCGTGCATAAGATCACTGGTAGCGTTTTATGCACTGAGTGGAACATTCAGCCCCAGGGAATAATAATGGGCAATATTTGCATTTCCCATTCTTGGTAATCTCCTTGCTCTGTTCAACATCGGCTCCAGTCGTGATGGCCACACAGCTTGCTGGTAAAGAGGACGGATACTCCTGCACAAATGAATTCTCAACCTCCTTATGCCTTCAACGCCGTCTACAGTCCAGTGTCCTGTCATCAAGTGTAAAGCTCCCCGATTTGAAGTGCCATTCTCACGACTATGCATCCAAATAGCCCGTCGCTGATAAACGCCTTGCTATCTGATATGAAACGCACCGACTGCCTTGGTCAACTTTGCACAATACTGATCTTCTCGGAGTAAATCACAAGTCAACGATGAACTTCCACTGGTCTACAAAAAAATGTCAGCATTGCCTCACACCAAGCTCGTGCATCCCGTACCTTTCTTCAAATTCTCCGCTGTGTCGCTGAGCAAGATTTCGCGTCTGCGGTTGCAATAGGTCGTTTTGTCCAGGATCTCAACCTTCAGGCTGCCAAGTTCATTTACTGGCTTCTCAAACATTTGGCTGAGATTCTCAACAGCCATCTCCAGGTCTTTCTGGTTGTCCTCAAAGATCTCGGTCATGTTGTTTCGTTGTAGGTAAAAGGCGAACGCATAGGTCCATTTTAAAGTCTGGCGGCAAGCTTGCAGGGCCTTGGATGCGGTGTCAAGGAACTGTACCTCGATCCAGGACATGTTTGACTGCGTTTGGAGGCTGGTCATTTTCTTCTCCGTTTTGATCCACAAGTCCTTGTCCAACTTGGCAGATTGTTCGTGGTTAGCGTAGCGATTGTAGTAATGCAGGTATCGTTCGAGGGAATGTCGGGAACGTGCCTGGGCATCGCGTGCGTCGGCTCCGGACTTCTCTTCAAATCGATTGCAGTTGTACCAGCTTGTTCCATGTTCGGACCAGGGGCCCATACACATCCAACAAAACTCGTGCTTGCATTTCCGACAAGTCATATGGTTGCAGCCTCCATTCTTCTCGATGGTCGACCTACACTTGGGACATTCCTTCGTGTTGGCGGAGATCCAGTTGGAGGTTTCCGAATCATCCTCGCACTTCTTCAGCCATTGCTTGACCAGAGAACAAGGAGCTGGACGATGATCCGATAGGGAGCATCCAAAGCAAAAACTGTGGTCATATGCGCATCGAACTGTTGGGACGATGTGATTCAGATCGCGCTTCTTGACCGCACACTCCACAGCATATTCACACTCTGGCGCCGGACACCACTTCAGGTTATCTTTGTCATCCACATAGGTTCTGGTAAGGAGCACTTCGTATCGGTCCTGAATGCTCGGGTCGACCAGTAACTTCAAGGATTTGGAATCCACAATACGATGACAACCGTCGAAAGGACATTCGATTCTGGCAGCTTCACCTTCCTCTTTAACTTTCTGCGTCAGATAGTGAGAGTAGCAGCCGACGCAATATCGGTGACCACACTTCATAGCGTACGTTTGCATCGTGGGGTCATCTTCATAACAAATCTCGCATGTAAAGCCCTTTACAGTCTTTGTTTTTGGTGACGCTGCCAATGTTGGACCCAAGCCTGCAGCCTCGAGGACTTGTTCGGGGTTATCCATGTAGGATTCAATCAGTTTCTCTTTGTTCCATCTCATGTAGCGTAGGAGGATTGCGGCTTGTTCAGGCGGTAGTTCTATGATTGAAGACACTTCATTAAACTGACGTTCTTGGTGGGAGTGTATATCTTTGGGACTTAGGATTCTGTAATCGACTTCGTAGGGTTTCTGTGGGTTTGCAAGGATGTCCTTTTCGTAGCCGAATCCATTATCATGATCATGATCAAAGTCTATCATTTGTCAGCGCATGTATCTTAGAGAGGGGTCTCGTATGGGGGTTGTGCAAGATCCACGTACCACCACTTAGGCTCCCGATATCACTATCTTGTGTGCCTTCATCGAAATCGATCTCATCACCGCTAGGCGGCTCAGACATGAACTCATCTTCAGAGTCCATCTCCCGCAAGGACGGCGAGCCGTGCTCTGTAATGGGGGTCGAGGGACCCTGTACCCGGGTGAAGGATGTCCTGTGGGATTTCAGAGAGTCTTGTCTCAACGCGTCACTGACGCACTCCTCGGCCTTTCTTTTCTTCGCTTGAGGTTTCGTCGTGGCTCGTGGTAACGGCAGCTGTGTCTCCAGATGAGACGACAGGCTGCGGGTAGAGATGGTACGGAGTGATCCTGATCTCGAGACGGTGACGGGGTTCCCTGAATGGGCGAACAGGTGCACGGACTCGCTCGAAGGCCAGGGGCAGGCAGTGGTTTCAATCACGAAGTGTAGAACCACATATGAAGGCACGCAAGGGAGAAGGACAATTGGTTGAGTGTAAGAGAGTGTAAGAAGGGCTTAGAACCAGGGCAGTCGGCACTGACCGTCCGGAATCGTTCCAGGTTCATGACTGATGGCTGTGGTGGCGGCGTCACGGCCGGTCCGGACATCCTTCCCCGTCATCAACTACTGGTGCCCGTCGGCTATTATCACGTGACTGAGTATGCTGCTTCTACTCAAACTGGATGCGTTGCTCCTTTGCGGTCTATCTGGCAGCCACCGTCTAGATGACCGTCTGCGCTCACGCCTTTATTCGTCTTCTTCCTCGCTCCCACTTTCACTTTCACTCTCGCTCTCGGCGTTCTCGAGCCATTCGATGAATGGGGCACTCTGTTGCCTGACTGCAGCCAAGTCAGGATCACTGCTCGATCTTTCGTCCGCCCACCAGTCAGCGAATGCTTCCTCGCCAAATATCTCAAGGTCATAAAGATCTTTAATCACGAACAAGAGCGTCTTCCCGCCCTCTCTCCGCCGAGTCAGATCCCTCTGAGTATCCAGCAGGAATGCCACCTGCGCTTCGATTGCCTGATCTGCTCCTTTTCTGCGGATGAGTGTATTGTATGCGGTGAGAGCTTGTCTTGTAGCTTCGGCGGGGGACACCCCGGACTCGATCTGGCCGTGTATATGCTTCATCAAGGCGACTGCAACAGCTTTGCGAACCTGAGTCTCGTCCGCACCTCCACTGAACCTTAAGCCCATGAGTTCGCTGAGCATATCATCCGCTTGTTTTCCCTCCTGCATTCGCTGTACAAGAATTGCCACTGTATCATGCTGGAATCTATCAGTAGGGTCGTCATCGGACATCGAGGTCGCAAAGCTTTGACTTCTTGATCCGCCTTTCGAAGAGAACTCATCTTCTGAGAGGTCGGAGTCCAAAGTGGATAGTGAGGCTGCGAATTCCGGCTTCTCGTATATCAGTCTGGACGCCCTCGAACCCCAGTAGTCATCCTCTTCATTATCAATATATGCATGGCCTTCACCTGCATCTCCACCAACGAGCGCATCATTCTTCGGCCCGTATGCTGGTTCCCCCTGCGGGTTGCAAATCCTAGAACCAGCAGGTACAATTGTTCCGGGTGCTACTTTGACACCATAGGAGATCAGGGCACCTTCCCCAATGGTGCAGCCGTCCCCTATAAATGCCTCGTTTCCGATGATCGCCCGTAAAATTTTGACATTGTTCCCAATGGTAGCATCATCCCAGATGTAGGCACCGTCAAGGCTTGTGCCTTTGCCGATCTGGCACCGTTGACCAACCACACTGTTTTTAATATCACAACGAGTGCCAATGCTACTACCAGGGCCAACGATAGATCCTGGTCCAAGTTTGGTAGATCTCGCTGTAATCACTGCCCGATCAACAACGTATCCCCCCTGAGAACGGTGGTAGTGGGTGTCGCCAAAAACATTGTTCTCGACGGCAAGGGATGTCACCAGGCCGCGCTGAAAGTCTTGAGAGATTGCATTATAAAACCAGAAGTCGGCAGCCCTCGAGGCATAATGGTCCTGGACAATGTATGTGTGAATTGTCTTGCCATTCAACTCATAATCCTTCAATACGCCAAAAAGAAAGTCCTTTCGAGGTGCTTGATTGTCGAAATTGTCCGACCAGAGACTGAGCACGTCTGGTGTGCAAATGTCTAGCCTGCAATCAATCAAATCCTGTCTGACATCGGTTTCTGATGACTTCAGAATCTCTGGATCAATGTGGGCGGTGAATTGAGTGCCGGGGAATGATTCTTCGTAGTGTAGGCATCTATCTTTGGTTGGGTCGAGGACGAATGTGGGCACAATCCCACTCCCGTAATCGTAGGCACCCGGTCCGGCCTCTCTTAGAATCATGGTCATGATGGCATTCTTATCTTTCTCTCTTCGGTTCTTGTGCTGGCGCAATGCTGGTTCGATCGGGAAGTTGGAGACGATATCACCGCTCACGACGATGAAGTCACCGGCGATTAGGTGCTTTTGGTCCAAATCTCTCATGATATCACCCACTGAGCTCGCGATACATCGCAGGATGGCGAGGCTGTCAAAAGGCGAGTTGGACGACTTCCAGCGAGACGCTTCAAGATATGTTTCCACCTGATCGGCATGAGCACCCGGGTAGATGTAAACAAGCTGTACACCGGCACTAGCAAGATATTCCAGGGTGTAGTCAATCAAGGGCACATTGGCAAGCGGGAGCAGACATCTCGGTCTCTCCAGCGTGAACGGGGCAAACCTCGTCTCGAAACTATCAGCCACAATGACTGCAGCCAAAGGCTCCTCTTTGCTGTCATCTCCCGACCTGCCCTTCCCTCCGGCAGACTTCTGATTCTTGGGCGGCATTGCAAATTTGGTGTGTTTGCTCCAGCAAAACGAGGAATCGAAAAGCAGTTGTGTTGCTGGTTGATGTCTTGTCAGGGTCCGATCAAGCAAAGAAATTCGAATTGCATATCCTGAGGTTGCGAGGGCGCTTGATGCATGTCGTTCTCTTCATGGATCAATGCATCGCACTACTGACAATAGATCGAGATGCAGGATGACTAGTTGGTCACTTCTGAGTGGTTGCACTTTCGCAGTCGGACCCCAGCAAGAGATCTGATGAGATGAGTCGTGCAATGGCCGGTATGGCGCCAAGGCGAGGTTGCGAAGGGAAAATTATGATGAGCGAGACCAAGGGGGTCGTTAGTCGTAGTAAAGCTTCTGCGTCATCGTGGCCGAGGGGTGCCTGCGCCTGCGCCTGCGCCTGCACCAGAGATTAACAACATTATTCTATCCTCTAAACAACGCCTGTGTTGGACCCAATTTGGTCACGGCAGAGTGTACCACTACGATCACTCCTACAGTTCAACCATCCCTCCTTGCACCCGGATTCTCTTGTGTGCTCACTGCGCGTCCTTCTCCAGGTTATCGTCAGTGCTTATCCCCTCAGTACGGTTTGCAGTGCAAGACTAAGACTAGTATTAGACATCATCATCCCCTGGCCTGTCTGCCTCATACAAGTGCATCATGTCGCGAATATCGAAAGACTCCCAAGGTGCCAACCGGAACATGGACCTAGACCCCAAATACGACGACTATGACTTTCCCACCACCGCCCCCGAGTCACAGCCGGGACATCCAGGCCACACGACAAAGGAGCAAGATGCCCAGGTTTACCAGCTCAGAGCAATGCTGGAACAAGAAGGCTACAAAGAAAGACTGGACACCTTGACCTTGCTGCGGTTCCTTAGAGCACGCAAATTCAACGTTGAGGCGGCCAAGCAAATGTACCAATCACTGAAAGTATTATCATTTGTGTTCAGTACTGATGGAGCTACAGGTTCATAAAGAACGAGCAATGGCGAAAGGAATTTGGTGTGGAGGACCTCGTCCGCAACTTTGACTACACGGAGCGACCGCTGGTGTTCCAGTACTACCCCCAGTACTACCACAAGACGGATAAGGTGAGGACCCCTGCATCTCCCCCTAGTATCCTCCTTGACCTGCAACATTGCTTACAAACGTGCACAGGATGGTCGACCTGTTTACATCGAGCAATACGCCAAAATCGACCTGACCGCCATGTACAAGATTACCACCGCAGAACGCATGATCCAGAACCTGGTTGTGGAGTACGAGAAGGTCGCCGACCCACGTCTTCCTGCCTGCAGTCGCAAAGCTGGCAAGCTCCTAGAGACCTGTTGCACTATCATGGACATGAAGGGTGTCGGTGTGAGCAAAATCCCGTCCGTTTACGGCTATCTTAAGTCGGTCAGCGCCATCTCTCAGGATTACTATCCGGAGAGACTGGGCAAATTGTACATCATCAACGCACCTTGGGGTTTCAGCAGCGTGTTCAACTTCATCAAGGGCTTTCTCGACCCAATCACTGTCGCCAAAATCCACGTGCTTGGTTCTACCTATCAGGCAGAACTCCTGAAGCAAGTGCCTCCGGAGAATCTCCCAAAACAACTGGGCGGGACCTGTGAGTGCGAGGGCGGGTGCGAATATAGCGACGAGGGTCCTTGGAAAGATCCTACGTGGTCGAGGCCGCCGAAGTGGGCGAGGCAAGATCCTGTCACGGGCAAGGACGCTGCGAACGCTGTCCAACCGGCGCCCACTGACGGTGCTCAGGACCCCTTAACCGTAGATAAGCCTGCCCCAGCGTCGGCGCCGGCCGAGGCCGAGAATATTCCTGGCGAGGGACGCCCAGTGTCGTAAGTGCTGAGCCTAAAGATCGATGGATCGGACCGGAATCGAGAGTCGAGACTCGAGAGGTTGAAGAACAATATGGACAGCTATGCTTGTGCCAGGCAAAGTCAGAGGGAAAATGCTGATTATATTTCTGGAGCAACCTCGTGGAACGCTTTTGATGTATCCAGATGTGTTCTGGGCATGATGCTGGTATCTAGCGAGAGGCTCTACTGGCATCGCTGACTGTTTGCCTCGATCTCTTACAGTGAGGTACATATGTTGAGCCGGGGTTGGCTCCATAGAGCACGATGATCGGTTGATTCTAAAGAAGCGACACCAGGGGGGAATAAGGGTTTGAATTTTCCCGCCTCTGTGATGTCTCATCAATCTTTGCTATCTTTCTCCTCTTTGGGGGCATCTAGAGGTCCGATCCTGCGCCGGTGATCGCATTCCCCCCTGCCCACTTTGCCTCGTTGCATTCATCGCCGTGGCAATCTTGGTGATTGCTTCCGTCTGTAGAGTACTTCAACGAGAACGACGCAATTGCGTACCGTGCTCCACGCAGTAGCCACATGCGCAGATTCGCCTGTTTTCGGGGTGGTGTGCAACAGATCTCGCCACCAACGATTGCTGGAAACAAGGAGTCTTGCGAGCGACATTTCCGTCCCAATCGACCAGGACAACAAAGTTAGCGGCCCCCCCTAAAATGGCCGATGAAGGTCTATGATTGGGCGGGTCCCATCATGCAGCCTCCAACGCGCTGTCCTGGCGCAGAGGCGACAGAACGCAGTCGTTTTTGATTCTAGGCACAGCGGAAATAGAATCGAGTAGATGGGCGCGGTCAGGCTCAGTCTGCTGATGACCCAGATGCCTGTTTGGAGGCATTGGGGCATTGGCAAGATCCTCACTCAAACTCCATAGCCACGTTTCTCGCCCGTTGGACCTTGCCCACTGTCTCTGTCAGGCTGGCACGGCCATACAGCGAAGGGCCAGAATTAGAATCGGCCTCGCTGGCTGCGAGACCTGCCAGTGCAACCAGTTCGCCAGTTGCCCGTTCGTACATAGCCTTGACATCTTCGTGCCACCCCTCTCGCAGCGGCTTCAGCTGCAAGCCAGCGTCTGAGATGCTCGTTCCCTTCTCGCGCAACTCCAACATCTGAGCCTGGAACTCTTCTTCCTCTGCAGCGAGTTGCGCCGTCAAGCTGTCGCGATATTCGGCCGCGCCCTGCTTCGGTGCGGTCCTTCTTAACCGACTCACCTGAGCCGTCAATGCTTCCAGCTCGCCGTATAGCCCTGCAACCTTGGCCTGGAGTCGAGTGTCGTAGGCCTCATATACAAAGTCAATCCCTTCCAGCGGTTCGCCCGGATGCGCCTTTGTAGTCGTCGTGCTCGTCAGAATCGGGAAGGAAGTCGCATCCATGCCGTTGACCGTGATATTGTGACTTGCACCCTCCCATGTCCTGGTCATGAACGCGTCGACGAGCTGCTGGACACGGGCGCGTAGTGGATCTTCCGGTTCCTGTGCCTGGTCTGCTTCTGCCCTACCCGTCGACGCTGGTCCTCGGCCATTATTCCCTCCTGAGTCAACCCCATCTAGGGAGATGACTGTCGCAGGCTGCGCTGAGACGACGGCAGTCTGTTGCGCTGCCGAGAGTGGAAAATGAAGGTCGAGTTTCTCCTTCGCGGACGCGACCAGATTCGCTTGGAGGAATGTGAGGTCGAGAGGGGACTGTAGTTCGATCTTGCGATGGTGTGAGTCGGGTATGCGATGAGGGTGAACATTGGTCTCTTGCTCCATCTCGGAGAGAGGGGTTATGAGTCTGTACGGTGTGCGCAGAATTGTATGCTGCCATCCAAACCGTGCAGTTGTCGCTGGCTCGTAGTAATACCGAGTAAACAAGCGGGAATGGATCAAGTCGGTTTAGCGTTCCTAGCTCGGGCATGTCATTGGTTCAGCCAACGCCCTCCAGACTTATTCGCCATCGAGTGCCATCTTGGGTTGCAGAACTCCACGAGGAGACAAAGTTGTTAGTAAACTCGACCTTACAGAGATTTGAAATACAAATACTCGGGGTGCAACCGTCAAGTAGTATGCTTGGATTGGAATTTGCCAATGAACTCTGGCGACCCCATGGATGACGCTGATTGCCGGGAAGATGTAGGCAAACTTACTACACAGAAAAGGGCCAAACTAAAAAGGGCCAAACTAGGACATTTGCAAGGGGGCTGCGATTACGTTTCCGAGCACAAGACGGACGTGAGTGGGCAACTAGGATAGTCTGAGAGCAGGAAGAGAAGAAACGTCAAAATGTATGGAGACATTCTTTGACTCAACCAGCGCTGAGGATAGCTGCCATATTCCATTGTCTAGCTATTTGCTGTGCCTGAGTCATTCTCCAGCCGGGCCGTTTGAGCAGTTCTGTGCGCATAGCCTACTTGGACTCATCAAAGACGTATGTCAAGTGGCAGCGACCACAGTATTGGCGGTTGTGCATGGCAGCCATGAAGACACCAGCGCCACATTCCTTGGTCGGGCACTCGCGTCTCAGGCGTTCAATCTTGCCGTCGCCATCGACCTTGTAGTACTTGAGCACGGCCAATTTGGTCTTCTTGCGCTTGTGCTTGATCTTCTTGGGCGTGGTGTAAACCTTCTTCTTGCGCTTCTTCGCGCCGCCACGAAGGCGCAAGACCAGGTGCAGAGTCGACTCCTTCTGGATGTTGTAGTCGGAGAGAGTGCGCCCATCCTCGAGTTGCTTGCCGGCGAAGATCAGGCGCTGCTGGTCGGGGGGGATGCCTTCCTTGTCTAGAAGGATATAGTGAGCCCAAAGTCCCTCAAGGAAGCGCGAGCAAGGTCGGCACTCAACAACGTACCTTGGATCTTGGACTTGACATTGTCAATGGTGTCAGAAGACTCCACCTCAAGGGTGATAGTCTTGCCCGTGAGGGTCTTGACGAAGATCTGCATGTTGAAGATCTAGAGAACAGTTGCCATGGTCAGTCCTGGTTTCGCACGGGGGGTGGCGATGCTTCAGCGTCAGGATGGGATCTAGGACGGTCCAGGAGAAGGCAGAAGAGTAGAAGGGTAAAAGGCAGGAGGGGGTCTACTCACCTAGACAAGAATTGTCTTCCTCAATCTTCTTTATGCAGAAGGGCTGGCAAAGACGAAAAGGAAGTGGAAGAGCGATGTGCAGTGGGAATTTCAAAGCCGGCCGTGTGGCTTGCCAAGGATTTTGGTGCCAAGGACTTGAGTTGAAAGTTGAAAGTGAAAATCTTATCTAATCTGACCATCACGTGCTGTGTAAGGCCTGAGCTTTGGCGCTTACCCGAACTTGAAGTTGCAGACGATAGTGGCTGCAGTTGCTCCGCCAACAGCCCGTGTTGACGAGCTTCTTGCGAACTCACCTGAGGTACCTGCCGCCGTGACGACGAACACTCTACTTCTACCCTGCCGTCAACACCCTCGCCTCTCCTCCATCCTCCCTCACATATCACATACCATACCCTCTAGACCAAGTCTAACACCGTCGAGAGAACAAGACCCTACAAAAGCCTATCGAGAAGCCTCTCGGTCCCGAGTTCTGACCTACCACTGTGCTCGCCCGAGAGGGCCCCTTCCCTTATCCAAGAAAGTCGCAAGCATCGTCTGCGACTGGTGAAAGCTAGAGAGAAGAAGACCGTTGCCCGGTCCGCAGCCCATTGCGCTGCGTGAGGTGAGTGAGATCAAAATGCAAAGCCGAAGGAATACAAAGCAGAGAAACTAATTGTACCTCCCATGCAAAGTCTCGAACCACTGAAGGAACCATTAACCGGAAATTACCACGACACCTTCGACAAGACACCATTCGAACTCATCTCGCCCAAGATGATGTCCAATCCACCTTCATCTCTTCAGCAACGACACAGGCTACATCGGAGGCAGAACTCGACGCCCGTTGTAGCCTTCGAAGCCATGAAGGTCAGCACCAACATGCTGCCACAACGCCAAAATATGCACAGAAGAGGACAATCAGTTGATCAACAACGAAGTCCCATTCGCAAACAGCAGCATGGCAGTGCGGTAAGTATGACTAACCTAGGACCAATCCACGGACAACAGATTTTGCGAGAAGCGCAGCAGCAAAAAATAGCAAGACCGGGCCAGCAACAACAAAACAACACACCCTTGGACTTACCAATCTCACCCGAGTGCGGTATATATACGGCCTCTCCCAACTCAATGCCAGGGACGCCGTACGAAAACATGACAATGAATGGATTCATGCCTCAGAACGCTCAGGGCATTGATTACTCACATTCACAACAGTTCTTCTCCGGTCTGAACATGTCAATGCAGCATGGGATCTCAAACATGGCGCTGATGGACGAGAACAATCCACAGTATTTTCAGGATACTCACATTATCCATTCCCAGCCCAGCAGAGGACTCGCGATAGACACTCGGAGAATGTCGCAACCGGATCTGCGAGTACAGACTCAGTTACGACCGCATACCCCATCACATCAAATCCAGACTGGTGAGTTGAATCTCCCGTATTTTGGCCCTCTCCGTTAGAAGACATACTGACTTTGGGCAGCACAATTTCCTCTCACGCCTCCGTTCAGCCAGCATACCCCAGCGGTACAATATTCACGATCACTCCAAGCATCACCTTCATTGCAGTCACCGTATCCAATCCCGGTAGCGCGAGGAAGATCTCTTCAAGAGATCATCGAGAACGAAGAGTTCAAGCATGACTATATGGCAACAGCTAATGGTTCATCGTTCGAGATGGCTGAAATGCCAGTCCCAGAGTCTCGGCGTCGAGTTCGAACTCCGCCATCGCGCCTCCAGGAAGGATCGGTGAATGTCAAGTTGGAGTCCGCGCCAGTCAACTACGAGCTGGGCTTCGGCCAGGATGCAGGATTCCACATGCCCAAGCTCGCAAACCAACCTGTACCAGATCTGAGTCCCGAGCGAGTTGCTGCTGGCAGCAGTTCTCCGGGAAGACCAGCTCTGTCACCTCGCCGCATGTCAATTTCAGATCTGAACCTGGAACCGGGTATAGAGGCTTCAATCGAAGAAACAAGCGTCACATTGGACGACATTGCTCAATTCATTGAAGGGCCAGATCCCGCCGACAACAAGTGGATTTGCAAGTACGACGACTGCAACAAGAGATTTGGCCGGAAGGAAAACATCAAGTCCCACGTTCAGACCCATCTCGGTGATCGGCAGTTTCGATGCGGTCACTGCAAGAAATGCTTCGTCCGAGGCCACGACTTGAAACGTCACGCCAAGATCCACACTGGAAGCAAGCCATACCCTTGCCTATGTGGTAACTCCTTTGCCCGTCATGATGCCTTGACTAGGCATCGGCAGCGCGGAATGTGTATCGGTGCTTTTGACGGCGTCGTCAAGAAAGTAATCAAGCGTGGCAGACCCAGAAAACACAGACCGGAGATGGAGGAGCGCCTCGACAAAGCCGGCCGAACAAGGCAGCAGACCAGTGAGGCGCGAGATGCCTATGCCTCCTCGGCATCAAGTTGTTCCCTCTCCAGTTGGGGATCACCGCCGACGGAAAACATGGACAACCTAAGCATTCGGGGCTCATCGCCGATTGAAAACATGGCTCTTTTCGGCATGCCGCAACAGAACAGCATGAACATGGATCAGATGATGAGCTTCCCGCCTGACACCTTCTCTTTCACCCCACCAGCTAGTCCAGGCTATTCGACAGGCAACAAACCCAGTCCCTTATACAGGGAGCTAACGCCGGCAGACCTAGGCGATATTCCAGAGCTCCAGCACGACGCTGAGTCGCAACTCCTGCCCGACCTTCCGACCATGGACCAGAGCCTACCACTGATGAGCACCGTCAACGGCTACTCGGGGCAAAGTCTCCCCAGTCTATCACATTCCAGCTCCTCTCCAGCCGCTGACATGGTGGCGTTCGACTTCTCCAGCCTGCCTACAGACTCTTCGGTCAGCATGTCCTCCTCACAGCTACCGACCAAGCTAGACTCGGAGCGGAACGAGTTCGATACATTCCTTGACTACGGAGGGATGGAAATGGGGTTAGATTCTTCGGCTCAAGATTTCTTTAACATTTGAAGCGACCTCGCCCAAAACTTGTGATGACGAAACGGTAAATCTGGAAATTGTCAATGTCGTTGGGAGCTCTTCAATGCCAATTGGATGTTTTGATGCCGCCCATGTACTGTAAACTAGCCAACGGATGAAAGCGTTATTGATGAGGCGAACGGGTGGGCTTGGACAAGGACAAATGGTATCAATGTCATTGGACTCGAATGATTGTATGGGGAATGATAGCGTGGAGACAGGAGCTTGGAATGATAATATGTGGGATCGGTTCTTTGGTTGGGGATCTGCCTGGGCTCGAATTGGGTCTCTCTTGTCACAATGCGTTGGTTTTCGCACATTGCACTTTCATGGACCCTGGTGGTCGGGGACGGGACTGTACATTCCTTCTTGACCAGTTTTTACACTCACTCCTTTGACCCATTTCGGCGGAGCGCCGACTTGGACGGCGAGCCTGCACTTTCCTTGCTTCTGCCTCGCTTTCACCTCTGGGGTTGAAAGTGAGGCAAGCGGAAATTGGGCAGACCGCAAGCGAGGTGGAACACATTCTTTTGTCGAGTCAGGTCACTTTGGCTTCGGGGTGGGACTCTGTTTTGTGGCCGACTAGGCTCACATGTCATATCCGGTGGCGTGGCCGATCGGTCTTTTGGATCTTCAGGTCTGTGCCGGGCGACCTTGAAATGAAAGGGAGAAGGCGGATCGACAATGCTGGAAATTCCTGACTCGGCGGCAATGTCTAGGTAAATCATGTCAGGGCTTCCAGAGGTGTACCCTCGGTCAGTCTTTGATGAGGTTCAAGGCAGGACCACAGTCGGCGGGTTTCCGGTTCTTCTTCCAAAGACCATGGTCAAGCAGCAGGCAGAGTGACTGTGACCTAGTCGTGGGCGCCTTAGTCCTCAAGTACAGGTACCCAAGCGAGATAGTACAAATACCATGACGATTTAGCAATGCCAGAGACCAATGCTGCCCGCCGCGGCTCGCTAGCTGTATCCTATAATCCTGCTGTGAGGCTATTTCTTCCTTCACCCCAAATGCATTCGACTCTGTCCAGCCACATAGAAGGACCGTGACCCTGAAGGCGTCCAGCACGGTTGTGAACCCAATGGCCTCGCGGTGGAGGCCACGATACATGAGACGTGAATCTGTATTTGGCGGAACGAACCAAATCTGGTGAATGCCCTAATGCTGGGCTCTGGCAACCATCAACTCCTTTTCTGACGTACAGGAGTTCACCAAGGTGAAGATTTTCTGACATACAAGACTAGCCGTTTTCATTGAAGGGTGAGGCTGGTTGAATGTGGAAGGTTGCCTCGCTCGGACGCGATGGCTTCTCGCCTGGTCAGTTAGAAAATATTCCCTGAGTGCAATCCATCTAGTAGATACACCGCGGTAGGTGCGCGGAACATCCTGTCGGGGCCTAAGCCTCGCGTTCAGGGGCTGTTTCGGGCATCATTGCCGCGGCTTAGATTTCGTGCATGAGTCTGTGACGGGCGGGTTATTGGAGACGACCGCTGTGCCACTATCTAAAAGATCTGCAACACCATCAGCGTGACCATGTTCGATCTTTAGGACTCCAAGGAGCAGGAATATGGAAGAGTTGCTGCGAAGAAGCCACCGCATCCGAAGGTGTATCCGACAATGATCGCCTGACACTGCCAAGTCGGGACGACTCCAATGCCTCAGGTCCTAAGTCATCCATGTGATCATATAGGGTGTCATGACTTGAGCTGATCGGTATCCTGCTCACTGCCTAAAACTTAGACTCGAACCTGACCAAGATTGAATTGAACAACGCTGGCCTGGGCATGACAGAAACGGCAGGCCCTCACGTCGAGTATGAATGACCGACTCAGCAAATCCCGCAATGAGCGCCATCAGGAAGATAGAGAACTGAATCGAATGACGCCGGCGTTGCAGATCACAAATAGTGAGGCAGAGACCAACCGGGCACACTAACGTGAATTTGAAACGTCGCTTGTCGGACACCAGTCCCTGAACGTGCAAAAGCCAGATACCGTAAGGATCTCCAAATGGGCGGCAGTTTAGTCAATGATAGTCGCCTTCCCAGCATACTGGTGACGACGTGAGGACTCTAGAAGCGTGTGGCAGGTCGATTCGCAGTGTAGATCAATGCACAATCAACTTCAACTGAGATCTTCGGCCCCAATGCATAAAACGAGCCAAAAGACAAGGGGTATAGCTACCCAGCCCAATTATGTGCCCAACGCATAGTCTTGCTCACGGCCATAATGGGCGCTGTAGGTTCAACTGAGGTGGCAAGTCAATTTCACTGCCGGCTGTACATCCTCTGCCGTCATGCGAGGCAGGGAGATTGGAAAGTTCGGCGGTGGACAATATCGAATCGACCGCACATAGAACAATGTCGATATTGGACTGCTCTCCATTCGGCCTGCGGCTGCGAGTCTGAACTAGATGAAGAGTTTGGCGTTTCGTCCACCTTCCGGCACAGCCTTGTTGCCTATGATTGGTCAACCAGTGATAACTGGCCTGGCACCCTTGGGCACAAGTCCACCATCACAGCGGCCCAAATGTTGGCTAAGCGAATGTTGCCCTGTGGCCTGCCTCGTTTGGATACCGACGTATCAGACCCCGGGCTCAAAGCTATGTACTCCGTACCGACGAAACGAGAAGCCCCAGGTAAGGTTGGTGAGGTGACGTGGATGGCTGACAATGAGCGGGCCGGCTTCTTAGAGACCGACCGATATCAACGCCTGATGCGAAATGTGACGCCATGGAAAGTACTCCGTACTCGTACAGGCTTCTTCTGCCGTCTCTATGCCCTGTCTTCAACGCTGAAGCTCCACACTCGAAACAAAGGAACTAGTTCAACCTTAATCATTGAAAATCGGGAATTCCAGCCTCTCTGATATCGGCTTGAGAATAAATGCGGCCAACCATGCGTCATGAACACCGAAGACCTAGGAGTTTCTGACTCCGTTGTTCGAGAGCACCAGTCGAGTGCGATCAAGCCATCCTCGCGTAGGTAGCAGGATGCAAAATTCAGAATGTCGCCACCTCTGACAGGTCAGGGAAGACCGGGCTGCCGTGGAAACCAATGAAGCTCCATTAGCAGGCGCCATCTGTGGAATTGCGAATTTGAGACAGAAAGAGGTAGTACGAGAATGAAACCTTCGCTGCAACCCCTCAAGACTCTAGGTCCCAATCTGACGACAAGGACGCGGTGTAATTGTCCACGTGTGCCAACAGGAAAATGGGTATAGTGATCAGCCAGACAGGGAGGGCGGTGCTGCGGCTGCGTTCGCGTTACGCTGAGCGGTGTGAGGACAGGTCTACTCTTTGCCTGGGGTCGTCTGCATGGCAACCCACGGCAATGCATAGTGCAGTGGTGCATCAAGACGTGCAGCTGTCTGTCAGCTTCTGCATGCGCTGCGGCAGCACCCCACTGCTGAGGCTCGCCCCGCGCTTGGGGGATAATTCTATGCAGCGCTGATCGATGTACTCCGTAGTTGCCCTAGAGACGAGACAAGAACTGTCTTGCAACCCGACAGGGAGGTGCGAAAGAAGTCTGCCGATCAAATACCCCTTTCTTCGAATGTCAAGCAGTGATCTTGTTTGCCACCCGGGATGATCATACTCGGTTGATGGCCCGCGTGGCCATGTAAGGGCGAGGTGGGTAGCGGCGGTACTCGCTGTCTCCTGCGAGTGGAACACGGTGTAGAGGACTAAACGGCGGATGGCCCAATGGCGAGGCCGAGGGGGACGTGGTAGAGATCTTGCGGGTGGAGATATTGTTGAGCCAGGCCATGGTGGAATGCCAGATGCTGAACGTATGGATGAGGTCGCTGGATCGAAGGTGGATGAATGATGGGATGATGCTGAGGGAGTCAAAGTGAGGCGAAGGGAGGCGTCTGGCTGCGCCTGCGTTGATTGGCGGGGCATCCCTGCCCACCTCAGCCACCCGAGCAGCGCCGGTCAAAGACACCAAAGACAAGGCAACCATTAGAGTGGGATTTCTTTACAGCGAACATCAGAGCCATCCTTCTTCCTGCCCGTGGGCTTGCACTGCACCGAAACTCCGTTGCTTCTGGGCTAAGACAGTCGTAATTGGCCAAAGCCGTTCTCCCACCGGACCCCTCCCGCTGAAAGCCTTATAAGATCATGCTCGAGGCTGCTGCTGAACGCGGTTTATCCTCCTCTCCGTGGTAAGGACTCGACAGCAATAGACATCATCCAGCAAATCCAAGTTCACGTCCAAGGCCGTCGTCATCGCTTCCTTCATACGTTTTGTGACTGCTGTACAGCGCCCTTGCCACCAATGCCTCAGCCCGCAGGTTCGACCCAGGAATACTGGCTGCCAGGCTATGGCCTCTCCCGGCATATCGTGCTTCGACAGTTGCAGTACTTCTTGGGACCTTCTGCCACAGTCAGACCATATTCCTACCATGTATGAAAGCACCTCTCTCGCTTGGGGGCGCAAACTCATTGCAGAACCAGGGTCGAGAAGGCTACCTGATCAACGGCACTCCTTTGACAAAGGTAAGACGGCAGAGGCCTTGAATGAGCACTATCTCAGGAGGATGCAGGAACAAATCGAAGATCTCAGGCGGCAATCTCGCGAATACGAAAGGCAGCAAACAATTCGGATGTCTGGCAAAGCTATCGCAGCCACCGATTCGGCCGAACCCGACATCAATGAGCTGGTAGTTGTGGCCGTCGGCCGGCGGAGCAATCCGGTAAACGATTCGAAATCCTACTCGCCCTATCAGCGGACCCGATGACATGTGTGAAGTGGTCGGTTGGGAGTGTTGCTTGTAATGGATGATCTCCTGTAAATTCTATTCCGCTTTGCTGAATGGCATGATGGCCCACTGGATCAAATGCAGCGCATCTGTACATCTTGGAATGGCTGGTCAAAGCACACCGCCGACGTTTCTCAGTCGCCGCCAGGGGTGACAGCCATGGGGTACAGTCGTTCCGCGAAACTGAGCTCCTGTCAAGGACTGCGGTGACTCGGCAGAGTTTCAAGGGTGCATGTGCCACAGATGTCTCAGGTAACCCTTGTTGGAGAGGAACGGATTTGCTTCGGAACGTGAACGTTGATCTTTCTAAAAGAAGACTGTTGTAGGGCTGGTAGATTGTGTTGGACTGGTCCGTTTCTTGTATGTAGCGGATCTGTAGGAAAGAACTAGATGATAGTCGTGCAGGCAAGCTTCCTGGCGGGTGTTCCCAATACACCAGCAGGAAGACTCCGCAGTGCAATGAAGAGGACTTGACATGCTGTAGCCAAGAAGCAATTTTGACTGGTTGTACGCCGAAACGGGGTTTAAGACCCTCTATAGGTAGTGTAGGTCCATGGTCCGACCAACACAGGCACATGATAGTGTCTTTCTCCCTTTTTGACATAGAACTTGACCTCGACCTCGGGCCAGAAGCTTTCGATTCCCTGCTCTTCATACCAACGGCCGACGTCGAACTTGATGCTCCAGGGGATGCGTTCCCCCGCGGCGAATCTGTCCATGATATCCGACAACGTCACGCTCGAAGGCGAGGTCCACTCCTTCACGCGCCCGTCTTCGTTGGTGATGGCATGGAAGTCCACGTTGGTCTCCGAGGACGTGGATTTCGATAGTAGGGTCAGTGTAGCCTTGAGACCAGCTGCAGGCGTCCCGGAGAGGGTGTTGAGGACATGGCAGGTGATGGGAGACGCCATTTTTCGCGGACGGTTGGTGGACAATGGTAGCAGAGAAAGCTGGCTGTGCGACACAAAACAATCTACAGAGTATGATGGCAGGAGTGGGATATAAATCCCTTTCGAAAGCTGTTCCACCAGGTCGGAGGGTGCCGACGCCCTGGAGGAAAGTTTGGAGGTGGCCGCTCGTACTACTAGTAGGGTTTGTTAGGAGGGGCAGATGAGATGCGACAGCCCGTGCCAATAATACTGCAGAGCATTTCAGCGAGAGGCGTAGAATCCTTAAGCGGCACGTGATGAGGCTGCCCTTGGCGAGGCTGCGCTAGTATTACTAAAGGAGGGCGTGAAATGCAATCGGGTCTCTAATTGGCCAGTGAAGTAAAGCATACTGCCTCACCCACGAGGCTGCCTACACAATATATATCAAAGTCGCAGATTTCTCCTCAACAATCGCAGCTGTACATATAGGCTCTGACCTGATGTTATGTGACTGATCCATCTTCACGTCTTAGCTTGTGCTCTGCATTATATGGATATAGTTCCGCTTGCGGGGCTAGAAACCCAAATTACAAAACCAACCTAAGACACTAACGGTTCTTACCGACTATGAGGCGAGGTTAACTCCACTGCGTGAGATTTTTTGCTCCTTTGGTCGGCTGTTCGATTCAGTGTCGTCTTGTAGGACTTTACGGCTCGAGTGTGTGGAATTTTGGTATGCAGAACGTGGGTGATTCTGCCGCACCCCCGCGTGACTAGGGCTAACAGTGAATGGAATCTCAGCAGTGACTTAGTCGTACCTGGCGATTAACACGTGCCTCCTTTTAGGGGAGGCTTCGATACATGTATCTTAAGATAAAAACAAGTTCAACTGACTGGCCACTAGTGACATGGCTCAAATCAAGTACACGCTCGAGTGGAGTACACCTTGTCCGTCGAGTTTCGACCTAAGGCATGTCTTCCTCCTCATAGTCGGTTTCAACAAGTGCTTGGTATTCCTCTCCAACGGTCAAAGGGTGCAAGTCGGCGTTTTTCTGCCATAGGATGTAGCGCCTTGTAAACCACGACAGGTATTCGGTCAATTGGTACTTAATGAAAGTCCGTGTTGGAATAGAGAAGACGTGGTCGAGTTCGTCGAGCGTTTTAAGTCGAGTCTCTGGGACGAACAGGAAAACTAGCACGAGGGCTACAATGTTGAGAGCCGCGTATAGGGCAAAAGCTCCTTGCGGCTGCAGGACCGTCAGAATCCGTGGGAATGTGAGCGAGAGCACAGTTGCCCAGAAAGACGCCGTTGCCACCGCAAAACTCATCCCAATCTCACGATGCGACAGCGGGAACACCTCTGCTGAGTAAGTAAAGGGTACGGGGCTGTATCTGGTCAGCATTGGATTTAGATGTAGCTTGGTTGTGCTTACCCCATTCCTGGAGAATATAAAGCGCAAAATAGGTAGATGAGCGCTGCAACAAAACCGAAGTGCGCAGGGCGATCCGCAGGTATGTTGAAGCTGAATCCTGCTCCAAGCATCGTTACGGCCATCATTGGTAAGGTCAACAGCAGCAACGAGCGCCGGCCGAAAGTGTCCATGGTCAAGACTGCAGGGAATGCGCCGAGGAAGTTGACGAAACCGAAGACACAGGAGGCTAACAATGCTCCAAAGGCAGAGAATCCGGAATCGGCGAAGATCTATGGCGAAGTCAACATTTGTTGGAGACTGATTTCAAGATAGCGCAGCTTTTGCTGGTGCAGCACTGTCGGCCAACTTACCGTTGACGAATAATAAGCAATAATGTTTACTGAGGTCACGCTTGTCAGTATCGTCCGTGGGGTAAGGCACAAGGCACAAGGGTGTTCATACTGCCGCAAAGCTGTTGTGACAACATGACAACGTAAGACGCCGTAATCGCTCGCCGGTTGCGAGGAATGGTGAAGAGTTCAGCAATCTTCTTTGACCATGACACCTCCCTCGAGTCTAATTTTGACTGGGCACGTCTTAGGAGATACGTAGAATATATCTCTTTTGCAGCTTGCAACTCGCTGTTTCGAACCCTGCACAGTGACTGGAAGGCGAGGTTGTACCGTTGGCCATTCTTGACAAACCATTGTGGCGATTCCGGGCAGAAGTACACTGTGAGGAGAAGCGGGATAGTAGGCAAAACAGGTCCAGCAAGTTGTAGCCTCCAAGCTTCGTCGCCATACTGAACAGGTCCTTCGTCAGTGAGGGAGAAGCATCTGAGGCAAGATACTCACATTGTACACTGCTGTATTAGCAACGAAACCTAAGAAGATTCCAAAGGCGGTCCAAAGCTGCCACGAAACAGCGATGCCACCGCGGATGAGCGGCGGCGTGACTTCGGCTGCGTAGACTGACACAGTGCTGGCATTGATACCCAAGCCAGCGCCCAGAATGAAGCGGAAAGCCAAAAGCTGGGGCCAGTTAAGACTGAGGGACGAGCCTGTATTAGAAACAAGGCATATTAGACTGCCAACGAAAACTGCTCCCCGTCGGCCTAGTCGATGGTTGATGGGTCCAGATAACCATGCACCCCTGCACCAATCAATACGGTAAAAGGCAGTAGAAATAACGAAACTCACAAGAGGCACACGCTGAGGAAGATACCACTGTTGATTAGCCCGAGCAGGAATGCGTCATGTTTGCTGTTTGAATCAATACCGAATGCCTTTGGGATTCCCAGGTTCGCGCCGTTCATGGCCGTCTGGGCCCAGCCTTGCTCAACGGCCCCTATTGAACAAACCAGGATCGTGAAATAGAGCGTCTTTGGTTGTTTCCATTTATTTTCCGTCTCCTGTTGCAAAGCGCGTAGTTCAGTGGCGGTGATTCCTGGAACACTACTCAACGGAGTCTCCCCTAGGACGATAATGGCGGCCTTTTCAAACACAACGGTATGATGTGCTAGATGGTGCCGTTGCACAAAGCAGTGGACATCGCCCAGGTCGACTGGCCGTGGAATATCGCCATCAGATGGAAGCTCGGTTGCCGACAGGTCGCGATGCGCGGACGAGCCGGCAGGGATGGATGCTAGAGATTCATAGTGGTCTGCGGCGGGTTTCGACATACTTTGGACAGCTGCCGCCCATGCGATTGCGAGGATCCTATCACGATCCTCGCGGGATACGACGCGACAGATTCAACGCCTGATGCGGCACGGACGAGGAAGATCGATCACCCAGCGATGTAGCGATGTGGTCACGACTCACCAGAGAACGACAGAACGACGGGCTGGTGGTCGATGTTTGACCTCAAAATGGCAACTCTAAGCGAAGTCGCTCTCAGGGGCTGTCACGTGGCTGTGACTCGAAGTCATCTTTGAGGTATCACGATATCGTGGACAATGGACATTGCTTTCCCAACTTAGTCCTCCGTATCACGAGCGGCCATATTTATTTGGTCCTAGGTGGCGATGGCCATCTGCGATCCGATATTTTGGCTCCGGCAGCGGTCGTTCGTTATATGTGGAGTCGTCACGGTGCAAGGCGCTTCGATGAGGACTTTCAAAATCTAGACACCACTGAGCGAACTCTTAGTGGTATGGTAGCGACGGCACTGCGTAAAGACAACAATCCAATGTTGCACTAGCTGTCATACGGTCTGGCTCCACCTTAGCCCCAAGCTGGAGAATGCATCCCCAATTCTTGACCTTCTCAAAGCCGACAAAATCAGGAAGAGCAGACCTAATCTCTCCAGCATAGGCAGGTAGTCCGTCCGCATAGTTGACTTGCTCGAATACTTTACCTGGCATGGTGCCTCACATGTAGGTCGATTTAGTTGTCGGGGAGAGACTCTTGTCGGACAACTCGTTAATCCTCTTTTTCCACTCCTTGGACGCTTCAGCTGCTGGATTGATATACTCCAAGCCTTGTCGATCGATCTGCTTGATGGCGTCGACGATCCACCGGCCTTGAACATCCACGCTGCTAGGACCATTGCTCAGCAAGGTAGGGCCGTGAGGTCCATATAGATGGAACATGTTTGGATACCCGCTGATGGTCGTACCCAGGTAAGTGCAGGCAGTTTGGGGTTCTCTACAAAACCTTCAGGTGCCCAGCTTTTGGATCCCTTCGCTTGCCATATTCTCGGAGTTCTGTTTTGATGTGAGGCATGTTGCGAGTGCCTTACCAAAGAGACAGTGTTGTGATCTATCAGCCTTGCGCGGATCCGCCAGAGCAGAAAGCTGGGGAACCCACTCCTTTCTTTACCTCGGGCTCGGGATCTTACATGACAGCCGTCCGGAGGGGCATCTTGGAAACCGACTTGTAGCTATGTACGCTGGTGTTCCAACACAAGAGTTGTTGAGTTGTCGATCTGCAAGATGCAGGGGTACAAGTGCTGGGGCCACCAAGGCCCCTCTTCTCCGCTTGAGTTGCGGAACCGCCCTATTCCGCCTCAGCAACATTGGCTGTCTTGCCCAGAAGCTTGAAGACGGGAGCCGTCACTTTCGGGGTCCGGGGAGATTTCCATCGACAGAAGCATTCGCACCGATTTGTGTCTCGTCCGAGGGTGGCAGGCAGGACTTCATGCGGTTGATGCAAACCGAGAGAGGCTGTGACCGTCTGGGCACCTTCGTCTAAGCACAACCACTTCTTGCGCAGGCTGTCTGTACACTGTGTCAAGCTCATAGATTGACTTCTTCGCAGTCAGGTCAGCAGCAATGGTAGTGATGTACACTGCGGCATGACTTGCGAGGTGGTTGAGGTGAAGTCGGGTACATCGGATCATTGTTAGTTCAGACGAAGTATCTACGGCGGGACAAATGGCGCACTCTGGCAGCCGCAGTTTGCCATTCAGTTGCCATGTTGACCTTCAATTGATGCCATGGTTGGCGTCGAGTTCTGTTCTTGAATGAAATCTGTCGGTTAGCAAGCTCTGTAATGCCCGGCAAGTGTCTTCCCTCAAACCTGGGAGCCGATCAAGAACTATTCATCAACCGCAACCGCTTCACAATGCTGAACTGTCATGCAATTTTGATCGCTGCCAGAAAGGACTGATAGCCTGCTATTTACTCGTCCAACTCGTTCAGACAATCCTTGAGGAATTTCCCTGCAAGATAAGCCATATCTGACTTGTTCCCAAGATTCAGAAGACCTTCAATGCAATAGCCGCACCTTCTTTTTGCCAGGTTCCTTTCGTCCTCGACAGTCGACCATCCTGCATTCCTCCACCGTCGGGGTGCAATCAACTGACTCACAAAGACGTATCCCGCCCGACTGAAAGACTGTATCAATACTAATGTCCATGGCTCCGACAAGAGAGCAACCTGGTTGACTGGAAATGTAAACTCGCGGGCTGTGGGAAAAGACAGTGAATCGCCATGCAAAGAGCACCGACACAACTCGGAAATGGCGGTGGCGTTCTTTCTTCTCATGTCATTCGAGAAGTTGGACATTCGCCGCCTGTCTCTCTGCGCTGACCGGCTCAGTCCAGCCTCATCCATCTCTTCCACAACGTCTGCGAGTAGGATGGTCCCAAGGTGCCAGTGCCCAGCCAATACCAGATACCAGGATTGGATGCGAGCTGGAAGGTCGTGGTGCCTGGTCATGCACTGGGCAATGAATCTCCCGTACGATCTATTCCAGAACGCATAGACTCTCAGGGCTTTTTCCACTGCCTGCTCAAGCGCCTCGCTCCCGGCCCGCCGGGACATCAATTTTTGTATGTGGCCTACTTTCCGGAAAAGTAATACTTTCACCGGGGCAGCATCACATAGAATTGAAGCGGCGTCATCCAACTTGTAAGACCGTTGGCTTTCGTTGCCGTCTTCGAGGTCCTGACTCTGAAGGAAAAAGCTGTCCCAGATGTCCGATGAACCAAGTTGCTTTTGCGGTTTCGGTGACATGAATACAGGATCCCAGCCGTCAAGGTCGATATCCCGCGCCGATGAAGCCGAGAAGTCATCGTCCGACAGGTCGGGTGGAGACTGTGGTGTGGTCTCCCATGGATCCGAGGAATCGATGCCGGTGTCTTCATCTGGGACGACTGGAGGGCGTTGAAGAATTGCAGCAGATATGGTATCGAACATTATGGCAAGCCAGGAAAGGAGTTGGAAAGTCTCTCGGTGTTTCCGGCTTGGGGTTACGCTTGCTGTTGAAGCTCGACCCCTTTCCCAGTGAGACCCAGATGGCGACCTGACGGTTTCCTTGGCCTTCTGCCGATTATACCGCTCCCACTGCCACCGAGAGGATATAAGCTGCCTTGATGCGGCCTCCAGGAAGATTGGAGGGCCATCCGCATTGATTATCTCTTGAAGAGCGTCCCATCTCGAACCAAGTCCTCTATCGCGAAGACCAGATCCGCCAGAATCAGATTGAGGGGTCAGTCCTGACCGGACGCTGCTCGCACACCTTTGGTTTTCGTTGCGTGGCTTCCAGGTGGTGCTCTGAGCCCAATCCTGCAGGTTGAGCGGTCGCTGGGTGAGAGAGAAGACGATGTTGGCGAAGGCAACCCTGTAGGATTGTATGCCGGCGGCGTCCTGCAATGCTTGACGGGCTTGGTACCACAGTGTTTCCTGTACCGATCTGCCGAACCCGTCAGCGGCTGGAAGATTCATCGCATTGTGGACACTTGATGTGGCCATGAAGGATGAGATGCGATCCCGAAAGCTAGCCCGATCACCAGCTTGGGCCCACTGGACACCGAAAGCCATCACTGCTGCATTGAGAGCCTTTCCTGCCATCGAGTTTTCCGTCCTCGATGGGCTTCTTCCAGGCAAGTCATTGACGAACCTATCCAGACTACACACTCTCTTGTAGATACGATTTGACCACTGTGGTCCCCATACCCCGGCAAGGCCATCGGCGTCGTTGCGGGCGAGTGTGTACGGGCAGTTTCTCTCAGTAAGCCAGCAGGAAAGGGCATTTTCCAGGCTGTCATGATATACGCGCAACCAATTTTGAGCCAACAACCATCGGTTGGTTCCTGAGGACAGAGTGCTAGTGGAAAGCAATGACGAGGAAATTTCGTCATCCGATATCATCGGAACTGAGCTGCACTCGGAATTGGCGAAGAGGAGTGATGTCTCTGGTTCTTGAAACCATGGGTCTGTTGGGTAGAGACCCTGTCCCCCTTCCTGATATGACTGCTCTTCGAGATCCATCACTTCCTGGTCTTGGATATCTTCGAGCGACGGCAGCTCTGGTTCGTCTTCGATCCAAGATCTAGCCATGGCCATCGGAGGTGGTTTGTTGGTGCTCGGTATTGGATTGCTTGCGGCACACGGATTTGTGAACCCGTCAAAGTGGGCTGCGGATACCCCATGATCGAAGAGGATATCTGGGGACCTCCAAATGTCGAACAGGTCAGCATCGTCGATGTGGTCGAGGCCAAGATTCGCTGTTCCAAGGTCTGCGAAGAAGTCGGGGTCGCTCCCCAGGGTTGATGCATAGGCCGGCTTCTGCGTGGAGAAGTGGGCGGTAGACCCTTCTCTCGACGCGTCAATGTCGTTGCGTGGTTGAGACTTCTTTTTGATGCCTTTGTTTGCCTTGGGCAAGGCACATTCCAGCCACTCGAAGGTACAATTTCGGCCAGCCTTCTGGCAATTGGAACACCGTGCTACAGGGATTTGCGGCTTGCCTTGATGGGCAGTGTGTCGCGGTGTCGATGCAACTGGCGAGGCGTGGTGGAAGTGTTCATGTTCTGCTTGGAAAGCGGCGTCACAGGCTCGTTTCGCTTTCCTACATTGATCACAGCTGCTGTGCTGACGGCGGCGCACTCTCTTGATCAGGACATTTCGCTGGTCCATTCTGAATCTGATGGAAGGGAATGCATGGAAGGGACTGGGTTGACCCACGCTCTCTGATTGATGATGAGAGGGTGTGCCGCAGTATCTCCCAGGTCCGTCCGGGCGTCATCTCGGCTCCAGGTCATGCCAACTCACGCCGCCGTCTCCGGACCCCGCAACAGATGGAGCACAAGGCGGGGAAATGGACGCCTGGTCTTTCTAAATCCCTTGTCTCTTCCCACATCCTCGTCAATCTTCGCTCTGCAAGTACTGATTTGTCCGGCATTAAGGCACTTGATGAGGGGTTGCCGCAGATCGTCTATACGGGCAGCGAGTCAAGCTTCCATTGTTCAATCGTATGTGGGTTTATCCTAGCAGGTTGACTGCTTTGACACTAGCCTCAGTCAGGGACGAAATGAGGAAGAGGACGCATACTGCGGCCTGCCCCTGGATGTGAACTCGCTGTTACATTCGATGCCGACACAAAGTCTTCTCCTGGAGACATGATCCTTGTGCCTTGCAAGGTCAACATCAACCTCTTCTGGGTAAAGAGATGCCAAGTGGAAGAACCCTGGGGTTGATGTTGACAGTTCTTTTTAGCCAACCTCCAGTCTTCGTTGCCTGAGCTAGACATGCCCATTGCTTCGGTGAGCTCCTTGGCCGGGCATGTGGTCCATACTCGACACCTTTGTGCAAAGCATAGAAGTCGTCCAGACTCCAGGCCAGAGCAGCAACGTCAGGTGCTAGCTACCTTGAGCGACCTCCTCCACTGCTCTTCCACAGCTCTTGGGCATTGATTATGCATCGAGAAAAGACCCACTTACTTTTCTCTAGAGAGGGCTCAACATTCCTTACATCCTCGATCATTACTGTGATCTTGGAGAGGTTTCAGACCCCACAAGCAACGCGCGTGCAAGAGTGGCGGTGAGGAGTGTAATGCCCGCTCTCCGACCCGGACAAGGATTGGGCATTGGGCAAAGAATCTCATGTGAATGAAAATAGCCTTACCTGGATTATGTGCAGATTTGTATGGGTTTCCATGTCCACTTCGCCAGCCTCAGCTCCACACAACGAGGAATGCCTGAGAGTGCATGAAATGATCCTCTCGGGATTTCTCCTCCAAGACAGCGGACATGTCATGTTATACCATCCCTTCAGATACGAGCTCGCTCAACTAAATAGGGTCGACGATGCCATACACCTCCCTATATTCATATCAAACCCATGACAACATTTCTTGAGCACAAATACGCCGAATAATTGCAGGCTAAGCCTTCTGTCGCTCAAGCGACAAACATCGTGCAAGTCCAGGGAATGATTCCCTCGAATTGTCATCTGCGCAGTAAGCGTGGTCCGAATATTCGAGGAGCATCTTTCAGGGGCTGTTCTACTTGCCACGTACTTCGTACAAGCAAGGCTATATGCAGTATACCCCTGGTATATGCAACGCCTCAAAAGCCCACGGAATTTCCCAACGAATGATTCAGCTGAGGCTAGCCAGTCTCCTGTTCTCTTTGCCCCTGGATGCGGTCTGCATTAGGCCGTGGGCGATGTGGTTTCTTGTGGACACCGGTGACAGGGCCATGTCCATATCGTCGCTACATATGGCCATTGCCCAAAGGCCTATCCTTGTCATTCCACACCACCTGGGTGCAGGAGGCAGGAATCCTCAGGATTGGGGCGAACAGCGCCAGGCAGCAATCGCCATATGCCGGCCTCCCGGGGTGGGTGTGGAAGCTGGATTTCCTTCTTGAGAGTCCCTGAAGGGTCTGTTCAGGGTAGCCAAACCCCGCACTCCGTAGTCCAACTACTCTGTACTACGTCGTCGCCTTCCCAGATGCCTTGGGCTCGATATCTGTTGTATACCAGGCACCACCGTCAGTTGTGGCGGCCTTGGGGCCCCAAGCCCGATCAACAAACAAGCGCTGGGTCGGGGTCCAGCTCAGTCGCACCCTTGCTCTCGTCCGCATTGCACTCGGACGCATATGTCACCTATTAATATACGTAAATCACTATTAATTACCTAGTGGTGAGTGGTGCTAATAGTTAGATGAGCCAGCGCCACGAATCACCTCCGGCTAAGGGGTCCAAAGGCTAAGGGGCCTTAGGAGCCTCAATCGAGCGGATCCGTCGGATACGAGTTGCCAGCTGGCATGTGTCGTATGGGCATTGGGCATTGGGCATTGGGCATGGTATACGGAGTACTCAATGTTGTTGTGTTTATGCATTTACCTAGTATCGCCTAGGTCCTCCGTACTCCGTACCTACAGTTTTACAGTACGGATACTCCGTACACAGTATCCGTACTATATACTCATCACTACTAATATGTAGTGGGATTCGAATGGGCGGTCATGCCATCCCTATCTATGTCTTCTATGGTACCGTCACCCATCGGCTAGCACATGACATGACAGATCTATCTGGGAACACTAACATGTGCCGAACGAAGGAAGCCTTTTTAGCAGAAAAAGAAAAGCCTCCTGCCCCCTCCACCCGGAAAAAACAACAAGACGATTAGGGAAGAAAAGAAAAGAAACAAAACAAAACAAAAAACAAGCTAATAGAGACTAAACTGCGCCCTGATTCTGATTCTGTTCTCCAAACAGCCTCGTACATATGTACTGTACCTATAACGAGTGAGACCCGGCCCTAAGGCTTAGGCTTTAGCCATCCAGCCTACACCAACAACCCGCCATGTATGTATTTTGACACCCACCCTGAGGCTTAGGGACCCAGAATCAGAATCCAGGCTGATAAGTTAGGGCTAAGGATAAGGATAAGGATAAGGACTACCAACCCAACCGGGCCCATAGCTATCTGAGATGGCATCATCCAGCCTGATCCTGGTCCATGTGCCTGTGCCTGATCCTGATCCTCTGTACGTATCATGCACATGCACGCTCCCCCATCGGATATGAGCACATGCATCTGCATCTGCGTCCTAGAGCGCGATAAGCCTGAGACAAACGGCGCGCGCGCGCGCGTGTGTGTGTGTGTGTGTGATGTGATGTGATGTGATGTGATGTGATGTGATGTGATGTGATGTGATGTGATGTGATGTGATGTGATGTGATGTGATGTGATGTGCATGTGATGTGATTGACGTCGAGGAGAGTCCGTGTTCGTTCGGATCCGGTGTCGTTGTCGTTGTCGTTAGACCGGTGAGTGACCTAAGCTCGCTTGACTGCCTGACCTTCCTATCGATTGGAGACGCCGGAGAAATGAGCAATTGAGGGAGTGAGGGAGGGATTTAGTGAGTGAGACATCCTAATCTTGTCTAAAGGAGCTTAGCTTCAGTATGTACATATACAGTACCACTAGATAGAAATTTGAAGTAGAACAGAGCAGACCAGAACAGACCAGACCAGACCAGAAACGACGGGGTTTCCACGCTGGTGGGCAACACATGCTTATGCTTGCATGCGTAGCGCCGCTCCATGAGAAGGGACGAACGAGCCGCCGATATGTACAGCATGTCTGTATGTCCGTATGTCTGTATTTCCTGTATCTTGACGAGCACGACAAGGTTAGACCTGAAACCTGAACCGGGGAAAAGGGGGTGGGTGCATCTGTGTATCTATCTTTGCGCCCATCACTGCCCTCGAGCCTGAGCCTGAGCCTGAGCCTGAGCCTGAGCCCCGTCACCGCACCCTGGGTATCTGTACAAACCAACCGCGGTTGTATGGCTATGGCCTCAACCAAGTCCCCAGGGGAGAGCTCAAACAACCCGCCAATCCAGGCCTAATGAACGACCTACACCTCCTGCACACCGGGAGAGAAGTCGGCAGGATGAATGTTGACTACTCATCGAACCGCAAATCAGTGGGAGGATGGAGGATGGAGGATGGAGGATTTCCAGTCTGACCTGCTTCAAAGCAGTCCGGGTCCTGATCGCCATCGAAGTGTTTCTTGCTACCTCGTCGACCGCGCGGTAGGAGTTTGCTCTGTTTCGCCTTTCGGTTTCCTAATGCAATCTTTTTTTGGGTTTTGGTTTTGATCTGTGACTCCACAAGTCCTGGTACTGCCATCTTGCCCTATTCCATCCTCTCCCCATCCACCGCACCAAGACGATCCCCGACCGTAGAGGACCTGGCCAGGCCAAGAGGCTTCACAATTCCTCCGGTTCCTGGGGGTGTAGCAAAGACCTGTCCCTGTCCCGATCGTTCATGATCCACCCCTCCTCGAACTGGCCTGGGACCCCGTTGGATGTCACAACCTTTCCATGTGTGAAAAAAGAAAAACAAAATCCCCCAGCGCACTGGCAACTCGGCCATGCCGGTTCGTGTGCACGCCCGTGCGCATGTGCGTGCAGAAAGTTTCGAGTAGAATCATACAAGTACAAACTGAAAGCCGTCGAGCAGGGACAATCCGCCCAGGAGGCTACAGGATTGCCGTCGAAGGGAAGGAAACAGTTCGTCCGTCGACGAGAGCGATGTGCAAGAGGCTCTACTCTTCCGTAGGCCGTCACATCATCTGATCTTGTGTCATGCCACCCATCCCTTCTTGCCCTTCCAAAGCCTCACTGCCGTTGGCGTTTGCATATTTGACGTAGGACAATGCAAGAGGACGGCCGCCGTACACGTAGCCGCCGAATCTCGCTGGACAATTGTTAGCCGGGCCACTGAGAGGGATAGGAGCACTCACAGATGGCTGTCTCTGCATTTTCGGCACTGTCAAATTCCACCACGCCTGATCCTCGCGAGCGTCCACTTGGCTCGTACTGGATCTCGGCACGTTCGACCTTGCCGATGGTGATGAAGAGTTCAACCAAGTCATCGTTGCTGGTGGACCATGGCAGCTGCAATCATGTTAGCCAAGATGGAGACTGACTTTGACCCGTCATCACTCACATTTTTGACGTAGATGATCGGGCTCTTCTCTCCTCCAGAGGTTGCGTGGTCGGTGAAGGGGTTAGGACCGACTGGTTCGAGGCCAGCAGGACCGGGGCCAGCAAGGCCGCCACCGCCGCCTCCACCAGCACCGCCGCCGCCGTACCAACCGCCCCCATAGCCTCCTCCTGCTCCCGCTCCTGGCCCTCCTCCTCCGCCATAGCCACCCCGAGGAAAGCCGCCGCTACCAAAGCCACCACGACCGCCGAAGCCGCCACCACGAGCGCCAAAACCGCCGCCGAAGCCGCCGCGCATACCAAATCCTCCCTGGAAGCCTCCCCGACCGCCATGGCCCATCCCAGGACCACTTCCTGCGTATCGGTCTTCTCGAACTTCGAGGGCGCGGCCGTGCCATTCGTGACCGTTGAATTGTTGGATAGCGGTGCGGGCGTCGTTGGGAGACTCGAAAGCAACAATACCAGTTCCTTTGGGTCGTCCAGTGGCGTCAACATGAACGTCAGCTCGGATGACGTTTCCTTCCTGCGCTGCACACCATGAGATTATTGTCAGTTGGTCATCGAGGGGTGGGGGACGTACCAGCCGTTCGGAACAGATCCTTCAGATCCTGCCAACCGACGTTGAATGGGAGCTGTAACGTTAATGTTAATAATGCCTGCATGGTGTCAAGGTCACGCAAGGGACGGAGAAACAAACATTGGAGACGTAGAGTTGGCGGCCACCACCGCCGCCGCCGCCACCACCACCCATACCGCCGTAACCTCCGCCGTAACCTCCGCCGAACCCGCCTCTTGGGCCACCTGCGAAGTCACCGCGATTAGACGGGCCGGTAAAGCGTGGCTCTGTCTCACGATCCTGATCAAAGAAATATCATTGTCAGTGGCAACGACCAACGAAGAACTGTTGAGCCCGGGCCTGCGTACCTCGCGAACATAGACGAGACGACCCATGAGGCTCTGATTGCTTAGAGTTTGGATAGCTTGCTGGGCTTGTTCCCTAGTTGCGTATTCCACAATCCTGGAACAAGGTCAGCGACGGCGTCAAATGACACAGACAGAAGTTGACTCACCCGCATCCCTACATTAACCCGAGGACCAGGTCCAACCCGTCAATCCAACGTCCAACAAAAGTAACCAGAAAGGAAGACCAGTAGAACCAGCCGCATCACACAATGGCGCCCACCTTCGACATTCCATTCGGAAGAAGCAAGACATCGGCGAAGAGGACTTCTCCAGCTGAACCCAGGCATCAGCGTATTGATCCCACGACTCGAGAATGTCAAGTCCAAACTAACCCTGTCTCATGAAATCTTTGAGATGGTGCCATTTGACGTCGTAAGCCAAATTGCCCACATAGACCCGGCGGTCTTGTTGGGAAGTCTCGCGCACCGACTGCATCATTTGTTCTTTTGCTGCAGACCGATCTTCGAACGATCTTGGCCCTCCACCTCTACCACCGTGGCCTGAACCCGCGTATCCTCCCGAGGCGTTCGGTGCACTGCTCATGGGACTGCGAGATCGACGTTCGCTGCGGTGGTAGTCGTCACCTCGACTGCGAGATCGGCTACGAGGAGAGTAAGAGCGTCGACTTCTTCGTGGGCTGCGCGACCGGCGACGAGGTGAACGAGATCGGTCCCTCTGCAACTGATCAGAAAAATATCGAGCAAAGGTGATCATGACGCAAGGAGTGAGGTTGATTTAATAGGTTGGGAAAGTGAACTTCAGACTGCGTCGCACGTGAAAGTGAAGGTCCGCGTGACTGTTGGGCAGAAACAAAGATGGTGAAAGCCGCTTCACTGTGTCCTATTGTTGCAGTGAAGGACACAAGGCATAAGTGGACCTGGGACCAATTGGGAACAAAGTCGCAGTGAAGCCGCATCTCTTGTTCCAACTCCATTTGGAACTATGACTGCGTTCGATCTGTGCTCACAACAAGGAATCGTGTCACTTACTATACGATCAACAAGGTTAGCCAACGAACCACTGAGTCCAGAAAGATTAGGAAGAGGGAAGAGACGGTGAAGATGATGTGGTCAAGAGATGAAGTTGACACAGCGGAGGGGAAGAAGCGTGGGAATAACAGGTGATACCGGCCAAAGCAGACCACCACAGAAAAGGGCTAGCCTGGGGCACAGGATTGATGAAGGAGACGCACCCATGATTATCGATTGCCGAGAGTCTTCTGCGGCGGGTTTGAACTGTTGACTCTACAAGATCAGGATCGCGCATGCACGAAAATGCAGGAGGGGAGGGGAGAGACCAGCTAACAAGGTTTCCCGAGTAGGACAAGGGCTTCCGGAGTGTTCGCAAGACACAGACACCACAATTTGTCTGGGTGGAGCGCGTTGCAGGGCCGCAAGAGTCGGCAGCGGGCGAGCAAGGAATTGGTGGCGGAGGAGCCGGAGACTGGTCTGACGGAGCCTCAGCGGCGCGTCTTCAGGGGAAGTCGTGCAATGGCTGTTCTGGCTGCTGTTTTGCCTGATGGGAGGAAATTTTCGCTCGAGGAACGAACGCGACTTTTGCGGGGCACGAACGAAAGCAAGCTTAGAGCAGACCCTGGTGGGGACTGGATCGTCGCGGGCTTGACGCTGTACGCAGGAGAGGGTACTCGTATTGGAGGGCGGAGCTGATATGCTGGGAACAGGACCTCTACAGCCACAGGTCAGCGAACACGCTCATCACTCGGACCTGCCTCGCACGGGATCGGAGTGTTCTTCTCAAAGGTCGACAGGGCCATCGGGGTTGTGTTTGGAGTGTGTGATCTTATCCCGGCTTCCTCCTTCGAGTCCCAGGGAGTCTGGCCAACCAGGATGAGTACTCACAGCGACCGCGTGTTTTCTGCGTCAGACTCGCTGCACCACAGAGGACCAGTTCGCAGGTGCGCCCAATGGAATGGATGGTACGTGAGGGTCTAGGATGCCTGGGAAGGATGGATGATTCGCGTCAGCAGAGCCCAACCAAGGCAAGGTCTTGTTCGGGGCCTAAAGGCGGGAGAAGCGTACCAGGCAAGGGTCCGGGAATGGCAATGGGATCAGTCGAGAGGAAGAGCTGTCGGGCAACCGTAGGTTGGGATGTTTTGAGTGCAATTGGGCTGCAGCTAGAGGATGAGGTTCTCGCAGTGGCAGTGTGACGGGAGCTGTTTGTTCTGAAGGCACGTCGTCTGAGTGGGTGGAGGCCTTGGCGCTAGCGAAGTCTTGCCTGCGCCCTCACGGCCCTATCACCGCGGAGTCGGCTCTGCCAGAATGCCATCATGGTTCACACCGCCAGCACCATTAGCATCAACATCTGGCACACACACCTCGCTCGACCCTCTGCACACCAACCTGAACAGCAAGCCTCAAACCCCACTTTTGCCACTTATCCTGCGTCGAGTCAGGGAAAACTCAAGACGAGCACATTATTACGGCCCCTGCAGCAACGATTGCCTAGGAACATGGCACTTTGCCCAGGTGGCGTTACTAGAGAATATCCGAGAAGACAAGTCCGACATTCAGTTCCTGCCATGGCGGCTTATTAGCCACTTGCAGGAAGGTCGATTGCGCCAGAGACCAGCATTTCCTCTAGGTTGCATCGACAAACAGGAATTAATGGCAGACTGAACCGACCTTTGAGCCTAGCCTCAGCCTTTGCCCGTTTCCGGCCGGCAGTAGGACGTCCGCAGACCCGGACACGCTACCACTAAGCAGTGTCCACGAATCACGATTCAACTCCAGGGTAGACTTTCCATCCCCTCGTACAGGCACGCTCGCAGAGGATGCCCAGACGAGCAGAGGAAGTGCAGAGAACTACGCAGCTAGGACTGCTTCCCCCAGTCATCCCAGAAACAAGTGGATACAGTACTACAAATGCATATACGGAGTACCGTATTTGAAGACACCGTGCAGTGCTTAGCTTGTAGACACAAGATTCGGAACAGTTTCATTGCCCTGGACGGGATGCTGGCATTCTGGCAGCAGAGACTGTGATTGGCATCTGGACTACCATCGAGGGCCTCGAGTCATTATTTTCTCACCTGTCCACAGGGGATTTTTATGCAAGGACACTGGTCCTGATCAACTGGATATTGGCATGCGAGATGGCAAGGGTTTGGACGAACTAGGAGCAAGCTAGATTCGCATCCTGATGAATCCTGGTAGCAATAATGGCTTGTCATCTCCCGACTTCGACAAGCCTCACACTATTTACGCATAGTATGTGTGCCTATTCGCGGTCGAATGGGACCGGCACTCGCCAATTACTCCGTACTGCGATATTGAAGCTATTACTGGTACCAAGATGAGACAGTGCAAGCCCGCCCACCAAGCACGTCTTTGGGTGCATTCCTCAGCCATGTGTAGTGTTTGAGAAAGCTCTGACGGCATCCTTGGTCCACGTATAGTCGGCGCGATCGTTGCTCATCATGTGCCATGTCAGGCCGATTCGACACAGGCAGAAGCACGGAGGAGGAGGAGGAGAGCAGTGCAGGCAGTTCAGCAGCTGTGGCTGTGGAAAGATGGAGCCGAAGCCAAAATGGATGATCCACCGCACCAAAATTCCAATCCCCGCACGTTTAGCAACCATCTCAACCTTGCATGTGGTAGCGTCGCATCGTCGAGACTGCAGTGTGTTGCGTACCTGCTTGTACGTATAGCATTGTTCTGACATGGTGTGAAGCCAAAACCAGAACACCAACACGCGTCCCCTGGCAATCGTCGCTTGAGGGGTACTGCGAGGGGAAAGTTGGTTTTCGGCATGTGTTGGAGGCTCAACAACTCTGCTCTGCGTTCGGTAGACTCGGCTGACTCCAAGCCCTTTGGACCAAAGCCATTTGTGTACGGAGTACGGATCGACGGAGTACGGAGTACCCCCCAGGGGACGGTTGCGCAGGGTCAAATTCTCGGAGCCGAGCAGGGTCGGGAGAGGGAACAGCGATCTTGCCTGCAGTTCTCCGGTCTCCGTATTTAGTCTACGTGTCCCGCCCGCCCAGCTTGATCCGGTTCAGGTTAGAAATGAAGCTGGGTGCGAGAACAGAGAACAGGATGCGCCCAGTGTATATCCTGCAAAACTATCTCCGCCCATTCCTATCTCAGCCCGGGCAGCCGGAGTTCGTGCCAAGAAGCGGCAAGGCTGAGGGCCAGAGGTGAGGCGGTGTAGGAGCAGTGGCAGTGGCACCATCTTATATGTCTAACACCGGCTTCCGAGGTCGAGTCTATATTTGTCCCGTCCAAAAGAACCCTATTCATCCTACCTAGCCCAGGGACCGACGACGACAACCCGGCCACTCACTCGTCGTCTCATCTGGCTTTTGACCGACACCCAAGCCAGCCTGCCACTAAGCTAGCTTCCTCCTCCGAGTCCGCCACCAAATGTTGTGCAGCCTAAGCCTCTGCCCATCCATTGCCGGACTTAGACGCCATCGTAGATCATCTCCTCGTTAAAGATTTGACAGTCGACTCTTCCGCAGCCACTCTTTTTTTCCTATACCCAGGCAGCAAATCATGTCGAGTGCTTATATTCCCTCGACCACGCTACTCAAGGCCTTCCGCCTGGCCTCACCGACGAGGTGTCGTGGCTGCGTCCGCAACCCGCGCCCTCTCCCTCAGCTCCGACGATCCTACTTTTCCATCCATCACCCCGATCCGCCCCCATATCCCGAGACACACGACCGAATCCTATCCGCCGCGATTCGACGCGTCCCCGAACACGGCTTCTCGGAGGAGGCATTGGTGCTGGGCGCAAAAGATGCAGGATACCTCGATGTGACGGTGCAGTTGTTTCGCCGGGGCGTCTTCGACCTCATCAAATACCACCTGATCAATCAACGACTCGCATTAAAAGACAATGTACAATTCCCGGAAGGTGCAACACTGGGGCTGGGTGCCAAAGTCAAGACATTGGCCATGGCGCGGCTGAGAGCCAATGCAGATGTTATACACCAGTGGCAGGGGGTAAGATTGGCACTGTTTCTGTCTTGTCGAGCCGAGCTGACAGCAAGTGGTGCAGGCACTAGGATATATGTCGCTGCTGGAGAACATCCCGGCCTCATTGGAAGAACTCAACGCCCTGTCTGACGAAATCTGGTATCTTGCTGGCGACACTGCGGTCGATTTCTCCTGGTATACCAAACGAGCCTCACTAGCGGCCGTCTATGCCAGCACGGAAATGTTCATGACGACAGACACCTCGAAGAACTTTGTCGCTACAGAAGAATTCCTCGATCGCAGGCTGAAAGGTGCACAGGTTGTAGGAGGCACTGTTGGTGGATTGACGCACTACTTGGGATTCTGGGCCGGTAATAGCGTTAACCTAGCCCGCTCGTGGGGAATGAAGGTATAAACCTGCCATGGTCCTGGCCACGGTCGCGGCACCGCTACTTGGAACAGTCAATGATGAAAAGGATATTGGCCACTGCGGACATGGAAGTCTTAACTTTTGCCCAGTTTCACAGCAAGTCAGGGGTTCCCAGACGACGTAACCATGAGGCCTATCTGGAAAAGGGGGATCCACGAATGAAGAGGATTCAAGATGAGCATTGGAACGTGTCTTGCACATGTTATTCCGGCAAACTCCCGACAGACAATCAACCCAGCTAAGGGCACAAATGACTGATACGCCAGTGAATTTGAGGAACTCCTGACGGCTGAAATGCTCCGACGGTCGATGAAATGATGCCTCAAGCTCGTGTGGCAGGATAGTGATTGAGTCATCTACCCTCACCATTCAGGAGGCTGGCTTTTGAGTCACACTTGGGATTGAGGATGGATTTGCTCCTTGCACTCCAGTAGCTGTGCAAGCGGCAGGGCTGAAAGGTAGTGGGGGGCGCAGGATGGAACCGAGTTGAGAGAAGGCCATTTATCTAAAGCAAGACGCCAGCGGTATAATACAAAGAGAGACAATGGATGTTATGGCGCGGACGGCCTCCCCGCGAGGAAGAAGATGCCGACTAAAACGTCGGCAAGTGCCAGGATACCAATCTTTTCATCGAGCATTCCCCGAGCGAGCGTGGACCTGCGGTGGCAATGAAGACCCATCTCATCTCTTGACTGCCAGAAATCAACGGATGACTTGTACTACTATTTAAAGAGACGAGGCGGAGGAAGATGTAGTACATGGCCGTCAAGTCTCTCTGCGTCTACCGTCTACCGTCTACCATCTACCGTCTAACCGTCCCTAACTCGATGCAAGGCTGGGCCGGGGCGGGGTCTTACATGCCGCACCTCAACTGACGGTCAGCTCTTGTGCTCTGCATTGACAAGCCGCGGACGGAGTAATACGTAGTCGAAGTATACCGAGGACTCTGTAAATGTGGTTCGGCTGGGTCTGGCTCCTTGCTTGATATGTCGGTTGGCGGAGCTTATGTTGCTTTACATCACGAAGTGTTTTATACCCATGGGCCATGCCATGTAAGGCAGCCACTGTATTGAATGACCTTATAGCACAGAAGTGCCCAGGTCTTAATATTCAATTGAACTTCGAGTCGGATGGACATCGACTCATGACTCTCGCGACTCGGAGGTGTTTCTTGTTTACTGTATGCCAAGTCTTCAGAGCACGAGTCATGCGTGAGTGAGTGACAGCTAACGGCTGACAGAAACACGGCCGTGCTTGGAAGGGGTTGCGCAAGGCTGGAATCCCCCGTCCTGGTCCCGCTCATGCTCCTACTCTGTACAGTAGACATACTGGCATAGCTATTAGGTGGCTATAGTGGTTTGTCAGACGTCATGTCCCTACTCTACTCGCAGGACAATTGGAGAGAGGAGGCAGAAGACAGCGAGACGGCAGAAATGCAGGCGTCGCCGTCCAAAGCGCGCGCCGCGGCGCTCGAGGCGCACTCGTGGTCGCTGGTCCTCTCGTGGCTGTCGGACCTGTACCAGCCGTGGCCGGTGCCGTCGGTCGAGCGCAACGCCGCCACCCTCAAGGCCCTGCAGGGTCTGATGGCCGAGAACGTCGCGGCCGACCAGGTGCGCGCACTGGTGTCGGCGGCGCAGAGGGAAGAGGTGGCCGCTCACTCTCACGATCCCGACCGAACCAACAGTCCCTTGGGGACCACGACGCAATCGACGAATGCAGAAGCACGGCTCCGAGCTCTGAAGTCCTCGCTCCCGCCAGCGTCGAGGCCGGCACTCGATTCTCTCGCCGGGGCTGCCGTCCTGTTGGGCTATCCACCACCACCACCATCGACGGACTCGTCTTCCTTCGCACGAGGCCTTCATTTCGAAATCCTCGGCCTTGCGCGCCAGATGTGCGAATACGAGACCCAGCTATCATCCATTGACGCGCTCATTGCAGACCTTGACCGCCAGATCGCCCAAGTCCAGCACACAATCTCGGCCTTTCCACGCACCACCGCCGCCAACGTCCTCGATCCCTCGTCCACTTTATACACGGGCCCAGCTGTGCCATCGGTTTCAGCGTCGTCATCTCCTCCATCGCCCGCAATGACAACCACCACAACAGACGAGGATTCTTTGACCTTGCACGCCCAAACGCTACAGCACCAACGCGAGACCAAACAATTGGCCCTGAAGTGCGCCGAGTACAGAGACCGCATTGGGGCATTGGAGCGACGAGCTGCGGCGCGTACTGGCACCGGCAGCCGCGGCACCACGGCCGCCGAGCTCGCTGCAAAGCTCGCCGCAAAGCAGGACGCGATCCGGCGCAAAACCGCAAAGATCGACCTGCTCGAGGCCAAGGTCCGCTCCTTCCACGGCCTGCCGCCGGACTTGCACGCCTCGAGGGCCGAGGTCCATAGGGCCCAGGCGGAGTTGGATCGATTGGGTCGGAAAAGGGATGCCCTGTTCGAGCGCATGGGGGCGTGAATGAATGGGAATGTGAATGGGAATGCAGCATTGGATTCGACTGGAGCGGCCGGCCGTGCCTCTAAGACACTCGCTCGCTCGCTCGATCGATCCATCGATCGTAGAGCTCGCCGTCTCAGATACCATCACTTGGCTATCTAACATCGCCTTCTTACCACTTACTACCTTCCTTAGCTACATGGTGGAAATCGAGGCCTGAGGCCTAAGCCCCAGGCTCCTCTCTAAACGTCGCGGCGTAATGATCCATACGAGGCACGCCTCCAATACACAAACATGGTCCAAAGAAACAAGACGCGACGGGCAAAGCAATAATACTGTTGTACTTATCTGTGCGCGTAGGCTATCCTCCAAGTCCAGCGCCTTTGCTGGTACGCATGTGTACTAAACCAAGATGATCCATGCAATACTACCCTGCCTCCCTGTGGGTATCTCACTATTGATAACATAGATAGCCTCCAATATTCTATCGCCTTAGACCGTTTCGCGCCCTTTCGTCTGCCGTGCCCGTTTGCGCGCAGCGACTTTCTCGTCTTCTCGCGCTCGTTTCCGTGTAGCAACAATCTTGTCGCGCTCAGCTTTCGCGGCCAAATACTTCTCGGTGTGAGCCAACGGCTGACCGTCTCGACTTCTCACCGTCGTGTCGTGGATCACGGGAGGTTTGGTGAAGAACAGCACGCGCCCTTGGTCGTCTTGAGGGAAACTGTCTCGAATGCGTTTCGGGATCGATGCGTTGGCAATGTCGGAGAGCACGTAGACCTCGGCCGCACGTTGATCCGGCAGCGTCGGCGTATATGGGGGATATGACGGCGCAGCTTGCACTGGTGGACGGACGTAATTCTGGACCGGTGTGGCTGCACCGTAGCCGGGGGCATGTGCGGCGGTCAGGTTGGGCGCAGGATGCAGTTGCTGATGGGACGAGTAGGGCAATGCTTGCTGAGGAGCGGGCGTCTGCGGAGTGATGTTGGGCTGCAATGGAAGATGCGGCGGTTGCTGATATAGATTTTGACGGCCATACTGAGGGGCAGGTGAGATTGATTGCTTTGGAAACGGCGCGACATGAGGAGTGACCGATGGAGACGGACGCGTCAGTTGAGGCTGTAGATTGGCGGAGCCGGTGCTGGCCTGCCTGTCCACACTGGGCCGAGACTGGATGTTTGGCATAGTGCTGGTCGAAGGTTGTCGCACCGGTTGTGGCGGAGGAGTCGGAGGAGTCGGAGGAGGTGGCGGTGTAGGTTCAGGAGGTGGTGATTGCTATTAGAAGGTCAGCAGACGTCGCAAAATGCAGAAGCAAAGCCGGCCAGCCAAGTCTGGGGGACAAGCCAACTCACATTTTCCTCCCGAGGCTGCTTGTGAATGGCACCCGTGATGGGAGGCGCGTTTGGATGGCCCCAAGTAGGAGCTGGAATCTCATCCGTCTCTTTCATCTCGTCCTTCAGCAGATGCTTCAGTGGGCTGGGGACCTTCTTGATCTTGCGAGGGATGTCAAACAGATCCATCTCATAGTCCTTGTCACGAACTTCGTCTGGCAAGCAGCTGGCCCAAGTCTTGATCTTGTTGAACCGGTGCTTTTCCTCGTTGTACCGGGCCTCGCACACGTAGACCTCTTTCGTCAGGTCGAAGTTTCGAGGGCGGCCGCGACTGTACCTTGTGAAGAACATGACGAAGCACCGGTCCACGACCTCCTCAATGCGGTGATCCCGGTACTGGCCCGTCTTGACCACCTCGTTGGGGAAGAAATGCTTCTCGTACTGATGCACGGTCTGTTCCGGACGATAGTACCAACACGCGTTGATCCACTTCTGGCCTTCAGGGTCTTCCCACGTCCGGTAGATTTGGGCCACAATCGGCTTGGTCACGTCGTTCGGGTTCTGAATATGAATCCAGTCGCCAACCTTCCAGAGCTCATTTTTGTACAGGATGCCGGAGGGCAGAGGCCGTCGCCCGTCCTCCATGAGATATTCCTCATCTGGCTTTGCTTTTTCAATTTCGAGCAGTTTCTGCGCTTCGGCTTGCAGTTCTACTGCATCCTGATAGATCTCGCTGCCATCTTCGTTGAATTGTTTCGCATTGCTGAACATCAAGTCGAGATCCTTCATGAATTGTTCCAAGGACTGATACTTCTTCCTTTTGGATTTCTTCTTGATGGCATCGAGCGCGATCGGATCCTTGATTGCAAGGAAATATGCCGGATACTCTGCCTTGTCGGGCAGTCTCTCGAAATGGCGGATCTTGAGGTTGCCGGCATCGTCTTTCGGCTTGCGAATGCCCTTCAAGACGGCCTTGATCCGGGCTTCCATCGGCGTATCAACTTTCGGAGGGCGACCCCGGCGCTTGCGAACATCGCCATCGTTGAGCTTCTCGTCGTCGTCGTCACGACCTTTTCGTCCGGATATGCTGGGTCTCCCGCCCTTCCGGCTCCTCCTCCTCCGTCGATCATCGTCCGAGTCATCAGCATCGTCGTCCTCGTCGTCCTCGTCCTCCTGCTCGTCTTCGTTTTCCTCTTCGTCCTCCGATGCTGGATCTGGTTCTGGAGTGGCATACGGTATCTCACCCAGATCCGGGAAGACTGTTTCTTCTTGTTTGATCAACCCTTGGTCGACCAGCTTCTGCAGCTCGTCCTTGAACAGCTTCTGCAGCTCCAACACATCCCGCACTGGGCCTGAATTGGGTCGGTTGTATACTTGGGCATTGTGAACGATGCAGGCGAAGTCGCGCACGAATTCGGGGATCCCTGTATATTGCTTTCTCTGTATCTTGCCCTTAAGCGTACTGAGCGCGACAGGATCCTTGATGATTTCGTGGTAATCGGGAAGGTTCCGTCGGTTAGGGATGCGTCTGAACAAGGTAGAAGGGAAATGTTCCCTGCCGACCGATTAGCCCCCAAACACCCACACCAACACGCTTCCTGGAGGGTGCATACTCATCGCCCTTGAGTTTGATCTTGTAGTTTGTCAAGACGTCCGTGATGTTCTTGAGCGCCTTGTACTGTTCGTGGGTAACAGCCGGCTCTTCCCCGTTCTGTGCTTGTGCTTGTGCTTGTGCTTGTGCTTGTGCTTCTGCTTCTGCTCCATCTTCTTCGTTGTCCGACTTCTCGTCTCCCGTGTCCTCGTCTTTGACTGCGGGCTTCACCTCGATGGACTGCACCGGCACCAGCTCTGGCGCGCCAGCTTCTGCGCTTGAGGTCTCCGCCATTGTTCAACTGCGGTGACCGCGACCGCGACTTCACGCTGGGAACAGGAACGACAGAGGCGCATAGGATGGTAGTATACGGCGGAAATGGTGGAGCGAGCGAATCGCAGGCATCGAAAGTCGCGACGCGACTCACTCAAATTGAATGCGAGATGACGGCGGGACCCGGATCGGCGACAAGCGACTGGCGGAGGGGAATCAGATGCCTAAGGTACGGATAACTAGGTTAATTAGATGGTGAGTGGTGACAGGCTCAAGAGACCAGCGCCATTCCTAGGTACTATCATCATCGTACAATTCCATACTCTGCCCGCTGGACAGTGGACAGGATCCTAGACAGTGGACACTCTCCGCTGCCAGTTCCCATGGGAGGCTTGGCGCAGTCGGGCCTCAGGCGCTCCTGCCGTCTTCCGCACCTCATCTCCCCGCATGCCTGGTATAGACATACAGGAGTTACTAGTACTCCGTGCATACAGTACTCTGTACATAGACTCCCTCGGCGTCCGCGTCTCTTGCTCTCGCCCTCTGTGGCTTTTTGCTATCTTTATCTGTTTGCTTGCCTGGCCAATTGCTGATTGCCAATTGCTCTTGCTGTTGGATCCCACAAGGACGAGCCACCGCAACCCTTCCCCGAATCGACTTTCGTCTGATGACACCCTGACCTGACATTCCCCTGCCACCGTCACCGAGATCTGGCTTGGACAGAAGTGCTCCTTGCCTGCTGCAGACGGAACAGCAGGCGCTGCTTCCACTTCTGACCAGGCCCTTCGATGTGGCAAGAGTGTCCACCCAAGCCCATTTGTCATCGTTGAGACAGCGGCCCTCGGGGACGATATAGACGGTTTCCTCGCACGACTGTTCTTCTCCTCGAGTGGTGTTCCCTCATCCAGACCGCCTTACCCTTACTAAGCTCAACACGATGCGGGTCCGTATCCGAGACCCCTCGGGCAAATCAAGCACTGCGACACTCGATGACTCTGCGACAATAGACACGCTGCGGAAAACAATCGCAGCTGAAACGTCTTTGTCTGCCTTTGAAGTCAAGTATGGCTATCCTCCGAAACCACTGGTGCTCGACCAATATCCTTCTTCCAAGCTGCTCTCGGAGCTTGAATTCAAACTGAACGGAGAACAGCTGATTGTCAATTCTGTTGAACCGTCGTCAGGCCGCAAAGATATTCCTCAGCCACTTCAGTCGGCACATAGCAGCGGCTCTCAGCAAGAGGCCCAAACCGGTCCCTCCAAGGACCCGAATCCCACTTCTCGATCATCCGCGGCCGCATCCCAGCCGGCTCCCACCCTTCAGGGATCCTCATCAGCACCTTTATCACTCACCCGGAAAGACAATAAAGAGATGTCGGATCCGCCCGAAATCTTCCTCCCAGATCTAGGAGGGAGCTTGGTTCTGCGAATCATGCCGGACGACAATTCGTGTCTGTTCAGAGCGATTGCCAGCGCTGTCATGTCAGACATGGACACAGTAACGGAATTGAGATCCATCGTTGCCCAAACAATTCAGGCCAACCCTGATAAATATTCGAAGCCAATCTTGGATAACAAAGAACCGGACGCATATTGTCGGTGGATACAGAGTGAGGATGCCTGGGGTGGCCAAATCGAACTTGACATCCTGAGTCAGCAATTTGACATCGAAATTTGCAGCATTGACGTCCAAACTTTGCGGGTTGACAGATACAACGAAGGAGCTCGTCGACGTTGCTTCGTTGTCTACTCGGGCATCCATTACGACACAATCGCACTTAGTCTGTTCGGGATGCCACCAGAGGATGATGTCAAGCAGTTTGAGCAACCGTTGTCGGATGAGGTCCTTCCACAGGCTGTGGCTTTGTGTCAGAGGCTCCAGGAAAAACATTACTACACCGACACTGCTGGATTCAGGCTTAAATGTGGTGACTGCGGCGCCACCTGTATTGGTGAGGCTGGAGCAACTCAGCACGCCCAAGCGACTGGCCACTATAATTTCGGAGAGGCCACATAGCATGTGGTCCATCCCATCCCCTAGGATGAGTCTACTCCCTGGATGAACCTGGTGTGTTGCGCACAAGCGAAGAGGAGCCCCGCCTTGATCGTACCAGAAGAGCACACTGAGATGCAGAGTATTGGACAGAACTGGGCCTGCCTTGGAGGCCGACGCTATCTGAAGAGACATCCTCTATATACTCACATCCTTCCATGAGAAATCTGACACGTCGATCGAGTGATAGTTTCCTTTGTGTTTTCTCCCAAGTTGTCCCAACTTCGATGACGACCCAGGGGGATGCTCAGATGTAATGTGATTTCTCTGGCCTATCGACGTTGGTGGAATGCGAGAAGCTCGAAGAACGGACAGGCGAGATGAGGTCCACAGTGCCACGCCTCACCTACTTCAGGTCCCGGTTTGGTCCTGGCAGTCTTTGGCCAACCCCGTTCAATTGACGTGCCGCAGCAGACTCTTACACATAGTTTCTGACTCGATCTTCGATCAGGCGCACTCTTTTCGCTCGGTTGATTTTGTGAAGAAGGAATGGGCTTGGTTCCCTCCCGGTGGTGAACTTGCTTCAACAGGCTTAGACCCCACGCCGATCATCCCCAGTGCAACAGACTCCGACAGACAGGCTTCCAGATTAGGTTTGGTTCCCACTCCAGGTTTTGGGGTCCTGCTGTGTATCCGTATGGAATACGAATCTGATCTCAACATTTGGCCGGGCCCCTCTCCATTTACCCATAACCGAGGTTGTCTGTGAGCCTGTATATATCGGGCGTATCCTTCCTGTGATGCTTCCTCCTCTCCTGTGCCCTCATCTATCTTGCGTTCGCCTGGCGACTTGGTTCTCGTTGACAATCCCGTCTCCCCTTCACTCCCCTCAAGCGACTCAAGATGAGCTACGCGGACTCTTGGCTCGAGGTAGGTCCTTTCTGCTAAGACAAAGCGTCAACCACTTACCACAAGACACAGTTGGAGAAGAATCTAGGCGGTCGTGTGGTGCTGCATGGAACCCCTGAGGAGATACAGGCCCAGAATGATCAGCTGATTGAGATATTACTGCCCCAACTACCTGCACCGTCGGAGGCCGTCGAGAGTAAAGACGGCGAAGTCGACGGGGTCAAATACCGGCTGTACACGCCCAAGGAAGCATCGAAACAAGGCCCTCTGCCGGTCGGAATCTGGACACATGGTGGCGGGTGGATGACGGGCGATCTCAACTCAGACGATCTTCTTTGCAGAGTTGTTGCCGAGCATGCCCCGTCCATCATCGTCAGTGTCGACTATCGGCTGACGCCAGAGCACAAGGTCCCTACACAACTGCAGGATACGTTGAAAATCTATCGATGGGTATGAACCATCCTTGTTGCGGCAGGTTGCGTCGGCACTTCTGACCGCGATCAGGCGCACCAAAACGCGAGCTCGTTCGGCGGAGATGCAGACAAATTCTATACCATCGGTGGCTCTGCTGGTGGTGCGCTGGCTCTTCAGGTCGCCAACCAACTCACCAAGGATCCCTCAAAGCGCAGTAATATCAAAGGCGTCGCTGCTGTCGTCCCGTGCACCCTTCATTGGGATTACGTGCCGGCCGAGTACCAGGGCATTTTCAAGGCTTACGAGGACAACAAGGAGAATGTCCCGATCATCGACAAAGGCTCGATGGAGGTCTTCTATCACCATGCCGGGGTCGACCCCAAGGACAGCGACATCTTCACTGCTTTGGCCACCGAGAACCACAAGAACTTTCCACCAACGTACTTTGTCAGTTGTGAGAAGGATCCACTGCGAGACGACGCGTATGTAATGGAAGCGGCGCTGAAGAAAGCTGGTGTCCCCACGAAGCATGATCATTACAAGGGCTTGCCGCATTACTTCTGGATCTTCCCCTCGGTGCCCGAAGGCCAACAGTTTGTGGGAAATCTGATAGGCGGGGTGAAATGGTTGCTTTCGCAATCTTGACTGCAGATGGAGGGTTAGGCAGACGCAAGCACGGAATCAGTCTGAAGCAGTTTTTATTCCAGTCTGGTAGGATCTTCATCGTGAAACAACTACGGGTGTCTGTCCGTAGACTGGAGGTTCTGGGGTGGTTTAGAAAGTTCAGGGGCCACCCTCGAGCTGACTCGCGTAGCACATGTTTCCCGCATTCGCGCATCCTTCCCCACAGAGTACCCGTACAGAATCTTGCCCTTAAGCCCACATTGCCCTTTCCCTTTCCCCTTCCCTCTCCCTCTCCTTCCCTTCGACACGCATACATGGCCACTCAGTACTTTGGCAGCCTGGATGGCCTCACCTCAACCGGCCCCGATAGCCCTACTACTCCGGGGACCGACGGTGCCTCGTCCAAACGAACCAATGCCCTTAGCACGAAACTCGCGACCGTCCTGTCCTCGTCGTACGCCGACTACGAGATCCGCGACGCGCTACGTCTTCTCGACCGGCGGGATGTGCACAACGATGAGGAAACGAGGAGGACTCTCAAATCCAATGCCCAGAAGGAGGTAATTGACTGCAATGCAAAGATCGTGGACGATTTCGGCCAGGTCGCAGAGGTATGTGGCCCCGACGACATGCCAGTGGAACGAAAAGACATGCGTGCGCGCAGAGGAATCTCACACTGATGCCTTACTCGGGGATGGTACTGTAGCAACTTCAACGTGTCGGCGCCATGATTGCCACCCTCAACGAGACCTGCGCCGCCATGCGCGAACACATCATCGCGGCGAAGCACGAATCCGATCCTGTCCTCGAGGAGGCCAGCACGCTGATCTCGCGCAAACAAGAGACGGAGACGAAACAGCAGCTCCTAAACGCTTTCACCGCCCACTTCCTCGTCTCCACGGCCGACCTCAATGCCCTGACCAGCTCCGCCGAGCCGCTGGACGATCAGTTCTTCGCCGTGCTCGCTCGAGTCAAGCAGATCCACCGCGACTGCGAGATCCTTCTGGGCTACGAGAACCAGCGGCTTGGGCTGGAGGTGATGGAGCAGACGGCGCGCCATCTCGACGCCGGGTTCAAGAAACTCTACACCTGGATCCAACGCGAGTTCAAGGCCTTGGATCTTGAAGACCCCCACATCTCGGGCTCGATCCGCCGCGGCCTGAGGGTGCTGAGCGAACGTCCCACGCTCTTTCAGAATTGCCTCGACTTCTTCGCCGAGGCCAGGCAGAGTACCTTGGCAGATGCCTTCCAGGCGGCCCTGACGGGCTCTGCAGGCGCGGCAAAGGCGATTGAGTTCTCCACACACGAGCCGCTGCGCTACGTCGGCGACATGCTGGCCTGGGTACACTCGGCCGCCGTGTCGGAGAAGGAGGCTCTCGAGGGCCTCTTCGTGTCTGACGCCGACAAAATTTCAAAGGGCCTGTCGGCCGGCCGGGCCAGCGAGCCGTGGGCACGCATCAGCCGGGCGCGGCGGACGAGTGTATCGTCCATGGCCTCTTCGCCGTCCTCGTCCTCGTCCTCCTCGGGGACTGACGAAGAGGACGTCGTCTTCGACGGCCGCAGGGCCTTGTCGGATCTTATATCCCGCAATCTCGCCTCCGTATGCGAGACGCTGAAGTCTCGCATCGATGTGGCGATCCGCAGCAGCGCCGATCCAGTCGTGGCCTTCAAGATCTTCAACCTGCTAGACTTCTACCGGAACATCTTCACCAAGCTGCTCGGCGCCGAGTCGTCGCTGTCAAAGGCCATCGGGACCTTGCAGTCCTCCACGCTTGCCCACTTCGAAGCCATGATGGAAGAGCAGACTACCGCTGCTACTGCTGACAACACGCCGTCTACCGACCTCGCCCCGCCTGCATTCCTCACCACAGCCCTAACACAATTCTCCGAGGTCGCCCGTGCGCGAGGCCCGCAGATGAGCGAGACCGAGTTGGAGCGGCTCTTTGCCGCCGTGCTCAGTGGGATACTGACTGCATGCGCCGAGGCTGCGGTGCAGATCCCCGACGTCCGCCGCAGCACCATCTACAGACTCAACTATATGGGGGCGATGCGCTCGACTCTAGCTTCGGTTTCTGCCCAGGTCCCGCCGGCGCAGGTTCCCCTGGAGAGAGCCACCTCTGAGGTCCGGTCCCTGCATCATCAGTTGGTGGATCACTTGAGCACCACGTTGCTGGAGGATTCGGGCGTCAGAGACCTCATGCAGGAAATTGATGCGCGCCGAAGCCACGATGCCCAGGCTCGTAGGGCGTGGGCGGCAGACCATCTGGACGAGGCGGCACAGCGGCTGGACGATTTCCTGGCGTCTGCACTCATGGACGCGCAGGAGGGCCTGAAGAATCTACTCGATCGGACCCTCGCCAAGGACGTGGTTTCCGAGGCCGTGGAGCGGTTTTGTACAGAGTTCGACGAGCTCGAGGGTATATTGGAGATTATGAATACTGAGCATGTCGGAGCAGACGCTGACCAGGGCGTTGGAAACGACCATGTCAATGGGCAGGCAGTTTCAATCAGGGACCGCTACCCTCGAACCAGTACCGAAGTCCGGGCCTTGTTGAGTTAATGACAAGACCATGTACAGAGTCATCGCCGGATTACGAACGGTGAAGAGGCTAAGAGCAAATGTAAATTGAGCTTGAGAAACGTATCCGATGGAAATACTATTTCAAGTCCTTGCCCTTTACCGGCATTAGACTAGAGCTAGTAGCAGCTCAATAACGCTCTGCAGTTGGCCATGCATGGTCAATGCTCTTAGGAGGCATTTTCAGCTTCTGTTGTCAAGCCATAATGATGTGATGGGAGTCTACAACACTTTATCCGCAGCGGAAACTGTTGCAAAATTAGATGTGGGATGGGTATCAACTCGGACTGAAGAACTCACCCGTGAGGCCGGTGTTGTCGGGCTCAACAGCAACCTTGACAGCCTTTCCATCTTCGGTGACCACGGCGTAGCGTTTGCTTCGTTTGTTGCCCAAGAGTGGCGTAGCATCAAACTCGACATCCCAAGCTCGAGTAAACTCGCCGGCAGGGTCAGCGAGGAATCGAATGCCGCTGCTCTTCGACTCGTCGAGACTCTTTGCCCAAGCCTTGGTGCTGCAATAGCAATCAGCTGGTTATGTCCGTGTATAGAGGGTTTTTCTGGAGCCTTACACAAAAGGATCGTTGACAGCTACCACAAAGACCTTTCCGGCATTTTTGAGTTTATCACTGGCAATGTAGCCAGGGATGTGGGTGTCGGAGCATGAGGGCGAGAATGCAGCGGGGACGCCGATGATGACCCCTTTGCCGGAACCGAGCTCCTTGGAAAGGTTGACCTTGTTGCCGGGGGAGTCCTCGACCAGGTCGATGTTCGGGATGGATTCGCCGACTTTGACCTGTACCAAGCAGTCAGAGATAGAACGTGGGGAGCTGCGGAGACATGGGACGTAGAGGGAGATACCATGATTGCAGGTGTTGACGAGAATGATCTGATGAAAGAGGGAGACAAAGCTTGCCGGAGTGAGGGTGAAGAACGCAGGACAGATCGAGCGAACATTGCAAAAGGATGCTGAGGGGTTTATCGCCGGCGAAGATTTGGAATCAGAGGCAGGACAAAGTGAAAGGCAGGCGCAGTTCAACTTGGCCTGACGTGTTACGGAGTACTCTGTCTACATAGGGCAAGGAAGGTGCGAATAAAGGTCCGAGGATGGCCAATTGCGCAATCCGACGGTGTTGACAGCGTATCAGCTCCTGCCGCTCCTGCTGCTCCTGCCGCTCCTGGCCAGGCACACAACGTCATCGCTGCGGGGAAGCAGTGCCACTGCCACTGCACTGCAGCTGCACCTTCAAGTTGAGGTGCCTGCGTGCCTGCTCCCACCGGGGACCACCAAAAGCTCAACCCTCCCACCACCAACTTCCCGCCCTGCAGCCTGATCGCCTGCTAAGTCTCTACTGTACTGTAAACGGGGGGCGCGGGTGGCAGTCAAAGAACACTATTATAATATCGCCGATGTCTCCGATTGATACACGATCCCCCTTACTTTGCCCTAGACGACACCAACTACTAATATTGCGCGACGACTTAACCGGTTATCTTGCCCTCCCAAGTAAACCCGCCCCGTGTTAGGTCACGAGTTGAGGTGAATGCAACTTCAAAGACATCAGGAGATGGATACAGTCGTAGTAGGGTAAGGTGGTTGCAGCCGAAACGTTTGGCTAGAATCCCGCAAGACGGTGCGATCCGAGAAATCCTCAAGGACGGTAGGTTCGAGCGGGGAGACGGGCCAGTGCATTATTTGATCTGGAGTATACTACCTCCAGTAGGTACCTACCTAGTACATAAACATATCCGTATATACGGATAGATGGCTGACGATATCATTACCTAGCAGCCTTTGTTCCTAGATGGACTCGGGACGAGATGCAGCTACAGTACGGAGTACGGATACACGTGGTGACCACGCCTTCGCACGCCGTTCTCGCTTGCTACTTCGGTACACTTGATGCAAGTCATGATAGGGTCGACGGTTCTTTGATGCATGCACGATGCACGAATGCACAATGTCGGCTAGTAGCAATTACGGGGTGCTAATAAGCAAGATCCTTCGTGCTTCCTCGACGGCTTTGCCCTCCGGATAGAGTTAGCCATGTCCCAACTAGTAATGCTATAGCCGTCTGAATTACCCAAAACAGAGCTGTCTCCGAAAGACTCCTCAGTTTCGACGTTGTGACATGTCCCAAAGGAGCGGCCTGTTAAAGTCAGCCTCGACCCAGCCCTGTCGTCAGATACTCGTTCGAGGTCCAGACCCTCCCCTTCCAATCTCAGGCCACCTCTACATCTCGGATTACAAGGACAGGGACCCTGGAGTGCTCTAACCGATCCTATCTTGACCCCAGAGCAGCGGCTACCCCGTGCACGCCGGTGACGACTTCCTGTCACCGAAAGTGCCCACGGCCCACGTGAAACTAGTGTTTCCTGCACGTTGCACGTTCTCGGTGCGCAAGGAAGCTTGAACCGGCCTCGGTCGGCTAGTGCAGTGGCCGACAACACTGATCGTTCTTGCGAAGGTAGGTACGTATATGTGTTCCTTGAACTGCGGATAGACCGAGGCTGAGCTCGAGCTCGCCATGTAATAGTGTGCGCTGTGCGGGCTTACAAGACCAAAGACCATTCCAAAGGTTTGTTTGGCCAGGACCCCTGGGGGTCTTGTTGTGATAGAAGTTGCGCCGCCACGACGGCAAATTAAGGTGTGGCTTCGAATCCGAGTTTCGTCTGTGTCGGCCACGAAGCGGAACCATATAGTATATACTATTTACTATAGTAGTATAGTATTTGGACCTAGGTATGTACCTACTGGTACCGAGTGCTCCGTAATCTGCATGGTGCATGGCATTCCAGCGTGCTTGAGCGTTCTTCTTACCCAAATTGGCTTGAATGGAAACAACATGGCACCAAAAGGGAAGCACGTACCTGGCTGATGGGTCAGTCCTCGCGTCGCGGCCCTTCTAGCCCCAGGCACGAGGGGTAAAGTGACAGGGCCGTCAAAGGCTCTTGCAGGATGCATATACGTATCCTACGACAACACCCTCGCCCCGAGCTCCTGCCCATACTAGGTAGTAATACAGCTGTAAGCCTCAGGAGATGTCATGTCACCAGCAGGATAGCTGCGATGAAGCTAACAAAGACTTGCAGTTCCGAGCCTGTTTTCTCGCAAGGGATACCGTAATGAGGCACCTGCACCTGCTCATGAGCTATTAGGTGAAATCCTACAGATTCATTTCCAACGTGATTTAGGGCTGGTCGGCTTGAAAGCATCACACCCCTGCGCGAATCAACATTCCCAGTCTCTGATGCGGACAAGGGAGGGCGGCTGTCAGTTTTCGCTCATTTCCGGACAGGGACCATGACCAGCCACAGGGCATGCAGTCAGCGACTCGGTGGTGGTGTAGCAACGCCGTTCAGTATTCCTTGGCTCCTCTGCTGCGAGTCTGAGGCTATCCGCGGCCGCCGTCCATCGACAGCGGTGAACGATGAACTGTTGACCTCCTCTTCTACGGAGTACTTTTCTGGAAATGAATCTCAATGTTTCGGGGGACGGGGGAGGGGGGAGGTGGGACAGGGGGTCGCACATTACTGAGCTCTTGGTAGACTTGGGGATCCAGATTCGGCGTGCAGGGGACTTAGGGGACTGACCTGGATGGTTGGTCCCTCGTCGCGGCGCAGCCATCACACTGTTTTGGGCGAAGAGAAAGACGGCAGAGAGCAAGAAACAGAGCAACATTGGTCCAATCGGGGAGGCTGAAGGACCGTCCCCTTGAAGTTTGTTCCTACACTACGTACAACACCCCGGCTACAGGGCCTTAGGGCCGTGTAGCGATGGCAGAGGAAGCGGGGAACATGCTTGCTCGTGTGGTGATTGAGTTTTTTTGTGGTGATTGAGTTTTTTTGTGGTGATTGAGTTTTAGGGAGATTCAAATTATTATTACAGTATCATTCAAGCCGGAGGGAATTGGCGCAGACTCCATCGAGGGCAAAGCAGGTACGACTGTAGGTCCTGCCTACCTAAGGTTGGTAGGCACGTTAGGAACTACGAGGTGCTGTAACTGGAGTCTCCATAGATACACCGTACTCCAGACCCTGATCTGGTCGGTCTCTTGACAATATCACCCAGGCTATTCCCTCCGTGCTAGGTGGACCTGTCGCATTGGGCGAGCATTTTGGGTAGTGTACGGAGTACCTGTATCCGTTCACTGTCAGTGTTCACTCCCTGGTAGGTACCGTTCAGTACAGTAGCCCGCCGGCGGCGCTGGCCGCTTGATGCACGACGCACAAGCCTCCTGAGTGCTGAGTCCTAGCAGCCCTTCACAACGCTCCCAGGCGTGACCAAGCCTGAAGGGTGGCTATTCATTGACGTCCGCCATCCGGCCCCCGCCATAGCATCCACTTTCAATGCAAGCCCGGTATGCTAGTAAGAGCACCGCAACCAATCCACGGAAGTGTGTATGTACTAGCATCCTCGGCTCGCTCACTGGCTTCCACAGTATTGGTGTGCTTGATTGCTTTCCAGGGCCTGAGCCCTGACTCTATGGTGGCCCTTGCTACGCTGCTGCCGAGGGAAAAGGAGAAATGAAATGGAAGCAGAAGCAGATGCGGAACCAGAAGCACAGTAGAAGCCGAAACAGAACAGAAGCAATCATTTTGATGTGGTGTAGCGGGTGTCAGTCCGAGAAATCCTGGCGCTTTTGGCACATCCGACCCTGGTTTCGACACTGGCGGCGCAGTCTAAGGACTAGCTGGACGGCTAGCAGCCTCCAGGCAGGTAGCTGTACCCGTCCTGTATGGATGGAGTCTAGAGTTAACTGTATTCTGGGCATGCAGGGCCCCCCAAGCCTTTTCGCTACCCATCTGCTACCCATTCGCTACCACTCGCTACCACCCATGACGGGGGTCGGATAGGGCTTTAGGGCCTGAGAGCCTCTGTGGCCAGCCTAGGGATCGAAACTGCCACACTGACTGCTGTCCTGTATGGATCTTGTATGGAAACTGTACGGCCAGTCAGTCCGACCGATACGGAGGACGAGGGACCTAGTTAGGTGCTAGCAGTAGTCACTCTAGGGTCTCCTAAGTCCTAACTTAGGTCCTTAGGTCCTTAGTCCCCTACGCCCCTACGCCCCTAGGTCCCCAGGTCCCTCCCAAACCTCAGCCTCCAACCCCGGCGCCCTGTCTCAATCCCTCCCTCACTCTCTCACTCAGCTTCAAATCGGTGCTGCCCCGTCACTGCCATGCCAGTGCACTATCCACCATCCACCATCCCGACATCCACCATCCACCATCCACCTCTCCTCCTCCCACTCACCACTCACCACTGGCAAACTGCAATTGCAACTGCACCCACTGACCCGATGACCTTGACCGTGCACTGCACCTTGTTGGATCCTCGATCCTCCCTCGCTCCGCTACTGCTCCGTAAACACGCCTCAACGACCTTACCTGACCTCCCGACCTTCCTCATCGCACTCCAAACACATCTCCCGCTCGCCCTCCCTTGTTATCCGCCTAGCGCACACGCCTATTGTCTCGGAGATCTCTCATAACTCCCGCCGCCGCCGCGAACCCTCCCCGTCCCAAGATTCTCCTCCAGTGCTCTGCTACAACCCGCCGCCCGCCTATCCAGCCCTGCCTACGCAGCCTGTGTGACTCGCATATCGCTCCCCAGCATTCCATTCCATCGCCCGCCATCTCGCGACTGCATACACAATCAACCCCCTTGGCTCACCTGCTCGAATCTGCTCTCCTCTGTGATTGCCGCGCATCCCAAGGGATGTGTTCCTGATCCGGCTGCGTGCAGTTCATTGCATCACCGGTGTCCCTCACCGCCCACCTGCAATACGATAGCCATCCTTCAAGACCGCTGCGGAACCATACAATCGTCTTCTAAACGTCGGCATCCCTCGCCTCGCCTCGACTCGACTCGTCGGTCTGATCTAGGCGCACATGATGGAGAGCCAGAGCGGAGGCATTGGTTCGGCAAATAACTCGAGCGACTTCGTGCGCAAGCTGTACAAGTATGCCTGTCTTGTTGTTTCTGTCCGTCCTCACGAGACTAACCCCATGGGTGCAGAATGCTCGAAGATCCTTCGTACTCCTCAGTCGTACGTTGGGGCGATGACGGCGACAGTTTCGTCGTGCTCGAGAATGAAAAATTCACCAAATCCATCCTCCCCAAACATTTCAAACACTCCAACTTCGCCAGCTTTGTCCGCCAATTGAACAAGTACGACTTCCACAAGGTACGACAAAACAATGAGGACGGAGGGTCGTCGATATATGGCGCCAACGCCTGGGAGTTCCGCCACCCCGATTTCAAGGCGAACAGCAAAGCGAGCCTGGATAACATCAGGCGAAAGGCTCCGGCGCCTCGAAAGGCGTCCAATCTGACCGACGACCAGATTTCCATTCAGCAAATCGACCTAATGAACCAGCAGATTGTGGCGCAGGCCCAACAGATTGAGTCCTTGGTGCAGACGACCAGTCAACTTCAAATGAACCATCAGATGGTCGTGCAAGAGCTCCTCCGCCTGCAGAAAACCGTGGTCAACCACGACCGGGTCATGCAAGACGTCATGACATATTTGCATTCGGTAGATGCGAGGCAGCGAAGGGACAGCAAAGTCCTCTTTGCTCCCCAAGCAGATTCCACGCAGACGGGTACCACATTGACCCCCACAAGTCAAAACATGCTTGCTCAAGACGACGACGTCCCCGCCTCACCTCTCCAGCATGCCGCAAAGCTACTCAACGAAATCAAGCCTGACGGTCAGTTCAACATGGCCGGCCTCGAACAATTGAACACCAACATGCCGACCCCGACCATCCCGCAAGACACTCGCAACGCTCAGTTCCGCGGGTCCAACTCGGCCACGTCCAGCGGTAGCATGGGATTTGTCAAAATGAGTCCGAATGATATGGATACCGTCGTCTATCCCATGGGGACCACGAACGGCATTGACCCCATGTACAGTGAGCACATCAACAATATTCCCTACCCGATGCCGTCGAGAGATACAACACAAGATTCCCGCGCCCATTTTGCCGACAGTCGGAAGAAGGTTGGACTCCCCGACCCAGGTTGGAGCCGACCCCCGAGAATTCTCCTGGTGGAAGATGACCCAACTTGTCGACAGATTGGCGGCAAATTCCTGTATTCATTCTCCTGCGTGGTCGATTGTGCGCTTGATGGTCTCGAGGCGGTCAGCAAGATGCAAGAAGGCATCAAATACGACATGATTCTCATGGATATCATCATGCCTAATTTGGACGGGGTTTCTGCATGCCATATCATCCGACAATTCGACCGAACGCCCATTGTGGCCATGACCTCCAACATTCGATCGGATGACATCCAGATGTATTTCCACCACGGCATGGACGACGTCCTCCCCAAGCCTTTTACCCGGAAGTCCTTGCTGGACATGTTGGAGAAGCACCTGATACACTTGAAAAAGCTTCCACCGGGGATGGACGGACAGCAGAGCTCTTCAACAACCATGGGCGCTTCCGGTGGTCCTTCATCGACCGGTCAGTCCTCTCGCGATGACATGTCGGCTGGAACTTCTCCCGCAGGGTCCAGTGGAGCGTGGAATTCCCCTGGTCAATATTCCGGGGTGTCACCGGTCAATCCCAACATGCATTTCACGGGTATGTCCCAGCAGCAGCAGCAGCAACAATATGTGGATGTGAACGGGAACACCTTTCAGGCCGGCCCACAAACCCCGATGGGGATGAGGCAAGGCATGATACAACAGCAAGCCCAAAGGAGAGGGCAGGCTGACATGTCTGGTGGGAATGAGACGGGCAGCGCCCACAAACGACAGCGAATATACGCCCCACAGCAGTCAATGGCTGCTCCTATGCGGCAATGACTTGGGGCTTTGGTTGATTGAAGTGAGGGAATAGAAACACAACGACCATGTTATGAATCGGGCGATGCGCGAGTCGACGCAGGACGGGCCAAGATGAAGCTCACGAGTGGATGTCCGTCATTGCCATTCTCGCTTCGCATCGTGTGCGATGCTACATGATCCTTACGCCAGGACTCGCCTCCGTCTGTCATGGGAGCATGGATGACGCCAGGCCGGTTAAGGCACACAGCGACAAATATATTTACATTTACGACTTTGATGAAGGCATGCAGTGAATGGAGCAGGCTGGCCGGCAAAATTTCTTGTGCGATGATACCTGATACCTTCTCACCACGACTGAGCATCTGGATGGATTGTAATTGTGTTTGGCTAGGGGAGTTTCGGACAAGACTCCGGAAGTACAGAGAGAGAGACAGAGAGAGGGCGATGGCTGCGCGCCAGATTGATGGGCAGCGCCTCTTGGAGGCAAGCATATATCTTGCAGGCTTGTTGTACCTAAATCGTAGTTGCAGAAAGGCTTCGGCTTCGTCTTCTGCCTACCACAAACGCAGGTGGTAGATTGTCTACAGTATCTAACTTTCCGAACATCTAAGATGTCCGCTGATCCTGAGCTGATCAAGCCATGTTCAAGGCCAGTACCTACTGTACCTACTCCCTCCCAGTCTAGAGGCCCAAGCCCAACCTGAACTGCTCGAAATCACCACCTCAACCCCATGGCCACGGCCATAACAAGAGCAGGCTGGACCAAGGCCCAAGGCCATGCTCCCAGTATCTCCCAGTAAACAGATAGCTATACTGAGTGCCTGGCCATGACGGCGCGTTCATGCCGGGGCCAAGGCCGTGGCTTTGACCATGGCCCACGAGGTCGTTCCATCGCATCGCTCTCGGGTTCGGGTCCCGCAGGGGTCACCGTTAGGTCACAACTGCATCTTGTCCTTCTCCTTCTCCCACTGGTCGGGGGTCAAACATTTCGGCGTCCAGGCATGGATGGCGGCGATCTCAGCGCGCAGCGCATTGTTGACCAGGCGGTGGCGCGCAAGCAGGGTCTTGCTGTTAAAGTCGGGCGACACGATGATGGCGTTGAACGCCTGCCCGCACCCGCCGGACATGTCTTCGATCTCCACGTGGGTCGCGTGCAGCGTTTCCCTCAACTTGTGACTGAGGCTGTCGGCCGTCACTCCTGACGAGGCGGCATCGGCGGCCATCGGGGCAGATGCTGATGCTGATGCGGCGGCGCGAATAGGAGACGCTGCGCTGAACGGTCGCGACTGGCGGAAGCCGAGGAGCGCGAAGGCGCGGTTGCGAGAGAAGTGGTCGAGATGGTTGAGCGGGTGGTCGGCCGCGGCGAAGACTGACGAGGAGGAGATCGGTGCGCGGACAGCGACAGGGACAGGGACGGTGGCTGCTCTGCGGACGGCCTGCAATGACGCCTTAGCCACACGGGCCGGCATGGACAGTCGGGGGATGGCGGGTGGCGGATGGCGGTGTCTGTACAAGTATGTGTACCGTGCTACGGAGTCGGAGTACTGTGAGTAGGGGTATAGATGTAGTCGTGAGTCTGTAACAAAAAGGATGGATAGGATGTCCCGATTTTATTGCACGGAGTGCAACTGGTTGGAAATCAGCTTTTATGTCAGAATCTCCATAGAGTTGGAGCTGGCAGCAAATTGCGTCACGGGAATGTTTGCTTCGCAAGGGAATGCAATGCCGGCCACCGACAACAACCTCAATATTCAATAGCAACATTCAATAGCAACGATGCAGTCCAGCACCAGCACCAGCACCGCAGATGAGCATGGACCGGCCACCGGTTCCTGACGATGCGACATCGACATTTGTTCCTTAGAGCACTTCCACTCCCACTTCCCAGACTTCGACTTCAGCCTCGCAGTATCGGCATCAGCATCGCCCAAATCCACCTGCGTCCGCATCCCCATCCCATCCCCTTCCACCACTCAAACATGAGCACATCTACCTCTACCTCTCCCGCTCCCCATGTCTCGCCCTTCACCACCGCCGTCGTCTCGTCGATGCGCCGACTCTATCCCGAGGCGCTGGCCGACAAATCCTTCGACAACACGGGTCTGCTCGTCGAGGCGCCCTTCATCTCCTCCCGACCGCGAAACCGGAATTCGGTCCTGTTAACGGTCGACCTAACCCGCGCCGTCGCCCAAGAGGCCATCGAGAACAATCATTCGGTCGTTGTCGCCTACCATCCCATCATCTTCCGCGGGTTGAAGTCAATCACCGCCGATGACACGCAGCAGTGGTCCATAGCCTTGCTTCTGGCCCACGGCATCAGCGTATACTCTCCACACACCGCCGTCGACACGGTTCCAGATGGCATGGCAGACTGGCTTTGCGACATTGTGACAGGCAAAGTCGACGAGTCCGAGCCCGAGTCCGAGCCCGAGACTCATACTACAGCGGCGCCGCTGTCATCGCCGTCCGATACAGAAGTCACTACATCCGAGAGCGCGCTCGACACGGAGCCAGACTCGAAGCCGTCGACGAAACCAACCTCACCCTCCGCCGGGGGCCATGAGCAAGATGCCCTGCCCGACCCGTTCGTGTCTCCGACAACGCCCAAGGCCAAAGGGCCCCCCAGAGCCACCCGTCCTGCTCCTGCGCATAGAACATACTCCAAACCCACATACCCGCGTCCGACGTCCAGTTTCCATGCCGCCGTGCTTGCCCATTCCCGAAGCGTGATTACGCCTTCACCCAGCGCCGCCCTCGCCGCGGCAAACCAAGTCGCCGCCTCCGACTCGTTGACACACACAGCCTCCAATACCGGTGCAGGAAGGCTAATTGAGTTCTTTGAACCCCAGCCACTGACACTCCTGATTACGCGGATCGCTCACGCCATCGGGCTACCCAAGGGATTTGCGGTTGCCATTCCTCAGGGCCGGAGTATCGAGGACATGCACATCTCGAGTGTCGCCACGTGTCCGGGGAGTGGAGGTGGCGTGGTGAGAGGGTGTCGCGCAGACCTGGTGTTTACCGGCGAGCTGAGCCACCATGAAGCCCTCGCCGTGACGGAAAGGGGCGGTTGTGTAATCACGCTGTTCCACTCCAACTCGGAGCGAGGCTATCTCTGGAGCGTGATGCGAGAGAAACTCGAGACCGAGCTCGCGGAAGAGTGGGCGCGGGTGAGGAGGAGGAGCCGGGACGAAGAAGGCGTCAAGAGTCGGTCGTCGTTGTCAGTGTCGGCGCAGCTGAAGGAAATGCTCGAGGACGAGAGTGTGCAAGTGGTGGTGAGCGAGAGAGACAGAGATCCCTATGGGATTGTGGTGCTGGAAGAAACGGCCGTGGAAGGGATCCGGTTTGGAGGCGACTGATGGACCGAGTCGATTTCAATTACTCACTTTTTCACACGCATCGAGCGGGTTTCAATGCCGCAGACCTAGATGCCACTTCTTCGAGCAGGACACATTGCACACTTGAGAGCGAGGGTGTATAGTGCTGAATATAGTATAGCACAGCACAGCCTGGGTCGAACCGACACGACAATGACCAAGGAGACTACGTTCAAGTTCAAGGTCAGTTCAGGTTCAGGTTCATGTTCAGGTTCATGTTCAGGTTCATGTTCAACTTCAACTTCAACTTCAACTTCCCACACCCGACCATACAGTCCCATCAATGACCATGGTCAAGGGCAGTGAGTGAACTTGTATTATACACTCAAAGCCTAAAGGGGCTAAAAGATAGTCTGGTCGTCTGGTTTGTCTAGGCGTTCAATGAATCAGTCCAACAGTCCAAGTAGGAGAGAACCAAACAGAAAGAAATAAGAACCAAGAACCAAGAACCAAGAACCAAGAATTAAAGAGAGCAATCCAAGTCCAAGCGCTTAAAGCAGGCCAGGTCGGAAACCCCCATCGACCGTCCTGTCCAACCCGGTCAAATAGAAAGGAATGATGAATGCCTATCTCACACAACAACACCCTCTCTCATCGTCTCCAGCGTCTTCTTGCCCACCCCGCGTAGTCTGGTCAGGTCGGCCCAGCTCCTCAGCACGACATTCCCGACCGTCCCGTCAGTGTCACACTCGGCTTCGGCTGCCAAATTCAGATACTCGACAATCCCCTCGGCACGTTTCGCCCCTAGCCCGCTCAAAGTCTTGATTCTCGAGACATCGCGTGTGTTGATCACGTCGAGAAGGTGCTGCGTCCGCGGCGTGAGCGTGCCAGTGCCTGTGCCCGTCCCCGGCTGCGCCTCTGCCTCTACATCTGTATCTCCCCCGGCCAATCCCCGTTGCGCCAGCGGATCCGGCGACGAAGCTCTTGCTTTCCGCCTCTGTTGTTGTCTCTGTTTCCTAGGCCGAGCCCGATGAGAAGGCCCGTCTTCGTCGCTGTCATGATACGCCGACTCCTCGCCGTCGTCATGGAAACTCTCGTCGTCGCCGTCATTCTCGTGGCGACATTCCTTGCCATGCGTCCTGGACGAACTCGGTTTTTCAGGAGGCATAGCCTCACTCTCTGCCCTAGTCCGCGCCAACTTCTCTTTCAGCCGTTCAATTTTGCTCTGTAGTTTCTCGTTGTCGGGAAAATAAGGTCGTGCGAGCTCATACATCTTCAATGCACTGCCGTCCTCGCCGCGTGCCTGGTGCTGTTTGGCCATAAATAAATAACTGAGTCCTTCCGCTCGTTCTCCATCCTGCCCCTCTAGTCTCTTCTCGATACTGTCTAGACGTCGTTGCACTTCCTCGGAGACATTCTTTGCCGGAGCAGGATCAGGAGCATTTAGCGTATGAGCAGCAAGAATCTCCGACACTTTCTGCTCTACCAGCGTCTCAATCGAAGCTTTGGTCAACGTGGAGGGCTCTGGCCCACGGCGGATAAAGCTCGGAGTCGGGCGAGAGATCTTACTTGGACGGCCGGATCCAAGAAAGGAGTTGTCTGCAGTGCGCTTTAACGGTGACGACTTTTGATGATTGGTAGGTTTGCTGCGGTCTGAATACACAGCAAACGCCTTGGCCGGTTTCTCATTTTTGGTGGACGCCTCGCGGGTCGCAGTGAGATTGACATTGACACCATTGTTCAGAGGACGCAACGGCTGGCGTTGCGTTGTTGCTCCAGTCAGGGCTGCTCCTGTCACCGGGCGCGATGGCCCTTTGAAGATAGGTTCGTTTTCCACCTCCCGAACCTCGATTCGTTTGGTTCGGTTGGCAAAGTTCAAAGAGCTGAGCGTGTCGAGATGGTATGACTTGACCGGAGCCAGATTGAGGATCATGACCGTAAACCCATTGTTCTGGCCCAGCGACAGGATTCTCGTCATCTTTGACTCTCGGTACGGAATCCGCTGGTGTTTCTTGCTGATGGCCTCCACACACTGCGCCAGGACAAACAACGACTTGTTGATGCTTGCAGATTCCACCATTCTGTCCTTTCCATTTCCTGTTCTTCGATTGTCCTCGGACCCGGCAAGGTCGATGGCGGAAGCCGTGCTGACTCTGGTCTCGGTTGGGCTTGTTATGGTGAGCTTGACGCACAGAATGGCATGCGACCGGGACGAGTGGGAGTTGAGCTTGGTCGCACCCGTGCTGCGGTTGGCGTTGGCCTTGTCATAGAGAGCCTCAAAGTCTTTCAACGATCGGCAGGGCACTTCTGTCAGTCCAACCACCACAGTCTTGCCACCTTCGGCTTCCCGGATGGGCAGCCCGGTGGCGGTTCTCTTCTCAGGCGCCTCGAACAAGTCAAAGACCCGGTCATTGTAGATCTCGTAGTAGCTCATCGACACTGCCACGGTGGTGTCCCCTTCACTGCTCTTCTCGATGGCTCGACTCTTCCTATAGATGCTGCTGAGCAGGCGGGGGATCATTCCTCGGTCGGCGAGTGACTTTCCGCCGCGCATAGTATGGGTTTTGCCCGTCCCGGTCGAGCCATAGGCGAATATGGTGACATCGTAGCCAAGGAAGAGGTGTTTGACTGTCGGGGCGACTGGAGGGAGATATTAGTGGCAGGTGGCAGGCATTGCGGCAGTGAATCAGCATACCTTCGGCTTCGTATATCTCCTGTTGCGTGGCGCTCTGCTCATACACGCTGTTGAATTGGAAGCTGAACTCTTCGGCCAGGTTCTTTGGGTTGGGAATCTTGATCACGGTGGGTGCGCCGTCTGAGCCGTGGTGGTGGTGGCTCGTTACAATCTGGTCCTTTTCCAATTCCGACTTGAGAAGAGGCCGAATGCGGGCGACCACTCTGACGCTCATTTTGGCCTGGTAGGACAGATCTTGAGGTCTTGAGGATATGACTTGGTCTGTCACCGTGGCCGTAGCTTGACTGTCGGCGCAGTTCAGTTGTATGTGTAGTCGAAACGGCACCGACCAAGACGCGGACGTTGATTGCCAAGCTGCGATTGGTCGCCAGGGCAACGGCCACAGCCTGAGGCTCAGCCTTGTCATGTTCAGCCTTGTGCTGCAGAACGAATCTACAGTAAACAATATTTCATCTCTCTATCTGTCCATGCCACCGCCACCCGTGTTCCCGTGTGCCTGCAAAAGGTTAGCCACCACTCGGTGGCTGCCTTTGTTTGCGAACTCGATCGCTCGGAGATATTGTGCCCGGCCTGCTCCTGTGGTCTCCACGCCCGCCGCAAGCAGCATCTCAACCATGCTGATCCGGCCATGTTCTGCCGCTGCTTCAAGTGCAGTTCTGCCGTTCTCGGGCGGCGCAGCCGCGTTGACATCAGCGCCGGCCTCGATGAGCAATGCCGCAATGCCCACGTATCCGCCCATCGCAGCAAGCTGTAGCGCAGTGGCACCTGCGTTATATCCTGGTTTCTGATTCACATCGGCACCCGCTCGAATCAGTAACTCCACGGTCTCACAACGTCCCCGCTCTGCTGCTGCCTGCAGAGCACTTCGTCCATACTCCTCAGAAGCTGGTGCATTTACTTCTGCACCAACCTGAAGCAGTATCCTCACAACCTCATCGTTGCCCGACTCTGCAGCAGCCTGCAATGCAGTCCGTCCACCGCACCAAGAAGCCGGTGCATTTACCTCTGCACCGGCCTCAAGCAGCATCTTCACAACTCCATCATTGCCGGACTCTGCTGCAGCCTGCAATGCAGTCCGTCCAACGTCCATTGACGGGCATGCGTTCACATCAGCCCCGCATCCAGGATCATTTGAGCTCTACCATCCGCATACCTTGATGCATATTGTAATGCTGACCATTCCCCATAGGCTCGTTTGTCAACGTCCGCATCTTTGTCCAGCAGAAGCCGGATAGCCTGGCACGCAAAGAAGGAGGCAAATTTTTCTCCCATTGCCGCAGCAAGCTGAAGAGGCGTCCGAGCCTGTCGTGCAGTTGCATCTGGATCCGCGCCTGCTTTAAGTAGACACCGGACCAATTCCAACTCACCCTCGATGATTGCAATTTGTAAAAGGGTGCGCGTGCCATCGTTAAAATTGACATCAAATTGATCGCCGCCTGTCTCAAGGAGGAGGGTAGCTATGTCGTGATAGTCGTCTGCCACCAAGTCATAAAGCACAAGGCTTCCAAATCTTGTAGCGGCGAGCGAGCTGTCATAGGTGAGCAGCAGGAAGAGGGACTCAACGTCATCGGCAGAGCCGCGAGTGTCCCTCTCTTGAAACAGCGTCCGTATTACGTCCAGAGAAGGGAGGAGGTCAACACCTGATTCGATGAATGTTTCAACATAGCAACTGTTTTCACTTTTTATCATGGCTCTCAGAATCTTGTCATCAACCGTCGCTCCCATGGATATCAGCCATCGGACCATGTCGTCCCTGGTGAACCGGATGAGGCCTTCTGCGACTTCATCAGTCTCTTCGAAATCGCCCCTTTCACAACTCACGACCGCTTCAAGGGGGGAGCCCAGCGTACCCACGATGCTGGGTGTGCTCACATCAACGCCAGCCAGTACGTAGCTTTCCATCAGCAGCATATCGCCACAACTTGCCGCAGTGAAAAGGCCGATGGCGTCGGCATGGCTGTCGGTGGTAGCAAAACATGTTCGATAGGTTCGCAGCATCATATGGAACGTCTCGTAGTCCTTGTGTCGGACTAGTGGTTCGAGGACGCACTCCAAACAGCTTTCGATCGAGCTGTCGTTGTAATCGGCAGCGGCTTCAAGCAAATAGCGGAACTCCTCACTGGAGCCCTCAATCCAAGCCCGAACCCTAACGCCAGGTTCAGGCGGTATGTCCAGATCAATCTCAGCTCGTCCCGCCGCTTTCAAGAGCCCCGCAAAGGTGTGCAGATCTCCTCGTTGTATTGCCTCTTTCGCTGCTGATCGGAAGTATTCTTCCTCTTTCGGCGGCCTGGATTGCGAAAGGCATTCGTACAGTAGCAAAATGGTCTCGCCAGTCGCCACTTGCAAATGTTCCCAAGCACGCTGCCCAGAAAACCAGGAAGATTTGAGATCGAGATATCTCTCAACTGGGCTCCCAAGCGTCCACACATGGCAGAGCAAGCCACTATCTCGTCTCGTTACTGCCTTCTGCAACAGGACTCTCCCGAGCTTGTCCGTTTTGATCAAGCATGGATCCGCCCCAGCCTGCAAAAGAAACTGGACCACCTTAGGCCCATTCCTGTTTAAGGCTATCGTGATGACGTTGTTCTTGTAACGGTCTAGGCCGTTTATATCCGCTCCCGCTTCCAGCAAGGTCTGAATTATTTCAGTGCGTGAGGCCTAACTCACATCATTTTTGAGTAATGCGCATTGCAAAGCTGTGCCACCAGAATCAGCTGAATGAGCATTGGGGTCCGCTCCATATCGAAGCAGTAAACGGACCACCTCACAATGCCCCCTTGCTGCGGCAGCTTGTAGCGGGGTATGCTCTGCATTCTCGAACGTTGACATCGCATTAACATCTGCGCCGAACTCCAACAACTTCTTACAAGACATCAAATCAGTTATTTCGACGCAATGCCGAAGAGCAGAACACCCCTCCCTTGTAATACGGATGTTCGGATCTGCACCCCTCCTCAAAAACTCGGTCATCAGCCGACAATGCCCGCGAATTATTGACGCTTTGAACAGCCTCTCTCCAAAGGCTTGCAGGGTAGGGTTTTTGATGGAGAGACAATCCAACAACGCCCGCTCCTGGGAAGGTCGTGAGTTCATGCTAAGGACTTTTGCCACAGCTTCACCGTCGGTGAGATGGTTCGAGATGGCGAAGAGTAGTATTTTGACCAGCTCGGCTGGTGAGGTGAGCAGGTCCTTTCCCGCAAGGGGGTCCTGCCTGGCCTGAAGCTCGTTTTCGGGTGTGTTGGGAAGAAGGGCTCGGAGATAGGAGTTGAGCTTATTAGCAACTTGGGTGGGCACATTGGGTGAAAGCACCACATTCCAGCCGTTGGAGAGCCGCAAATCACCTGTTATTTTTACAGCCAGCAAGCCTGGACTGAGATTCGGAACTGCCGCCCATGATATGTCAGTTGGGCCTCGTAGCGACTAAGATTTCCCAGACCTTGATATATTGAAACCTTGTACCACAGAAGATCAAGATCAGTCGCAAATCGACTGTTCTGGGTGTCTGTCGGCGTCAAAACTTGAATGCCCTCTGGTGTCTTCGGACTCTGGGCTAAGAATGGTCAGCAAAGCTGCAGTGTTCTCATGGGACAAGTCTGACTGACCGGAGGCAATTCTTTCAGAGGTGCTCTGCCAGCCATGGCGACGCGTCTCCGTACGGACTCTCTTTGCGGGCTGCAAGACGCCATGCGCATAAACATTGCTCTCATTTTTGCCACTCTTTTTGCGCTTCTGCAAACGATGGGCCACAAATTTCCATTCATGGCTTTTGACATTTGTGCGCAAGCCCCAGCTTTTGAATTTGCGCTTGTATTGACCTTCGCTGGAAGATAGTCATAGTCAGATTGTGAGATTTTGTGGAGATCAGAATTGTCAGTGGTGCTTGTTACCTTTTCTCGAAGCCGAAGGTCTGTTTCATGTATTCCATTATGTCCTGGAGAGACTTATCTGCCATGCCATGTAGATGGCGCAGGACTTGTTCATATTCGTTCCATTGATCCTCCTCAAGATCGGGATTTGCAGCATCCGCTGACAAAAGCGGTGTGCAGCTAGGAATCATTGACTCTATATGATCATCGGCGTCAGCATTGGTGTGGGTCGTTGTGAGAGGAGCCATAGTCGCGGGCGCGGCTGTAAACCCGGAGAAGTCCAAGAACCTCGACGTAGATGAAGAGGCTACGTCCATGCTTGGTATTAAGGACGGCCCGAGTATATAGCTCGCGTGTGGGTCATTGTAATGCAAATGTTGCAGAGTAGGGAGACTGCCAAGCTGTCCAAAACTTTGGGGATGTACTATTGCCTGTGGTGTGAGATCCAGGGAGGTCGTCGCAGTCAAACCGAACTCATAGCTTTCATCGATGTGAGTGTCGTATGGCCATTGAGGGACGACATCGTCGCCAGATTGTTGAAGTCTGCCATCGCTAGGCATGGCCGATTGCAGTAGTGGTGCGTCTGGTAAATAGCGGGGATAGCATGTAATTCAGCAATCCTTGAGTACACTTGAAATACTGGGACTGTAAAGCCGTTGATGTAGCACAGCCTTGTCACATCAGATAGTTTGGAGTCAAAGACGGGTTGGGTTGTGCCGTTCATACGGGAAGACAGGTCTGGAAAAGCATAATATGGTGAAAGGAGAGAAGGAAGGGGTTGAGAAAATGGAAATTGCACGAGAACTTATAGAGAGTTCTCGATGATATGATGGCGAATCCGTATGTAGAGTCGGTCAGATCAGAGCGGTCTCAACACTGGGGGTCTAGCTTCTTGGACGCAGGCAAGCCACCGACGCCTTGCAGGTATTAGTGTGATCCAGTGGTCCATTCACGTTGTAGAATGATGTGACGCAGTCACCAGACGACCAACAGGAACGGAAGCCAGGTTGTCATGAAGCACCGCCTACCTGTACCTGTCGTTTCTTGATGGGATATTGGTCAGATCCAGAAGTTCAAGCCCCGCTTTCACAAGCTTTCGCCCGTGCCCGTTCGGAACCATCTTCAACATGCAGCCGCAATCGTTGGGGCCTCCTCAGGCAATTTCGAATGCTAAGCAGCGTCGGAAGACCATAGTCAATAGACAATAGGCAATAGGCAGCAGGCAGCAGGCAGCAGGATGCCGGACCAGTCAATGCGGTCCAAGATTTGGCTGGCGCTAAATGGTGGAAGTTGTCCGGCATTGGGGATGCAGGATTCAGATGTCTGCCACCATCCCAATACGAATGTATTAATGAAAGCGAACTCAACCTGAGACAGGTCCATACAGTGTCCAGTATCCAGTGCCCAGTGTACACAAGGGCAGGAGAAAAACATGTACGTACGTAACATGCATGTCTGATCAAGGTTAATAAGGTTGACGGCCGAATCCGAACCCGGAGAATAGATAATCCGGTTGCCCCAAGCCACCAGCCACCATCCACCCATCCACCACCAGCTGGCACTTTGCGGCGATCCGCCAAACACAGAGAGAGAAGACACGCCTAAGGAATCTGAGGCCCCAACCCCAACGGGCAAACATCCGCTTTCGATTCGGCATCAAGAGGCTCACAGGCCGCGTCGTGGCCGGCTGCGATTGACTCGACTCCCACCCTCACTCTCACCTCGACGAAGCTCACCACGTCCACGTCGAAGTCCACGTCTGTCCTCGGGTACCTCAGGCTGCGCTCTTTGCAGCCTAAGCTACAGCTAGCTACTTGCTGCTGCCACTCTCGCTTTCGCTCTCCCTCTGCCTATATCTTCTATACATATGCCACATCGAGCACGATCGCCGTTACCCGTTCCCGTCCACCGAAAGCTGTCCCTCCTCCACCACAACAAACAATAGCCTGCGTACGCAATACCAGTGCTTACTCCCAGCAATCCCAGCGACCACCACCACCATACACATACTATTAATACCGACACCCTAGCATACGTTTCCACACATAAAGCGCACTTGCACCGTGCGCACCGTGCTCTCCGTGCAGTCCCTCCACATCCTCCAGCATGGCGACCGAGACCATTTACCGCGAACGAGAAGTCCGAAGACGGTATAGATGGCCGGAAGTACAATTGAATCTGTGGATTTTCATAGTCCTGGCCGGAGCTGCGACGGTCTTGGGCATAAATGCGTGGTTCATCTCCGTGCAGAATCAATTGAGGGTTGGAGTTCCCTGGTATGTGCACGACCCCTGTGCTGTCAAAACGGATCATCCACACTAGGAAACTGACACTCTGGGGCTTGTGTTGCGACAGGCTTTTTACCTTCGCCGTTGTCGTCGGTGGTCTGACGATTTTGTTTCTGATCATCATCCTCATCCTCGCCCCTCGTCGCATGCTGATACCTGGAGGTATCCTCCTTGGCTCCTTCATCCTCTTTGTGTTGTGGGTGACGACGCTCATCGAAACGGCCATCCAGCTGTACGGCGATGGCAACGTCAACAGCAATTGCAACAACTATGTCACCGGACAAGAGTACACGGGTGTCTCGATAGAAACGCTGGCCTGGCTGACCCAGAACAATATATGTTCATGTTGGAAGGCGTCTTTTGCCTGGTCCATCATCTTGGCCGTTTTGTTTCTGTGGATGATGATCTTATCGTGGCAGGTGCAGAATTACGATGACTGACGTGGAGGGCGACCGGCGACTCGCCACTTTCTCTCGGGAGACTCTTTTCAACGCGACCACTGAGCATATACGGATGGGATGTTTCGATGCATTTACGGATTTAAATTGGAGCCATTGTGTTTCTATCATGTATATACGCACGCGCATATTTGGCACGGGAGTTTACGGCTGGGATGTCGACATAGCCTTCCTTTGATCGGCAACCCTGAGCGAGCGCCATGCCTGCTGACATTTCCGGTCATGATGGTTTTCGAGTTGGGAAAAGTGAGATACGTTGTTGGGTCGGTATTGCAACCATACTTGACACCGAGTGTATATAGGTACCAACCTCACCAGGGCCATTTGGAAAATGCCTGCCCACACCACTCTTGAAGACACTACCGCTTTCCTTGTCACTGAGTTACATTGGATGTTTCAAGCCACGTTTGTACCGACGTGTATGATCTCGCCTTGCCTTTGCGACAATTTTGCGTCGCCCAATGGTTGCATCGGGGATTGGATTGGCAGCTTCTCAGGATCGGCCCTAGGAAACTCTACCTTAGCAAGGTACATGTACATGTATTACATGGTATCTCGTGACCAAGGCTCCGCGAGGCTTCGATCCCCTATACCCATGAGATCTCTCATCATGAATCACAAGCACTGTCTCACGCCTTTAGGGTCTGTCTTCTCTGCAGTCCACTGATGCCCTTTTCTGATTTTGAATTGGCCTGATAGGATGCCCGCAAATCAAATCAGCCCAACCCAACCCAACAAACACATACCATGTCGTTGCTGGTGCTTCATGTCATCAAGAGAGTTATTTCTTTATTCAATCCTTCAAGAACTGGGCAATCTGTTCGTTCATAAACTGCACGTCCTTGGGGTTGACGCCTCCGCCGGCCATATGGCCCCACGAGCTCTCGATGACGGCGAGCTGGCCATGCTTGAGGTACTTCAACTCCATCTCCGAGTCCTCGGGTGGAAAGTACTGGTCGGTGCGGCAGGGCATGAGCAGGACGCGGGCCTGGATGCTCTGCAGAGCCTTGATGTAGAGGTCGTCGTTGGGGATGGCGCCGCCGAGCTGGCTGACGCTGACTGGCGCCGACGCCGACGGCGTGTGGTTCTCCTCGCCCTGCTGCTCCTGCTCCTGCTCCGATCCGCATCCGCCTACGGCCCCGACGCTGCCGACATCACCCATCTGCCACATTCTCGCCAGCACCAGCAGATCCTCGGCGTCCCAGAGGAGATAGGCCTGCTCCCGGGCGAGGATCCAGTCTTCGACGGTCTGGACTCCGAAGGCGGGACTCGTGAACGCCCTCTCGCGGAACCAGGCGGCACTGGTCAGCCAGGCGGCATAGGCGCGAGCGAAGGCGCGCAGGCCGCGCTTGGGCACGACCTCCTTCAGGTTGACGCCGACGGCCTCGCCGCGCGCGGCCTTGTCCTTCATGGCGCGCCAGGCCACGTAGTCGATCGAGTTGGTCAGCGCGGCCACGGGGCCCTCGAGGAAGGCGTAGTTGTGCAGGCTGGTGCGGGCCGACGAGCAGATGGCCACCACGCGCTTCGCGAACCCCGGGTACATGACCGCCCAGTGGTAGGCTTGCTGCCCACCCATGGAGAAGCCGACGACCGCCTCGAGCGACTGCACGCCGAGATGCTGCGTCAGGAGCTGGTGCTGCGCCCGCACCACGTCCGAGTACTGCAGCTCGCCGGGCGCCGGGAAGAAGGCCTTGTTCGACGCACTCGAGCTCTCGCTGTTGCCCAGCATCGCCACCACCACCACATGGTAGCCGGCCAGCGCGTCGTTCGGTCCACCCGTGAACGTGAGCGTGCTGTTGATGAGCCCGGCGAAGCAGGTCGGGATCAGCACCACCCCGCCGCTCGACGCCGCGTTGTAACTGCGGTATGCCACCCGCACATCGTGCAGCGTCGTGCCGTTGGAGAAGGCAAAGTCGGGAATCTCGTAGTATTCGATCCCCGTCGCATCGTATGTGGGTGCGGGAGGCATGCTTGGGGGGTGGCCTCAGGCCCTACAGCTGCCAGAGGGGCTTTGGAGGCTAAAGGGCTTTCCTCGTCTGACTCTTTCGTCTAGGCTCTGGTCCGGCTGAGGCCCTGCGCAGGCAAGTTTGTGGGAGGCGCTGGGCCAGGGCAGTGAGCAGTGAACATCAATCGAGAGCCATGTTTGAATATTAATGACTGGGGGAGGAGATGTCCACCAGCAGCCTGCGCCTCTAAGCCCTCGGCGGAGATCGCCCCTGCGCCTGTTCACCTCCAGTTTGGTGGTATGGTTATTGAATATTAATCCTGTTCATTTCACTCGAGACAAATCCCTACAGCAACATTGCTTCGGCGCCTTTTGTCACGATATTCTACTCCGTAGTCGGTCGTCACGTCGTCATGCTACCCAAACGCCTGTCAAACACTCAAAGGACAACTTGAACCGCATCGCAGCCTGCGGCCTCATACCTCCAGCATGCGGACCCTCGATCGGGGCTTTGTCTGCCTTGCTCGCACCAGCTTCAACTCCTCGCCCACGAGTCGGGCATCCCTCCATTGCTCCTCCATGTTGCTCATGCGGATGGCCGCCATCACCACAAAGACGCCCGCGCGCAACTTCTGCACCGGCTTCAACTTGGCCTCGTACTTGCGGCTGTCGAGAGAGACGCCCATCTCGCCGAGGATGCGAAGATCAACTTGGTTACTATCAACCGGGTCAGCGTCCTGCAGTCCGCAAAAGGAAGGAGTTGAACATACCATTGAACTCTCATCGCCTCGGATTGCTCCAGGAAGCCTTTGCTCCAGGCCAGGTCTTTGCGGAGCCGTTCCTCTCTCTTACACTTGGCCTTCAACCACATGATCTCCTTGATGAGCCCTTTCATTTCCTTCGCCCGGATCTCGTCTTTGCTCGACTTTCCCGATGTCAGTCTCTCAAGCATGCTTTCATATCTGCTCTGCAGGACTTCTAGTTCATTCTCGACTGCATCAGCCTTCCGGTTGGCCAGGCTGCGCTCTTCCCGAAGACGTCGAAGTTGCTGTTTCATTTCACGAGCTTCACTGTCGCGAATCGAGAGTCGCATCGACATATCGTTGGTGTCTTCGTACTCCGCCCGCAAGCGCTTGATTTCAGCTTTCAAATCTCTGATCTGTCGTTCACGCTTGCGCATATCTTCCGACATGTTGTCCGCTTCGTCTTTTTCTTCACGTCGACGACTCAGCTGCTCCCGCAGATCATGGACCAGTTCCTTTTGCTCTGCGACTCTTGAACTGAGTGCCTCTGCTTCGGCGGTACGGGATTTGACCAGATTCTGTAGGTCGTCAAGCTCTTTCTCGATCGTCGAAGCTCGGCGAGATGCTCGCTTCAAGTCACGATTTTCCGAACTCAAAACCTTGATTTCAGCTTGAGCTTCCACAAGATTCTGACGCATTTGTGTCATCTCCTTCGAGTGAGAGGGAGGTGGAGAGGCAGACGGAGATTTGGCTTTGTACTGCGCAAGTCGGGCTTCGTGTAATTCTCGCTCTAGGTCGTTGACCCGCATCTTTAGGTCTCGGTTTGCCGATTTCAGCTCTGTCTCTCGTTTGGCCGCTGTCGTTTCGTTCTTTCTCGCCTCCGCCAGGTCATGCTTCAGTCCAGAAACATCGGCCGCGGGAGAAGATATCACCTTGGATCGATTCTCTAGCAGGGCTTCGAGCTCTTCCACTCTGGCCTCCAGCCGAGCGATCTTGTTCTTGGCTGAGGTCAACTCACGCTCTTTGCTTTCCGTACCTGCAAGTTTCTGGTTGCGCAACGAGTCGATTTCCGCCTGCAGGCGGTTCTCTTCTTCACTGGCTCGTTCAAGTTCCGCGTTGATCTCGTCTTCCAGCGCCTGGTTGGCTTCGGCGAGCTTGTCCCGGTCGGTGGTGAGGCGTGCAACATCCTTCTCAAGCTTTACCTTGAGCCGCTTCAACTCACGCTTCTCTTGGTCGACGTTGAAGGTATCGTCATTGGACTTCTGGACAGTCTCTAGTTTTGCTTCAACACTATCGCGTTCCTTTTCAGCCGCTTTCAAAACCGTTCTGACATCCCGCAATTCCAGGTTGACCTTCGCCAGCTCCTCTTGCATCGATTGCTTCTCTTGTCGCAAGTTTTGTACCTGGGCGTCGGCATTGGACGAGTGCTTCTGTTGCAGCCTCTGCGCAAATTCATGTTCCTGCTCAATATCTGCCTGCAGCACTTCGATCTCTTCTTCGAGCTCAGCCACCGTTTCCTTCAAAGCAGCTTGTGCTCGAATGGAAATCCGAAGCTCTTCTCTGGCGTTGCTCAGTTCGGTTCGGCTTTCGTCCGCAGCGCTTCGTTTCGCCGCAAGATCTTGTTGGAGTTCCTCAATCTGTCTCGAGAGCACCTTCTCCTCCTGCAGATGCCGTTGTTTCTCGCTCTCCAGGGCTTCTTGGAGCTTCATTTCGCGCCCACTGAGTGTCCCCTGCGCATCTTGAAGCCTGTCCACTGTGCGTTGGAGGCCTTTCGCCTTCTCCTCCGCTTTTTGAGATGCCGCTTCAAGCGTTCGCTTCTGGGACTCCCATTCTTCCACGTCAGCCGCATGGTCGCCGTCCTTTGCATTGATTTCGCGGTGCAGTCCGTCGATTTGCTCATGAAGGAGGTCAATCTCGTGTTTATGCTGCGTTCTCAGTGTGTTGTCGTTCTGGGCAGAACGCTGCCTCTCCTCGTCTAGAGCATCTTCAAGGTCTTGAAGGGCTCGTTTGGCTTTGTCGAGGTCCTTCTGCAGGTCGGCAGATTCCTTGGTCAGAGCGTCGTGACGTGTCTGGAGCAAGTCCTTCTCATCAACTTTGATCTGTAACTCTCGTTCGACGCCCTCGAGCTGTTTCGTCATGTTGGTGAGCTTGCGGTCAAAGGTGTCGCGCTGTTGTTGAGAGACCTCAAGCTCTTGCTGCAGCCTGCGAAGGTCAGACGCTCCTTCCCGCTCCATCTCGCGAATTCGCTCTCTTAGCTGTTTCTCCGACTCCGATTGCGCACGCAACTGGGCCTGCACAGCATCGTGTCGTTCTTGCAGCTCGTGGTAGTCGTCTTCTAGCTTGTTTGCCTTCTCCTCCAACTGTCTACTCAGGCCTTTGGTCGTGAACGACTTGTTGGCCATCTCATCACGAAGCTCATCCAGGTCCTCCTCGGCTCTGCGTTTCTCCTCAAGAGCCTCTTCCCGAGTTTCTTTGGCTTCCTGTGCTTCCGCCGTCGCGCGCTCGAGACTTTCTTTCAGGTCTTCGACTTCTTGTCGCGCCGACTCCAATTCATCCTCAAGCGTCGCGGCGTCATTGGATTCTTTGCTTGCCTTCATTTTGAGCCCGTCGATTTGATCATCTCGCTCGTCAATCGCGCGATCTTTCTCGCGAAGGTCAGTCTGCAAGTCCTCAATCTCATCCTTGAGCTTCTGGATTTCTGATTGCTCCTGGTTGGCCGTCAGTCCCTTCTCCGCCTCCAATTTTTTGATTTGGTTGTCTCTGGCCTGGAGGTCGGAACGGAGGGATTCCAGTTCAGTTCGGAGATGTTCATCCACTTGTCTCTGGCGGATTCGTTCTTTGTACTGTTCAAGCTGCAGCCTGTAGATCTCTGCATCTCGTTCAGCTTGCGCAATATTCTTCTTGAATTTGTGTAGTTCGCGTTGCATTGTGATCCTGTTCACTTTCAAGTCGGTGTTTTCCTTCAGCGCAGCCTGGTTGAACTCGTTTCCACGCTTGGATAATGCGTCTTCCAAGAAATGGATTTTCATCTTCAACCCGAAGTTCTCTTTCTCAATCTTGTCAATGATGTTTTCTTGTTCTCGCAATGTCATCATATTCCCGTCATTAACGAGGCCGCCAGCGTCGCGTCCGGGAAGGGGCGCGAGAGGTGTGCTGTGAGCGCTACTGCTGATCTGCTGCGGCATCGGGGTGTAGTCGACAGCATTGCCTGCAGAGCTCGAAGTGTTCTCGGCCTCGAGCGCTGACAGGTCGGCTAGTCTCTGCTGCGCCGGGGTATAGCCATCTTTAAGGTATGTAAGAGGGGTTTGCGAGCCTGACTTCTTGCTAGAAAGGCGACGGGCAATGTTGTTCCTCATGGCGCTGCCCATGATGGGGGTGAATTCGGACCGGCGCTGGTTGCCGTTCGGGAGCAGTCGTAGAGGGTCTCGAGGTGCTCCAGCTCGGGGAGTTTTGAGGTTCATGCCATGGCCTTTGGCGTTCCTCATTTGACTGAGCAGGTCTCCATGCTGTGCAGGCGCCGCGAAAGACTTCTCGGGCGACAGCGTGGCCAGAAAGTCAGAGCCAGTACTGAGACGAGAGGCCTGGTTTGTTTGCGGAGTATTGATGTATTGATCCATGATGGTGATGGTGATGGGCTCCAAAGCCAGAGGTAGAATTCCCGTTGCCCAAAGAATCCCACTTCAGGGTCGCCAAAGCAATATCAAATCCAACGTCAAATAAACATACTGCTGGCGATGTAAACAGGGCACAACTGGTTGGAGTTTTGATGCTTCGGCCTCAGAGCGGATTGTTTTGTTCCTTCTACTTTGGGTCACTACCCCATTATCATGCATTAGCGTCGCCCTCCCGCCTTGGCACGAGTATTGCATGCTGATTGGCGGACTGGACAATTCTCAGATTCCAACTGTTCCATTTCTTCGAGTTCATCGATTTCGTGGTTCTCTGCCTCTCGCACATCTGCATCAGGGAAGATATGCCGCCGACTGATGAAGACATTGCTTGGTTTCGCTCTACGTTTCATCCCATCCCTAAGCCCGCGCTCCCCGACGACTGCATCGAATACTCCCTCTACATAATATCCCCCTCACTCGATACGACCAACGAGTTCGAACCCCGACTGCGCCTCCGCGAGGTACAGAAGTATGCAACCGATCTCCACCGGCAGTATTTGAAGGATTATATCTGGCAGCGTCAGGGCTTCTCTCTGGAGATAAGCAAAGAGGATGGTGAGGTCTGTTATCGCGTGGACTGAGCAGGCCAGACCATACTAACATATCCATCCAGGCCTAAGTTTTCTGCGCGGTACAACCGAGTATGGCGATTCAGTGGAAGATGAATGGGTGATTGTCTGGCTCCTCCGAGAGCTGACGAGAAAATTCCCGGATCTCTGGGTCAAAGTCACGGATAGTGATGGCGAATTCCTTCTCATTGAGGCTTCGGGCACTTTGCCTTCCTGGTTGGAGCCTGATGTGGCCGAGAACCGTGTATGGATCAACAATGGACAATTGAAGATTATCAAACCGGCCAGTGGTGCAAGGACCTCAAAACGAACAGAGGAGAAGCTGTCTCTTCCGGAGGCGAGAGATATACTGTCGCAAGACCCGAGAAGGTTGATGCATTCGACAGGAATGGAGGAAGAAGCCTTCTTCCGACTCAGGAATTACCCTGCACAGATTGCAGAGAATATGCACCACGCAATCATCACTCTCCCGCGGAAGGTGGCGTATCTACTCCACCAGAAACCAGCCTACATCGCGCCGACTGCCGAAGCATTCTATCTCCGAGACCCCATTGCCTTGAAGCCACTACAAAGCAAGGAGCACAAAAACAACATGATTCTCAAGCCGGAGGATTTTGTGAATGTCAGTGTCAAGTTCCCTCGGGTAGCATATGCACAATTAAAGTCACAGGATTTCCCACCGCCTGCTGTCTTCACCGGGGCCATGCCGTCCCGGACAGATGCGAAGGCATACGTTCGAGTGGAGACCGGGATGAAAGTGACTTGCGGCATGGAGATGTTGTTGACGGATTCGCAATATCAGGATCGACCTCAAGTCAGAGAAATGAAGATGCTGCTGGATGACCTAGCATCGGGCGACGAAGCACTGCCCTCTGATGCTGACGTTGACAATTGGGAGCAGCGAGATGACGACGAGAAGTGGCTTGATATTAGCTTCGACGACTTGGAGAAAGAGCTCGCTGGCCGGAAGGGACAGGCCGAGAAGAGCAAGAAGCCCGGTTTCGGAGACAAAGCCGCTCAAGAGAATCTACAGAGGATTGTGAAACAGTTTGAGGAGTTCCTGAATGATGAGCAGGCCGGGCCCGAAGGGGCTGGCTTCTTTGACGAGGACAGTGATGAGGACGTGGCCGACGACGATGATGATGACGACGACGACATTGATGAAGATAAAGACGCCAGTTTCGGGGAAGATGAATTCACCAAAATGATGCAGGAAATGATGGGGATACCACCCGAGGTGATGAAGGAGATGATGACGGGCAAACTTGGGCCCAGTGCACAGGATCCCGCCAATCGGTCCGGACTGCGTCCGCCACCTGATGATATGGGGCACGTTGAAGAATTGGGAACGTCAGGCTCCGAGGCAGATGAAGAAGAGATGCAGAACTTCATGAAGCAGATGGAAGCGGAACTTCGAGGGACAGGTGTCTTGAATCTCAATTCCTCGTCCAAACAGGCCGCTGGCAAGGATCCGGCAATCAAGGGTTCAGTGCACACTGACGATGATGAGGTTGAGGAGTTGTCCTCTGACGACGACGACATCGACAATGAGATCGACGTCAATCTCGCCAAGAATCTACTGGAGAGTCTCAGGTCGCAAGCCGGGGTACCTGGCCCTGGAGGGAATCTCATGGGCATGATGGGCCTCGGGCTGCCGAGGCACGAGCCAGATGAGGACGACAGTGATGGAGGACAGCCTGGGCCGAGTGGAACCGCCAGAAGTGGTGGGAGCAGACCGGAAGGCTCCAAAGGACGATAATGTGAAGTTCGCGCGGATGCAGAAGCCCATACTACTCTTGAAGCTCTTAGCAAAACAAGTTTTGAAAACATGCTGGATCTATATTCTTTAAGAATCGATCACAATATTTTCCAGATATGAATAGAAGAGGATTTTTAATGCTTTTAATAATGATTAGTTTCATTTACTGTTATTTTAGGTATTTATCCTTGTATTATTTTAGAAAGTTGCAAATATATTAAGTGGTCACATGCTTTTAAATATATTGATAGCAGGATTTACATATAATGTAATGAAGCAAGATGCAGAAGTCCAGCCGAGTAATGAATGATTCCGGTCCCGACACAGCTCTTTGAGCAGAGGAGAGCGCCACTGATCAATCAATAACCGTCTCTGCCGTCAACTACTCCATATGCGCCACCTCCCTTGACAAACATGTCTCGCAGATCGGCTACAATATCTAGGGGTCGCTCCCATGCGGCAAAATGGCCGCCCGTAGCGTGCTCCCTCTCAAACACACAATTCCCCACGGTTCTCGTCCAGGTGCTGGGAAGCACGTGGATGTCGCGCGGGAAATGACTGATGCCAATCTTGACCGCGGACTGCCACTCTCGGATCTTGTCGTGCGTGATGCGCGCACCCCACGGCCCGCGACGGCCTATCTCGTAATAGATCCTGCAACTCGCCGCGGGGCCGGCGGTGCTGAACCAGTAGATGCTGACCCAGGTACAGATCTCCTCGTCGGTCCAAGGATACGCGTCCGTCCAGTCGTGCAGTTTCTCATAGATCCACGACAGCAAGGCTACAGGGCTGTCGGCTAGAGCGTAGCCCAAGGTCTGGGGCTTGGTCGACTGCAGCAGGTTGTAACCATAGCCTTCTTGGAGAAACCATTCAGTGCGTGCAGCACCTTCTTTCTCCCGTGTCGAGAGTGGCCGGATGGCTGCTTCGGCGGCCAAGAGAGGATTCTTGAGGAATGTAGGCTTCGACCCCATGTCCATGTTGAAATGAGTGGCTTTGCAGTGTCGAGGGTACAGTAGGGACATTGCTCGGGTAATGGAATATCCCCAATCGCCTGTCCTTGTCAGCAGGAGAGCTGGATTTGTAGAAGGGAAATGGGAGACCGACCGCCCTGAGTGACGTATTGATCATACCCCAGCTGCAACATCAGCTTATGCAGCGTCTCGGCATACTGTTCGAGGGCGAATCCTCGTTTCTTGGTGCCCTCGGAGAAGCCGAAATTCGGCAGGGACGGTGCAACAACGTCAAAGGAAACCTGGTTGGCATCGCTTCCCGATGATAACGACTCGATGATCTTGCTGGCCTCGAGGAAGTGTCCGGGCCAGCCATGCACGAAAAGGAGCGGGGTTGCCCCTTTGACGCTTGACTTCTGGTGCAGGAAATGTATCCTGAGACTCTCGTATCCTTCACATTGGATCGATGTCACAAATTGAGGAAGACGGTTCAGTTCGGCTTCGGCCCGGCGCCAGCTGAAGTCGTCACGCCAGAACTTTGTCAAACGCTGGACATCAGCGAGAGGTGCTCCTAGGTCCCATTCCGCTGACTCTAGCTCATCCGGAAATCTAGCCTTTTCGAGCTTCTCACTGAGGTCATGGATTTGTGAGTCTGGAATAGAGATCTGATATGGCTGTACTGGAGCAGACATGATGAACGACAAAGATAGGGGGGTTTGTTTTGTTCGACTTGCAAAAGATCTGAAGAGTGAGAGTATTTATCGGTAGAAGGGCTCACCTTTTGCTGCGACTGCGGGGTACGTGCCTCTTTCTTTTTACTAATATGTGGCGTATCTGGACAGACCACTTAGGTGCCACTTACAGCATTATTGACAGCAATGCTTTGAAATGAATTGGACGATCGATACGCGCTTGCTAGGCAGTCATCCGGTCGGGTCGAGGGCCTGACTGCGGTCATTGGTCAAGCATTGTTAAGCCTGCGACGTCGCACAATGAGGTCAACTCGAGCACGACCATCATCAGCAGATCCTCGACCAGGGTCTCTTGCAAATGCTTGTGTGGAGTACGCAGTAAGGAGTATTGATAGTACGTAGGGATATCGATGATGTTAGCGGTGTGGACGGAGTATTAGTCATCCGGGGTTCTGTGTCGGCACACCTTCCCTTCTCAAAACTTGAATGAGTGACGCCTGCCAGTGACTGCGGCGTTCTCTACACCATCTTGCGATTCCCCCAACGTCCAGCAGGATGAGAGGGCCAACTCGTCCTACCCATTGCCCAGTCTGGCGTTTGTGCATACACATACACGCCGGGGAGAGGTCGCCCATCTGCTCAGGAACCTCGCTCCGGCAATCTTCGCCCATTGACACTGGCTAATTCCTTGCTGGAACACTCATGACAGCCCCCCAGCAAGACCTCCCCTTCTTTGACCTGCATGATGTCCGGTCCTCAGGGAAGACTGAGCTTGTTACACCCGCCTCGAAATGTCCAGCAAATAACAAAGGAGGCACAAGACTACGAGTATGATGCCTCGATCCCCCTCCGCTACTGGCTACGGTCAGCCCAGGCGATGTTGAAAGAGGTAGCTAGTCTCGACTTCGCCCAACGCTGAGCAGAACTGACGCTCACTGTAGGCAGAGATATACGTGCGCGAGGGAGATGAAGAAACGACCTATCTCCTCCTCTTTCGACATGCCCATCTCATCCTGTCCCAGTTACCCGCCCATCCACAAGCACGGGATAAGGCCAACAGGCTGCTGCTGAAAGAGGCGGAGAAAGAAGTTAACCAGAATCTAAAAGTGCTTGATCTGATAAAGCCCCGGATAAACGAGAGATACGAACGTTACGTCAGAATTTTGAAAGAGAGGGAGGCCAGAAGGAGTGCACATACACAGACTCAGTCTTACGGTGACTACAGGGGCCAACAGCCAGCGCTGGACCAGAGAGCCGAACCGCTCAAAGCGTATGAGCATCAGGACCTTGCAGTGCGATTAGCCCAGAAGGAGATTTCCCGACGAGCAGCTAATCGTCAAACTGCCCCGACATCAGCTGCTGATGGGGATGACTTTTCGCGGAGGCTGCAAGAAATCCGTGCTCGAGTCGAAGGAAGGACGCAGCCCGGTTCGCTGGACTCGGAGAGCCGTCCTCGGGCCTTTGCAGCCAACAACCTCACTTACAACTACCCCAGCATTCCTTCACACCATGCGCAACTGGTGCCGGGCCTTCCAGTGCCGCAAGGGCCCCGACCTCTTGCTCAGGGAGAGCTTCCGGTTCCTCCGCCGGTAATCCCGCCGAAACCGGGTAGCATCGTGATTCAACCACCAGCAAGGCCGGAGAAAGTGCCAGAACAAATTGCATCTAGGTCGGCGACACCTGAACCTGTGCATACCTTCGCTCCGGCTGCGTACTTGGAAAATGGTACGCCACTCCGAACGATCTTCCTGCCTCCCACGTTGCGGACCACCTTCTTGAGACTTGCGCACAAAAACACGCTGGCCAATCTGGAGACCTGCGGGTTTCTCGGGGGCACCCTGATCGCAAACGCATTCTTCATCAGTCGACTTATCATTCCATCCCAGACGGCAACTTCGGATACTTGTGAGATGACGAACGAATCACAACTGTTCGACTATGTTGATTCTGAAGATCTCATGATTCTCGGATGGATCCACACCCATCCTACTCAGACATGCTTCATGAGCAGTAGGGACTTGCACACTCACGCTGGGTACCAGATGATGCTGGCCGAAAGCGTTGCAATTGTATGCGCGCCTAGTAAAGGAGATACAATGCACGGAGGTGACTGGGGAGTTTACCGGCTGACGGATCCTCCGGGAAAGAAAGCTATTCTCAGCTGTAATCAACCAGGAATCTTCCATCCTCACGACGTTGAGGATATTTACACCGACGCAGTGCGACCGGGACACGTGGTCGAGGCTAAGGGAATGGAGTTCGAAGTGGTGGATCTTCGGGAAAGGTAGCGACGGATGGGGCGCGGTGGTTGGTGGCTTGTTCGTAGTCGGGCCCTGTGGTCAGACATGGCTGAAAGCTTGAGATCGCCTGGGCCTCGCCAACCCTCTTGACTCTCAGGAGACTCGAAATCTACTGGACAGGTCCTGAGCACAATCGAGGAGACTCAGTTGAGCTTGCCACCATGATCGAGCATTATCTAGACTGGCGACCTTGACAGCAGCGAAGGGTCAGCACCCTTGGAAGGTGTTGTCTTTAACTACACTTCTAGTGTACAAAGCATGCCCGATTCATTCATGATTTGGACATTTTATCATCGTTCTAAAATAACATTTTGTGGTAGTAATCTTGGTCTAGTCTCGCAGATGGGAGCCTTGCAAGGCCCACCGATCGCGCCCTCCTATCTTTGCATACGGAGTATGATATTCACAGGCGGCCTACAAGCCACAAAACGCCATCGACTGCCATGAGGATGACAGGGGTTCTCTTCAGCTGATCCGAGGGGAGAAGGGAAACAGCGATGCAGGGTTTTGAAGCAGCCGTTCGAGTCGGGATCAGACACCATTGGACGCGACGCTAGCGGCACACCAGCTAATGGGTAGGCCCTAGGGGAGTAAGTAGGTACTCTAGAGTCTGCAGGTAGGGGTAGGGGCAGGGGTAGGGGTGTTTGGGAGTATTCCTCCGGCTGCCCGCCAATGCAGGAACAATGCATCGGTGCCTGGGGATGCTGCCGATCGGGGGAGAAAGCAGAAACCTTCCCACGTCACGTCGCCCAGCGTCGTAGCGACAGGGGGGCGTGTTTTTGTTTTTCTCCTGCGCATCGGCTGGCTGTGGCACCCAGGATGGAATCGAACAAAACCCTGGCCTAAGTGAGTCAAAATAGAATCAAACAACGTGGCAAACTTCAATAACGTGACACCTCCTACAATCATCAATATAAGGAAGGGTACGGAGGACGGATCCTGGTGTTTAATGAGCAGAGGACTATTGATGAGAGCAGATTGGAAGGACAAAAAGAGAGCAACGCCAGGCACTGGACAAGCGCTGTTGTTGGTGCGTGGGCCGGCGCCCTGGAGCCTTTAGGCCTGGGGGAGCCGCTAACAGGCGTCATCGAAGAGCGGCCGGCACCCGCCTTAACCAAGACAGCTAAGTGTGGGTTGCCACCATGCCCAAAGCGTGCCTAGACGGCCCTGAAAGCAATTTCCGAGGGGGCCTTTGAGTTGGACGTGTTTCTGCCTTCAGCCCGGCCTCCTCTCCACCACCACAACTGGACGCTCCTCTGCTCTCTAGTACTCTACTCTGCTCACACAGACTCTAGAGGACGGATACCACCTCGTCGTGCCACCCCTGCTCGAAAGAAATCTCTCGGTCAAGTCGACTCTCATGTTGCGCGTCCACCGTGGCATCCACCCTCGCGCAGCGTCCAATTGTACGCGCACATCGTAGACTGCGCCTCCGCGCCTTTCTCGGACGGGGTTGGACCTCTACCCGCTCTCTTCCCTGCGGCTAATTGACAATTGACAGGCAAGGCAGCTGGATGAACTGCGCTCGGTCACTCCAGCTCTTCCACCTGGGCCCGACTTCCAATCTTCTCCCTCCTCCACCACCACAACACACCTCACACCTCACATTCCTTTGAGAGAGCAGCAGTTCAACAACCTCAACCACATCGCCATCGAGGCAAGCCTATCGCCAAAACACTGTCTCGTGACAACAGTGTCGTCTCACCCGTACATCCTTCTTCACACACTCGCTTAGCTACATTACTGCTTGTGCCCGTCTTCAGGGGGTCTTTGCGTCGAGTTTTGAAACAACCCACATTCCCAGCCAAGATCGGCTTCGAGCCGTCTACCTTTTCAACCGCCCTGACCTGACCTCGAGACCTCTATCGGACCGGCTTCACAAAACATTCTACATCCCATACGCGGGTTGCCAAAGAAGGACGACAAAAGAGCAAAGGAAATAGCAGTGCAGGCCACTGCTGTAAGGAGTGACAAAGAAACTGGTCGCCACGCCCTACTTCACCTGTTGTGCGAGGTTGCAGTCACACCGACAAACACGCCCTGATTTAATCTCACCAGCCGCAACTACACCTTGGCTAATTCGTTCTTACCTCCTGTCTCGTCGTCGACCTTGGATGAGACGTGGCAATCATCACCTGAACGACCCGAGCACCGACATCTTCTCACATTTGTGTTGAAGGACTCGTGCTCTTCTCCTCCCTCCGGCCACTTTGGCACATAAAAACAACTACACAAACATGACTCGATCACTATTTCGCGCCGTCGCCCTGGCTACGGCCATGGTCTTTTGGTCAAGTCCCGTAATCGCTCAGACAGCAACAACTGCCCCTGCGTCGATTACTACACTGGGCTGCTACCAACATCCGAATCCTCTGGTTGAACAAGGAACGTGGACCTTTCAGACTTCTGGCTACTGTCAGACACAATGTGTGGGCCTGAACAAGGCTGTCATGGCCATTACGGGTGGGTCTACGTGTTATTGTGGTGATGAACTCCCGTCTCTTGACCAAGAGGTGGACAAGAGCAAATGTGACTCTCCATGCAATGGGTTTGATCAACAAACTTGTGGTGGATTGGGCTATTGGCAAGTCTATCTCACTGGATTGACCGCCGATATCGACACTGCTCCCAATAGTACTACCATCGCAACGACAGCTCATCCTACCACAACTCAGGCTTCGGACGGCCCATCAACCACACAACCTTCTGTCATAACCAAAGCTGGCCAGACCATCGTTGTAACAGCCTCTTCCGATGCGGATTCAAAATCGTCATCTTCAGGTGGACCCAACAAGGTCGGAATCGCTGTCGGCGTTGTGGTTGGAGTCATTGCTCTCGCTGCAATCATCGGTGGTGTGATTCTGTTCATGAAGCGTCGGAGAAATCGCCAGATCGAAGAGGAGCATCGTCGCAATGCTGCTGTCAGCTCGTTTGTCGGATCCCAAAAGTCGGACAAAACCGACCAGCGACTTGACCCTTCAGTCTTCTCACACCGCCGACCTAGCATTGGAAGTATTGCTGATGAACGCGACTTTTCAAGGAGGATATTGCAGGTAAGTCAGACCGAGTGCTTCCCGCGCACTGGTACTAATGACTTGGCAGGTGCGGAATCCAGATAGGGACTCGAAATCATCGAACTTGGCCTGATTCGATGTTTGCTTTCATCCGGCTTGTTTAATCTTACGGGGACTGGAATGGTCAGAATTGGATGGAATGAAACGCATACCGACGATCCTGAGCCATCGAACACTATCGAATCCTACCCGTCATAATCCTCTATATCGATCTGCATCCCTCCTCTAAACCTTCGAAAGGCGACATTGCCACTGCATACTCCGATCCCGACGTTCCTTTAGCGCAGTTTCAAGCAAGACAGCTCGAAATGATGACGATACTCTGCATTTAAGGCCCTCTTCGGGCTCAATTGCTGCCTCTTGTGTGTTATAAATCCACACGTTTACGCTCCTTTTTTCCTATTAGTGTGACGCATAGCTATGGCGTTGGTGGGTTATGTGTATCGAGCAACTAGCTCTTGGTGCCGACTTCTGGCGTGGAAGGGTCCTCGAGTCTGGCTCGAAAGGTGTGTTGGCAAAAGCGAGGAGGATGCTGCAGGGCTCAGGGCTCGGGGGCTTGCTTATGATCAGGCTGTCGGGGTGGGGAGGCAAGAGAGGATTCCCAGGTCGACTCTGCAATGGTAGTAGCCTGCTTGAGCAGGCTACAGTTGCTTCCAACTTTTATTATTACTTGGTGATGATGGTCACGGGAAGTAGTATGGAAGGGCGTCAAAGAGACCTGGATACTTGGATACCTGGAGGAGGGCGGCGGTGACGATTCCATGGACAGGCACATCATCCAAGGTGCCACAATATGTGAGCAAGGTCAGGTAGTTAGATTCTGTACCACCATCCATCATCACATTATTCGGTGTTTTCGTGACTACGTGAACTATGGAAGCACCAACACCCCATGTCTCCAGAGTTGGATTAACGAGGCATGCATCTGTTCATCTGACTGTCTCTGACTGTCCCCCGGACTCGCCATCACCGCCGTCAGTTGTTCCTGTCAAAGTCGCGCCTCTTGCCTTCTCGTTCATCGTTCGACCATCATCTGGCTTGGTTGCCTGATTCTCTTGGATGGCCGCATGTATCATCTAGTCAAGCTCGACTTCTGCAAGTCTTGTCGTGATGTTGTCTCTCTTCTTTGTAGCGTACTTAGGCTCTAGGTTGATCTCAGGCGCACCGTTGGGGCTTGTGGCTGGCAAGCAATTGCGGCCCGCAGTCTGGAAGACCCCGTCCTAACCCATTGCATCGCTCTCAAAAGGCCTTCCCTGCCGTCTATGCAGCCCGCAGCAAGGCTGGTGTTGCCGCAAGATCAGCCCCCTTCTCACTTCTCTCAGTTCCTTCCGGGAGCACTCAAGCCCACGGATTTCAGGATATCTTTAACACTCCAGCCAGGTCCTCCGGGGACGACTTCGCGCCAGGTCTCGTCTGGAATGCGATCTTCGGTAGGCAGAATGGACCAGTGCGGGCTCGGTTCCGGCTTCAGCCATTTGAAGTCGTCGACCTGGTTCCATTGGTTAGGTGCGGGGTCCGGTCCCGGTACGGCTCCTTGCCCTGACCAGATGAGTTCGGACTGTGCCTTAGTTAGTCTTGTGCATTGATTTATTGCATGGAGAGAAGGAGGCTGGAAAGCTGAGTAGGGGAGCGGGGAGACTGTCTGGTCAGTTGTGAAGATTCTAGACCTACATGGAATTTGGGAAGCTCGGTGAAGCGAATGTTCTTGCAGTCTTCAATGATAGGCCTACTCGAGCAGTAGAGATAAACGTCAACGTTTTCACATTCGTGCATGCGCAACTGGCGACACTTAATCACCAGCACGCTGTTCCTCGCTTTCGTGATGTGTGCCGGGCCTGAAACCGAGCCGCAGAGCAGTAATGATGAAGAGACGACATTGATGGTAAGGCTCGCGAATGGAGCCGTCTCTGTCGTCGGGACGGAAAGATCGACAATACTACCTGTGATCTTTTGTAAAGTGCAAGGGGCTTGAGAGTGGAGCGCTGAAGAGGGGAGGATGATATGGGTGTTCGACTGGTCGGTAATGGAAATTGAGGTCGCGGTGGTCGAGAGGGATGGGGAGTCTTTCTCATGGGCTGCCTCGCCGCCGACTGCTTTGGCTCGATCGATGGTGGATTTTTTGGCAGCTAAGCTCGCCGCCATCTCTTCAAGAGCAGCTGGCTCTCCATCCTCGGCTGTGTCAACGGGCTCGTTCGCCGGTGTGTTGGTAGAGGCTGGGGTATTTGAGAAAGACGAGTTGGGTGAGCGAAGCCCTCCTGGGACAGCGCGGCGTTTCTCGGCGGCTAATTCTGCAGCATCGCTCAAGGATAAGGCCGAAGGACTCTTGGATTTGAAAGAAAATTTCGGTTTGGGTGCAAACGCTTTTCGAGTCTCCTCGAGTCTTTCCTGTAAGGCTTTGATAGCCTGTCATAGTGTGAGCATGAGCACTGTCACCGGCAGACAGACATTGGTCGCCAATATGTACCTCGGCGTATGTTCTTTGGTCATAGGCTGGTAAGTACCCTGAAGCATCCTTGACTTCGTTCGACAGTCGCGTGATCCCGGCCAGACAGTGGTCCGCGGCATCTGCCCGTTCGCCGCCAACGGGGGCCTTTTCTGAGAGGCGGTCCATTCCCTCTTGCAGGGCTAATTGACTCTATCAGCAAAGGTTTCTAGTCTCTGACAGGTACAGGCTCGACCAACCGGTGATTTCTTGCTGGAAGTAGTGGAAGAATCGCTGCTGAGGGGAAAGGTCCCCTCCGCCATGAGACTGCGTTTGAGTCTCCATTGTGGAGGGGTCGGATTAAGCCAGGGAATCAGTCTACTAGAGAGCAAGATGAAGGTACAGATAGACTGGTGTGGGACGAGGTCGAGCAGAGGCAGAGTCAGAGACAGAAGCAATGAGGAGGGGTGAGCGGGAGGAATGAGATGTCGGTAGGTAGTAGGTAGTAGGTAGTAGTAGGTAGTGATGATCGTCACTGAGGGACAAGTTTTGATACTGTAGATGCGGGGGACGGGTGTTAGTAACACGGCTTAAGGTAGGCTAAGCTCCCAGTGTGGAGCCTGATTGGACCAATGCCTGGGACGCGAGGGTGCTTAGAGGCCGCCCGACCTGCCTTAGCAGGAAATCGGCTGGTTAAGTAATCGGCCTGCTAACTGTCTGGTGCCGCCCACCCGTCACCTGCCCGTCAGCCCCTAAGCCAACCTACTGGGGACCTCCCACCACACTACCTCCCGGCCTATTCCAGGCGTTCCAGCCCCTAAACGCGCATCAACCCCAATAATAAATATTTCTGCACAAGCATCATCCTGTTCCTGCGCAGCCTCGCTCGTCCTGCGTATATACCCCGTACATATGTCCTCTCTGTCTTCTCCCACGCCAACTGTCCACGTTCGTTGAGCTTGTAACCTCCACCTCCTCTTCCCCGATCTCCTACCTCACATCACCTCCCTCCTCCTTTCTGCATGGTCATACGCTATTGCGTCCGGCGAGCTTCAACTGTCGCGAATAACAACAAACATGCAGATGTCCGTATATCTAAACCCAAGGGCACACCCCACACGGGGCGCCCACGGTATCGGCGGACGGAAATCACCAGCGAGGAACTCTGCGGTGGGTGTTCCTGGTTCGTATTCTGTATCTCGCGGCTAATGTGTCTCTAGATGACGTCGTCGACCGACTTCGCCCGACCTTACCGGCTCCTCACACATGCGATCTGATCGATATCAACCCCGGCACAGGCAGGTGGTCTCGAAAGCTTCACGCCGTGTTACAACCGCGACGACATGTGCTCGTTGAACCCGCCCTCCCCTCCTATTCCGACCACCTTACCCCGCTGCTAGATGCAAAAAACTCGAAATATCGACACGCTTCACTGCTCGAAGATGCTTTACGACCCGCCAGTGGTCTGTTGTCCAAGCACGTCACGGACCAAGCCAACAACTCAACTGATCTCGCCCAAACCAATTCATCTCTGCTGATAACAGCAAACATGTCTGGGGTAAATCTCAAAACAAGCAACTACTGGGGGACTCAAAGCCGGAAGTTCTTTGACGACCTTTACCTCTCGCTTTGGAGGACTCGCAGTAACATCCATCGGTATGGCCTAGTTCGATTGATGGTGTGGATTCCAGACGACGAGAAAGATGCATACATTCCAAGAACGGTGTCTGCGCGTCGAAAACAGTCTGTGATGCTCGAAGCCAGTCATCATATCGTCGAAGTGGCTGGCACCTCAACTCACACCAAATCCACACGTCTGAGAAGGTGGCCTGACTTAGACCTCGAAGACTCGGCGATTGTTGCAGCAAGAGAAGAAGCCGCCGGATCTAGGACGCCTGCTTCAAGAAGAGACAGGCCTCCGTTGCCACATCTTTTGAGCGTCGAACCCATCCCAAAAGAGATCCGAAAGGTGGAATTTACCACTGATGCGGATTGGGTTCCGAGATTTTTGGAGTTGGAGCAGCGCCTGAGGAGAACAGATGCCGCTTGGTTCAAGAAGTATGGTTACGTCAAATATCCTCCTAGAGGTGGCCTTGCCACGGCTGACCGAAGAGGCTGGCGGGAACTGAGAAGGCGTGCAAGAACTGCGTACAATACTCACATGAAAGCGGTTGGTCTCATCAAGGAAGAACGCGAACTGATCTCAGAGTGGAGGAAGCTTCTGCTGAGCTCGGCCGACCATTCCGTCGAGGAAAAAGAGGAAGAGCAACTAAAGACGCGAGCTTCGTCCCTCGACCTGCGAATCAAGAAGCTCAACAGAACCAATAGGAGTTTCGCAGAGAAAGCCACCGACGACTGCAGGGCCTACGACATGGTTCCGCCAGTGATGGCATGGAATCGTCGTGAAGCAGAGCCATTGATTGTTCAGAACGGCGAATTCGACCCTCGTGATCGACCCATGGCCCTTCTCGATGTGACACCACGCCCAGAGTTCCTCGAACGAATCGACACTCATGACAAGATGGTCTGCTTTGGCCATGTGGTGAGACAACTCGTTCCGTACTTCGCCAAAAGCGTGTCCGAGGGTCTGAAGACGCTGGTCCACGAGAGTATAGACGACTTTGTCGCCACGGTTCCAGGGATCCGTGATGTCACCAAGGGCGGATGGTACGACTTGTCCGCTCTGAGAGTGCGAGCACTTCCGGCCGAGATGTTTGTAGAGATTGCGTTGGCGTATGAGAGATGGCCGTTCCGCCAGTCGACAGAGAGCATCTTGATGTTGGGCGTCGACCCTCAGGCCGCGTACAGTCTGGGCGAGGACGAATGAAATCGAGGCCAATGTGAGATTGATATGGTTATGCATTGCATGAATTACCTTACATTAGATATTGTCAATACTGTATGATGAATGTCAGCATTAAACACCAACACTACATACGGGAACAATATCACATATGCTCCATTATGAAGCCTTGGGTGGTGCTACCACCACTACTTTTGGTGGTTGGTCGTAAGTAAGGTAATGCTATTAGACAACCCATCAGTAATCCGTACTCGTGCTACACGAACGTCACAGTCACAAGACCGACTTGACTGTCGCCGCAACGAACGGTGCAAGCAAGCAAGCGCGGCGAGGAAGGAGAAAGACGCGAGAGGGAGATGGAATGAGAAGGGAGAAGGAAAAAGGGAGCGACAGGACTCACTCGCCAGATAGCGGTCAAACACCAGAATAGTATGAAGAAGATGGATATGGATGGGAAACCGAGCACACCGAGCAGAGGATCCGTACAGTACATGCACATACATGCACAGGTCATTTCCACACCATACACTCTCCTGTCTACCTCGCTGGCCCTGGCCCTGCCCCATGAAAAAGAATGGATTGCATTGCATTGCATCAGTTTGGCCTGGCCGGGCGTAAAGCCCAAGAAGAAAACAGAAAAACAACAGGTCAAAACAGACAGCGGCAACCTCAGATCAGAACCTGGCAGTCTAAACACCCGCAACCCTGACCCCTGGCCCCTGACCTCTGAGCCCCTCTCCCCCAACAGACCCTCGCGTTCAGCCTTTTTGCCTCACACACTCATCAAGAGCACCCAGCCATCCCTCTGCTCAGCCTCATCTGCTTCTCGCCAACATCGCACAGTCGGATCCGCATCCTACCAAAACAGCCCTCACACCATCAGCAGCAGCCATCCTCCTCTTGCAGTCAGTACCTCTGGGCTATCCCCATGCAAAGTCCAGATCCCCAAACCTAGAGGCGTTTGAACGGGATGATGAAATCGGGAGTACGATGGTCGGTCTTCGCGAGAGCATCTCGTGCGTGCTGGCGTTTCGGACCAACTCCCGGTGGCAGCGAACGCGAACGCTTGTAGCTTGCCACAGCAGTATACTCGGTGCCAGTGTTGCCCCGGTAGAGGCCAGAAGCGAGGATCGTGGAGTCACCTTGCGGCGTCGTGTTGCCCCCTCGACTGCTGAACAAGACACAAGAGTTAGATGTTGTCCAGTGCCACAAGCGACAATTCACATCGCCGGCAACTGAGCCATCGTTAGCGAGAACATTGGTATAGGCGCACAGTCGTGCACAATCGTCCGCTGTCGCCGGAGTCGCGACGCTCGCGTTGGTCATGGCCGAGGTCATCTGGGTGGAAGTGAACTGGGAGCTTGAGATGGCTGAAGAGTAATATGTGACGGCGCAGTTGATGAACCAAAGATCGAAACGGCCGGCACGTATGGTGTTGTCTTGGTGATACACCCCGATGAAAGACTCATTGTAGTAGCTGGCCCCAGTTCCGGTACATAGCCCGAGGTTGTATTGCGAGCTCGGTGCCAGGAGGTATGTGGCGTCCACAACATTTGGAGCGGCTGGTGTCAGAAGCCTGGCCGTTCGCACGTTGAAGATCATACTGTTGGGTGCCATTCCACCGGGCGCCGAGCCACCTCCGCTGTTAGAAGTCGTGTAGAGTTGACAATTATGATTTAAAACATCCCAGTACGCCACGGTGCAGTGAGCCGAACCGGCCTGGGTACAGGCATCCATGCAGTACTCGAGAGAATAGGCAGTGGTCTGGCTGTACATACTGCCCGAGTTGGCGTTCATGTAGCATTCGACCTCGTACACCACGGTTGGATTGTTGGCCAACGCAACCTTCTGGTAGTTGTAAGCACCCGGGATAATGGGGTAAGATGCCTGGCTGGTTGAAACAACATTCGAACCGGCACACAAGGTCCCTGTGTTGAGGGCGGCCGAGACCGTTGACGCATACACGGTTGAAGCCAACGATGAGTAATTGGGAGGAACTTGTGTAACACCTAGAGTTGTCGTAGTTGTGGTGGTTGATGTGATTGTGGACGTTGTCGTCGACGTTGTAGTTGTCGGGGTCGTTGTGGGAGTCGTAGTGGTAGTCGTGGTAGTCGTGGCAGCAGCAGTCGTGGTGGTGGTCGTGGTGGTGGTCGTGGTGGTGGTCGTGGTGGTGGTCGTGGTGGTAGACGTGGCAGTGCTGGTAGTGGTGGTACTGGTAGTGGATGCTGTAGAAGTAGTTGTTAGTAACGTGGTAGAACTTGTAGAAAATGACGATGTGGAAGAAGTGGAAGTAGAAGTGGTCGAAGTCGTGCTCGGAGTAGATGTGATCGATGTCGTGCTCGTTGTGGTAGTGCTACTTGACGTTGACGTAGTCGCGGAAGTAGTCGAAGTAGTCGATGCGGTAGAAGTACTCGAAGTAGTAGTAGACGCGGTAGAAGTACTCGCAGTAGTAGTTGATGTGGTAGAAGTACTCGAGGTTGTAGTTGATGTTGTAGAAGCACTCGAAGTACTTGAACTGGTTGGGCTAGTGGTCGACGTAGTCGACGTCGTACTGGATGCAGTGGAGGCAGTCGAAGTAGCGGTCGCCGTAGTAGTAACGCTGCTTGTAGGACTCGATGTAGATGTCGTCGACGTGGTTGAAGAGCTACTCGACGTGGAACTGGTTGACGTCGTACTGGATGCAGAAGAAGTAGTCGAAGTAGCGGTTGACGTAGTAGTAGTGGTAGTGCCACTTGTCGCACTCGATGTAGACGGCGTTGACGTTGTGGAAGTGCTGCTCGATATGGAAGTGGTCGACGTCGTACTCGATGTTGTTGAAGTACTGGTCGTACCGCTCGATGTTGACGAGACAGTCGAGGTGGTAGAGGTGGTTGAAGGAGTACTCGACGTTGTGGAAGTGCTCGTCGTCATCGTGGTAGTTGTTGTTGCAGCAATGGTCGACGTAGTACTTGTACTTGTAGTGGTCACAATCGTCGTTGTCGTGGACGTGGACGTGGACGTGGACGTGGACGTGGACGTGGTGGCAGCCGACGTAACCGTTGTCGTGCTTGTACTTGTCTGACCAGCCCCAGAAGTCGTCGAGACCGTGGTAACTGTTATTCCGAGGGGTTAGCCTCTACTCAGTAATATTGAGTCTGAATCCGGAAGACCTACCAGAAGTGGTCGACGAAGTCGTTGTGGGAGAGCTCGAGCCTGCAAAAAGACGCGTCAGTAGGATGGTTTACACGATTGTGGATTGAAATGACAGAATTTGCGTTCGAAGGGACTGTTTCTCAAGCGCGACTCGTTCAAGCCACGTACCCGCCGTAGTGGAAAGCGTAATCGTAGAAGTCTGCGTAGATAGACTCGTGGTTGTTGTAGTCGACGTGCCTGTAGTGGCTATCGAAGTAGAACTCGACGAAGGACTTGTCGAGAATCTGGTGGCCCCTGAAGTCTGAGTGCTACCTGTCGTCGTTGATGACGCCAGACCAGTGGTAGAGCTCGTGAACAAGCTTGTTGTCGAGGATGTGCTGGTGGAAGAGACTGTAGAACTGGTTGTGCTGACTGAAGAAGTACTCGTCGAGGAGCTGCCCGTTGACGACACCAGACCAGTAGAAGAGCTAGTTAACATGCTTGTTGTCGATGATGTGCTGGTTGAAGAGAATGTAGCACCGGTTGTGCTAACTGAAGAAGTACTCGTCGAGGAGCTGCCCGTTGACGACACCGAACCAGTAGAAGAGCTAGTTAACAAGCTTGTTGTCGATGATGTGCTGGTGGAAGAGAATGTAGCACCGGTTGTGCTGACTGAAGTACTCGTCGAGGAGCTGCCCGTTGACGAAGGACCTATTGAAGAAGTACTGGCCGAGGGAGAACTGGTTGAGAAGGTACTCATCGAAGCACTCGTTGAGGGCGTACTCGTTGAAGAACTGCTCTGCAAGCTTGTCCCAGTCGTCAATGTGCTCGTTGGAGACTGACTCAAGCTTGTGCTAATTGTAGTTGCAGGAGTCGTAGTCGTCTGTGAACTTCCAGTCGATGTTATCCCCAGGGCTTGTGATGATGTAGACGATGCACTGGAAGCCGTGGTGCTTGTAGGTGCAGTGGTAGTGGTAGTGGTAGTGGTAGTGGTAGTGGTAGTTGATGCCGTTGTCTGGGCAGTGGTTCCAGGTTGATTGCTTTGCGTTGTCCCTGCGGCCGTGGATGCCGATGTGGTCTGAGTACTACTTGTCGTAGGTACTCCAGTTGTACCGGAGGACGAAGAAGATGTGGAGGAAAACGGAGACGAACTCGAAGTGACAGCTTGAGACGTACCTGAGGATGAACTGGACGAGCTTGTGCCACTTGATATAGGAGTGGTCGTGGACGTAAGTCCTGTGCTCGTGCTCATACTCGTCGTCGATGTCACACCGATGACCGCACTCGTGGTGGTGCTTGATAGAGCGACCTGTGACGACGTAGTCGGCGAGATCGATGAAGTCGTCGAGCTGGTTGTAGTGCCCGACCCAAGACTTGAGGTGGTAGCAGCTGGTGTGGTTGTTGGATTCAATAAAGAAGTACTCGATGACGACGCAAACAAGGCCGAAGAACTTGTGGAGGTAGCAATACGAGACGTACCGGAACTTGAAGTTGCACCAGTAGTTGAAGAGCTGCTGGTGCTGGAAGACGACCCCACAACCGCAGATTGCGTTGAGGATTGTGTTGTCGTCGGAGCGGAACTGCTCGTTGATCCGCCAGCCGTCGTGAGCGACGAGCTTGAAGCCGAAAATGTCGTGGGCGTTGAGGTTGTGACCACGGTCGTAGTAGGTGACGAGGGGCTCGTCGTTGAACCACTGCTTGGGGACAGGGAGGAAGTGCTTGGGACAGGGACAGAAGTGGATGAAGTAGGGGAGGAAGACACTATACCTGCTGAAGTACTTGAGACAGAGCTCGCCAAACCTTGAGTCGTCGTGCTTGTACTCTGGCCAGCCACTGAAGTAGTGCTTGAACCACCAGCAGGTCCGTTGCTCGTTCCAGATGAGGACGAGGCAGGGCTAGTCTGACTTCCGGACGGCGACAGCGTGCTCGTTGTCCCAACTACTGCCGCCGAACTAGACATTCCAGTCGTCACTCCAGCGGAGCTGGAGGAAACTCTGCTGGTGGTCACCGCGGCACTCTGCTGTGTGGACGTGGTCGAAGAAGTGCTGCCAAGCACATAACTGGTCGAGGTCGAGGTCGTGCTTGATGATGCAAGGCCTACATAAGTCGAAGAGGTCGCCGCTGAGATAACCGGGCTGACGGTGGATGTTGTCGTTGCCAGGGTTGGATTGGTGGACGACGTGAGGGGGCCAGCGGTGGGCGAAGACACTAAACTCGTGGCTGCGGACGTCGTAGAGCTTGACGGCGACGGAGGAATGGGAGACGAGGACGCCGGCGTGGGCGCGCTCGTCGGTGGAGCCAGAGGAGACGTAGTAGTGGATTCGGCAGGCGGCGGTTCAGGAGTTGTAGTCAGTGTAGGGCTTGCCGTGTCCGGGCTGGTCGTTGTGTCGGATGTTGTAGTGGTGTCTGGAACCGGCGAAGTCGTCGTACTTTCCGGGCCGGTGGGTGTCGTCGTCGAGGAGGTCTCCACGGCTGAATTTGTATAGTCCACCGGACAGGCCGCAGCGGCTATACCGCCCAACGTCACCACGTAACAGTCGTCTCTCGGGGGATAAGGGAATCCAGCATATACTAAAGAGTCGCCACATTGGTAGAACGTTGCAGGACCCCGATCCGTTCTATTCCACCCAAGGATACCGTCGTCGAAGTAAAAGGTCGTGTTAAAGTCGTTGATCCAAGGCACCGCAGTGATTGGCACGTAGAAGTCGCTGAAGTTGCGTCCAACGGACTCATTGCCAGAGATCAGCTCGCCCTGTGACAAATACCATCTTGTTGCGAAGCCGCAGTTGTTTCCCGATCCTCCATCATCTCCTTGAAGCAGTCCTGCGGGCTGGGGACCATCCAAGGCCGAGCTGGGCGCGGCAGTGGCTGCTTGTCGCTTCACTTTTGCGCCAGGGCCTCCAAACGCGATGCCGACCATGACAGGCGACGTCGCTGGGATATCAGTCTGCACTCCACTTTGAAGACCTTCACCTAGCGTGAAGGTTGGTTGGGTAATTGTGACCGTGACAGTATTACCCTGTGAGTCAACAGATGTCGAGAGCAACACAGGCGGTGGTGTTGGCGTCGTCATCGGAGCCGGAACAGGGCTGTAAATCGTTGGGGGAGCCGTAGGAAATCCAGAAGTCGTTGCAATCGAGCTCGGAGTCGGAGTCGGAGTCATGCTCGACATCGAGGTCGAGCCCAAGGAGGAACTCAACGACCCACTGGTGACGACCGGTCCATTCGTCTCACTGCTGGAGCCAATGTTCGATGAGCTTCCTGGCATCGAGGAACTCGAAGAAGGGTTAACCACGGTGGTGACGGTAGAGACTATGGTGGTTGTGATATATGTATTTTGAATGTACGTCGTGGGAGCATTGCCGATGGTGATTGTTTCCCCATTGCCAAAGATGTTGACGACCTGCGACGCTGACTGAAAGAAGGAGCTGTAGTAGACTGGCTGTACAATAACACTCGTGACCAAAGGAGCCGGGCATGGTCCACCAGGTCCATAGGTAACGGTTGCCACCGCCTGGCCGTTAGCCACTGCTAGTCGCAGGGCTAGACAGGGGAGAAAAAGGAGCGACGAAGATGGCCGCATGATGGGCCTTGAAGTTTTGAAAACAAGCCTGGATCGCCAATGGAGGACCGCAGAATTTGGAACTAAACGAGTGACTGTGAAGATGGAAAGGGAAAAGGACAGTAGATGTTGCCGGCTTTTGAGGAGTCACGACTGGCTCACGCGAGATCATAACAAAAGGATCAGAATGCAGCATTCCATCCATGATGCCCATCTCGACCGTCAGCGCACAGACACCAAAGTGCGGGAATTCGGGGGACGGTCTGATGGAATGAAGGAATTTCCCCCCGATTGATCAGGCATGATTTGCAGACGCGCCGAAGCTTTGAAGGATTGCCAACCAATCTGGACCTGATCTGGCACCTACCCTTGAAATTCCTACCTGAAGTAACCGTTGATTACTGCCCTACATCAGCGAGCTTTTAAGAGTATGCATAGCATAGCAACAGAGACTCCGGGAATCCAGAAACTCGGTGGCAAGTGAGGGTGAATAACATAAATTCAGAGCGTCATGAAGAGTGTGTCCAACGTGGCCATCCCGATTCTTATCTTGGTCTCACTTTCAGTCGGGGGTACCACAAATTGGCCGACAAGACAGCAGGTCGATAAGTACAGAGCACGTCTCGTGACGGATAGAGATGGCGGACTCGCCTTAGTCGTCCGTGCGGAACGGGCGCGAAACGCAACGCAACGCAACGCGCTTTGAATCTGGGGCACGCGTGCCCAACATTGAGGCTCTCATTCTAGCAACATACCATACAGCGAGCAGCCAGCCTCTTTGATTTAGCGAGTGTCCTTGGGACGCATGATTCAGAAGGACCACGCCTGATAGGCGAGAAAGCTGCTGCCTACTCCGGGGACTTTGCACATAAGATAAGTCAAAACGTACCTGGTAGGGAGCAGTAGTGGATGTAGGTCAGTGATGGAGTATGAGGTACAGAGTCTAGCAGCATCAAAATAAGGTTGTGGAACTAAACCTCTTTCAGCTAGACCGTCAACATGGGCTGCTTATCAGGTGACATGATGTCATGGCCAGTCACTTTGTCCGATATGGTCCCCGGACCCTACTACTCCGTACCTAGCAATTACGCCTTATCCGTACTCGTACTGTGGCTGGTAGTGGTGGTAGTAGCATCCGACGTCTGTAGTACTACTACCTACTTACTACTAGCACCGCTCGCTCCTTCACCCCCTGTCAGAGAGGAGATATTGGCGCCTCCCCCGAATCCTGTTTCATGTTGTTTCCTGCTTTCCGCTCCACTTCCTTCCCGATGTCCCTAGTCGCCTTGTTTTTTTGAAATCTCGTTCGCCGCGCGCATGTCCCCCCGTATCTTCTCCTAGCCGCGCCCTTACTGCTCTGAACGGACCTGCTATCACCCTGGACCAGGCCATTCAAGCTACATTCGCATTGTCGATGAGCCTGTTGATGCTCGATACATAGCCACCGGTTGGTAGGCATTCTTGCATGAGAGTCGAGACAGTCCACTTTTGCTGACCTTCTCAGCCTCAATGTACACCAACTTCGACATGGCCTTCATCTTCCTTGCCTCCGCGTCCCTGCTCCATCAGGCTCTTGCTTTCCCAACCGAGGTTTCCCCTGAGGAGAAAGCCCTGATAACCTCTGCTCCTACACCCACACTTGCGGTCTATGGATCGTATGCCGCAGTTAGACGGGGCATAGTTGGTGATGTGACCTCGGAACTAGACTCTTATGTCAACTCGATATTTAGCGAGTTAGGGACCGCTATTCCGTCCTACGTCTCCAATGGATTGCTCCCTAACTTGCAAGATTTGCCAACGGGCAGTGCGGTCATGAGCTCGGTAGGAGTCAGCAGTTCCGATCTCGCAGCCTCTCCGACGCAAGTCTTGAATATACCTGGATATGGCAATTGGACCAATGATGGCTGGAATCTGCGGGTACACGGGAATGTGTTCAAGCAGCCGAACATCTCTAACGATACAGTGGACCATTTGGCCAACACCTTCCTCATCGGCACCAGTGTCGCCGACCTGCCACCCTCCCAACAAGACCAGGCTCGCAATCTCACCAGGGAGATCTACGTTGTGCAGCAGGGTAACCAGAATGTCACCATGGATATTCTGCCTGGCCCTGAATTCGGTTCCAGTGGACAGCCCGGGGGAGGCGGTGGGGTGACTGCGGCAGGAGGCGAGCAGGTCGTGACCCTTCCCCACCCGACGACTCCAGAAGGCGACTTTGACGTCTTCATCCCCATCGACAACACATCTTTAGCTCTGACTGCCGGCGTCGGCGATGTGCCTCCACAGAGGCTCAATGTTTATACCCAGGGCACCGACAGTGGCAATGCAACCTCGTACCTCGTCTCCGACCAGGGCCTTACCATCATCAGTGACATTGACGACATCCTTCGCGTCACTAAAATCTACGAACCAAAGGAAGGCTTGCTCAACACCTTCGCACGGCCCTTTACTCCTTGGATGAACATGCCTGACATCTATCGGAACTGGTCTGTCAGCCTGCCCAACATGCATTTCCACTACCTGACTACTACTCCGGAGCAAGTCACTCGCAACTACATGCAGTTCATCTACGACACATACCCCGGTGGCAGCTTCGACACTAGGCCACTCAACTTCAGCGACGTGTCCGCGACCCTGGCCATTCGCAAGTTCCTCCTTGATAGGGTCTTCCAGACCTTCCCGCACCGCAAATTCATCCTGATTGCCGACACCAGCAATTCGGACGTCATGCGTGACTACCCCGAAATGGCGACACAGTACCCTGGCCAGGTGCAATGCATTTTCCTGCGCAATACCTCCGCCACCGACCCTGGCGACAAATTTCCGTACAATACCGAAGGATTCAAGAACCTCAACCAGCAAAGCTACATGTTCTTCAAAGTCCCGGATGATCTTACAGGTTTAGATATCGCTAATGGACAGTGCTATAATGCATCAATCCCGCAAAACCTGACGTTCGGCTATCAGGGCCTTCCCTTTGGAATCAACACAGGCAGCGGGGGAAACGGCAATAAAACATCCAATGGCGCAGAAAGGCTCCTGGGGAGGGACTTTGCTTTTTCCCGAGTTGGGGCCATGGTTTTGCTCGTTCTGGGAGTGATGTCCTTCAATGCCGTATGATATCATACGAGATCAGTATCACTAATCTACATAGACGAAACGAGGACAAAGACATCGAGTCACCCATGGGTTACAACTCAGCTGATTTTGGGCGGAGGACCATAACATTAGCCTAATGACAAGACGATCCTACATCGAAGCCGAAGCATTTTGATACGTATGACTACCAATGCTCCCGGTGGTCTAGCCACGGCTCGGCTGTAGAAGCCCCAAGATGCAAGTAGGAGTACTCCGTACAAAGTACCTGATATCGCGTCCGTCAGAAGTGGGATACGCGTCGCTCTGGTCGAGAAACTAGGTGTAGGTGTAAGTGTCTCTGAGCCTTCGCGCAAGCCCGGGCCAAGCACTGCTCTGCTTCATTGCACGCCTACGCCTACGCCTTCCGTGTCGAGAGCTGGGTTAATATAGGTTATTCAAATGCTCTCTCGTCTTGTGAGATGTTTTAAAGCGGCGTCAATATGGAAGAACACGTGCCCGAGCAGGTGCTCGGTGTTTGGATGACTAAGTTATATTACATCATCACGCCCGGCGATCCTAATCCTGGCCCGCCCCGTCAACAACGCAACCTGCAACATCCCACAATCCCCACGCGTGGTTCGTATTTCGCATTTCGCATTTCGCGTCAGGATTTGCCTTGCTTGATCAACCCACTCAGCATTGTTCCGCACCATTCCCCGGCAGATTCCACGCACCTCAGAGCGCAGCTCTGCGAGCACGCGCTCCCAGTTCGGGACTCAGCTGCAGCTCGTCGGCGCCCACCCACCACACCATGCCACGCCCGCCACTTCGACGCCGACAGCTCAGCCGCGCAGGGCCCCCACCTCGCATTGGCAAAAAGGTCCCTAGCAGTACTCCAGCCCGACTGGAATTGGAAAAGAAGCTGGCGCATAAACCCACCGGTCAAAGGCCGAACGATAGCGACGACAGTGATCGACTCGTTGTTAAAGGGAATGGCAGACGGGGCCGAAACGTACCGAGGCAGGAGATCTATGCTTCGGGTGCCGTGGGAAAAGGTGATAAACCCGGCAATCATCCCAGCAGAGCCCAGCGAAGGAGAAACATGACAAGAGTTACCAATGAGATCCTCGCGCAAACTCAGCAGGATGCTCGGACAAGCAACCCCTCTTCCACCGAGCAGCCTCCGCAAAGGTCACCCGTCGCGAGTGGCGATACCAACAGAGCCACAAGCACACAATCTCCGAAACCTGTACCTCCTCGAGTATACTCTTCCGCTACAAAGCCTCCAGCAAGTATCCTGCGGTCTGCACTGCCTACGCCAACGAGAGAAAACTCCATCTTGGGGACTCTAAAGCCCAGGCGAAGGCAGCCCAGCATCTTACAGGCGCTTGAACACGACTCATCTACCTTCGACCTTGAGGATGAAGAGCAATTTCTTCCTGATGCGGAGTCAACTCCCATGAACCCTGCCCGATCTCGTACCATTTCTTCAACACCTGCCACGAACTCGTCGCATGTCTCCTCCTCAAAGAAGCGTAAGCTAAGCTCAGTCAACATCTTCCAGCCGAGCGTAGTTGACGTTCTCCCGAAACCGACAGCTTCACCTGTCGCGCGATCGCGCGATACAACTGGAACGCCTGAGCCATCTCTTCCCCCGGCGGCCGTATCTGCACTTCGGAAATCACGCCGAAACTCGCTAGATAAAGCTGGCAACGAAGATATCATGGCCCTTCCTGAGAGCAGTTCATCACTTTCACTGTCGCCAGTCAAAACGAAGACCCGTGCAATGACCAGAAAGTCGAGGAAGAAAGCCACCAAGCCAGCGCCTATCATGGCTACGGAAGAACTACAAGCCTTAATGATGCCTAGGAAACGACGAAGAACTGCTCGAACACGTACCCGACTGCTGGGCGAGTTTGACATTGCTCCCGATTCTGATACTGATGATTCCGAGCACATCGACCTGCCCAACGGAGGGGATGAATCGAGCTTCCTTCCAGCGACAAAGGGGCGCAAACTCCGACGAAAAGTTCCGGTGGTGAAATCTTTGAATACACAGGACAATGCCCGTGGCGGCACCAGATCTGGCAACGTGGACAAGCAGGGCCATTCTGCAGTCGCTGGCAAATCCTCAAAATCAAATACAAGTACGAGACACCTCATCGCTACCAAAGCGCCTGTCCTGGCGCCCTTTTCACCTACTTCTACCAGATGGAATCATTCAACTAAATCTCCCTTGCAGCTTTCCGTCGTCGACTCTTCGAATCTAAACTCAAACCGGGCGATCAAGCATGGCCAGAGAAAACAAGGAGGCAAGTCGAAGCATCTTGGTGGCTCCCTCCGCGGAGAGCAGGGTCCTTCAGTAGGTGGCGCCGACAAAGAAAATTTAGATCCTGGTGATGGATTGCTGGGCAAGACCGTGATTGAAGATGTCCAGGCAGGTTCAATGTCAGCCGAAGTTGCAGGCACAATCAAAGATAAGATTGACGGCGACAAGAGCAAATCAACCGCTACCATGAAGGGAAAATGGGCAGATATAGATGCCTGGGATCTGGATTTTGAGGACGTGGAGGTCATGACAGGATCGAGTAGTCCTTCTCCCATGCGACGGTGAGCAGGCATTATAACGGTAGCGGTAGCGGAGATGTTGAACCCGCGTTCAGTTCTCGATAGCGCTTTTACATAGAGACGGAATGATATGCGATGCTGATCTGGCAAGCGATGACTCCCCATGTACCCATGTACCAGCAGCCGCATTACCGACAAAAGGCAGACGCCCCAAGGCTGGTTGATGCCAACCGTGAAAACCTGGAGAAGGCTGCAGTACTCGTAGTACTAATACTCTTCCGTACAGCTAGTTGCTGGGCTAAGGAGGCTCCTCCAGTGCTTCACCGTAGCGAGTAGTAAGGTACCTAAAAGTAATTACCCTATAATAGGTAGGCATTAACAACGATATTACTCCCGCCCGTAGAATGCTGCCCGCAGTTGCAGTTTGAGTGACTTCAACCAATACTAGTAAACACAGTATTGAGTCCACCGACCATCCTCAGCCTCTCTTTGCCTCTTCGATTAACCTCCATCCCTCGCATCCCTCTCATCGTCCTGCGAACCCTCCGTACGGTCGACGGCGCTCTTCAATTCTACCATCCACAAGACCGCTCGTCGTCGATCTGCGCCCGTCCTTCCACATGGCAGCGTCGTGATTGAGGACAACCAAGGCACCCCCCTGTCCCTTTAGGCACCATGGACAAGGTCTTGGACGAAAGCACCGCCCTCGACCCTGTCCTAATCGTTCAAGATCCAGGACAATATGACAAACTCGCGGCGGCTCTGTCGTCCAAACTCAAGAAGATCCCAGCAGAGGACCTAGCAGCGACGCAGGACATTCTTACTGTATGACCTATACCGCATGAGGCTTTCGGGAAGCTGATCATGATCTAGACTGTTTCGCCAACTGCTCATACGATTGTCTACCTGTACGCTTTGTTGGCAACCATTGAAGCCTCCTCTGGCACTGGGAAAGTTGCTCCTCGAGAAATACCACCTGCCGTTCTTCCAGAAGGACTGTTATGGCCTCATATTCTTCGCATATTGCTTGAGTTTGATCCAATCCAGGTGCGGTATTGCGGAGCCCAGTTGCTACGCCTGGTCGATTACGTTGCCTCGGGTGCAGAACAAACCTCAAACTACATACCTGCCATACAACTCCTCCATCATGTCATCCTCAGGCTCGACAGTACATCGTCCACTCTCACTTCCACCCATCGTTCCTTTGTCCGCCTTTGTCTGCTCTCCCAGGCATACATGGAAGCCATTGATATTCTGGACAGACCAATCTATCACATCCCAACGTCCCTAGTCGATCAGCGCACATATAAATCCCTCTGCACTAGCTCTGACCCAACTTGGACATACCTGAACTCGGCCACTGGCCTAACACACCCACTCTCGAGTCGAAGTTATCTTGAGTACTATCTCTTGGGGGGGATGTGCTACATGGCTGTGAAGCGTTACAAGGATGCCTTATTTTTTCTGGAGGTAGTGATCACGGCCCCGGTAGTCCAAAATATTGCAAGCTCAGTCATGGTTGAGGCATACAAGAAATGGCTACTTGTCGGTCTCTTATTGACAGGTGTCGCGCCCACAATACCACAAAGCGCAAGTCAATCCGCCATGAAGCATATCCGGGCGGTAGCCAAGCCGTATGAGTGCATTGCCGACGCCTTCAAAAGCGGCCATGCTGAGAAGTTACGCGCGGAAATTGAGGCGGGCGACAATATCTGGCAAGACGAATGCAACTACGGCCTCATCGTCGAAGTCTTCCAGGCTTTCCGGAAGTTCTCGGTTCTAAGACTCGGCAGCACGTTTGTTGCACTCTCTGTCGCCGAAGTTGCCAAAAGAACATCACCCGAGCCGACAAACTTGGACGAGACGAGATCCTATCTCCAAAATCTGATAGCCAGTGGCGAGATCAAAGCAGAAATCTCAGACCCTGACGGCAACAAAGACCAGATTTTGCGGTTCCATCCTGGTCTAGCTTCGTCCAAGTCTGAAATGGAAGTGGAGGCCAACTTGGCTGCCCAGACGCGGCAGCTGCAAAGCCTGCTCGGCCATGTTCAGGATGCTGAGCATCGAATGGAGGTTACGAAAGAATACATTGAATATCTGAAGAAGCTGAAGAAGGTAAAAGATGAAGAGAAGAAGAACAGCGGACCCGGAAATGGACGGACGGCGACCGCGGACGACATTGATGAGGACATGATGGAAGAATATTAGGAGTTCTATCTCCCAGCCGCAAAGAGGCAGAAGACCAAGCACTGAAGAGTCCAGCTCCCACGATTGGTGGACACGGGGCCTCGATCATCGCCGGCCGTGCGTGCGGACAACATTTCTACAAACTTAACAGTACGACAACTCTGGCGATCTGGAAAGTCGTGTGCGCTACCTCGAAGCCGCCACGGCATCCACAGGTGCGGGCGGTCTTGGAGCAATTGGAATGGAACGATGGAACGAGAGCGAGAGATGATGGCGATGACGGGAAATCGTCGATTGATGATACATTCCACGCGTCCATGCGATTTTGCTAGCAAGCGATCGGCGTCGATTTGCCGCTTAGTTCGAGTTAATGCCATAGACTGGAAGATCAGGCAATGACCTGGCCGTCATGCCACTAAAGGACATAATATTTGTTGTTGGTGGCCAAAGGTGTCAGTATCAAGGTCACGGAGCCAGCGTACAGATACGCAAGTGGCCAGGACCACAACTACCTAGTAGCCAGCCGCGGACTTGGATATGGGGCAACGCATACTGATATTTCTTGTAGCTACCTACAAATAATGTTATCGTGCTCCAATCCACACCTGCTGAGCTATATATCTCGACACTACCAGGGCCGGGCTCGGGGATAAACAAGATGACCTCCTTCCGAAACCGAGTCAGCTTGAGCAGAGAAGGAACTAGCCTCGTCGGACCAGCTGCTTGCAATCCCCCTTCAAAGGGAAATTGCGGTCAAGAGCTGGTTGCAGACTGGTGCAAACGCAATACGCCGCCATACAACGCCGTCCAAACGAAAGATGGTCGGATGAATGATGAAATGCTGATTCGACAAGCGTATGGACACAAATGACACACATTCCTCTTGGCTGTAGGGTCAATTTTCGCAGGCAATTATGCGGTGGCGCTTGCCCCGGTATCCGTTGTCGCGGTCACCCTTTCAATCTCGATCTTGGGCATCTGTGCCGAAGCGCTGCCCAGGTCTGTGGCCTTCGCTTTGGGACTTTCGTGATTGTTAGCAACTGAGCCTGCGATAGAGGAATGCAAGACTTACTTCTTCTGGTAGTAGTTCGAGATGGCGGATTTAATGGCGTCCTCAGCCAGCATGGAACAATGCAGCTTGACAGGCGGAAGACACAACTCTTTGGCAATCTCTGTGTTTCGGATCTTCCCTGCTTGTTCGAGGGTCATGCCTCGAACGAGTTCGGTCAGGTACGACGAGGAGGCGATGGCTGAGCCGCAGCCAAACGTCTTGAACTTGACATCGGAGATGGTCTGGGTGTCAGGGTCGACTTTGATCTGCAATTTCATCACATCACCGCAAGCTGGGGCGCCAACAAGACCTAGAGGAGGAAAAATCAATGTTAGTAACCGTGGCCATAGTATTGAGCGTCGTTAACCGAAGCTCGGGATCTCCGGGGAGCGATGTCGGACATAAGCCCAGAATTGGAATTACTCACCGGTCCCAACATCTACAGCACCCTTGTCCATGGAACCGACATTTCGAGGGTTCGAGTAATGATCCAACACTTTTTCATGGTATGATCGTCTCTGCGACGGCCGCGAAACAGCTGGTCTGAGGAATGGCGAGGCAGTCTGGGAGGCGAGAGAGGGTCGGACGGAGATTTGGACCGAGGAGGCGACGGTGCGAGGGACGCTCAACAGAGCTCGTCGAGACATCATGACTGCGTGTTCTGATTCTGGTTCTGGTTCTGGTTCGGGCTGCTCGATGGGTGGCACAGTTGATTGTAGTTTGCAAGAGTGAGTCGTAGGTTGTCGGGATTTATTCTGAGGTCTGCGCAGGATAAATGATTGATTACAGAAGGAGGGGGACGCAAGGCTTTCCTGAATGGCCATAATTCACGTGATATCCGCGCTAGTCTGCTCTGGGTCATGACGTCGTTATCTCCGTCCCGGCTTCCGATTTCGATCTAACTCCGTCCAGAGTAAACGCTGCAGCGAGGCAAGAGCGCGTCGCAGGTGTACGGAGTATACTGTGCTTCACTGGCAGACAATATCGAGCAGTTGCTGCCTTCTACATGCTCACTGCTTCATTAGACCCATCTTGACCTACTTGACCTACAACGTTCCTCTTCTCCATGGCGTTTTCCTCTAAAAAGCGCAAATCCGCTGCCATTGTGCACGACGATAGTGACGTCGATGCAGATGTCTCGACCAAGCGCGGCAAGGGCATCTCAGGCGTAGCCTTCCAACCAGCGACAAAGCCACAGTCGGACTCTGATGGGAATATTTTCTGGGAGATCTCTAAGAATAGACGCGTAACTCTATCAGATTTCAAAGGCAAGAAGCTGGTTAACATCCGTGAATACTACCAGAAGGACAGCGAATGGTTGCCAGGGAAAAAGGTCAGTTCACGCCTTGTTTCCCAAATGCTGCCTTGCTGATTCCTTTCACCAGGGCATCTCCATGAGCCTCGAACAATATTCCGCCCTCATTGATATCATGCCCCAGGTAGAGGAAGTGCTCAAGCAACAAGGCGAGACAGTACCACGGCCTAATTACAGTGGTAGCGCACAAGCCGCAGAGGAGAATGGTGAGGAAGAAGACGAAGAAGACGAAGAGAAGAAGTTGAAGAAAGAAAATATTGAAGCTACGAGTGATGAAGAAGAATGAAGGCATCTCAATGACAGCTCGTGACGAGTTCAATTCGACTACAACGGAGCACCGACCGAAGCACCTTTTGGCGATGCTACAGAAGGCACCACATTGCTGGTCAAAGTCTAACATGCTGGACATGCTGGACCTAGGCTTAGCCTGTAACTCAGTCGCTTCATGGTATTTATCTTGCAACCCCTTTCGGTGGGCTGTACTAACCTCACAAGATGCTGACTGGGTCAATCTTCACCAACAAGTGTCTAGGGGAGCATTCACGAACTGCTCTCCCATTCGGCCAACCTGCTAGCCAAGCTACCTTTCTTCCAATGCTTTTCATAATCTTCCTTCTGCTCAAGCTTCGATTTTTCACCGGCCTTACCATAGCCGCCGCCGCCAGGTGTCATCTAGAAGACATGTCAGTGCGCCGGTCATGCAAATCACGTTGGTTGGGGCTGAGGGAGAGATGCATACCACGATAATTCTCTCACCAGGCTGCATACTGGCGGTGTTCTTCGCCCCCAAGTTGATATGCCTCCATTCGATTTCGTTATTGTCGCCCTCCTCTCGGCGTTGTCCTTCATGCTCGCCCCCGGTGCCTCCCTTGTTCACTCTCTTGACCTTCCTGACCCAGACGTTCTTCCCACACTGAGCATCGCCTCCACCGTGCAGACCATATGGGTGATATACTCTCCTTTCACTGAGGATGCTCACCTGCACAGGGATTCGGAATTCAATATCTCGAATGACACCATCTCCACCTCGATGTTGTCCGACTCCACCACTCCCGGCCCTGAGACTGAATTCTCTCAATATCACAGGGTACCGTCTTTCGAAGACCTCCGCATCTGTGATTCTGGTGTTCGTCATGTGGGTATGGACGCCACTAGTGCCCTCCCAATCCTTACCGGCACCGCTTCCGCCAGCAATGGTTTCGTAATATCCAAAGCCTTTCTGCGCCGCTCCACCTTTCAGGTTTCCTCCAAAGCCGAAAGTCAGGTTGTTACAGTCGCCTTGACTAGCGGCACAGGCTTCGAAGCATTTGAAGACCACGTCAGTGACGCGTTGGCTCGTCAGCACGTTTCCACCGACAACCGCAGCTTTCTCACTTGGACTGAGAAAACTGCCGCGTGGAATACGCACTTTGACTGGTTTCAAGCATCCCTGATTCAGAGGAATGTCTTGATCAATGAGACACCTAAGGCAATAAATGATGGCAGAGTAGGTCACGGCCTCTGGTGCATTGATATTCCCGTACACCTCAGGGCCGGTGCCCTCGAAGTCGAATACAGCCTCTCCTTTTTCGCCGTCGATGGTGACTCGCAGGGTTATCGGACTACCGTCATCCATGTAGTCCGTAGCTTGGAGATCCTTGCCTTGAAACCGCTTGCTCACGCCCTTCAGTAACTCACGCACGGATCGCTCGGCATTATCCTGAATATTGTGCATATAAAACTGCACGACATCCTCGCCATATTCCTCGATGAGAGCACTGATCAGACCGATGCCCTTTTGGTTCGCAGCGATCTGCGCCTTCAAGTCGTTTAGGTTGTCTGCCAGACAGCGAGTCCCGCTGCACTCTGGATATTGCGCAGGTTCGTCATAGAGGAGCTCTACCATGCGCTTCTCGTTGAAATGGCCCTCGGAAACGAGCTTCTCAGATTTGATCGCCGCGCCCTCCTGGTACAGCTCGCGGGAATGCGGCGGCATCGAGCCCGGTAAGATACCGCCAATGTCCGCGTGGTGGGCTCGCGAGGCCACGTAAAAAATGATCTCTCCGGACGGCGAGAAGGCGGGCGTGACGACTGTGATGTCGGGCAAATGGGTGCCACCGTACTCTGGATGATTCGACACGACCACGTCGCCCTTCTTCAGCCTCCCCTGCCAGATCTCGGCCTGCGTGCGCACACAGGTCGACATGCTGCCTAGGTGGACCGGCAGATGGGGCGCGTTGGCGACCAGGCCACCCGCCGCGTCAAACAGGGCACAGCTATAGTCGAGCCGCTCCTTGACATTCGTCGAGACGGATGTCTTCTGCAGTGCGCGGCCCATCTGTTCTGCGATTGCCATGAAGCGGTGCGCGAAGATGGACAGCAAGATCGGATCCACGTCTTTGGCGTTAGCCTTGTTCCCGGTCCCTTCGTCGCCGATGTTGATCACCACGTGCGTCTCGAGAACCAGTGCCGACGCTCCTGGCGTGACGACAATGGTCTGCGTCCCGTCGGCGATGATTGCGGGCCCGGTCACACGCGTCCCATCCTCCAGGTCCTCGAGTTTGTATATCTTGGTCTCTTTGCGGCCGCCCTCAAAATATACCTGTGATGTCGAATAAGTCTTATCTTCAGCCACATCCTTTGGCTTGATCTCCTTCAGCTGCTGGTCAACCGTCTTCGACATGCCTCTGAAAGACTTGCCGATGCCGCGAACGCGAACGTCATCAACTATAACATCACGGTCCGGGAGCGTGAAGCCGAATTCTTGCTCGTGTTGCCGCACGAACGCATCTCCAAACGCCCAGTCGTCGCCGTTGTAAAGCTCCTTTGCTTCTTCTGCGCGAGGCTTGATCACCATCAGTGCCGACTCGGTCCCACGGTACCGCATGTTCAAGTATTCCTCGTACACGATCGAATCTTGGTCAAACCCTTGGTCTTGCAGCCGCTTCCGAGATCGCTCTCTGAGCTCGGCCATCTTCGCCTTCAATCCGTCTCTAGACCCGCCTTTCATGTCCCAGACATGGGATGCGGGGATTTGACTTTCATCGACGACATCTGCGAGAGCCATGCCGTAGGCTGAGAGGACAGACGAGTACCGGTGAACCAGGATCTGTCTGATGCCAAGTGATTCAGCAATGGCCACGGCGTGTTGGCCTCCAGCGCCACCGAACGTGGCGAGGCGGTGGTGCGAAGTGTCGTGCCCCTTTGCCTCGGTCAGCGATCGGATGGGCCGGGTCATGGTCTCATTGGCGATCTTGATGAAACCGTAAGCCACTTCATCTGCGGACATGTTTGTGTCTGTCTTGCTGTTGATTTCCTGCGTGAGTTCTTCAAAGAGCTTCTGGCTCGCCTCCAGGTTGAGCCCTTCGTTTTCATGTTTGCCGAAGATTTTGGGGAAGAAGTCTGGCAGGAGTCGGCCCAGGAAGAGGTTGGCGTCGGTGACGGTGAGCGGGCCCCCTTTCCTGTAGCAAGCAGGGCCGGGGTGTGCACCCGCTGATTCTGGTCCGACCACGAAGAGGCCATTTCGGAAAAACAACCGCGATCCGCCTCCTGCCGCGACCGTGTTGATGTCTAGCTGCGGAGATTGAATTGTAACACCGGCGGTGGTGGTCTCGAAGACGTGCTCGTAGCGACCAGACCCGTACCTGCTGACGTCTGTGCTGGTGCCGCCCATGTCGAACCCAATGACCGGGATCTTGGTCTCGGGGTCGTAGGACGTCAGGGCATAGCCAACCACACCACCTGCAGGGCCAGACAAGATGGCGCGCAGGCCTGAAAACTTGTCCACATCTACCAGACCGCCGTCGGACTGCATGAACTCGCATCTGGCGCCCCTATCGCCCTTCTCTTTCTTGACGCTCTCGGTACCGAGACCGCCTTCGAAGCCGGCCTGGAATCCGGATATGTATTTCTTGATGGCGGGAGTGAGATAGGCATCTGCACAGGCCGATGTCGCTCTGGGGACCAGCTTGATCATAGGCATCAATTGATGGCTGAGACTCACATGCTGGAAGCCAATCTCATGCGCCAGTCTTCCGACCAGTGCCTCATGGTCGGGAAAGGTGTATCCATGCATCAGGCACACGGCGATGCTGCGGAGACCTTCGTCGTACAAAGCCTGGAGCTGCTCCTTGATCCTGTCCTCGTCCGGGCGCTTCAAGATCCGGACAGCCTCGCCGGAGAGACCCTGGACAAGATCGTTGTCCTTGTAGTCCTCGTGCTTCGCCTCGACCTTTGTCTGGTTCCGCAGGGGGTCTTCTGCATAGTCTTCCAGGGTGACACGTTCATCGATCTCGATGACTTTACGGTACAGCACATCCGGCCTGCGGATGGCGAGGTCGAAGATCTTGGGCCGCGACTGGTTGCCGATTTCCAGACAGTCCTTGAACCCGCGGGTGACCACCATGGCCATCTTCTCGCCCTTGCGCTCCAGCAGCGCGTTGGTGGCGACGGTGGTGCCCATGCGAATGCTTTCGATCTTGCTGGTGTCGAGCGGTTCGCCTCGGGGGATCTGATGGCCCGTGAATTTCTCCATGAGCCTCCGGATCCCCTCCAGCGGCGCATCGTCGTAGTTGCCCGGGTCTTCCGAGAGCAGTTTGATGATGATGTCGTCTTCCATGCGGCCCGTCCCAGGGTTGCCCACGCAGTCTGTAAATGTGCCACCTCGCTACCGCCGGTCAGAATATCTCTTTGACGCTGCCCACAGAACAGACACAGCGACTCGACTCACGTCTATGGCGATGCGGACGCCTCGCTGCCCGGCCTCGGCGTCCCCCATGGCGGCTAGCAGGGTACGATCCAGACGCTCGTGGTGGGTGGGATGGTCAATCAGAATGATACTCTCGATAGGCGGCGGGAGACTTGGAGGTTTCGTGATAGCTTCATCCAAGAAACCCAGAGACGAGTGAGTGGGAGGTTCGGGGATCTGGTCCTGGTCCAACAATGGTGGAGAAGTCCGGCAACGGAAACTGGATAATAAAATGAAGTATTAATAATATTCAAACTCGAATGGTGAGCTTGAAAGATATTGGCCGACTGTCTCTTCTCGAGCAGTCACGAAATGATTCCGATGAAAGGCAGTAAGGTGCCTTGGAATTACTGATGAATTGATTGATTGATTGATTCATGGCCTCGTCATTAATAATGGCCGACCTCGGGATCGGCGCCCATATCTGCGGTCCAAAGGCAGACACTCCGCCATAATATTTTGATATTATTTTTACGGTGGAACAGGGACGTCTCCTGTGTCCCGACTCCCTAGTATGTCCTCCGTACCAGCCACGGGCATCCAGTGTCCAGTGTCCAGTGCCGGACAAGGGGCCGATAGAAATGAATCGTCTCAATGTAATGAATGCATTGCTGGTACCGGGTTATCCCCGCTGAAATCTGCATGGACTTGGAAAGGTGTCAAAACTGGTCAATCATAGTCATCCCAATGGCCCTTAACTCCTCGCTTCAATCAAACGACCAATTTTCGGCGCCGCATATGTCTAGAATCAAGTTCATTATTCTGCATACACCAGCTTGTCATGGTTGCAAACATCACTGCTCTGAGCTCGAGCCTTTGCTGCCCGACGCTCTTTGTGAGCCACGCTCCCCGCCCTTGGTCACGCAGTGCTTGACAATCCAGGGATGTCGAAGGACATCGTCCAGAGGGATTCTCTTCTCAGGGTCAAGAACAAGTAGCTGTTCACATTGGTCAGCATTACTCAAAGCTGAAGAGACATTGGCAGGTGCTTACTCTGTGGATTAGGTCTTTGGCTTCGGTACTCACAAAGCTCGGCACAGTCATGTCGCCTCGAGCAATTCTTCTCTGGGTCATGATTGGCGTATCTTCGAATGGTGCCTCGCCCACCAGAAACTCATAGGTGAGCACGCCTAAGCTCCAGAGGTCGACCTTCTCAGTGTAGAAGTTGTCGGAACTGCCAGGCTTGAGCATCTCCGGTGGAAGGTAATCCAACGTGCCGCACATGGTCTGCCTTCGATTGTTTGGAGCGTGAACCGACCAGCCAAAGTCAGAGACCTTGATCTCACCGTGAATCCCTAACAAGATGTTTTCAGGTTTGATGTCTCGGTGCATGACGTGCTTCTTGTGCAGGTACTTGAGAGCCGCAGCCATCTGCGCAATGTATTGCGCTGCTTTCCACTCGGGAAATCGGTTTTCCTTGCGGAGATGCTTGTAAAGCTCTCCTTTGCCAGCAAACTCGAGGATGAGGAATATTCTTTTGCTGTCGTGGAAATGCCCGAACAGCCGCAGAATGTTGGGGTGCCTCAGGTTGGACTGGATCTCGATTTCGCGCCGAACCTGCTTCTCGACTTTGCCCTGCTGCAGTTCGGATTTGTGCAGGACCTTCAAAGCGCAGACGTATCCCGATGACCTTTCTCTGGCGAGGTAGACACGTCCGAACTTCCCTTTGCCCAGAGGCTTGCCAATCTCGAACATGCCCAGGTGGAACTGTTTGGGAGCTTGCGGCTGGTCAAAGAAGTTCAGCGAGGACACGTGTTGATGCGCTGAATCATTGTTGTCCTTGTCCTCAGTGGTACGCAACGATGCCACAGCTTTCCGCACGGGAGATGGGGGAAGCGTAGGGACTGTTGTCGTGGTTGTGATTGTAGTGATTTGTGCAGCGTTCTGTCTCGATTCGTTCGAGGCCTGGAGAGCATATTTTACTAGGTTTGGTCTCGACGGGTTAGAAGGAAGACTCGCGATGGTTCCTTGACAGGCCGCCTAGAAGGAAAACGCCATCAGAATCGTTGGAAATCTGGCACCACGGGCTAGGTAAAACAAACCTTCGACTTGAGCATAGAGCCTGTTGGTGCTTCATTCTCATCGTGCACTGTGAGATGTTCGAAGCGTGCCTCCAATGTTTTGGTAGCCATGGCGCTGGGAGGATCGAGGTAGTGAAGAGGTCGATTGGAACGATGGGAAAAACGGTCAGTTGCCTGTCGTAGTCGTAGTCGTAGTCGTAGTCGTTGTCCGAGAGGGTTGTCGCTCGCTGGTGTTGAAGTTGCAATGGAAAGAAAGGCGCAGGGTAAATAGTCGACAGTCGGCCAGGCAACCAGTTCCAGCCCAGCTCTGGCCTCCTAAGCCCAGCTCCCCCACCAACTTGACTTGGAGAGTCTTTATCGATACTACTAATCAGTACCACTCCGTACCACTGTTAACTGTCCCAGCCGCGGGGAGACCGGCTTACTGCCTACTAGTCCTCCGTACGTTAACCGCGTTGCTTGGACGAACCAACGGTGCCTGCGAACTCTCAAATACCACTGACCACTGACCACTGACCACTGACCACTGCCGGCAACACTCTCTTATTCCTCCAGTGCGATTGAGAGTCGATGAAAGAGCCAGAGCCTGAGTCTGAGCCTCATCGCACGTTCACAACCTACGACCGCCATGGCGCTCAATGGCCACCAAACTGCCTCCACCAGCGACACCAAGTTCCCCTCTCCCTCTGCCGCTGCTCCACGATGGTTTGCTACCGAGGGATTTCGCGTCACAACGCAGAAATTGCCCATCCTCAAGGCCGGGCCCATAGAAGAGATGACCGAGAAACTCGGCATTGCTCCTCCCGAAATGATCTTCGGCGACAATTTTGTGTCCATCGAACACCCATCGTCCGGTTGGGGGATCAAATTTGATGCCTTCGGGGCTTTGGATCGGGTTGACAAGACAGGAGAAAAGAGGTTGAAGGTAGCATACTCGAAGGAGTGGCAGCAGAGCAGAGAAGACACGCATGATATCAAGGAGGTGGTGAAGCCCTTCGACTGGTCTTACACGACTGACTACAAGGGAGAGCTGGCGCCCCAAGGGCCGCAGTTCCAAGCGTCCACCGAGCCAATCCCCTTGGAGTTATTGAAGAGACCAGATCCCATTTTGTTCTTCGACGATGTGATCCTGTACGAAGACGAGCTGGCCGACAATGGAATCACCATGCTTTCCTGCAAGATCCGGGTCATGCCTGCGCGATTGCTGCTTCTCTGTCGTTTCTTTATGAGACTCGACAATGTCATGTTGCGGCTGCGCGATACCCGCGTCTACATTGACTTTGAGAAGAAGGAAGTGACTCGAGAATATGTTGCCAAGGAGGAGGGTTACGACAAGGTTCGCGACCAGCTGGCAGGCAGGCGAGATGATGTGGCTGCTGTGCTCAGAGACCCCAATCAAGTCGCCAATCTTCTGCCAGTCGTGGAGAAGACGCTCGAACAGGTTGATCTAGCAAAGTGAGGCATTCTGATGTCGTGTCAACGCTATCGCCCCTGAACCAGTCAAACCCATGTGGCGGCTGCCTTTCAACCACCATTCCGCAAGCACCGAGTCCGGCATCCGAACGCTACCACACCGCCAATATGGCCAGAGACTCCTACCATCAGGGGAGTCATGACGGGCAACCTCTCTACTACAACAACAACGCTGGTGGCCTCCTGTGAGAGCTGAACGCCCATTGTGACCACGACAGCTAGATCATTGCTATTGGCAACGGCAGGCAGGGGTCCTGGATGGATGAGGCGCCCGTCACCGTTCCTTCGTTATGTGTGAGGGTACGGAGCACGGATTACGGAGTATATCAAGCTTCATTTGCCAGAGCGTCGGTGGCTTTACGCGTGCAGCATCACGTCGCGCATGTCAGTAGCGCCAAATGCTGGCCTCGCTTAACTTGTCAAAGCTAGCTGATGCTGGGCCAATTGCCTCGCCTGTCTCAGTTCTCGCTTGTTCCCACGGGCCGTGGATGATACAGCACGGCGAGAGATGCCTGAAAGCCACCCGCGGTCGGCCGCCAGGCAATTTCCACATCCTTCAAAAGCGCAATCTTGTGGATATCTCTTCAGCCAATCACATCGCCTTGCCCTCAACCTCCTTTAACCTCCGGTCCCTCTATCCTTCGAGTGAGCAAGCTTTGTCGAAGCCACAATTACAGACACCAACTCCTTCTCAAGCTCACCTATCAATAGGTGACTTGCTGCGCCAACTTCCTAGGGTATTCGTATCGTACACTCAGAGCGTGCAGGATGGAACTGAGCCGTGGCCCGGCGCCCCCCGCAGAGAGAAAATGTATCCTCGCTTCACACTTGAGACTTGATTTCTTGCCTGCTTCCCCTGCGCATCCTGTGCATCTTTGTTGTTGAATCCAAGTCACACAGTTGTTTCACCTCCCCTTTGGTGCCATGGGCACCTCAAGCCCTGCTACAGCCTTTGGGGCCCTGCTGATTGTAATTGCGCGGGTTTGCAATGCGCTGCCCTCGGTCCCCATTGCGACTGATCCCATCTTGAGCACTGCCACAGTCTCGACGGTGGTGCCTTCTCTGGTCACCATCTACTCTGTTGTGCCAGCCACCGGCGCCTCTGATGCCGTACAAACAATTACGACCACAGTAAATGGTCAAGAGACTGTTCTGACAACTTCTGACGGTGCTGTCGCCGGCTCAGTGACCAGCACGATCATCTCAACCATCTTTCTGACAACAGATCAAGTCATCGTTAACACTGTCGGATTTTCAACAATTTTGGGGCCAGACCCGTCAGTTGCAGTAAGTATTGAGGAAGATTTCGAGAGCAGCATGGATGTGTTCGTCGAAGACCGATAGGAGAAGAGCTAGCTGGAGACGCCATCTGCTTCCGTCCGCTGACTGTTTCTTGCAGACCACCGGTCCTGCTGCCACGACTGCTCCCACGACTGCCGAAACTGCATCGGTCACTACTCCAGCGACAACGATTCTCACCCCCGAGGAATCGTCGAGCACTTCGTTTGCCGCCGTCGTGGCCTCAAGTGCTAGCGCGACTACCACCGAAGGTGAAGGCTCAACGTTCATTCCATCCCCAACCATAGCCGCATCCACAACGACGCCTGAATCCAGTGCCAGTGCATCGTCGTCGGATTCTTTATCGTCATCATTGCCGTCAGCCTCCCAGGGACAGGGGCTGTCCACGGGTGTAAAGGCTGGTATCGGCGTGGGAGTAGCCATCGCCGTGATCATTCTGGTCCTCTTGTCCTTCTTCCTCGGTCAGCGCTACTCACGTCGTCGCAATATCACGGCGAACAAAACCTACGACGATTTCAACTCTCCTGGCGGTGAAGACAAGGACGTTTTTCAGGCCGGCCGCCCTTACGAGCATACGAAATCACAACACTCCTCCCGAGGAGAATCGACCGGCAAGGACCACACGTATTCGGAGATGGCTACAGAAGTGGATTCAGAGTTCAGCGGCGCGTCCCATGAAGCCATGGATGCATATTCACCCACCCACCAGGCCGAAGCTAGAGAAATCTCGGCTCTTCCACAAGTGAGGGAAGATGAGCCAATGTACGTCGGGGTGCCCTCGCATATGTCAGGCTCGAAACGTTGGAGCATGAAAGAGTATGAACGGTGACGAAGCCACGGGTTAGGGGGCCCGACGCGTGCCAATGTGTATTACTTCTCGCCGAGGACTTGTACGGAAACTACAGGCTGGTATGATTGGGCAGAGCAAGCTCGTTGTTCATGCCATAATTGAGCTGGATCGCGACAAGAGAGTCACTGCCGTCCACACAAGCCACAACACATTCCGGGATTGAAGTATCCGTGCTACAGGCCTCGACACCCTCAGCGCCAAGATTCCGGCGGAAGCATTCCCTGCAGTCACTCCATGTTGATAGCCTGCCTCACTTGGCAGCGATGCACGCCATCACCCCGACTATTGGTTCAGAGTATTTTGGGCGCGCGGCATTGAGTACGAGAAAAATCCCCTCCTCTGACACAACACCCATCACCACCGTTGATCACTCTTAAACACCGGCCCTGGAAGACAACAGAGTTTGTTTTCTACCAGCAGACGCCAACCAACAACAACGGGCTTCCTGGGCGGGGATGCTTTCCATAGATATGATGGCATCAGTGCTAGATGGGTCCGGAGAGGAAGTTGGAGTGGATTGGACCACGGCATGTGCAGCGGGGGTGTATGTGTGGCCACTGGCCAGGGAGAGGGAGGTCTGGTGCTTCTGAAGGGCAAAGATGGATCGTCGGCTCCTTACCGAGGTGTCAGCGCCAGCAGCGCCCTTGGGCCCGTGTCGAAGGCACTACTAGTCGTGCGGCGTAGACTACTAGAGCTCGCGCAGCCTGATTAGATGTACGGATACAGACTCGGAGTACCTTACGGAGTACAAGTCAGGTGCATGTAGTATAGGGGACTCAATTGGGGTTAGCCTGCCAAGCCCGGCCACCGGCTCTTGTCACGTGACACCACGTGATGGGCGCTAAGGGCTAGAATTGAAGATTGGGCCGACGCCTTCCCGACGACTCTCTCACGCTGTCGACTTTTCACTCTTCCTGATATCGCGGAATACAGGCTTAGATCAACCGCTCCGACCGTCTCTTCCCGTGCGTCCCAGGCTGGTCTGCAGCTGATGGTCCACGATGCCGGCCATGCTGGAGGATCCAGAGTCGCCAGTGATTTACCGGCAATCGGGACCGGCGCCGTACCCAACCTCAGACAACCCGCAGATCCCTTCTTCGATCTTCCCCCGGCCTGTCACTCTCCGCGATCGCGCTACTGTTGCTACTCTGATTCCATTCTTTTCCCCGGATGCGGTGCCCAAGAGGCTCCTCGGCTACCTGGCCGACAATCTCAACCAAGAGATAGAACGTGGCGACACGTATCCCATGATTGACCCTCTGCCCGTGGAAAAATTCGGCCCTTATTGGTTTGGCAATTTCGCGGCGATTATGGTTCTCGGCGACATTGGCGGCGTCGAAGCGGTCGCCGAGATGGATCGCAACGGCGCCGACTGGAACAAACTCTGCCTGGGCAGCTTTTACGTCAAACCCAACTACCCTGGTCGGAGCAGTCATGTGTGCAATGGCGGGTTTCTGGTCACGCCCGCCGCGCGCAACAAAGGGGTCGGCAAATCGATGGGTCAGTGTTACCTAGACTGGGCGCCTCAGTTGGTAAGTCTGACCCTGTGGGAGAAAGCCGACCGGCGGGGCTGATGGTGATGGTCCCTAGGGCTACACATATTCGGTTTTCAACCTCGTATACGAGACAAACACGGCTTCCACCCGGATTTGGGACTCGCTAGGGTTCAAGCGCATTGGACGAGTTCCTGGGTGTGGCCACCTGAAGTCGTCCAGCGAACCGGTCGACGCGATCGTCTACGGCAGAGACCTCAAGGCGGAGGGAGAGACAGATCAATCCGAGGAGCGCTTCGACAAGATTCGCTACTATCTAAGACATCAGCTCTATCCCCAGGGGGCCGATCGGTCGGAGAAAAGCCGACTCAGGAGTGCTGCGACGCACTATAAACTGGTAGGTGGTCAGGAGGGGGTGCCGGAAAAGTTGTTTTTGAAGGACAAGGAAGTCATTTCCGATCCTCAAGCCCAGTACGAAATCGCCAAACAAATCCACGATCAAGCTCACGGGGGGATCAATAAGACCACGGCCATCATTGCGACCAAGTACCACTGGATCCGGATCAAGGAGACAGTCAGCCATGTGATCAAGAACTGCCCGGATTGCAAGGACGTGAACAAGCCGCCGATGATCCGCGCGGAGAACAGACCTGGCCGAAGTAAGACGATCGACGAGGCTCCGGCCACGTTATCGGAAGTAAACCAACCCGCCCCGGCGCCCGAGGTGCAGCCCGCGCCCGAAGAGAGCCTGCCGACAAACGATATACCCAATCACGCGTTCACAGCCATCCAGCAGCCGATGGATCTGGCCGGCGAGCACCTCAGCGACCCCAATGCCCATCTCCACTCGTACGACGAGATGGCGATTGACCCGCAGATCATCGAGCAGATCCAGGCCATGGCCAACGAATATGACCAAAACGCTCACGCCTATGTCCAGGCGGGCATGCCTACGTTTGCGGATCCTTCTCACCTGCAGCCTCATCACGACCCACACGACTTCCACCCTCAGCCGTCGGACCATCCATTTATGAATGACACTAACCAGGCCATGTTAGGCCACGATCATGTCATGAATGACGGAGGACCAGGGACCGGGCTAAGTAATATGCAACCCATGCAACACGTGCTGCCGATGGATTATATTGATCCTTCCTCCAATCCACCGTTCAAACTGGAGCAATAGACAAGATGCCGGCGTTTGGTCATCGGTTGGAGTACGGGCGAGCTGGACCCGGCCATTTCCATGGGTCGAGGCGGAGCGGATTGATTTGAACATATCTAGGGCATGGCATCACAGCCGCAGGCTTCCTTTCTTCTGATGAAGGATACACTTATCGCTACCCGCATGGGTCTTTCCACAGGATCAATAGATGGTTATAGACAAAATGCCACATGGACGGCCAGGGCTCGCCACACTGTAGGCGGGCTGGTCTATACGAAGAAATGAGAAGGAGAATACCAGCCAGAAGACCAGCCAGAATACCAGCAGACAGAATACCTGGTACTACCCGTCGGCATCTCTGACCCCAGCTCGGCCTGACTTGCTAGATTTAGAAGTAGTAGCTGTCTAGAACGTACTAGTGGAGCAGGAGACCAAACTCAGCGTTGTCTGACGGATGATTATCTTGCCAGCCTTACCTCAACACATGACAAGCCTACATTTATTGCCACGTCAGACCGTTGCATTTTATCATTTTATCATTTTATAGCCGCCATTGGACAGATACCCGAGTACCTACTAGGTACCTCAGTACCTTAGTAGATTAGGTACTTACGGTGGTACCTGTCAGGTGCCTGTATCTAACTCACTCCTCACATCTGTCCCCGATACACAATCTCCAATCTTTCCCGAATTGCGTTGGACCCTCTTCGTTGCTCGCTGGTCAGAAGAGAATGGCTTCCCGCAATCCCCGGCACCGCCATGCCCATTGACCATGGACCCCAGCAAGCCCAGCAGGCCTAAGCCCTCCAGACCCCCGGCGCGGTTGAGGACGAAGACCGGCTGCTACAAGTGCCGGGAACGGCGCAAGAAGTGCGACGAACGGCGGCCGATCTGCTCGGCCTGTGAGAGACTGCACATCGACTGTGTATATCGCACGCCATCCACTGCCTCTGGCCTGTCGCCGCCGGCCAGTCACTCCTCTCCTGCGGCTGCGGCTCACTGGCAGTCGCCCGAGTCGATTGTGGCCAGCCCGAGCGATGAGAATGGGAATGCGAATGCGAATGCGAACGCAGAGGCGATGGCGATGGCGATGGTGATAGCAACACCCCCGAGGCCATCTCTGCTATTCCGCCCTGAGGGGCTCCGGACAGAACGCGACTGGAACATGTTTCAGTATTGTTCGACAAGGTACCTTCAGTTGTTGATGGCTCCCGACGCCACGTCTGAATTTCGAGATGTGTCAGCCGTGCTCGCCGCCGGCTTTGAGGTCCCTTGGGTCATGCACGCTGCGCTCGCCCCCGCCGCTCTGCACGCTTCGCACGCTGCGCTGATCCCCAAAGAGGATGCCATCATCTACACGCAAAGTGCACTGCAAGGTCTTCGGCAAGCTGCGCAGAGTTCGGAAAACCAGCCCATTTCGAACGAGTCTTTCCTCGCCGCCTCCCTCTTCCTCGGTGTCTTTGAGGTGCGTTGGACCGGCCACTCTGGACGTGCTTCATGCTTCATGCTAAACCCACGCAGGATTTTTACTCCACTCTTTCAAGTCAGAGCCTGACTCATTATCGAGCCATCGCACGAGTACTGGAAGAACAAGCCGCAGACATTCCTCGTTTCGAACTCGATCGGCTCTCAGTCTTTCACCGGACACTCCTCGATTCCGTCCTCTATCACTTTTCCACCCGGTTGATCTTCGAGCGTGACATCGACGACATCTGCCAATCGTTCCCTAGCCAGACAGTGGCGAAATACATCGAGGCACTGGACGCGGATCGCAAAGCAGGCCGACAGCATGCTTCGATTCTACCTGTCCTGGGGAAAACTCCCCCAGAACTCTTCCTCCTAATTTACCAAATTACATGGCTGAGTAGACAACTGCCGTTTCATCACGGCCATAACTACACGCTCGCTCTACAGTGCTTGACTGAGCTGGGTCATCTTCAGGATACCTGTTCGATCTTCAATAGCAATGATGCGGTCGCAAGCCAATTTGATCACGACACGAGGGCACGCAACTCCACCGTCGCGGGGAAGCTCTACTTCCTGGCAACCCGGATATTCATTGGGAAAGTGCTTGATCCCGGCGGTGTATACAGCGGATCCCCCGAGATCCAGAAGCTCGTCGAGGAGGGCCTGGAACTTCTCAGGGTGTTTGACGGAAGTGCACCCTGTGGACAATTTATCTGCTGGCCGATCCTTGTCTTGGGCTGTGCGGCTTGCCCAATTGCCGCTGCGGAAACGAAACTCAAGCTCCCCCGTGCTCCAGATCAAACACTACGGCTGGAGATGCGGGTATTAATTCAGAGCCAACTCGTACAGATCTGGAAGATTTCTTATTCCGGCTATGTGAGACGCACTGCAAGCGCTCTTGAGAAGATCTGGAAACTTCCCAAACTACTGGCTAAAGTCCCCGGTGGGAGGCGCTCTCGCGATCCTGAAGTGGAATATGATGGTCTCATGGCGTTGATGTCAAAAACTGGAGTAGGAACAGCGTTGCCATTCCAGGAAGATGGCTAGATCCATACTTTATCGGCGGCAACGGTGTCCGTATCAAGAGGACGACTCTTTGTTGAGACAGCCATCAACGACGCGGGCCGCTCGCAGGCACTCCTCATCCCTCATCCGGCTTGTAAAGACTTGAATGGAGCAAGGCGCTCCATCTTGCAGTTCGGGATCATCTAGCCATTTTGTCAGTATACGGAAACCAGCTTGACGGTGCACTCACAATCGGGTCCGCCTTGTCCTGGTGGTATCTTCATGGCGTCCCCATCTTGTTGTTTCGATGCCTTGCCAAACGGGATCACACAAGCTGGGTACTAAGAACGGTCAGTAAACCAGTCGCTCCTCCAAGGGAGGCTGCTCCACTCACATCAAGGAGATTCTCCAAGACGGTATACGGAACCCAGCTGTACGTGTCGTGCGCCACGGCTGTGTTCTGGGCCGCTGGGCTGATCACTGCGTCCAATTTATTGTCCACCCATATTTTTCGCCAGTCCTCCGCGACCTCTTGCCTTTTGACCGTCAAAGCAGCCAGTTTGTGCAACGAGTCAAGGTCTGCAAGACTCGAAGTGAGCGTCTGATCTCCTAATTGAGGTACTCCGGACATTCTCAACACTGAGGGCACCACTGGCTCGCCACTTGCGTCGATTTTGGCCTTGGCCGCTGCGGGTGCCAGCGTGAAGAGGTGCCCTGCGAGCTCCGTCACGTCTGCAACCCGGCATTCCGAGACGTTCAATTCGATCAGTTCATGACCTGCTGCTTGGAGTTTCTTGCAAGCTTCGGCCAGGGCTCTTTTGACAGGCGGATGAAGCGGGTAGAGAGGATCCGCAGGTAGAACCCCCAGTCTCAGCCGGGCCGGAGTATCGTTGTCCAATCGACGCCAGGGGACGTCAAGCACGGTTGAGTCCAGCAGGGCCGGGGTTGAGTCGATGACGGCTTCGGAGAAAATTTGCAGGGCCTCAAAGTCGTTTGCAAGCGGACCGGCAGAAGCAACAATTGGCTTCATGCCAGCAAGTCCCGGGTTTGCCTGCCCTCCGTACGGGATCCGGGAGGAGGTCGGCTTGAAGCCGTATGTGCCGCAGCATAGAGCCGGGATGCGGATTGAGCCGCCGACATCGGTTCCCACCCCCAAGGGCGAGCCTCGGAATGCGATCAGTGCTCCTTCTCCACCGCTGGAGCCACCTGCGTTGAGAGCTGTATTATGAGGATTCAAGGTGCGCCCAAAGACGTTGTTGTCAGAGTCGGCCGTCATGAGCGTTTGGGGAATGTTCGTTTTGACGTATAGGACGGCGCCCAGGCCGAGGAGAGTGTCCACCAGCGGCGAGTTCGCGTCCGACGTCTTTCCCAGGAATGAGACATAACCGATGCAGGCCTCGGTTCCCACCACTTGAAAGCTGTCCTTGATACTGACGGGAAGACCGTGCAATGGTCCGACCAGCTTTCCTTCGCTCCTGCACTGATCAAGATACTTGGCCCGGGCCAGGGCTTGGTCGAAGAAGACTTCTGTGAGACAGGACGTCTGTCCATGGGTGTTAATTCAACAGCGACAGCATACACGGTTGAGGACCACCCACCAGTTGCTGGGCAATAGCAGCTCTCTTGGCAAACGCCGTTGTCACCTCGAGGGACGAAAACTCTCCCGAAGCAAGTTTCGCGAGCAGCTCGACCACCGTATAGTCCTCGGTGATCTTAATCTCGCGGTCAGATAAGAGCCCTGACTTCCGTGGGATGTCCAGGTCGAGAAGCCGGTTGGGGGTCTTGTCCAATGGGAAGACCAACGACTCGAGGATGGAGGGTGGAAGCAGCCACGCAGCGGGAATGGCATCTCGACATTGCTGCTGCTTCTGGGCAACCTTGACTTGCCAGGGGACTTCCTTCCCGGGTTGATCGAGGCTGACACCGACCGATCCCATCTTGATAAGCGGGGGGTGCTGGGTGCTGGATGCTAGGTGCTGTCTCGTTTCCTGCTCTCTAGGGGCCTTGAGGCTATGTCACGACGATTGATACCGCGCCTTTGCCATGGTGGTGATACCGAGCTATATACCGAGCATACTCGACGGGCTTGCGGGGTGGGCCTGAGCGTATCGACTTATCTCGGACTGTAACAATTGACCGAACGCTGGAAACGGAGATGATTGACTGTACGCTATCTAGGATCTGGCGGGTACGTACCTATTCAGTTGCACCTGAGTGGCCATCAACATATCGCCTGTGCGTACGGAGTACTCCTCCTTCCGCGGCCCACCACGGCCAAAAGCCTATCTCTGAAGTATCGCCATGCTATCAGTCGAGTATCTGGCGACAGGTATCGTCTCTGAGTGGGGGAGACTTGTTGAAGTACCTGTCGTCCAAGACTGTCACTGGACGCTTTCTTTCAAGCGGCGTATGTACATACATCGATCGCGCTTCTCCGCCTCAGGCCCCTCAGCCATAGCCTCATTTGCCCCAGATTACCGGCTGCGTCCTCCAATCATACATCTTTGCGACCGGGTTCTGACGATGTTGGGTACCCTAGGGAGCTCTCTGCAGCTGTATACATATGTATAGGCAACCCCGGTCCCGCCGCAAACCCACTACGGTCGTGGGATCGATCCATTTGCCTTTCAGCAACCTCGGTCTCTGGGCTCACCACATAGCATGTCTTCTCTCCTGCAGAAGCTTGCGGCAAGACGCCTGGACTCTTGCAAAGATCAAGCCTGAGAAATGGCTTGAGGGCTTCTCGGAAGAACGTGGGAGATGAACCGTCGTGTAAGGGGTCGAGGCGCTCAAGGTCTGCTAGGGGAGGCATCACCCTCGAATGGTTCCTTGGCCTCCTGGCGACATGACCAAAGACGGCGAGATCGGGACAACGATGAGCTCGGGGAAGCCTTGACGGGAATATCCAGAAGCAGAGCACGCCCTTTCCACGGGGCACGCCTGCGTCAAGCCTCCGCGACTTCCCTGTTGAAGAGTCACCCTCACCATCTATAAACTGGTTTGTCCACCATCCTTCGTTCTTATTCTTCTCTCTTCAGCATGCTTTCTTTTCTATATCAGCCACCACTATTTGAGTTCGAATTTTGAAGCATACTATCAGATGTTGTCCACCTCATTTGATACAGGTCCATCCCAAACTACGCATTCGCACTCTTTGACCACTATGGCAGGCACCACAGGTATGTTCTATGCTCACCACTTTCCACAGCTCTATATTCTAACGAAGCTATATAATAGGAAACGTTGCCATTGTGCTCTCTCCCATGATTGTCTCCTCATTTCTTGTTGCATTCGCATCTCAATGAACAAGGGGACAAGACAAACTCTGTCTCCGCCGTTTCTCTCCTTGTTCATTTCGATAACAGGAGGTCGACCCTTCGGAGTCTGAGATTGTCGGAAAAGAAGAGAACATCAATGGGATCTCGCCTCGACAGTATAGGAACTCGCCTCGATGGGATGGGATCCCGGCTAGACGGCATGGGCACACAATTAAATATCGTTGAAGGATTCTACAAAAGGCAATCAACAGGCAGGGCGTAGCTCGCCCTGATCAGAGGCATTGATCTCTCCGGAAACTGGCCTGACTGCAACTCGCCATTGATTGTGCTATGCTACCCTTTCTGTTGCTCGCTGCTGAATTACTCTGTACCAAATTTATTGATGTCCTTGTTGATATACTACATCTGGGGTAGGCTGACCTGTTGCTGAGCTCCTGATTGATCACGGCCTGACTCTTGGTTGATCCTGGACCTGGAGTCGAGCTACGATCCTTGCCTGGTTACTTTACTGGCCTACTGTCTGATCTCTACCGACCTAATGTCTGATCTCTGATCTCTGATCTCTATAACGACCACTTCGGGGTGGGCACTATACTCCGTAGTAGTAGTACGGAGTAGTACTCAGGATCCGCATAACCCCTGCCAAGACCGGTCCACCGTAGCTGAGACGCAACTCTGCGGCGACGTGCACTGACCTGACTGCAACTGGCACCGCAGGCCCAAGAAAAGTTCCAGGACGGCCAAACAATCCGTCAGAACCCCCCACCACCAACGTTTAACGTTCAACGTTGTGAAAGCAGAGCAGTCGACAGCATCTAGCGCAGGAGAGAAGATGGCGGCATTCGGCGGCCAGACGCCTACGATTATCGTCCTAAAAGAAGGTGAGTGCCTTGCTCCGGCGTGCAGACATTCAATATCAAGTTACACGGGCATCTCAATCTCAGCATGGAACGAAATGCCCACTTTCGTCCCGTATCCCGTGTCCTGTGTCCCGTGTCTCTCTGATCTCGCAATTGGAACATCTACACCGGGCCCTGTTCTTAGGGATGTTATTATGGGAAGGCAAAGGCTAACTTACAACCCGGACATCAGGCACCGATCAATCTCAAGGCAAAGGCCAAGTCATTTCCAACATCAACGCATGCTTAGCCGTCCAAGACACGATCAAGACAACTCTAGGGCCCTATGGCGGCGATTTACTACTCGTGGACGCAAGCGGGAGACAGACCATCACCAACGATGGCGCCACGGTCATGAAGCTCCTCGACGTCGTACACCCGGCGGCGCGCATCTTGGTGGACATTGCGCGGTCGCAGGATGCAGAGGTCGGGGACGGGACGACATCGGTGGTCGTGCTCGCTGGAGAAGTTCTCAAAGAGGTCAAAGAGCTGGTCGAACAAGGAGTCAGCACGCAGACCATCATCAAGGGCCTGAGAAGGGCGTCGGAGATGGCGATCAACAAAATCAAGGAGATTGCCGTGTCTACGCAGGAGGGGAACAAGCGAGAAACCCTACGCAAACTGGCCGCCACGGCGATGAGCAGTAAGCTCATCCACCGCAATGCCGATTTCTTCACAAAGAGTATGTTGGTCCCCGGCCCCTGTAGGCTCGGTCACACGTTGGACTTCTCGTTTACTGACATTGCGGAATAGTGGTTGTCGACGCAGTTCTGTCTCTGGACCAAGATGACCTCAACGAGAAGTTGATCGGGATCAAGAAAATCACCGGCGGCGCGCTCGAAGATTCCCTGTTCGTCGACGGCGTGGCCTTCAAAAAGACCTTTTCATATGCCGGCTTCGAACAGCAACCCAAATCGTTCAAGAACCCCAAGATCGTGTGTTTGAACGTTGAGCTCGAGCTCAAGGCTGAGAAGGACAATGCCGAGGTGCGCGTTGAGCAGGTGTCGGAATACCAAGCCATTGTCGACGCCGAGTGGCAGATTATCTACGATAAGATGGAGGCACTCTACAAGACGGGAGCCAAAGTGGTCCTGAGTCGTTTGCCCATAGGCGACCTTGCGACACAGTACTTTGCCGACCGAGACATCTTCTGCGCCGGACGAGTCGCAGCCGAGGACCTCGAGCGTGTCTGTCAGGCCACAGGCGCCACGGTCCAGAGTACGTGCACCGACATCCAATCGTCGCATCTCGGCACGTGTGGCCTGTTCGAGGAGCGCCAGATCGGCGGCGAGCGGTACAATTTGTTCAGCGACTGCCCGCAGGCCAAGACGTGCACGCTCATCCTGAGGGGCGGCGCCGAACAATTCATCGCCGAAGTTGAGCGTAGTCTGCACGACGCCATCATGATCGTCAAGCGTGCGCTGCGTAACCACACGATCGTGGCCGGCGGCGGCGCCATTGAGATGGAACTGTCGGGCTACCTACACCGGTACGCGGACAAGAACGTGCCGCACAAGCAGCAGGCGGTGGTCAAGGCATTTGCAAAGGCCCTCGAGACTATCCCGCGGCAGCTGTGTGACAATGCGGGCTTCGACGCCACCGACATCCTGAACCGGCTGCGCGTCGAGCACCGCAAGGGCCACGTCTGGGCTGGCGTTGACTTCGACCACGAGGGCGTCCGCAACAACATGGACGCCTTTGTTTGGGAGCCCGCACTCGTCAAGGTCAATGCCATCTCTGCTGCCGTCGAAGCTGCCTGTCTGATCCTCTCCGTCGATGAGACGATCAAAAACGAAGAGAGCCAGGCTCCTCAGGCTCCGCAGAGGGGGTTACCGCCTGGTGCGGCGCAGAGAGCTCTTAGAGGAAGAGGACGGGGGATGCCCAGACGGTAAACCTGGAGACGTTGATTTGGCTTGGGATCTTAAGCGCGTTGAGAAAAGGGAAAATGATATCGACACGATCAATAAGACTGGAAGCAGACGCTGGACGAGTGGCCATGATCGAGGATACCGCCAACGCCGAAGCAGAGTCAATTGCAGACGACAAGTTGACCTCGGCAGACTCGGGACCATCGACGGAGACGGACCAAACGACCTGGAAAGGTGAATAGTTCACTTTGCTGCGTTGTCCTCCTTGATGGAGAGCGGGAAGAGCGAATGGAAGATAGCGAGATGAAAAAAGAGGACTGGGATGCCCGAACCACGTGTCGAGTCGGTTGCTGCTCTTGTCTTGGACTGGCTGTGCATGTCATGTCGCGAGAGGGCGGCAGTGCAGAATGTGAGAAGTGCAAGATGCATTACTGAGTACTGAGTACGGCAAGGCCACCTCGGACGATCGACAAGAATCTACGGCTGTGGCATGGCCCAGAACGGCTGCGGGCACACAGCACGAGGATGAGACGAGTCGATATGAAATGCCATGATCCCCATTACCCACTCTAGGGGTGCTCTACCCGACAAGACAAATGATTCAAAGGAAATGCAAAAGAGTTCTGACCAAGTCCTAAAACATACATCGTAGATCACCTAGATTCATGATTTCTGTCGAATAAGACTGTGACGACGATGATTGATGACGCCGTTGTTGTTGGGTGTTGGGGGCTGCCTGTTGGCATCCTAGTTCGAGCTTTGGGATGACTGATGAAATCCTGTAGCTACTGACTGACTGCATCCTCCCAGAGGGGAAGCTTGACACGGGGCGAATCATTTCCGGAGCGAATCTAAAGCAAGCGGTCCCTACCGGCCAGAATGTTCGATGCCATGGAAAGTGACAGTGTGACAGGTTGCTGGATGGGGGACCAAGGAACAATGATCGCCATGTGACAGATCAGGGGACTCGGGTGAAGACAGGGACAGAACTGACAGGCCGGCAACACAGACAGCATTCATCTAGTGCGGCGGCGTAGCTTCGATGTTGGTCCTTTTGAACAGATCATGGCTTATTTGCAGCCTGCACATGTCTCATCAACAGGAGTCCAGAGATGTGGTCATCGTCAGGAGAGTCAATGAACCACCTGCAGATGTTGCCAGCAGCGCAATAGTCTGGAGTGGCACGGGAGAGATTGCAGGCGCGCAGCATATCGAATTCACAGCTAAGCATTCGTGATCGTCGCGGTGTGGTCGATCTAGTGTGGTCGGTATGTTCGGTTGCGCATGTTGATGCCGCATTCGGAGACTGTCATTCTAGAAATCTGATCATGCCCTGTCGTGACTGAATCAGGCCGAGGGGCTGACAGCCTGCTTTCACCTACCTTGGAGACATTGGAAACAGGGCAAGCTCAATTGGAGTCAAAGAGGCTGCGTCAGAGCTGACCAAAGCGCTTCAGCTGTGTCGGTAGCCGCAAATCATGTGGAGAGGATATGTGATAGAAGATGTGGCGTAGCTGAGCTTGATGCTTGTGTGCTTGACCTTATTGTTCAGGAGGACCCAAGTGGTCCATCTCGCTCCCAGGTGTGTGGCCACGCAAGGGTGACGCTGCCACGTGGGCAATCGATAACATCCCATGCTACTGTCCTTGTAGGACGTGAGCGAGCAAATAGAGGTGCCATCGTCTCTCTGGTTGCAGAAGGCCTCGCTCGGAGGAGGAGGAGGGAGGAGGGAGGAGGTCAGGCAATGTCCCATACGCGGGCTGCATTGCTGAGCTGCATAGCTGAGGTGCAGTCTGCGCGAGCGTTAACCGCAGGCCACTGACAGATACAGTACGCACCCATCCAAAGAGGTGGGTGTGTTGTGCTCGAATTGCTTGTCATTTAATATTGAGGAGATTCCGCCATCTGCAGCATGCAGGGGCCAGGGACAAATCGCCTAGAACTGGAGGGCGTGTTTCCGACCGTTTCACTGGGTTAAGGGCGTGTTGTCTGGACTCTACAGGCCTGAGCCTTAGGAGCCTCCTTAGCCTTCTGCCGAGGGGCGATCGGGGCACAGCCAGTGCCTCATGGTGTCAAATGTCAAAGCAACCGAGAACGGCGGGAAAAGAGAAGCAGCTAGTCACGATAGGCGTTCTCCAGTGTGTACTCCGTAGGCGTAGGTGTAGGCAGGGAGTCGAGGATAGCCGAACGATGGGACGTATGGATGTATTATTGTTGACGGTGGCTTCTGAGGCCTCAGGTACATACCTAACGGATACATAAACACTCGTCAGCTTCAACTTGCCCACCTGCAGGCTTGGCCGCTCACGAGTCGCGCCCACGTCAAGTTCTGAGTACTCAAGTACTACAAACTGGAAGCACACTGCGACGGCTGGCGCAGGCATTCCTGACACCAGCTGGTTATTATTATTGTCTTTACTAATCTCACCCATGCCTCCGCCGCCCTTCAGCTGCTGAGAGCTTTTTGTCCTTCCGCTCAGGCTCCTCTTTGCCGAGACTCGCGAATCAAGACTTGGGAGGCTCAAGACTCCAGCGGTAGCAAGCGCAGGCGACACGTACTACAGTGCGACCGGCATCTCCACCTCCGGACGGCATTTGACCTAAATCCCCCGTCAAAATCGTCTCACCAGCCGCTCTCTCACACCTCGACGTCTCTGATTTTGCCCATATCCTATATCGATCCTGCCTGCTGCGCGACTACGACCACGACCGTTTCCAATCTGAAATGTCCTACTACCCGGGCCAAGGTGGCTACGGTGCTCAACAGCATACCGGCGGTGGTTACGGATACCCTCCAACCCAATCTCCACAGCCATATCCTCCTCAAGGCTATTCTCAAGGCCCATATCCTCCTCAGTCGCACTCGCCACAACCCTACCCTCCGCAGGGTTACGGGGGACCTCCTCCTCAGAGCTATGGCGCTCCTGCCGGCTATAGCAATCCCTCGCCTCAGATAGCTCCATATGGCTATAACAATCCTCCTCCTCAACAAAGCGGAGGCTACGGCGGTTATGGATCGCCTCCTCCACAACCAAATGGATACCCAGGTCTGTCCGTCCTTGTTGGAAGCGTTCGTCTATGATACTCACGCCATGTAGGCCCTCGGCCCGGAATGCCATCGTACAGCACGAACGCTCACTCTCAGGGTGCCTCCAATGGCCCTCGTCCGCCGCCTACGACCCCTCAACAGTTTGGCCATGGTGCCCCTGCGAGTTATAGCTTCCAGTACTCCGCGTGTACAGGAAAGCGAAAAGCATTGCTCATCGGAATCAATTATTTTGGCCAAAGAGGACAGCTGCGAGGATGCATCAACGATGTTAAGAACATGTCCACCTATTTGAACCAGAATTTTGGGTATGCCAGAGAGGATATGGTGATTTTGACGGATGATCAACAAAACCCCATGTCACAACCGACCAAAGCCAATATACTTCGAGCGATGCACTGGTTGGTCAAGGACGCCCGCCCCAACGACTCGTTATTCTTCCATTACAGTGGTCACGGCGGCCAAACCCCCGACTTGGACGGAGATGAGGAAGACGGCTACGACGAAGTAATATATCCGGTCGACTTCAGGACCGCTGGGCATATTGTGGATGACGAAATGCATCGCATCATGGTTAAATCTCTACCTGGAGGAGTCCGACTCACGGCCATCTTCGACTCATGTCACTCCGGGTCGGCCCTCGATCTACCATATATCTATTCCACCCAAGGCGTGCTCAAAGAACCCAACTTGGCCAAAGAAGCAGGCCTGGGGCTGCTGTCTATTGTTTCATCATATGCCCGTGGGGATCTGGGCGGCATGGCTTCGACAGCCATGGGATTATTCAAAAGGGCGGCCACAGGCAATGCCACGTATGAACGCAATAAACAGACCAAGACCAGCCCCGCCGACGTGATCATGTGGTCTGGCAGCAAAGACGAACAAACCAGTCAAGATGCGCAGATCAACGGAGAAGCCACCGGGGCCATGAGCTGGGCGTTTGTGACGGCCCTGAAGAAGAATCCTCATCAGAGCTACGTGCAGCTACTCAACAGCATTCGAGACGAACTGGCCACCAAGTATACGCAAAGACCTCAATTGAGCTGTTCACATCCTTTGAGTAAGTTCTTGTCTCCGGCCTTCTGTTAGAAACATTACATTACTGACTCCTTGACCTCTAGATACCGATCTGTTATATGTCATGTAGGGCCATGGGATATTCTCCAACAAAAAGCAGCCAGCCCTTTTCCTCGACTTGCTTCTTCCACCTTGGACGGCGACTTGATTGCGACAGGCGTTTGTACAGCTCAAACACTGGTTCATCCGGATGACTGGCTCCTTCTCTCGCGCTACGCGTTTCCGACGTGGGGAGGCTGCTCCACGGGGTAAACGACAATAGCAGTTACAGCGGAGATGTTGAGAACATCAATTTGCGACGAGCCAGGCGAGAAAGATTGGGGACGACAGTAATCATGACAGGCACAAGAACAGTGTCAGCACTATGTACAGTTACGATATTACACAACAGATCCGGTCCATTCTCACTGGCTAGAGGGGACGGGCTGTCAGGCTGTACATTGGCATCCAGGGGTGGGCAAATGTGGGATTGAGAGGCAACAAGACGTTCAAAAGGGTCTATAATATCAATGTGAACCAGTGGCAACGTACGTTGTATCCGTATTCCATACTTGTAAATCCAAGGCTGACATTGACCTGAGTCTCGGGGGGAAGGGGGAGGGAAATGTTCACGTGACACGTCGTTTTTCCGTACACATCCGTACATCAGGTACTTTCCTGAAGGTGCCTGCATTACGTACCAGGTACGTACCTATTACTGATAGGTACTAGGTACCTAGAAAGAGGTGTAGCACCTACCACCACCCAGTAGTGGGAGAGCACCGACGACCAGTATCAACAACTGCGACAACTCTCAGTGTCCCTTCGTATAATGTTACTCTCAGCCACCCACTGGTGCCTGGCCCATACCGAGTCCTCCTCGCCACGTCGTCGTTCCCCTCCATCAGTCAAGATGATTCGCCCCCAGCACGCTCCCCTGCAATCATGAAGCCGGATGTCCCTCCCTCCTACGAGAGTGCCGTCAGCCGCGAAGCGTGGACGATCATCGCACCCTGGATCCCTTCCAGCGACCTCTGTTCGGCATGCCTCGTGTCGCAGAAATGGTATTCTATCTTCATTCCCTTCCTATGGGGCGACCCGGCCTCTCACTTCGGCATTGCCAATGACGCCGTCTACGTTGGACTCACCCGCTTCAAAAGAACGCTCCGCAAGGCAAGGTTGAGCGTGAGGAGCCTGACCCATACTCTGCATCTCCCGCCTGCACTGAGCGAGATCTATGGCGGCCCGAATCCCTCCTGGTTACGCGATGTCCTCGAATACCTCCCGAATCTACAAAGCCTCATTGTCAGCCAACTACCATTCTTCGATCACCACAGCCTCAATGCGCTAAGGACCACAAGCAACGCGAGGAAACTGTCAAATGGGGAAGAAAATACGCTGCCTAGCTTTGGCTTGAAACTACTGTTGGCATCCAGCGAGCCAAATACCACATCATCCGCGTTGGCGAATGCATTGCCAAGGTTTCCCAGCCTAGTCTACCTCGATTTATCGTATACCTCGCCAGCTCGTGATGCGGCAGTGCTTGCGGCCCTGTCATATCTACCGGACCTACAAGTGCTCAAATTGCGCGCTGTTGGTCTCAGAGATGGAGAGGCGGAAGTGTTGGCTAATGCGGTTGGAATCCGTGTCCGCCTGTTGGACCTCAGAGATAACCTTCTCACCGACATGGCAGTCAGGTCGTTGATGCAAGCATGCTTCCTGCCGCCTGATGCCCCCCAATTTACTTCTCTCAGTGTGGAAGATTGGCCCGTCGGCATGGCCCCTGGGCCGGACTTTTTCAGCCTTGATACCCTCCGTAGTGAGGAATTCGATCATGAGTTGCTCAAACAACTAACCAATCCACTCACTGGAAGGCTAGCATTTGAGGATATTCCCCACCGGGGCCTCACCCATCTTTACATTTCAGGAAATCGTCTGTCCGTTGAGGGCTTGTCAAGTCTCCTCAAGTCAGAGCGGCTACATATATTTGATGGTGGCTCTGTCGACACCGTCAAAATCATCTCGAGAACTCCCTCTACTACGTCGCCTACTGGTTACATTGATAAAGTGCGCTTTCCCGGTGCTGAAAAACTGATTCCGGTCCTTGCGCAGTCTGCTCGGAAGAACCTGACGTATCTACGTGTTGACCATGCAGTGGTCACGTCGAAATCAGAGGTCACGTCTGATGTCCCGAAGCCCAAAGCGTCTTCGATCGAACTTGCCGGCTCCCAACCACTTGCTGCTGAGCTCCCTTCAGACAGAATTGTGCTGGAAGCACCGGCTTCTGCCCACTACCCTGTAGAAATGCCAGGGTCACATGGACCCATTTTCGAACTCGACGCTACTCCGGCACCACCCAGAGTCGAGCTGATTGGCGACTTGATGTATTTCGCCGTCAGTCCTCCTATAGGAGAGAAGCCACAGGCTCCCAGTCCAGTCATCGAGGTACAGAGTCCCATTAGAGGGGAAGGACCTTATGCCCCGGAGGTAGTCAACCAGAACGGGGGTGGGAATGATCGTGGACATGAAGATCATGTTACTGTGACAGACTCGGAGGTCTCGGATGAGACGGGAACGCAGAGTACATCCAAGTCCTTATTCTCACCAGTCTCCCCCGTGACGCCGCACGGCACGGTGGCTTTTCAGCCATTGATAGCTCCGCCAGAGCCAATATCTGAACAAGGTCAACCTCAACCCCAGCATCCTGAGCCAAATGCCAACCCTCCTCCTCTTCCTACATCCGGGCCTCCTGCATCTCCTCCCTCCCTTCCACCAGCTCCTGTCGCAACGCAACATCGGCAGGCACGGATAGAAGCTCTTCTTTCGAAGCGGCCTCTTGGGTTATCATCCAAGATGATACAGCCAAGCACACCACTTACCAAAGCAATAGTTTCCAATTTGAGCAGTCTACATCCCTGTCTCCTCCCTCACTTGAGGACGTTAGTACTGACCAATGTGCCGACCACCGCATCTACGGCATCCGGAATAGTTGATGCCCTCAAAGCTTTCATATCTGCCTGTGCCGACGAGTCTGCCATATCTCGCCTCCTGGCGAGGACAGACTATTCCCTTCCACCTGGTAAAGCTCGCCACGCTGCCGAGCTGAAACACGCACAGTCCGCTTTTGCCCTGCGCACCATCGTACTAGAAATGGAACAAGCCGGCCCGCAAAAGGTCAACGGCCAACGTGCCTGGCAGCCCTCACGCCAAAATGTCAACATGAGTAAATCTTCGACGGGAGATCGGGATAGCGAGAACCTTTGGTCTGCTGCCGAGAACGACTTTAGTTTCTTTGGCGAGGAGGGTGAAGAGCAGGCAGAATGCGGCATCTACCAACACGACCCGGAGAAATACTTTCCTACAGCGCACTTTGATGACAAGATTCTGTTGACCCCGGATGACAGTCATGCCGAGGGCGGCTCTAGCAGTCCACATGGCAGTGTCTTCGGAAGCCAAGCTCACGGTACGCTCTCACCTTTCTCGATGAACTATACAAGCTCGACCGGCGCGTTGCAAAGTCCTAGGAATCTGCCCCTGGGCCGAAATCGGAGGAGCTCCAATGAGCCGCACCGCAATGGAGACGAGAGGTCAGTCCTCGCCGAAGTGCAGGGCGGGCCTGTCTCGCCGCAATACATGACTGGCAGACTACGTTCTCAGTCACAATCCCACCCTCAAGGGCGGCGGCCACCAACGTCGGACCCAAATCAGACGGAGGAAAGAGAGGATACAGATGAACCGAAGGTCGATGTGGTTTCTGAGCTCGCGGCTTGGAGGAAAGAACGCAAGAAAGCGTACGAGGACGAACTGGCACGATACAAGATGAGCCGAGCCAGAAATGGGCATGGCAGAACGAACAGTCTCCACGACAAGCGCCAGAGCAACGGGCTTCAGGGGTCTGGTCCAAGCTCGTCGCAACAACCAAGAGGGTATGGATATGGATTCGACCATGGCGCCGGGCCGGGTTCGGCAGGCCACAGCCAGGCGCGACCTGTGACGCCCGTTGGTCAAGCCGGCGAAGTGAATGATCTCGACATGAAGTTCGTCGAGGGCCACTGGAACGGGGAGATCAAGGTGATCCGGAATCCGACGCCCAAGGGCCGGACGGGGGTGGTCGATATGTACGGCAATTATTTTGAGAAGGGGTATTTGTACCCGTGAACATAACATCATCCACCATGGTGTCGAGGGATCTGGTGTATGTAACCATGATGACTGATGAAATGCTTTCCATACCGGTGCGATATTGAATGTCCATGCTGAGGCAGAGGCCTCTTCCTTACGACTAACTAGTTGGTGGTTGGTCATGCAGAGAGACTTCTCCGAGTCAAGCCTGGACACATAAATATATTTTCTCTCTCAACAATGGCACACGCACCTATGCAGACACCCAGATTCGGGTCCATCCCATCTATCCATCCGGTCACTCATCCATCTCCCTGTCTCTCCCTCTCACTCCCACTCCCACTCCAACTCCTGTTCTATCGCTCGCTCAGCTCATTGGAGCTCAGCTGGTCCCGTAGGAAGCGCCAGGCCCAGGTCCAGGAAGAAACCCCCAATCCCAAAACCGCGATCGATCTTCGCGCGCCGGTCAAAGCCAGCTCTTTGCCCCCCCAAAAGGACGCCTTTGCTCATGCACCTTGCTTTGCTGTGCCTTGCCTTGCCCCAGTCCTACCTTGCCCTACTAAGTAGATCCTCATGACTCCCGTACCGCAGTAGACAAACAAACAGATCAAAAAACAAAGACACGACGACTGGTCGTATGCGCATGGGACATGTCTTTTCCGTCATCAAAACTAAAGGGAGAAAAAAAAGCGAAACTCTCGTCGCATCGCCCGCTCGCTCATTCGACAGGTCCGGGTGAAAGTGAAAAGCAAAATTCGAAACTCTGGGTTCGATCAGGCTCCCTCGCTTCCAAATTCCGCCGTCCACTCGGCGTTCCGCTTCAGGTCTTCGGCCGACACCGTCGGCCTCGAGGCCTTGAGAGCGCGGATGAAGTCCTTGACGTGCAGAGGCGGCTCGAGCAGCTTGTCAGACTCGACGTCTACCCACGTCATCTCCATGGCACCCGGGTCGCCGGGCGAGCATGGGGTGAGTTTCTCTTGGCCGTCGACCGTGACCTGCATCAACACAAACATGGTCAGTCGAGGTCAAGCGCGGGGGTAATCATGGTTTAGTGGGCTTACCTTCTTATAATGCGTAGCTGTTTGGATCTTCCTCACGGGCTGCATCAGCGCATCTTGCACGGCAATGCTAATGTCACTTCCCGAGTATCCCTCGCTCATATCTGCCAGCGTCTTATAGTCGGCTTGGGACAGCTCGCAGTTGGTGTCTCCGACCGCCAGTTCGAACATGCGCATTCGGGCAGGCTTGTCGGGTAAGGAGATGTGGACTCTGCGCTGGAATCGGCGACGAATGGCCGCGTCCAACTGCCAGGGAATGTTCGTTGCGCCCAGGATCAATACCCCCCTACTGTCGTTGCCCACGCCGTCCATCTGAACCAGTAGTTCTGTCTTGATACGTCGCGAGGCTTCGGATTCGCCTTCCCCGCGGGGCCCGCACAGCGCGTCCACTTCGTCGATGAAGATAATGGCGGGTTTGTTCTCGCGCGCCATATTGAACAACTGCTTGACCAGCCGTTCCGACTCACCCATCCACTTGCTCACCAGATCCGACGAGCTGACGCTGAAGAACGTGCTGTTCGCCTCCGTCGCCACGGCTTTGGCCAGGTACGACTTGCCTGTTCCGGGAGGCCCGTAGAGTAATATTCCCTTCCAAGGTTGTCGTTTGCCTTGAAACAAGTGTGGGAACTTGATGGGGAGAATGACCGCTTCTTTCAATGCCTCCTTCGCTCCTTCCAGTCCTGCCACGTCCTCCCACTTCACGTTTGGCTTGTCCGTCAAAATGGCCCCCGTCAGCTGGCCTCGGAGCTTTTTGCTATCCGCATCTTCGTCGTCCTTATCGCCGCTGTCGGCTTTACCGGCGCCGTTTACCGCCTTCCCATTCACGCCCATAGCGGCGGGTTTCTTGCGATTGCTCGAGTCGTTGGCCTGAATATGTGCTTTTAACTTCTCCGCCCGGTCCATGTACTCGCCAGCCTTGGCCCGGATCATCTCCTTGGATTTCGGGTTCTTTTCCCATTTCAGCGCTAGCATGAATAGCTCCAGTGCCGCATAGTATTGTTGGTACGCTTGGTCGTAGGACCCTGCGGTGTCAAGCTCGATAGCTTTCTTGACCGTATCGATAGCTCGGCCGAGGAAATCGGTGTTGGACATGGCTGGCAAACTTGTGTAGGAGGATGGTTTTCGAGACGGGGAGTGTGTGAAGGGAGTCGGGTGTTGTTGGCGCTGTTGGTGTGTGTGGGTGTGTGGGTGTGTAGCAGGCGAGTAAACAATCGGCGATGAGGTAACGATGATTCTAGAGTTGCGATAGAACGGAGGGGAACGCTTGTGCAGAATGACACGAGACCGAAGGCCAACGACGCACTGTTGACGAGGATCGAGACAGCAGCCCGGTGTCTGGACTGCCTCTGGTGCAGCCACTGATGTAGGAGGAGAGGAGCGTAGTTGGTGGCCAGGGACTTGAGGTGGGATGTAATAGCAGTACTCCGTATCGCCGCCGCTATATCACTGCGTACGGTACCTACCGATATGTAATATTACTCTACTAATGACTGTCCTAATTACCCTAGTACGGATATTCAAGGCTGCTGAACTTGTCTGCCACTAAACAACTGAACCACATTCCTCCTGCTATTCGCCGCACACATTTTGTCTCCTGGTCCTCCCCGGGTCAAATTCAAGGCACCTGTATTCTGGCAGAAGTGCACCATGGAAGAGGACCAGGCAAAACTTCAGGCCCTGTCCGAAACGCTGCAGAAGTTCCAGGACGGTGAGTACCGAGTACCGTAACGCCCTCGGCAACTATTCTCTGTCTAGACATTCCTCAAGGCTCCATCGCTGACCAGACGTCTCGCCCACAGACCTGCAAACCACCATCGACGCTCGCCAGAAACTAGAAGCCCAGCAACAGGAAAACAAGGCCGTGCAGAAAGAATTTGTCTCTCTCGCCGATGATGCCGGCATCTACAAGCTCGTGGGCCCTGTGTTACTGAAACAGGACAAGACCGAGGCCGTGAGCGCAGTCGAGGGCCGGCTGGAGTTTATCGGCAAGGAAATTTCCCGGATAGAGGGGAGGATCCAAGAGTTGCAAGAAGGAAGTGAGAAGAAGAGGGTGGAGTTGTTACAGGTGCAACAGAAATTGCAACTGGCCGCGCAGCAGCAAGCTGGTGGGTGAGAGTCAGAAACAAGACGAAGAGAGGCAGACAGACCAAGGCATACCGAACTATGCCTGATATCCAAGTCGACATGGTCTGCCGAGGCTGCGCCCGCTGACGGACATGATCCCTCTCGATGCCTGGAAACGATAAGAAGTGAATCTCAGAAGATTCACAATTCGCCCCGGAGTCTACCCTGTGGAACTTGCCACGCACTGTCCACCAGAAATAGTGAGCTCGCTCACGGGTCGTTGGATGATCTCTGACAAGTTTGGACGAATTGTCATAGCCTGATAGCAGGTCTGAGAGACATCAAGAAAAAAGAGTTCTGCTGTTTCCTCTGCAGCACATGCCCAGACCCCCTGCCAAAGGGTTGAACCGTCGTCGATACTAATCGGAGGGAACATCGCCGGTGCAGGTACAGTTGCAAAGGACGAGGTTTCCGGTCTGAGAGATCGTGGATCAATACAGAACTGAGAACTGGGCTTGCCGAACATCCTCAGTCATGGTGACAGAAGCTAAGGCAGTAACAGAAGCATACATGACAGTCCAGGAACGCAAAATAAGAATATGACTCCGTGTTCTCCATGTTGTGGTCTAGGAGGATCCCTTGACCATCGTTCATGTGAGACTATATATAGAAGCCCCCTGCGACACAGCGTCCCTCCACCTCATCCCGATCTTATATTACACACCCACACGGCAGCCTCGTAAACCACGTGACTAGGCTGCCAAAGTGCTCTAATAGACTAGTCCTGTTAGGGCCAGGTCAACCTGCCATCCGATTGGCTATAAGTTGCGGATGTCTTGGCGCATATATATTTTTCTGGGTCGAGTTCGAGTTCGACGGCAACCTGGAAATGTCACTGTCCTCTCATCATTCGATGAGTCCAGTTGTTGTGATATAAAACACTGAGGCAGCTACACAGAGATGCCTCGAGAAAAGAAGAAGCGAGGTCGCCGAGACGAGGCTAAAACCAACAAACGAAAAGGAGACGAGACTGTGGACACTGAATCTGCGGCGAAACGGCTCAAATCAGACGGGGCCGACGACGAGCAGGACTACCAGGAGATTGCCATTAGCGGTGATGCCGGAGATGACTACATCGGTTTTGGACTGGAGCCTCCTCCCGATGCCCACGAGCCTCAAGAAGAGGACGTTTTCCATGGACTCCTTGATCCCCAAGAACAGGAATACTACACGAATGTAAACAACAAGATCGTGGCAAACGATTTCGAGTCGGCCGAAGATCGCGCCATCTTCATCGCTGCCGTCCAAAGCGAGACACGGGGCAAAGAACTCAAGGTTGCTTCAAGCCAGTCCTCCTCGAGGTATTTGGAGAAAATCATTATGCTATCGACCGCCGCGCAACTTCGACATTTGTTCAGCAAGTTTCTTGGCCATTTGGCTTATCTCGTCCAACATCGCTTTGGCAGTCACTGCTGCGAGACTCTGTTTAAAGAGGCTGCGAAGCATGTGGGCAAGGAAAGTAGCGAGAGTGGAGGAGAAGACGAAGACGAAGACGAAGAAGCCAATCTTCTTACAATGGAACAGCTTTTCCTGCGGGCTGCCGAAGAGCTGGAGCCAAACATGGGCTATTTGCTGACTGATCGGTTCGCATCTCACACTGTTCGAGTCTTGTTCTTGGTCTTGTCCGGAGAATCCTTGGACGACGCATCGGTGAAGGCCCTGCTTGCAAGTAAAAAGAAAGAGCAGCTTGAGACTCCGATCCATGAGGAGGGGGAGCCGATCCCAAACAAACGGATAGTGCCGAAGACATTTCGAGGCGCGCTCGACAAACTCATCCATAGCGCCATTTCCACCCTCGACACAACGTATCTCAGAGCATTGGCCACACACCCGACCGGGAATCCAGTGCTTCAACTCCTCGTCCGCCTGGAACTTTCGAATGCCGGGAAAACCAAACAGCTTGAGGAAAATTCCGTGTTCAAGAAGTTACTACCCGACGAGGATTTGGAGGACGACACGGAAAGTGCCAAGTTCATTTCGGGCTTGATCTACGATTCAACCGGGTCACATCTGGTTGAGATCTTTGTCCAGAGACTTGCTGGCAAGACCTTCAAGAAGCTCTACAAGAACATTTTGAAGCCACGGATGAGCAGTATGGCCAAAAATGACATTGCAAGCTTTGTTGCCATCCGGATCCTGGAACGGCTTGGCAAAGACGATCTCGCCGAGGCGAAGACTTTGCTCCTGCCTGAGATCCCCATTCTCATCTCTCGCCGAAGGACTGGGTTGATCAAGGCTCTCATTGAGCGATGTGCCGTGCGAGGAGTAGATCTACAAGACCTATCGGAGGCACTCCAAGCAGAGTACGGGAGCGTGGCCGCGGATTTTCTTCCCAAATTGCTCGACTTCAATAATTTGGGGCCGACAGCTGGACCTGAAGACGGCTCCAAACAAAAGGAAAAACGCAGGACGGACGTGCACGATTCATTATTGGCCCAGGCCCTGCTACATGCGCCACAAACTGACAAGGTCGTACAAGACAGCTTACTGGCCGTCGAGATCAGCACGTTGTTACAGATGTGTCAGGATCCCGCTGCCTCACGAGTGGTCCAGACTGCCCTTTCCCCGGCTGGCTCGAACCTGCAGTTTCGTCGACAATTTGTGCCCCGCTTCTACGGGCACATTGCCACGCTGTCGCAAGACCTGACGGGGTCCTACGTGGCAGATGCGTTGTGGACGGCGACAGACGGATTGCATTTCATGAAAGAGCGGCTGGCCCAAGAACTGGCAGGCAGCGAGAGCGACATCCGACAATCGCCGTTTGGTCGGAACGTGTGGAAGAACTGGGCGATGGATTCGTTCCAGCGACGCCCGGCCGAATGGCGGGCGCTGGCGAAGGGGTACGACAAGCAGGAGGCCAAGGGGGAGGTGGCTGTGGCTGGGTCTGTGGCCGGGTCTGCGGCCGGGTCTGGGTCTGCGGCTACGGGCGTGAAGGGCGGAGGCAACCCTCCCACATCGGAGAAGTCGGCAATCCAGCTCGCGCGGGAAAGGCATGCGCAGAAAAAGGTGCAAGGCGCCAAGCATCAGCAAAGGACCCCGGCGAGAGGCGCCAATGCGGTGGTGCCAACCAATGCCTAACAAGGGTGCGGGACATTCTGAATAGTGTGGGTTGGGTGATGGGAGATGGAAGATGGAAGGGGCAGAGTTGGTAGAAATAGGAGATATTGTCCTTCGCCGGCGCACCACCGCACTACGTACAAGTACAATCCTACTACCTACTACCCTACTACCATACTACCTACAATCCTACTGCCCTACTACCATTCTACTCTATAATCTACTAACCATTGCTATTGCTATTGCTATTGCTATTGCTATTGCTATTGCTATTGCGTGACTTGAGGTCCCATGGGTCGTGGATACAACTAATCACCACTTTTGCATTCTATCCTCCCTGAACGGCTCAGCCTCGCGGGCCTAGGACTGGGGCGCGCAGCCTCGTCGAGCGTAGAGCCTCGCGATTGCGTCATCCGCCCAAGATCGAGCGACAGCGAAAATTTCACGACGGCCAACACCAGATGCCGGATGCCAGATCCCAGCCAGGAACCATGTATATATAATGTCACCCTTTTGCTTATTGCATTCTCAACCGCTATTTCCTCTCATTGATCGGCGTGGCGAGTCGGCCTGTGACGACGGTACAGCCTAAGGCCTAAGTCCTGCCGGAATAATATTTATTACGCAGTACTATTACTACTGAATATATCCGTGCGGAGCATACCATACATATATCGATGAGCCATCCAAGATTGTTCTTAGACCACCCATAAAGCGATATTTATATAAAAGATGGCTAGCCCTGGATCGGAAGCACCATCACAACAAAAACAGCAGCAGCAGCAGCAACTCAACGGTGTGGCTGGCGGAGTGATCAACGGCAGCCACAACGGCAGCCACGTCCATGGCGGCGACCTACGTACCAATGGCGGGGGGTTCGACACGTCGTCGCCGTCGCTGTCACGGGCCCAAGAGCTGAAGACGCTCCTGTCGGCCGTGGTGGACCGACTGATCCCGTTCGTGGAAGCCGCGGACGCCGAAGGGCAAGCCCACGAGGCGCGGCAAGCTGTGGGCCAGTCGGCGCTGGTGGACGGGCGGACGGCGGCGGAGCTGCGGACGATCCTGACGGCGGACGGCACGTTGACGCTGCCGGAGCAGGGGACCGGGGCGCGCGGGGTGCTGGCGACGCTGGGGTCGGTGCTGAAGTACAGCGTCAACACGAGCAGCCCGGGGTTTCTGGACAAGCTGTACGGGCCGCCGGTGGCGCCGGGGATCGCGGCGGAGCTGGTGCTCGGGGTGCTGAACACCAACCTGCACGTGTACCAGGTGTCGCCGGCGCTGTCGGTGATCGAGACGCAGGTGGCGCGGGCGCTGGCCGGGCTGTTCGGGCTGACGGGCCCGCGGGTGGGCGGCATCAGCGTGCAGGGCGGCAGCGCCAGCAACCTGACCAGCATCGTGGTGGCGCGCAACACGCTGTTCCCCGAGACCAAGGCGCTGGGCAACGCCGCGGGCGGCCGGTCGCTGGTGCTGTTCACCTCGGAGCACGGCCACTACAGCATCGAAAAGGCGGCCCAGCAGTGCGGCTTCGGCAGCGCCAGCGTCGTCGCCGTGCCCGTCGACCGGGCCACGGGCGCCATGGATCCCGCCGCGCTCGACGCCCTCGTCGTCCGCGAGCAGGCCCGCGGCAACACGCCCTTCTACGTCAACGCCACCGCCGGCACCACCGTGCTCGGCTCCTTCGATCCCTTCCCGGCCATCGCCGCCGTCGCCCGCAAACACCGCCTGTGGCTGCACATCGACGGCGCCTGGGGCGGCAGCTTCGTCTTCAGCGACTCCCTGCGCCGCCGCGCCCTGGCCGGCTCCCACTTGGCCGACAGCATCGCCATCAACCCGCACAAGATGCTCGGCGTCCCCGTCACCTGCAGTTTTCTCCTGCTCAAGGACCTCCGACACGCACACCGAGCCAACACCTTGAGGGCCGGGTATTTGTTTCACGACGAGGCCGACGATGACGATGACGATGGCGAGGACGATGATGCTCGAGACCCGGACGCGCCGGCAACCGCCAACGGACACCTCGACGAGGACAATGGCAATGACGACGACCACCCATGGACGCCGCCCGACGACCTGGCCGATCTCACGCTGCAGTGCGGCCGACGCGGCGACAGCCTGAAATTCCTGTTCGCGTGGCAATACTACGGCAGCGCCGGCTACCGCGCAAAGATCGAGCAGGCCTACTCGGTGGCGCGCCATCTGGCCGACCTGATCGATGCCCACCCCGACCTGGCGCTCGTCAGCACGAACCCGCCGCCGTGTCTGCAAGTGTGCTTCTATTTCGCGCCGGGCGGCAAGCTGGTCCACGGAGTGACTGAGACTGAGACTGAGGCTGGGACCGAGAAAGATGAGGCCCGAACCCGAACCCGAACCGGCAAACGCAACTCGGCGCTCACCAGCCGCATCAGCCAGGCGCTGGTGCCGCGAGGCTTTCTCGTCGACTTTGCTCCGGCCCTGAGCCACGAAGTCGAGAAGGGCTCGTTTTTCCGCGCCGTCGTCAACATCTCCACCACCCGAGCGACGGTCGAGAGACTGGTTGACGAGGTCGTCGCGGCCGGGCGGGCCATTTTGCAGAATCTGTAGTCTGTATTACCCAAGAAGATGTACAGATGCTTGATCATCAGAATCTGAAAGGTCTGTAGACTTATCTGCATTACCCAAGAAGATACAGAGATCTTTGATCATCAGAATCTGAAAGGTCTGTAGATTTAAAGAAGATACACAGATCCTTGATCATCAGCACACAGGATATGAATGGATTGCCAATGGACGCGAGCCATATAAGCATTGTATCAACCTCGGCCGTGCACCGAATCTAACATATAGAGCCAGGCAGAAATAGATATCCCCAACGCTTATTGCAATAAACAGGCTAGCATGCTAATCTGAACAACATAACATATATATCGGCATACGCCTGTACGTATATATATACCTCAAGATACTGGTCATCCGCGACACGACATCGACGGGATCTGTGGTATAATACAAGACAACGGAGTGATGAAGAAGTGTCATATTATGAGATAGAAGAACAGTCAGCCCGGAACGAAAGGGTACAGGTACGGATACTGTACCACAAACAGTAGTAGTCGCACAGCTTGTCACACCCCAAGTCCCATGTCCCCTGTCTCGATCCCGACTGACCCCTGACTCCTGAGCATCCTGCTGCTGGCACGTTTCTTCATGATTGGGTTCCCGCAACCATGATAACGACAAGTCGTTGCATCGCTGCTGAAAGCATCAAATAGTCGTTGGCTACGCCGGTGCCTGCAGATTCCCTACATTGCGCCTGTTGCCCTTTGGTACATGTCAACATGGTCGGGAGGGAACCATCGCCAGCCAGGATCGCGCCGCACAGTCATGCTGGGCCGGGCTGAGCTGCCTCGACCTTCTGCGCGACCCGTCTACACCCCGTCTGGACCACTCGTCGTCCGGCAAGGCTGAGGGACATTCTGCTCACAACTCAAAACATCAATTGCATCTCCTCGACTGGTAAACTAAGTACTGCCAAATAGGTCCCAGCCGATGTCTGCTGAGTTGGGACCAGGAACCGCGCACACCGTCAGAACGCCACATCCTCAATTGCCCAGCTCCCCATTCCCATCTGTACCTCATCCCATACATGTACGCGTGTGTGCGTTCGCATGGACGCACGGCAAGGAGACAAAAGAGATCATGGCCGCACCGCGTCGGAATCCCGCCCCCTCTGTGCTTTTGCTGGTGCTGTACAGGAATCCCCCCCATTTTATGTACAGTGAAACAAGCACGACAAAACCAAAGCATCAAAGACACGATGCAACAGCAAAGATTCAATTGCTTGGAAATCCCGCCCGTGATGTGGCCGCCGTATTCGGAGATCCAGGGCTGGAAGAAAATGAGGCCGAAGTATCCTGCGGAGGCCTCGACATGCTCAAATACTGCCATGGGCCTTGTTCCCGAACGCCAATCCGCTCCGAAGATGATCAGGGCCGCTGGTCATGACAATTGCAATTAGTTTGGGAGTATCAGACCTTGTGTGGCACTAGTTGCAGCTCTCCGCCGTGCCAAACATTCGTCGCATCACGTCCTCTGCATGCCAGGTTGCATGGCGGCAGGATTCGGCATGCCCATGCCATACGGGTTGACATGCTGATTGGAGAATGCATTCGGGTCTTGCATGCCGCCCAGAAACTGGCCAATACCCTGGGCATGCCCCACGGGACAATCTTTGTGACCCATGAGCAGAGTACGAAGGCTCCGGATTTCCTCGTGAAGTTGAGCAACCTGAGTGTTAAGGCTGTCATTCTCGGCAGAGTACATTTCAACTTTCGCTTGAAGGTTGGCCAGCCATTGCTTCTTTCGCTGTCGGCACTTCAGAGCAGCCACACTGTCAATCTGTCAGTACGGGGCACAGCATGGTAGATGGACACCTCGAGGTGCAACTCACCGATTGCGTTCGAGGAAATTCCGTCGCTTTTCTTCGTCCGTCATCTTCTTATTACCGTTGCCGCTGCCGCCGTTGTTGTTGGAATTATTGTTACTGATGCTGCTGCTGCGGGTGCTGTTTTCTTGCTCTTGATCATCCTCGCTGTCATCGTCTTCTTCATGGGGATCAAGAGCGGGGTCCACATTGGCGACTCCCGAATTACCCTTGGCTCGTTTGTTGCTTCCTTTAGGAGTGGCTTCCGTTTTCCTTCGATTATTCGCCGGTTCTGATTTGATGTTCTTCTTGCCACGCCCGCGGGCAGGAGTCTTGGTATCTTCATGGGTTTCCGGGCTGTCAACATCAGGCCCAGATGCAGACGCTCGGCGGTTTCGTTTCTGATCCTGACCATTCCGACCGGTCGGTTGGGCTGGTGCCGGGTTGGGCACTGCGAATTGGTTGTTGGCCTGTCCTCCCTTGGCCAACATAAAAAGGCCATTGGCAGCGTCGGTGGCGTCGTGCTGAGCATCCATATTGCTGGATTGAGGTAGGGGATCCTGTGGGTTGGATGTGTTGGCAAATTGGTTGGTCTTGCTTCGTGCCGCTGCAGTCATGGCAGTGCGATGGAAATCAAGGGTACCAGGAGTGGCACCGCCACTCTGTAAGGAATTAAAGAGTGCTTGAGAATTTGGGCTGGGGGCCGGGAACATCGACCCGCCACCGCCAGGAGTCAACCCAGACCGAAGGGACGACTCGTTGGGGGTAGGGAACCCACGACCGATACTGTCGAAGTAGTCGCCTTGTTGTGGACCGGCCAACATAGCAGGGCTTAAGGGCCCGGAGCGAAGTGAACTTTGCCAGTTGTACCCTCCTGTTGAGCTGGTCCCCGGGATGGCAGGAGAGGTGAGAGAGGCGACGGGAGGTAAGAGGGTTTTACCGGGTGTCTCCGTCGAGGGGACACCAAACGATTGTTCAAAGGGATTGAATTCCTGGCCGATTCCACTCCCGTTGTTGTGCACCGCCGAAAAGTAGTCGGGTGTCTCTGCCGTGTTGGAAGGCGCAGGTCGCGGCGGCGGCGCGAGAGGTTCTGTGACTTGAGCAACAGGCTTCGCGTCTTCGCCCAGCAATGGAGGTTGCGCCTCTGTGAATCATGTCAGTGTCAGTGGCCTAATCAGGACTCGGACTCGGACTGCGCGTGGGCGAGGGCGAGGGCGATGCGTACCTGGTAGTGACGACTTGGCCTGCAATGGTGACGATGTCCCTGCTCAGACGGGGTCAGTCTCCACGTGCCAACAGCGCCTACGAGCGCAGTCTTGATGCATGACGCACTTCTCAATGCGCGGTGGATGATGATTGATGGCAGCGTGGTAGGATGGTTGATGGTGGAAGAAATTTTACTAATAGGGGAAGCGAGAAGGACTAACCTTGTTGATTCACCTGGACTTTCTTATTGTCCATAGGCGACGACGTACGAGACGTTGGGCCAGTGCCCAAATGCTGTTGTGATGGTTGAGTTGCGACTGCGGCGCTTGCCATATTGTCGGGTTGTGGTGAAGCAATACGTAGGTGAGGAAGCAACGTCAGTCGTTGCAGAAGTGACGTCGACAGAGCTGGGAAGGTGCTGGCGCCTCATATACTCTGGTAGGGCGGGCGAGGGAGGGCAGGCTTGGGGGGTGGGAGGCCGGCTAGGGTCTGGCTAGGGTCTTCGTCCGGGCGGCCTGGCAAAGATGGGCGAAAATGAGCCTGCGAATCAGAGACGTGTCAGCAGAGAAGTCGGCATTTCGAGGGCGATCGCCAGCCATCAGATACCCCAGTCGAGTCGCCACTCTATCCACCCAACGATGTGTACGCACTGCACGAGAGTTCACGGAGAAGGGGGTGGCTTACGAGGGATCCCAGGCTGCCTGTCCTTTCGAGGTACTCCGTACGCGGTATTCTGGTCGACTCGGCTCACAGCAGGCGAAGAAGCGAGAGGCCGGTCGCTTGGAAGCTGGCCCAGGTACGCGTGGATGAAGCAGCAAGTTTAGCAGGGCCAAACAATGTGGATGACGTGAGGTTCAACGGGTGAAACCCGCGCAACACCAACACCACTACCACTGCCACTGATTGCGGTGTAGAGCACTACTAGTAGTACTTCTTATTGCACACAGACACAAGGGAAAGGCCCCGGTACCGTCGAATCCTCTACCAGGTCGAGCGAGGGTGGAGGGTGGAGGGTGGAGGGTTCCGTTACTGGGATGTCAACCCGCTTGCAGAGCAAAAGGCTATGAGGTACCACAATGGAAAGGAAACAGTGAGCAGTAAATAGTGACCTCAGAGACAGAGTCGAGGAACAAGTTAATTAGGGAATTTGACGCTGGAAGTACCACACAGCACGATGCGATAGCGTGTTCAACCACAGCGCGCGCAAGAGAGGAAAAAGTAGACGGACTTCTCGCAGTGGCCGCGCCAGGCAGCTTGAAACTCTGACGCAATCCATCTGTTTGGAGCCACTAGAGCCAACCTGCGCCATCCCAATCCTGCCTAGCGGAATGTCAATCCGGCTCGTCAACCTTGCTTTCCATTCACCTTAAATTATTATTGCTTTGTTTCTGCTTCATCATTCGCTTGAGACGAGCCCACCGCACCCGTTGTCAGAATGTGCCTATTTAAGTGTCTGTCCTTGTAGTCGTATACAGATTACTTCGTACTAGGTACCTAGTTACAGACTCGAGCAACTCCCACTCCCACTCCTGTCCCCTGCTACAGCTGTATACATTGGGGACCAGAACGCCGACGTCAAGATATATTCACTATGTACTGATCATAGCGGATGTCCTCCCTGAAAAAAAAGTCTGAGCAGACGCATTATTCGCATTATTAATAATACAGACAATACTAGAGGAACCAGTGGATCCACCGAACCATGACGCAATGTCCAGGTAATAATGACCCAGCACGCACGCACACCTCCTTAACGATGTACCTCATCTCCCAGCGTACGAAGTACCCTAAGGTACCTCGGGCAGGGGATCTTGTCGTTCACCGGCATGGGGAAATTCTCCGTACTGCGGTAATGGTAATCTAAGTCTGCATCTTAGAATCTAGGTCTATTTCGCCCCGCTGAGCAATCGACCGATTGCACTTGGCCTGGGCATTGGGCAATGTAGGGGAAGGCTTAAAGGCCCGCATCACTGCCACGACCAGTGAAGCGTGGACTCGACATGTTCTGGATATTATTGATGTAGTACCAGGCACGCGATGCGTGGTGCCTCAATCTGTCCAGGTCTAATTACGGAGTATTGAGGTTGGGTCCCTCCCAATGCTATTGATACACATGTCTAGACCGGGTGTTAGATAGGTCGCCCAGTCTTGAGCACATATGGTTTGGAAACAACTTGCGATGCATGCAGCCTCGCCTCGCCTCGGCCCTTCAACCCCTGTATTCCAACTCCGAACATCGAACCCTGTCAATGGTTCTGCTCTACTTGTAGAAATCAAACTTGTCAGCTTCCTGCGCTCCCTTGACTTGACTCGAGTAGGCGTCTTCCAGATCTGCTTGAATGATATTGTATCGGTTCTTGCGCACTGCCCGGAGGCCGGCTTCTTGCATGATGGCTGCAATGATGGCCCCGGACAATGGATCATTCCGCACAATCAAAGAGTCGAGATCGACTTCTGGCGATAGCGACATTTTGCTGGCGATTGTGCTGAAGATCAATCGACGTTCTCGACGGTCCCGCAGCGAGGGGAATTCAATCTTTCGATCCAGTCGTCCAGGTCGAAGAAGGGCCGGATCCAGGGTATCTGCTCGATTCGTCGCCATGATGACCTTGACATTACTCGTCTGGTCAAAGCCATCCATCTGGTTGAGCAATTCCAACAGAATACGTTGAACTTCTCGATCTGCGCCAGTCTGTGCGTCGAATCGCTTGGTGGCAATTGCATCGATTTCGTCGATAAAGATGATCGCAGGAGAATTCTCCCGAGCCATGCGAAAGACGTCTCGAACCATTCGAGGCCCTTCACCTAGATACTTCTGCACAAACTCCGAACCAACCACTCTGATAAAGTTGGCAGTGGTGCTGTTGGCCACGGCCTTGACCAACATTGTCTTTCCCGTACCGGGTGGCCCATAAAGCAGAACTCCTCGTGGGGGGTCAATGCCAATCTGTTTATACAAGTCGAAATGGGTCAGGGGTAATTCCACTGCTTCCCGAATTTCCTGCTTTTGCATGTCGAGGCCACCAACATCGGCGTACGTGACATCTGGCTTTTCGTCGGCTCCAAGCATGGCAATAGAGGAATCCGCTTCTGGAGGAAGAATATCGACTAGGGAATTCGAGTGGCGATGGAGGGCAACGGATGAGGAAGGCTTGAGCTTCTCGCGATCGAGGGTTGAGAGGATGCGGACGACATAGTTTGACCCTGTGGATGACTGTACGATACCGGTGCTTTCCAAAATTAGTTTCTGCGACGTGGAAAAGTCCAACAGTCCTTACTTTTGATCAATAGCTTCCATAAACTGGCCGATGACCAGAGGGACACTCTGTATTCGCTTGATCTCTTCCTGTGCGCGCACCAGCTCTCGCTTCAGTGACCTGGAATAATGGTCAGCAGGGCATCCGTCACCTGTGTATGCCTACTACTACCTCTGCTCATCTTTGATATACTCCTCCTGCAACTTGATATACCTGTGTCCGTCAGCTGTGGCGGTCTCGACTCGATGTCAAATGCTCTTACTCCAAGTGCCTCTGCAACCTCTTCAGTGTCGAGTATTCATCACTGCTGTCGGTGCCAACACCTTCTAGGGAGTCAATGTCTGGAATGGAGTCCGAGATGGGCAGTTTCTTGTGAGGCGGGACAGTATGAATCGGATTGTCAACAAGGACGTCGCCCATGGTTCTGTTGAGATCAAGCTCCGTGGAAAACTTGGATAGATGTAGTGAAGGCGGAGAGACCTGATATGGGCCGGGAGAGCAAAACTAACTCTTAAACTAGATGTAGTTGGTAACTGGCAGACCGACCTGGAAATTGTGCATGTCCAGTTGAGCGTTGAAGGCCACCAAAGGAACGCGAAGCCAGAGATATGGCACTAAACCTAAAATGGTTGGTCAGGTGGAAGAACCACCACTGCAGCTTCAAACCATTTAATACGGGATATCCATAGGTACCTATGCACTGAGCTTTAACTTGAATTACTTGTGTAGGTGATTGAATATCAATACTATCACTATGTCGAAGGGGATCTACATCTGCCTCAACACATCGCTTCCCGCGATTGCTCGAACATCGGGCACCCACCACAGTGTCTCTCACCGCTAAGCAACTGGGCTGGACAGCAACCCCCGTTCCGGTAATCCTCGCCCCAACCCCGACTCTACGGCTTGTCCGGTAGGGACATGATCACCCCTGCGGCGGCTCGTAGCAAGAAAGAATCTTCTATAAGAAAGAAGGACTCGAAGCCCGTCACTTCCCCCGTCACCGATCCGAGACTCAGGGGTAATTTCTTCATCCTGATCAAGGACGTGATTGTGGCGGTGATGATTTCTTCTATCACTGCACCTTGAGATTGGAACAAATGTGTGTCCTGACCCGCCATTATGGCTTCGCTCGGGCTTGGAAACGCGCACAGGGAAGGCTGCGCCACAAGTGAGCCGTGGCGCATTCTCAGTTGCTCAAGAGTTGTGCCAACTGACCTGTGGCAAGAGATCGGGACCATCGTAATTCGACAAGGTTACAGCGCACAGTGTGTGACGATAATCAAAGTTGTAACGCATCGAGTCATCGTAGTCATTTGTCGACGATACGTGTAGAGGAGCGTTCGGGCACCTAGTGGGCTTTGCTGGTCGCCAAACGAGGCGATACCCGTAGTATAACGGGCCCAACGCCCGAAAGAGGAGCAATTTTCTGCATCTAGAAAGATTGGGTGATCTATATCAGCACGAAGGTTCCCTGTATTCTGCGAGTGCCTAGTCTGCTACGGAGGGAGGGATGGGCAAGCTCAAGCGCATTTATTGGTGCTGGGATCGGGAAACCAGGCTCACTGGAATGGTTTCTGGCTTGTGACACAACGAGGATTTGTGTCTAAAACCGTTCTGCCTACGAGATGAGGGAACTCCCAGTGCGGATCTGCCAATCAGCGAAACTCTGTCTGCTTCGCAAGAGCATGAGCTGTTGAGCAAGGAACGGCACGGGGACTATGTAAGCTTCTGCGGCGCCTCGAACGTTTCCTCTTCTCTCCTTCCTTCCTACATTTACTTTTAATTATTCCTGTTCTCGCTCTCGGTGGCCTCTGCGGCTGCTCCTTGACCTCATCGATGTCGTGCCAGCCGGCTCGAAGGCTTCTCCTCCCAGGCGATCACCAAGACATCCTCTTTACCTCTTACTTACGAGTCGAACAAACCCCACGACACCCAGCAGGGAATGCAGAGAGGGTCTCGCCTCGCCGGTACAGCCATCTGGAGTTGTTAAATCAACGCAATATGTACCCGAGCAGGGTCGACCGTAGAGGACAAGACCAGCAATTATCCGGATGCCTCCTCTTCTTGCAGCCCTGGCGAAGTCCGCCTCATCAATGTGCAAGCAAGGTGAGATGGAGCGAGCAGCGAGCGCGGGAATCTTGCGTCCAGCTGAGGCAATTCGGTGAGGGACACTGCAATGGTATAGGCGAAAGCGGAGCATTCTTGTCTAAGGAACTTGACGGGGAGCCTAAAAGATGAAAACGAGACTGGTGCGACCCTGTTTTGGCTTTGTGTCGAAACTGTATCGCGAAATACACACCCGGAATCAACACGGCAGTGGTGGCACCTGTGGACTGTCCTTCGGTCACCGACAGGAACAGCGGGCATGGACCGAGTCTCCAAAGCATCTCTACAGCCGAAGGTGAAGATGAAACGTGGTGAGTTCCAGGTTGCAAAGTTCCTGAGCAGTGTCCAGGCTGTCCAAATGGAAAAGTCTCCCTCATGTTCGAATACGACGGTTCTGTCTGACACAGCTTCACCTTCCTCTGGTTTTGTCAGACGGGCGACTTTATCTCCCAGCTGACAAAACCCTGGACCGGACAGGCGTCCCGAGCGTGCTGTTAAGGGGCCCTCCAAGACCAATAGGGATACTCAGAACAGGCTTCCTAGGCATGACCCGCCACCTCTAGCGGGACCAAGGCACACTAGAGCAATCTTTTGGCCTCCTAAGCCCCTCTCGGCGCCCGCTACGGTTGACAAACAGGTTACCCGAGCATTGCCACGTCTCACACCTGCGACCTGCGACCTGCAACCTGCAACCTGCGCTCTCTCCCCCTTCTTGAGTCTCTCGCTCTTCTCCCCCCCAAGCAAGAACGTCCCTTTGTCTAGGCTCCTCTTTTCTCCCTCACAACTTTTCCCTGGCCCGAATCCGACCTTTCACAGTACCGAGTGTTCCTGTGCCCTATTATTCCATCCCAGTCTCGATCCCTTAGGTACTTAGGTACCCTTAGTTGCGTCTGGCCGTTCCCTTGCCAGTGGTCACGCCCAGTATTCACACAATTACACCCCCCCGGCTTCCTCCTACCTGTGACTTTCTTCTCCTGGCTGCCGCACCCATACACGAACAGCAGTCCGACGCATCACCACGTATCAAACCAGACAATCCGCCATCTAATCACATCCACGGTAAGCCTGCTGCCATATCTCTTAACCCTTCCAGTCCATTTCACTCCCCCTGGCACATCTAAGATAGTAGTGAGTGGGTTGTCCTCTCTGTCCCTCTGGCGCCGGTTCGCAACAGCCGGAATCATGAGTACAGCACATGGCTTGCCCACCACATCACCTCCTCTCCTACCACCACCGTCTCCATCGTTAGCGTCCATTTCCCATCAAGATGCTCGATTGAGATCACTGTTGCACGGCCCAAGGTACCCGAGTGGGACTCTCTTGATCCTCGTTGCCGCCTCCTCGCCTCGCTGACTATGGCTAACATCCCCCTCCTCTCCTAGGGCCTCCCCGTTGTCCTCAGCCAGGCGCCCGCCCGAGCTAAGCCGCTTTGGGTACCCCATCCTCAGAGAAATCTCGACGTTCCGATTCGGTTCGCATCCCTCTGCGCTCTGACGATACTCCCCAAACACTGCCAGTCAGGTAAGTCATCCTATCCGATCTCATCGTCTCCTCCTACTATCCTCTCAACACCCTCCGCATCACATGCCCTGGCGCGTCCGATGCCGACCTCACTTCAACCTGCGACGCGTCCTGGTTGCTTGAGGCGCATGCAGTTCGTGCTTCCGTACACAACCATCGACCGGCTTATCCATCCTCACATGCTTAGCCGTCGCGAACCTGTGACGCGAAAAACACTTTCTTGGAGATGGATGCGCGTGTCTTTGAGCTGAGACTGATGACTTTCTTTGCCATAGCCAATGGATGACCGGACCGCGCCCAAGCCATGAACCCTTGGCTCTCCGATCCCTCCTCGACTCCAAACAATCATGTTGGCTTTGGAGGCCCGATGGATGCTGGCATGTCTTTTCTCCAGCCTCCCCAGACCATAAATCCTGCGCAGTTCCAGAATCCTGCCTTTCTCAACGGCGCTGCTCGAACCGCTTCGCCTGCCTTCCACAACCCTGTGTATCAGACCAACCCCGTAATTCCTTCAAAAAGAGCAAGAGACGATAGCTTGGGCGCATCCCCGCGGCAGGCACCAGGAGGGCTATCTGGCTCGAGATCACAAACACCCGGACAAAGTCTTTTCCCGGGATTCAATCCTCAAGCGAATGGCGCGCCGGCGGTATCTAACGCGCCGACACCTTTCCCGCACCTCCAACAACCTACGTCCAACGCCACACCCTCACCAACAACTCAACAAATAAGCCAATTCAGCCAGCCCGGCGGTAACCAACGCGTCGCGACGGCTTCGCCCAGTCCGTTTTCTCCCCAGCAGCATACTGGACACCATGCATCGCCGGCGCCCTCGGACCATGGCAGTCGCGTGGGCACACCGCATGACAACCCGCATAATTTCATGCCCAATGGAGTCTTCTCGGCGGGTTACAACCAAGCTCAATTTGGGCCAAATATCAGCAACCGGATGCCTCAGATGGGGATGAATCCCCAAGCGACGATGGCACATCAACATCCAGGGATGTCCGCTGCACAAAGAAACTATCAAATGCAGCTGCAAGCCCAAGCCGCTCAAATGGCGCAGCAACCTGGGCGTGGCATGAACGGCTTGCCTAACAATCCCGGTCACCAGGCCTCCAACCCACAGATGCCCCAAGGACCACCTGGAGGTTTTCATCCACCGAAACCTAGTAACCCAGAAGAATTCATAAGAGGGTTGCAAACATTCATGGCTGCCCGAGGCAGGTCTGTGGACCTCAATCCCGTGATCTGTGGCAGACCGCTACAACTGCTACGGTTGTATGCTGCTGTAGTGAAGAATGGAGGGTCACAAAGAATATCCAAGTTGAACCAATGGGGTGCCGTGGCGCAACAGTTTGGCTTTCCTCCGCCGCAACAAATGCAGGCTGGTCAAGAGCTGCAGGTATACTGGATGAACAACCTTGCTCCTTATGAGGCTGCTTGGCAAATGTCGCAGCAGAAGCAAAGAATGGCGGCTCAGGCTGCTGTTCAAAGTCCAAGCCAAAATCAGATGTCTCCTTCCCGAGAAGTTCATCCGCATCAAGACCCCGGACACCAGAGAGCTCCTTCTGTGAATGGCCAAGTCGGGCCCCAAATGCAACAACCTGCCACCAACGGACTCGCTCCTCCTCATAATCAGGGACAACAAGATCTGTCAGCTGCACCCCCAAACCGGCCAAATATGTCCCGCCACTTCGATCAGCAACAAGTGACAGCCATGCAAGCTCAGATTCAGACCCCGCCAAAACGTCCACAGGCGGTGGTCAAGGCGGTCGTGCCAGAGCCTGACGTGGATCAACCTCTGTCAAGGCCTATTCAAGATCCTTTCAGACCCGACGTCCTCCCCCCTAGTCGCTTTCATGGCCCAATCAACGTGGACGAAATGTTTATCATCGGACAGCACATCATAGAGTCAAAGCCGTTTGCTCCTACAGTCAGAGAAATGGGCATCATCGATATACATGCCTTGACCATGGCAATCAAATCGGGTCTTCATGCAGAGACACGGCTGGCCCTTGATACTCTCGTCACCCTGTCCACCGAGCCTGCATTGCAACTCTCCTTGGTCGACTGCGAGGACCTCATGGACGCGCTGCTCGACTGTGCTTTGGACCAGGTCAACTTCCTCAGCGAGCATGCCGCAGAAGTCTCCGATGACATGCTCTTGCCTTCTTATGAAGAGCTTGTCCGTGCATGTCGTTTGGAAAACGAGTCTCTTCAGGAGGCTCCTGAGTTTGGGACAGTTCAGTACGACCTCGAGCGAGCAGCTGACCGACTGATATGTATAACAACGCTCATCCGCAACTTTTCGTTCTATGAGGCCAATTTCGGCATTCTTGGTCAACCAGATGTCATCAAGTTGATCAGCCATGTTGTTCGCTACCTCGGAACAACGGAGATGTTCCTGCGAAACAATCAAAACACCCTCGACTTCATGAAGGATATTGTCATTTATCTCAGCAACCTGTCCACCTCCCTTCAGTTGCCGGGCAAGGAAGAATCTCTCTGTGTCCTACATTTCCTCCTCGCATTTGCACCCATGCCTCGACCCACCTCAAGCTCTGCTAATAAGGTCTCATTCACGATGTACACGCCAACGCTACACAAGTACATGCCTTCAGCTGTGGACAGTCTTGCCAAATTATTGGCTCGCGACGAACCGAATCGGATGTACTACAAATCAATATTTGCAGCCGACGCCCATTCCACCCCGCCATTTGAATTATTAACGAGAACTTTTGGCTTGGCCATCTCTCCAGTACCCGCCACCTCAGGCCACACAAGGACCATTATTGAAACCCGGAAACCTTTTCTCCTGCAAGGAATGCTAGCAGCTGAAATCTTGGCCGGGCTTGCACCCGGTTCGGACCACCCTTTGGCCCGCTCATGGCTAGAATCGGAAGATGGCTTTGCCTGCAACTTGTTGCGGCTGGTGGGGATACTCAGCGCGGACCGGACTGCGCAAATGGCTCCAAAACAACCACAGCCGAACAATAGAAACATCCCAGAACCCGATGTCAACGGGTATGGAGCGATCGCGAATCGTGCCATGGCTGTTCTGAAGACTTTGGTTCAGAAAGCACGTACTATCGACGAACATGGCTCCACGGTTGTTCCGTTGGGCGTTATGCCGAGGAGGGAAAGTCTTTTAGGAGCGATGATACAGAAGGACATCGATCCTGGCATCCTACGGCAGCTCTGCATCTTTGCTGGGTTAGAGGAGTGATGTGACTGATATCCATGGCTGGTACAGAGTGCGGGTGATGCAACTCCTTGATTTTGATATTCAGTCAGCGCAGCAGAATTTCCGTGACGGCATGCATGCCCGGGCAGGTGCATTATTGGATGAGTTGCATCGACATAGATCTTTCGGTGCAGATCAGCGATACCCAGCCTTATATGCATCTGGCTATGGACTTGGCTAATGGGCCAAGGTATATGACTTGGTATCAATAGTGTGTTCCCATCAACTTGTATAGTTGGCGACGAACAGAGATGGCATATGTGCAGGGAACCAAAAATTACAAGAAGGAACTCCATCTGATGTGTCTACTAGCAAACTTGAACTTGATATCCCTGAGAGCAAATAAAGACATTTCTCCCGTCAACGCACCGCCTGACAACTCGGGCAATAGCACAGCACAGAATGGCTACGCTACGTAGCCTCTTGATTGTCTTTCATTTGGTAGGCCTGAGACCATTGATTGCGGACCTGGTAACGGAGGAAGCTTGTTGCACCCACTGCACTTGCTCCCAAATGCTTGATCCAGTAGTGCAGCCATTCCTCGAGTCCTCCACTGACAAAATGTCCTGTCCGTTCCCAGTCCCCCACTGGAAAAATCGAGAACGACGGGACATTTGCAAGGCTTTGACTCAGGACAAGCATTCTTAAGTGGTCCGACGTATCCATTTCGTCGGTCCGAGCATGGTGCTCTCTCTTGTAGAATGAAGCTGTCGCAACAACACAGCTCGATTGCAACCTTTAGAATCCGTTCAGTTCCGCCCACTTCTTGATCTCGGGCCCTCTCCATCCGCGCACAACCACTTGCTTTGTTGTCCAATTGATTGCCACAGTCTCTTTACGCCGCCCCTTCACATCCACGACAAACTGCTGCAAACCGAGCGCCGTCCTAATTCGTCCTGCCAGCTCGTTCAGGTCGCCTGTGATTTTCCGGATTGAGGTGATGTGTTTGCTTCCGCCAGCCTTAGAGCTTTCGTAGATGGGAAGGTTTGAGGATGATGTGCGGTTGATTTTGAAAGGGAGCAGAGATATTGTAGGACTCGGCCCCGGTTGGTTTGCGGCCTCGAGCTTCACTGGCGACGGTGGAGGGTCAGGAAGAGATTGAACGGTCATTTTCTGGGCGCGCAGTTGGCTGCTTTGATCTGCAGCAAAAGTCAGTGATGGGTTCGATGGATACGGCATCATCTTACTGTCACATACGTTCTTTGCGCAAAGCCTCTTTCTGTCTGCGATGTAGCTTATCGAGTAGAGTAATCTTTGCATATTTCTCCCGGGGCATCCAATTCGATTTCGATCTGATTTGACACAAGGGCTGCTGAGGGCGCAGCAGGGCGCGAAGAAGCAGTGTCGAGGGGGGCCTCATGACGACTGTATTGTTGTACGTTGACAAAGAAGGTCGGCAGAGGTGCAAGGAATGATATTGGGCGTGATTAAACGACGTGCTCCCCAGTGCCATCGATGGATGTGAAGCGTGAATGTTCATGCTGGTCATGTGACTGTCAAGGACGCCAAGCCTGCAAATTCGGAACGGAAGATCTATAAATCCGCACGCTACTCTCCTTTCTCTTTAGCGCCGGCCATACCCGAAACCTTAAATTTATGGCAGCGGGCCACACAGAAGAAATGCCTTCGAGCCACGATATCCACGACGGACACCCAGAGCACCCATCCAACAGTGAAACCGCCGCCTACATCTTCTCCCTCGACCTCCCACCAGGCTCCCAACCTCCCCGCGCCCTGACCCCTCCCCTCCCTCTCCCACGGCACGAATTGACGGCGGAGAACCTCAAGAAACTTGAGGAAGAGACGACCAGAACGCCCAAACCGCTGCTCATCTCAAACTCCAAGGCACAGTCAATATGAGCGCCATCGACGATGCCACAGGCGAGTACGCCTTTCTGGCGAAACTTGTCCAGCATATGGACCGACACCTCGTTTTCCCCTTACTTGAACATCAACTCAACTCGGAAACCATCTCACAGGAGCGCTACGATGACCTCAAACTCGCCATTTTCAACCTTCTGAAAAATACAAACATGATCGACTACGTGGGAAATCTGTACCAGGAGATCCATAAGACGGAGGCCGTCCCTGCCGAGTACTCACAGAAGAGAGAGGAGGTCCTGAAAAGATTGGCTGCGTTTGAAGAAGAAACCGCACACCTCACAAATCTCCTCAGCGATGAAGCCGTGACTTCTCAATTGCGCAGCGACAAAGTCGCCAACTTGAAATTCTTGGAAGAACAGCACAACGTCACACCGCAGATGGTCGACAAGCTCTACGAGTTTGGTCGGTTCCGATACGAGTGCGGTCTGTACCCCGAGGCAGCCGATCTGCTGTACCGTTTTCGCGTGCTGTCAACAGACAACGACAAAGTGGTCAAAGCGACATGGGGAAAGCTGGTTTGCGAGATCCTCGGCGAAGAGTGGGAGAACGCATTAGAAGAGGTCGAGAAAGTCAAGGAGCACATTGAGACGCGGCTGTTTAATAACCCGCGCGCGCAACTCACGGCTCGCGAGGCTCTCGTCCACTACGCCCTGTTCCCCTTCTTCAACTACGAACCAGCCCGGGAGAAGCTTACGGACCTATACTTCTCGGCGCCATATATCAGCACCATCCAGACTGTCTGCCCTTGGATTTTGCGGTATCTGGCCGCTGCGGTCATCACAAACCGTAACCGCCTGAATAACTCTCACAACTACCAGAAACAGCTCAAGGATCTTGTGCGCGTGGTCAAGCAGGAAGTCTACGAGTATCAAGACCCGGTCACGGAGTTCATCAAGGCTCTGTACATCGACTTTGACTTTGAAGGGGCCCAGAAGAAACTGTCCGAGGCCGAAGCCATCCTACGAGGCGATTTCTTCTTAGGTTCATCCACTGATGCCTTTTTGGACGCCGCGCGACATTTGATCTCCGAAACCTACTGCAAGATCCATCAGAGGATCGATATCCAGTGAGTCTCCGATTTCGAGCGCTCCTTTCCCAGCTGCTATTCGCTTGCAGCACTTTTGTTTCTTTGTTCATACTAATGCCCTTCTTCCAGGGACCTCTCCACCCGCCTCGGCCTGTCCTCAGACGAAGGCGAGAAATGGATCGTCAACCTGATCCGCGATACCAGGGTCGACGCAAAGATCGATTACCAGGCCGGCACCGTCGTTATGAACCACCCGCCCCAGAGCGTGTATCAGCAAGTCATTGAGAAAACCAAAGGCGCTTTCTTCCGCACTCAAGTTCTTAGCGCTGCTGTGGCAAAGTGAGCAGCACCACGAAACCAGGATAAGATGCACGACGGGGGAATTGAATCGACCATTCTTTAGAGCCAGTTGAAGTGGCAGAGCCAGGTGTAGCAGGTCCACCAGGCTTGAGATGGTATCAAGGATCGAGGGGTGTGTTGCGTCGAAATGGATTGGAATGGAATGGAATGGCGTTTGCGAGCTGGTGGAGCATGGAAGTGGCCAACGCCGTCAGCAACCGAGCCCTGCGCCATGACAGGAGTGAGCTGAGGTCAGGTCAGGCCAGGGCACTGAAGCAGCAGAGCAAGTTCTGCGCGCAAGCTGTGCTGGAATATTGAAGTGCGTGCACATAAAGCTGCATCACAGCGAGGGCAAGAAGCAGAGCGCAGAGAGCAGAGAGCAGAGAGTGGAGAGCGGAGAGAGGACTTTGTGTGCTGGACGATACCCATGAGATTGAATCATGAGAACCCAACCCTTGGGACTTTTGATGAAAATGCGTGCGTGCATGGGTCTAGAGAACATAACAACAGAAAGCTCGAGCTGGCATTCGAATGAAATGGCTGATTACAAACATGTTTCCTACCACGCATCATCGTCGTCGTCGTCAAAGAAGCGACGGTGATGACAATGACACTGATTTTCATTTCTTTCCGTTCGTACTCCCATCCCCAGTCCCATTCAGCTGATTCTTGGCCTTCAGCTCCTCCTCGGCCAAAAGGCCCTTGACCTCGTTCTCGCTCATCCATTCCCTCACACTCTCCATGATGGCTTCCAAGGCTTCGTCGCCGGCAAGCACGCCGTCCAGGTTCGAGGATTCGCGGCCGCTCCGATGGTCCGTCACCCTGTTCTGGGAGTAGTTGTAGGTGCGCACCTTGTCCTCTCGGCCGGTGCGGGCGACGCCGCCCATGACGCTGCGGCGCATGGCGATGATCTCGGCCTCACGCTGTTCGCGCCTTAGCTGGGCGATCTTGCCGCGGAGCAACTGCCACGCCTTCTCGCGGTTCTTGTGCTGCGACCGCGAATCTTGCATCGCGACCACAATGCCCGTGGGGATGTGCGTCAGCCGGATGGCCGAGTCGGTCTTGTTGACGTGCTGGCCGCCGGCGCCCCGGGCTCGCATCGTCTCGGACCGCACGTCCTGCGGCGCAATGTAGTAGTCGGAATTGGGGTCTTCGTAGTCCAGGTCCGACTCGCCTCCCGATTCGGGTAGATTGGGCAGCACCAAGACCGACACGGCCGATGTGTGTGTGCGTCCCTTTTTCTCCGTGGCCGGCACCCGCTGGACGCGGTGCACCCCTGCTTCGGAACGAAGGATCTCGTAACTGCCTGGATGGTTGATTTCGAGAAGCGCGTCTGTGAGCGCATTGTCTGAGACCGAGTCGTCCGGAGTGTATGATGCCAGATGGGTGGGCCATTTCATCCGCGCACAGAATGCGAGGTACATGTCCAGAAGAGTCTGGGCGAACAACGACGCTTCGCTGCCACCCGCTCCCGGATGCAACTCGATCATGCAGGGCAGGTTGGCGAACGGATGCGCGGGCACCAGCGATTTCTTCAGTCGAGAGGTCAGCGCTGGCAGTTCGGCGAGCGTGGATTCGATGTCTGACTGTGCGAGGCCGCGTATTTCGGCGTCCGAGGACGGGTCATGGAGGAGACTCTGGAGTTCGACGAGAGACTGGGGTGCATTGTCAGTGTTCATTCATTGCCCGAACGCCGGTGTCCTCGGCCGTACATGCTGAGCGTCGTCCCATTCTTTCAACGCCGTAGCCACCGAGCTCAGCTCGCCGATTTTCTTCGCAATGCCGACATCGTAGTCGGTGGCATTCGCAGCCGTCAATTGTTGGTGTTCGGCCGCGACCGCTCGAGCGCGCTGGAGGAGGACAGGAGAGATCTGAGGACCGATTTCGGAGATGGCAGCTATGACAGTGGCAGGGAGATCGAGTCAGTCTGCGTGGCCCGGCGTGCTCGTCTGACAACTACTTATACTTACATGAACTCTGGAAGCGAGCCCGGGCAAAGCCAGGCCTAGCTCCCGTGCGAGACGGAAGTCCAAGGCATTTTGAGAATAGCCGCCAACTACGGCCGCTACTCAACATGCCTTGAAGGGACAAGAGCGGACAAACAGAAAAGGCGTGGCGGGATGGTCGTCGTCCATCGAAGTACCAGTGCAAAAATTCAGAGGGCGTACGCAGGACAGAGTCCTGTATACAGACGAACACGGCAGGTTTGACGGCTTAGGGCCAATCGGCGCAGCCCCTGGTCAGCCTTGTGCCTCGCCCAGCTTCAGCCTCGTCCTCGTCAGTGTGGCCAGGGGAGAAATGCCAAAGTAGGACAGGGATAAGCTGAATGCTGAATGCTGGATGCTGAATGCGATTACAATAACTTGGTCAAAAGTATATCTATCATGCAGACTCAAGCACGAGACTCATCCTAAAAACGACGCAAAGCAGCGTTCAACTCCCTCCCGGCTTCATCTAAGCCATTGATTTATTCCGATGCCGATGTCTTCCCACGCCGGGCCATGTGTATGCATTTTCGTTCGCTCCGCCCGCCTGTCGGTGATTGAGCCTGGAGATATAGAAAAAGGCTGTACGTACAAATGCCGTCATGTCTCGTCAGTTCCTGTGATTTCATATGTGCACGCATGCTGTCCATCCTATACATCATGAGCGAAATGCCCACATTGATTCGACGCCATTCTCGTTTCCAGCCGCCGCCTCCCCTTTGCCGCCGGATATGTCGCCATTGGTTTTCTCCCGTAGTGGCTGGCCCGTCCAATTCGGAGTTCTGTCATCACCATCCATGGGGAAGAAGACACCTTCAACCTCCTCGTCAATCTTCTTGGAGCTGAAGCCTGGACTGGATATACCACGGTCGAGTCGACCAATTGGCGCCGACGAGTGCCTCAGCCCGCTAACCTGGGGTCTTGTTCCGTTCAATTCGCCAGAGTCGGCTCGGTTCAATTGCATTCGTGCCATGGCTTGGGAGATACCAGAAACCTGCACACTAGGGCCTGAGCCTCCATTCGGCATCCATGATCCGCGAAGAGGCGAGCCGACGTGGCCGATACTGGGCGGCCCGATGCTTTCTGCCGCTTTCTTCTCCCGCTGCTCGGCCCACAACGCACTGAACCTGGACGGGCTCCCGGCTGGGGGCGAGCCAACCTTAGTCGACGTTCCGCTTGGTATGGCCAACGCGTGGGCGTGCTCCTTGGACCCCAGCTCCTGGTCCGGTCTCGACATGCGTCTCATCCTTTCCTGCGGAGTCAAGACCTCGTCATGCAGACTGTTGGGCAGTAGATCTGTTTCAACTCCCAAGCCTTCCTCCCATTCAGAAAGTAAATTTGCGCGTGGCACACTAGCCGACAGACCCCTTACTTTCATGGCTCTCTGGGAGTGCATTATTCGCTGACTGATGGACTCCTCTGTTTTTTGAGGCGAAAGACCGAGAGGAGATGCATTTCTCAGATTCGAGCCCAGGTTGGCATTTCGCACATTGACGATCGACTCGGGTGGGCTTCCGAGCTGTCTCGAGAGGGACGAAGAAGCGACTGGCGACCGCATTCCGAATTTATCTGGGACGGACTGGCCGAGAGGGCCGTATTGAGCTATGCGCGAAATGCCGTTTGCATCAAAAGACTGGGGAAGAGGGGCATTGAGAGCCGTCCTAAGATTCTCGACGGGCGACTTGGGGTACTGGTAGTCATTGGGAGGTGAACCGAATTGTGATGTCGGGGGTGAGTTGAGTCCGGAGTCGAGAGCGGAGTGGTTTTGGTATTGGTTGTATCGATCGGGATATGCATCTGGCTCGTCCGGATCTATGAGAGGGAACGATTGACTTGGGAAATAGTCCGGCCCATAAGGCTGTTGATTGAGCAGAGGGTCGCTGATGTTGGAATCTGGGTTGGGAAAGGGCGGTTGATCTGCTCGGTTCGAGTAGTTGAAGTTTCGGCTAGACATGGCCAGGCCAGCATCTAGATCAGCTCGATTGACCCGGCGTCCGTCGGGGAGGTAATGCGCCAGGGCACATTTGGCTCCGAACTTGCAGTTTCCCTGATCCGAGTCAACAGGTCACGCACACACACACACATATGTACACACACAGAGAGAGAGAGAGACCCAAGGGGGAGGGGGGAGAGAGCGAAAGCGAGAGTAACGTTACCTTCATGAAGTATTTGCATGGCGCCTGCTGGCTCATGGGGTCGAGAGAATGCGAGAATGGACAGGCGTTGCCTGCCTGGCAAGCGCCTTGTCGGAAGAACTTACACGGCACATGCTTTGTATCTGGCCACGACTCAGAATGCGCTCACGCACCGGATTGCCTGATTGGACTTACTCTTGTTGGAGGCATTGGGAGGGCTTCGCGCCATATCGAACAGCGCCGGACCGGTCCCGACACTGCCCTTGCGTTCTGCACCGTTGCTGAAGAGTGCTGTTCCTGGCACCGGGACTGCCTTTTCCCCATTGGCGCCGAGGCCATTGCGCGAGCGGTTACCACCATGCCCCTGCATCATGGGTAATGGCATTTGAGTAGAGGAAGTACTGTTTGAATGTCCACGATTCATGCCGTGATAGTGATCATGGTCTGGCCAGGTCGTCGAAGAAGTCGTGGTCGATCGAGGAGGGCCACCGCTCATAGCGTGGGGAAGGGCTGCGGGAGAGGGAGAGAAGACGCGTTCGGATTGTAGATAAGAGGGTTCGGAACAGGCTGGGGGCGGGCAAGGAGGTGCGTCGGCTCGTGCAGCGCCTCTGCTCACGAGGTCAGGCTGCCGTGGATGAAGTGGAAGTGGAATGCAGGTGTGCGACGAGTCATGCGCACGTTGAGCACGCCGCCTCGAGACCGGATCGATCGACTTCCCCACGTGTATCGAGGGTGTCAGCCCAGGGGACGAAGGAGGCGGTAGAGGGGGCGAGTTGAGGTGTCTGGCTATGAGATACAAGTGTTGTCGATATGAGAAACCGAAGACGCGGCGTCACGAGAAATGCAGTCGAGGTCGAAGGGTCGAAGTGTCGAGGGGCAGAGTCGAGTCTGGCAGACGAGGTGAGGCCTTCTGGCAACATGATATCGTCTTTATCACCACGGCCAGATGGTGGGGCGAAGGTGCGGCCGCAGGCGCAGGCGCAGGTGCAATCAGCGGATGGAGGAGCGCAACAACCGGCAGTGCAGGCCATCCTGAGCCCCTAAGCCTTCAATTAGGCACAGTTGGCTGGCAGTTCTATCCCCCACCGGCGCCCAATTTGAGGCTGCAGCTAGCCTAAAGCGCCTATCAAGTCCCCCCAGCAGCGCTCAGCAGGGCTCCCTAGGCTGCCCCCGAGGCGCTTTGGACCCAGGCCGCCCTGCGACGTTAATAGGGTAACTATGCTGATCTCTTTCCCGCAGTGCCCCTAGCGCCAAGGTGCTAAGCTGGACACTATGCTTGAAAGGGACTAGACCACCGCAGGCTGCTCCTGGTCACGTGGCATCATTTTCTACTTCGATGTCGACATCCTCCTACATGTAACATGTCTCACTGGCTAAATGTCACTCCTGTCTCGTCGACATGGCCGCTCATATTGAGCTGCCGTTCTTGTACCAGACACGGACCATTCTGCGATGTCACTGTCACCCGAGAGTGAGAGTGACTTGCACCACACCACGACGGAGACTCGTGTCAAGTCGACCGCATCGGCATCCGCATCCAGAAACGCCCGGCAACCACGACGCCCCTGAGTCTGACAAGGACAAGAGCCATGGCGGCTTTCTCAGAGAAAAGGCCCGGCAGGTGGCTGGATCTTCGAAAGCGCCCTCGTCCATTCCCGACACCGTGGGCACCCGAATCAACTCGACCATCACGGCTAGTGAGCGGAGAGCGTTTGAGACAATCCTGCGCTTCACTCCCAAACAAGCCGAGCCGTCTAGTGTGAAGCAACGATCTCCCTTTGTCGACGCTGTCGACACCGACGTTGAAAACATCCTCAGCATCTTCTCTTCTTCCATAAAGAGCTACCATGCCGACCGAGACCGAGATGAGAGAGAGGCTCGTCGACAAGAGCCAGAGCCGAAAGCCGGTCCTTTCCACGCCTTGACCTGCGAACCGTCACAGACGTTTGCCAGAGAACCAAAGGTGGGAGCACTTGATGCCGAAGAATCAGCATCAGCAGCCACGCTACGTCCAGAGCGAGTCGCGCCAGAGACCACTGCACAAGCAACCAAACTGCAGGAAGGCCAATCCCGGGCGCCAGAAAGGCTGGACGTCGACACGGAGGCACCGAACCTGCCTCTCAGCGAGCCATCCCTGGAAGAAATCTCCCGGTCGCTACAGCTCTCGCGCTTCGACGCGTCGATCCAGCACGCGGTGCGGACTCGCATGACCGAGATTGCCGAGGCGCTCCAGAGCGCGGCAACATCGACGACCAAGCGCGGCGACCTTGCCATGTGGGAAGTGTGTGAGAGACAGATCTTCTCGATGGCGAGCCACCTGGCGCCGCCGCGGGAGAAACGGGCCAAGCTGGCCGAGCCGCCCCGGTTCACGTTCACCAAGGCACACTCGGACAACGCGCCCGAGCTGATAGAGGCGGCGGCGCGAGCGTCAGCGTCGGGGCAACATGGCGGAGCGACGACGGACCCGGTGGCGTCCAGCCTGCACGAGGCAACTTCCGCGTCCGCGTCCACGGCGACGGCCACGACGAGTCTTCCGGTGCTGCACCATGTGTACCCTGCGGCGCTCCTGCTAGCGCTGCGGCTGTACATCCACCACTTCCCGGGGTCGCCGCTGGCGCACGACCTGCTGCCGCGGATCCGGGCGTTTGGACACACGTCGTACGTGCTGGGCGCGGGCCCGCAGTTCTACAACTCGCTCCTGTCGCTGGTGTGGCTGACGCGCTCGTCCCTGCGCCAGGTCGACGGCCTGCTCGCCGAGATGGAGCGCGGCGGCGTCGAACTGACCGAGGAGACGTACCGCATTCTGCGCCAGATCGAGGACGAGCGCGCCGCCGACCTGGGCCGCGAAGAGGGCCACGCCGGCGTCCTGAAGGGCAGCAGAGGCGGCGCTTGGTGGAAGAGGCACGAGCAGGTCTTTTGGTTCCCCCGGATCTTGGACTGGCTGGCCGTCGTGGCCAAGAGGCTGACGATGAGGGACATGGCTGAAGCACCTCTACAGTGAAGATACCCATACAAATATAAGCTGTGGCGCCATCAAGAAAAGGAGGCCGACATCTGCCTGGCGAGAGTAGACATACGGACATGCGGTATATCTGTCGTATGTGTACGTATGCCTGGCATGTACGTGTCACAAGTGTCTTGATCTAACACAGATATAGCTACGTCGCTATCTCCCCCGTCTGATGATAATAGATAGAATTTGAAATCCAGATACCCGGGGCGTCTTCTATTTCTACCCCTTACCCCCTTTCCGATCCTTCCTCAGCCTCGTGTTATGCGTATTACAGAAGGGGAATCTCAGGTAGTCGATGCCACCCAGCCCCCTCCCTACTGGCTACTAGAAGCAGCTTCAAGCATTGACGCACCTCGTCGACTGGCTGTCTATCTGTCTCTGAGTCTAGATTCTTACCACACTGCTTTGTGGTCTCGATGTGCGCGTGGGCCTGGCCTCCTCCGCTGTGCTGTGCTCTCGACCCAATCAATCTGCTTCCGCTCCGTCCAGTGTACAATCTGCTTTGCGCTTCTTCACCGGTCGCACTTCGATAATCTCGACCGAGGAGTCACTCGCATTGCCCCCATCGTCACCTCCACCCCCACCGTCGCCATCATACAGGGTGCTTGAGAGACCTCTTCGCTTTTGCACAATGACGTCCGCATCTTCCTTCGGGGTTGACGTCTTGACGCGGCACACATCTCCCTGATTCCAAGTGATGCTCGCAGTACCCGACGCTTCGCCCTGTGTCTGCGCCCTCCTATCCAAAGATGCAAACCAGGCACGGGCGAAGTTCCGGCCCCAGCCCGCCCCCATGGCCCATGGCACGCCGTTGCCGCATTGCTTGTATTGCTCTTCAACAGAGCCGGCCAAGAGAAAGCGGTCAGGCATTCCCATCGCACGGCGTCCTCCTTCCTTAAGAGACAAGGTGCGGTGTTCTAATGGGTGTATAATGTGTCCGCCAAACCGGGCGTCCATGGGGGAAGTGATCGTGCACACCGTTCGAAAAGGCGCGTCGGGATCGACGCGTCTTAAGCACTGGGAATTCCGGGCCTGCTTCGTAGGGTGGAGATTCCCCTCGAAAAATCGACGTTGATGAGGGAGCAAGCCCCCATTGTAATACGTCTTGCTAAGGGACATGCACTCAGGCTGGGTTGGGATCTGTCGGACAAGACTGCGATAGCTGACCTGTCGCTTGAAATCCAGGCCCAGACGGTGGAGAGGAACATGACTCGGGTCACGGATGTTGATGCTGGTGTCGTTTTCGATCGTATCCAGGTCTCCGATCACCTCGGACACGGTGCGGATCTTACGGAGCCCTGAACCGGCGGGCCCATGCGTGTCCACCAGCCTGTCTGGGAGAATGACGCCCGGAGCAGCAGCCACAACGAAGAGTCGCTCCCGGATTGACGCTCCGCCCAACCTCGAATCCAGGTGAATCGACTTGCGCACTTGATAGCCCAGGGCCACCAGCTGGCAGATGGCCTGCCGACAGGCATTCGGCCGCAGTCGATCCATATTCGGCACATTCTCCATCAGCACGTATGGAGGCAGAAAGAGCTCGATCCATGACAGCATATTCGCCAGCAGCGAGCCATTCTTCTGGCTTTTTCGCGTGTCTCTGAAGACATTCAGCGTACTGTAGTAGGGGCAAGGAAACCCGCCGATTATAAAGTCGATTTCGGGCAGAGGCTTTCGCCCTGAGGCAAAGGCATCGAGCCCTTCCTCGACCGACCCGATTTCCACCTGAGTGCAGTTCGTATCGTCGTTGGCCTGGTAGCTTCGTGCGGCGATTTCGCAGTGCTCGACGGCGAAAACAATCTCACTGCTGCCGTTGGAGGTGAAGGCATGGTCAAAAAGACCCCCTCCGCTGAAAAGACTGAGACCACGGAGCTTTGGTCGATTGCCGCGCTGCGTGGGGTGCAGGTGGCGCCCTTCGCTGCTGCGTTGACCATGTAGGAGACATCGACATGACAACTCCGACTCGGTCACGTTGGTGATGGCCTCCTCCTCTTCACGGTAGAGCGACTGAACGAATAGCTCGGAGCCTGGTGCCGTAGGATCCTGTAATACCGAGGCCTCGACGATTCGTACAACATCTTCGATGTGGATATCTTCACAGCTGCACTGGTCACTGAAGAACAATTCGTTGCCGATAGGGTACGATACGGTTGCATCCCCTCGAGAGCCACATATCGTATCGGACGGAAGGACCAGCCAGATGACACTGATCGTCTTGCTCATAGTCTTCCTCACCCACGCGTAGTTGAACTCGTACTGGCCATCATCCTTCTTTGCCCGCACGACAACAACTTTGCCGAGGAGCTCTTTTGCATGGGAAACGTCAACCGGTCCGTTCTGTTCTCCCGCTTCTTCCAGAATCAAGGCGGCTTTCTCGCGCTGGTTCACCTTGAACTTGTCGGGAAATCCCCACTGTCGTATCTTCCTGGCCCGGTAGGCTTCTACCTGAGAAGATAGCGGAAGCACTTCCAGCAGGTTGTACCTTTGCCACGCGGAAAAGCGCAAGAATGAGGCAGCGATGTTGGGCGTGACGGTCGTTTTCAGTGATTTGAGTGCCGCTCGACGAGTCTGCGATGCTTTGACCACGCCGGTTTCGACCCAGATAGGATGAGACATCCGTGAAGCATGTTCATTGGTTGTTCCTTTGCGCCCCAGCACGCAAGCCTCATGATAGAGAAATGGAGCATATGAGAGAACGTGCTGACGAAAGTCGGTCCGCTTCGCGCACTGGGTATGCCAGATCTGCAGCTTTTCCCCATGGAGACCGAGCAGCCAGGTCCAGAACTTAGACCGGAAGTCAGATAACTGGACGCTGTTGCCGATACAGAGATAGTCTAGGAAGAACTTGGCAAAGTCCGCCAGCCAGGCAAAATTCGTCCAGTAGGGCAAATAGACCTTTGAGGGGAGCTGCAGGCGGTACCAGTAGTTCTTCTTCTCGCTCTCAACTGTCATGATCCAGATGGAACCCTCTGTCGAGTGTGCTTCGAGATTGCCAAGTTCGCCAATCTCAACTGCGATGACTTCTGCCGCAAAAATCTGGCGTACAAGCCCCCGGTAAACGAGCAACCCGTCAATGAGCCAGCAGGGTTCGGCGAGGCCAGCCGTATAGTCTTCTGTTGGTGCGAGCTCAGACACAACAGCGCTGAGGTATTCGAACTGACCTGGCGACTGTGGATGCTGAGGCGCACGGTAGACACAAAACTGTTGGATGTGAATCTCTTGGAAATGTTCTTTGGCCGCGGGCTCTAGGACACCGTCCTCCAGGGTGCCAAACTCGTTGAGGATGTCTTCCTCGGACGACTGCGGCATTTGAAATCCGGTCCTCAAAGTCTGGGGGTAGAGGCGTTCCAAGTCTTGTGGAGACTCCCAAACCTCAAGTCGCTGGGCAAGTCCTGTGAGGAGGTCTTTCAATGTTGGAATCGGTGAAATGGATGCTGAGCGACAGCAGCTGCTGTCGGACAGTGCTCGGGGGCGGATTCGTCTATCTGGCTCACCCGTCATCCGAAAGACATTGTCTTCTCCGTCCCAACGTTCTAGTCCGTCTGAGGACAAGATCTCCTCGTCCCAGATTTCTGTTGAAGGGGCCGGTGTCCGCTCCGACATGGTTGTCCTTTGCCGGCCTCGGGGAAGAGAGCTAAAGCAGCACCTTCTTTGGGAAGACGGCTTCTTGGAGGGTAACAACAGTTCAAGAAACAAAACGAGCTCGCTGTGACTGGAAGAAAAGTTTCAACCAGACCAGAGAGGGAAAGTGAGGATCGAATGAGCCGCTTGGAGGAAGAAGGATGACGGTCAGAAGAAGGATATCTTGGGAGCAGACATGACAGGAGACAGGGAGGAGTGTCTGAGGTTGGCTGCTTCGAGCGACCTGTACAAGGTTGCCTTGCAAGATGAAGGGAGTTGAGAGTGTCGCGGTACAGAAGGTGAGGGGCCCGCTCATTCACCTCGCTCACCAGTTGTGGGCACAGTCCTTGACAGATATCGTCCCGAGTACCCTCAACAACATGTCATTCTCACCATGTCTCTTTGTAGATTGGCCCTAGAAGAGAGTGTGAGTAAGTGACTACGAGCAATTGCTGAGGGGAAGTGTGTCTGAGAGTTAGGAGTCATCTGGTAGTCATCTGTCGATACGATATTGTCAACATCATTTGAGAAGAGAACCCGCCATTGGGATTCCCTTGCCGAGAGCTAGGTGAGCGCACTAGAAAAGGCTTGATGGGTAAAGGAAGATAAGGGAGGCAATTGCCAAAGATCAGACCTCGAGGACATCCTGTATGTTTGCTTTGTGCCATACCTCAGGAGGATCGGAGGTGAACTCGGAGCTGCAAATCATACCAGCAGTCTCGAACCATAGGCCCTTAGGCTGGGGGCAGACGTGAGAAGTGGGCTTAAGTCGCAAGGTCTTGTGCTTGTGTACATGCTCAGGTATCTACCATATAAACTCGTCAATATTTCTGGTGGTCGTCAAACTTCATTTGCGTCGTCATCCACATCATGCTGGTCTCCGGGTTTTCCTTTCCTGCGGGAAGAAGAGCTCATTAGCTCAAACAGGCGACTTTTCGACGTCCCATCGCGGCTGCTCGGCAGGGGTCTTGAGCGACCCTCCTCCATCATATCAATGGATGCGGTTGATGAATTGGTCGAGTCGGTCAAACGAGCGTCTGCCGCCCGATACGGAAAAGGTATGCGTCTGTCCCAGGCGACAGATGCCGAACTCGAAGGCGTACTGTCTGCCTCGCCCACACCCGGGGACGTCTCTGCAGCCGTGTATTCTGTGTCAATCATGGACCTGGCCATTTGTGGTAGTGCGGTTATTTCGTCATCCGCGTCCGCCGTCATCGGCTGCGCATCGAACGGATTCGGAGCGATGGCTCGCTGCTGGTCTGTGAGCAGCTGTTGCCACGTAGACTCTGAATTCTCATCTGGTCGCTCGGCTTGCTCGGCAGCTTTCAGACATTCTCTGGTCTTCTGATTCAATCCCGCACAAAGAGTATGGAAAGCGCGCACAGCTTCATCGTTGGTGACTTCGCTGATATTTTCAGGAGCACGAGAAATCCACAGATCGACGAGCTGTGCCAGTAATTTGGTGTGGTCCAGTAGGAATGGTAGACTGGGCAATCCTTCTCGCGACACCGCCGGGAGCCGGTTTCGTATCTGATTTGGTGCCGCAAACTGAGGCTCCAGACTTGCTGATGCAACTTGGATAGAACTGACAGCACAGATTTCGTCAATAAAGCTTTTGAACTCGTTTGTGGAGGCGGCCAAGAATTTATTCATGGGCTCCATCCAAGGCTCCTTGGTTCCAAAACGTGCGGTGTTGGCAAGCACATTTAAAGACTTCGCGATCAGGGTGAATGTCCTCTTCGCGCGGTCCGACGGTTGATCTAGGCAACTTATCAGCGACGACGTCAGAAAGAATCCAGAGAACCTACCTTGTATGAGGCCGAACAGCTTTGGATTCAGGATGGCGGGACAGAAAAACCGGAGAAAGAGAAACCCCGACACACTGGTGTACTTGACTGTTCGAATGAAAGATCCATATCGGTCCTCGGCACAGGACCGTACTAGGCGGAAGATGACTCTCAAATCCATCGGGCAACGGGATGCTGAGACATATATCGACTTCCAAATGGATTTGGTAAGGGACAACAGATTCGCCCAATTTTTGTCAAGTTGTTCGCGGGGGCTGACTCTGTTCGGGTCGACTTCACAGTCTGGATTCCGCTCAAGGATCGTTCGAAGCCTCTCCCCGAGGACCTCTTCCAAATAATCTTTGCCGAGACGGCGCATATGTGCGTCGAGTACCTTGGTCACAAGAGAGTTGCCGCGGAAAAGCAAATTCGCCTCCATGGTTGCGGATCGGCTCAGATCTCGCACAAGAACTTCTCTTTGCTCGGCGGATTCGAATGAGTCGTTGGAATGGATACGATCACTGAATCTCAGGCGCGACGGAGGGCCATCTCGATAGATGCCATCAATCTCCTCCTCGATCAGGTTGCTGATCCACTCATTGGCCAATCTAGACGCTTGGAAAATGTCCAACAAAAGATTGGACAGGTGCCGAAGATCTGGTCCAAGAAAATGAGCGATATGCACGGTCAAGCCGTTGGAGAAATTTTGCAATAACGTGGAGATCTCTCTGTACTCCTCCTCCAGTAACACCATAGTCTCTTGGAGTGCTAGGCGTACCAATATTGTACCAACTGAATGGTCATTGTTGTCGAACAAAGGCCACCATTTCTCGAGTATAGGCTTGTGTTCCAGCTCGTCTAGTGGTACATCGAGTCTGCCGAAGACTGGATCGTGAGAAGAAATCTCCAATCCATTGAAGCCGGACAGATACCCAGCCTCTGCAGAGAATTCATTGAATCCCTCAGAAATGGCTGTCCATTCTTTCTCAGCCGGGGTCTCAAGCTTCACTGCGACTGTAATCTTTGACAGTGCAGCAGGAATATCTTCGAGGTTGAATTCTTCCACCCAAAAGGCCGAAGATAAGGCCGACTTGGTAGTTGTACGGGCACGCAGATCCTTGTCGAGCAACACCTCGGCGTAAACACGTTCTCTAGTACTCTGTTCTCCACCGAACGACTTGCCCTTCGGCTTGTGGAAGTCGTGAGAATCCTTCAGAGCAAAGCGTTCACTAAACTTGGCTTCGATTATCTTTACCGACAATGAACGTTCGATTCGGAACATGCCCTGACTCGGCTGGCTCTTGTATTGAGCACTGTTGTCCGAGGCTTGTGGTATGTCGAAGGGAGGTCGCTCTGGACCGTACAGTTCTGGCACAGTGAGGGCGCGGAGGAGAACGAACCAGGCTTCTAGAGCGACATTGCTTTCGAGGCAAAGGACCATGGGCCGTGACGCTGTTGCGGATGCCACATGGACGCGATAGTGAGGATAAATCGCGATGCAGCGCGGCATTCGAAGCACACTTTCGTCCAACCTTTGGATGGCACAGCGAGAGAGCTGGGACAGATGTGTGACAGAGATCACATGAGTATCAACGTCTCCCAACAGCCGCAAGGTGCCATTCTCATGCAGGGTACAACTGACTTTGCGCCAGCGAGGGTTCGACTCGGTGGCTGTACGACCGGCACCGTTCCAGAATGACGCAAGTTGCGAGCCTGAGGGTAAGGCGCCATCCCATAGCAGCATATTTCCCACCTTGACGATGGCGGTGCTTTTTGGGCTGGAAAGATCCGATACACGCCTCTGTGACACCGGTTTCTTGTCGACCATGCCAACGGGTTGAGGTTTTGTCATTTTGTTGTGAATTCCTTTCGGTCTCAAAGGCTGCCAACATAGCAGGGCGGCAAGCCAAGAGTCAAATGTCTCTGGCACTGGTGGACGAAGTTGGTAGCCTGTCCCGGAGGACGCCACCAAAACACTAAGATAGGTACTCTGAGTTTCTTGGTCATAGTGAGTCCTGACTGTGCAACCCCTCAAATCCGCGATCAATGTTCTGGATTGTGTGACTTCTCCTTTCGTCTGGCAAACAAGATTTCCCGGGGCTACGTTGATAGCACAATAGCCGGAAGCCCAAGCCGTCGTATGCAAGGGCCTGAAAAACAAGATTCCGTGCATCCGACCACAGGTAGTCTTCATCAAATGCAGGATTCTAGCGGAATCAATGTCGAGCAGCCTAGGAGAGCGGACAGTAGTTGCACTCCCAGAAGGCATGTCTTCAGGTGTGAAGGGCCGGCGCGGGGTTCTGGGTGGGTTGCGAGGATCGGCCTGTGCCAACAGCTCGGAGCCATTCACCACTGATGGGAAGCCGATGGACTCATAAGTTCCTTCGGCGCGCTGCCCCTGTGCAGGGCCTGTAGTGATAGACCCAAGTCGTTTGCGGGTCTTGGAAATGAAAGAGCCAGGTGAGGTGTCCAACGGTAAGTCTTCCTTAGGACCTGGTCTTGTCTGAGCTCTCCGTCTCCTCTTGTCAATGGTACTCTCCTCGTCAGTATTCGAAACCGATGCGGAAGCCTCGCGTCGCCGTTGGGAGTTTTTGGTTCGAGATGTTGACATGACCGGAGAACGAACGTGAGAGGCCTGGGCAGAGTCATCGCGAAACGTGGTGTACGCTCCAGAATCGGGTGTCACTGCACGGATCGTTCTGGGATCATGGTCCGCAAACACCTTGCCATGCCTGTCCTGCGACGACGCCTGGCCCCGACTCGACTTTCGTTGAAGGTTTGGCGCTCTTGACCTTGCATATGGTGTGACGTTGTCCTTCTCGTTCTTTTCGGTGGACTCCATTGTTTATCCTCGACGGGGAGTCCGCCACGGGAAGTTGAGACTGGCGTTGGTCCCTACTTTGTTCTTCCCACCGTCAGCATCCGGGATGCCTTATGTTGTTTGGGCGGCGGCGCCCGCTCTGCGCATAGCTGTGATTTTTCAGATTCTTTCGATGTACTCCGGCCAGAGCAGATATTAAGCAACCAGGCATTTGCGCAATGAGGCGGAGAGATCCAACAGTGAACGCCCGAACAAGGCACGTTGGGATTGACTCGTTTAAATCAGGTTGGACATGGGTGGTAGAGGCTTGGAATGGTCTGGCTTTATCGGAGGAGAGAGATCGAGGCGGCGAAAGTTGACGGCTTCCGTGAGGAGCGAAAGATCCGACCAGGAAAAATGAGCCTGTTTAGGTACCTGTCGAAGGATGCTGCAGCGAGCGGCGAACTTGAGAAGGCATGAGAGGCATCTAAAACGAAGACGAAGGATGGAAGTCGGCCTTATGCAGGAACGTGTGGTGCAACCGTCGAGTCAACAGATTGTATGGAGTATGCCAGTGGTCAAGGAGGAGGAGGTGCTGGTGGCAGCGATTGGAGGTTCACTGTGAGCGTGGTCACGATAGGCTGGGGATCAGCAAGCATGGCTGCCAGTTGGTGGCAGCGAGGTAATGGTGGCGATGGGATGGTGCACTGCAGTGGTGGAGATGGACGGCCGTGTCAAAACACTGTGGACTGGGCTTTGGGCTACAGCCCACCTACATACCTACCTACAGCCTATCCGTACAGTAACGTACTTCGTACTCGTCGTTTGCAGTTTAGCAGTTCGCGCCGGGTGTGGGGTGGACGGCGCTACTCCCGACCGTCGAGTTGTAGGACTGGTAAGACTGCCAACTAAAGCATATCCAGCAACTGCACCAGCCAGCCAGCCTCTTGATGGTCTCTATCCGAACTTCAAGACTTCAACCTCCGCTCATGATATTAATCCTATTAGCCCATCTGACTCTGGGAATCTGCCTCGACCATTGGGGCTAGTGCAGTGTACTTGATGTTCCCCGGGACATGGCTCGTGGCTATGGCTAGGATAGGTCTTTTCATGGCACCCATAAGCCGCCCCCGCAGTTGATGAACGACATCTCCCCATTGTCTACTACTAATCAATGGCCTGGTCTCGTTCTGGACCATAGAGGAAGGGTAATGGGGTAATGCAGATTGCAGATTGCAGATTGCAAAGTTGATCGGGCGATAGGGAGGCAGACTTGAGCCGTGGCAAGCTTCGCAACACCAAGTACTCCGCAGGGCACCTGTGCCGATCAAACAAATGTGGAGTCGGCTGGCTCTGGCCATCAATCTCGTCCGAAACCAACAAGGACCAGCGTTGGGTTCATATCGTATACGGATACAGTGCAAACACAGTTGAAGGAGGAAGTAAAAGTCTGGTAGATACTGGTTGCTAGCAGAAGCAAGAAGACAAAAGAAATGGCGATAACCTCGTTTGCCACTACGGATACTCCGTCGTAGTGTGCCACTACTCAGTAGTACGGAGTACTAGTCTCCAGTACCGCGGAGTAGAACTGCAGATATGGCAGTCACATGACTCCCTACGGAGAAAGTTTGCCTTCCTGCTAGCACCTTGGCTTGCGGGAGAGGGAACTTGAAGCAGAAGTCGATAAGAGATCTGACAAACTGGTCTGCCACTTATCCTTCAGTTTGTACATTCCATTTGCGATCGAAGTCATCTAGGTGTCTAGACATCGATCATGTCTGATAGTGAGCACCCCCGGCATTGCTTTCCTCCACTTCTGCTGACTGCGTCTCAAGCCGACTTCGACACCGTGAGGCGTTTGCAGGCGGAGCGCAATGCTCAATCCGCCGGCAAGAAAGGTTCAAAGACTTTCGATTCATCCAGTCAGCGCACTGACTCATCCACCAAGGCGTCCTTGACTGAAAACTTCGATTCTGCTCTCTACGATCGAGATGGCCCCGACAAATTTGCGGGCTATCACACCTCCCTCCCAGCTGATGGCGAGGACGACGAGATGCCGGACGCCGCTGATACCAGGAGACTAGTTGGACAATATACCGCCACAAAGGATCAGATGAATGAGTTCTCCACAGGGACTGGTGTGGAGGAGGAGGATATTCTCCTTGGACGTGAGAAATCTGCCAGGATAGCAGATCGTGAGACTGATTACCAAAAGCGAAGATTTGATCGAGGTCCTCTTACCCCAACCAGGGCCGATCCTTTTGCTGCGAACAAACATGCTGGTGTCGCAGAAGGCGCTACGTATCGCGAAGTCATGCAATTGCAAGACTTGGAGCGTGAAGAAGAGCGCGTCAAGAAGCTCATTGCTGAGAAGCAGGCGGACGGTGGTTCTGTCACCGAGCATAAGCCCGTCCTCAAAGAGGAAGCCGACAAGGAAAATGTTGACGCAGGCTCAACCGTCGAAGCCACCGGTCGCAAGCGCAAGAAGAGATGGGATGTCTCCAGCGAGGCCACTCCTGCGACTGATGGAGAGGAGCCGAAAAAGCGCTCCAGATGGGATCAAGCTCCTACTCCCGATGGCGCTCCCGCTCCTGCGAAACGTTCACGATGGGATCAAGCACCCGCGTTGACTGCGGCCACCCCAGTCGGAAGCGCCGGTCTCGCCACGCCAATGCACCCTTCACAGGTAAACCCCGTCGGCTTTGGCACCGACATTTCCGGCCGAAATGCTTCTTGGACCGATGAAGAACTTGACATGATGCTTCCCACAGAGGGTTACACGGTTCTAGAGCCCCCTCCCGGATATGCTCCTATCCGCCCGGTCGTCAGAAAAGTGGCAGCGACTCCGGCGGCAGCGAGCAGTTCAGCGGGCATTGGTGGTTTCATGATGCAGGAGCCGGAGAGTGCACGAATGTTGGGCAAACAACTCCCCACTGAAATCCCTGGCGTGGGCGATCTTCAATTCTTCAAAGCGGAAGATATGGCCTATTTCGGCAAACTCGTCGACGGAGCTGACGAGAATGCGATGTCGGTGGAAGAACTGAAAGAACGTAAGATTATGCGGCTCCTACTGAAGGTGAAGAACGGAACACCTCCTATGCGCAAAACCGCTCTGCGACAATTGACTGACAATGCTCGACAATTTGGCGCCGGACCGTTATTCAATCAAATTTTGCCGTTGCTCATGGAAAAATCTCTGGAGGATCAAGAAAGACATTTACTGGTCAAGGTCATCGATCGCGTGCTCTATAAGCTTGACGACCTAATTCGACCATACGTACACAAGATCTTGGTCGTCATCGAACCTCTGCTCATCGACCAGGATTACTATGCTCGTGTCGAAGGCCGGGAAATCATCTCGAACCTAAGTAAAGCAGCTGGTTTGGCTCACATGATCAGTACGATGAGACCCGACATTGACCATGTGGATGAGTATGTTCGCAACACGACTGCAAGGGCCTTCGCAGTGGTGGCTTCGGCTTTAGGGATTCCGGCACTTCTGCCTTTCCTGCGTGCGGTCTGTCGGAGCAAGAAGTCATGGCAAGCTAGACATACCGGGGTCAAAATTGTCCAACAAATCCCCATCCTTATGGGCTGTGCCGTTCTGCCGCATCTGAAAGGGCTAGTGGACTGTATCGCGGATAACCTGAGCGATGAACAGGCCAAGGTGAGAACGGTTACCGCCCTGGCGATTGCTGCATTGGCAGAGGCTGCAAACCCTTACGGTATCGAGAGCTTCGACGACATCCTCAATCCTCTCTGGACTGGTGCTCGAAAGCAGAGAGGCAAAGGCTTGGCCGCCTTTTTGAAGGCTGTGGGCTATATCATCCCTCTCATGGACGAAGAATATGCAAACTACTATACCAGTCAGATCATGGAGATTCTCCTCCGGGAGTTTGCCTCTCCTGATGAAGAGATGAAGAAAGTCGTGCTAAAGGTCGTCTCTCAGTGTGCAGGCACCGATGGTGTTACGGCAGGATACCTCAAAGAACACGTCCTGCAAGAATTCTTCAAGAGTTTTTGGGTTCGCCGAATGGCTCTGGACAAGAGAAACTACCGTCAAGTGGTGGAAACAACAGTGGACCTGGGTCAGAAGGTCGGCGTCAGTGAGATTGTTGAACGAATCGTCAACAACCTCAAGGATGAGAGCGAAGCCTATCGAAAGATGACCGTTGAGACCATCGAAAAAGTCATTGCATCCCTGGGAGCCGCAGACATTGGGGAACGGCTGGAGGAGCGGCTGGTCGATGGCATGCTTTTCGCCTTTCAGGAGCAGAGCATCGAAGACATTGTCATGCTCAACGGGTTCGGAACCGTGGTCAACGCTCTCGGCACTCGATGCAAACCTTACCTTCCCCAGATTGTCAGTACCATCCTGTGGCGCCTGAACAATAAATCCGCCACTGTTCGTCAACAGGCTGCCGACCTCATCTCCCGCATCGCCATGGTCATGAAACAATGTGGTGAAGATGCATTGATGGGTAAGCTCGGCATCGTGCTGTACGAATACTTGGGCGAAGAGTATCCTGAAGTCCTGGGGTCCATCCTCGGCGCGCTACGATCCATCGTCACAGTGGTCGGGATCAATCAAATGCAGCCGCCCATCAAAGACCTACTCCCTCGCCTGACACCTATCCTGAGGAATCGACATGAAAAGGTGCAGGAGAACACCATTGACCTCGTTGGGCGTATTGCAGACCGTGGGCCGGAGTCAGTGAACGCGCGAGAATGGATGCGCATTTGCTTCGAGCTGCTCGATATGCTCAAGGCGCATAAAAAGGGCATCCGACGTGCGGCAAACAACACATTTGGCTTCATCGCCAAAGCGATCGGGCCTCAAGACGTGCTGGTGACCCTCCTCAACAATCTGCGTGTGCAGGAACGACAGTCCCGAGTTTGCACGGCCGTGGCAATCGGCATCGTTGCCGAAACCTGTGCGCCGTTCACCGTTCTTCCGGCCTTGATGAACGAATACCGCGTGCCGGAACTCAACGTGCAGAACGGCGTGTTGAAATCGCTGTCGTTCCTGTTCGAGTATATTGGCGAAATGGCCAAGGACTACGTCTACGCTGTGACGCCTCTGCTCGAAGACGCGCTCATCGACCGGGATCAAGTGCACCGCCAAACCGCCGCAAGCGTGGTCAAGCATGTAGCCCTCGGGGTGGTCGGCCTCGGTTGCGAGGACGCCATGGTGCACCTGTTGAACCTGTTGTATCCCAACTTGTTCGAGACCAGCCCGCACGTCATTGACCGCATCATCGAGGCCATCGAGGCCATCCGCATGGCTGTCGGCACGGGCGTCGTGATGAACTACGTCTGGGCGGGCTTGTTCCATCCTGCCCGTAAAGTGCGGATTCCGTACTGGCGGCTCTACAACGACGCGTACGTCCAGAGTGCGGACAGCATAGTGCCGTATTATCCGAACATGAAGGACCTGGGTCTTCCACGCGACGAACTGTACATTATGATTTGAAGACAGAGACGAGTTGGTCGTGGACGGTTGCCGCCGTGGAGTCTGAGCGACTTTGCTGGCCAAGACAGGTGCAATCGAGTCTGGAGGGGGTGAAAATGGTCCAGTGAGCACAAGACGAAGCCGGCTTGCTTGTAGAGCCCGGTTTCAACACGGTTACTGACCGATTAGCACGACGAGAAGAATCCAAAAACATGGTATAAAATCTAGTCTTCGTTGTCTTGGGTGACTCGAGTTCTACGCTTGTCTTTGCCTCTAGTTCCCGTATTTCCAGATGTGTTCCCGCCATAGGTGATGAAGTCTGGGTGTTTCCGTCGTCATCTTTAACCGGCGACTTCGCCTGCTCCCCCTTTCTGTTCCCTGCTGGCAGCCTCGGCTTGCAATCTCCCAGCCTTGGACTGCAGATACTCATTTCTGTGACAATCGACGGTCAGCCTCGGCGCACATCAAGTGATCTCGTCAATGAACTGCGAGGAGTAAGGCTATTCACCGTTGATTCGCCCAGCTCATGAGCAAATAGGCCACGATGAACGGCGGGGCCACGTAAAGAAACTGCGCCTTGGAGCGCCGAAAGGTGTTGAAGATGGCTCGGTGGTAGGCCTGGGCCATAGGCCGCTGGCGGTTCGGGGAGAGCGTGTATGTTGTCACTCCCGCTTGCTTGCGGACGTTCTTGTGGCCCCAGCAGAGGACAGGCTCTCTGTGGTTGATCAAGAAGTCTTGGTCAGTGACGGCTCAGAAGGTAGATAACTGAGGCAACGGACTGGGTTTTCATGGACCAGAGCAAGCCTGACGAGAGTGGCCTGGCCCGACCTGACCTAGAATTATAGCCAAGGAGACAACTCACCTCCCAAGCCCTTTGGGCAAATCCTGATTGTATTCCATGACGACGTGGCAACCGCAATCTTCTGTTGGAGGTGTAGATATGTGAACGGTGATGGCCAGTATCAAACAGTGAATCGGACACAGTGCTTGCGGCGTGGGAGTCCTCCATATTTATCGAACATGGAGTAGGGAGGACTCCTCCTCAAGGGTATTGTCTGACCCACCGAGCCAAGTCAACCTCCTGGTTAGGCGGCGTCACAAAGGGGTCTAATGCCATGATTTATGGCATCTGACTCTGCAATTTGGCCATCTCGAGGCTCTGGTCACCGCTTGCATTTGTCGTGGTCAGATTGTGGCGCCTGGATCCCCGCAATCTGGTTGAGTGATGGTGTTGTAGCGCCGTGCCCGTATGGGTCCTTGCGGAACTTAAACCAAATCGGGTGTTGCCTTCCAAGCCAGGATGGACCTTCAATTGGCCGGGGCGGCACAGCCTCGCCTGGCCTGACCTGAAGAACGAGTGTCCATGTCTCCGCAGAGCGTTGATCGCGATCCTTCACTGACATTGTGCGGCAGCCCTCCCGAAATGCCCGGCTAGAAGGAGACGCTGTAACATGCCATCATGTTGCTTGCGTGGCTCGGAGCCTCCACTCTCAATAAACTCGTGCCAGGACATCAGACTGCACTCTGCACCACCATGCCTGGCCACAGCAGCCTGCCACTCTTCTTCGGTATTGGCTTCCCAGAGACCTGTCCGTGCATCAAACGGCAACGACTCAACCCCTGGTCTGTAATAACAGTACCCCAGTCGAACAATCTCCATACAGCCTCGAATCATGGTGGCGCATATCACTGTTCTCCGGGCGCTCTCGGCGATGGTCCAGGCTTGCCAGGCCGAGAGGTTGCTGTCCAGTGTCTCGGGCAGAATCGAGTAGAAATGTTGGGACCAGGTAAGAAACAAATCATATAGTGTTTGGAAGTCCGAAGCTACGACATCCTCTTGACTCTTGTCTAGGTAAGAAGCCAGCACGATGGCAACCAACTCGTGGAAGACCGCCGTGAACTGTATAAATGTCAAGTCTCGCACACTTAGTGATAGTAGACGGTGCTTCTCTGTTTGCAAGAAGGAAGAAGACAGGTTTGATCCTGCGGCTACCAACGGAATTACTGAGATGCCTTCGCCCGCAGACAAGACTGTGGCATGGGCATAGGGCGTCGATCGATGCTGGAATGTCAGGAGAGGGATCCGTCTGAGATGTACCCTGGCGAGCTCGAATGTATCGGGATTGCTCATGACAGGCACACCCTTCTGCAGGTCGTAGCCCTGGGTCGTATAGGAGCGAATAGCATCAGCATGAGCGGAGGCCACCGAATCGTACAATCGCGAAGGGAGGAGCTGTCGGACGGGATATTGTGCGGAGGTGACATAATCTGGACCGGTGGTTTCAACACTGGAGACTGGTTCAAGATCGTAGGTGCAGCTCAAGCCCTTCTCCAAGCATCGAGAGCACTTGGGCAGTTGAGGACGACATCGGCGCTTTGCGGCAGTACAAGGGTGGCATGCCTTTCTCAGGGAGGGCGGCATGCCTTAGTGGGAGAGATGGGCCGCTGGGAAAGAATGGATCGCACTGGTGTGTCTCGATCATGGATTCCAAGGTTTGCAACTGGTGGAATACTCTGAACGGAGGGAGTGCCGTGTGAATGACGAGGAGCGAGGAGGGAGGCTGCCCAGGAGCAGAATGGCACAAGTGCTTCTCCATACTCGTGCCCGCAGCTAATATGGTGGATCATTTGATCGCAATCTTCCATCTAACTCCTCCACAATTCGACATTCTACCCTTCCTCGTCTGAGCAGTCTCGCTCTTCATGAGATGGCGTTCAAGGCCTCGACGCCTTGAGAACATCAATAATGAGCACCTCCAGCCGGTATTTCAAAAACACCAGCGAACCATCCCGACGTGCCAACGCCCCCGAAGAGCTCATTGCCTCGCTAACCCGCATCAATGCCTACAATCCGCCCGTCCAGACGTGCTCCACGGGCTGGACGTTTCATGGCCTCTACTACGGGCCGACGTCGATAGCATACCTCTTCTTCCGCCTATCTCAACACTACCCTGACTTGACGTTCAAGGGCCAGTCCCTTCTAGATTGGGCGCAAGCATATCTTGATCTCGGCGTACATGGACTTCGCGAGACTGTTGACTCGAACCATTGTGGAGTCGCCAATGAAATGCTCGCTCAACTAGCCATCCGTGCCGCAATGGAAAACGACCCTAGCCTTGCGCAACAACTGTGCTCGTACGAAAGTGTTGTCAACGACGCTTCCGGGTCCGACGAGTGGCTGTATGGCCGTTCTGGATATCTCTACTTGCTGCGGCTTGCCCGCTCGGCCTTCGAACAAGACACAAAGACCATGAATGTGATCGATGCAACACTGCAGAAGACGGTGCGAAGGATCCTATCCACGACACAACCTTGGTCATGGCATGGCAAATGCTACCTCGGAGCTGCCCATGGCACCTTCGGCATTCTCTGCCAGCTGGTATTGTCGTCGCCTTCGTCTGCAGAAACCGTCCAGCCCATTCTTACGCAACTGCTTGAAACAAAGTTCCCGAGCGGCAACTTTCCATCATCATTGCCACCAGGGTCCGACAGGCTTGTTCAGTTCTGTCATGGGGGACCGGGGGCGGTCCTAGCGTTGAGATCATTGCGACCTCATTTCCCCAAGTTACGGAACAGAATTGATTCTGCCATAGTTGCCGCACAGAGAGATATCTGGAAGCGCGGTGTGCTGACAAAACAGCCTTGTCTATGTCATGGTATTGCAGGCAATGCTCTGGCTCTTGACGACGAAGCAGAATTCCAGCATTTCGTGGCTTACATGGCAAGCGAAGTCCTTGAGAACCAAGGCTGGCTAGACCAGGCAGGTCGGGACGACCAGTTTGTTGGACTCTACACTGGCGAAGCAGGTAGGTCTTGGGTTTGGGCTGTGGCCGACAAGAAGCTGGACAAAAACTGTGTAGGATTTAACGATTTATGAGCGGTTAGTCTTTCCGCTTGGGTCACCACGAGCAAAGACGGCTTTTGGCATCAGCCTAGCATCAGCATCAGCTCTATGGCTGTCACGCTTTACATTTCCATGACAGTGTCGTATTCGATCCTGGGAACAGTGCGGCAGTACCTTGTACCTTTAGCGAAGGTATAGTACGTAGGTAGTAGTATTCCACGGTACTGATACAGACCTCCACAAGGCTGTGGGTGTTCCCCACGCCGCCCTAGCGTGTACTGTTTCCGTACAATAATTCAGCCTCGCATTCAATCGCTCCCTTCACTCTTCGTGCTTTGAACAACCAGTCCCTAGAACAAACACGCCATCGTCGCTCAGCCAGATCACATTTTTCCAAACAGCCATCTCGTCCACCTCGAACCGAGTAGCCAGATCTTTTCAAAATGCCGTCCGCGGCATCTCAGTCTCAATTTCAGTCTCACCCTCACCCTCACCCAGACATACCACCATTTCCCTCGCCCTCAACATTCTCCATCCTCCCAGACATCTACCTCCTGATCGCCCGGCTGAATATTTTACAACATCCTCCGTCAGCGTCGACGACGAATTCAACGTCCAGCTTGCCACCGGTGCCTTTGCTGTCGCAGTCGCAGTCGCAGTCGCAGTCGCAGTCGCAAACCCAACTCGGAGCGCACACGCAGACACAGACACAAACACAGACGCAATCGCAATCGCACCTCGAATCCCAGAGCCATACGCAAACAGAAACACCAACATCAACACAAGCCCACCAGCCTTCATCCACATCCACACAACCAATCCCCACACAGACAGCGTCCTTATCCGGCACCGGAGCGACTTCGCACGTGCACCTCGTCCAGACCGGCCCGCCTCTGGACCTGAAAGACCTGCCTGCGCAAGTGTACCCGATCAAGCAGAAGGTTGCAAAGGCGCGGGCCGCCGTGACGGCGCTGCCGGACATTGACAGGAGCGTGGAGGAGCAGGAGCGCGAGATCCGCGAGCTGGAAATGACGGTCCGGCTGTTGAAGAACAGGCTGGGCGCGTTGGCTGGCATTGCCACGGCGAGAGACGGCTCGAAGGCCGGTAACAGGGACGATGAGGGCGAGGGCAAGGGCGAGGGCGAGGGGCCCATGGATATCCAAGAGACGGGACATGAGGTGTCGAAGCAAGAAGACGCGAAACAGGAGCCACTGTCCGATGGAGCTGATACCGTGATGCAGGGCGTGCAGGTGGAAGGGGAGGGGTGAGGAGAAGACAACAAGGTGAGAAAAAGGCATAGGATATAATGCCGAAGTCGGCATCACAACACAAAGTCGAGCTGGTTCTGGAGCTGGAGCTGGATCTGGATCTGGGTCGCCCCGGGCTCGTTGAATCCCCCCTCTGATCGCAAGCAGAGAATAGAATAGCACCATGACGACAACGAGACCAGACCAGACCAGACCAGACCAGACGGGGCGCGACATGAGCCGGAGAAACAGACAGATACCATTGTGGCCTTAACGGCAATCGTACAAGACCAACTAGGACTGACTACATGCGCCACCCGGGCCTCCAAGACGCAGAGAGCGAGAGCGAGAGCACGACCACCTCGGTCCAGCACGACGAACGACGCGAAGAGGGGCATGAGCAGTCATGCATCCATTCCCCTGGTTGGAACTACGGAGGCAGACAGAGACAAAGACAGAGACAGAGACAGAGACAGAGACACAAGAACACAAGCATGATGGAATACTGTCAAACGTCATGGTCGTTCGGAATGATCATTTTCTACTACCTTGGGTACCTGGGTATCGTTGAAGATACGCCATTTTTCCTTTCTTCCCCAGCCCAAGAAAGCCATCCGGTTGAATAACTACAGTCAGTATGTATGTAACTCCGACAGTTCCATGTCCGGAACACCAGAACCTCAGCCTTGGAAAGATTGCCCTTTTTCTTTTTCCTTTTTTTTCTCTCTCCCGAAAACCCGTTGTCCATTTTTGGCTCGTCTTCTTCTCGCTAGAAACCCGTTTTCCATTTTTGTCTCATCTTCTCGCCATCTCGCCATCTGCTCTTACACGGGCAGAGGGAAGCTCGAGGCCCATTCGGCGATCTCCTGGCGAAGCTTCAGAATCTCCGGCACACTGTCGCTGGCAACGGCGGCCTTGAAGTCCTTCAGCTTGTTGGCCTCCTTGGGCAGCTCGCCTTGGACCTTCTTGCACAGCTTGATGCTCTGGTCAATGTACGACGCGACGCGCTTGAAGTCGTCTTCGCCAAATCCGCGCGACGTCATGGCAGGAGTGCCGATGCGGAGCCCGCACGGGGTCAGGGCGGATTTGTCGCCGGGGATGCTGTTCTTGTTGCAGGCAATGTTGATCTGTTCGAGGACGGCCTCGACACGGGCGCCGTCCAGACTCTGCGGGCGCAGGTCGAGAAGCACCATGTGTGAGTCGGTGCCATCGGCCACGAGCTTGTATCCGAGCTTCTTGAACTCGATCTCCAATGCTTTGGCATTCTTGACCACCTGCTCTTGGTAGGCGCGGAACTCGGGCGTGGCCGCCTGCTTCAATGCGACGGCCAACGCCGTGATGGTGTGATTGTGAGGACCACCCTGGTGACCTGGGAAGACTGAGAAGTTGATCGGGCCCTCGAGGTCGTACAGCACCTGTTTGCCCGTTTTCGCGTCGGTGCTGCGAACACCCTTGCGGAAGAAGATCATGGCTCCGCGGGGGCCACGGAGCGATTTGTGGGTGGTGGTGGTCACCACGTCGGCGTGCTCGAAGGGCGAGGGGATCACTCCTGCGGCAATAAGACCGGAGATGTGGGCCATGTCGACAATCAGGTATGCTCCGATCTTGTCTGCGATCTGGCGCATGCGGGCATAGTCAATCAGACGGCAATATGCCGATGTGCCGGCCACGATGCACTTGGGGCGGTACATCAGCGCATTCTCCTCAAGTCGGTCGTAGTCGATGATTCCGGTCTCCAGGTTGACCCGGTAGGGAAACGTCTCGAAGTAGGTGGACACGGCCGAAATCCTGAGTTCCACAAGTCAATGACACCATTCCGTCAGACATTATTTCAGGCCTCGTTGTCTGGCCATGCTGCTCTGCTTACTTCTTCTGCGGCGTCTGGTAGCCGTGGCTCAGATGTCCTCCGTGCGGTAGATCCAACCCCATCAATCTGTCATGTGGCCGCATGAGAGCCTGGTAGACTTGCAAGTTGGCAGGACTGCCACTCAAGCATTGCACGTTGACTCCCCACTTCTCCGGGTCGAGGTGAAACGCCTTCAGCGCTCTCGCCTGGCATGTCAGCTCGACCGCGTCGATGTGCTGGTTCCCGCCGTAGTATCGTGCCCCAGGGTACCCTTCGGAGTACTTGTTGGACATGGGCGAGCCCAAGGCGTCGAAGACGGCGCGGGAGGTGACATTCTCGGAGGCAATGAGGATGATGGACTCGCGCTGGCGCTTGATTTCTTTTTTCTGCAGCCCACCAAACCATGTCAGCGGGTCAACGTCCAGGGTACATGTGTATACTATGTGTCCGTGGAGAGCCAGGACTTACCATGATCTCAGCAATCTCCGGGTCAGACTCGACCAAAGACTTCTCGAGCATCTGAACGATATTGTGCGTTAGCCCACGGCAGCATTAGAGACAAGACAGCCTTCGGCGCAGACACCGCACTCACCTCCTTGTGAGCCTGGGAGAGGGCATAGGTGGGGGTGGCGGCAGAACCCATCTTGTCGGGTCTTGAGGAGGAGCTGCAGAGTACAGAGTATAGGCGTAGGGGTGGTATGTGGTATAGAGCAGGGAGATGCAATGACAGGTCAGAAGCTCGAGAAAAGAGTCAGAGTCGGGCGAGGGACAGTCCAGCCTCTGGGGCTTTGGGGCCGGGAGACTTTTTTTCCTCGAGCGCGAAATATTCCCCGCGCCAAATTCTCATTGGACGTCCGTGCCGCCTCTGTATAATTTACTGCCTAGTAGTTGGGCCTAGCATCTGTAAGACGTAGAAATGCTGCATCGGGCATTTTAGTGATGTGTTGGTCTAGGTCACGGAATACGGGACATGTACAAGTGTCCATCCTTTGGTGGAGGACTAAACAACACGCCGGATGTATCCACTGGCCTCAACAATGACATTACCCAGACATCTCATCTCATCCGGATGGCTTCCTTTACATGGCATTCTCCTCATCCACCAGCCTCCGCTTCTTCTTTTTCTTCTTCTCATGCGAGACTGGTCCATCTGCCTCCCGCAGCTTTTTCTTCGGACTCTTTTCGTCCGCCTGGCCTTGCTTGGGCTTCTTCTTCGTCTTCTTGGATGTCGTCTGAGGAGACATGGTCGTGGGCTTGGGTTCCAGTTCAGGCGGTATGTCGAGAGAATCTCTCATCTCCACGTCTGCGTCTTCGGCGGCCTCCTGGATTGCGGGCGCACCATAAGGCACGTAGCGCATCTTTAACCCTTCGGGTTGTTTCCGGATCGGTTTCGATTCGCCGGATTTTGTCGCCGCGAAGACCAGAGATGCTTCTGTCTTCGACTTGGGAATGGTAGTCGTCTCCTGCAGGAGGTAGCTGTGCTCAACTCTCTTCGCACTCTGCCGGTAGCTCATTTTAGCTCCGTTGGGTAGAAGGACGACTTGATTCTGCGATTCCACGGCATGCATGCTATAGTCGATGCCGTCTCTGCTGACGATCGGCTCTCCCTTCATTGCCGCCTCGATGTCGAGCTCCTTGATCGATTCAATCGACACGCTATCGGGCACGGATATATGCCAGATTTGCTTAGCAGACAAGTCATCGAAGAGAGTTCCCATCTCCGAGGTATAGTCGGACGCAGATACAATCACTGGCCCATAACCCGGTGGCGCTTTGAAGGGCTTGGGCGCGATGTGGACGTGGACAGCAGAAGATGTCGTGGTCTTGGACTTTTTCTTGGGTAGGGATTCCTCGGCCGCTGGTGCAGTTCTCTTCTGGCTTGATGCCGAGGTCGTAGTTGAGTCGTCGTCCGAGTCATCCTGTCCGGTCTCGCTCTCCGATGATTCGTCTGTCGACTCCTGCTCAGACGCCGCAGATGGAGATGGAGATGGAGATGGAGATTTTGGTTTGGACTTTTTAGAAGTCTTCTGGACAGCCGAGCCGGAGGGTTGAGGCTTTTGTTTCCGTGTCGATGTCACCTTCTCAGGTGGGCTGTTATCTTCGTCACTGGAGTCCTGAACTCTCTCTTGGCTGAGGTGGCTTTGCCCTGCGGTTTCCTTAGTCCTGGCCATGGCAAGACTATCTGGAGATTATGGATCACAGCGAGGAGTTGTTTGGCCTCGTAGGGACAGATCTTGCCATGAGGATTGCTGGCCAAGCTGAATTTTTTTCCTCGCCAGTCTGACTATTCAAAATTTGGAGAAAGGGAAAGAGATGAGCAGATCTGCAGGGACAAAACATACTCGGAAGCTCCCGCCGCTAAATTTTTAGTGGCCGTGTTACTCTGTAGAATTTTCAGGCGGCAACATGTTCGATGCTTTGGGCCTGACGAATATTGAATATTGAATATTGGTCATTTCGCAATGCTCCAGGGAGTATTTCATCCACGTTCAACGTCTTTCCATTGCTCTTAATGCGCCTTGTTTATGACAGCTAGTAAGTGAACTCCACCGTGACCATTGGCTTGATCCTCACCCAGCCTTAGATGGTGAACGGCTCAGCGCAGTCGCAAGACGGCGCCGTCTGCGCGATGCCCAGTTGGCGGCCCCTACGGCGCCAGCTCCAGCGCCAGCTTCAGCAGACGACGCACAGTTGACTCGACCTGTGTCTGGGCGGAGCTCCCCCCAAGTCAGCGAGCCCGTCACTGAGGTTCGGTCTGTCGGCACCTCGAACCAATTTTCAGCGCTGGTGGATGCGTCTGCTGTTCATTTCAGCTCGAGCAAAGAGGTGGATCAGTTGAGTGAGACGTCTGTCAAGATCAGGCTGTCTCGTGGTCAGGTAGGTTCCTCTTTGTCCCAGGGTTGGCCCTCGATCTAACCACTGTAGAACTGTGTGATTGTTGGCACATGCACTCTCTGGGTCAAGCAAGGATCTGTCTTCATATATGGCGCTACAATCCATGCTTCCACATCTGTCCATCAGATCTACGCCCCCAACACCCATGCCCTTCCGGCCATTGAAGCCTTGAGTTCAAAAGCAGAGTTTCAATTGGACTCTCTTGACGCTGGCTTGACTGATCTTCCATACATTGGCGTCCGAGACTTGTGGGTTCCAGCAAATGTCAAGCAAACTACTTCGTCGTTCTATGTGCTGGGACATTCGTTCGACCATGACCCCAGACTTCCCCGACGCCTCAAGGAACTGAACCTTTCATCTTGGAAGCCGATCATATCTGGGGTATTGCCGTCTGGAGATACATCCTCGACGACTTCTCCTCCCAGAATTCTGTTATGTGGCCGACGCTGCTCGGGCGTGTCGACTCTGGCTCGATGCCTGGTCAACAGGATCGTCACCAGACAGAATGCGTCGACTATTAAGACTCGTCACACAGGTGTTTTAGTTCTCGATCTCGACACAAATATGCCCGAGTTTGCCCCTCCGGGCACGATAAGTCTGGTGCATGTTGTCGGTACCCAGCTAGGGCCCTCGTTCACACATGTCCTCACAGCAACCGGGCGTTCCAATCGGATCCTGAGAACGCATTTCCTCGGAGACGTACATTTCACGGATCTGTGCGACTGGCACATCGACCGAGTGCTTGATCTCGTAGAGCTGGCCAAGCAGCATTGCGCCAGGTACGACGGTACTCCAGTCCTGGTATTGGCGCCAAAGTGGTGGAATGGCATTGAACAAAAACTGGCGAGTCAGCTGTGGACAAGGATCGCACCGACCGACATTATCTGCCTCGACGCCAGTACAGCGTCGCCTCATCTGCAACCCTGGAAGTCAGTAGCCGAGACTGGCCAGTGTCGGGTGCACCAACTGCCTGGCCAGGTGTTCGACAAGATCTATTCCGCTAGAGAACATGATCTCCAGATGCAGTCATACTTCCATCTAGTTGACTCTTCGACAGACCACCCACTCTGGAACGATCTGCCGATTCTTGCAGGGACGCACCACGAATTAACACTAAGTTATGGTGGCGATGACGCAGACGTATGCTCAGTCATCTTACTAGGCGGACATGTCGCGCTTGAAGACACATACGACGCTCTGGAAGGCAACCTGGTCGCCATTGTGGCGGTGAAGCGCCCAACGGATAGGGGCTCGATGTCAGATTGTGAGGTTACAGAGGACAGCAACACTGACAGCTCCCACGTATCCGTATCTCGCACCGAAGAAGGGCTCCCGCGGCTACATGTACAGGGCGGCATGCGATCGCGATCCCTGTCTGGCAGCTCGGGCGAAGATTCCTTCTGCGTAGCGGTGGCCATGGTCGTGAAGATCGACATCCCAAGCAGACAGATCACTCTCGTCACAGGACCGAGCCTGAGCGTGCGCGAAGTTGAGGCGCGGAAGCAGGGACACCAAGTAGCGCTGGTGCTGCAGAAGGCCACGACCGATGGGCGATTCAGACCCGACTGGGCGCGGAAGGAGATGGAAGATGGAGATGCGAGGTGGCGGAAGAGGGCAAGCTGATAGCTGAAGCGCACATGTCGATGTCGGGGGGGTCGGGGTCAGGGTCGGTGTGGTAGCGTGACGACTACTGTCGGGCCCAAGGGAGCGTTCTGCCAGCAGACTTGGGAGTCGGGACTGTCACCCCTGTCACCACGGCCTGCCAGCCGTGGTGTGACGTGGAAGGGGAGGATGCCGGCGAAGGAATGCCGGCATGGAGGGGGCTAAAGAGCTTAGGGGCTTGCCAGGGCTTAAGGCTCAGGCTTAGGCTTCGGCTTAGGCTTAGCGAGGTCGCCGAGGTTGCGGCCAGCGACGGGAGAGCACGCCCAGAATTACTCTGTCCAGAGTAGCGAAGCCGGTAGTCACCTATTATAATTTAGGCGCCTAGGAGTGGGCGTTGGCGTTGGCGGGCGTGGGCGTGGGCTCCTTAGGTTCTTTAGGCTCCTTTGGCTCCTCAGGCTTTGACGTCGACGCTTCCGCTTCCGCTCCCAGCTTCCAGCTCCCTGTCATTGCGCGTTGCCTGATTCGCTGCGGCTCAATTACTGTCGCAAGTGGCGGTCTGCGCGGTCTGCGATCCAGGCCCGGCAAATAAAGGACAATAGTCCCAGTACGCATAGAAGGAGACTGCATGGCAATGGGAATGGGAATGGGAATGTCAACGTCTACTCTGTACACACAGTCATCCATCCCCCCCGTCTACTCACCTACACCTCTCTCTCTCTCCCTCTGTAGCCCAGCGGTGCCGATAAAACGCCCTCCCTTGAGCGCACTGTTCACCTACGCTCTCGTCCGTCTCCACCGCCCCAGCCAAATCGTTGAATAATACGAAAAGAAATTCCCTCCGCTCCTTTCAATCGAGCTCACGACCGCCTGCCTGGCTGAGACATTGGACATTGGTCGTCGTCAGAGTGATACAAGCCTCAGCGCACCGAGGGCAAGTTCAAGATTGCGATTACCCAGAGAGCGAGCTCACAGGAGATACCACTACCACACCCATGGCACCCTCGAACTCAGCCACCTGCGTCGGCCTGCGAAACATGTACACCAATTGCCAGAGACTGTAGGGGAGGGAGAGCGACGGTCAACTGAAGAAGGAACCAGGAACCAGGAACCCCAAGCTGCTTATAAGAAGGATGGATTTTACGGTGCGTGACAATCATAATGTCCATGTCCAGCTGGCCTCGTCTTTTGCAGTCAGCAGTCAGCGCAGCGCATGACAGAATCTGTCTCTTCTTGACGCCTAATCCCTCCCTAACACCGACACATGACCATCTGTCGCCGTGCTAACAAACCCCGTCGTCTTACAGATTGCCCTCACGCATTTCTGCGAAGCGCATGGTCCCAAATCAGTCCTGTGTACACAAGTTCTCCCCCTCGAGTGCGCATTATGTCTGCCGCCCTCGCCATCACTGAGGGCCTCTTCCTCCTCCGAATCTCTCCCGCCTCAGGATCACCACTCGTCCTCGTCCTTTGACTCTCCCCGTAATCTACACACTCCACCTCCGCTGCGCAAAATGGACACGGACACGAACCTGACCCTGCCCACCGACTTTTCCGGCGCATCCACCACCGTCGACTCCGAGACTGAGGCAGACCGGCCTGCCATCGAGAAACACCCTCTCTTTCAGACGGTGGACCAGAAGCGGAATTTCAGCTCACAATTCCGATATGGCCGCGCCCAAGGCGACACCTGTGCCAGTTGTAGCTTCAGTGTCCCCAAGGCCATCGCGGAGAAACTGCCGGCGGGCGCCCCCGGGAGCAGGACCACAGACGGCAGAGGTCCCAACCCCAGCGCGCCCGTGTTGCGGTCCCGAGAGGTTGTCTGCCTCCGTGAAAGAAGACGGAGCGGTGCAAACGATGCTTCCCGAGACTGGAAGCCTTCCTCGTACGGATCTTCCGTGGGTTCTTCATGCTCCCAGACTTCCTCCCAGCTGCCCTTGTCTTCTCGCTCACATCCCGACCATTGCCATGACCACACCCTCACTTACTTAACCACTATGTCTCCCGGGGACCCGGAGAGCTATGCGCAATTGCGAGCGTCCGTCATTCGGACGCTATCTTGCGAACTTCTCCCGAGGGGCATGTCGGATGGGCCCTTTTGCTTTGGCGACTCCAACGCGGGTTACACGATCGCGTATGTCTTTCGGCTGACGGATCCCAAGGCGCGAGGACGACGGCGCGCCTACGCTTTCGTGGCTCTCGCGGGAAAGGATGCCAGCCGCGCATTTCAAGCTTGCCCCATGCTCTGGGAGGCGTTCGCGAACATGGCCAAGGGGATTGAATCGGCTGCACAACGGCACCAAGACAGGCAGCGGCAGAAGGAAGAGGAAGAGGCGGAATTTTCACAGGCTTCAAGGCCAAATTCGACGAAATATACGCCAGTTTCATCCTTCCTGACTGCTCGTACAGTGGATCCCGACGGGCACCCTCGACGTGTTGGCCACGCCACCCCGCGCAGTCTCGCGGAGATAGTGGGCGACGAGAACATCTTCACCTTCCTCCACCAATATTTCGTCGCGATCCTCCGCTGTTTGGGCGACCAGTTTGGCGGACTTCCGCTCGCAGACAAGCCGTCTGTGTATCAATCGGTCGGCGAGGAGTCGCCGCCTTTCGCCAAGGCGTCGATCGTGGGCGGCCACAGTGAAAAGCTGGACCTTGGGCATCTCGAAAGTTTACGTGATGAAGACACGACCCCGCGGCCGCAGGCGCAGGCGCAGGCGTCGCCGTCTGTCAACGCAGCAACCCAGACCCGGCGACAGGGGTCCGGCATTCCAGGCACGAGGTCGTCTGTGTCGACACCCGAGGAAGAAAAGTTGGACGAGCTGGAGATCTCAAAGACTCGAGCAAACAAGGCGCTCAAGTTGAACCCGCCGTGTGCACCGCTGCCAGTCAGCAAGACGGCGCAACGGCAGGTTGTTGTTTAATATTTCCCCCGACATTACAGCCCTCGCCGGAGAGGGTGAAAACCAGATGATTAATTGCAGTGGTGGGAAAGCCCCTACCATGGAGCGAAGCCCCCGATAATGGGATGGGCATTAACGACGATGACGGCCTCACACTGACTGACGGAGCCATACTCGTACCCAGAGATAGGGACGAGTTGGTCGATTGGTTTACACGGACAACGCGTACCGGGAACGTTTGCGCGTCAGGAATGGGACGGGGTGGGAAGGCTCTATGTGCTCTGCTTTAGATCTCGTTTTTCTTTTGGCCGCTATCCACCCGGAGCGGCCTTTTAGGCAAGTGATACCATGATACAACGGGTCGGAAACATTGAAAGCGAAGCGAGGCGAGGCGAGGCGAGGCGGAAGACAATCGCAATCGCAATCGCAATCGCAATCGCAACTGTAACTGCGATCGGAGGGGGCTGGGGTGTAATCAAATAAAATGCAAATAAAGTCGCGACTTGTCGGCTCTCAATCTTTGTTTCGCCTCAAGTGAGAGTGTGAGAGTGTGTACATACGATAACTATCAAGACATCATGCCCCAGGGACCCTGGGTACAAGTATCAAGTAGAGGTACCTCCAAAGTCAAATCCAAAGCACTGCCGTCTTCGTTTTTTTGTGATGATACCAAGGTTCCCGGACCACCGCGTTGTGAGGTATTGGACGAGCTGAATATGCTGTCATGTCATGCTTGTTGTGTCATACTTTCTGTTAAGATCTAGATCCAGATCCAGCCAGCACCATCCCATCCCGTCAACAGAGGCAGGGGCAGGGGCAGCAGCAAACAATCTTGGACTCGCTGTCTGTGTCTGGTTGGCGTCGACTAGAGAACCACATATCCGTGCGAAACATACTCTGGCAAAGCACATCGAGAGGCAGGCACGCAGTCGGTTCAGTGCTGTTAGGTGCGTGTTGGTGTTAGTGGTAATGTAGATGTCGAATAAGGCAGGGCAGACGACGGCAAGACGGAACGGAACATGGTGAGTAGAGCAAAAAGAGGCACTGTGGAGGAGAGCGGAGGAAAGCATTGCAGAGTATGAAGAGCAAGAGCAGGAGCAGGAGCACAAATCCCCCAACTCAGGAGGAAGCGTACTGTACACGGGGAATATGAGCAAAGAGCAAAGAAGGACATACACCGCAGGCGCTGCATGAGCAGGAACCGGTGCAGGAACCGCCGCAACAGTTGCAGGAAGAGCAGGGACCCATTATTGTTTGATGGTGTCTGTTGTTTGGTGTTCAGTGATGGTAATGGAGTAGTAGTGGTAGGGGTCAAGGACTGTGTGTCAAGGCAAAGTTGGAGGGAGGGAGGAGGGATGATGGATGACAAGTCCGCTGTTTCAAGTAGGGGAGGATATTGTCCTAGGGACGGAATGAGAAACTGGAGAATAAGATTCAAGACTGAGCGTGGCAGTATAGATATATATATATATATATATATGGATATAGACACGGAAGCAGACACGGACAACCGACACGGACACGGGCGAAGACACGAAGTGAACCCCTGCCTCGCCATGTATGTACTGTAAGCGTCGAGGTCTTGTCGTGCATATTGGTCCAGGCCTCAAGACGAGCATGATTCCTCAGTTTCATCCTGGTGGTCGTGGCCGTGGCCGTGATCATTGGTGGATGCATACATGCATCTATCTGAAGTTGGACTCGTAGAGAGACAGGTCTGATGAATGGAGGCAACATCATTGATTGCATCGCAATGTCACTGTTGTAAGAGCATCTTGGTGGCCTCGATGACAACGTACAGCACTCCGGCTCGTTCCCACTTCCTTACCTTGGGAACCTTCTGCCATGTGGAAATGTGTACCACTTCCAGGCAAATGCATGGTTCGAATTGACAGGGCCTCTTTCTGTCTTTTCGTCTGGCAGTGCCTCTGGTGTATGAAGCTGCCCCCGGTCGGGATGGTGTCTGGACACCATACACCAAAAGCCATCAATCCACAGACAACCAACCGCGTCAAAGTGAAGCGGGGCAGAAAACAGCATCCACAACTGTGGAAAAACCAAGCATGAGGAGCGGAGAAGTTGAAGACAACCCCGGGCGGTGCATCGACAAGGATATGTGGGAGAAGGATGATGAGAATGGTGATGAAGGCGAACAGCTGGTTGCCTGACAGGTCGTCTGTAGGAAAAGGTGGAGGAATGGCGTATCGCCTCACTTGACCACTGGATAGCCAGATGGATGCTTCGGACATGCCTCAGGACGTAGAACGTTATCACACCCTTCCACTGTAGTGGCATGTCAAAAGTGACCCCCGACGCCTTGTCTTGGGTGCTGTTGGTTGTGTCCTACCCCTGTCTTTCAGTGACCCCTGCTTGGGTCTGGCGGGAAGTCACACAGCATTGATGTGTTGGCCGGTGCCGGAGGGGGGCGGACAGAAGATAGAACGACCTCGACAGACTGGTGAGTCTGGCCTAACGTCGCCACGTGAATGCACCAGGTAGCTGCTCGAAAGGAAATCTCAATCCAGGCTGCATGCTTGTGCAAGTCAACCGGATGGATCGTAACATGTGCGAGTTGTCAGCACAACATGTGGGTATTCTGCTCCTCCTCGAGTTAACATCGAAGAACCCTTCGAGGGGACTTTCTGGTTATCTGACTTTTGTCCGTGCTATTCTTTCAACGAGACGTTGACTAATCCTCTGCTTGTGTTTGTTGTAAGGCTTGCTTGGAATCTGTCCCTTTCTGCTCCAAAGGGCTGATACCGAGGCTCGGCTGGACTTTGACGACCCGCATCCAGGGGTCCTGGTGGCCGAGAGTGAGGACGAAGCTAAGTCGAAGCTGGGGTTGATGTTGCCGGTGAGCGAATACGTCGTTCCGTTGGGGCTGGCTTCAAGGGTGCTGGGAGGCGGATGCCCTGCTAGCAACACCAGAAGGCTTAGTATCTCGACTCTTGAACTTGGGGGGAGGGGCTGTCACAGTTTTTGCAAGACTTACTCTTTCGACCTCGCATCGTCCAAGCATCTGTGTAGGTTGTATGGCAGTCATGGTAGTTCCCTGGCGAGACTTTGCAGTGTATGCTGTCTGACCGAGACGAGACGCGTCATTGCGGACATCGGGGACATCGGTATGCACAAGGAGAAAGGTGCAATGCATACAAGGGACAATGAATCGCCATCATACTGGAAACAAGGCTAGAAAGATGGAGTCTGAACAGCCACAAAGGTTCAAATGGTGTGTGGACCAGCCTTATTGCGGTCGACAGACAATGCCAATGCCATTGATGCTCACTCTCACTCTCACTCCCACTCTATACTTGTTCTTGTTCTCGTTCTCATCTCTGCTACTAGGAGCGCCTGTGGCATCTTGCCTCACTTTGCCAGGAATGCCTGGAAAGCGCTGTGCTCGATGACCACGTTCCCGACGGCCTTCAGTTTCTTGCGGCCTTCCTTCTGCTTTTCCAGCAGTTTCCTGCGTCTCGACACATCGGCAGCGTGCAACTTCGCCGTGACGTCCTTGCGGAAAGGCTTGATCGTTTCTCGCGCCACCACATGCTTGCCGACGGCGGCCTGGATGACCACTTCAAACATCTGCCTATCGACATGTTCCTTGAACTTCTCGACCCAGTGCTTGCCCACGTGCCGGACCTGCGAATGATGGAGCACCCGCGAAATCGCGTCCACGGGCACTTTATTCACCAGAAGCTGCAGCTTGACGATATTGCTAATGCGCCAGTCGGCCTCCTCGTAGTCGAGCGTTGCGTAGCCCTTGGTAGATGATTTCAGTTTGCCAAAGAAGTCGTCGACCAGCTGTGCCAGCGGCATCTCGTATCGAAGAATGACTTGCGACGATGTGAAGTATTCCATCGATTTCTGCTCGCCGCGGTTGTTCTCGCACAGCTCCATCACTTTACCAAGATATTCGTCGGGAAACGTCAGGGTCGCCAGCACGTATGGCTCACGCAGTTCCGCCACATTTCGCCGTGTCTCCTCACTATCGGGAAACTCGGCTGGGTTGGTCACCACGACTTCCTTACCATCCTTGTAGATGACCTTAAAAGGAACCGTGGGCGGAGTGATGATAATGCTCGCCCCATGTTCTTGTCGTAGTCGGTCCTCGAACACAGAACAGTGCAGTGTACCTAGGAACCCAAGTCGAAAACCCGCCCCCAGCGCCTCAGAAGACTCTTTCTGTACAGTCACGCTGCGGTCGTTCAGGAGAAGTTGGTTGATGCTATCTTCGAGATGCTCAAAGTCGCCTTGATCCACAGGGAACGCGGCCACAAAGACCATCGGCTTAGGTTCCTCAAATCCTGGCAGCGGCTGGACCTGCCTTTGAAATCCAACTTTGGTGTATGTATCCCCGACCTTGGCCTCACTGCTCTTCCTCATTGCAGGGTTGAAGTGGACATATCCCACCTGTCCTGCCCGGAGGACCTTCTGGGGCGTTGGATCCGGGTACATGATGCCCACTTCTCCAACGGTGTATTTCAGGCCAGTCGCAAACGACACAATCTGGTCGCCTGCACGAAGTTCTCCGTCGAATAGGCGTACTAGCAGGATCACCCCTTTATAGCTGGAATACCACGAGTCTACAAGGTAGAGGCGTAGAGGCTTTGTGTGATCGCCAATCGGCCTGCGCTTGTCAGAAATTGGCCGCCTCGGGCAGTGTATCATGGCATGTAGACTTACGCAGGTATTCTCTCGATGACCGCTGGGAGGACACTCTCCACATTGAGTCCAGTCTTTGCAGATACCAGGACCGCAGTGTCCGGATCCAGCTCGAACGTATCGTGCATTTGTTCCAGTGCCCTCGGAGCATCGGCGTGGGGGAGATCGACTTTGTTGATGACAGGGATCAACGTCAAGCCTTGAGAGAAGGCGAGGTAGAAGTTGGCTACAGTCTGAGCTTGGATGCCCTGGCTGGCATCGACGAGCAACAAGGCACCACCACAGCTGGCGTAGCTGCGGGACACCTCTGCTCGGAAATCCACATGACCAGGCGTATCTACCAGGTGCAGAAGATAGTCCTCGCCCTTGTAATTATAGATCATTGAACATGTCTGTGCCTTGACCGTGATTCCCCGTTCTCTCTCCACGTCGAGCTTGTCCAAAACTTGCTTGTTCGAGCCCGCTTCAATCGTGCCGGTCAGTTCCAGCAGTCGGTCGCTAAGGGTACTTTTGCCATGGTCGACGTGGGCGACGATGCAGAAGTTGCGGTACCGATCGATGGGAATGGCCGCAATTCGCTTTTCGAGTGCGGTCGGGGGAGCAGCTGGGGCAGCGGCGCACACCGGAGATGTGGTAAAGGTCCGCACTGAGCGGTGGTAGAGGTACTTATTAGACGCGGACCATGCTGGGGCAGAAGGAGTGCTTATGGCAGCTCTTCGCCGTGCAAAGACCTGCAGCCATAGTCGCATGAGTCGCAATGGTTGAGGTGGTTAATTGAGGCTCATGGAATCAACCTGGCCGATGGCCTCGACGAGAAAATGTCCTTTGAGTCAGGTGAAGTTCGCAGGCTGATTATTGCCCCGCCAACGATCCATGTCAACACGAAGACTTCGACTTCTCCCTAATTTTCTCACCCTCCGCACAGCGATCAAACTAATAGCAAAACATGGCGGTCGACAAGAAAGAGAAAGCGCAAGTGCATAAACTGGCCCTGCGAGGTTAGTCGACCTGGGCTACGTGATTGCGGGAATCCTGCTAATTCAGCTGCACCAGGCTCCTCGAAGACGGTAGCCGAATTCGTGAGTGTGCCCACTGCAACTGCGCGCCAGAACTGACCTGAGCCAGTTTGAATACTCCATCAATACAATCTTGTGAGCTCGGGCTTTCATTGGAATGGAAGGATGCGTGTTGACCGATCCTAGGTTCCAGAGAGGCGTCTATCCGGCTGAAGACTTTACACCGTAAGGAGAAAGCAGCCGCGCTCAAGATGAATCGCTAACAGACGTGCAGTATCAAGAAATATGGGCTCAACATGCTTGGTACGGGAGATTGAGGTGTAGTGCCTGCTAAACCTGGGTGCTAACGTGAACCCAGTTTCCTCGGACGATCAAGTCAAAGCCTACATCAAAAAGATCATCTCACAGCTGAACAAATGGATGATTGGGGGGAAGATCTCAAGATTAGTGGTCGTCATCACTAGCAAAGAGACCGGGGAATACATCGAGCGATGGCAGTTCGATGTGCAGCTCTTGGGCAAGTCGTCAAAAAATCGGTCTTCGAAGAAGGCCCCAGACAAGGAGAACGCCACCCCACAGTATGTTGTCCAGGCCAACTGGCAATTATCCAGCAGGCCAGACAGCGCTGACCGAGAATAGAGAGACGGCAAGTCCGGAACCAGAGCCAGAAAAGACGGAGGCACAGATTCAAGAAGAGATCCAGGCCATCTTCCGACAGATCACGGCGTCGGTCACTTTCTTGCCTGTCCTGGATGGAAATTGCACATTTAACGTGCTGGTCTATGCGGATGCCGATTCGGATGTGCCTATCGAGTGGGGAGACAGTGATGCGAAGGAGATCAAGGATGGAGAGAAGGTCCAGCTGCGCAGTTTCAGCACCAGTAACCACAAGGTGGACACGATGGTTAGTTATCGTTTGGCCGACTAGATGTCACTGCCCAGTATCAACGGCTAGGAGAGCGTGGAGTTCAGGATCATTTTCTGGGATTCAGGACGACAGGATTCAGATAGGCTAGGGAATGGAATTATGATGACTAAAGACAATACTTGATCTTCCATGTTTCTATGCAGTCCCAGGTATTGATTCGGTAGGTACGGATACCTTGCTTGAGGAGATTGAGACTGGTGAGACTGGTGAGACTGGAGGGGCAAGGCTGTGACATGGTAAATCAGGCACCGCAGCCTGAGAGCGGGGAGCGGCACTCGCAGCCGCGAATTTTGGAGAAAACTTTTGGGCGCGTGTGGTTGCCCACCTGCTTTTCACACCTACCTATATCCGTAGACTGGCCATCAACCATCAACTCTGTACGAATACGTACTACCCCTACGTCTGGCGGGTGCAATTCTCAGCCACTCGAAATCTTTGCCCTCATCTCCATGGCGATTCGATAAAGGCCTTTCCTGCATCTGCGAAACCTGGACCTGCCATTCCCCGAACCTCCTTGAAAGCCGGCGTGCAGCAAAGTGCACAAATGCGCGAATCGCCAGCCCACCCTCTACTCCGACTGCGTTGGTATCGGTGACGGCAAGATGCCTGCATCAACAGAGGTGCAAAGCCCCTTGCCGGGCAAAGAGCAGGTGGTCAATGATGCCCCCAAAGTCATCAAAGAATTACATTTTGGTGTCTTGTATGGATTTGTCGTCTTGGGAGAGCAGGAACTTGACTCTGATGATGCTGCAGGTCGGATCAGGACATAATCAACCAGTCCCAGGTCGAACTCGCCGACCGTCGGATGTTTGATCTCGACAAAGGTCGCACATATGCCGAATACGGACCCCTCGACAGACGCATGGGTGTCTCGGGCAAACGAGACATATGCCAGACTTGCGGAGAGCAGTTGCAGACCTGTAACGGCCATTTTGGACACGTCAAACTCGTCCTACCAGCCTTCCATGTGGGCTACTTCAAGAAAGTCATACAAATTCTTCAGAGCATCTGCAAGGCAGGGATCCCGTTCAAGTCAGTCTTGACTACCCACTAATTCTTTCAGGACTGCTCGGCCATCCTCCTTTCCGAGGCGGACCGAAGAAAGTACATCAACGCTTTGCGAAGAGCCGGCAACGATAGCCTGCGACAAGCTGCCATTGTCAGAAAAGTGGCGGACCAATGTCGGAAAACAAAAGTCTGCTTCGACTGTGGTGCCATCAACGGCTTGGTGCGAAAAGCTGGCACACATGCGCTTAAAATTTCTCATGACAAGTTCAAATCATTCAACTCTTCGACAGCAGCCAAAAAGCAGCCACCGCCCGCAAAGATAGAGTTTGACAAGTCTTTCGAGACAGCGAAGGCGTCGAATTCGGAAATCGAGAAACACCTCAAAAAGGCCATGGATGACCTGAATCCTCTCCGGGCGTTGAAGCTATTCAGGCGCATACACCCCTCAGATCGTGAGCTGCTCGGTTTACGATCTGCCAAACCCGAATCTTTCCTCTGGCTGTATATCCCCGCTCCGCCAGTGTGTATCCGGCCTTCCGTAGGACAAGAAGCAGCAAGTACAGAGGACGACATCACAGCCAAATTGGGCGACATCGTGGCGGCAAATAATGCACTGAGAGAGGCCATCGAGAAAGGGGCACCTGTCCAGTCTGTTGTTGAACATTGGGACTATCTGTCGCTCCAACTCGCCATGTACATCAACAGCGACGTGCCGGGTTTGGCGAAGGGAGAGTTCGGCAAGCAGATCAGAGGCTTTGTCCAGCGGTTAAAAGGCAAGCAAGGCCGTTTTCGTGGAAACCTGTCAGGGAAACGTGTCGATTTCTCAGGCCGTACTGTCATCTCTCCCGACCCGAACCTAAGAATCGACGAGGTCGCGGTTCCGGAACTGGTGGCGAAGAACATGACCTATCCAGAAGTGGTCAACGAAATTAACATTGAAAAATTGCGGCAACGTGTGCGCAATGGTACCAACATCTGGCCAGGGGCCAATTACGTTTACAAACCTGACGGCGACTTCCGAGTCTTCCTTAAATTTGGTAAACCGGCGCTGATTGCGAAAGAGTTGAAGGAGGGCGATATTGTCGAGCGCCATCTCGAGGACGGAGATATTGTCTTGTTCAACCGGCAGCCATCTCTTCACAAGCTCAGTATCCTCAGCCATTTTGTCAAAGTTCGACCTCATCGGACATTTCGGTTGAACGAATGTGTGTGCAATCCCTACAATGCTGACTTTGACGGAGACGAAATGAACCTTCACGTCCCTCAGACTGAAGAGGCGAGAACAGAAGCAACATTGTTGATGGGTGTCAAGCACAACATTGTCACTCCGAAGAACGGTGAGCCTATCATCTCGGCTATCCAGGATTTCATTACCGCTTCTTTCCTTCTGAGCAGCCTGGATCAATTCTTCGACAAGAAAACGTTCGTGACCATGTGCGTTGGGATGTTGGAGCCCGAGACCAAGTTCGAGCTTCCACCACCTGCAGTTATCAAGCCGCAGACTCTTTGGACGGGTAAGCAAGTCTTCAGCATCTTGATGAGGCCGAACAAGCAATCCCCGGTGACGGTCAACCTCGACGCCTCATGCAGAGACCACAACCAATACCACCCTGACTTACATCGAGATCTCCAAGATGACAGTTTCTTGTGCATCCGCAACTCCGAGGTCTTGTGTGGCAGAATGGACAAAGCAACAGTGGGATCCGGGAAAAAGAACTCTGTCTTCTACATCCTGTACCGTGACTTTGGACCAGACGCGGCAGCTCAAGGCATGAACCGCCTGTCCAAACTTTGTGCCAGGTGGCTTGGAAATCAAGGCTTTACTGTTGGCATCAGCGACGTCACACCACCAGACCTGCTCGTCAAGGCTAAGGCTGAAATGATCGCTAAAGTCTTTGAAGAATGCAAGGCCTTTGTGCAAGCATCCAAGGCAGGCAAGCTCAAGAGGAAGGCCGGCCTCGATGATGCAGGTACTTTGGAAGCAGAACAGGTCCGAGTCCTGAGTACTGTTCGAACAAACATTGCAGGTGTTTTGACGTCTGAACTCAGTAAGAGAAACACACCTATGATCATGGCTATCTCTGGATCCAAAGGCTCGAACATCAACGTCGCCCAGATGGCAGCTCTCCTGGGACAGCAAGATATCGAAGGAAAACGAGTAGGGGATGGGTTCCAAGACCGAACCTTACCTCATTTTGCGAAGCATGAACGATCTCCCCCATCTAAAGGGTTCATCTCGAACAGCTTTTTCAGCGGACTCTTACCCTACGAATTCTTGTTCCACGCAGTTGGTGGGCGTGTTGGTCTGGTCGACACGGCCGTGAAGACTGCCGAAACTGGTTACATGTCACGTCGACTTATGAAATCTCTGGAGGACCTGTCTACTCAGTATGACCACACCGTGCGCAATTCGGCCTCCAACATCGTCCAGTTCCTGTTTGGTGATGACGAGCTTGACCCTGTTGACATGGAGGCAAGTGCGAAGCCCGTGGACTTTGAGCGCACCTATGCGCACGTGGAAGCGATTACCTTTGACACGAATGAACCTGGTCTGTCGGCTGCCGACATCCACTCTGTTCTGGAAGAAATACTGGCTCCAAAACGCAATCTTCTCACCAGGTTCGACTTCAATGGCACAGAACTTCCCTTCGATACCGATGACGATCGATTGGTGGATCAAAGTGAGAGTCACCGTGCATTTCTGCAATCTATCTATGACTTTGTCATGGCGAAGGCGCGATATTTCGAGGAGGCAAGGGTACAGAAAAAGCAATACGCTCTTCCGCCATCGTGGACGTCCAGTGGCAGCAAGAGAAAAGCCGAGACCGACCCTGACGAAGCCGGAAACGAAGCCTCGGTCGCACCAGAGCGGCGTTCTAGCCGGAAAGGCCTTGTCGCAGCCGCAAATACCCCTAAAGCTGTTAAGAAGCAGAAGAAAGTGCCGTCAGATGATCAGACAGTCACGAAGGTTCAGGCGTCTCCTTCCACCAAGGACCGCTTTGAATTAACCTGCAAGGTCTCTGAGAGGACACTACGAGGCTTCATCAATTTGTGCTTGGAAAAATACGAAAGAGCGAGGACCGAGCCAGGCCACGCTGTGGGAGCTGTCGGGGCGCAGTCCATAGGCGAGCCAGGCACTCAGATGACTCTCAAAACTTTCCATTTTGCTGGTGTTGCTGGCATGAGTTTGACGGCAGGTGTCCCACGTATCAAGGAAATCATCAACGCATCGAAAGACATCAGCACACCCGTGATAACCTGCCGCCTGGAACGCAGAAGAGATCTGTCGATACCCGAGTCGCTGGCTAGAATTGTGAAGGGCAGGATCGAATGCTTGTATCTCGAGGACATTACCTCCTACATTCAAATCAGCCACTCTCTAGACCGGCCAAGTTGCATCTACCTTCGAATCTCCTTGGACACTATCACCGAGCTGGGCCTCGACCTTACTCTTCAAGACGTTTGCAATGCCATTCAGAAACACCGTCAACTCAAAGCTGCGAAACTGCGAATTCAAATCAAAGGCCAAGATGAGCTGAAGATCTCAACGGATGCGCCGATAAAGTCGACGAAGCGTGGCACAGCTGCAAAGATTGACGAAGATGGGCAAAACGAACGACTGATCCGTCTTCAGACGTTGCGTCGTGTTCTTCCCAGTGTGCACGTTCTTGGTCATCCTCTGGCAACTCGAGCGGTAGTCACTGCGGAAGATGATCCAAGGGCAGACGAGATCAAGGCGCTGCGCCGAGCTGCAGAGCGCGCAAGGGCCGAGAAACAGCGGGCCACTACCTCGTCCACGGAGCCAGACGTTAAAGATGAGAATGGCAAGATTAAGGTTGAGGAACCGACTCAAACCGTCATACCAACCCCATCGGCAGACGACGGCAAACCTGTTCAGATGCACAAAGTCATGGTCGAGGGATACGGCTTGCGCTACTGCATGAACACCGAGGGCGTTGACCCATATCACACCCATACAAACTCGGTGATGGAAACGCTGCAAGTCCTCGGAATCGAAGCCGCACGCGCCAAAATCGTCCTGGAGATCCAAGAAGTCATGAAAAGTCTTTCCATCGACCCGCGTCACATGGCGTTGCTTGCTGACGTGATGACCTACAAAGGCGAGGTACTTGGTATCACCCGATTTGGCCTGGCCAAGATGCGTGACAGCGTGCTTCAGCTTGCCAGTTTCGAAAAGACGGCCGATCATGTGTTTGATGCCGGTATTGCTGGCAAGATTGACAAGATTGAGGGTGTGAGTGAGTCTGTCATTGTGGGCAAGACCATGGGAGTTGGTACCGGGAGCGTCGAGGTTGTCAGATACCTGAATATCGGTGGCAAGGATAAGAAGAAGAGACCGACCGTCTTTGAGGATGCGTGGGGCAAGGCGGACCGAGCGAGGGAGCGGAAGAAGAAGCAATGATCGGTCGATGAGATTGACGCTGATGATGATGATCTCTTGCGTCTTGCGCCTCTATCTCAGAATGAGCAATGATACCAGCCCAGTAGATAATGATTGTATACAGCTCAATCCCACTCATGGACAGCTAATGACTGGACAAGCATTCCATTGCGAGACCCTCGAGTGCTTCACTTCTGAACACACCCTGGCTTAGGCTTTCATGCCAGTACGAGACCGTGCAAGATGCCCGCCCAGAGATGAATGTCATTTCACACTCGGGTGCCTTTTCGCGTCCTCTCGTTTCTAAACTTCAGGGGTATACTCACTTCCTGAGCTGCCGCGATCCAGGCGTTATGTACGAAAGGAGGAATTCAAGTCCATCATCGAAAGTCCGCGGTCGAGTGAAGATGCGAGCCCGGGGGTTTCCGGCGTATCACGCCACTCCCACCCCCCGCAAGCACTCTTTGCACAGGAAAATACACTCGAGAACAAGGTGGAAGAAGACGGAACGAGGATCATGAGGATCCTCGTTGTCCTTTTATTGACCGCTAGAGCGGAAGGTCGATATGTACAACATCCATGTGAAGGATGCTTTCTTCATCCCGCCGTAGTTCGCCAGCGCCATCCGCGTCTGTACAGCAGCATCACAGCCTCCTTTCCCCATCTTCGATGCCTTGTTCGACTATTTATTTGAAGCCAGCTTCTCGGGCACGCTGGTCTTCCAGCCTGGCGTAGAAGTTGTCGCGAGCTCGGACGCGAGGGAGGTGGTAGCCTGGCGATACAGTCAGATAGGGCCTTCGTTGAAAGCTCCGCCATGGGACCGGTCTCCGAGGGCGGCGGCGACGCCAGAAGAAAGCGCGCTTCTTGCAAGTGAAATGTGGAGGACGCTTGCTTTACTTACCGTACCACCATAGGTATCCGAAAGTGGTTCCTAGCCCTGTATTTTAAACCACGTCAGCATGAACTGGTCTTGCTATGACTCTGCCGGCCTTTGAGTTCCAATTTCCTCCTCGTCTATAGTTTCGTCTGTTGCTCGAAATGCATTGCATTCGCTTGAAATGGCGGGCGATTGGGGGTTCGGCTTACCGAGCGCAATACTGAGATCCAAGACGAGACCTCGTCGGAGCATCTGCACAAGTCAAGTCGTCAACACAATACACCCAAGACTGGCGGGATATGAGATAATAGGCTGCAGACAAGCACAGCACCACGCCAGACAAGAAAGGCCAGACAAGAGAGACCGGACGTACTCCTGTGATAGGTTTGATCGCCATTATTTCCTCTCAAGCTCTCGGAGAGCTCCTCAGACACTGTAAGTTGTAGGAATGCGGTGAACTGCAAGATAGAGGCCGAGGTTTGTTGCTGGTCGAGCGCCAACCTCACTGTGGACGTGTAATGGTCGCGAGTTGAGAGCTGCGAGATGGTTGCTTGTTGAAGCTTCCTCAAAGATCCGCAATTGAGGTGAATTGCAGTCGAAGCTGAAGGCTTGGCGGCACGTGCCATCCAGGTCACTTGGGTTGCCCGACCGTGCCGCTTTAAACCCTAGCTCCTCCCGCCTCACCCTCCGCTCACCTCCTTACCTTTCCACCCACCCTCGACCTTATCCTCCTGCTTGTCGACCACCCTGACTGGGGCTTACTATTAGCGACGGTGGCTAGGTCCCGTTTATAGGACCTATCGAACTATACGGCACCCTTCGTTCCTCTGACGCCGTACCACTACTCGAGTACCTAGGTGCTACTAGTACTAGGAATAGCAGCATAATACGGAGTACGTGCTTGGCACTACGGCGCGGGAAATTGAGGGTTGATGCAAGGCTGCAATGGAGACGCTCGTATGAGGCTGCCATGGAGAAAAATAGCGTTCCGGACAGTTCGGAAGGTGTTGCCAGCAGACCGGTCTTCATCATCAAAAGGCACGCCATACCGCCGTATATGTGACTCGAGGCATCAATATGGGATGGGTCGCGGGGAGATGACATCCTTCAGCAAATCCCAATCGGCCGCACATCATGGACTGATTCGCAGATCGAAGAACATGGTCAGTTTTTCATCCACAACAGATCGGAGAACGAAGTATTCTCCAGCTTGCCTCCAGGAGCCAAGTCTTTCTCTCTAGGCCTCCAGTATTGGGAGCGCGGCGCAAGAATTCGGTACGATTTATACATCCACAACTGCCAAAGCTTGGTCAATCATCCAGCGTTGCAAATAGGCTCCGACGCGCTGCCCAAGAATTGACTTGTCACTTTGCCTCTCCAGCATCTGCGATCCCTGACGGCAGCTCGAATTCCCACGGTTCTCACAGTTCCTCGTGGCTCTAGGATGATATCCGAGTGGGCATTGGTTGTGTGTGTTTGGTGCGAGTCGCCAACGACGTGCCAGATGTGGCAGTTCCCAGTGATCACGCATGCATTCACCGTATTGATGACCGTGGCTGTCGCATCCAGCAGGATATCACGCTGAGATGAAGTTCTTCTTCCGGGAGATTGGCATACTCGGTGCTGGAGCGGCGCGAGGAGACTTGACGGAACGCACAGTGAAACAGTAAGTGCTTGCTGTTTTCCCAATCTCTCAATCTCTCACGATCCGAGGGTACAGCATCTTCGAGGCTCTCGCACGGACTGCACCCAGCCTGGGTCCGTTTAAGTGATCATCCTGTTCCACTATCACGCCTTCGCCGTTTTGAGTTCGACGGTCCACTTCAATAGCTGGTCCTTTCGTCTGTCGGGATTATGTAAACCCGGTGTTACTTAACCTGATTCGTCAGTATAGCATCCCCGGTGGCCTGTTTGGGTCTTGCTCCTCCAGGTCGAGGTGACGCGATTGTCGCTAGAGAACTTTGATCCCCGAGGCCTGAACCGACTGATCCCCGAGGACGGGAGTGTACATACTCAAAGGGACCAGGAATCCATCAGACTGCAGAACAAAAGGTCATGTTCGCTTGACTGCTTGAGTCGAGACAAAGCCATAGTCTTGGTCATCCACCCGGTTCACCGTCTGGCCGCGATATGGCTTCTTCAGCTCCAACGGACTCGGCGGCGGCGTCGCTGCAGAATGAAAAACATCAGGCGACAGGGTTTGCGGAAGTTGCACCTCCAGAAGGAACGGATGAGCACCACCGCCAGGAGATACTGGACCGGTTCACCGCCGAAGATGACAGAAGAATCATGCGCAAGGTCGATTGGCACTTCCTTCCCCTCCTGGTCTTGATGACCATCATCAAGCAGTTCGACTACACCAATGCCGCGTCGGTGAGGGTCTTGCAAGTTGGTCTACCCAGCAACATCATGAAGGAGTTGGGGCTGTCCGCCAACGACTACAACTGGCTACAGACTCTTTATTCGGTGAGTGAGCGGACATTCCTTCATGCCATGGGGTCTTCTGACTGACCCAACCAGCTGGGCATGCTCTTCTTCGAGGTTCCCAGTAATCTGTTGCTCAAAAAGGTCACGCCGCGCAAGTGGATGACCCGGATCTTCCTCACCTGGGGCATCGTGGTGGCCTGCCAGGCCGCCGTTCAAAACCGGGGGGGAATCTACGCATGCCGCTTCCTCCTGGGCGTCCTCGAGGCCGGCTTCTTCCCCGGCGTCACCACCCAGATGTGCAGCTGGTACCGCAGCGACGAGTACGGCAAACCGGTCGGGACGTATTTCATGGCCCAGGCTTTCTCCGGCGTTCTCGGCTCACTCCTCGTCTACGGCATCTCCTACATGGACGGGCTGGGCAACCTCAGCGCCTGGCGCTGGGTGTTCCTGCTGGAAGGTCTGGTCACCATTCTGTTCTCCGCCGTCATCTACCTCGTGCTGCCCGACTACCCAAAGTCCGCCCGGTCGGCCAAGTGGCTTACGCCGGACGAGCAAGAGTACCTGGAAGCTCGGTTGTCGGAGAATGCTCCTCGAACGGATGAAAAGGCCTTCCGGCTCAGCGAAATCATCGACGTTCTCAAAGACCCCCGCATCATCTTCTTCACTGCTTGCCAGCTCATCCTCAACATCGCCGGCTACGGTCTCTCCTGGCAGACTCCGGTCATTGTGACCCAGCTCGGCTTCACCAAACTGCCGCGGAACCAGCTGCTCCTGATCCCGCCTGCCATGGGCCAGGTTCTGGGCCAAATCGCGGTGGTCTGGTTCCTGTCCAAGGCCTACGTGGTCCGACCGGCGATCAACATGGCGCTGTGCGTCGGAACGCTGGTGTTCTACATCGTGCTGTGTTTCCCCGTGAGTGCGGGCGCCACGTATGCGGCCTGTGTGATGGGGCAATCGTTGTTCTACACCTACTTTGTGGTTTTCTGGTCCTGGCGCTCTTCCAGCTTGGTCGGCGCCACCGGCACCGCCTTCACACTGGCGGCGCAAACCGCCCTGGCCCAGGTCGGTTCCATCATTGCGCCCAACGTGTTCCAGTCCAAATGGGCGCACAATGGCTACAAGAAGTCCTTTTACATCCTCGCCGTGTGCGTGGCCTGCGCTGTGGTGACGACCGGGATCGCCTGGTATCTGACCAGGAAGCTGGAATACGAAGTTTGGCAAGTCCGGAAGCACAGAATCGCCGCGGAGAAGAAGAACAAGGTCTGGACCGGGACCGACGTCCACTTCTTCGAAAACCGAGTCTTCTACCCCAAACCCTCGCGTTTCCGCGCTCGACGAGAAGCCAGGTAGCCTCGGAACAAAGTGTTCTGACCGGAGGTCGAGGGAGACGGCGTGTACGCCTGTTAGAGGCCACCATCTTCGACATGTGATCTTGCCCCATGGTTGGAGACAGTCATAACAACTTGGTCTTAGGGTTAATAGATAAAGTCGGCTCTCTATGCTTGGTATGCGGTGTTGTCTTATATCGCTCTCTGTGCTGTGTAGCCATAGTAGTCGCTACAGATTAAAAGAAAGAAAAGAATTGAACCTCGGGTCCAGAATATAGACTTTGGCCTAAGGCTTAGGCAGCCCTCACCATTCATCTAATGAAGGCACGGATTCTAATGACAGTTAAGGTTTTCCATATATGTATATACATATATATATATCTATAACAACCGGGGTTTGTGGACCAACGTCAACTTTCAACCGAAACCTCTTGCCTGATTCCACTGTCACTCGTGATATTTTGTCCAGTACTTTCAGGTGGACGAAGTGGAGGGTCTTTCGCGATCACTGTAGGAGACAGAAGACAAATACCTCCCCCCCTCCCCCCCCCAAATCTCCTGTTTGGTCTATCAATATGACTCGGGCTTCATTCCGACATCAGACTTCAGGTGTCAGACTTCCGGCGTCAGGCTTCACGGCCTCGAGCAACCTTTTCCACGAACGTTCGGCCCTGATGGCGGCGGGTTCTAGACCGGCGTGCTCCTCTCTCGTGCGGCGGTCAAAGACTTCGAGAGAAAGCCAACCGGTGTAGTGCTTGTCCAGCAGAATGGAGCGCAGGAACTCGGCGCTGGGGAAATAGGCGCCGGATTCGACCTCGAGCGGGAAGGGGCGGGCGTGCCTGGACCAGCTGGCCCTTGGATCCAGGGCCGGGTCGAAGAAGGGGTGGCCGGGATGGTAAGGAGGATCGAAGAGTTCGCCGTCGGACAGCTGGACGTAGAAGAGCTTGTCGGCGGTGTCGGTGGCGGCCAACCGGTCCAGCGAGGCGCGCAGGCGGGCGTCTCCTCCGGGCCGACGGCCGCCCGGCACGGTGTTGTCGGCCCAGAGGCCGGTGATCAGGTGGAAGTTGTCCAAGCAGAGGCCGAAGTTGGGACGGTCCACGGCCTGGACGAGGTCCCAGGCCTGTTCCCAGGTGCTGACGTGGCGGGCCCAGGCCACGGGCTCGTACGCGACCGCCACGCCCGCCGCGGCCGCCAGCTCGGCCAGTTGGCGCAGCTCGGCCACCAGCACGGCCCTGTCGCCGTGGCTGTCCCGGAGCGTCTGCGACGGCACCTGCAGGTAGCGGCCGCCCAGCCGCCGCAGCAGCTCGATCCAGTCCGCCGCCACCGCCAGCCGCTCCGCCAGGCTCGTGGTCGGGTGGCCTTCGAAGTTGCGGAACGGATCCAACGCCAGCACCTGCACGCCGCTCGCCGCGCTCAACTCCCCGAGGCGCGTCGCCGCCGCGGCCAGGCTCAGCCCGTGCGTGTGGGCATACCTCTCCAGTTCCGGGTACACCACCTCGATCCCGCCGAACCCATGTTTCGCCGCCAACTCGATCTTCCGGTCCAGCGTGTGCGCCGCGTGCTGTCCGAGCGACGCGCTGGACACGGCCACTTTGATGTCGGACGTCATGTTGGCTTGGGGGGGGCTATGACCTTACTACCTTGTAGCAGCACTCGTCAATCCCGTCTTCCTGATGTTCCTGATAATACAATAAGCCCTGGGGTCCAGCGGCCGGGGGGAACAAGCAAGGAATTTGACCCGAACCGAACCTGGATTCCAATATCAATATCAATTCCAATTTCAAGTCCTTTTCCATTTCCATCTCCATTTCCACTTCCATTTCCCGCCGAACCTGTGCCATATGTTATGTAACAGTCGGGGACCCAGAAAACCAAAGGACTCCTGGACCCCTGGGCCCCCGGCAACTCGTTGGACGTTGGACGTTCCACGTTCGGGTTTCGGCACGTCGGCAGAGATCCCGCTCGATCGTAATCGCCCCGGTCGCCGACTAAACGGGATGGCTCCTCAGGCCTCTCATTGGCCGGTGTGGCGGACCGGCGACCACTGGAGGTTCTTGCTCGTCATGATGGGCCGGTATGGCGACACCGGTCCGGATGGGCCTAAGCTGCATCGGTCGTAGATACCCGGCGTCCACATGGATTCGTAGATTGCATAGATTGATCCTTTCCCAGGTGGTCCCCGTCACTATAGCGGTATGGATACGCGACCAATGTCCTCATTCTGGCAAGAGAATACGCCATACATTAGGTACATCCAATCTTGAAAAGGCTGGTGTGAGAGAGAGAGAGATACTCCATAACAAGGCTAGGAAGCCCCCTTCGAGAAAAGAGGTTTTCCAATTGGCCCAAGCCCCCCTATTTGTTTGCTCTTTCGGCAAGCCGTACCTACCTACGACGACGACGACTACTACTACTGATACTACTACTACATGTGATATATTGATATATCCCGTGGTCACAAGCAAGACGCCCCCCCGATTCTCCATCATGTCAACGGCAACGCCGCACAAGCCCATCCCGGCCCGTCTCGCTGGCAAGGTCGCTCTGATCACCGGGGCAGCAGGCAATATCGGGTCGGCAACCGCACACAGGTTCCTGCAGGAAGGGGCCAAGCTCGCGCTCATCGACCTGGACGCGGCACAGCTACAGAGGACCGAGCAAGCCCTCGTCGCAACCAATCCTCGCATCGCATCGTCTGTCGCCGAACACGTGCTGCGCGTGGTGGCCGACGTCACAGACGAGGAGAGCATCAAACGCGCGGTTCAAGAGACCGTCGACACTTTTGCCAGGCTGGACACAGCCTTCCTCTGCGCCGGCGCTTCATACACGGCCACGTCCATTTTTGACACCGACCTGGAGCTGTACGATCGTCTGACGAGGATCAATAGTAGATCTGGTAGGCCAAACACAATGACCTCCCCTCCTGTAATCCTTCAAGTGTGCACAGCCCCATGCCCCGGGCCGATGTCGACTAACTTGTTCTCCATGGTGATCTTGGCAGCCTTCGTTGGGATTAAGCATGCGGCTGCGGCTATGCGAGACCTTGGACAGGGAGGGAGTATCATCCTCGCCTCCTCGGTCTCCGGGCTCCGCGGAGCACCAGGCATGACCGTGTACGCTGCCTCCAAGTTTGCCCTCCGGGGTATGTGTTTATCGTTGGTCGCCGAACTGGGTCAGTACGGGATCCGCATCAACACCATCCATCCTTGTGGAGTGAATACGCCCATGTTTAGACAGACCTGGACCAGGGAGCAGGAGCAAGCGCTATTGAAGACTGTCCCGCTTGGGCGGTGGGCAGAGGTTGAAGACGTGGCCGCGGTCGTCTCGTTTCTTGCGAGTGACGACGCTCAATTCCTGACTGGCGGAGCTCTCAAGGTCGATGGCGGAATGGTCTGCATGTAAACCTGGTAGACAGTCGGCGTGCATAGCAGACCGGGGGACCATTAGAAACTAGTACAGTATTCTAATGTTCGCTCGGCCCTCCTTTGCAAGCCCTTACTAGGTATGTATTGATCCTCCTCCTCGGCACTCCTCTCTAGCAGGGGCAGTCGCTGGTTATCCGTCAGGAATGCCGTGGGTTGGCTCCGAAAAGATAGTGCTTTTGATTCAGGCAGGCGTTGACGCATGGTGGAGGCCTCAACCGGTGCTGTCTTGATCCAGATAACTTAGCTGGGCCATTGTCATGTCGGAGAGGAAACCCATGTTTTGGGAGAACTGCGAGGGTCTTTGGTCCCTTTGACATTAAAACATCTGTGTTAGCATCCACCATGCAAACATAAATGGAACCACCGTGCAAACTCACCAGACGAAATCATCGAGCTCAGCCAATTGATCGCAAAAATAATCCATGCACTCAGAGGACACAGCGCCCCCGAGCAAGGCAGGTCCAATTCCAAAGTCATCTGTCACGGTCATGGGCCCAATGGTGGTGGTGGGTGCCAGGCCCTTCCCGACTTCGTCCCCGGCTGGACGATTCAAGGCAGACTGGACGCCAGCTTGCGTGGACCAGGAGTGTGCAGCACCGCCCTGACCCAGGCTCAATGCAGCGGCAAAATCAGGGCCAACACATCTCACACGCGGTCCCCATGGGTAGCGTGTCACACCCCCGGTCCCCTCTTCCTGGACCGGATCCTCAAATACTGTCTCATTGGCCGGAAAGGTCCCCAGCTCCAGCGAGTCATCCAGGCGCCGCCCCGAGCAATGATGAGTTAAGCCCGCGGAAGATCGATGCCTGCGATTTGGATCTGCCACTAGGATATCTCCAGCTGCTTGCCTCGGGTCAGAGAGAGATTGGGACGCGGTCAGGTGCAGGAGAGCTCTGGAGGTGGCGAAATCAATGAGTGGGAACAAGTGCGATTCCGTATATCTTTCCACGTACATTCTCTTGAGGAGTGAGATTTGCGCCGGTGGAGTGTCCAGATCTGGCATAGAAGTCGGATCCACCAAATCTTGCCACAGGTAGAATGTCATGGTCTTGACCTCCAGCTGCGCGACAATTGCCGTAAAGAGGAGATGTAGGTTGAGTACATGTGGAAGTAAGGGCGGTGCTTGGGATTGATGGTCCTCCAACCCAGTAACTGTGCAAACTTTTGGCAGGCTGGTCAGCCATTTTCGAAGTATTTGCACGAGACTAGGATAGGTCTTGGGGACGTCATCTTTTCCCTGGCCGTCGTTTGCAAGGTCGTGAAGAATGCAGGACAGTTCAAACAGGCGATTGAAAACACTGGCGACACGAAGTGGCTGATGCTGGTTCATGTTGCTGTCATTCGGGCCTCGACATGTTGATATGTCCACCCACGGACCCCATTCTTCAATCCCATCTTCTAGAACTAAGCCCGCGTCGGCCATGTCATGGCATCTCACATGGGCTGGTCTTTGGACTCGAGCAGAGATCACCGTATCAAGAATGAAGGCACCCATCAGAACGTGTTTTTGCCTCCCGCACAAGTTGAGGGACGTTGCGTACCCCTCATTCCGAGTCTTCGACCTGACCTCGTATGCCGCCCGTAAGGCGCGTCCTGCTGAATGCCATGCTCTTTCCCAGGCACCGGCTTTGCAGCTCGCCAGGCTCAGCAGCAGCAATGATTGGACGTGACCCAGGTCACAGGGATAGTCCTCATCCGGGATCAAAGTTCGAGCGGTTCGATACGCTTCCGTGTCTGCTTTGCCATGGCGCTCAGCTGGTACAATGTCGGGCGGGTCGAAGGGCATAGCAACATCTTGCAACTGCGCCAAGGTCAGTGCCGCCCATAACGCCGCGTGTGCTCCAGTCTGGGCGGTGTGCTCGTAGATCTGATCTCGCGGGCATGGATATTGCTGGGCCGTCTTGTAAATGTCGCTTTTTTCCAGGATCGGAAACCAAGTATGAGTGTACGTGAAATAACGGTTCAGGAGTTCCCAGGTGTTGTCGGGTAATGTCAGGACGCCCTCGGGATGCCTGTCCGATGTGTGGTAGGGCAACAAGGGTGAGGCAACCGTCATTGAGTGTATCTTCTGATACTTCGTATTCTGGTTGGCTTCGGATCGGTGGCTCTGCAGATAATCTAGGGTGGAAGAGGTTCCGACCGTGATAACCTCTGCCGGACTGGAGGATGCCCTGTCCTTCTCAACGTGCGTTTCTTCGGGAACACGCCATTGGAAAATGGGTGGATTCTGTAGAGAGCTGGCCCCGTCTTGTTTCGTCTGTGCATTCGTCTTGCCTTCCTGACTCTGGACTCTCTCTTCAGGGGTGTCCCAGATGCTCAGTTGGCGGTTGACCTCCCGCAAAAGACGACTGTTCTTCCATTTCTCTAGCACTTCCATTCGCCATTCCTCGCCCCGGTCGACAACAAGCTCTTCCAACAGCTTGATCGCGGCGTGCTCGCTTCCATCGATTCTTTCCAAAATCGACCCCCAGAGCGTTTCCAGGACCCGTACGTAGCCTCCAGTCAGGCCACGTTTCCGCGGAGGGCTTGCGTAAATGCAAGCTGCGTTGGCGCCCCTACAACCGGAGCAGCTTGGGCGCGAGCCATTGCACTTGGCCTTCCTGCTGCGACAACGAATGCACGCTTGTTCGACCCTTCGAGACTTGGACTTTAAGAAATTCGAGGGAGGGAAATGGTCCCAGTGTAGCTCCCTGACCTGTCCGGGTCCATCATCGTTCGCGGGCATCGTCTCACGCGCGACCGGACGGTGTCAGTGATTTGGGTCGGACACTGGAAGGAAGTGGACAAAACTCTGGGAATGCCGGCCGCCAGGGACTGGGGTCGGGGACTGGTGGCTCCTCAGGCTCCTCCAGTCCCCGATCCATCGACTACTGGCCACCGGCCACGCTTCAGCCATGACACAGGCAAGTCTAGGTACGTAGTAGGTACCGACTGTAGGGGGGCATGGGCAAGAAACGCAGCCGGGACTCGAGGTAGCGGGGGCCCAAGAAATGACGTGCGAGGTCACAGATTACAGTGCGCAGTACGGATACGAAGTACGGGGTGCTAATATACACTGGCATATTACTCCATTATTGATATTAGTATCTGGTGGTATCCGTACTCCGTATCACTGCCGGCGAGGAATCCAGGCACCCAAAGCCAGTCGCCGGCGCGCCCACCCGGTCCCCGAGCGTCTCGTCTCAACACTCGTTTGTGCCGGTCTATCTTTTGCAGGGATTCTCAAAACAGTGTCGTTCCTTGACAGCGCTCCCAATACTCCGGACACGATGTCGACACAATGTAGCACGACGCCGACTTCACCAACTTCGGGCTAGGACGGGCCGTCGAACCAAGCATGAAGCGGCAAGCTGAGGAGATGCTTTCATCTCTTCCATCCGAACTGATTGATGTGGCTAGGATCACGCCCCGTCCCTCCCATGCCATCCCACAGAGACGTCCGGATGTGACTCCCAACATGCACAAGCTTGCTGCGTTCAATCATACCACGAAACACAATGGAGGACCGACGGCGTCATCGCCGGCTGCCAGTGAAGCCGCGTTCCTATCCTCGCATCATGCTCAACATCGTCAATTCAGCTCCAACGCGAGCATTGTCCTCATCGGGCTTAGTGGATCAGGGAAATCGACCTTGGCTGTGATGGCCGCCTACAATCTTGGGCGACGGCTTGTCGACGCAGACAGCTACTGGAGATCGGCAACAGGGCAATCCAGACATGATTACAGAGCGAAGCATGGCGAGGACGCCTACCAGCAGCGTGAAATCGCGGTGTTGGAAGATATGCTAGAACGACACTCTGACGGATGTGTGATTGAATGTAGTCCTGGCTGCTTCAAACGAAGGGGCCACTCGACCCTCAAAAGATACGCCGTCTCACATCCTGTCATATACATCCATAGAGAGCGAGAGCAAACACAACGCTACCTGCAGAACGTCAGGCCCGAGGAGATCGATCGACTGCTGAAGATCAGCGAGCCACTGTACCTCACTTGCTCCAACTTCGAGTTCTACAATCTTACAGAAAGGACTGTACCGGGTCACCGAGCCTTCCAGCCGCCAGAGCCAACATTCACTCAGGATGGCCAGCCTCGTTCCTTCTTGGCGCTGAAGAGTACCGAGCAGAGCTTTTTCTACTTTTTGAAGCGTATCTTTGGCACCAGGGATCCGCCCTTCTCCCAGACCATGGATCAGTTTCCAGTAAGCCCGCTTTCGGAAGCAAGGCCTTACACTTACCTATTGTCGGTTTCTCCCCTAACTGAACCACAAGAACTCGATACCGATGACGAGTTGTTTGCCAGTCTAGATGCGTACGAAGTCAAAGTCGACATTGCAGCATTCCTCGACGAGTCTCCAAACACTGACGAAACAAGAAGCTTGATGAGAGCCTCCATCGGCCGGACGTTCGCGTTGCTTCGACAACGTAGTCTCATGCCCGTCATTTATCATGTGGAGCTGGGGTCAGATAGCGAGATTCCTCAGGTGTACATTGACTTGGTTCGTTATGGGCTTCGCTTTGCTCCTGACTACGTGACGCTGGACCTCCGATGCTCAGAAGAAATGATGCACTGTGTCAGAGATGCCAGTGGCTCTACACAGCTCATAGCTCACCGTTATTATCCCGCCCCTGGCAGATACGGCTGGGATAGCCGAGCCAGGCTCACTGATTATCTTCAAGCTTGGGACAGAGGGTGCGACCTTGTGCGCCTGGTTCAGCCTGGAGTCACATTCGAAGACAACGACGCGGTTCAGAGACTCCACCACAAGATTGAAGCAATATCAACCCATCACCCCCCGCTAATCGCATACAACACCGGCATTCAAGGCCGCTCTTCAGTGATATTCAACAAGACCCTCTCCCCTGTCATCTCGGCAGAAAATGGACGCGAGGACCGCCACTTGTCAGCCTGCATAACTGCCCGGGAGGCACAAGAGGCCTTATTTTCTTCGTTTGTCTTGCAACCATTGAAGTTCTGGGTTATTGGTGCCAATGTTGATGGTAGTTTGGCCCCGGAGATGCACACTGCTGCCAGCAAAGCCTGGGGCATCCACCACATATGGCAAGCGTGGACCTCATCCTCCCTAGAAGCTTTCATCCCGTTGACCGAAGACCCCCAGTTTGGCGGAGCCACGATCTGCCTCCCGTTCAAAACCGAGATAATGCCACTCCTGCGCTCCATCAGCCCGGCTGCATCAATGATCGGGGCTGTGAACACGGTCGTTCCTCTTCGATTCGAGCCAGACCCCAACATTCCCTATTATTGCGACCGTCGATTCCGAAGAAATCAGGTCGGACCTGTTAAAGCTCTGCATGGAGACAATACTGACTGGATTGGGTTTCGGGATTGTATATCCAGAAACCTGTCACCTGCAAATGCCGTCCGGCGCGGAACTTCTAGTCTGGTGCTTGGGGCAGGTGGCATGGCACGAGCAGCCGTTTTCGCGATGATGCAAATGAGCATCGAGAACATCTTCATTTACAATCGAACCCTTAGCAGAGCCCAAGCGGTGGCGGACCACTTCAACGGGATGGAAAGCTTCGCTCTGGATCCCTCGAGTGGCCAACAAGGCTCAACAATACGAACAACAAAAGTACGGGTAAAGATTCTGAATGGTTTAGGTGATCCGTGGCCATCAGAGACAAGCTTGCCGACGGTGATTGTTTCCACTCTTCCCACCTACTCGGTAGGGCAAGGGGGAGCCCCTGATGTCGTTCTACCAGAGGCATGGCTACAACACCCCTCAGGAGGCGTGTTCATCGAAGTAAGTTTCCTCTTGGTCACTGCCTAGCAGGTAGTCAGGTGTCTGATATCGAGCAGTTTGCGTACGAATCGCCCCCATCGCGACTTATGAAGCAGATGAGATCCAAGGCTGGGCAAGGCTGGGTTGCGGTGGACGGCCTGGATGTTCTACCTGCGCAAGGCTTTGCTCAGTTTGAGATGTTCACCGGCCGAATTGCACCCAGGAAAGTCATGCACCTAGAGGCGCTTCGAGCTTATACACGCCGAGCACCAGAGGACGAGCGCATCAAGATCGCTAGACGCCTGGTGGATGTAGAAAAGGACGATCGCCGGTACTGACGGAACTGTGATCGAGCCTGATCGAGCCTGTCGCGGTCAAACAAGACTGGTGGCCGGTGTAGAGCGCTGTCTGCACCAGGGGGGTGCTCAAGACATTTCAGCTGGTCCTGGACGCCCTGATGGACAGTCTTGACGACCTCGACTTCCCCAACAGCAACCTTTCATCATGTCGCTGCTCCATCCATTTTCACAGTCTTTCTTGGGTGAACACTTTGGAGGTCCCTGTCCCAGCTTCCTTGTTCCTTGTCAGAATGACCGATTACTATGCTGCCGAACCGCTGTGGAGCTTGCAACGAACCCATCTACTACACTACACCAGCTTCGTTCGCTTTCAGATATCCCCGTTCTCCCTAAGCCGTACGTTACGCTACATGTGTGGGCCGCCCGCATTCTACTGAATCTACTCCCGTACGTGGAGTAGTCTTATGGAACGAACTTCCAGGCGGCTCGGGCCATTCCTGTGTCGACTGGAGCTACATAGCAACTCTCCTCTACCTCTACTACGATGAAGATCGGAGGAAGACTTTGCAGCAAGATTTGGATGGGATGTTGTATTCTGGAATACGATGCTATTACTACGGAGTACGGAGGACGAAGGCTACCAATAAAAGCTCTCCATGAGTTGTTCTCATACCCCTGTAATGCAGCTAGAACGGTCTTGCGTGATCAATGGCTGTGTGGTCTAGGTTCAGGTTCTCGCCTGAGAGTAAGTTTAGTGGCCTCCTCAAGCGAACATTTCTAGCGATGGAAGATAACGGTGAGCAGCTACATGCCATGGTCGCGTTCGACAGAAGACAGTGGCTAAGATGATGGAGATGGACAAGCAAGGAAGGAAGGAAGAAAGGAAGCAAGGCCAAGAATGAGTATAGTCGGTCATTTCTCATAGCTTTCATGGTCTCTTTCATTCATGGTCAACTTTGTTCACAAGGCCAGGTGTCACCATTGCGATGACATATCGACCAGTACTGTACCTTCCACTTATCAGGAGGAAAGATATCGAGGGTGACCCGATAGCACCCTGGCGATCAAGACCACGCGTATACAATGAACTCGAAGCCTCACAATTCATCGCCCGAAAGGACCACTATTCCTGTTCCTAGACCTCCTAGAGATTGGCGACTAGACAACACGGGGACATTCCGACGTCTGCCAGGTAGTTTTCAGAGCTCATGGGCAAATGCTTCATCGATCTTGCCAGCATTCAGTGAAAGAAACCGAAGCGAATGACCAGTCGATACCTAGCATGCAGTCCTTGCGCAACTCGCCGCCTCCGGAGGCTTCTTACGGACCTTACCTCCAGCGGAATCGGTCAGACGTCAGGGCTTGTTCTCCTCGAGGCCCACTGGTCCACTGGTCCACTCCCTTGCAGTCGCAGGTTGCCAAAGGGGCCTTCACGGCGTCATGATTATGCTCGGCATCGAATACTGTGTTTGATTAAAACTGGCCATGCAAATATTAGCCAGTGTACGGAGTATTGGGAGCGCCGATGCAGATAGGTCCGAGGCGAAGACAAAAGAAGCAACGAAACGTACGGCAAAGGGGGAAGAAGGTGAGGTTCACTGGCTGCGCGATGGCCGGGGTTCAGGGGCGATGAAGATCGGTCAGGTCCTTGTAGGTTTCGCTTGTTAGATCCATCGAGTGATCATTGCAATAGTGCAATGCAAGTTGGGAAGGGAGGGCAACGACGTGAGGAAATATTAGAAAGCAGCAAGAGGAGTTTCCTCCTCAATATCTACATCTCTTGCCGTTCAGGAACGGCTGGAGTAGGGAGTACTGTGTAGTGGGTACGGAGTATCCGTACTGTGGTCACTGGTAAGACTGCTGGACCACGCCTGCCCGGAAGTGTTGATTCCGCAACGCTGCTTTTAACACTCCTCACATGTTTGGGGGTTAGCACAGGGCGGCATCACCCAGATCCCTAAAGGGGGTGAGTGAGCCTGGGGCAGATATTGGCGGGCCGTTTTGCTCCGCCGGTGCAGGGCGAGATCTAGAGAAGAGAGATTCAATAACCACCTACACCTACCTAACTCACACACCAAGACGGATCCTGGTATACTGGTCACTGATGGTCAAGGTCACGACCGGTAGCGACCACAATATTGTGTGCCAGAGACGGACCAGCCTTTGTCACATTCACTCCCGTCGTGCAGATGTCTTCAAGCGCGCCGCCAAAGCGAAAGACCACGTATCGTCACCACCATGTCCTGCATCACAAGGCTCAGGCCGTGCCCCCGAAGGAGCCGGCGCTTCTGGAACAAGACATTATCGACAAATTCCTAGTTGACTTTACCAAGACAGTATGCGAAGAAGAGGCGCTCAAACAGGGCATTACAAATCCCTTCATCGAGTCGGTCGCTTTGGGAGAGCTAATCGCTCTGGCGGAAGAATGTATTACCCTCTTTTATTGTTCCGTGGGCAGGTAGCACTTCACTAACTCTCTGACAGTCATGTTCAAGTTCCTTTCTCGAGTTCGTCGGTCGATGCTGGCAGCCCGCCGGACCTATCCTTTAGCTCCCGACTTTGAAACCGCCATCGAGGTCCTGGACATACCCAGGCCGGACGACCAACTTGGCCCTTACAAGACTCAACCTCCCATCAATCCTCCTTTACTACCCACACCGCCTCCTGAAGACGAATTCCACAATACCGTTGAACTTCCTCCGTCGTTCCTCGGTCCCGAGCTCGACGGGCACGGCCAACTCGTTAAATACGCCTTCAACGTGGGCGGATTACCAGAATTGCCCTCGGCGCACACATATAAAGATACTCCAGTATATCCCTACCGAGAAACCGACACGAGGAAAATCAGAGAGCTAGCCACGCAGGAAGGCAAGCTGGGTGAACAGGCGCTGCGAAAATTGGCCGGTGCTGTCAAGTTAGACGCGGCGCATCCGCTCGACTCGGAGACATCCAGACAGAAGTCCAGACCTCCACAACAGAAAAGGGGTCGTAAGAGAGTCAGTATATTGGAAGAGGCTATCTTCGAGGAGACTGTGCGAGACCTGTTGGCCAAAGAGCCCGCGGGCTTCGAGTTAGGGCCGATTGTGAATTCTGAAAAGGCGTGCCGCATGCCGGATGATGCGCACGCAAAGAGACTCGCGCCGGCCACTGGATCAGCTTCGGCTCGGCTTGAAAGGCAGGCCAGCTGGGCCAAGAGTGGCGTGGATGTGATGGAGCTTTGAGATCGAGAAGCCCACGTGTGCTGTTATCACAAAGCGTTGGCGTTGCTGGGAACACAGGAAAAGGAATTGGATTGCATATGATACCCCCAAGGCGGCGGCGAGGCTCGATTCGTTTTCATTGTCTCATTTTCGGGCCCAGAAATAGTTGCCATAGTTGGCGAATGCATTTGCTTCGGCCGTTGGTTCTATGCCACCTGTTGCGGTTGCGGTTGTGGTGTCATTGTTCGTTGTCCCTGCGCTCGGCTTCCAGGCATGTTCGCCCTCCCATGCCGTGGTTTCGACGTGGAACACCTTGCCATTCTTTTCCTGACATCTAGCATGGACTGTCAGCTCCCCAAGGATCTCACTCGAGTAGATAGTAGTTAGGGAACACCATACTTTCTGAACAGCCGTACAAAGGGAAAACATTCCATGCGCGCGGTCCCGGTCGGACTGGCCAGGGTCCGCTGGTATTGCTGCTCGGGAGTGGTGCAGCTGTACTGGACCAGCTCGAGCAGTTCGCAGTCCCGCTGCAGGTCGAACCCGCCGCCGAGTTTCCTGCTCTTCTCCTTGAACTCAACCGTGCGGTAGTGCAGGCGCTGGTCGAGGGCGCTGACTGGGAACGGGTGTTCGGGCGGGGCCATTGAGCAGACACTGCCCGTCGATTTCGCGCAGACCAACCAACCACCCACAACACCTTCTCCTGCTTCCTCCAACCTCACGTTCACTCAGGCCGGACCGTCGAGAGTATCTGTAGAGCGCTGCAATCGGTCATGGCGCAGAAAACATGTCGGTGGAACAGTACGGTGCTAGACTGCTTGCAGAGGTGCAGGAGGAAGGCCTCGACAAGGTGAGCAAGCAAGCCATGGTTCCATCAATCACTCTTGAATCCTGAAGGAAGTGGAACCGGCTCCGGTCCCGCGCTAGCTGGGGGTTGTCTTTGCCTCAGCCTTGCAGCACCCGCACAACGACACTTTCTCGAGCGATGGGCTGATCTTGAGGGTTTGGCAGCTCCTAGCAGAACTCAGGCATACCGTCTGCCCTCGGCCAACATCTGTACTTGGACTTCCGCAGCTCGACAAGTTGCTCGAGGCCGTCCGATACCCTCCAGAGCCACAGCCAGCGACACGCTCGTTAGCATGGGACCCAGCAACAGCAACAGCAACAGCAGCAGTACCCAACCGGGCCCTTGAAGACGAGGAACTTGCGGAACATGACGATCCCGATAATGCTCCCATTTACGGACGCACCCAAGGATCTCGTTCTGAACAGATCAAAGCCAAACCGCCTACGATCGAACTGTCAAGTCGCAAGTCCGGCGCCGGCAAAACCAACCTGCTGTACTATCTCTGCACCCTGGCTGCCCTGCCTCAAGACATCGGCGGCAAGTCTGCCACCGTGGTATACATCGACAGCGATGCCCGCTTCTCGGCCACTCGACTTATGCAGATAATGCAACACCACATCATCACAGCGCGACAGAGCACGACCGACGCTGCCAACAACACTGAGAACACAACAACCACTGACCTTTCCGTTCCGAAGGGCACGACAGCCGAAGTCAAAGACAGAGACACAGACACAGAGATTGCGCTTGAAGCGTTGCAGCACATCCACGTTTTCCGTCCCCAATCCTCATCGCAGGTTGTATCTGTGCTTGACTCTCTTCCGAGTTACTTGCTCGACCGGTCACGCCATCCCTCCTTCTACCGTGGTCTAAGTCTGGTGGTCCTCGACTCGGCCACCGCGTTTTACTGGCAGGACCGCTTCGACAGGGACATGGCGCGGCTTGGGCTCGCGTCGCCTGGCGTTGACGTGTCATCGTCGCCGGGGCCGTCGCCGACCGCGGAGATCATCGAGCGCCTGAAAGCCATCCAGCATAGGTTCGAGTGTGTCGTCGCTTTTAGTACAAACCACCCGTCCCCGCCACCTGTGCAGTCTTATCCGTCGAGGTCGGCTCGGGTGCATGCTCGGGGCGGTAACCAGAGCCAGGATCAGATACCAACGACACCTTCGGCACCACTGTCGTTAGCCCCGGCTGTGACGTCCTGGACCTCCTACGCCACGCTCACGCTCGACCTATCTCGGGCGCAGATCCTACAGTTTGCGCCGCACATGACTTTGGAAGAGTGTCTGCGCGACGCTGACAAGAGGGTGGAAGCTGTCCGCCATGCGCAGTTCATAGCCAAAGTACGTGACGGCCCCGGGCAGTTGACAGGCATACAGCCTGAGCGCGATCCGGGGAGACCGGCTGCGTTTACCTTCAAGATTGGGGACGATGGTGTCGACGTCGAGTAGCTGGTAGAGTGCTTGCAGGCTCATGAGTCGCCGACGCCTAGTCATTATGGTTCTCGGGCTACTCAAGGTGGACGATGACTAGATTGAGTGCTTGAGCACCCCCGCTGCTATTGACTGGTCTATCTTCATTATCTTCATTATCATCATCATCTATATCTGTCTATTTCCTTCTTTTTCATAATCAGTAGTATGTACGTTTCGCTCTTCACTCTCTAAATGTCGGTCGATGCGAGGACCCGGGAATTCCGACCGATTTGAAGTGGTCGAATCGGTGTGTTTGCTTCGTTCAGTGTGCATGTGCATGGCCTTCAACCAACTCTCGAGCACAAGCCTTTCTACACTCCTCAAACACCTTGACCTGTTTAGCTACTTCCTCAAGCCGGCCGATGACCTCTTTGTTCCCGTCGGTGAAGCCGTAAATCACATACGGGATTCCGGTCTCTGCACAGAACTCTTTGACGTATTTCTGTGCCTTGCGGAGATTGTGCCTCGGGATGCGTGGGAATAGATGATGCACGGCTTGGAACTGCAGGCCGCCGTGGAAAAAGTCGAGCCAGGTAGGACAGTCGACGTCCATGGTGGTCCGGAGCATCTTCTGGGCGAAAGACTCGTCGACTCCCAGGTCATTGGTGGACATGGCGAAGTGGGATAGTGTGATCTGGACGTGTACAGGGGCAGTGATCATGTGGGAGATCATGACGAAGACGAACCGGTCCCAGGCTGTAGGGATGGATTTGTAGAGTACGCCATAGCCAAACCAGGTCCAAAAGAATACTTGTCCTACCATCTCGAGATAGCGATGCCACCAGGCAGGACCCTTCTTCGGGGCTTTACCGGACAAAAGATATTCCCAACACAACCGGTACAGATTGAAGCGGCCAAAAGTCAGAATGGGGTAATACAACCAATGTTGTACGGGGATGGTCCATTTGGACAGCGCGTCGAAATGGAAAACACGTTCGTAGTAGGTCGAGCGGAGGGAGCTGAAGAACCGGGTCGTGATGGCGAAGAATGGAAGATATTCGACATCAGGATCGTGCTCGGGAGAGTTGGTGACGATATGGTGCACATTGTGGTTTCGTTTCCACCAGCCGAGCGACAGACCACCCACAAAGTCGGCAATGAAAATGCCGATGCATGTGTCGACATGGAAGTTGTGCGTGATACCAATATGGCCCGCATCGTGGACGGTAAAGACAAGCTGGTGCCAGAGCATACCCAAGAATGCAGCGGAAAGAGCATAGTGTGAATAGTGAAGGGCGACCAGGAAAGAGACGAAAAGGAAGGTATATCGACAGCACTCGATACCGTACGCGCCGTATGAACAGTCGTACAGACCGGCGGCACGAACACGGGTCTCTAGTTCGCGGTATTTGGCAATTATCCGATCTTGCGAAGCCCAGTCAAGAGATGGGTATTTCAGACGGTCCAAGGCTTCCTCGGCATTCAGTTTGGCCTCGATGGGGTCTGGGCTGGTAGTCAAAGACTCTGCGTCAGAGAGAGAGGACACGGAAGACACTCCTGAACGATGCCTGGCTGGCGTATCGGCTGGATCAAAGATCGGTGACTCTGGGGGAGAACTGCTGCTGGACGAGCTCGACGCGACCTCGGTCTGAGAATCCCCCTTTCCATGCTCTTCCTGGCCCCGAAGGTATGGTCTAAAATGACCGCCTTGAATAGGAGGGAGGAAGTTGGCCCATCTACCCTCGATTCTTCCAATCACGAACTTTTGCATGAAGATCTGGGCTTCGGTGGAATGCAGGGCTCGAATCTCGTCGGTTGCATCTCTTCCAATCATATGAAGAACAGCCTTTTCACCTCCAGGATGAAACGGTAGCCATGAATCAGCTTTGATCACCCGTCCATCGAAGATTATGATCTTTCTGCCTTCTGCAATCAGTCCCTCGATTTCACGTCGTGACCATACCCGGTCTTTCGGGGAGGCTATGGCGGTCATGGTGCTGTCGTAACAGTATCAGGAAGGGCTCGATGGTTGGGGAGGACATCCAGCAGGTAAGCAGGAAGGGATAGTCGGTGTAGGAAGCTGTCAAAAAGCTGGTGCCTGCCGAGTGGACTGACACATATATCAACAAGTGTAGAGTGTATCCGTACTCCGTAGAACGGGGAACGTGCCAAACTCCTATAAACTGCACTTCATACGGTTCTCGATCTGCCGTATCCAAGCTTGGTCTCCGTACTCGGTACGCGGCCAATTTTCAGTACGGTTCAGTTCAGTTCAATGAAGCGCACTAATAACTGGCAGCTTCGATAAATGCCTGCAATCGGACCATGATGTGTTCGGAATCGTGATGTCTCAGCGCCATGGTCTGTCGAAGGTCGTTTTTTATGAGCAGAGGTCTGTCCTATCTCTCCACCTTGGTGTACTTCTCGTCAGGTTGTATTCGATGGACAAGTAGGTAATTATATCAATTTGACTCATTCGTGTTCCCGTTTAGGAGAGCCAACTTGCTCAGTTTGCAAGCTTTTGATTGCAGTATTGCTTGTTTCCTGCCCATAACCATCCTATCCCGTCCCGTCACCTCCCATCCAGCCCGTCTCCGGTAACCTCGGGGTCACATTGCAACAGAAACCTGCTATGCAATTCCAGACGAGGCTTAGAACTTGCCCAGGCCGCCCAACTTCCCACTCACATCGCCGAGGCCATCGGACACGGCCTCTTTGCCTAGGCCGCCAGACACTTGGTCTAGCTCGCCCTCGCCCAGCACCGGGTTTCTCTTCAATGAATCTGTCAAAGGCAACAGTCAGTAAGATAGTTTAATGCTAGGAGACATAACGAGCCATGTGGCACGGTATTCGGGCACGATGGAGGAGGAGTGGTGCTGAGACGTTGCGGAGTGCTACGCCGTGTATCCTGCAAACTGGATCTCCCGACTTGTTGATGACACTCACCCTTGGCCATGGACTGGAGCTTCTCACTCCCGGTATTCTCCAATACTTTGACCTCTGCAATGGCTTTTCCTTTGTAGTACCGCTTAGCGATCCATTCCGTCACATCGTCGGCGTACCCAGCGAAGTAAATCGTGGCCGCTGTGATGGCCAGGACTGTGATTATAACTGCGAGGGAAGTGAGGATCGTTCCTGCGGTCGACGAGCTGCGGCCGGATTCTTGAGAGGCTTTGGCGGCGGCAGAGGAGAAGGCGCTGGAGGCGGCACTCTTCGCCGAGGAGAGAGACGACGACATTGTGTGGATTTAGTCCCTGTCAAGGCGTCCTGAGTCTTACGGATCAACGAATGCTTGGAGTCTGGACTCTGGACTATTTGATAGCGAAAAAAAGTGAACAGGTTTAGACACAAGAAAGGAGAGCAGTCAGATATCAGCTTTTTAAGGCCAGAAAGGAAGTGATCCAGCCTGCATTGTGCCTTCTGTCACGTATTACGACAAACGACAAACCTGCTTCGACCCTTCCTCCTCTCCTCACTCCTGGCCTCATGGAGCGACGTCATGCCTCGATCCCGTGTGTCCTAATGATGTTTTACCAGGACTATCTGTGGCGCATTGTTCCTTGGATGGCATCAGCCTGGGTCCAATCGGAGAGTTAAGGTGCCACAGACAACAGCGCAGACGTCAAAGGGTTCAGCTGGAGCTGGAGCTGTGGAAGTGGAGGAGTTGATCGTCCAGCCGAGACACCAAATGGGCGTGTGAGGATAGAGATAACACTGGAAATAAATAAGCGGGGTCACAGAAGATGATCACGATCGGCCGCCTCGCTGGTCGGCTATCTTTTCCAGCGAGCGCATCAAGCCAGGAACCGCCATGTCTTTCGCAGTCGTAGAGACATGCTGCTTGGTTGAACTTCCATGTTGTGTGCCTAAGTGGATGGTCTATTTGGGCTTCTACTAGGAAAAACAAGTAACAACAATATAGCGAAACTACATGGCTTCTACAACCGAGTCGACATTGTAGGGGTTCGATCGATCTCTGCAGCATCCGCACGATCACGTACCCGGCTTCAGTCAATGCTAGCGTTGCCTTCTTCTTGTTTCTGCCTCTTTGCGTAGTCCAACAATGCTGCCATAGGCGTTCAAGGGCCTTGGCAGACTGGTCCCTGTTTCTCACCTAAAATGTGAATCGGAGGGAGGCTAACGAAGGAAAGCATCCAAAGTAAAGCATGGGTACAAGCATGCACACTAACTATGAACATATGCTTGTACGATGATTAGATTTGAAGCTGCAGGCTTGAATGCGTTATTGAGGCATCGATAGAATGAACAATTTGTAAGAGAGAAGAAAGAATCAAACAAACAAGAAGACAACATTTGGCACGAAACATTCTGACAACGAAGTGGTGTCAAAGATCGAGAACAGGATCTGCCGAGGACAGTTTGAAAGTGAGATTGGATTATTCGTTGGTTTGGCCAGACATTGTTGCTGTCATATAATGTACATTTTCCTGGGATATCAAGCAAGTCACAGAAGGAGAGTATCTAGAGGTGGCAAAGCAACCTTGCAGCTGCAGTGGCGCAAATCCGCCAAAGCACTATTCGTCAACGAACTGCTTCACATCTGGGTTCTGATATTAGCGCTGCAATCGGCCTGGCAGGAAGGGGGTACTCACCGTCAAGCCACTTGACATATTCCCGCTGTTCCTTGTAATCGACATACTCTGGCAGGAAACTGGCGAGCTGGGCGTCGATGCCCCTCTCCTCGAGATATTTGTCAAGCATTGCTTGGAGCTCAGGGTCTAGGTTGCTGATTGGCGGGCCGGCATATAGGCTGCGGGCTTCTTGAGCGTCTTTGGGTGTTTGTGCCTCGAGTAAAGACTCATTGGGGAAGAAGCTGATGGTTTCAATCTCAATAGCCCCTTCTGCTGCAACAGCTCGGATCTCAAGTGCACGTTGGCTAGGCTTCGTGATTGTAATCGTCAAGTGGATCGGATAGGCTGGGAGAGCATTGTCGAGATTGGCTTCGTCAGATTCACCTCTGTCGGCGGGTGAGATGCTGTCCTCGGGTAGAACATCGATCTTGCCGCCTCTTGTCCCTGATTGATTGATCGTATTCTTGCCCCTGCCATAGTCTGCTTCATCGTCTAGAGCACCATCGTCATCCAAATCATCGAATTCATCATCTTCTTCCAAGCTGTCGAGTTCGGCGACGCTGAGTTGGACCTTGACCCTGCAAATCCTCTGTTAAAAAATGTCCCTTGAATTGTGATACCGTAATCTCCTTACTTCTCGTTTCCGAAGTCCCTTGTCAGGGTGACTTCGTGTGTACCGGGCTTATCTTCGATCTTCCAAAGGCTATTCTGTAGAAACTCTTCGATAGAGGAAACCTTGTCGGCGTCGTTGGACTCTAGCTCTAGCGTTCTTTCGGCGTTGAATTTCTCGGAAAGTTCTTGGTCCGCTAAAGCCCTGGTCAGCAACGTCTTTCTTTTGCATCCGGATTTGCTGCCCTTACATTCACCAGCGGGCTCTCTTCTGCCAATGGACGTAGAGAAGGCAGGATACGATGATCTCACTGCCGGTTGCCATAGCGGTCGACGAGCCGCAAGTCTTGAAATGGAGGAAGCGGAGCGGACGGCAGGTTGTCGAAGAGCTAATCTGGGCAATGCCCGGCTGAGCATTCTGAAAGGACTCATCTTGCTATATTGCAAATGGAAATTTCTTGAATTGGAAAGAAGTAAAAAATGTTAGCAACTCAGGCTGCGCAGTTGGTTCAGTTGTAGCGACTGATGTCGCCAAGGGCTCCTAAGGCTTCGGAGCCAGACAAATTTTTGGAGGCGTCGCCGCAAACACGTGAAAGGACATCCGATGACTAAGCAGCAGCCTTGTTCATGATGGCACAGATATCGAGGTACTAATAGCACAGGGACACTCGGAGAAGATCTGAAGCATCTAGTTTGTCTCAAGTATACACCAGGATGCGGGCCAGGTAGAAGAAGTTGCACCCTAAAGAGGTCTGCTCGTCACCCGAGCCCTGAGGCTCATGGGAGAGACAGACAGGCAAGCAAGTTGGAGTTCAAGCAACCTATTCTAATCCATAGGTACATTAGGTATGTATCGTACCACCTCCTCATGTGCCCAGCCTTTTCAGTTGTTAGTTCTCAATCCCGAGTTGGAGCAACGTGGATATAACCACTTTGTTGCGAGCTGCGCTTTTCGAAGCCTGGTCGTATGGTAGACCTTTGCTCACCGAAAACAACCGTACCTATAAAGAGGATGCGGAGCAGGGGCATCAGGGCCAGATTGCCTCATCCTGAGCACGAGTTCATAGATTGGTAGTGCAACCGATGACAATTCGTAAAGTCCATCTGACGAACTGACCAGCAGAGAAATCCTCTGATGACATGGGTGAAAGGAACATCGTCCCGTGAGGGAAGAGGACCGGGGCGCGCCGCCTATAGGAGCACCTGAGCCGATACCCAGTATGCTGGCTTCAGGCTATATCGACTCCCTGTAGATGAAGTTCTCAAGAAAGTCCTTTGGGCGGAAAGGTTGAGGGTTTGATAGAACCGGATTTCACAACGCGGACAAAATCCAGTGTATTCAAACCTCCCCATTCTCCAGCCCATCGTTCGACTTTAGCTCGACTCTCCTCATTTCTAAGTTCTGGAATCCAGAAGCCGGCGCGGAATTCACGATCTTCGGCGTCTTTTCGCAGTGTGATCTGCTCCTCGAGCTTCGTGGGTGGTCTGCCCGGTCTTCTCTCTGCCTTTGCTTCAGCTAATTGTTCGTCCTCCCGGTCGATGAAGCTGACCTTGTTAGCACCCATCTCGAAAGCCTCCAATCGTCGGCGACGTACCTTTGTGTCAGCACAAGCATTTCTTCGTCGGACAAGGATCCAGCCGAGCCTTGGAGCGCTGATTTGAACCATGCCACTCTGTCCACTGCGAATAACGTTGGTCAGGACTGAATTGCTCCCTTGAAGATGCAGCGCATACCATAGACCTGGTTTGCTCGCACAGCAGCATCCATTAACCGGGATACTTTCTCCTCTCTGGCTGCCGCTGTCCGGAGTTTTCTTGCATCTCGACTGTTCTCATGGAGACTATTTGGCCGCCCTCCCCGCTTTTTGGATATTTGCTTCTGGACTTTGCTGAGAGATCGAGCCATTGCTTGTGTGGGCGCTCACTCGAGATCGTTACAGCCGCAGCAGAGATGCTTGATGCGGATATTGGACATTTTGTCTGCCGCCCAAAAAAGTCGATGGCGGTAAAACCTCGGCAATAATAATTACTAGGCGGGCGCGGGCGTGTGCCTGCCCTTCCCAGAGCGCGTCGCAGATGCGGGCGTGTCAGTTGCCAAACATTCGATCCGCCATCTCAATTCTCAATAGCAACACTTCTTTTATATATTCAATGGCTCAAGGCGGGTCGGTCGTATTGCCTTTGCTGCTGTTGGATTCTCATATTCTCTTCCCACCCCTTGCTCATTTGAAATAGCCGCTTTCTCGCCAGACACCAGTGGAAATAGGCGGTGAAGGGGTGCATCTCTGCGAACATGGGCATAAAAGGTCCGTTGTTTGCCTATTGTCAGCCCCGAGACCTAACAATTGATAGGGTTACTACCCTTGCTCAAGTCGATTCACAAGCACTGTACTCTCAAAAAATTCGCCGGCCAGACAATCGGCGTGGACGCCTACGGATGGCTGCATCGAGGAGTGGTGGGGTGTGCCTTTGCCCTGGCCCTTGATAAGCCAACGACCATACACATTGATTTTGTCTTAAGCCGGGTACGGATGCTTCTGGACTTTGGGGTCACTCCATATCTGGTCTTCGACGGAGACAATCTACCTAGCAAAGCCGGAACAAACGCTGCGAGAGGAAAGAAAAGAGAAGAGAGCAAAGCACTGGGTCTGGAACTGCACAGAGCGGGCAAGTCCTCGCAAGCCCAACAGGAACTTCAAAAGGCCGTGGACGTAACCCCTCTTATGGCCCGACAATTGATCGAAGAACTGAAGAAGCTTAACGTACAGTACGTCGTGGCTCCATACGAAGCGGACGCTCAGCTGGTGTATCTCGAACAAAACGGCATAATAGATGGGATTTTGTCCGAAGACTCGGACCTTCTCGTGTTCGGTGCGAAGCGCTTGTTGACGAAACTCAATCAATATGGCGAACTTGTTGAAGTCGAGCGGGCCGACTTCGCCTTGTGCAAAGAGCTTAGCCTGGCGGGATGGACTGACTCAATGTTTATGAGAATGGCCATCCTCAGTGGGTGCGACTATCTGCCCAATATCGGCAAAATGGGGCTGAAGACCGCACATGCGTATGTGCGAAAGTATAGGGACATCGAAAAGATCCTCCGCATGGTCCAATTCGAGGGCAAAATGGTGGTACCAGACAAATATTTGGAGCGGTTCCGGCAGGCTGAGTTAACATTCTTGCACCACCGAGTGTTCTGCCCAATCGCGCAAAAGATGGTCTTTCTAAACGACCTCGGCCCGGGATTGCTGGAGTCCGACATGCCATATCTTGGTCCCTATATCGATCCAGCGACCTCACTTGGTGTTGCATGCGGTGATCTAGATCCCTTCTCGAAGAGGCCTATATTGCTGGGCGCAGTCAAGTCCGGATCTCGACCAGTCCTCGGTGAGAACAGGAGACAGAGTTACGCGCCGGCGACAGAGTTGAAGCCCGGGAAGTCGATTGAGACATTCTTCAAACCCCAACGCCAGCCCCTTGCTGAGCTGGACCCCAACAGCCTGACACCTTCTCCCTCGCAAGGTCGACTTCTTGAACGCAATCGAAATGCTTCCTGGGAGCCGAGGCTAGTGTCTTCTGCCCCGGCCCTTAGACGCAGTGTCTTCTCGCAGCAGGGGCGGCCAACCGACTCAGATCGGTCGAGTTTTCTCGTACGAGCCTCCAGACTGTCCACATACCAAGCGCCGAAGCGCCAAAGATTATGTTCCGATTCTATAGGACCTTCGCCACCCAAAGAATTAAAGCAAAGCCCGTTCTTTTCATCCAAAATCGAGCAGTCTAGTCCACTGGCGCAGAAGCAGGCTAGGGCGAAGAGGGGCAAGAAAGCCGGGTTTGATGTCTTTTCAGATGACTCTGTTGACGAGATGTTGTTAAACTGCGAAGTTCAGCAAGTTGCTAGTCCTGAACAGAGTTCAGCCGCCAACAATGACGTCCAGGGCGACAGTGAATGTGTCTCTGGAGATCAAGATGCCTTACAAACCATACCTCAGTCGTCGCCAGTCATCGGCCCGGCTTCCATAACTTCTCTCTCCCCCATCTGCACCTCCTCTCCGTCGAGCAGAAGTTTCCCTGATGAGGTCCCTGCAAGACGATGTGCTGCTAGGGAGATCAGCCAAGATGATGACCCCAGTGCCTTTGAGGACTTGCTTGATTACCATGTTCGGCAACAGAATGAGGCTCTGTTACAGAAGTTCGCTTTCCAGCCTGGAGAGGGAACGGGCACAATCAAACGCTCTCCAGGATCTTCGCGGAAACCTTGTCAGACATTTACGGCACTGTCACCAGCGGCGCAAATCGCTGCGTTGAAGAAGCTGCCACAAACAGGGAAAATTCAAACGCTGTGCAGTGAGGTCAAATTACACCGAACATTTGGTCAGCAGTCACCTGAAGTCCAACAATCTGCCCTTAAGTCACTTGGCCAGCAGAGGGCATGCCGAACATCGAACCTGATGAAAACGACGCAGGCTTCAATCAGCAGCGAGCGAATCAAACCATTGCTGAGTCAAGACAACGAGTTGAGTGCGAAACTCCCTGGCACAGGCGAACTACGAGGTAGTGAGGATGCGATAGTGCCGAACAGCGACGATGAAGGCTCGGAGATAGGGTCACCCGTGCGGAAGTCCAGGTTGGACCTTAGTTCATTTGCGTTTGTCTCTGCGTAAGCCGGTTGGATATTTGACTTGGTGGCATTCAGTTTTGGTGTTGGTGTTGGTGTTGGTATTGGCTTGGTGAACTACGGTAGAGTCTGGTTTGCGATGTGGACAGCTGAGATTGGTTGAAAGGCTGGCTTCATGTTGGGCACCAAAACCAGGCAAGGAATTGACGACCATTGGCTATGAGACGCGCCTGGTGGAGGGGGGATTTTGGCGGCGGGTTATTCATAACAATGATATGCGTTATAATCCAGAGAAATGAAGTGAAAGCATGAATAGGTACCCCGTACCCCGTACTGGCAACCTTACCTACTCCTGCACAGGTACTCCGTACTACATACCCAGGTATCACGGAGTAGATGACCGCCTGGAGATACAGGCACCAGGGTGTCAGGGGTGTAGGAGGCGACGTCATTGCAAGGCTGTAGTGGACTAGTACGGAGTAGCTTAAGGTTGCGGATGCACTAAGACCAGAAGAGTTAAATGTAAACACACTAGGCTTGGCAGATCTCGCCGGCCCCTGCGCCATTTCCGTGGATGAATCCAGAGCATTTTCCTGCCACCAGAATAATTATTCACACCACAGACCAGCCTCACGGATTTCCGATGGCAAATCTCTGAGCAAACATGGCAATTGGCGCCTTACAATCCCAGTCTCAGATATTTGCAGAACTAAATCAAGCTACGCCTCTCCTCTGTTCCCTTCCTCTCCAACCCTTCTCTATCCTCCTCGACTGCAAGACTCAGGCAGCTGACATTCTTTGTCCCAGTGCATTTGGACAAACAGATTCCCACCAGAACACATCACAAGCAGCAGCTATAAACATCTCACATCCTCCTCTACGCATCGATCTTCCTTCCCGAACTGCTCTGACCACATCTTGACCCGGGCTCAGGCCAAATCGTTGCTCGTGCTGAGCTTCAACACCATACTCCGTCCGCACGGACGGCAATCTCAGTACAGAGCACAGGGCACCAAACGTTGACGGTGCAAAATCATGGCCCTCAGATTCACGACTGGATGGCGGAGATTTGTCCCCGTCATCGGCTACCATCATGTGCTCATGATATTCATCGCAATTGCCATCATCCTACTATGTAAGTGGTTCCTACACAAGAAGGCAAGACGGCATCATGCTAACTGATTTCACGCAGCACTACTACTTGCAGGATGCTCATCTACATCTCCCCTCATTCCGGACATTTACCTCATCTCCCTATACTACCATCAATACGCTCCCATCTTCAGTACCGTCCAGGTCGACCCTTCAGTCACGACAGCGATAGCAAATATCGTCGGAAATGCAGACCTCAATGTGCGAGTGGGATATTTTGGTATTTGTATCAAGGTGGACGACGGAGCGTGGATGTGCAACCAAAATTCAACATCGTTGGCAGACCTGGTCAGCATTGATCAGGATCCTCTCAACCTGATATGGGTTGCCAGCACATTCAAGAACGCGATTGTGTTCCCATATCTGCTGATCATCGCCATCGTCCTGGCATTCCTGACGTTCCTCTTGCTGGCGACCTTTCCCGGATGGCATACGAGCACCGGCCCCGATGGGTCTGAACGGGAAGTCCGACCATTCCCATCAAGGGCTGTTTCGCAGGTGGCTTTGGCGACTATCTTCATTTCATCAGTCTTTGTCCTGGTGTCGGTGATGTGGCAACATACTGCAGCTGTAGCAGCTAGCACCATTGCACAAGACCTCGGCAATGGAAGCGTCAAATCCGGGGTCGGGACGGCGGCAATGGTCCTGGGCTGGTTCGGCTTTGGACTACTGGTAATCGTCACGCTTGGGCTACTGGTGATGATTTTGAGCATCCAATTACTGGATCGGCTGACGGATGAGGTATGACTGCCACTTTCCCAACGGGGAGAACGACATGCTGACCATCTTTAGGACTGAGACTGTCTACGACACTGCGATTTGAGCGAACTGATAGCGCCATTTGTTTCACGCATGAACGAAGCAGCAATTGCTCAATGCATGGCTAGATGCCGGAGCTGGCGTTTGGAGATAAACCTGGATTTGCAACTAAGCATTCAAGGACGAAGAACCTTGGATGAGGATTAAAAGGGACCAACATCATCATGCATCACTCAGGAAGAACTGGAAATGGGTCGACTAAGACCGACACCGAGTCTGTGAATATTTTGGAGGAGTTGAGATGGGAATGTGCTTCTGGGTACCCCGTACTCCTGATGGGAGACGAGACCGACGAATGATGGATCCAGTTTCAGGCAATGTACCTACTGTGCCAAACCGTTGGGAGAATCAATGGATATACCGCCCCTCTCGACCGAATGACTGAACATACAATGGGAATTGTGGCCACACCGGCCCTTGCTCCGAACCACGTGTGCCCGTCTATCTACATTGCTCGCAAGCATTTTGTGTTTCATATCTTCGGGAAGTAAAAGATTTCGCTGCTAGGGTCCGGGGGTCTTTGTTCTGCATTGAGGAAAGGACTTGGACAGTGAATTCCGTACTGCCAATCATAAGTGGCACAGACCGATTCAGAACAAGCTCAGAATAGTGAATACCTCGACAGAACGACATAACTGGGAAGGTCAGTTGTGACACTCAGGACCGGTGTGGGGGGTCGAAGATGGATGGCCCAGGCACTCAACTCCGTACACATATTTCATGCAACACTTTCTTAAGGGGTGGATTGGATTGGGATGAAATCAGATAGCAGCGCCAGATGCCACAGAACTCCGCCGTAGGAGACAATACCGTGACTTGTGTATGGATACAGCGGAGCACTTGGCCATACAGGCACTATCAAATCTTTTTTCCCTACTTCGTAAACAGGTCCAAAATCGCGGCTGATATTTCTCCTCCCACGAACCAATCTGATCTGCCTTTGTGCATCCTTCTCGACCATCTCCTGATCATGTCTCCACGCCTCTTTGGCGGCCTCGTCCTTCCCGCCTCGGCGGATTTCCATGTCCATCTCCGCGACGGCGCCATGCTGGAAGCAGTGGCTGGCACGATCAAATCGGGCGGCGTGGACACCGTCTTTGTCATGGTAAGGGAAGCCTGGCACCCGAGGCTCTCTGACCCTACATATTGAGCCGTGGTTCTGGGTGGGAGGGGTTTCCCCTTTCAATCGAAGTTTATGTGAAGCGCCAGTGTCTGACCTTGTCTATATTTGTTCGATGCAGCCAAATCTAGTTCCGCCCATCACCACCGTCGAGCACGCCCTGGCATACAAGGAGGCCATTGCCAGGTATACAGACGCAACCCTTCTGATGTCGCTGTACCTACATCCTTCCATTACGCCAGACACGATCCGGCAGGCCAAGAAGGCAGGTCTTTTCGGTGTCAAGTCCTATCCCGCAGGAGTCACTACCAATTCTGCTTCGGGCGTCGTGGACTATGAGCAATTTTACCCCCTGTTCAAAGCCATGGAGGAAGAAGATTTGGTTCTGAACCTGCATGGCGAAGCACCCCCTGCTCAGGATATCACGGTGCTCAACGCCGAGGAAGCATTCCTGCCCACCCTACTCGATCTCCATCGACGGTTCCCTAAGCTGCGCATTGTCCTAGAGCACTGCACAACCGCTGCTGCCATCGAGGCTGTGAAGAAATGTGGGCCGAACGTTGTGGGCACCATCACAGCTCACCACCTCTTTCTCATCATTGATGATTGGGCCGGAGATCCAATCAATTTCTGCAAACCGGTCGCAAAGCTCCCTACCGACCGAGTCGCGTTGCTCCAGGCCGCGACAAGTGGCAATCCCAAGTTCTTTTTAGGGACTGACTCAGCCCCGCATCCGCTGAGCGCAAAGAAGGGCGGTCTGGGCATCCATGAGGCTGGCAAATGTGCGGCTGGGGTGTTCACTCAGCCGTATGCCACGCAGCTTGTGTTGGAGGCGTTCGAGGATGCGGTGACCAAGGGAGTGGTGGAAAAGAGCCGCCTATCTCAGGTAGTATTAGAGGGCTTTCTTGGTGGGTTCGGTCGGAAATTCTACCAGATCGACCACGATGGTGAAAAGATCAGAATCTTGGCAAAAGACGAGAAAGTGATCTCAATGTTGTCGGTCGGCGGAGAGGCCGGCGCAAACTCGACGACCCGAGACGTCGTCATCCCCTTCCGTCGGGACAGTCCGATTTACTCGCTAGAATGGATCCAAACGAAGTAACTTTGTCCAACTGGTCCAACTGGCTTGTGGGTGGCACTTCCCACATTCTCCTGAGGAAGATTCGTACGCATCGGATAACATGATATTTACTCAGGACCACTTGGGGCAGGGGCAGAATCGAAGAATCTCTGGGTCATCAAAGCCGCTGCCACGCTGACGTTGAGACTATCAATATCTCCGATTTGTGGTCTTGCGTTGGGGATTCCCACTACGCCGTCCACGAGAGACTTCATGAAATCTCGGATGCCAGTCCCTTCATTCCCAAGGACTAATACGCAAGGATGTCGCAATAACGCTCCTTCAAATCCCAGCGTTCGAACATTTTTGCCCTTGGCGTAGTGATTGAGCAATGGGCGCTCGCTGTCAGGAGCATCGGCACCAAAGAATCTCCAGCCATTCTCCCGTGAAATCTTGACGAAAGATCTCTCGTTCTTCACATGCAGAATCGGCATATACTCGAGAGCTCCGGCGGAGGCTTTCAGACTGTTGGATGATATAGGAGCGGTGCCGTGATCGAGAATGAGTATAGCGTCGACTCCAAGAAACCAGGCAGACCGGACGATCGCGCCGAAATTACCGGTGTCGGTAATGCAGTCGAGGAGGAGGATGAAAGGATAGCGGTGAGATGGGCGGACAGACGGAATGGTTGCAACATTGCCACGGTTCTCGAACGCACGGTTGACCTCTTGATCTTCTTGTGAAGCCCAACCTACAGTGGCGAGGATAGCGTCTGATGAGCTGTTGAGAGGAGACAGCCCTGTCACTGGTAATTTGGGCAGCGGTGAAGCCTCCAGCACCAAACCATTATGCGGTCGCCCTGTCGCAGCTTTAGATAGAATCCTGTTCCATTCCGGACCCCAAACGTCCTTGACCTCCACTCCTGCTCTTTTCGCAAGGTTGTAGATATCCTCTTGAGCTTGTATGTGGTCCCACGAGCCTTCGAACCGATCGGTGCCAGTATTTGCTTTCGTTCGCGCAGGCTTGTCCGAGTCTCGATTACTAGTATGGGTCGGGGAACGCAGTCGGTAGAGTTTGTAAAGCTTGCGCCTCCTAGCCTTGAGGGCGGACAGGACAGAAAAAGTTCCATAGATGAATTCCGAACTGGCAGTCGTGTATGGGAGTGAAACGGGCGCCCTCGCTTCGGAGTGTGCTGGTCTCTCGTCTGGCTGCCGGTGAGACGTTCGTCTCGTCAGCGTCCACCGCTGCCCGTCTGGTTGATCCCACCGGTCGGAAGCACCGCGATGCACCTTCAGGGCCGGCCCAGCCAGTCCCTGAGCCTGAGTCCGATCCCGATCCTCATCTCGAACAGCTCTGTAGCGTGCCTCATGTCTGCTTGCGCTGTGCTGGGCTTCTCGGTGACCCTTCTCAATGGCGCCGGTCAAGGATATGTAGCGTGCGGGCTGGATGTAGCCCAGTGCTTTGAGGGAGGAACTTCCTCGCGGGACGATGCCACCAAAAGCCTGCATTCATGTGAGCCTGAGCCTGAATCCGAGTCTTGAGATCGGTTTGGAGGAGTCTTTTGTTGGCCAAGGAAAAGTTACACTGCAGCAATTACACATACTTGTGTTGGAGAATGCTGTTGTAGAAGATCTCCAACTTTAATTGAGTGTTTAGGACCCTGTACCGTGTAGAGGGACTTTCCTTGTGACTTCCGCGCTTCACTTCCATCCCTTATCCTGGTATTCACGACACATCGCCGAGAAATGGGAATTTCTGTATCCCAATGCTTTGTTTGGATACTGTCATGCAGGCATGTACCGCCGGTCTAGATATGTTCCCTCGAAGAACCGAAGAATCGACTCCGCACTCTTCAACACGCGTTTGATCTGCGGCACTGTCGCGTCTTACGATGGACCCTATCGATCTCTCTTCATGGATGGGCAAACCGCCTCAGGGGCCCAAGCCTGTTGGGAAGCCGACTGAGGATGTGCTCAGTGACAGTTCGGACTCTGAGAAAATGCAAAGTGCTTCATCGGCGCACGACAATTCCAGCAGTGACGGCGATATCCTTCACGACGAAGAAGGAGATGGACCTCATGAGGAGAGACGCGTAAAAAACAAACAACCTCGAAAGACAGTCTCTGAGGAGGAGGAGAAGGAGGAGGAAGATCCAGCTGTCGTACTCGTTCCTCGTCTGCAACAGTCTTTCTACATCGATATTCCGAGGCTGTCAGACGAGCGCAAGCAGGAATACGCATCTCTTCCGGGACATTTCTCAGTACGGAGGATTGTGTCGAAGAACGATGAGGATAGCTATCTGGTCAAGCTGGACAGCGGCGAAATGAGTCTTGTAAGTTCCTCTTTGCTCGCATCAATCTCGTCTGGACTGGCAAGACTTGAATATACTCTGACCTATTCCTTACCAGGGTATCTCTTCATGCTTTGACCACTTGCTCTCTCATCTTCTTCCACTTCCCTTCTACCTTTACTAAGACATGTCTCCTCTGCAGGTTTCTGCCCGTGAACTACACGACCTTGATAACGGATCGTCGGCCCTTGAAGACTTCCAAGGCAAACAAATGTCAAATCGAGGCAGACGAAGCTCCCACAAGCCAGGGTTCACCGGCATGGTTGACTGGAGTAAGATCGAGATGTCAGAATCCGAGGACGAGTTGCAGTTGCCAGGCAAACGACGTCGCCACGAGCCTGGGGAAAGCGAAGTATCTGAGAGCGAAGTGGCAGCTAAATCATCTGAGCCAGATGACGAGGAGGCTTCTGATGAACCCCAATTTGAGGGAAGACGGTCTGCCCGACTGACCCGGAAACGGAAGCCAGATTACTTGCAGCAAGACCTACTTGAGATCGACAATGACTCCGATACGCGACCCCGCCGGAGTGGCAGGCGACCTATGTCCACGCTGAGACCAACGAGGGGGCTCTTACGATCACAGAGGGGCACTAGATCCCGGAACTATGAATCTTCGCCTGAGCCCGAGGTTGGCACTCGTCGATCTGAGAGAACACGGTCCAAACCCCAACACAGCATGCGAGAGCGACAGGAGGATGAGATCTCGAGCTACGAGGAAGAGAAGTCTGGCCCGAAAGTGGTCGGTGCTAAGGAGCACTTTGCTCGAATCTCTGAACAAGACCCTTTCAGAAAACGCCACCGGCAGGAGTGCGACACCTGCTACTTCAAGGGGGATGATAGCAACAAAGGACCTCTCGTCTTTTGTCAGGGGTGTACAAACTCGTATCACAAGGTATGCCTTGGGCCTAGAGGCAGTCGAGATCACCTGGTGACGAAGGTGCGCGAAACCATGTTTGTCCTACAATGTAGGCGATGCATCGGACTTGCACATGATCGAGACAAACGGGCGCCACATCATGGCATCTGTGTCGGCTGCAACGTTTTGGGTGAGCTGTCAAGGCCTCTCCGTATACGTCTGACGACACGCCAGGAGCAACTGCAGAGAGAAGAAAACGGCGGAAAGGATCCAATCACGGTGGTTGAGCCAAAACTGATCGACAATGTTACCAACGTACTTTTCAGATGCGCTCAGTGCTTCCGCGCCTGGCATATGCACCATCTTCCTGCACGAGAGACGGCACACTCATCTCTAGACGACGAAGATGAGGAAGGGCTGGATGAAGTGCAACTTGCGCAGAAGCGCTTCGAACACTACCATCGATCCTGGATCTGCAAGGACTGTATTGAGCACCAAAGTCAGATTGACGCTCTAGTGGCCTGGCGCCCCGTGGATTTAGAGGCCTACGTCCCTGGCACGACAGTTGATCAGATGCAAGAACGCGAGAAAGAGTATCTGGTGAAGTGGAAAGCCCAATCGTACTTCCGCACTACTTGGATGCCGGGGGATTGGGTATGGGGAATCGCAGCAGGCGCCATGCGTCTGGCCTTCTTCAAAAAGCATGAAAACCAACTACCGAAGATGACCACGGCAGACGCATTACCCGAAGAAGTGTTTCGCGTTGATATTGTGTTTGATGTGCGCTACTCGAGTGTGGTCCGCAACAGTACCAAGGAGATCGACCTCGCTCGGGTCAAGGAAGTGGATATGGCGTTTGTGAAGTATAAGGGGCTCGGCTACGAGGATGCTATTTGGGAGAAGCCGCCCCCTTATACCGATACCGAACGCTGGAACGACTTCAAAGAAGCATATGAAGACTATGTCAAGAAACTGCACCTCTCAATCCCCCCACAAACCACATTGAGACGTCACTTGCAGCACGTCCGCTCACAGGATTTCGAGTCCACCCTGATAAAGAAGCAGCAGCCGTCCATCATGGCTGGCGGTGAGTTGATGTTATATCAGCTCGAAGGCTTAAACTGGCTCACCTACCAGTGGTTCTCAAACCAAAATGCGATTCTTGCCGATGAAATGGGCCTGGGGAAAACCATTCAGCTGGTTGCGTTCTTTGCCGCCATGGTTCAGGACCATAAATGCTGGCCTTTCCTTGTGGTGGTTCCAAACTCGACTTGTCCAAACTGGCGGCGGGAAATCAAGAAATGGGCTCCTTCTCTACGAGTTGTTACCTACTACGGTTCCTCTACGGCGAGGAAGCTCACTCACGATTATGAACTGTTCTCCAAGTCGAAAGACGCACCTGCCCATCAGCAGAAGAAAAACCGGTCGGAGGCTAAGGACATCAAAGCCCATATTGTCGTCACGTCTTATGAATCCATCAGTGAAGAGAAGACTCGCCAAAGCTTGATGAGAGTCCCTTGGCAGGGGCTCGTTGTCGACGAGGGACAGCGGTTGAAAAGCGATCGATCTCAGATCTATGAAAGTCTGTCCAAGTTCAGATTCCCGTGTAAAGTCCTGCTGACCGGCACTCCTTTACAAAACAACCCCCGTGAGCTGTTCAATCTCCTCCAATTCCTGGACAGGAGTATGAACGCCGCGGAACTCGAGGCAAAATATGCCAATCTCACGCAAGACAATGTACCAGAGTTGCACCAGACACTCCGGAAGTTCTTCCTACGGCGCACGAAAGCACAGGTTTTAACGTTCCTGCCGCCCATGGCCCAAGTCATCATTCCCGTGAGCATGTCGACTCTGCAAAAGAAGGCCTACAAATCCATTTTGGCCAGAAATCCCCAGCTCATGAAATCCATCTTCAGTCAGGACCGGACTGTTGCCGTCAGGGAACGAATGAATCTCAACAACATCCTGATGCAGTTACGAAAGACCCTATGCCATCCCTTTGTCTACAGCCGTGACATTGAAGAAAGAGGAGTAGATCCTACCATGGCGTTCCAGAACCTCGTCCAGGCGTCGGGGAAATTGCAATTACTATCAGTTATGCTTCCGAAACTCCAGGAAAGAGGCCACCGGGTCCTGATGTTTAGCCAGTTTCTGGACAATCTGGATATCATTGAGGACTTCCTGGACGGACTCGGGTTGCAACACCGCCGGCTTGACGGCAGCATCTCGTCTATCGAGAAACAAAAGCGAATCGATGAGTTCAATGCGCCGAATTCGCCGTACTTTGCGTTCTTGATCTCGACCAGAGCGGGCGGAGTAGGTATCAATCTTGCGACCGCTGATACAGTGATCATTTTGGACCCAGACTTCAATCCCCACCAAGACATCCAAGCACTGTCACGAGCTCATCGAATCGGTCAAAAGAACAAAGTTCTGGTGTTTCAATTGATGACACGGAACAGCGCAGAAGAGAAGATCATGCAAATCGGCCGTAAGAAAATGGCGTTGGATCATGTGCTCATCGAACGAATGGACAAGGAGGACGATGCTGGCGAAGACCTCGAGTCGATCCTGAAGCACGGCGCTCAGGCTCTTTTCGAAGACGACTTAGGAACAGATGACATTGTCTACGATTCTGCTTCAGTAGACCATTTACTGGACCGCTCACAGGTTGAGAATACCAAGATCAGTGAGGAGAAGTCGGCTGAATCGCAGTTCAGTTTTGCTCGTGTCTGGCAAAACGACAAGGCGTCGTTGGAGGAAGAGATTTCGGCGCCAACTGGTGCCAATACCCCCAACCCGGGTATTTGGGACAAGATCCTAGCAGAGCGTGAAAGACTGTTTGCTGAAGAGCAAGCCAGGAAAGCCGAGGCGTTTGGCAGGGGAAAAAGAAAGCGACTGGTAAGCAACTCTCGCCAGGGCTTCTCCGCGCCACCCGCACTAACAGAGAGCAGATGGTGGACTATGGTTTGGATGATGGCGAGAAGCCCTTGCGTACCGCCAAAGCCACAGCTGGTCCTGAGGAAATCGGTCCAGACGATACCGACTATCAGGAACCGGCGGAGGAATCACCAGATGACGAGATCAGCAGTGAAGAAGAGTCGGGCGTCCAGCGGAAACGTTCGGTCCAAGGTACGGTGAAACCCAATCTCAAGCGTCTCCGATACTGATGGAGGGTCAGTCCGGCCATTCAAACGAGTGCGAGTTCCGCCCGGACAGGCACCGCATTTCAATGGCGAAGCCCAGTTCGATGCCGGTCCGATCCTGAGCATGCCGCCGATACATCTCTGCTCAGCTTGCGGAGAACAACATCCCATGGGCTGGTGTCGTCTCAAGCTGGCCGGAGTGGAATACTGCGGACTCTGTGGGCTTGCGCATCTTGGCCATGGACGAACTTGCCCGCATCTCAACGACGAGGTCCAGGTCGCCACACTGCTACAAACACTGAAAGAGAGCACCGAGAGCAGAGACTTGATCGAACAGGCCACCAAGTATCTGCGCATGATACGTGGAGATCTGCTCAATCGCAAGCGTGCTCGAGAACGCAAAGAGCACGAGGGGCTTGCACCGCCACTTGCGGCTCGCCCAAATCCACCTCGACCCAACCCATAAGGCCAGCAGAACGGCGGCGGATTGTTGAAGTTGTACCTGGTTTGAGCTCGAGATTGGCGTCAGGCGAAGTCGCATGAATGGGAATGGTGCGCCATTTCGGCTGGAGGCATCACTGGTGACCAGACTACAATGATACCTTGGTAGTATGTGCTTAGACAAAAGGGAGGGCTGATTCCAGGACTTTACTTTGTATCATAGCTACCTTACATCAGACAGAGGGACCGCTGTCCTTGCAAATCCCAAAACCTCGATCCTGGTCCCGGTTCCAGTTCCTTTTTCTTTAGCTTTTTCCTTTTAGCTTTCTCCTCCCTCGCTGACAAAGAGTGAATCGAATCGGCCAGTCGACAAAAGCGGTGCATGGGTGTCCGTGCTCGGGTACTGCGTATTCCGTACTACTACTTACTCTGTACTCTGTACGGTGTTTCCTATATCTATCTATCTGTACTCCGTACATCTGATGAAACCAAGATTGAAACGGTTTGAGATTGAGATCGGTCACTACGGTACAGACTCCAGAGTACTGCTGCAGGGGGTTTCGCATGTTTGTGGAGCCGAGGACCCGAGACAGAATGACGTGGGAGGCGGCCACGCTGATACCAGGATGGCCGGAATATACGGATAGTAGGTCCTAAAAGGCTCCTAAGGATAGGGCCCTAACTCAGCCACGGGGGCAATCAAACAGGTGAGACAAAATCAACGGCCAGCATCCATCGCGCTGTGTTGTCCGCATTCTATGTGTACGGCGTACACTGTCCAGAGGAGGAATGGTAGCATTGGTACTCCATACTACTCCATAATATTTTGAAGAGATTTTCAGGGAGAGGTGAAGATCCAATCCAACCTTTTTTGATCTTCATCGAGTCTTTCTCCGTGGTCGAGAGTCGAGTCGAGAGTCGAGAGTAATCTGGGGTAGATTTAGATTGTTGATTGATCTACGGAGGCCTGGAGTCTTGTAACTTGGCTGACACTTTGACACCTCCAGCTTGAAACGTGCAATACATGTAAACAGACAAGCCCAGATCCGATCTCGCGGGTACAGGTAGGGAAGTCCTATTAGTGATACTGCTAGGTAGGCAGTGCTGGGTTGGAGTGCCTAGTACTCCGTACTCGGTCCTTGCTCTTTCCTTTATATGCCAAACACCGATTGCTTTATGTGGCGGACTCCCAACAACAATCCAGTCAGTCAGGTAGTACTCGTATTGGGGAGGGCAGCCTGATGGACGAGCGTAAGGACAGGTAGGAGTATGTAGCCTCGTGTGAAGGACTTGGGACCGCACTCTGTAGACCGTGGACTGTGGGCTGTGGACTCGGCACGGTGGTTGGTGGTGATGTTCGCTGTGCTGTGCTGCGCCTCTGAGAGCGTGCGAAGCCTGCGGGTCACGACTCCTTCAGCGCAGGCAGGTTTGTGGATGGCGAGGTGAGCAAAGTGCAGGGGGGGAAAGAATTTGCGCGGGCAGCACTAAGAAGAGCAAGGTCGCATCATTGTTGTCGCCCAATCTTGCCTAGCGGGCCAGATTTGGCTTGGCGTCGAATCTGGGTGCGCCGGTGGCCAATGCAAGGGCCAGTGCCAGGGCCAGAGCCTGTGCCTGTGTTTGCGCCGGCAGTGCCTTGTTCTCCCATTATTCTCGCATCGCCTCTCGCCTCTCCTCTTGCATCCGCCTCGCTTCGGTCTCCAACCACCTCAGGTGCACCGGCGGCCTTCATCAAACAGACTGTTACACCGTACAGGCCCCATCCTTTGCCAGCCAGATTCCACACCTAACAGCCAACAGCCAACAGCGACCGAAGCCCATCCGTCGACCAACGACCCGCCCAACTCTCTAGCAGCGTCTATCACCTAAGGCCCCGTGCGTGCTGGGCACGTAACAGCTGGTTTAGGCGGTCTCCATCCTTACGAGTCACGCCCATCCCGTACCTCACGGGCCCGCAGCCTCTCACCCGTCCACCAACCACCAACCACCAACCGCAAAGGCGCCTGGCCTCCCAAGCCTAACCACTCTCCCCGGCCAAGGAGCCTCCCCCCGTCTGCCGTCTCCCTCGTCCACCCATCTGCATCTGCGTCTGCATCTGTCTCTTCTTTGTTCCAGCCTCCGTCACCCCCCTCAAACACACGTCGTACATCCCTCGACACTCTCCCTTTCACCCACCGACCACGACTCACTCACTTGTTCACCTTCACGTTCGCTACTCTGCTCCATCTGGACTGTACTCTGTACGCATCAATCAACGGCCGCCTCGTGGCCCGGCAGACTCATCGCTCTTCGAACCACCACCATCGTTTCCTTGCATTCTGTAATTGCCGCTCGTTCCAGTCCCAGTCCGGTTTTTCCTCACCAACCACCTGCGATCGGAGTCAATGACACAATCGACCATCACCGCTCTTTGATTAACTCGAGAATCCGCCTCTCGTACTGATCACATTTCACGCCCGACATTACCATCTTCATCCTCTGACCGTCGGTTGCTGGATCGAATCGTCGGCCTCGTTGGCGCTCCTTTGCTGCACCGCAGCCCCCCTTGAATAACCACAGCACGCGTCCGGCAGCGCCATCGCTACCAGCGACAACTCATCATGCGGCCACAAACATCCTTTTCTTACATCCTCACCCTCTTCGCTGCCATACTCCTCTCGCCTTTGGCCCTCGCCGACAGTGTCATTGAGTCCAGCTCACTCAACTCCTGCAAGAGCGGGTCCAACTTCACTGCCACGCTATTCAACGTCGCTTACACCCCGAAAAATAACAGTCTTGCTCTGAACATCAATGGAGTATCATCTCTCGTTGGGAATGTCACGGCGCAGTTGGAAATTTTCGCTTACGGCTTCACAATTCTCAATAGGACGCTGAACCCTTGCGAGATGAACCTCTCTGGGTTTTGTCCACTGAAAACAGGAAACATCAACATCGAGACAAACGTTGATATACCTAAGGATGTTGCCAAAAATGTCCCCGGCATTGCTTACACTGTCCCGGACCTGGACGGCGTCGTCCGAGTCTACGTCACGTCACTCGATGACAACGAAGTCATAGCTTGTATGGAAGCCGACCTCTCCAACACAAAGAGCGTCTACCATCCAGCCGTAGGCTGGGCCACAGCCGTTATTGCCGGCCTAGGTCTTCTAGCTGCAGGTGTGACCTCAGGTCTCGGCCACCCCAATACTGCTTCCCACGTCGCAGCAAATGCGGTCTCGCTATTCGGCTTCTTCCAAGCTCAAGCTATCATCGGCATGACCTCGGTGACTATGCCTCCTATTGTGCAATCATGGACGCAGAACTTCCAATGGAGCATGGGTATCATCCGTGTCGGATTCCTGCAGTCGATTGCGACCTGGTATCAGCGAGCGACCGGAGGCACTCCCACAACCTATCTTTCCACTCTGAACACCTATTCGGTCCAAGTGCAAAAGCGTGCCATCAAGCGCTCCATTACAGCGATGACCGCGTACGCTGTGCAGGGCATCCGAGCTCTCGCCAGGAGAGACGATTCGTCCAGCTCTACCACCGTTTCCGACGTTAAGATCGTTCGCGGAATCGATAGAGTCGGTTTTAGGGCAGGAATCGAGCAGACCAATATTTTCATGACCGGTCTGATCTTCTTCGTCTTCATTTTGTTCTTGATCGCTGTCTTGGTTGCCTTGACCAAGCTTTTACTCGACGGTTTCGCCCGCGCTGGCTGGATGAGATCCGAGAGATTTCTGGAGTTCCGGAATGGTTGGAAGATTGTTATCAAGGGGATTTTGTTCCGATTGGTAAGCTATGACTACCGTGCTTGATCAGACCTGGTCACTAACTGCTCCAGGTTCTCCTCGGTTTTGTGCAGATGTCGATTTTGTGCTTGTGGGAACTTACGGAACGAGATTCAGCCGCAGAAGTTGTCCTGGCCTTGATTGTCTTCATCTCCATGGCTGCTGCCTTGGCTTGGGCCTCGTTCAAGGTCATCTCCCTGGCAAAGAGATCGGTCGCCATGCACAAGAACCCGGCATACATCCTCTACTCGGACCCCAAGAGCCTCAACAAATGGGGTTTCTTGTATGTCCAATACCGCGCCACCGCCTATTATTTTGTCGTCCCCCTGCTAGCTTACATCTTAGCCAAGGCGATCTTCATTGCCTTCGCCCAGAAGTCACCAGTTGCTCAGGCCGTCGGGTTGCTCATCGTGGAGGGCGTTGCTTTGATTGGGATCAGTGTCCTCCGACCGTTCATGGACAAGAAGACCAACATCTTCAACATCTCCATTGCTGCCGTCAACTTCCTCAACGCCGTCTTCCTCCTTGTTTTCTCTGATGCTTTTAACCAGCCGGAGATGGTGTCGGGCGTTATGGGCGTGATCTTCGCCTTGTACAACGTCATATTCGCCGCGGTTTTGTTGATTTTGGTACTCATCGCATCCATCTACGCCATTGCTTCCAAGAACCCCGAAGTCAGGTATCAGCCGATGCGCGATGACCGAGGCAGCTTCATCAAGTCTCAAGCCGCCCTCACCACCGAACTCGACGCATTGGGTGCAACCGCTCGAGGAGATGGAACCAACATTTACTCTCAGGACAAGAAGGCCTTCGACGACGATGAGTCCTTCACAAGTGAATCGCTCAAGCACCAGTCGGAACTGTCGCAGCCACCCGTCTCTCAATCTGGTAGCATCTACGGGCAACAGGACCCCGCGCCGATGTATCCCGGTGAAAACAATGGGAGACGTGGCCCGCCACAATCCCAGGAGCAACGACAAATGTACAATCGAAGCTACGGAGGAAACAACGACTATGGATATAGTGGCCGACCAACAACAGCACCGAACCAACAAGCTTATGATAGAAGTTTGAGCCCTAGCCCTCTAAATCCTGGATACGTACCACCACGGTCCGCTCAAGGCGGATATGCTCCACAGCAAGGATTCCGTCAACAAAACAACTCCAGCCCTTGGCAACGTGGCGCCGGCTATGATTGACTACACTCGGGCCAGGCGCCAGATGAGAAGCAAGGTCAGCCCTTTCGTCCTCCGGGCCAGGAACGTCGCGGGAGAATGGAGATGGGTGAAGAACATGCCGGAAGCGGATACTGGGATCGAGACTGGTGGAGAGAATATGGCAAAGATGCTGAGCGGACTTCCAGTCCGTATAGATGAAGGGCTACAACCGGAGAGATATATTCTGCGCCTTGGTGGACTGAAGGAAGAAGAGCAGAAGTCGATATGATGAGACATGATTTTTTTGGCATCCTTGCGTCTCTTGTGTTTGGGTTGTTTGATGCTCGACCGACCAGCTTGTTGGCACACTGGTGCACTATGTCACAATCTTCTTTCGGGCGCTCGGTCAGCTCAAGCTCGGCATTTCTACAGCTGCATGGTCACGGTCATGGACACTGTCCAGAAAGGACGACTTGCATGGGAAGGCGTTTTCTAGGGGGATGTGTACGAGTACATACTCCGCCGCGACTGAAAATACATTGAGTTGAACAGGACTGACCAGCCTCTGTGACGGGCCATCACTTGTCTAGAGTTTCTAGAGTTCCTCATGAAGGCTGTGGCCTTGTGTCTGATTGTTTGTTTACTGCCGGACCCTGTGAGTTGATGTCGTCTTGTCCCTGCTCTACTCACCTCACCCTCGCATCACCTTTGTGTCGTGTTTGTTGGTCCCCGTACACCAGTGGCATTCCAGTTATCCTTTTATCTCTCGGCGTCGCTCGGCGTCTCTCGGCATCTCCTTTATCCTGCGCGACTGTATCGACGTCCACTGGTGTCGCCAGGATGCGGCTGAGCCGTGTTTTGGCGGAGCGCAAGAAGCGCAGCGGTGCGGCTGGGGCTGGGGCCGGGGCTGAGACAGAGACAACCACACCCTCATCCTTCTTTCTCGCGATGGCGCCCGAGATCCGCATCCAGGTGTACGAACTTCTAGAGCAGATGGCCGACCACGACGGCGACCAAGACCGCGACCGAGCCCAACACTACAACGGATTCAGCAAGACGCGCAAATCTCTCCTGTTGACCTGCCGCCAGATCAACCAAGAATTCACGCCCTATTTCTACCGCTCGACCACCTTCTGTCTGCGGTTCATGAACCACAGCCCCCGCGACTTCTATGCCCTGTTGAGCAGCATGGACGCCGTGAAAGTGCAGAACCTGCGCCACGTGGAATACCGCAACCGACAGTACATCCCCAGCGACTTTGCCGTGCTGGAAGACATGGCCGCGCGACTGGCCCGGGCGGGCGTCCACCTGGCCACGTTCAACGTCGTGCACGGCGACTATCTGAGCACATCTATCCTGCGCGCACCACTGGCTCTGGCCGTCCTGCTCATCGACCGCAATCGCAATCGCAATCGAAACGGAACCGGAACGCAAAATCGAAACAGAACCCGTGATCGCACTCGCGCCGTCCCATCCCCCAACATGAACTGGACCACCTTCGATCGTGCCGACTGGCCCGCCGTCGTGCGCCACTCGTACGGAACCCAGTTCACCCTCTTCGAACACGCCGTGCTGGCTCGCCTGATGCCCGACGCCGTCGTCCGCCGCGAGCGGGGCCCCAGTGCCTGTGGCTTCCGCGTGCTGTTCCGCCGTCCCGCCGCTCTCGTCGACTTCCTGGCCAACAACCCGCCTGTCGCGCCCGCCGTGCAATACGTCGATGAAGGCCCCACCCTCGCCGGCGTCCTGTGGCCCTTGGTGCCGCCGAGACGGGGCCCCGATGGGAAACCAATTCCCCGTCGCCGCATTCGCCTCGATTGAGGCCGGGCTCGACACTGAAAGTGAAAGGGAGAAGGGAGAAGGGAGAGGGTGAAAGGGAGAAGAAAAGAATCAAAACAGCAGGTTGGACAGAAAGGGAAACGATAATACGTTCTGCTGGGCGAGGCTGAGGCTGGCTGCAATTACTCGAGTGTTTATGTACCTAGCTAGCACTCCGTTACCAATGCAGGAAAAAGCTAAACGCTACCCACGCTTGAAGCTACCCTCAGGGGCATCTTACTCGCAGCTCCCTCCCTGAACTCAGTGTGCCATCTTTAACCTTGATTGCTCGTCGGCCTCCAGCTTGATTGATTGCACGCTTCACGAACCCCTATATGTGAGGGGCCTCTGCTTGAAGTAGTCTGCCACCACCTCCTCCGTCACAAGTGCTCTCTTGGCCTGAAAGTCGGCAACATAGGCTTGCATCTCCTTGATACAGATCTGCTTGATCTCGCCCGTCAACATTTCTCCAGATTCATAGGCCTTCTTGATCCGGGCGAGCTCCTCGTCGTCTTCCAAGAAGAAGGTCAGGTATTGGAATGGAACATCCGCTTTCGTGTCTCCACCTAGCTCCCGTTGCTTCTCGGCTGTATCCTGCCCCCCCGAGAATGCGAAGCGGTTGATTTTCTTCTTGATCTGATTCGGCGTGTCGGTCAGGAAGATGGCGGACGAGTCGACACTGGCTGACATCTTGGAGCCGGGGCCCTGTAGTGCAGGTAGGAAAATCGAATGGATCAAAGATGGCTTTTTGAACTTCATCTGCTCGGCATTATCGCGACATTGCCGGAAATAAGGGTCCTGGTCAATGGCGCAGGGAATGAGGCACGGAATGGTCCGCACCTTCGAAGGGTTGTCCCCGAAGATATGAGGGAACGACGTCGCAAAGGCGGCCGCGGACTGAATGGCGCAGAAGAAAAATTCCCCGACATTGTTGCTATCGTTAAAGCCGAAGGTGCCTTTGATCTGGTTGAGGGTGATGCGCGAGGCCATGGCGCAAATATTCTCTAAGAACGCGCCACCTATGTACCTGAGATTGGAGAATATGAAGGTTTTGGCAGGGTCGAAGCCAATAGCGATAATATCTTTTGCATTTTCTTTAACAAAGCGTTTTGTGTCCTCGATCGTGATCTTTTTTGAGTGCATGAATTTTTCGTCGTCCGACATCATGATGACAAGCGGACAGTCGAAGGTATCTTGGAGGTATTTCGTGAATTCGAACGGGACAGAATGCCCAACATGCATGCTGTCGCTGCTGGGTCCTCGGCCGGTATAAAGATAGAATGGTTCACCCTTCTCGTACCTGTCCAAGATCTTCTCCAATTCTCGGTGCGAAAACACGATCCCTCTTCGGATAAACCTGTGTGCTCTTTTCCCTGTGACTTTCTCGAATCGTTCTATGAGTTGTGGGGTGATGAGCCTTGCCCCAAATTCCCTGGTGAGTTTGTCGTAATCCACCGGGAGTAGTTTCCCATTCTCGTCCACTCCGCCCGAGACTTCGAAAGGGGTGATACGTTGTGAAACACTCGGGTGGTGTGCAATCTCTGCTAATGCGTTGGTGGTGAGCTTGGGAGGTTGCCCAGGTTCGTCTGCAGGCGGATGGGCAGCCATGATCGCAGCTGATGGTCTCCAAAGGGATGAGGGGAGGGCTGGTCCTTTCCCCGGAGGAATGAAGGGCTGGTTCTTGAGGTGAATAGAGTGAATAGAGTGAATACGGTCAAAACTTGACTGCACAAAACGTAACACCTGTTCAGTCGAGACACCCGATGGAGAGAGGTCGAGATGAGTGAGCGCTGCAGGTAGTAGGTAGGGTGTAAAGCGCCAAGACCACACGCAGGGTGGGAGTGAGTCAATGTAACAGTAGTAGTAGTAGTAGTAGGGACAGATGGAAGAAAGGCAGATGCAATAGTATCAGACGTCTTCGCCGAATGGTATGTACATGTAGTTTCATTCGGGGTTGCTGTGACTCAGTTCAGTACTGTGGACAGGGAGTATCTGAGATGTTATCGTGGGGGGTTGAATACCATGTAGTTAGACCCGGTTAGGTAAGACTGCCGACAAGTTCCCATTGGGACTAAGTACGTAAAAGCAGCAACTATTCACTTACAGACAGACGCCTAATATGGAAGTGACTTCGTCGATATTTGCCAAGCAGCGGGTTCTCAGGTGGCAATTCAAGTTCACCACGCTCACAACTCTATAGAAGCATCCTTCCCTTCGTCTACTTGACTTCAACATCCAACCCCACTTCCCCCTGGTTGTGTCGTTGACAGAATGAAAATCTACGAGAGTTCTTTCAGCTACGATTACACATTCCCGGCCGTCACTTTGGCCTATTTTCTCCGCTATCCGAACCCGTATTCGAGACATGTCTTGAGCACCGATGTCATCGATCGCTATGTCGATCCCGAGACCCAACGCCTTCATACGGTCAGACTTCATCTCAAGAAGTCAAAGGTGCCTGCAGGCATTCTCAAGTTCCTCCCCCGAGGCCTTACCGGGCCCGGTGGCTCCAGTCAAAGCTACATCCTCGAAAAAAGTACTATTGACCTGAAGGAAGGTTGGATGGAAACCGAATCGAAGAACATGGAGTGGACCGGTATCCTCAGTGTTATCGAACGTCAAAGCTATCGACGGCAACCGCTCTCGGAAATCCCGTCCCCAGACCTGTCCACGGATGAAACCCAGGGAATCAAGGAAACAACCTCATGCAAAACCGTGGTTACATTCGTGTCACAGCTTGGCCAAGGCAAGATATTGGGTCGGAAGAAACACGAACACTCTAAAACTCCCGAGGAAGAAACACACAAGCAAGGATTCTTCGCTGCGTGGTCCGCAGCAGGGATTCAGAGAACTGTTGAACTCATAGGTGTGAAACGGACAAAGTCCGCGTTGGTCAACGGGAAAGAGGGCATGAATGTGGTTCTTGAGCGACTGCGCAACGGCGGCGTTGTAGGTGTTCTTGAAGGTATGAGAAGAGACCGTCTGGAAGCCATGGGCGGAGAAGGACATTGAGAACAAAACTTTGGCTGAGCCGCCACGATTCTGGTGACCACGATTTTCACCGGGCAGCCTCGGTGACAAGTCTGGTCAACCAACTGTGTTGTAACACCAACATTTCTTTGATTTGAGCATGGCGTTGGGATGGTTGCAAGCGTTTGGGCCACCATGGAAAATTGTACGCCCGAGTATGCAGTGCTAGGTAGGCATTGAACAATGACCGTGTCCACTCACTATCTGGATATTCAAATGGAGATCCGTGGTTCTGAAAGCAGCCAGTTCTCGCACCTGCATCGAATTGTCCTCCTGTCAGTGCCCATCCGGCACCAGTCCGGATACCTGCCGATGGCGACCTGGATTTCATTTTTTTTCCGTTCACCCAAATGCGAGAGCAAACTGCTTCGTTGCCCAGGGCAAGGCTAGCGTCATACGTGGAAGAGAGGAAAGAGTGATCCCCTCGCTCTGTGCACAGAGGAGCTCATACATTACTCCTCTTCTCTATTACTATGGCAGGGAGCTTTTCGGTCCACGTGCAGAATCATGAACACTCTGATCCGTCTTCTTCGCAACTGTCCCACCGAGTTGTGGCCGTGGCCATCTATGACGGTGGTTGTGGCTTCGTCTTGGTGGTTGGGTGCACTCATACTCATGAGTTGCTTTGAAGAAACCGAGTCTGCTGGATGCCTTGGTCGACGCAATAGCGTTGATGACACGCCTCCTCTCAACGTCTCTACCGCTGGCTGGACAGTGCCTCTGAGAGGTGGCAGAGCGTGCAGTGGTAATGGGGTTTGTGCGTATCAGCATCAACCGAGTGGCACTGTAGTTTGCTGACATGGCCTAGGTACGGATATGCTCGCAGCTCCACCAGCGGGCAGACCTCTGCAGTATCTCGCAGTAGCGAACGGTGTCAACATTTATGTCTGCAACGGCGGCGGTGAAGAGGCAACATCAATCCTCCAATCTCAGTCTACCCAGCTTTATGATGCGGCACCTCTTGTTGCTCATCTTCCGAACGAAGCAGCTTTCCACGCAGTCATCCCAGGCCTAGATGCGGTTGGGATCGGGAGTCAAGATGGGAATAACTATACTTTAGGAAGCTTAGGGACAATTGGAACAATTAACGACACCTCGATTGTCACTCTTTTCGACGTCGCCACATTCGAAGCGCATTTGTACGAGTCGGTTCTGGCTCCAAACGATCCTACAATCAATGCTCAATGGACTCACTCGATGAGTCCTGGTAGGTCATGGAACGTATATCGGGTCGAGGTAGCAGGGGGTGCGGCCCCTACGTGTGGTAGTGAACGGCTGGTGTTCAAGGAAGAATACATGGCAGAGTATTGGTTCTTCCACTTAGGAGGAGAGGATCTTTGGACGTCGCTCAACAATTTCAGTGGCGGGACAGAGACCAATCCCTGACCTGAGTTTCGCAGGCTGAACCGTGAGGCACATGAACGGTACCCAATGCGAGAGAATTGAGTGACGATGCATGCTGGAAGATGGGGGGGATTGATGGTCGGAAGAGGGTGCTTGTATCATGGTAACAAATAGTAGACAACCGTTCCATGCAGTCCCTGGTCTCGACGGGATCACTGGGCTTGGATCGAAAGCGACGGTTCGGCTCGTGAGAGGCTGAACCAGAGCCAGGTCTCGAGGAATCAGTGGGTGGCATACAGAGTACATGTATGTAATGAAATGTACGGACTACCGAGCACGAAGGATGCTGGATATGGTTCCCAACCGAGTAGCTCAAGCGAGCAGCGTTATCCAGCTTAGCGTTAGGCAGTGCGAGTCCCCCAGAAACTCCCCCGCCGCGCTGCTCAACCTGAAACCCAACGAACAGCAAGACGGGCCATTCATCATTCATTTCAATCACTCGGTCTGCTCTGCTCTCGATGCCCCCCTCCCTTGCTCTCGACCTGGTTGAGATTTGCTATATATTGCAAGCCACTCTACTCTGACTCACCCTCTCCGTCAGATCCTCTTTCTTGTGGTTGGCCACAGTGTATGTGCTTCCAAGTGCGTCGATCGGGACGCGCATGACATGCTCAGCCTTAGCCACCGATTCAGCGATTACTGGTGAAAGAATATCCTTGGGTCCTTGAACCACTCTGACTACCTTTCTCTTTCCACCCCGACGCATTAGGAAGAGGCGCCGCCGTCCCGGTCTGCTTTCTCTCGCGCACCCAACATGGCCTCCGCCATCAACGACGACGAACTCTCCATCTCCCTTCCTCAAAATGAACACACCCGGCCCAGACCATCTTTACCCGCGGTCGCTTGTCCTCCTTCGCGGCAGAGAAGCGGTCAGACGCCTGTGGCAGACTCTCCAGGCACCATCCGATCCATGAATCGGTTACATCAGTACAGCTTTGTCCGCAACATCGGTGAAGGCTCGTTTGGTAAAGTCAAACTGGCGAGGCATAAGGTTACCGGGCAAGAGGTTGCAATGAAGACCATCAATCGACGCAAATTGATCAGTCGAGACATGGCCGGCCGCATCGAACGTGAGATTCAGTACCTGCAATTACTGCGACATCCGCACATCATCAAACTGTACACGGTGATCACCACCAAGACGGACATATACATGGTTCTGGAATATGTGCCAATGGAACTGTTTGATTACATCGTCAAACATGGTCGGCTAGGAGAGGCCAAGGCCCGCAAGCTATTTCAACAGATCATTTGCGCCGTCGAATATTGCCATCGACACAAGATCGTGCACCGAGATTTGAAGCCGGAAAATCTTCTGCTTGATAAAAACATGAACGTCAAGATTGCCGATTTTGGGCTAAGCAATATCATGACCGATGGCAATTTCCTCAAGACCAGCTGTGGAAGCCCGAACTACGCTGCACCCGAAGTTATTGGCGGAAAGTTGTATGCTGGGCCGGAAGTCGACGTTTGGAGTTGCGGAGTCATCCTCTACGTTTTCCTTGTCGGCCGACTTCCCTTTGATGACGAATTTATCCCGGCACTGTTCAAGAAAATCCAGGCCGGGACATTCCATATTCCGTCGCAGACGCCTCCGGGTGCGGTGAACCTCATCAAACGTTGTCTGCAGGTGCATCCCGTCCACCGTATCACTATCCCCGAGATCCGACAAGATGAATGGTTTGTCAAGGATCTCCCGGCTTATCTGGTTGATCCGGTCGAAGAATTTTTGGACACGGGAGTTGACCCCAGTAAAGCAATCGACCCTAGACAACTGGCGCCTGGGAAACCGCCCGAGGTCGTCGAGAGGATCCATGAGCAGGTCGTTGGAAAGCTTGGTCGGACCATGGGTTATGCCAGAGAAGATGTCAAGGACGCTCTTAGCAAAGATGAACCAAGCGCCATCAAAGATGCCTATCTTATTGTGAGGGAGAATCAACTGATGATTGACACGCAACAATACCGAGCCGAAAATCCTGAGCTCGAGTTGTTCATGGCTTCTTCACCACCCGTCGAACCTAACTTTCCTGGGTTTCCTGGTTCGCCGCCCGCGGGTCGAAGATACCAGGACGATGTGAAACCGCTTACGCCGACACGAGGGGAAGGCCACCGATCAAGCCGCACATTGTCCGAGACGCCTTCATTCCGAGAGGAAGAGAAGCCCAGGATCTCGAATGTCCGCGTCTTGAACACATCCCTTCCTCATGTCCACGAGGAACTGATGCAAATCCGAGAAAAGGCGAAGAGCAGAGGCGAAGACCCAGACTCAATTCTGCATCCGTCCCAGGAGGAGAAAGACGACGCCGAAAGCCCGATTCCGGAAGAAATCAAGGATGAAAATGGAAACCCCATTTATCGATCCAAAGAAGAGCAAGAAGCGACATCCCGTGCACTCAAGCCACATTCCAGATCAGTGACTTCTATGAGTGTGTTGCGAGATCCGCAGTCCCGACCCGAAGGCTTGACGGGCATGTCGCAAGATGAAAGACGACCCGCGGCCTCCAAGCCCAAGCCACGAAAGTGGCAGTTCGGCATCCGGTCTCGAAATGCACCGTATGAAGCGATGAAGTGTCTTTATGGTGCGCTCCGAGCTCAGGGGGCTGATTGGGAAGTCAATCCGTGGCTGCTCCCGGAGTCACTGCCCGACGGTGAAGACGACAAGGACCTCATTCCCGCGCCGCCTCCCGAACTCGCGCCTGGGGAACGCCACGCCGTCCTCCAACAGAAGCACTCTTGGCTAGATGAGCATTACTACGTGCCGCGGGACCCTTGGAACATCCGGGCCCGAGTCTTGAAGAAAGGGATGCTGATGCCCGGCGAAGCGCCATCACTCTCGGCCCACAGCTCTGCTGTCAGTTTACCAGCGGAAGCACAAGACCAGCTGAAAAAACACATTGAGCAACTGGGGGGTTATGCTTCTGATGATATTGCAAAGGCGCTGGGTGTGCATATCTCAAACGGGTCAACTTCCAAGGTCAAGTCACCCGGGGAGTGGAACACTCAGAATCAGGATGCGTTCACTGGACCCGGTCAGCCCATGAGCCGACCGGAAAGTCTGTCAACACTGAACAAGAAGATTCCCAGCGAGCACATTGGGGTGTGGGTGTTCATAGACATTCAGTTGTATACTTTGGAGAGTGGGACTTATGTGGTCGACTTCAAATGTGACGGATACCAGAATGTCGTTTGGCACGATGCCAAGAGAGAGCGGGAGAAGAGCAAGACGTCCAGCAACAACAGTGTGGTTACCAGTCCGTCCGCCAGCCGACCAACAAGCGGGTTTGGAGAGCTCAGTCATCCCAGTTCGGATCGACTGGACGAGGAGGGGTCCGAAGGGTATTGGAAACCAGTCAGCAAACGATACAAGAACGTGGAAAAAGAGATCTCGAGTCCATATCCGTTTCTTGACGTTGCCAGTGACCTGGTAGCTCAACTAGTAAGTCGAGGTCTCGGGCTCACAGGAAGAGAACAGCAGTGCTAACTGAGTCTACAGTGGGGTGGTGCTGCTTGATGCTTGATGCTTGATGCTTTAACTGTGATGACCACTCATGACGGACTACGATATAATCAGCAGATAGGCGCAGGGACAGACCTCAAATGGGGGTCACTTGGGACCGCGGGAAGCAAGAACCCAGCCTTATGTGAGACGGGTGGGATGGAATGACAGGACGGGGACCATTGCCATGGACGATGGGAGCTCGATATGTGGGAGGATGGAGGGCACATGGTAGCTAAAGCTGGCCAGCAAGAAAGCAAAGAGGCAATCAACCACTGCGCTGTGCTACCTCTTGTACATGGCACCTGCATGGTAGAGATGATTAGGGAATGTGTGAACATGTCTCTCTTGTAGGTGTCTTGCTATGCTACGGCAGCCCGGTCGCGGTCACGTGCCCAGACCGGATATAAAATGATCAGGTAATCCGGAGTAAGGAGTCACGAGTACGGAGTAGATATTACGACACATATCAGTACGCAGTTTAGGTGCCTCCTACTAGTCGTAGTTCACGTCTCAACACGCGTCCTCGGCCTCAACCTCCATCCCCTTATCCCTCCCACGCTCCTCTCCGTGTGCCCGCGGTCAGGCACTTATTGGCGCTTCCTTTCCATCTAGATTGCACCCTCACCACATTCTCTGGACCTGCCGCCGTTCCCCAGGCCAAGGTCCGCAGGCCAAGATCCGCAGTCTTGCAGATGAATCCCGCCCAGCTCGGAGACGACCATTGTACATTGCCAGCGACGGCGACGGCGACAGCATGGGCCTCGCGGCGAAGCTGAGGTCGTGGTCTCAGGAACTGACGGCGTACTTCATCTACACTCTCCTGATTGCCACGCTGGGCCCTCTTTTGTTTGGCTATCACCTGGTAAGAGTGCCTTCTTGACGCTTGTTTCCTTTGGTGTGCCTCGTCTACCTCGGTCCATCCCCTTGCTCCTCCTGGGCTTCCAGGTTCCAAAGGATGACAGGGTTCCTGATGCTGTTGTCTAGGCCGAGCTCAACGCTCCCCAAGAAGTCATCACATGCGCCAAAAAGACTATCACGACAGCGGCGGGCAAAAGCCGCCAGCCATCCGCGTCCCTGTCCCTGTCCATCTCAGGCCTGCCGCAGTGTATCCCCATGAACACGGCGCAGATCGGGCTGGTATCGTCCATGTTCACTCTGGGCGGCCTGATCGGGGCTTTGGCGGCGGGGCCCCTGGCAGCTCGATACGGCAGACTAGTGGCCATGCGGGCCAACACAGTCTTGCTCGCGCTGGGACCGGTGGCGGAGGCTTTGGCGCCTAATATCGGCGTGCTGGCGGCCGGGCGCTGGGTGTCGGGCCTGGGGGCAGGAGTCGCGGTGGTGGTGGTGCCCATCTACATCTCGGAGACGGCGCCGCCGCGCGAGAAGGGCTTCTTCGGCGCCTTCACGCAGATCATGACCAACATGGGCATCTTCACCACCCAGTTGCTGGGCTACTTCCTCAGCCGCGGGCAGCTGTGGCGCGTGATCTTGGCCGTTGCCGGCATGGTCGCCGTCGCCCAATTTGTCGGCCTCCTCTTCGTCGTCGACAGCCCCGCGTGGCAGGCCGACCACGGCGATCCGAGACAGGCCCGGGCGAATCTCAAACGCATTCGTGGGCCAAATGTTGATGTCAACTCGGAGGTTGCGGCGTGGAGAGTACAGCCTGCTGCTGCTGATGGGACTGGTGTGTTGCTTTCCATTTTTCCCCGTCCTGTCGCCTATTGCTTTACTTGAGACACACTCCAAGTGAGCCACACACGCATTGGGCTTCGGCTGACCACGTCTGGCCTGACATGAAACAGAAGAAGAAGAACAGCAGACGCTCCTCGGGAACAGCGACGGCAGCCCTCAAAGGTCGGGCGACCGGCCAACGACACCGGCGAAACACGACCAGGCCCCGGCGCTGGGGATCCTCGGGGTGCTGAGGTCGCCGACGCAACGACCGGCGATTGTGGCGGTGGTGATGGTGATGCTGGCGCAGCAGCTGTGTGGGATCAACAGCATCGTCATGTACGGGGTGTCGCTGCTGGCGGACCTGCTGGCCAGCAACTCGGCGCTACTCAACATCCTGGTGAGCATCCTGAACGTTGTGGCGACGACTGGGTTCGCGCCGCTGGCCGACGTGCTGGGCCGCAAGACGGTCATCTTGGCCTCGATCGCCGGCATGGCCGTGTCGTCGGTCCTGCTGGGCCTGGGCATCCGCTCATCCATTCCCGTCTTGTCGGCCGTCAGCGTGCTGCTGTTCGTCGCCAGCTTCGCCTTTGGCCTGGGCCCCGTGCCCTTCATCCTGGCCTCGGAGCTCGTTGGGCCCGAGGCGGTCGGCGCCACCCAGTCCTGGGCCCTCGCGGCCAACTGGATCTCCACCTTCATTGTCGCGCAGTTCTTCCCCGTGGTCAACGAGCGCCTGGGCAAGGGCGTCGTCTATTTCGTCTTTGCCGCCCTGGCGGCCGCCTTCTTCCTCTTCATTTCCTACTTCGTCCCCGAGACCAAGGGGAAGAAGGACGCCGACGAGGTCTGGGGCCGACCTCCCCGGAGAGAAGATTGATGCACCGAAAACCATTGGGGGCTTGAAAATTCGAGCTGTTCTGCTTCTGCTTTGAGGTCATGAGCCGGGGATGTGAGAGTGACCCGTAATCTGCTACAAAGGTATAGGAAGATAGGAATATTGGAATCTAGGCATATAGGAATATAGGCATATAGGAATATAGGAATATAGGAATATAGGAATATAAGCATTATATGTTATATTAAGATAGCTACATGTAGTGAGAAGATTGTTATTTTCTTGACCAGAATAAGAAGCGTTTGGCAGCCGTTGGGCTAAGCAATCCCTCAGAACTTCCTCTGAACGTCCTCGTGCTGTCGCGTTCAGGGTCAGAGACTTGGTCTTACATACGGGCCGCCGCAGTCGGCCGTCATGTCATGTCGTGTCGTGTCTCCTCTCCACGGCTGGTGGCAATCAAGCAGTTGAAACCCAGTCATCTGCACCGCCTGCGCCTGCGCCTCGAACGTGATGTGATGCTCGCAGCAGTAGCATGTCGATGCGGTCGGCCTACGGAGAACAGAGTACATACAGAGTACCGAGTACTGATTAATCTCAGATACTGCCTTATGGCTTATAGTGATAGTACATGTCACACACAGACACATTGTTCCCTCCCGTGCCTTGGGCGTCCGGTACGTACATACGTACAGTACAACTTTGCATGAGATTTACAGCATGACCTCCCAAGAAGAAATGGAACGAACTCTTCGCCTCGTAACGTCGTGAAATATCTTGTACAGCTCCCCGTCACTCTCTTGCTGCAATCCCCCGCCTCGGCAACAAAACATACTGTATGTACCCTTCCATATCACCTGCCTTTCTCTCGTCCGCTGTCTCGGTCATACAACTCCCGAAGCCCTTCTGACGGACTGTCACTGTCACTGTCACTGCCGTTGTCCTTATTGCGTTGGTTGTTCCCGCTGCGGCTGTTGCTGCTGCTGCTGCTGCTGCTGCCGCCGCCCCATGGCAAGATAATCGCGATTCTCGACAGTGACGCTCTTGGTCATGTGGTTGACCTTGTAAATGCCTACCAGCCGCTCGGCCAGTTCAAACATGTTGTTTCGCAGCGAGATGACGATGAACTGGGCGTTCTTGGTCCGTTCCTTGATGTATCCGGCCACGATCGAAACCTGTCACACCCGTGTTAGTCGCGCCCAGCTACACCGTTCCATAGGCCATGCTGGCTGCTACTTACATTGCGGAAATCCAAGGCGGCATCAATCTCGTCCATGACATACAGCGGCGTGGGCCGGTACACGTGCAGGGCAAAGACCAGCGCCAACGAACTCAACGTCTTCTCGCCGCCCGACAGGTTGCCAATGTTCTTCCAGCTCTTCTTGGGCGGCATGACCGAAAACAAAATCCCTTCGGAGAAGGGGTCCAGACTGTCGACCAGCTCGAGCTCCGCGTTGCCGCCGAGCGTGATGAGCTGGTACATCGACTTCAAATGCGACGAGATGGTGGTGAAGCCGGTCATGAACTGCGTCAGGCGAAGGTTGCGAAGATCGGTCAGCCGGGTTTTGGCAGCATCGCGCGTCTTGACCGCGCCTTTGAGGTCAGAGGTGCGGGAGGCCACTTCTTCGCACCGTCGGCGGTATTCGGCGATCACAGAGAGGTCGACACTCGAGGCATTCGACACTTTTTCTTCGAGCGCGGCGATGGATGCCACCAGGTGGTCTTTGGACTTGTCGAGGAGCTCATCACGCGTGAATGCCTGCAGTTGCCGGCGAGCCTGTCTGACGTCGGCGGCCGGTTCAGACTCGGTGGGATGCTCTTCTTGGTCGACATCCATGGCGTCGGGGTCCGCAGGGGCAGCATCTCGCATTTCCGCGTCCTCGTCCTCGCCCTCGCCCTCCTCCCTGTCGGCTGGCTTCTGTTCTGCCGGCCCTGGGGGATTGCCCTGTAGGTTGCCCTCTAGGTTGCCCTCTAGGTCGGCGACATCATGCAATGTCAGCTTCGACAGCTTTTCGGCCCAGTAGCGGTTCTTCTTGTTGTTCTCCGCCAGGATCTTCTGGTTCTCCTCGAGTTTGTTCTTCATCTCGATTTCCAGCGCGCGGGTCGAATTCAGTTCCGCGGCCTGGGCGTCGAGGTCTTTCTTCAACGCGGCCAGTTCTTCCTTCATGGCCTCTTGTGCTTCTTGCGTCTCGTCGGCCCGGGCCCTCAATTCAGACGCGCCGGATTTGTGCTTGGCCATGTCCTCTTCCAGTCGGGCACAGTCCTTGGACAGCGATTCAAGCTCCCTTTCGGCGTCCGCCTTCGCCTTTTCATTCTTGGCCTTGAGCTTGTCATTCTTCGTCACGGCCACTTCGGCGTGGGAGATGTCTTCGGTCAGGAGGTCGATCCGCTCCTTCAACCCGTCCACCCTCGCCTTTTGGCTTCGAAGCTGGATCCCGCCGACTTCCATGATCTTGTCTTGTAGCGCCTGAATCTCCGTCTCCAAGCTCGTCGTCTCCGAATGCAATTTCTCCAGCTCTTTGTTCGTGCCGGCCATTTGCTTCTCCAGAGCCTTGATCTGCGAATCGTCGGCAGAGGTGGTGGCGAGCTCCGCCATCAGATCCTGGACGCGTTTCTGGGCATCGGCGAGGTTTCGGGTGTTTGTCTCAATCTCCAGGTTGATCTTCTGAATCACCGTCTCCAGTCGGGGGACTGCTTCCTGCTTCTCGAGCAGGCTCGCCTCGAGCTCTCTCTGTCTCGCTTGAAAGGCTTCGAACTGCCTCTCCAGCTGGTCTCGTTCGGTTTCCAGCTTCTGGACTTGCTCCTTGCTCGTGTCAGAGGACAACTTCGACGACATGGCCCCCCGGGCCACACGGGTGCCGCCACCGCTCATCGTGCCCGACACGTCAATCAACTGCCCATCCAGAGTGACGACCCGCCATCTCTTCGCCCCGTAGGCGATCCGATTGGCTTGCTGGAGATCTTGTGCCACCAGGGTGTTTTGCATGACGCTGTAGAATGCCGGTGCAAACCGGAGGTCCTTGGGCCTGATCAGGTCAAACAGTCGAGGCACCTCCTCCGGCGTCTGGATGGGAGCGAGATCTCGTAGTGCCAGTTTGTCCAGCAGAATGAAGTTGGCGCGTCCAAGGTTGTTCTTCCGCAGATACTCAATGCACTGTTGCCCAACCTCGACATTGTCGACCACCATGTTTTCCAGGCCTGGACAGGCGGTCGAGATGGCAACGTCGTACTTCTCGTCAATGGCGCCCAAGTTCCCCAGGCGGCCGTGGAAGCCGTCGATGCGCCCCGAATCCTTGAGCCGCAGCAGCCCTTTGAGCACGTTGCTCTGGTTTTGACTGCTGGCGAGGCTCGCCCGCGCCTCGTCTGCCTTTTGTCGAGCCGACGAAATGTGCGCGCGAGCGTCGGGTTCGCTGGCGGCCAGTTTCTGGAGAGCGTCTTGGATCTTCCTAACATCCTTCTCCAGCCGGGCCTTCTCATGCTTGCGTTGCTCCATCTCCTCGAGCTTCTCGACCCGGCTGGCTTCGATGCTCTCGATCTTGGTGTTGGCTTGGTCAATGGCCTTCTGGCCACGGCTCGCCTTCTCCCGCAGAATGTCAAGCTCGGATTGAGCGACGGCAAGGGCCGACTGCTTCTGGTTGATCTTTTCGCTCCAAGGCTCCAACGCCTTCTGCTTGGCCGCGATCTGGTCGGAAAACCCCTGCGTCTTGCCCTTGAGGTTGTCTCGGATCGCGGCGAGCTCTTGCTCTTCCCGCTGCATTTCCTTCTCAAGCTCCGCCACCTCAGCCCCCTTGCGCCGCACATCGTCAGTGTGTTTTTCCACCAGACTCTGGGCTTCCGACGCAGTCAGTCGGCTTGAAGTGGCGAGCTTTTCGGCCTTTTTTTGCTTGCCACTGATGAACTTGCGCTTCTCCTCCAGCTTGACGTTTTCCTTCTCGTACTTGGCCAGTTCCTTTGCAAACTCCTGCGCTTTTTTCTCAATGCATCCATACTGCTTGACTGCCTTGCTGTAGGCGTTTTCAAGCTGTTTAATCTTGTCCTCATTCCCGGCGTGTTTTTCCAGTTCGGCGTTGAGTTGCTGCTGGATTTCCTGGATGGCCTCCTCGGTGACTTTGGCGTTATCCTCGCACTCGGCAATGTAGATTTGATACAATGCAGACTGTTTCTCTGCCAATTCATTCTCGTCGCGGATGAACGCCAGCGCTTTGTTCTTCTTGTCCTCCAGGCTATTCTTCTCCTTTTCTACATGTTGAACTCGCCCTTGTTTCTCGATGCAGATCTCATTGAGGCTTTCCAGCTCGACTGCCGCCTCTTCGATGGGAGTCTTGTATTTGGAGGTTCCGATGATGTCTTCCAGGTACTCCAGCAGCCCGTCGTCATGTTCACTGGCGGCTTTCGGTTTCATCTGGGCTATTGATTCGACTTCACCCTGGAGGATGAGGAACCGCTTGTGATCCAGATCGATGCCCTTCTCCTTGAGCAATGTCGTCACGGTGGTGAAATTAGTCGTTCGACCATTTAGGTAGTAGTTGCTGGAGTTGTTCTTGAACGCTTTCCTTGAAACGACCAGTTGTGCGTCGGGGACCACCTCGTGCTTGCCGCCAGGTAGATCGACGATTTCTTGGAAGTAGACCTCCACCTCACAATACTCGAGATCTTGATACTGGGCCGAATTGTGGATCAGAGCCGAAATCTTGCCCTGTCTCATCTTGCTGGCTCGAAACCCAAAGACAAAAAGCAACGAGTCAATCACGTTCGACTTGCCAGACCCGTTCGGCCCTACCACCGCGGAAAATGAGGCATGGAAGGGGCCGACCACCTGTCTGCCGGCATAACTCTTGAAGTTGGTCATCACCAGTTGCCGAATGACCATCCGCGATTTGGGTCCGGTCGGCTCCTCCACAGGCGGCGCCGCCTGTGCTCTGGCTCGTATCACAATATCCATCGGCTTTTCCAACACCATGTCAACCGGCCGCGTTGCCTTGAGCAAATCTTGATCCAGCTGAGGCCGCTCATTATGGTTCAAGGCCTTGCTGGTGATGTCCTTCAACGGGGTAGCCTGAGCTTGATCAAGTTCGGGTGACCTAGACGCGTTCGGGACAGGTAATGGCGGCACAGGGGGTGTAACTGACGACCGGCGCCCTTTTCGGGGCGCAGTGCTCTTTCGCTTCCGCGGAGACGGGCTCTTGGTGGGAGAGGCTGGTTCGCTGGGCGCCGCAGTTGCTTCCGGATCGAATATTTGCGATGGCTCGATGCCTTCTCCGGTCTTGACTTTGCGGGATCGGGCCGACCTCTTTGGTGTTGCGCTCGCGGTTCCGGTGGTCTGTCTTCTTGTGGACTTTCGTGGGCTCCGTTTAGGAGCGGGCGTGAACTCTTCGTCGTTGTCTTCCTGGACCAAACTCAATTCGTCGTCGGATTCTTCGACCACGAAGGTCTTACGCGCCGCGCGACGCGACGGTCGGACGGGCGACTCGGCAGACATATCGCTATCGAGGGGGAGGGTGGCCGTGGTCCGTTGGTGGTTATCGATGACGGACGCCGCGCTACAACCTTGACAACTCTACATTGAAATACGAAAGCGAAACGAGAGGCACGACCGACTCATTCTAGGTAATGGTGGGATATTTGTTGATGGGCGCCGGATGTGGCTAGCGTGCCGTGGCCAGGAGATTAAGCCAATCACAACGCATCAGCTGTTCCCGCCGCTTTATCCTTCAATCTTGATGTCGTTCCCCAGTCTGGCCTCTGGTGGCCTCATGTATTTATTATCTCATATAATCAGGAAACCTGCAAAGCTCGGCCAAGCCGGAGAAACGAGTCTGTTACAATCGCATAATTCATTCGAGATACGTTGTGTGCCAAAAAGCTCTATAGTCGCATTAACCGGCTCTGTCAGCATGGAGCAATGTCCATCTTCCCCCGCATTTCACCGAAGCCCACGCCGCGTTGGTTTACATCCGTCTAAAACGGCCAGACCCATTTCCTGATGGATTCAGGATCAATACCCTCGTGGAATGCCTCGTTCTTGCATTTGATCTGTTCGTTGAGGAGCTTCTCTCGGGCACTGGCACCCTTGTTGCCGAGACCGGAGATACGGTCCAACGCGTCCATGGCAAGAGAGAATCGGTCGGTTTTGTTGCGGATGGCCAGCTCGAGAGGCGTGTCAATGTTTCCCTTCTCGTTGTAACCTACCACATGCAGGTTGTGCTGGCCCTTCCGTCGGTATGTCAAGCGATGGATGAGCCATGGGTAGGAGTGGAAGTTGAAAATGACGGGCTTGTCGTCAGTGAAGATGGCGGTGAATTCCCCATCACTCATGCCGTGGGGATGCTCTCCGGCCGAAATCAGTCGGAACAAGTCGACCACATTGACGAAACGGATCTTCAGCTCCGGCAGGTATTCGCGGAGCAGAGCTGTGGCGGCGAGGGATTCCATGGTCGGCACATCACCGCACGAGGCCATGACGACGTCCGGTTCCTGTCCTTGGTCATTGGACGCCCAATCCCAGATGCCAGCGCCCTTGGTGCAGTGCTCAATGGCGGCTTCCATGTCGAGGTATTGCAGGTGATCTTGCTTATCAGCGACAATGACGTTGACATAGTTGCTACTTCGGAGGCAATGGTCCATGCAGGACAAGAGGCAGTTGCCATCGGGAGGCAGGTAGATCCGGACAACTTCGGGAGACTTGTTGGCGACGACGTCGAGGAAACCAGGGTCTTGGTGGGTGAAGCCGTTGTGATCTTGACGCCAGACGGTGGCCGTCAACAGGATGTTCAGAGAGGCCACTTTGGCACGCCATTCAACCTCGAGACACTTCTCAATCCACTTGCAGTGCTGGTTCACCATGGAGTCGATGATGTGGATGAAAGGTTCATAGCTGTTCAACAGGCCATGTCGTCCGGAGAGTATGTACCCTTCCAGCCAACCCTCGACCGTATGCTCGCTCAGCATTTCCATCACTCGGCCTTCATAAGCCAAGTTTCCGCCATCGGCATCTTCGTCGAAGTATTCGCCGAGCCAAACCTTCTTGCCAGCCGCGTAAACGCCGCCGAGTTTGTTCGATTCGGTCTCATCGGGGCCAAAGAGACGGAAGTTGGTCTGGTTCTTGGCGATGATATCCCGCAAGAAGACCGCCATGTTCGACATGCTCGGGGCCTCGGTGGCGCCTGCTTTCTTCACCCTTATCGTGTAGTCACGGAAATCGGGCAACTGCAGGGGTTTCTTGATCAATCCCCCGTTGGCGACCGGGTTGGCGCTCATGCGGCGGTTTCCCTCAGGAGCCAGCTTCTTGAGTTCCGGGATCAGCTTGCCCTCCTTGCCAAAGTACTTTTCCGGGTTGTAACTCTTCATCCAGTCTTCCAGCAGCTTCAAGTGTTCCTTGTTACTAGCAACGTCCGCAATGGGGATCTGATGGGCTCTCCAGAAGCCTTCCAGGTAGTGGCCATCGAGGGTGCGGGGGCCAGTCCAACCCTTGGGGCTACGGAGGACAATCATGGGCCACCGGGGCCGGAAGGCTTTACCGGACTCACGGGCCTTCTTCTGGTAGGCTCGAATCTCGAGCACACACTTCTCCAGAGTGGCAGCCATGGCGTGATGCATGGAAACAGGGTCACTTCCCTCAACAAAGTAAGGGGTCCAGCCATAGCCAACGAAGAGAGCTTCGAGTTCTTTGTGGCTGACACGTGCGAGGATGGTGGGATTGTTGATCTTGTAGCCATTGAGATGCAGGACGGGGAGGACGGCGCCGTCCGTGATTGGGTTGAGGAATTTGGTGCTGTGCCAACTGGTGGCCAGTGGGCCGGTTTCGGACTCGCCATCGCCGACCATGGTTAAGGCGATCAGATCCGGGTGGTCAAAGACGGCGCCGAAAGCATGTGAAATCGAGTAGCCCAGTTCTCCACCCTCGTGCAAGCTGCCCGGAGTCTCGGGGGTGGCATGGCTGCCAATGCCGCCGGGAAAGGAGAATTGTTTGAAGAACTTGCGCAGGCCTTCTTCGTCTTCCGACTTATCCGGGTAGACTTCGCTGTAGACGCCCTCGAGATATGACTGGGAAATGACAGCAGGCGCGCCGTGCCCTGGGCCGGAAATGAAGATGGCATCAATGTCGTACTTCTTGATGAGGCGGTTGAAATGGACCCAGGTAAAGACCTGGCCGGCGTCGGACCCCCAGTGGCCCAGGAGGCGGGCTTTGAGGTGTTCGACTTTCAACGGTTCTTTGAGGAGGGGGTTTCTTCGGAGGTACAGCATGCCCAAGCAAAGGTAAAGACTAGCACGCATGTAGTCGTCGATTTCCTTGACCTCTGCATCGCTAAGGACGGTTTCCTGAACCGTGGCTCGGGCTTTTCCGTAGGCCGAGATGCTCTCGACGGAGACGTCGGCGGCGGCTGCGGGGGCCATGATGGAGGTTGAGAGAGACCGACGAGCAGCGGGCTCTTGTAACGGTCGACGAGGGAAGGATTGTTGGAGGTGATCGATGGTATGAGGGAGAGGACAGTTGGGGATGAGGAGGAGGAGAGGGGTGAAGCAGACGAGAGTGACGAAAGAGACAGGAACTGGGTGAAATCAATAATATATAACTCAAGACAGCTTCAAGCACAGCGGTACGGCCGGGGAGCTCTCTCCACCGACTCGACCTACGTACTAGGTAGGTACCGTATTAATTACTATAGGTATTTAGCACCATGACGGATGGCACTGTTACGTCGACAGGCTGTTATCATCAATAATGCCATCATCCCTCAACGATCATCATCCGACCAAGACCACCCTGCCCCGGGCTACCCAGAGCTAGTCCAATCCAGACTCCCGCCCAAACATTACTCGTGCATAAACAATAATGTAGCGACCAACTAGTTGCGTTTTGCCTTTTGCGAGCTACGAGGTGCCAGGGTGCCAGGTGCCAGCTCTGGTCCAAGCGTCCATCTCCGCTCGAGCTACCATGCTCTAATAACGAGAAAGAGAAGGCTGGTGTGCTTGGACGGGCAGGATATTATTATTCACCAAGCTGCGCCGTGAGGCTGGCCGTCGAACCGGGGGACGGCCTGTGCTCGTGGAAGAAGGAGCCGTTTGGGCCGTTTGAACCAGTCAGGGCTTTGGAGGCTTCAGGATCTTTGGGAGCTTTGGGAGCTTTGGGAGCTTCGGGAGCTTCGGGGCCTTGAGGCAACCATGGATGCCACTGGCAGGTGGGTGTTGGAAGGCGGACGCTGACATGATCAGAGCCATCGTCATGCAAGATCCTGATAAATGAGGGACCAGACGACAGCTAGCTTGGTGATTGGACACCAGGAGCAACACCTGCGGTCGGCCTGGGAAAATCAAAGCGAGACCTTGACCAGACATGTGGGAAGACAGAAGACACGAGAGCGTGGTGTGGGAATACGATAACTTACAATACCAAGTGGTGTGAGGATGGAGCGATATACGGCCTAGTTCGGCAAGGCGCAGGCGCAGGCGCTCAGCAGCTCCGGTGCCCAGTTGCCGCCACAGTCCGGATGCGAGGCGAGGCCCTAGGAGCCTTAGGCCTGAGGACTTAGGGGCTTGGTACCTACGACGTAGGCTAAGGGGCTAAGGAGGCTAAGGCTTAGGGGCTTAGGCCTGCTTAGCCTTGGGCCTCTCCAGATCTCGGCTGCCGTCGATCCCAGAAACATGGGACTACTACGTATGTACATAGTAATAGTAGTAACAACAAAGAAAAAGAAAATCCAGTTGCTCACCTCCCGACACCTGATATCCATCTCATGCAACTTTCCACGTTGCCATCATGATCTGCTATCTCAACCAACTCGTCTAGGGCCTAGGCCTGTCATTCGAGTTCAATCCAAGCCCAGCGGTCTTCCCTCAGACATCCAAGTGGCTATTCTCGACGCTCATGTTGAACCCCCATCCATGTTCCCACCCACACACCCCTACAGTACCACATGCCAGTGCAGCAGCGACCTACGGAGTACTCTATACTCTGTTCCCACAATCCTCGCCCAGTCTCTCAAGCCCCCATCCAGCCTTTCTGCCAGGTCCATTTCCCAGCTTATCGGGTGCAGCATGAAGTCATCCATCGCCCGGCTCCTCGAGGACTCGGTATTCCCAATTGGTGGTGCACATCTCTCTTAGACATGGCCTCTCGATGCTCAGCACCCTGCTTCTTTGATCCCAATGTCACTTGTGGCACCCGGACCTTTGGTTCAAACTCGTCCCCGGATTTTCCAGGTATAGCTGTAGCATCCACCAGAGCTTTGACAACGGCGTGGCGTCCACCCTGCGATCGATCTCGTGGTTCTGGAGCGGGACGGAATGCCAATACGTATTGCATCGGCCGCGATTCGCTGCTCGCTCATACCCGACCCCAATCTTTGCAGGCCATGAATGCCCCAAAGATTGCCTTCGCCCGGCATGGGTCCTGAGAAGCGGCATCGCCAGGAGCATTTTCAGTAGTGTAGATTCCAGGGAGGACCATGCTCTTTCTAATAGCTGCCTTACGGGTCAAGGTGGTGTCGATTTGTCCTCGATTAAGCCACACCCTTCACACGCTGTTCTCGGGTGTCCATGTCGCCGCTTGGGTCGTCACGTATAGCGCCAGTGACCGAAGTCGAGAGACTGCATCATGTGTCAGCTAGGTTCGAAGCTCTTCTGGTGTTCCGGAGCTTACAGCTTACTTATACCCCGTCTCTTCCATGGGCGGTTAGAGACTGCTCCTCAGGCCCACCATTTCACAGCATAGACCCAGTTCCGACGCTGGGCATCTCGCGTTGATAGCATTAACTGACCTGAATTATTGCTTCCTTGTTGGCGAACTGAACTCAGAGCCCCAAGCAGAGGCACGGTATATAATGTTGGTTGGATTGATTGGTGGCGAGAGATGAGACGTGATTTCGCCGACTTCTCTCTTGCCTAACTAGGAACTTTGGTATATCAGACTGCGGGGTTCGGAGTTGAGCAACATCGATAAGGGCGACACATCAGACACCAGACACCAGCCACCAGTCTTGAGATAGCAGACACTGATCCCTCGTTCCTGGGCGAGTCAATGCTGCATCATTAAGGCCTATATATACGCGGCAGTAATCTGACCCCGATCACCTCCCTCTATCTCTGGTCTGCCATCCCTCGCTCTCAAGAAAGTAAACAAATCATCTTCCGTTCCCCGCTACCTAGAGACTCGTTTAGATTCTAGTCCAACATGTCCAAGACAGCTACCGTCACCACGACCGTCCCGTCCTCTGCCACTTCCGAGCCTCAATACTATGGCAAACTTCGCTACATCCCCCAGGGCCAAAAACCGACCCCGTCGCCACACAACTTTCATCTGCCCGCCATAGCCGAGTTCGGCGATGTGCGTCTGCAACCACTCATCGACATGCGGCCTGTGCCTACGGTGGGAGAACTGCCCACTGCCCAAGAAGGCACTGCCCAATTGTCCACTCACGGTTTCACCGCCGTCCGGCACCCGATGACCATGAATTCGGCCCCGTACACCCGGGCGAGCTGGAATGACCCCAAACTCCTCAAGGAGCTATATGTGCCCGAGACGGAGGAGATGGTGAAGCAGATCACTGGCGCCAAGACGGTCATCACAGAGGCCCTCCTGCTGCGCAGTGCTGTCTGGTCGGAGGAAGACGCATTAGCAACTCATGCTGGCCATGGGCATAAGGAGGCATCCAAGGCCGACGGAGGCGAAAAGACACCCGAGGAAGCGCAATTAGAACTGGGCTTTCCGCAGTTCATCGGCTTTTCACCCAAGCAAGGCGGCGCCAGCCCGGCACCCAAAGTCCACCTCGACTATGCCCCCAACGGCGCCCGGATGCATCTGCGAAAGTACCACCCGACCATGACGGCGGCGGCCAAGGGCATCATTGCCGCCGAAGACAAGCTGCTGGCAGAGGGCAAGTCTCTCCGCGAGGAGTATGCGGCGTCTAAGCTGGGCCCCCGCTGGGCGCTGTACTCGATCTGGCGACCGTTGAAGCGAGTGCACCGTGACCCGCTCGCGCTGGGCGACGCCCGCACCTTCCTCGAGGAGGACTATGTGCCCGTCATTGTGAAGACGCCCAACCTGGGCATCCCCGGCGAGACTTCGACCCACGACACAGAGAGCTACCTAGCCCACTGGTCTGTGGGACAGAAATGGTACTTTATCTCGAAGCAGGAGCCGGAGGAAGCCCTGGTTGTAGGACTGTTCGATTCGGATCGTGATAAAGACACCGTGGCTGCGGGAGGCACTCTTCATAGCAGTGTCGACCTCCCCGGCACCGAGAACGAGGAGCCGCGCGAGAGTATAGAGTTGAGATGCTTGGCCATCTGGTAGTAGGGTCCCTCATTGACTAGATAGCACACAACTGTCCGGTCGTTTCTCCTCTGGTATGCTCGTCTTCTCTCGGGAACGGTTCTGCAAGACACACCATGTGGATGCTTTGTCTGCACGATGCGGGAGACGACGTAAGAGGCCAGAATCTCAACGTTGAAATACCTATGAACTGCATGCGTTGCAATACCGCTAACTTCACTCTCCAACTCCTGCGCTTGTTCTCATTGATTGCTCTAGTACAAGGAAACGCCAATCCACGAGCCTCTGTAGCTCAGTCATGCCGACCCACCTCCGAAACGCATAACATCAGAAAACCCCTGTCACTGCCGGATAGGGATGCCAATCTCGTTGGAATATCTGCATCGCGCCCGGGTCGATGTGCCGACCTGCTCCATGTTGGTCGTGTGCGGCTTATCGAAAAGCATCCGGTTCCACACTTCTTCTTCGGCGCTTCCATCCTGGGTCTCGGTAGTGAACTCGTCCCACACCGGCGCTCCCTCTGCACGATAGACATTCGGATCGAGTGCTCTAATGAAACTCGTCCAGTAGCCCTGCATGACCGGGATGATCCAGGCATTCGACTTTCCCGCTTGATAGCTCTCAGGAACTGAGCCTTGCACGTTCTCCGGGCCCCATATTGCAGCGAGCTCGACCGTGTGCGGCACACCTAGCCCTTGTGCCATCTGCGTTGGATCCTCTACGTTGTACCGGTAGTTCCAATTGCCTTGCTGCCCGTGGCGGGACAATGCGCTCGAGACGAACAGATTCGGACACATGTACCGCAAGTCCCCGTACGCGTTGGAGACCTGACGCCACCAGGTGCCCGAGTTGGGGAATTGAGGCCCATGGTTGGGATAGAGCTCGTCCAAGCGCTTGAGTTGATCGAGAGTTAGATACGGGAATTGGTTGTGTAAGAATGTATTGGATTGTGTCAGACTGGAAGTCCCGCGAGGTGTGAAAATGGTGCCTCCATTGGTGTCGTCGCCCATGATGACGGGAACTCGAATAAAGGACCCCGAGTCGAAGGCCGCATATGTGAGGTTTTGGATGAGGTCGTGATCAATGACTGGGTTCCACATGAAAAGGGGAGGGTTCTGTGCTCCAGGGTATGGTATGTTATGATTGTGGGCTTGGAGTTCGGTAGCGCTCTTCGAGCGTAGGCAATCCAAGGTATCTTCGGTACACCCTAAACGCGTGGCAAAGGTGTCGTACTGGTATTGGCTCTCCTCTATAGTTAACATTGTTGCAAAGCTGACAGACTCTGCTGCAACACCAACAAATAGACCATCATTTCGACCACCAAAAGCTGTTAGGTGAAGGGCGATTGAGGCCGCCCCGGCAGAATTTCCTCCTAGTACAACGTGATTCGGGTCCCCTCCGAATAGGTGGATGTACCTTTGCACCCATTCGAGTGCCTTTCTTTGGTCTTTGAGACCGTTGTTGACACTGGCGGTGGGTGAGTCGTGGATTTCGCGACTGGCCAAGAACCCATAAGGACCAACGCGGTAGTTGAATGTCACGACGACAATCTGATTGTCTGAAGCAGTGATCAATCCGTGTCCATTGTAGTTTGCATTAGCATTGTAGTTGAAGCCGCCGCCCTGAATGAAGAAGTAGACTGGTAGGTTTGATTCGATGGTCGCATGAGTCGGAGAGTAGACATCAATAAAGAGACAGTCTTCTGAAGTCAACAGCCTGTCCGAACTTTCGCCAGTTCCCAAACAGGTATGGCCATGCTAGAAGAGGGTTACTCGTGAAACGAATCGCAGCAACTTTGAACATGATTCGTACCTTGCCTGCCGCAAGTATACCGGCAACCGTCGGCGGATCTTGAGGAGCAGCAAATCTTAGTTCACCCACTGGGGCTGCGGCATATCGCATTCCGAGCCATTGGGTGATGCCCTTTGAGTGCTTGACTCCTTGGTAGGATGCGTAACCGAGTTTTACTGTGGGTTGGACCGCGGCTACTGCTGAGAAGAGGCAGAGGAGGAACAGGTATAGAGCCATGGTGCATACTGTAAGCATATAGGGGAGGAACATGCCAGCAGCTAGATTGTTCCGTGGCATCGAGAATTGCGACTGTACTTCGAACTTGAATGCATCTTTGAACTTTTCGTTGTCGTTGTCGTTGTCGCGGGAAAATTGAGGTTCAATTGAAGGCCGTAATGAGAGGCATTGCACAATATCCGCTTCGATTTTGTCATGGACTACTTTAACCATAATAGTGCCAGCGTGCTGGCGTGCTGGCGAGGCGCAGCTGGCGCGAAGGATGGCGGTCCGATATAAGTGTCATTCTTTGCCTAGGCGCACAATTACCAGTGATGGTACGGCTAGATCCATCTGGATTCCCAGGTCTGGCAAAGAATTTGCATGGTACTCCGTATTTTTGGTTCGAATAATATGCAAGGGAGCATCTCAGATTGTGGTGCGGGGCAAGTGGCTGGATTGTATGGAACACAATGCTCTTGATTGGATGCGGCTGCCAGATGGTGCCAGAGCAAAACAACGGCCTGTTGAGTCCAGATCCAGATTGCTTGCCACGCCAATCGCGTCGAACCTGTTGTCCGGCAAGTAGGATAAGCGGACGTGGCCTCGTGGCTAAGCAATCGTACCGTTCACGTTCTGGACTGATGGCATTGCAGGAACCAAGCGCGGAAACAGGACTTGATACCGGGTCATTCGGATCAGCCTCAGCGGTTTTGGCCTGGGACGCTGAATAATGGGCCCAATTGTTTCCGTCTTCACTTCGGAACCGCATCCGCAATGGCTGTCTTCACGTAGTCCCAGCTTAATCCTCCAATGTCTTCCCCTTTCAGCCTGTTCAGAGCACTAATACCCGTTGTTGATTTCCCTGTCGCAATTCTTCGTGCCATGACCGAATCTTTTGCACCCGGATATTTCGAGGCGGCACCATGCAGCAGGCACCCCTCGAACCAATTCTCCTCTTCGGCGGTGAAGGGCAACCCGATCAACACGGCTGCTTGTTCGGCACGATCACGACCCGCCTTCTGCCCATGTACTGTGACGATCAATTGTTCGAAGAGAGCTCTGCGCTGTAGATCGTCTTGTTTCTGGGCAAAATAGTACGCTTCGACTAGATTGTTTGCCAGGAGCAACTCGAAGTATGCCTCGAGTGTTTCTTGATCTTTCAGAGGTGGAGATACAGCAACATAGTATGCGGTGGCCAGAGAGGAATCGCATTTGGAATGCCGGAGCAACGCGAGGAGGATCTCGTCGGGAAAGGTGGGCGTTAATGACGGGTCAGTAAGGAATTCCAGCGCTCGGGAGAATTGAGCGTGATCAAGTTCCCACAAGCCGGCGACCAGCAGCTGGTACTTTTGAGGGAGGTATGTTCTTCGTGCAAAGTTGGTGTCTGCATTTGGTAATTGGCGACAATCTCGGAGGATGTAGTAGAGGAGGGCGAGTCTATGTTCCTCCTTTACAGGTGCCTGAACTATCTTGGACCAGAGGTTGCGCAAGTCTTGGTTCGATCTGGGCGGGTAATTGCTCCTGGCGGCTGCCCAACTGTTAGTAGATGAGACTGATTTCGCGGGGAGGGAACCGTGTTCATACGGCGTGTCAAGCCTATCGACTTCCAGATACGGTCAAAGAACAATTGGTCGCCAAACTCCTTGCGATGTTTGAGTATGCTCTCAACCGACTTCTGGTCGAACGCATAGTCTGGTTTCGGCTGAAACACAGCATCGAAATCTTGCCAGTCGAGCATTGTGATGACAGAGACTCAGGCTGATAGGATGCTGAAGAAAGCCACAAAACTGCTCGTTGGTGGAAGCTGGCTGAAGCAATTGATTCATCACTGATTCAACATCAACACCGAACGCCAACTCGAGGCATTACATGACCGCGTCTGCGGAGTGAAAGTTTCCGGCGAAGCATAGGTGATCCTACCGCATTCGATTGATTTGCCGTAGATGGCTCTATCAGTGCATTTCTTGAAATCTCCTGATTATTGTTCGTCTCGTTTACAACAAAAACCCTCCTTCACATACCTAGGTAGTCCCTTATGGTACTACCGTACTGCAACTCTGCCGTCCAACACTACTCTTCCCCTGCTCCCCACCACCTTGACCCAATTCTTTCCTTGTTTACACTAGTGCACTGTATTCTCCAGGAAGATAACCCTGAGCTGCGAGGACAAAACCTAACCCAGTACCGACTGAGTGAGCACTTCATAGGCCAACCACTGACATGGTTGGGCGGATAGGAACGACTAACATAATAGTTGGAATCTAAAATGCATGATGACCGCGAGCCGTACTGTCTGGAGTCGAATCCTTGTATCGACACCATCTGTTGGCCTATTCAGCCCACGGCTGTTGTATCCTTGCATATCCTGCCGCGAAAGAAGCCCCTGACTGCGTTACTCAACCAGATCAGCTCACCGTGGCGCAGCTCATCCAGCGGTACGAGCCTTTCCACACAGAATCCAGCTTGCAAGGCCTTCAACTTGGTTACGCTAAGCATCCCGCCAGACACAGACGGTGGCGTGACCCAGCCTCCATCGCGAAAGAAGTACGGCGTGCAAACGCTTGCCTCTGTAATTTCGCGCCGTAGATTGAAGAGGAGGACCTCGGCGTTCATGGGCGCGGATTGCAGAATCCCCGCCCGTAAGCGTGCGTTGTCGTATGGTTGTCGAAATGTCGTCTTATTAGCGGTGAAGATGGTGGTCGGTGTGGGTGTGGAGTCAACATAGACAGTCGAAAAGCGACAGCCAGAGTCGTCAAAGCTGGATGGCAACTCGTGGAGAGGATTGTTCTCAAGGGCTTCTAGTGGTTTCTCACCACTCATTGGTACAGTCTCAACACCGGTATGACCACCGCTATCGACCAATATACGCACTCGGATTTCCCTAAAGAAGCTTTTAGCGGGCTGGGGCTGCTGGGTTGTTGTAGCCTCTTCGATAGTATGGAAAAGGCCGAGCGCGGCCTCGTCGCCTTGAAGCTGTACGCATACTCGCGACCACGAACAGGCTTGGGCAGCGGTTTTCAGTCGCTGTCCATGCAAGTATAGTAGCTTTAATTCTTCTTGCTTCCACTCCTGAATGAGTTGAGGCGCCTGGGCCACGTCGTGGCTGTTGAAATGCACGTGCTTCAGAGTAGTGATAATGCGGAAGTCTGGGTCTTCGATGATCGAAGCTACTGCCTCGGAATCCATAGCTTCAAGTCGGTTCTATAACAAGGACTGGAGTCTTTCCTCCTTCTTTATTGACATTGGTCGATGTCAACTCATTCCTTGCCGACTTCGATGCGTCGGACACCTCCGGCACACCAGTGACACTTTCAAAGAGACATAACTGAATACCGCCTCAGCACAGTATTGTCTGGTGTTGTTCGAGGAATGGGGCAGATCACAAGTCAATACATTGTTTTTCCATTGCTGCGAACATCCGATGCTGAGATCGCAAGAATGGGAGAAAAGTTGTGTTGTGGTAGTAGGCCTTGTCTTTCGGGGTTTCGCAGCTGCGCCCATCCGGAGCTGTGCCATTGGTCAGCTCCCAAGTGAATCTCCATCTGCGCTTCTGAGATCATTCTTCGAGTCCTCGGAACTTTTTGAATCCTCGTCACCTCCAGGTTGCCTACTATCTTCTGCCTGGCCCTCCCATCGTCCCTTTCTCGTACTAGCTTCCTTTCTCATTGTACATTAAACACATCAATCAATGGCTGAGCCTGTGTTCATCGACGCCTCCCGGGCATCCTCTTCTTTATGGGATCGCGTGTCTAGCTGGGTTTCGGAGAACAAAGCGATCGCATACACAATCGCTGGGACTGTCGTGGTCATCACCAGTGCGGGAGCCATCTACTACTTCTCCGGACAGAGAGCAGGCACACCTCCTGCGGCCACAGAGAAGAAGAAGAGCAAGAAGGAGCGCCGGAAAGAGAAAAAGGCCGCCGAGGAAGCACAAAAGGCTGGTATCAGTCTTAAAGACGTTGAGGCCGGTGAGTGCCTGTCCCTGATGCACAGCCCCGACAACATCGCGCTGATATCTGAGCTAGGAGCAGTTCCCCCCAAACCTACTGCCGTCGAGACTGAGGACGAGTTACCAGAAATTACTGAGTCTACGGTGGAGAGCTTCACCGCGGAGGTAGGATTCGACTTATTTGGTATCATGCTCATGGCTAACACCGACCAGGAGAGGGCGACCTATGCAGGCAAATTAAAAGTTGCAGGCAACAAGGCATATGGCTCTAAAGATTACAACAAGGCAATCGAACTTTACGGCAAAGCGATCCTCTGCAAACCTGACCCAGTCTACTACTCCAACCGAGCCGCTTGCTACAATGCCCTTAGTGAATGGGACAAAGTTGTGGAGGATACCAGTGCCGCTGTGTCGATGGACCCCGAATATGTGAAGGCTCTGAATCGGCGAGCGCATGCCTACGAGCATTTGGGCCTGTTTTCGGAGGCTTTGCTGGATTACACTGCGAGTTGCATCATTGACGGCTTCAAGAACGAGAGCAGCGCTCAGAGTGTGGAGAGGTTGTTGAAGAAGGTCGCTGAGAAGAAGGGCAAGGCTATTCTTGCGGGCAAGAAGAACAAGTTGCCAAGTGCCACTTTCGTCTCCAACTATCTCCAAAGCTTTCGCCCGCGCCCACCTCCGGCTGGATTGGAAGAATCAGTCGAACTAGACGAGAATACCGGCGAGGGCCAGCTACAACGCGGGCTCATCGCTATGAAGAAGAAGACGGCCCAAGGATATGACGAAGCTGCAGCGGCGTTCAAAAAGGCCGTTGAGCTCGGAGAGCTCGGAGAACACGAAGCCTTTGCGCTCAACATGCACGCAACTTTCTTGTATCTCGAAGGGGACACTACAGAGGCCCTTCAAGATCTGACCAAAGCTGTGGAATTGCAACCTTCGTTGACCCAAGCCTATATCAAGCGTGCTAGTATGCAATTGGAGCTGGGCAACAAGGACCTGGCCGCGGAGGATTTCGAAAAGGCTCTGGCACAGAACAAGGACGATCCAGATATCTATTACCACCGAGCTCAACTGCATTTCATCCTTGGAGAATTCGCCGACGCTGCTAAGGACTACCAGAAATCGATCGACCTCGACAGGGACTTCATCTACTCCCACATCCAGCTCGGTGTCACCCAGTACAAGATGGGCTCGATCGCGTCATCAATGGCGACGTTCCGCCGGTGTATCAAGAACTTCGATAAGGTGCCAGATGTCTACAACTATTACGGTGAGCTGTTACTTGACCAACAAAAGTATCAAGAGGCAATAGAGAGGTTCGACACATCAATCGACATGGAAAGACAGACGAAGCCGACAGGTGCTATCAACGTCCTTCCGCTGATTAATAAAGCTTTGGCACTGTTTCAATGGAAACAAGATTTCAAGGCGGCGGAGGAGTTGTGTGAAAAGGCGCTCATTCGTAAGTTGCATGAGACGGTGTCTGCCTATACCCCTACTAACGCTGTTCTAGTTGATCCTGAGTGCGATATCGCGGTTGCCACCATGGCACAGCTTCTCCTCCAGCAAGGCAAGGTTGTCCGCGCTTTGGAATATTTTGAACGAGCGGCCGAGCTCTCGAGGACCGAGGGAGAGATTGTCAACGCGCTCTCGTACGCCGAAGCCACACGAACGCAACTGGAAGTATCGCAAAAGTACCCTCGATTGGCATCGCGGCTTCAGCAGATGGAAGGGGCGGGACTTGGTGGTCCCCCTGGCGTGAGATAGAACATGTCAGGTCATCTTCGCACCTCTGTTTGTCGTTGTGAGGCTAGGCTCCCTTCTCCTTTAATTCTCCCGGGTGCCGTGCTGGCGAGAGATCGTGAGACTCTTCGCCATGAAACGCGCACTGGTCTAGCCTTCAGCATGGCCGATTCTCGCGGCTGGGGGCCAGTGCTGAAGTGTTGGATGTTTCGAAACGGCGTGTGAGGGCGATCAAAATGGTGTAGGAGTGTATAACAATAATGGATGCGAGGCCGCTTCCCGCCATAATGTGCAGATGTTTGTCGAATCAGGGTAGTGATCAGGTAGTTGTATGACATGGGCATCCTCTCAACGCAAGCTGGGTATGCTCTTATAGCACCTCAGCGTGACAAACGACTCCCAACGTGAACGCATCATTCAGCCTTGGACTGGGCGCAGGCTAACAAAGGCGGGAGGGAGCTGGAGGCGGAGACCACAGGCACCTGACAGGGGCGATAAGACAGAATCTAACCCAATTTGGAATGGGCGGCTTCTTATCAGTGACACCTCTAGGCTGATACGGAGTACGGAGTACATATGTCGACGGCAGTCGCGACTTGCCCCTCATTGCAGCCTGCACGGGCAGTCATCGGTTGCCGACCTACAGTTGAAGTATCCGACTGCTCCGTGGTCGACTGCTCCCGTTTCAGTCTATAACCGACTGCTTCACTCTCACTTCTACTCCTCCAGGCTAGTCGTCTTATTCACTCATGGCCTCTTCCCAGTTCTCCCTCTGCTAGACCACGGCCGCTGCATCTAACCTGGGAATCGTCCTAGTTGGTCTCGACCCCTCCAGCTGCCTGCGTAACCCAACTCACTCAGACCTCACATCTTCGACAGCAGACTGTTCCTCCCAGCTCACCGCTCTCATCAACACGAAACTCGATCTCTCGTCCGTTGCACTACAAGGACAGCTGGAATCAGAACCCGATCGTCCTAGGCTACCATCGCTCGCTTCTTACGATGACTCATGACACCCCTGCCCCGTACGGTACGTCTATAGCGCCTATGACTGCCAGTTTACTGCCGGTGTCGAGGGAGCCTAACGTATCATAGTTACTGTCACCCTGCGAGATCTCAACAACCAGGATTCTATCCCTGAACGGACGATAGTGCTCGACTACCCGGATTGGGAGATCAAGATCGGTCGGGGAACCCTCAGCGGTGCCGACGACCTGCGTCCTGCTCAAGAGAATGCTTGGTTCGACTCAAGGGTATTGTCAAGGAATCATGCCAATCTGAGAGCAGACCCAATTACGAAAGTGAGTCCCCTGTCTTCCCTTGCATAGTCTGGGCTGACCATATCAGGATATTGTTATTGAAGATCTTGGATCCATGCATGGTACCCACCTCGCAGGCAGACGGCTGAAAGTGAATCATCCCGAGACTCTGTGGCCTGGAGACCTCATAACTCTGGGTGCAAATGTGACCAGAGGACGCAGTGAGTCCGCATTTAAACCCGATCGTGTATTAATAATATTGTACTGAACACCAGATAGACCATTTCAACGCACTACAGGTTGTGATGAACTGGCAGTGGTCAGTTGACAGGTAATCCCCCGAACGCTCTCAAGAACGTGAAATTGTGCTAACAACTTCATAGCAGTGCGCCTCCTACGAAGCTTCCCCGCTCCAGCCTCGAAACCATGTCTTGCAATACTTTCTCGCCTGATTATAGTGAGGCCGAACACTTCGAAGAGCCCAACTCGAACATCTACTATAACGATAGTGAAGACGGGACAAACTATGAAGAAGACGAAGCGGAGCCAGATGGTGAAGATGAGTTTGTTCAAAATGAGATCTGCCAGGAAAGCATCGAGATTGTGATTCCACCATCTCGTACCTTTGCTGTTCCGGAGTCCGATGTGTCCGACCCAGACAGCTACAGCTCAGGTGAAGAAAGCTCTGATGCGGAAAGCCCGACTTCCAGTCCAGTTGGGCTGAGCGAAGAGACCGAAGACAAAGACAAAACAGCGTCCACCATACCGGTTCTCGAGGTCAACAAGCCACAAGCAAGTCCTACCTCAGAACAAACGAGAGGTACATCCGTCAACCATAAGCCAGGCGATGCTGTTTGGCTTATGGACCTCTCGGATGAGGATGATGACGTTGACGTTGACGACGACGACGACGACGACGACGTCGGTGGTCTGACTCAAGGCGACCAAGGCGAGCCTGTTGTACCCACATTGCTGGTCACCAAACCTGACTATGTCCAATCGTCATTACCAGAGGGTCTTGAGAGCTCGAGCCCATTGTCACAAAACGCTGTCGGCGGCTCTGACCGGGACGAAGCTGTCCACACATCATGTCTCTGCGATATAGGAACCGTGAAGCCATCGGCTGAACCTTTCCTGGCTCCACCGTTCATTCAGGATCTACAATCGGATGGTGCAGACAATTTGGTTTCTGAAGAGGGTCGCTCCAGTTATGCGTGGGCAGGGCATAATTCTGTCTTGTACGAACCTGTGACAGGAAACTTCAGCCAGGGTACGGTGCGTGCTCCACCCATCACCTCGAATGCGCCAGCCAACCCACCTTCGCCCGTATGGCCAAACGATCTCAACGGAAATGTGTGGCTTCCACAGTTTTCATCAGAACTGCAAGATCAAATTCCAAAAGGTTCAGTTGCAAGCCAAGTTGATGATTCACCCAAAGAAGGTTCCGCGGAACTAAGCAACCGTACCTTGAAACGCAAGGCGGAACAAATCTCTTCGGATGCCACCCTTCAGGAACAGACAGTAGTTGCTGGTTCTAATTCACCTAATCCTGCAAATTCCATTTCAGCAGTTGCATCGGACAAGGCTATTGACGGTGCCATTGACATCCATGAAAGCAATCTGCAAACTTCGCAGTTGCCTGGCACCGAAGCAAATGATGGTACACCACTCCAGAACGCGGAACTGCCACCACGTAAGAAAATCAAGCGGAGCAAACAGAGGCTTAATAAAAGCCGTGGCAGCAGTAGCAGCAGCTTGATCAAGATTGCTGCCGCAACAATTGCGGGCATGGCCATCGGAACAGTGGGAACAATTGTTGGCCTTGCCTCTCTTCCGCCGGACTATTTCATGTGAACAATGCTTGATCTGGAATCAAGTAAGCCGGTTCGGCCGTTGATCGAGCAGTTGGGTATACTGCAGGACAACTAGAGATACGATACGGCAGTCAAGACCAAGGACGACCTGTTGGGAGAATGGCGTTCGCGGAGTCGCGGGATGGGGATGCTATGGGGATGGGGATGGGGATGGGGATGGGGATGGCGATGGGGACATATGAGGATCTCACGAGGATTCGACACTGTCAGGGAACAGATTGCATTTCGTAGGGTTTTACGGGCTGGGGCAGCGGCTGGCGGGCATGTTCTACCTCGAATAGCACACAATGGATTTTAGCTGGTGTCGGTGTAAGGATCTTAATCCATTCTTGGGCTCTCCTTATCTCGGGCTTTTCCCTCCAGCACTTGCCCTACGGTTCATCGGGGAGTTCTACACAGAGCAATGAGACGCGGTCTTTTCAGAACAAGAGTGACCACCTGGCCAGGGCGTTGCTACAGTAGTAGACATGCAATCTAGAAATCTACATCTTATATCGATTTTCACTTTTCATTCACCATCTTCGTCCCAATCTTTCCTGCGTGGTCGGCCATTCAAATCTCATCTTGCAGCACCAAAAATGTCGAGAGCTATCCTGGCCTCAACAGAGCCTTGAGAGATACTTCTCATATGCTACGATATGCCAACACCACTCCTGCCCTATGCTGATAGATGATCCTAGAAAGAAGCAAACCAGGCGCAATTGTCTGTCTCGTATCGATCATGCATCCAGCACAATGTCATATCGTTATTCATTATTTTTCCAGCGCAGATGGCCTCGCTACCCTAAGCCAACCCCGAGTTTCCTGTGACTGCTAACCGTGCAGTGGTGGCCGTGGTCGTTTCGTTCCATGTCCTTCATATATTCATATCCTTTCTGTCATCATGTTCCTCGTGTCTTTCGTATCCTCATGCCCTTCGTGTCCTTCGTAAAATATATCGTTATGCTATGCTAGCGATGTATATGGCTGAAGGGATTGTAAGTTCCTTGGGGAGTAGAGCGGGTTATCTAACTAAATTGCCGGTTTCGTCAATATGGTCACTCCGCAGCAGTAAGCATCAGAAGACAGGCAACATCCAGCCATGTCCGGCCATGCTGACTCTGTCTCTCTACACCCAAGCAGGCGAAAAACTTCGTTAAGTTTGTGCGTTGAAATTCAAGATTGTGTGCAAACGATGCTTCCGCATAGAGATGTCTCAACGACCTCGATGCATGAAGAGTTAACACAAGGTGGCAGGCGATCAGGCTGGATGGAAAGTCATCTATCTGGAGACTCATTCGGCGTTGAGATCGTGCTAGAGGAGGCCACTTAAGATGCTGGCTCCTCACGGGGTTCGATTGGATCGAGAACGACCGGGCATGGCGCTCGCATTGAGGGTATGCTGTTGAAGTGGATGGTTCAGGCTCCAGAGACGATGGGCTCAGGCTGAGGCGTTTGGGAAGCAGACAGTGTCGCCGGTCATGGCCGAGATCTTCCGCAATAAACCCAGTTGTCGAGGTTCTCAAGCTTTCTTGGTCTCGAAATTGACCACGTCGAACCCTTTGCCGTACCATGTGTCCCAATCCCAATCTGTACTGCGATGATTTTCCTGACCAAAGGCACGAATCATTATTTCACCTTGTTTCTCAGCTTCGGTGCCAGCTAACAAATGTTGGGCACCTTCTCTGTGTTTGCGTGTTGCCCCTTGCCCCCAAATTGTATCTTTGATGGGATTAATGAAGGTCCCAATGTGTCTAAAGGTCAGGCTGATTCTCTCTCCACCATACGCAAGCTCGGCAGGATCTTTCTGGGAAGGAGGCCGCTTATCCGCTCGGATGGCATGAAGCCAGTGTCGATTGGTCTCCTCACCAAGGACGAACAGAGACTTGTGTGGCAGCCGTATGCGTTGACAGGGTCTGGTAGCATCCGAATCTAGGTTTTCAACATCAGAGGCTACCGAGGACCTCTTCTTTCGTAAAGACATGGTCCTTTGCGCACCCAGACTGAGGTTGACGATGCTGGACCCCCGAACAATGTCCAGAGTCTTGTCGGTGTGTTCTGAAATGTTGTCTTCGCCATTTCGATACCATTGTATCAAAACATGATTTAGGTGATGACCGACCACCTTTTCCGCAGCTTTTCGTAATGTGTCGACAGTAGGATCGAAGGCGAGCAGCTCGGGAGATTCATCGGCTGGATGCCTGTAAACGGGAATACATGACCCATCCTCGGCGATTCGTCCTTGAACTGCAACCAAGCGAGGCACTTCGCCAGAGCGATGAAACATTTTTTGCCATCTGATTCCCTTCTTACAGGAGTGAAAGGCTCTTTCTGCTTCCTCCGGACCGAGTAGGTCCAGGTAGAGTTGACAGTCACCTTGACCAATTATGTCGTCAGGTTCAAGGAACCTAGGTGTCATCCTTTCCTTCTTTTTGGACATCAGTACACGACCGCACCGAGCTGTTTCCGACACTACCTCTTCCCGTTGAGCTGGGTCATTGTCCGAAGAGTCATCCCTTCCAGCGCCGGCATTATTGGCGAATTGTGTATGCACCATGACTGTATCGTAGGTAGGAGAAGGAGACTCCTTCGGCTTGTTCGAGGGACGTTTCTTTCGGGTGGAAGAGTTGGTCTGCTTGCGTTTCAATTGCTCAGCACTGTCACCAGGATTTGAAGCGCGACGGATTGAAGGGCTGTGTGATAGTTTAGGGATATGAGCCTCCTCCGGGGAATCAACGTCACTGGTTGATCTCTTTCGAGGGGGGCCGTGGTCCGGTGAGACGGACCTCACCAGCCTCCGGGACAACTCACTCTTTGTGCAGGAGGAGTCACGACCATCAGTGGACCCCTCTGCACTCATGTTTGACGGCTTTGCAGCATCTTCTGCGCATATATCTTTGTTCTCCTGACCTTCCAACCTAGCAATCCAATCGTGGATGTGCTTCCTCGACGTATGGGACTTGATCCGACGGGCGGGAGGCGCTATGGTGACTTGAAACCTGGTAGTGTAGTCTTCTTCACGTACGACGTCACCTAGTAACCCAGCAAGGTCGTCGCGGAGCTCTTGGCAGTCAACACCACTTGCACCCATGTGGTCGGCCATTTGACGCATGGCTTCTACGTGGCATTTTTCATCCTTGAAACCGAGACAGTCCTCGACGATGGTGACCTGGAGACCATGACACACGGCGTCCAGTACGGTAGCATAGACAGCAACGTTGGAGAGGGAGCCACAGATATACAGTTCGGTGATGAGTCGGGTCCGTAGATGCATCAGAAGCGGTGACTCGGGAAATGCCGAGTAGTGGGATTTCAGCATCACCAAGTCTCGTTGCGAGTCAATGGCGTCTTTGATGAGGCCAGGGAAGTCGGCACCCGGAGTGCCTGGGATACAGCACCTGTCCTTGGCCGCAGTACCGGCCGCGAGAAACGCTTCTCGGTCATGTGTGACAGTAGACGGTGAGAAGGGACCTTGGGAAGATAAGCTGGTGCAGCGGGGATTGTCAATATACTCCCTGGTCTCGCCGTCTGTGTCTTTATCTCCGAGATTTTGTTTTAGGAGGATGGAGTATGACCCGGTTGTGGTTGAGATGGTGGACTGAGGTTGTTTGTACTCTGTGCCAACCCAAATGACCTCCCCCTTTGCACGAAATTCGGCCACAAGGGCAAGGAGATTCGGGAGGAAGGAAAGCACATTGGCGACATGAACTTTTCCTTCCGGACTGACGAAGTCGTTCTGAAAGTCGAGGAGCAGCAGCGCCTTCTTAGTCTCGATCGGTGGACCCGTAGGCAACGAGCCGGCAGGGAATAACATGACTTGAGGAATGCCGCATCATGCGGGAGGATGGTGTTACGGCGGGAAAGTGAGGTGAGGAGAGCAGATTGTAGGGAAATGTACTTTCTTTTCAGGAGGACTTCTATGCCGTAGCGCGACCAAGAGACTTAAGTGGTAAGGCGAGACGAGTGAGAGGGTAGACGCGGAGCAGGCCGAGATGGTTGCGGTGACAGTGACAGAGGCGCCGTGGGTCTAGAGGGCGACTGGGGGCTAAATGGTTTGCTATTGTCAGTGTGGCACTGGGGAGCGTCAGACGAGGCGATAACGGCGGATTTAGTGGCTATTCGACGGCGGTCACCAAGTCATTCCGCGCTTGGAAGCGACCTGGGTGGTTTGGGTCTGAGGGAGATCTATTCAATAGGATCGGGTCGGAGTGGAGGCCGACTATGGTAGTTGATCGAGAAGACTGGTTAGAGTGCACCGATCGGGCAGTTCGGCAAGGTTCAGGCGTGGGATTGTGTGATAGGAGTAGTGAAGCGGGAGGAATCAATTGCCAAACTGTTGAACTGGCGGATGGATGATGTCTTGGTGCCGGTTGATGAGGTGTCCGTGGGGTGGGTTGAGCAGAGCCACAGTGCCACGGAAGCAGTAGATGGCTGCTGTGGTTCAGATGGACTGGACGGTAGCTCCGTCGTTGTATTTGTCTATGTGGCTGCGAACTGGACCTATATTAATTGTGTCTCGACAGGTGAAGTACGGAGTACTGTTTCAACTTGGATGGCGGGGTAGATGTTGACTCGAGCCTTCAGGAGAGACGAGCGTCGACAGAGCAGGGAGGCTTCGTACGAATTAGGGAGTTTGGATGAGATGGCTTGTAGATGGTCGGAAAGATGCTGTAGAAGGACGAAGGACGAGGCACTCCGTACTTTGGAGGAGGAGTGGAGACGCAGTTTAACGACCGTCTATCTGTGTATCCGTACTCCGTTCTGAAGGTAGAAGTAGCAAGGGATCAAAGCCACGTTGCACGGCAGACAAGGGACCAGGATAAATAGTGGCATATTCTGTAGACGATGCGGCCATCGGTAGGAGGAAGAGGAGCAGTACTGATGGTGGTGGTATGCAAGCTGCAAGAACACGGGGCGAGCCTACCTGGCTGATTAGGTCTCTAAGGTTGATTTAGGAAGGTCAAGAGCGAGAGCGGAAGCGCAGGAGCAGGAGGCAAAGAGAGGAGGGGCATCATCCGGTCGGTGGCGGTAGGTACTGTACCTTGGGTACCTTTGGTATAGGTAGGTACCTACTAGGTACCTAAGGTATTGTACAGTATGGAAAACCCCGGGCACCTAATACAAGGCACCTACCGGTAGTACAGATGGCGACTAGAAGTCCGCAGCGTCTATCGGGTACCTAATAATACCTAGCCTAGGTACCTACATACCTATCTAGGTACCGATCTGCCAGTGCCCTGAACTTCCCTTCAACTAGAACTTGATTTGATGTGTAAGCGCAGGCTCCTAAGGCCTTGTTATTCAAGCCTGCATCTTTACCTCTTCCACTGGACCGTATCGGCAGAAAGCCCCTCCTCCTCCTGGTCACTCCTCGTTGGTATGTACGGAGTACGGATACATAGGTACTCAACTCCTCTGACTCCTCTGCTTTTGGCCCCTTCTGGACTCCTACTCCTCAGTGGGTGGTGCCGCAAAGCCTGCCCTTTCTGACTCCGTCCTCTAGCCGCCCTGTTCCCATGATCAACCTCTAGATGTCCGCAATGATGCCCAACAACCCCCTCTCCACTTCGGCGGCTCCTCTCCTCAGCCTCGCTAGGCCACGACCGGCGGTAGGAGGCCTTGCACCCCGGGATGGCCCGATGTGTACGGAGTACTGTAGTACTAACTCCAGGTTTTGTGGTCCTCGCCAATACGGCATTCCATCCCCCCGTGTACCATAACCATATCCCCTGGCGATTCACGCAGGCAAGAATAATATTGGGGCGGTCTCCTTGCCCGCCTCAGGAACGGCCCAAATGAAGGGAGAAACGGCCACATTTTGGTCTCAGAGAGGAATGTCCGATACCACGAAGCAAGGGCATTGGAAGTACGTCAATCCAGGTCGCTGTCCTTGTCGTCGTTGTCGTCATCATCCACCCCCATGGCCGCGTCCATCAATTCTTTGACCCTGGCCTTGATCTCCTCCACTTTGTTCTCCTTGACCAGACAGGTGTGGTCGTCGATTTCCTCGATAATGTACGCGTTCTGAGATTCGCGGTCGATTTTCCGCACCATCGCCATTTGAGGCGGATCACACTGCAGGAGGGCTCCTTTGACAGCTTTAGGCATCGTGCTATCTGTAAAAGCTCGAGATTTCCTTGGAATACCAGGTACACTCTGTAAGGTAGTCCGTGTAGTAAGAGTAGTAGTGGTGGTGGTAGAGAAAGTCTTTCAACTCTGGTTGTTTCGATGACGACTCGGCCTTGGCGGTCAGATAAGTACAAGGCTGCGACGCGCAAAAGAAACGTCTTTCTGATTATTAGTACTGCTCTTCTTGTTGACCTCGTATCCTCCGTGCTATCTGCTCTCCCACCCCCAAGCTACCGATTGTCCGGCCCAAATGTGGTCTCCCATGCACATACCTGTCGCTGACGAAGACCACTTCTATCTGTCTCCTTCGTACACCGACGTTACCCCCATCGAAGATCGGCAACACGACCGCGTCGCAGCCAGTCTCCAAACGGTCGAGCACGGGAGTACGCCGACACTCTTACTAGATTGATAGCATCCATGACCGAATCAACGGAACTCTCTGACCCAAATATCTTGCTTTCGTAACAACTCAATTCTGCTCCGCACTTGATCCGGCCAAGGCAGTGGGCGGCTTTCCAACAAGCGCTCGAGAGGCCTCGCATCGAGTTTTGATCCTGATCAGCAGATCTGCCACACTTTGCTTTTGAATCACGCCCTCTTTAGATCTACGCGTCTTGTGCTTAGCCCAGGCCAAAGCACGGTCGGAACTCTGCCGCATGATACCCAGTCTAATTGCCCACACTAGAACTGCCGACGCGGTGAAGGTCATCTCGACCACGTCGGCGCCTTTTCCTGGAGGAGCCGGCAGGTTGGATTTTGGGCACACCAATTTGCTGGAACGGATATGTGAGCCATTGACCACCTTGTGACCAAGCGTTTCGGGGTGAGATACAACCGAATATGCATCAAGCCTGTTGGCGGCAATGTCATCTCTTGTGACAATGATGATTGCCGACTGCCCTCTGACATCCTCTGCCGGAGCAGCGTCCACGAGTTGGTATGCCATGCACTGTACATCAGCGCCTCAGTCGTCCCGTCCAGATCAGGTCGTGGGCCAAATCTGAGTACAATCAGCAAATCAAACCAGCGTGGTGCCAGTCAACCAGTCTGACCTTCTCACCGCTGATGACGTACTCATCCCCATCGAGGTCCGCAACATTTTGAGGCCGGTGCCCCAGGCTCGGCGAAATCGACATTCCCGGTAGGTTCGGAGAGCACGAGACTGGCAAGCGGAGCGCCTGTGCCATGCAGGAAAGGCCCAACAGACTTCTCATGCTGCTCTGGACTGTCTTCCAGGACTAATGGGGTCAGCCTTAGGCCAGTCGCAAGTATGGTTATAGAAGCGCTTGGTTCAACCGCACGTTCGCCACCAGTGTTGCTTCGATCAATGGTCCTCCAGTTTCGCCAAGCGTCTTTGGGATGTGCCACCTGATGTACCAGGGAGCGAGCCACTCCTGGGCTCGTACACTGAACGTGAGAGCTTGAAATGAGTCTGGGCGAAGTCGCACACGGCATTCCGCAGAGCCAGTTGTGCTGAGGACAATCCAAAGTCAAATTATATTGTAATTCCACAGTCTCTATGCAAGAAGAACGAGATGAGACAAGGGATAGACCACGGCAGGGTCCCGAAGAGGATTCCGAGGCTGACAAAGATGAAGGGTCTGGAGGCCACAGGCTCCTTAAAATGGGCCGGGTTACGGGATGCTATGAGGTACGGACAGTGTATGGTGGCTTGCTTCGCGCAAGACCTCGTACCAGGGCATTTTCCGGTCGGCTATCTGTGTCGCTCGCCGGCTTTGCAAGCAACATGTTGGTTTGCATCGATGAGTGGCAGGACGGAAACAGGCAGGACGATCTCGTGTGTATTCCTGCAACGACCCATGAGACTGTGTACCAGTCAGCAAGCAAAGGTTGTAATTTATCGCACCCTACCTGGAAGCATTGTATCAGACTGATGGACCCGAGAGGCAGAATGAATTGCTATAAACACAAACATCACGTTGTTGGGAGATGAAAGGAGTACCAACCGCACAGTGAACAAAGACGACTGAAGAGAAATGGAATGAGGCTGTTGTTGCTGATGATGGTTTGCCTCTGCCTGCGCCATTTGAAATACTCTGCGCATGCGGGTAGACTTCCACCACCAACGTGTTCTGTTCGTCATTCACCTTGATCTGGACGTGAATGTTGTTTTCCTCCCTTCACCTTCTTGGTCTTGTTTCTGTTCCTGTTTAGCAAGTTCCTTCGTGTCCCGTTCAGCACCTTGTCCTCAGCAGCAGCACCGTACAAATCTCTCTCCCGTGAGCAATGCATTGCTTCGTCTTTCCTCTCATTCTCCTGATCCTTCTGCTTCCTGAGAGCTCGATCTCCATCGTTCTCAATGTCGATAATCCAGGTCAGTTTCTGCCCTATCCGGTCCGAACGATCAAGTACTAACTCACTTGGGGTCAGAATCCATCCTCGCAGCTTCGGCTGTAACAGCACATGGTGTTCAGCAGCTTTACAGTGGAAACAGAACCGGGGGCATACTTGGAAAATTCCCATATCCTCCGTATTACTGGTGGGAGAGTGGTGGTGCATGGGGTGGGATGATGGAATACTGGCACTACACGCGTGATGAGTCGTATGGACATGCCACACAGCAAGCCCTCATCTCTCAACTCGGCCCGACAAACGACTTCAACGTCCCTGCAGAAGCGTTCGACGAGGGAAACGACGACCAGGCGTTCTGGGTCTTTGCTGCCATGTCGGCCGCCGAGTATAACTTTCCCAACCCGCCTGCACCCATTCCTTCTTGGGTCACTATTGTGCAGAATGCCTGGGAAGACTACGCCTCTCGCTGGAATTCCTCCGGCTGTAACGGCGGGCTCAAGTGGCAATTCCACCCTGAGAACGCAGGCTACTACTACAAAAACAGCATATCTAACGGGGCATTCTTCCAGCTTTCTGCGAGGCTGGCGCGATTTACCGGCAATAACACCTACGCGCGTTGGGCGGACACTATCTGGAACTGGTCCCGTGGAATTGGCTTGATTGACGACCTCTACAATGTCTTTGACGGGACGGATGAGCTTATCAATTGCACCGGCATTGACCACCACCAATGGTCCTACAACGTGGGGATCTACCTCTATGGGGCTGCAATGCTGCAAAACTACACCAACGGATCATCTCCATGGATCGAGCGTACGGCTGGTCTACTGGACGCGACGAACACGTTCCTCAGTCCGTTTCGGAACGCGACGAACATCGTTTTTGAAGCGGAATGCGAACTCGACATGACTTGTGATCCTGACCAGCTTTCGATGAAGGCCTACCTGATTCGCTGGCTTGCTGGGACTTCGATGATGGCACCTTTCACTGCAGGAAGAATTGGGATCATCCTTCGAAGTTCGGCGCAAGCTGCTGCTGGTGCTTGTATTGGGGGCCCAGCTAACAATACGTGTGGATCAAAATGGTATGTGGGTGGATGGGACGGAACCAGTGGACTAGGTCAGCAGCTCTGCGCAATGGAAGCGATGTACGCCTTGTTGGTCAACCAAACCGAACCACCGATCACGTCCGGCCATGTGGTCCTTCAACCCGCTTCTCCGTCTTCAGCGTTCAATATCACCGCCACCCAGCAACTTCCCAAAGCCAGCGCTACAGCGCGGCCACTTCACGACAGTAAGGGCAGTCGGGAAATCAAAACTCGGAATAAGATTCGAAGTGTTGTCACCGTCATCTTCACATCTCTGGCAGCTATGCATTAGGGAGTTGTTCAATTGTCAAATCTGAAAGGCCGCGCAGCTATTCCACCGGCCATTTGCCAATGATTTTGCGGGAGCTGCGTGTAAACGACAGGGCGTGGAAATAAGAGCAAATTGTAAGAGGTACTGTACCAATCATACATCGGTTAGTAAATCTGGTGTAGCACAGCCTGACAGTAGTAGCGGGTTCCCCGGAGCCCGATTGTACAAGGAGATGACTCGTGTACGGACGAAAATCGTGGTAACAACAAGTGACAAGGTGACACAGGCTTACCAAGCAGTCCAGGTGTGTCAATCTCAACAATCGCTTATACGAGCCTGCCTTCTAGATACGACTTCAACGGTGAGGCTATCGCTGTCTGTACGCAGTAAGTTACCAAGTGTGCCCTGGGACATTTCCTCTCGCAACGTTCGCAACGCCGACGACCGAGAGGAACTCTCAATAGGCATTATCGGGATAGCGAAGCGCACGTTCGTAGCATATATATTAAGCGCGTTGTTTCGTCGCAAGGTTGAGCGTACTCCGTATGTGGATGTGTAGGTAGGTACGAGTACTATACGGAGTACGTACCTTACTACCTAGGTAAGTCTGTACTTGCATCGCCGGAACAGCATATTGATGGAAATGCATCGCCGTATTTGTGGTATGGTAAAGCATCCAGGCGTCAAATGCAAAACTCCGTACCACCTGAAGTATCCATTATTACATCGTCCGCTAAATGACTTCGGCTTGCACGGGTTTGCTGGGCCCGCACGGTCGACCTGTGTCACCCCGTAAGTGACATGGCTCGGGCAGTGCTCAAAAGATGCGTTGATGTATGATCAGAATGCTGCTCTACCCCCATCACCGCAAAGCGCATCGTCGGTGTAGAGGGGTGACAAGCACCTGTCGAACTACTGTCGCTGTGTAAGTGGAGTGGAGCTGGCATGCGCAAAGGACTCGGACTAATGAAAAGCGAGAAATCCAGACCTCTTCTCCTCCTTCTGACCGTCTCCCTTGCCGTATGTGCATTGCTCGAGATGACCGACGTTGGCGCATCACTCAGCACAGCGGGCCAGCCGGTCCTCGACATCCACACCGATCCCGACTCGACCGCGAGCGCCGGTACGGGCGGAGGTCAACACGACCAGGCTGAGAAAAAGAAGAAATATCAATTTCGATATACAACACTTCAGGGATATTTCCTGCAAGATGATCTGCGCACGAAGGCGGCCGAGTTCGACTTCATGAAAACCAACTTTGGGTTGATCCAGCGACCGTATGATTCGGATGAGACTCTCCCCGACCGCGGCCAAGGCATGACGGCCTGGCAGAGATTCGAACACCACATCACCTCGCTCAACGATGCCGCCGGACGCAAAAGACACGGGACTGGTGGGAACGTCATTACGCAGTACAAACTCCTCTTCCTAGCACGGCATGGAAACGGTTACCATAACATCGCAGAACGGTATTACGGCGGTGAGGCATGGGACTGCTACTACTCGATGCTGGACGGCGACCCAGACGGTGTCACCAGCTGGTCTGATGCCCACTTGAGCAAGGAAGGCCGTCGACAGGCCAAGGAGGTCAATGACTTTTGGAGATCGCAGCTGGCTGAGCAGAAAATGAGTCTTCCGCAGTCATACTACGTGAGCCCGCTCGATCGAGCGCTGGAGACGGCCGAGATCACATTTGACGGCTTGCTGCCCTTTTTCAACCCGACTGTGATAGAACGCCTGCGTGAAGGCACCGGAATCCATACTTGCGACCGTCGCAGTGTCGTCTCGTATATCCGTCAACGCTATCCCGATTATATCGTCACCCGTGACCCGTTCCTCACCGAGACGGATCAGTTCTGGGATGCGGAGCTTCGCGAGACAGACGACGCCCTAGCAATCCGTCTGGGCAAGCTGTTGGACCAGGTCATGGTGGATGAGATCGGCGAACGGATCAGTTTCACAAGTCACTCTGGAGCTATTGGTGCCATCCTCCACGTTTTGGGCCATCGACAGTTCTCGCTTGGTACGGGAGCCGTGATCCCGGTCTTTGTACGCGTCGACAAGGTCGCTGTCGACGCCGATGGCCGAGATCGTCTGTCAAGAAGACACGGAGGGAAAGCTGAAGGTGGCAAACCCGCTCAATCGCAAACCAGTGACAATGTCGAGAAGAATGAAGAGTACGATGACAACCAGCCCTTTCCACCGAAACCTGACCTGGAAGAAGAGGACGACAAATCGAGCTGGCAACCCAAACCTCCGTGTCCCCCGGGGCTGGATCTCGCGAACGTTGGCCTGAAGCGCTGGGGCCTGAGTCTGAAGGACTTCCTCACCGGGGTGGAGAACGGGACTGTGAAGCTCGAGGAAGTTGCTTTTCGATATGCTGCATAAGCCTGACGTATATGATCTCTGTGCAGTCATAGATGTGCTGGAGCTTGAGGGCCGGGGTCAGCCGGGCACGGGCACTTGGATAATTGCGGTGGCCATTGTGGCAGTATCCAAAGGCACATGGACTGTGTCCACCTTATATCTGTGATCTAGGCTGAGACAAATCATGCGGCTTTCGGGACCCTTCATGCCGACTTGGACTTTTTGTATCCCTTGACCTAGACCGAGATCGGGGATGGGATGGGATGGTATGCTGAGCAAGTGACCAAACCGACTTGACCATCAATCAACAAACGATGCTGGTGCCGACACGACGACAAACAAACAAGCAGACAGACAAAAGTCTCTGTTCTAGGTCTTGTGTTGCGCATTTTGTTCTGCTCTCCCGTAACGGTAACGGTACGGGTACCGCCCTCTTTGTCACGGACCTTGTTCGGTCGCGGTCCTGACCTGACCTTGGCCTTGACCTTGACATTAGCTACGAACCCGCAAACGGACTCGGAACCCCTGGTGCCGCGAGCATAGAGTCAACGTAACCGGGATTAGCTTTAGGTGAGTCTGGAACTGTAGTCATGATCCATGCCAGGACCAGATCTGAGATCGAGTACGGAGTACTACTAGCGTCAAGTAAAGGGTTCGACAGAGTCACGTATTCGACAGCGTTGAGGAATGTTCAATGCTCAATAGTGTCAACGACAGTACGTGTTGTGTAGGTCTAGGAGGTGTGGGTGAGAGAGAGAGAGAGAGAGAGAGAGAGAGAGAAGGCGCACTGCAGGCGTTGCGGGAACGGAATTACTTTAGCCCGAGCCGCCAAGACCACCAAGTCACATGATGCGTCATCTTGAATTGACCAATTGATCAGCCCGCTCTTATGGATTCGCCAGACAAGGCTGTGGACTCCCTAATTAGTACACTACCTACTATCTACTATTTCGTAGTATATACGGAAGATTGATTGCGGAAAGGGCAGAAAGGGCAAGAATGGCGCTGGCGCTGGGTTCATTCCGTCCTCGTTCAGCACTCGATGCGTCAACTCGATAACAGACAATGGATGGGTGGATCGATTTGGGAACGATTTCGTTGTTTCGTTGTTGCGTAATAGTCGTTGTCGTTGTCGTTGTCGTTGTCTCGATGCAAACGGATCAGGCCCATGTCCGTGCATGTCGATTTTGGACTCGAAACTCCAACAATGGCCGGGTCTCGAGATATAAAAGCAAGGCGCATGGCAGGAACCCTCGACAATTGTTCGTCATCACCATCACCATCGCCATCAGTGATCCATCATAATCATAACCATAATCACCAAGCACCAAGCACCAAGCACCAAGCACCTCAAAAGATACATCAACATATATTATCTACCACCTTGCTACGGGCCTACCTTGGAAGCCGCACCGTGGAGTGCACATCGCACCACTCGACCATATCCTGTCAAAATGGCGGAGGAGGAGAGCTTGTGCGACCTAGAAATATGGGCTGGGCGGATCTATTCGGCCTACGAAGAAGTTCTTGAAGTCTGCGCGGAGGATCCGGATGAATACATCGTCGAGCAAAGCAATCACAACCTGCCATCGTTTTTTAGGGCTTTCAAGAGATTTATCAACGCTGTTGGACTATATGAGCATGGCCACGATCTCCTTTACAGTCTCACCTATGGGAGGGAAGACAGCGGGTACGTACCGTGGTCCGGCCGGGACCTGGTGAACACGATTTCCCTCGAGTTTGGGAGACTGATAGAACACCTGGGAGAACTCAAGCAACTTAAAACATGGAGGCACCCTTTAGGTATGAGTCGGCAAGACTTTGCGTCCGACCATATCTTAGGCGTTATGATCGCCTGTGACGAGTTGTCCGAACGTCTCTTACCACGAATCCTCAGGCGCAGGGGAGAGGCAATGGAGGACATGAGGAGGAACCCGACGACGGTCTCGGTGATAAATCGTGGGGCAAGAGGACGACGAAGAGGACGAGGAACAGGGTGATAAACAGGGGCAACAAATCTGTGGACGGTGGCAGTGCAAGCATTGGACCCTCTCGAATCAGAGTGACCTTGACCATCGCAACTTCAGGTCGCAGTTGTACGAGATTCTGTAGCCACAGACCCGCCCCAACTCTGGTTACTGAAGAATCTCGACACCCGATCCAAGCGCGGTGTGCACAATGTAGTACTGTAGATGGCGGGTAATCCGTTCACACTCTCCTACTTTTCCATTGTCCAGTTTTCCCATCAACATCATCAAGCTATCCTCCAAGGATATGGCATGAACAGGTGGTACTCCATTCGCCTTGTGCAGGCAGCCGGTAGGGCATGTATGATAACCTTGACACCAAATGTGACCTGGACCTAAGGCTTCTAGGAACCGGAGGAGATGCACCAAATGGGGTCAATGACCGATTTGCACACGTCTTCCCAGAGCACCTTGCCATCTGACCCAGTCGGGGCTGTACCAGAAATGCAATAGTGAACAGCTTTATAATACCCATCCCCTGGGAAATTGGGACGATTGCACAACCAAGATATAGCATTCTGGCGTCGCTCTCCGAATTTCGAGTTGGATGATTGGTTCGAAGGAAATTCATCGTCATAGGGTTTTTCATACCATATCTCCATGAGGACAATGCCCAACTCGAAAAGGGCCTCTTTCATAGGCTTCTCTCCTAGATCATTTGATGTTTGTGAAGGTCTGAATGAACAAGACACCCAAGCTTGATTCATGTCCGTTCCCTGCTCTGAGCTTTGTAGGAATTTGATCGTATCAGAACATAGCCTGGGAGCACTCCAGGGAGTCTGTAACAGTTGTAGGAAGCTAGAGGCAACATTGAGGGCCAGAAGAACCTTCGTCTTGGGCGATAGCGTAGTCTGGAGCAAGGCTCTAAGTGTAACTTCTGTCGGTATTGTGGCACCTTCCAGTTGTTCCAGGTCCGGGGTGGCAATGGTCCTCGTTACCATCTTGCCATCAGTAGTCAACGCGCAGCTGAGATGTTTCCGGTTGCAGTAGGCTGTTTGGATTGCCCCACAGATCTCCTTGATTATCTCCCGAGGCTTATCATAGTCAGGAGGGTAAGCCAAAACCAAAACCTCTGAATTGTACCAATAGCGTTCAGTTGCAAATATTACCCGAAAGACGAGACGATCTGGTTGTTGAGATCTGACTGGTATTCGCGGCGGCATCCGGCCTTCCAGCAGCAGCTTCACCTCGTGGCTTTGGTGACAGTCCGAGACCCAACCTGTGGAAACCGCTTTGTAGAGTTTCTTTGCACTGTCCTGTATGTCGCGGAACGTTCTTGCAAGGCGTTGAGCCCAGAGAGAAGGGTGCTCTTCTGCCATTCGAGGTTTTCCTCTGTCGATACTCAGCTGGAGCTGAAGTAGGGTATTGGTGGATGATTGGATCCTGCTAAGTTGTTTCTCGAAACCCTTCATCTTGCACGCGGCATGGACTCGCTGGACTAGTTTTAGGTCCTTCATTTCACCAGCTCTGATGGCATTCATAAAATCAACATTGCTGGTGTCCTGGGATATGTTAGTCTCACAATTTAGAGGTCTTTCGTTGCAGCCTACCTCAAGCTTGGGACTAATACTGCGCAGTTTCTCAATCAGTCGCTCGAAGTCTTGCTCGCAAATTTCGATGGCAGATTTCAGCGAGTCGTAGTGGTCCCCAAATTGATCCGCCAGGGCCTGCTCAATCTCGGACTGGTCCAGAACTTGATATAATTCAGACGAATGTGCCTGAACCTCACGCCCAATGCTTCGTAGCATAACTTTCAGTAAACCGTCTAAAATGGTGCTCTGCAACTTCAGCTGACTGGTGAGGCGGTCCATTTTCTCTTGGCTGTGACTGATTCTCCTGGTGAATTTGACGGTGTCAACAAACAGTGAACATATGGAATACCCCGAGAACAATTTCGATTCCAGACATGTTGAGTTCCTTGAGGAGATAAAGGGAAGAAGGTGAAGAGCAAGAGCATAAAGCAAGCTGGAGGTAGTGATGAATCCTGCGGGACAAAGATGGTTCACGAAAGACTGCTCTGAACACCGCGCGGAACATGAATGGTACATACGAAAGATTTCCTGTCCGGACTCTTCCCAGCTCTCCAAGCAGTTACCCTTTAGTACAGCACCGGTTTCTTTGAGCACGGATGACAGGGGTGACTCAAGGGGGTCAGATCAGCTGAACACTCACCTTGCCGTGACTTGGCTATGCTGCGTCATGTATCTCTCTCTAGATACTAGGTGGCTCTGTTGGAAATATCGGCCCAGGCACCACCCAGGCACCATCCAGTAAGATGAACAAACAGAACCATCGGTGGAGAATCTCTAGCAAGGACACAAATCCGGCCCAGATTGCAGGACTGCCAGTCGCCGCAAAATGGGTGGCAGCGATATGGTGAATTGGTACATTACTCCAATGAGGCGTCCTGATACCGAATACCGTGAGGTTACCCGGTAGTGTCTCTCCTTGCTGTGGGCTGTACACATACTACCTACCTATGGTACCCCAGAGACGTGATGAGACGGTATATCGGGCTTGCGGCTACTGTACTGCAGTCCCAGTATTGGACGAATCAATGGCCACTGCTCCCCTGTTTGTGCTACACAAACATGATGACACTGGCCCGGGAAGGAACGAGGGAAGTCAAGGAACGCAGTCCTGCCAAGTTCACCCACTGCTGGCACAGCTGCTAGGTACCTAGTAATATGGTACATACATGGACAGGACTCTGGTAGGTATTTACCAAGTGACACGGTACAGACACTGACTGGCCCCGGAGACTTCTTCTTTCTCTTCTTCCCCTTCTCCTCATTCTCATCCTTCTCATCCTTCTCATCCTTCTCATCCTTCTCATCCTTCTCATCCTTCTCATCCTTCTCATCCTTCTCATCCTTCTCATCCTTCTCA